ATTTATTTTCATTTTTTAAAAAATAATTACAATTTATTAATTATGATTAATTATAAATAAATTACCATATAATAATAACTTATTTATAATTTAAAATATATATTCCGTTATAATTAAAAAGTTAAATTAAAATTTTAATTTTATAATATATATAATAAATATAAAATAAAAATTTAAAAAAATAATATTTAAGTTAATAATTTAAATAAATAAAATTTTAAAAAAAATTATTTAAAAAAACATTTTTATAAAAATAAATAATAAAAATTCCACGCGTTATATTATATTAATTATATTTAAATATTTATCTTTATATTTTTAACTTATAAAAAAAAATAACTTAAATTTAATATAATTAATATATTTAAAAAAATATATAAAATATATATAAATTTAAAATAATTATTATATAAATAATATTTTTATAATAAAAATAATTTTAAAAATTATTATTAAATAAATTTTTAAATATTTAAGTTAAAACTTTTTAATATATATATAATAAAAGAAATTTTATATAAATAAAAATTATATCGTTTAAAATTAAATTAAATTAAGTTTAAAATTATATATATAATTATAATTATTATATAAACATTTTTAATTTTTATTTTAAACATTACGAATAACGTTATAAATTAATAATAATATAATAAAATATATTATTATAAATTAAATTAAATTAAATTAAATAAATTACTTCGTATAATATAAAATTCTTTTTCTTTTTTTTAAAAATAATATAAATTTTATATGTTTATTAAAAATTAAAAAAAGTAAATAATTAAATATTAAAATATCCATAATTAATATTATTTACGTTATATAATTTTAATTAATATACGCATTATATTAAAAAAGAATTTAATATTAATTTAAACGCGTTTTAAATTATATTAAAATTTTATTATATACTTAATTAATTTTAATTATTCGTAACTTAATTAATTTAACATTTTAATTTTTTTAATTTAATTTAATCGAAAACATTTAATTTAAATTATATATTATTTCTTTTTTTAATTTTTAAACTTTCATTTAATTATAATATTTAAAGTTAAAAATTAATTATTATTTCGATTAATTCGAGTTAATTTTAGTTTAGTTTAATTTTAATTATAAAACTTCGATTTAATTTTTTATTAATTTTAATATAATTAAGTTTATTTAAAAACGCGTTATAAAAATAATTAAATTATTTTAATTATTAAATTTTTAAAAGTATTTTAAATATAAAATAATTAATTAAAAATTTAATATTATAAAAAAATATAAATTTTAAAATTAAATTTAAAAACTTAAATTACGATATTTAATTTCTTACTTAATATATATAAAATAATATATATACGTTTTATCGGCGTTTTTCCGATTTTATATAACGTAAATAATATTTATATACTTAATTACTTAAACTTAATTTCGAAAATGTAAAAGTTTATCGATAAATATTTTAATTAATTAAAAAATATATATTCGAATTTAAGTTATATTATTAAAATAATAAGGTTTTTATAAAAGTTTAATTTTAATTAATTAAAAAAATATTATAACTTTATATTATTAAATACGATTATAAAAGCCGCATATTTATTAAATATTTATTTATTTTATTATTTTTTTTATTATATTTTTATTTATAAAAATTATTTTACGTTTAATTAAAAAAAAAATTAATAATTAAATATTTATAAAATTAAGATTTAATTTATAAAGTTCCCGTTAAATTCGTAAGGATTTTATTAATTTTTAATTTTAAGGATAAAATAAATAAAAAACTTTATTTATATATATATTATATTTTTTATAATAAAAATAATTAAAAGTTTTTTATATAATAACGTTATTATTTTTAAGTTTTTTAATTTTATTTTATAACTTAAATAACATAAAATAAAATAAATAATAATATATATACTTTTAATATAATTAACTTTTTAATATTTATATTAAATTTAATTTATTTATTAAATAAACGTATATATATAATTTTAATATTTAATAATAAATAATTATTATTTAAAAAAATAAATTATAATATTCATTTATAATAATTTATTTATTATATAGTTATATATTTAAAAGTTATTTATTTTATTAAAAAATATTTAAAATTAAAAAAACGTAAACTTAAATTATTATTTAAAAATAAAATCTTAAACGTAAAAAGGATTTATTAAATATTAATTTTTTTCTAAATTAATAATTAAAAGTTTATAAAATTAAAATTAAGTTTATAAAATTCCCACAAGGGTTTTATTTATAGTTAATTTTAAGAATAAAATAAATAAAAAACTTCATTTATATATATATTATATTTTTCATAAAAAGAATAATTAAAAACTTTTCGCGTAATAACGTTATTATTTCGTAATTTTTTAATTTTATTTTATAATAAAGTTAATTATTATAATTTTTATTATTATTATTATTATTATTATAAAAAAGTTATAAAAATATAAAAAATAATATTTTTAATAAATTTAAAAAATAATGTTATATATTAATAATAATATTTTAAAATAACTAAATTTATATTTAACATAGTTTTTATTAAGTAAATACATGTTTAATTTTATTAATAATACCGTTTTTTTTACGTTTTTTTTTTCTCCGCTTTTTAATAAAGAAAATATAATATAAATTATTATAATATATATTTAAAAACATAAATTATTAAATAAATTATAAAAATTTTATATTTAAATATAAAATATAAAACTTAATTTAACATGTTTAATATACTTTTAATAAAGTTTTAAAATAATTATATAAATAATAATTTTTTAATATTAATATTAATTATTATTATTATTATTATTTTACTTAATAAAAAAAAAAAATTAAACTAAATATATTAAATTAATAAATAACTTTTTTTAAAAATTAAATATTAATTGCGAAAAAAAATAATATTAAAAATTTAAATAATAAAAATATAAATAATAATTAATAAAAATTATTCGATTTTTACTTAAATATTATTATATTTATAAGCTTTTTTAAATATTATTATACTTTACATTTAAATAAAACTTATTATTAAAATAAAATATATCTACTTTAAAATAAATTAAAAATTTAATATAATAAATATTAATTTTTCTTAATTACTTTTTAAAAATTAAGTATTTAAAATAAAAAGTTTTATAATTTTAATATTTAATAATATTTATTTAAAAAAAAAAAGGAAATTTAAATATAAATAATTAAATAATTTATTTTTTTTTTAAAAGTTTATAATTTTTTTTATAACGAAACGATTAATTTTATTAACGTTAATTTACGTTAAGTTTTAAATAATTACTTAAATATAACATTAAAATAAAAAGATTAATTAAATAAGTAAATTATAAAATTTAAATATTAATATAAAATTAAAAAATAAAGTAAAAAATAAATAATATATAATATATACTTAATAAAAGGTAAAAATAAGTTATATTTTTTTTTAAGTTTAATAAATATTTACTTATATAATTTTCATTTTATTTTTTCCCTTATTAATAAGCCGTAAAATTTAATAATAAAAGTTAATATTGTTTTATCGTTTTAATTTATTAAATTAAAGATTTTATAAAATAAAAAATATTTTTATTTATAATAAATACTTATATATTTATTTAAATATTAAAAATATTATTATTAAATATTAATAACGTTTTATAAATTATAAAGCATAATGTAAATTTTATATATATTATTTATTAATATTATATATATTTTAATATATTAATTAAATTAACGGGTTAATAAATACAAGCTTATAATTTATTTTAAATTAAATATTTTAAGTAATATTTATAAATAAATATTAAACGTTTTAATATTATTATTTCATAATAAACTCATTAAATAAATTAATAAGTAAAAATTAAATTATATGTTTTTTATAAAAATAAAATGGTTTTTTATAATCGATAATTCCGGTTAATGTAATATATAATATTTTAAATATATTTATTATAACGGGAAATACCGTAAATTAATAATAATTAAAATAATAAAAATAATAATTAAAAAAATGAAAATAATAATTAAAAAAGTAAAATAATAATTAAAAATTTAAAAATAATTATTATAAAATAAATATAATTATTATAAAAGTAAAAATAATTATTAAAAAAAAGTTAAAATTATTAAAAAAAAATTTAAATTATTAAAAAAAAGTTTAAATTATTAAAAAAATTTTATAATTATTAAAAAACTTTAAATTTAAATTAAATAACCGTTAATAAAGTTAATAATATTATTATTTTTTAACTTTAAAAATTTTCTAAAATTTTTAATATTATTTTATTTTTTTTACATTATTTTTTACATTATTTTTATTTTATACATTACTTTTTACTTCGTATATTATTTTTTTATATTTTTTTTTATATTTTCTTTTTATATTACTTTTTTATTTTTCTTTATTTTTTATTTTTTTATTTTTACACGCGTATATTTATAAACGTATAAATTATTAATTTTTTAACTTTTTAATTTTTTAATTTTTTAAATTTTTAAGTTTTTAAGTTTTTAAGTTTATTTTTATTTTTAAATTTAAATTTTTAAGTTTATTTTTAAATTTAAATTTTTAAATTTAAGTTTTTAAATTTATTAATTTATTAATATTTTAAAAAGTTTAATAATTTAAAATATTATATATTTAAATATTATAAATTAATAAATTTAAAAATAATAAAAATAATAATAAAAAATAAAAATATAATATAATAAAATTTTAATAATAAACTTTTTTAATAATAACTTTTTTTAATAATTTAAACCCTTTTTTAATAATATTAACTTCTTTTTAACAATTTAAACCCATTTTTAATAATTTAAACCGTACAATCATCCGATAATAAAAGTATAGTTATTATAATGTTAAGTAATTTAAGATAATTCCAATTATTACTGCCCTCCGATATCTCCCGGTATGGTACCTAAATAAACTCATTTAATTATATCGAGTTTATTCCTTGCGTAGAATACTTACCCTATTTAAGGTGAAATTCCCCACGAACAAGCAACGTTAAGTAAGTAATACGATACAAGTATCAGAAATCAACATATTATCCATATCTATCCAAGGTACCAATATGGCGTATAATTACTCGATAACTACTTTGAGCGCGGTGTCGTCCTTCGTAATCTTGGCCCATTCTAAGCTCTTAGCCCAGAGTGCTTCTTGCTTTACTTCATCCTGGCTTTCTGCAGAGCTTTGGTCTTTCTTTAGAAATGTGAAGAAACCTCTTTCACCCGCGTAGGCTGGGTTGAGTGCAAGTTCCGCCACATCAATACCGGCTAGGGCTGCGGTACGGATCGTCGGGTCTCTGAGTTGATGCAGCGGTAGGAAGGGTCGTAAAATAAATGTCTGCACTATGAGGGCAGTGTTAATAATTACACAGTGTAAATTTTACAGAAATGGAAGGGGTCCAGTAGAGGGGGTATGACTCCGGCGTCGCGAGAATAAATTTAATAACTCCATGTGCTTACTGTAGGGATACCACCAAGGCGTATTAGTCTGTAGAGCACGAGAGTCCACAAGATTACCCGGATTGATAGCGACAGCCGTGATGTTTCTTAAATCCGCGTCCTTCAAATAAACAGATGCGTGAGCAGACTCATTCTCTCAGGGGTAACTGTAGAACAAATGGCGAGACGTACCTTTTGCAAATATCGATTTAACGCGTACATCCAACATGTGATAACAAGCTTCGTGTTCCCGTAATTCTGAAAGCCACGGCCGAATACGTCTTCATACACGATGGGTTTTGCTAGAAGGTTCAAGTCCTCAGGAATTCCAGGTGGATATCGCTCGCCGACGCTGCCGCCGGGGACATGTGTGTCGCTTGAGAAGAGTAAAACCCGCCCTCCATCTGGCCTGAACTTTCCGATTAACCGCAGTATGAGAGCTACGTGGGAAACATGACTGATCTGCAGAGTTTCATCGAGTCCATCAACCGTGGATTGTGGGACGCGATTCAAATTCCAACGATAAGCCGCACAGATGATGGCCCTAATAGGAGGATACTTGTTATTGTCAATATCTTTGGCTATGCTCTGAGCCCATTTATGCACAGAAGAAAGGTCGGCTAGATCTAGCTGGTGTATTGATGCGTTTGCTTTCGGGTACTGAGATATAACGTCCCGCAACCTAATAGTTTTAGAATCAGACAACATGGTCAAGTGTGTAATTTTTTTTTGCCTCACATACCTATTAGTATTGACGTCTGCTTTTGAGGGATCTCGTACTGTCAAAATAAGTGTGGATTGCGGATATTGCTCGAGAAGGCGGTTTACAGCCGGAATTCCTAACGAAGAGTTCGCTCCAGTGAAGATGACGGTACCAGCCATAGTTAGCAATGTATCATCAGTGTATAAAGGTAAGTAATGAATATTTTATACGACACCTATTAAAATAATAAGGGAAGATAGGATTAAGATGACGATTCTTGAAGAAAATATGAATTAGATGTTAGACGACTGTGTCTCTTAGTTATAATCCCCGCTATTTACTGGATTAATCTCACTAACACAAAAATACAGAACACGAGTGGTTAGATATACGACACCTGACTATGTGGTGTAAGACACGATAAGATGCCCAATTTATTACGAAGCCGAGTCCGGTTATTTACCAGCAGAATTATTGGTCTACGATTAGGCTTTGCTCGTAGTTGTTGGCCTGCCGAGTAATCGAGAGCAAAGGTGCAGGGTTATCGAACCATAGGTTGGTGAGACGAGATATTTACATGGCATAGCTGACAATAACCGAATCTTGAGTTTCTTTCGGGTGGTGCCCACGGCCAACGCATTTGGCTAAAATAGGGTGGGCTACAAAGGATAACATCTGTGGTTGAAAACCTAGGATAATTCAGATTAAGCGTATCGCCGAGTTGCTGGCTTCTCTATTCATTTAACCTCTCTTAGCACTATCTTCGTTGCTTCTTAGCTTTGGTACGTTGTCGTTGTTGCCCATCAGCGTCGTCCGGGTCATTTTTACGCTTTTTGCGTCTCTCGTCGAGTAATTGCTTCATTCCCTGGGTAGCCTTGAACTTCGGGTTCGATGGATCGATTGCAAATTCGTGGCTTTCGAATACAGCTTTAAATCGATCGTCTTGGACGTCCATTTCGAATCCTTGCTGAAGACCACCATGATCTTCAACCTCTTTCTTCCCCTTCTTCTTGAACTTCTTGGATTTCAGTTTTTCTGCGCGAGCGATTTCGTTCATATTGAAATGATCAAGATGTTCAGCAGCCTCCTTAGAATCATCTGCCATGATTCGTTCCAAATGGGCTTTCTGAGCGGCATTCTCAGCTGCCTCGGCATCCTTTGCTTCTCTCCTCTTACGACGTTCTTCTTTCTTTTCGAAATTCTTAGATTTCTTAACAGGCTCCTCTGTGGTGAAGAATGGGTCATCGAAACCGAGATCATCTTGGGACCCCGCAGCGTCATCACCATCTGCTTCGTCTTGGTTGGTCGTAGTTTCATTCCGCTTAGCCACTGCCTTCTCCTTCTTCCGGGCCTTCCTTTCTTTTTCCTTGCGCACGTATTTTTCTAGCGTAGTTTCTTCGGCATCCGGTTCCTTCTTCTTTTTATCATCGCCGTCCATTAACGCCGCAGAAAATGTGACTTGCATATCCCCAACTGGTTTAGATTTCGAAGATTTCGCCAAGGGCTCGGAATTTAATCCAAGTGCTTCACGAAGTTTCTTTGCTTTTAACTCCTTTTTCGTCAATTTTGGTTGATCATCTGCCACTTCAGCCTCATCCTCACCCTCGTCTTCATCATCCTGAGCACCATCATCGTCGCTATCGCTTGCAAGGTACGCACGCAAATCATTCTCCTCAATCGCGGCGCGGCTAGCACTGAATGCTCGTTTGATATCTTCTTGCCGAGATGTTTCTTCGGGGTGGATATCCCAGGTGAGTTTTACTTTAGAGTGTTGCAAGGCATCGGTTGTAAATTCGGTCGGTTTATAATCCGGTGATATAGAATCACACTCGTCTCTTGGTTCGTCGTCGAAAGTGACGTCATCAGGTATGAACCTTAAGTCCATAAAATTTGAAGAGGTTTGGTATTCTGTTCCGTCGGTGGCTTGATATATCTTGTTCGCCGTGGCTATGTCTGAACATATCATGACAGCGTAGTAATACCGCAATCGGTCCAATTGGTAGGCTCGGAGGGCATCGCTGTCAAAATCCTGATCGTTCCCTTCCTGGAGGAGTTCGTTTTTTATTTTCTCGTCATCATCTTCATCGTCATCCTCATCCTCAGAGTCTAGTTCGGAGTCGTCATCTTGCGACTCAGAGCCTTTAAATATTTCCTTAGGTGGGCCTTCTAATTCTTCTCGCTGCATTCGCTCCTTGCCAAACTCGCTTGGGTAGATAGAAATTCGCTCGATCCGTCCGCCTTTAGGTACGAAGCTAGTGAAAAGCGCCAGTAAGTCGGCAGACTTTATATGGTCCCAGTCGAGGTTAACTATAGCTAAGCGCCTGGTGACCTCTCCCGTTTCGACGTCCGCCTGGGCGTCGCGTAGTCTTTGCATACTCGCAGACGTATCCACCTTAGATTCATCTTCCTCTTCCTCTTGGTCATCCTCAGCGTCAGGTTCAGAATCGGAATCTGACTCGGAGGATGAGAAACCGCCACCACGAGCCGGATCATATTTAGCATCAGCCTTTTGAAGTTCCCGCTCGACGACATCGTCCTCTTCAATTTCTTCATCCTCGTCGGCCTGATATATGCTTTTGAGTGCCTTCTTCTTGTTATCCGACTTCAATTTTCGGCCGTATTTGTCTACTTTGGCGCTCGCGATAAAATCATCATCTTTCAGCATACGCGAGAAACGCTTATCGAGGGTGGTCTTGTTGCGATTCTTCGAAGGTAGGCGGAAACGTGGATCGGATTCGAAATTGGTGAATCGCGAATCACCTGCCGCTGCAGCTGACTTGCCATCTTGTTTCTTCGATGGCTTCTTCGACATCTTGACTTGAATGATTTGGTAGACGTTGTGTTCAAGTTTTGCGATGAATTGAAGGGTTTGGTTTGCGCATAGCTAGAAAAGTAAAGTGGAACTATCGAAAATTTTAGTGGATCTGAATTCTGCCGTTTTTTAGTAGGCGGTAATAGGGAAGTTACGGGTTCACCACCTACGAAGTACAATTCCAGGTACCATGTACAGCTGGACTAGCCGTACTAGTTGCACAGTGTCACGCGACAATGCTGTACTCCTGGGAAAGCTCCTTGAAACATCCTCCTCACCCCGCTATCACAACCAAAACCCGTCACTCTTTTACCGTATTGTGCACAAGAATTACAGTATTCCATACAGTGCATGATTTATGCAGCTCACTTCGTAACCATTAGTGGGGGAGGGGCACATTCACAACTCATAGGTCCAGTTACGTTCATTTTCGTCCTATCCAACAACTCAGCTTACCGGTATAGCCTTTCCAAGTATGACCATTGAAAGATCGTATTGACTAGAATTGGATGTAAGTGCCCGCCCCTGACGTGCTAAGCTTGGAAACGAAACTTGATTTGTCGATAGTAACTATTAGGGGCTGATGCAAGCCAAGACTCCAGCTTGAAAGAGTCTTGGTCCCACCAAAGAACATCCTCTCACCCCTCCGTCCCCCGTAATAAGCTGTGATTCAACCTGACCAGAAGGGTCATCTTAGACAGGGAGCTGTTTGCTTGCTTATGCGTATTATAATAGACATTGGATGAATACAGAGTATATCTACCAGTCTGACGTTCTTCAATTATATTCTTCTTTTTTTCTTTTCCTTGTCTAGTAATCTAGAAGCTATCTAGAAATTATCTAGAAACCCACACAACTTTTCAATACCCAACGATTTGCATACGTAATCCCCTCACTATCCCCAGGATGGATCTTTTCCGTAAGGCGGGAGATGTCTTCCATGAGGTGCATGAGGCCTTACACCATCACGAGGAGGAGCGTCCCCAGGCTGAGGAATCTCACGCTGATAGCGGCGAGAATGCTCAACCAGAAACATTTACCAGCAACTATCGCTTCCAATCTTTTGCTCCGGAGACCTCGGGCTCCGTAAAGTGGTATGTCGACGGAGCGTCGTATTTCTACGCTGTATCTCTAGCTCTTGAAGGTACGGAATATGTGGAATTGGAGTACATATTAATGGCTATCGTTTACTAAAGAGTGATATAGAGGCTAGAGAGAGCATTTGGATTTTGGATTGGTGGCTGAGTCCTGAACTCTACCTCCGTCGGCCCCCTGCGCGCAATGAACAGTATCGTCTCGACAATATGTTACGAGCCGCTGCTGAGAGAGGCGTCGAAATCCGTATCATCGTATATAAGGAGGTTACTCAAGCCTTAACTCGTACGTACACAATCTGTTGGCAGTATTACAAGTTTGCTTAACTAACATGTCGACCTGTTTCAGTGGATTCGGCAGTATGTATATACCTAAACTTCAGGAACATGTCTTATTAATTCACTCCCTTAGCACACTAAGCATGCTCTCGAAGCATTGCACCCGAACATCAAGGTATTCAGACATCCTGATCATACCCCAACGGATAGAAACAAGCTCGAGACGGCCTTTTCCGACTTGTCCTTAGACAAGCTTAGACTAGATGATTTCAGCCTGTCCAAGTTTTCAGGAGACGCGCTGAAGCAACTCTACGGTTCATTTGGTGATACTGTCCTATACTGGGCTCATCATGAGAAGCTATGTCTCATTGATCGACGTATCGCCTTTATGGGTGGTCTTGATATGTGTATGTTGGAATCCCGAGTCCCTGAACCTTGAGCCTAATACTAATGATACATAGGCTTTGGAAGATATGACACGAACAGTGAGTTGCGTGATGGAGTACTCGTTGTAGATTGACATGCTGAACACTACCAGGTCATCCTATCGCCGATGCTCACCCCGGCAATATCGATGAAGTTGTATTCCCTGGTCAAGACTTTAACAATGCTCGAGTCTACGATTTCGAGGGTGTTAATAACTGGGATCATAACAAGCGTAAGCGATAAAATAATGTTTTCTAGGTATATATAACAAACCATTAACATGTCTGTAGTTGACCGAACAAAGAGTTCAAGAATGGGGTGGTCTGATATCGCCATCTCCTTGAAGGGCCCCATCGTTGGTAGCCTTATCGACCACTTTACAGATCGATGGTACGTTTTCGTATCCCGCCAATGAATATGTAGCTGACCAAATCTCAGGAACTTCATCTTCGGTGAGAAGTACACCAAAAGAGACGCTGGGAAATATGAGAGGATTACCGCCGGCAGCGGTCCTTCTGAACAGGCCCCTGAACAACGTCGCCATCACTTCATGGATGACTTTGAGGGTCAAGTCGGCCGGGGTTTTAGGCACCTCATGGGAAATGACGGTGAAGAGCGCTCTGAGCATCGTGACCGCGGCCATAACAACTACGAACGTTCAGGCCAAGCTAAGATCCAACTCTGCAGAAGGTTAGTCAATTCTTACCTTAATAAGTGAAATTGATGGGATCATATACACTAACAACCCTTAAGTTGCTGTGAATGGTCCGCCGGACATCCTACCGAGCACTCAATCGCAAACGCCTATATTAACGCCATCGAGAACGCCCAACACTTCGTGTACATCGAGAACCAATTCTTCATCACCGCAACCTCAGACGAGCAACGACCCGTCGAGAACAAAATCGGTGCCTCCATCGTCTCACGCATCGTCCGCGCCTACAACAACAACGAAGACTTCCAAGTCATCGTCCTCATGCCCGCTGTTCCCGCCTTCGCCGGGGACCTGCACTCCGACGGAGCCCTCGGCACGCGCGCGATCATGGAGTTCCAGTACAACAGCATCAACCGAGGCGGGCACAGCATCATCGAGTCTCTACAGAAGCAAGGCGTCGAAGACTGGCGCCGGTACATCGGCTTCTACAACCTGCGCAACTACGACCGCATCAACGCATCCGCAACCCTGCGCCGCGCCGAGCGCGAGTCCGGCGTCGACTACGAGGACGCGCGCCGCGAGTACGACGACCGCGTGGGCGGGTACCCGTACGGCGGCGGGAACGAAGACGGAAGATACGACGGCAGCTACGACCGGTACCAAGAAGCGGCGCGCCGGACCGACGACCGCACCTGGGACACGGTGTCCTCGTGCTACATGGACGGAGGGCCGGACATCCGGTCGGTTCCCTGGGAAGGGTCCGAGGAGTCCGAGCTGAACGCTTTCGTATCCGAGGAGCTGTATATCCATAGCAAGGTGCTGATTGCCGACGACCGGCTCGTGATCTGCGGGTCCGCGAACCTAAACGACCGCAGCCAGCTCGGCACGCACGACTCCGAGATCGCGGTCATCATCGAGGACCCGGAGCCCGTTGAGAGCACGATGAACGGACGTCCGTACACGGCGTCGCGGTTCGCGACATCGCTGCGACGACAGCTCTGGCGGAAGCATCTGGGTTTACTCCCGGACCAGCGCTGGGACGAGCCGAACGCGAACTGGACGCCAGTCGACCGGGACGCGCAAGACTACGACTGGGGCTCGCGGTCGGACCGGCTCGTCGAAGACCCGATGAGCGAGGACTTCCGCCGACTATGGACGGAGACGGCGCGGACGAACACGGACGTGTTCAGCAAGGTGTTCCACCCGGTGCCGAACGACCTCGTGCGCACGTGGGAGCAGTACCAGGATTTCTTCAGCCGGTACTTCATCATCCCGAGCGGGGACGAGAAGAAGGACGCGAAAGCCGCTGAGGAGGAGGGCGCGGCTGGGAAGGTCGAGTACGGACATGTAGTGCGCGACGAGTTCCCCGGCGGTGTTGCGGAGGTCAAGGAGTGGCTTAGCCGTGTGCGCGGGACGTTGGTTGAGATGCCGCTGGAGTTCTTGATTGATGTTGAGGATTTGGCTAAGGATGGGCTTACGCTGAATGCGTTTACGGATGCGATTTACACTTAAGCGTATGTGCTGTGTAGGCCTATGTTGGCTAGTGGTTTATAGGACTACGTGCTGTAGAGCTTAGGCTCGTCTTGAGTGTCTACATCGTGTTTATAGGTAGACATTGCCCTAAATGAATAAATGCTGATATTATATGCATGTGCTGGACTTTTTAATGATTCCTTGATGTCTCGGTACTTTATCCTTCGATAGGTAGGCTAAATACTACCTAGATACCTAGCCACCCAGGGGGGGAGATATCTGAAGTACCAGATCTAAGTTTTACGAATAAACTTGAAGTTTTAGGCTATTTTCTGGTTTATGATGTAGATGTCAGATATATATAAAACAAACAGTATTGGCCAATTTACACGACGGCCCCGATTTGTATTCGAATACGTCCCCTTTCCCTTCCCAAACTCCTATGTATTCTATGAGAAGCACACAAGACAGCAGCACCCATATCAAAGAGGCGAGGCAGATATAAAGTAGCAAGGGAATATTATTATGATGCGTTTCTCTGCTTTCGTGATAAAACAGAAGAGGATGGTTTGGTATAACCAGTCTCTTTTTTTCTACCGACAGCCCTTCGTTCCCTCTCCTATATTTCATTCCCGTAGTCCCAAACTTTCGTGCTGCGCCATAGCTTTCTGAGCTGGTATAAAAGTGTCCTTAACCAAGACACCGAATTTAAAAAACGACGATGGACAGTTGTATGGGTGACATGTGCATGCACACGGACACAAGAGAGTATTATACAGAACTCCCGCTGGATGATATAACTCCAGTAACCCATGGCTTCCCAATGTCGATGCTCCAAGTCTTTGTTTTTTCCTCCAGGAAATCGTTCATTTAGTCCTTCTTTCCGTTGGCAGTGTTGCCAAGGAGACCCTCCTTTATTTCCTTGATAGGGAGGTTATCCTCGAGACGGAAATGTCCACGATTCCTCCGGAGTCGTCCTCGGAACCACGACGCGCAGCCTAGACCGATGCCTGCTATGCAACCGAACGAGAGGTACGGGTGTTCGGAGAAGGTGACTCTTATGTCAAAGAAGATCTTTTCGAAACTCGAGATCGTGAGCTTGGGTTTAATTAGGGGCGGAGAGGTTGTGACCTTCGAGATGGTCTCTAGGATCGATACTCGAGAGGGAACAATGGGGCTGCCGGTAATAGTCATATCCCAATAACGTCGGTTCTAATATTCAGTTAGTAAAATAAAATTGGGGTGACAGATCTTTATTCTTCGGACTTACGTCCTCATCGTTGATTATAACGCGTTCGCCATCCTTGATATCGATACCGTAAGTGGTGCGAATCCACCTTTGCCAGAAGACACCATCGACCCAGGCAAATGTAACCTCCTTACGGTCAGACATATCCATGCTAATCCGGATACTTTTAGCGGCTCGCAAAGCCCGCTGGTCATTGCGATCCTCCGCCTCCTCGAGACGGAGTTGTTTGGCATCTCGGAGATTCTGTCGCTCGAGCTGGAAGAGCTGTATCTGCTTGTCCATCCATTCATTTGCAGCACGTTTCATCTCGCGCTTAGCACTCAAAAATGTCTCCTGGTCTTCCCTGTTCAAGATTCCTAGGACGACAATCTTACCGTCCATGATTTCGCGCGCGTTTGAGGCAGTGAGCTCAGGAACGATGGGCAACCACACGGATTTCATCCAAGTGAGGACTAGATGAGTCTCGCGCATTTCCCTCGGGGTCAAAGGATTGTAGTATGTAGGTCTCCCTTCCCGCGATACCAATAGCCTAGGCCATGTCGTAATCTTGAATCTGTTGTAGAGTTCGGGATCCTTCGTTTTCACAAGCTTGGCATGTCCGATCAGGCTAAGGGGAAGCCTTTCGAGAGCCATGAAATCCTCGTTTGTAGTAGCATGGTCATAGAAGTAGACGAAAATTACGTCCTCCTTCTCTTCAAGGGCTGCGAAAGAGGTGGCATCAACATCCTGAACACCGCTGCAAATATCCAAAGCTTTGTCAGCGTACTGGATGAAGTCGCCGAGCCCTCGTAATCCGTTATATTCAACGCGCTCGCCTCCTCTGAAGAAAAGGATTGTAGGGAATCCACGAAGATGGACATCTTTGCAGAGCCTAGATTCCGCATCGCAATTGACTTCGCCAACGTTGAGTTTTCCCTTCATCTCTTTCGCTAACTGCTGCCAGTTAGAAGCCATGGCTTGACAATGGTGACACCAGGGAGCGTAAAATTTGATGAACCATGGCTCCTGGGTCATGGTAACCAAAGTCTGGAAGCTTTCGGCGGTGAGTGAAACAGAAATTCCTTGCTCGTTAGGTGTCTTGGTCGGCTTAGATGGTTTCGTGCTGTCGACTTTTTGTGGCGTGGTCTTGGTGATAGCCGTGGTATCCTCCTTTCCACCTTTCACAGGCTTCTCAACGCCCTGTTCAGTCTCAGATGACGTAGCCGGGAAGGCAGTTGCACCAGGTTCGGGGAGGGCAAGTTCTTTAGGCCGAGTACCAGGCTTTTCCTTCTCCAGCGCACCTTCGACTAATCCCGAAATAGTAGACATTCCCTTTCCACCTTTGACGAGATCGGCTTTCTCGCCATCTTTGTAGAGGATGGTCTGAGGGTATGATTGAATATCATGTTTCGTGCACAAATCGCCATAAGCAACACAGTTCAGCTCAGCAAATCGGATATCGTAGTACTTTTCGAAAGAAGCCGTCGACTCGGAGTCGCTAGGTGCTTTAGAGGTGTAGTAATATTCGTACAAGGTCTGGTAGGTTGGTGCAAAATCTATACAATGAGGACAGTATGGACTATCATGAATGTAAGCAAACTGTTGAAAGGCGGTCTAGAGATATTCGAGGACAAGGTTTGCTCGCGTGCTGGTAACCAGTGCACATCTTAGGGCTGAAAATAAGAATTCAAGATCATACCTGTAATATTTGACAACAAGGAATTTTGACAGCTTCACTTCTTTATCGAAGTTATCAGCAGTTAACTCGAGTAATGGGGGTACTCTTTTGCCATTAAAGTATGTGTTTTCCCGATCTGGACTATCACTTGTCTCTGCACCAATTGCTTGCGCGGTGCCAAGGGCAGCAGCGCTGAGGAATAGCGCGAGGGAGGCGAGGAGCCTCATGATAGGCAGCTGTGCGATTTGTTGTTGCGATTAACGAGCGTGTTGACGGTTAGGATATCGGTGAGAAGCGACAAATAGGCCGACGTAGGATAAGGAAGTCGAATCGTGTCAAATCGTGAAACAGATAATTATCGACTTGGACAATCGCGCAAACTCGATACAGGTAGGTTGATGGTAGGAAAACTGGTTGGCGACGACCTTTTTCCACACTACTATTTTGGAGAAAGGGGCAAGGGAGTCGCGTCACCGGCTGTAGTGCATCGGAATATGTTCAATGGAAGTAAAATAAAAGGGAAAAAGAACAGGAATAAAAGCAGACGATGATGACGTCCTGCCAAATTAAAAAGCCAACTCAGAGCAAAAAAATGAATTCAAGAGGCTCGAGTCCGCTAATAAGTCGTTAGTATCACTTCTATGATTAAGATGATAAAAAAACACTTTAGTTGGAATGGATGCGAAAATTGAATTGTTGAAACGAGACGATCTTGTCTACCTACCTTCTTGCTAAGCAGTGTAAGCACCAGGGCAGCAGGGCAAAAAAAGAGGACAGTGCACTGCCTTTCTGCCTTCCGCCTTCCTTCTTGTTCACTTTAATGTTATCTGTGCCAGAAACTGTATGGAGTACGTAATATTGAGTACCGACAAGTACATGTCTGAAATTAACCAATTAGATAAGGCCAATCATAATGAAAACACGACACGAGCTACGGCACGGTACTTCCCCACTAAAACATACAGTGTATCTAGACCCTATCAGAACGTCCACCCTGACCCCTTACAGTAGCGACACCTGCTAAAAAAGACACCAACTGAACTTTGGTGCTAAACCGCTAAATCAGCTAAACCAAAACTCCTACTCACTAAGCCACGATGGCCTGGATGGGATGAAGTGTGGCTAACGCAGGGTGGCATCCACGATGAAGACCAGTCCCGAATCCTACATCCTTATTCAGGCAGGCAATTGCGATTCAAGCTGAAAACATTTAGGCTACTTCTATCTTGAAAATAAATTAGAGGAGGTCAATTCTAAGAAACTCACAACTCTAACAACTTTACTACATTTAAACAAAATCTGCTTTCAATTCTCGTATTTTTCATCTTTGCTGTTCATTATATTATGCACAAAACCGAAAATAGTGGATGTTCGTGGCGATCAATCGTTTGCCAAGATACGCCATCGCGATATTGGCAGCAAAGCATCAAGACTTAAGATCAACCGTCCGCGTCAGCCCTGTGGAATCTACTCAATGTCGAAACTTGGTTGATACGTCCCTATATCGGCTCTATGCATATCTTCATACGCACCTGCAGTAATAAACTATATGCGCTGTATGCGGTGTAAAGGCCGGATGCTAAACTCTCAACTCCGTGTTTCTTTCTTCGACTGCATCCGACGTACATAATTCGGTATACCACAAGTCACGTTTCTCAAACATGGCAGAGCCTCCATCCAAGCGACGACGCTTAAGTGACACTGATCAGGATCCCACTGTAAAAATCCCCGGTGAACTTCCGACGTCACTCTCACACCCGATCAGTCCTCCCCCTCCTAGGAAAACGGTGGCCCGTGAGCGGAAGCTTATTTCTTCCCCGGTTCGGCTCACCACTATCAGAGATCTTCCAGAAGAATCAAACGTCGGCGCCGTATCACTTCATGACCTCCTCGGAGATCCGCTCATTTCCGAATGCTGGGAGTTTAACTACTTGCATGATGTGGACTTCCTTATGAATCACTTTGATGAGGATACCAGAGCCCTTGTGAAAGTCCACATTGTCCATGGTTTCTGGAAGAAGGATGATAATAATAGGTTGTCTCTAGAGGTAAGCTATTTTCATTTTTCACATTCCATGTGTCCCGATCTTTATGACCGGATGTTTAGAAACTATTGTAGCCCCTGTTATCCCTTTATGATTGTAATTTACTGTGCCTCATGATGGGTTATCAATGGTTGTACAATTCAATATAATAGCAGATCCAACACCTGTAGTTAGTGGAAGTACCTAGTAAGTCATTTTGTAAGCCTACCTAAATGTGTTCATGAAATAGTATGTTTCTTGTAGTGATACCAACAATGGTTAACCATTTTGCTTCATTTCGAGTACTCGGAAACTTATCAATGCTGATGATCGATATAGCGACAATCAGCACAGTACAACAATGTTACCCTTCATGCGGCATACATGCCAGAAATGTTTGGCACACATCACTCGAAGATGCTTGTGCTATTTAGACATGATGATACGGCCCAGGTTATTATACACACGGCCAACATGATTTCCAATGACTGGACAAACTTGACAAATGGTGTGTGGCAGACACCACGGCTTCCTCTCCTTACGGGCTCTCAAGATCCATCAGGGTTAAACATGAAGATCGGCAGTGGACCAAGGTTCAAGAACGACTTGCTGAATTACTTACGAGCGTATAACTCAAGAAGACAAATTTGCAAATCTATGGTCGAACAGCTTGAGAAATATGACTTCTCTGCCGTACGGGGAGCTCTAATTGCCAGCGTACCTGGAAGGCATGATTTATACGATGATGATCCGAACAAGACATATTGGGGATGGGCGGGTGTTAAACGCACACTTCGCTCTGTTCCGGTTCACTCAGGGGAGTCGGATATCGTGGTACAAGTATCTTCTATCGCAACCATATCTTCGGTGGACGGATGGCTTCGAAAGACGCTATTCGATTCATTATCACCGCCCACAAAAACTAAAACACCAAGACCTACCTTCAAGGTAATATTTCCTACCCCGGATGAGATAAGAAGATCCTTAGACGGTTACGCTTCCGGTGGTTCTATACATATGAAGATACAGTCAGCGCTACAAGCCAAGCAGCTTCAGTATATGAAGCCTCTACTCTACCACTGGGCCAATGATTGTCAGAAAGGCAAAAGTACGTCATGAAGTTAGTAATACTTATAATAGTTCTGTTAACTAAACATTTCTACTAGGGGAAGAAGGCGAATTGCAGGATGGAGGGCGCAATCGCGCAGCACCACATATTAAGACATACATCCGATACAACGAGAAAAAGTCTATCGACTGGGCTCTGCTCACGTCTGCCAACGTTTCAACTCAGGCATGGGGTGTGGATACAAATGGCATTGGTACAATACGGATCGCCTCCTGGGAAATCGGTGTGCTGATGTGGCCTCAACTGTTCGACGATAAAGCTACAATGGTAAGCACTTTCATGAAGGACATGCCCACTGATGAAGGTCAGGGAGGCGATGGGCCTCTGGTCGGTCTAAGGGTGCCGTACAGTCTACCCTTGCAGAAATACGATGATAGCGAACTCCCGTGGGTAGCCACGGCAACTTATGCCCGGCCTGACATAAAAGGGCGTACTTGGGGTTAAGTCTCAGGGGCAGCAACGATGCGGAATTCGATATTGTATATCTGTAGCCCTGGAGAGACACCATCCCTCACCAAAACCCTTGGATTTCAAGAGGTACTAGAGGTTACGAGCAATGTTAAAATGTTAACATTCACAATAACAGCAGGGTAAGAGCAGGTTTACGTAGTTTATATATGAATCTAGTACTGCTATGATTCCGCAATGTCTTGCAACTCGGAGATTTATAACCACAGATATCCCATCGTTTCACCGATAGTTAAAAGTGCTGTCTTTCGCATAACGACGCTATAAATATACGGGGCAAATCGATCGGAGGCAACGTGACAAATTTTGGCGATGTTGTAGACTTATGAGCTCTTGACGGCCTCGGGGACCTTGTTCTCGTCGAAGCCATACTTCTCCTTCAGCTCCTCGACCTTCTTGACGTAACGCTCCTGCGCGTCCTCGGGGGTGACATCGTCGTCGACTAGCTTTTGCCAGGCTTGGTACTTGTACTTTCCCTTCAGGTCGAACATGCCGGGCTTTTCAGCCTTGCTGAAGTCTTCGGCGTTACCGACCTTGAAGAGAGCTATATAGAAATAAATACGACTGGTGTTAGTCTCTGCCCTCTTAAACTGTTACGGGGGGTGGCAATGCAGAGGATTTTAAGTACCATAGAGATCGAGAAGATCCTCGTTGCTAGGCTTGGAGGTAAGCTTCTTGGAATCCTCCTGGGCCTTAGCGAAAGCAGGGCTGATCGCGACCATTTTGAAGAAGTTTAGAATTTGTTTTTTTTAAAGAGGCTGTATGCTCGGTCTTATGTTAGCCGACAACTAAATGGTTCTCTTCGCTTATACGGATATAGGACGGAGGGAGTTTAACGGCTTCCGGGAACTAGGTACCTTGTTATAAAATTAGAAGCAACGGTAAAAGCGGGAACACGGCTGTAGGATCTCGTCGACAATGATGTTGTTGATATGTTTAAGGTACAATTAGCAGCATTAAGTGTTGGGGCAAGTAGATTTTGGCGGGGTAGTATCGTTCAGATTGCTTCAGGCGTAATAGACTTTCCTTTCGTCATGCGTTAGTCGGGTGCGCGGGGTGATGCGAGATTGCAACTTGTGATTGGATATATTGATCTCAGGGATCCACATGAGTTTGAGTAACACACACAGCTGCCTCGGATAGGATCAGGAATCCGGCGCTTGTGAACCTTGTGAACCTTATGAGCCGGTGTAAATATGCACCGCCCCCGAAACTTATTTCATGACGGGACCGGAAGTCTTGACTCGCCAAGCCCCGTCCCTCCAGCCCTTCTTTCTCTTCCAAGGTTCATCGATGTCGGCATCGCGATTCGCGATCATCGTTCTCGCCACCGAATGCCGTTGAACGATCCAATGATCTGTTCTATACGAAGGGTACAGGAACTCATCCGTTGACTCCAATTCGATTTCGCCTAGTAGGCATTGTCGGCTTCGACTGAAGATTAGTTTGCTTGTCACCAATAACAAATATGGTGAAGTTCTCAGTATGCGTGTTGGTTATAATCCCAAGCATTTGATCAGCTTCATTTATACTAAGCTGAACAACTACTTCTTGGGTCTGCTGTGTCATGTTTCGGCACACGTGGAAGTCCACGACACGCAATGGTGGTACTGAGCTGATTCATGCAAGTCCGATTTTCTGCAATGCATTCCTTCAGGTTCAAGCTGGTGATGTATGGGCAATCGGCGAACGTTGGAACATTGGCTGAGAAACAAGAAACCACATTTTGCTTATGAGAGATAGGTTAGGTGGTGACGACCATTTAAAATGAGCACTGCAATTATATATGTACAAACTAACAGTCGGAAGACTAACACAAAAGGTCCCTGCAACAGATACAATCCCATTTCGAGAAATTTCCCAGATAGGGAACATCTGACTTACCATTTCATAAGGCTGTCCAATGAATCGAAGAGAAAAAGCAGCCCCCTGTCTTCATTGACCCAATAGTTTGTGCCTCCGATACGTCTTCGAAGCCTTGAACGCATAGTCTTTCGGGACCGAAATACCTAGACAGCTAGATAATTCGCACCTGTCTTATAGCCACAAACAATATCTGGAGGACCTAGCATCGGTAAATCACCGCTGACCTCAGAAGTCCTAAGCCCCTTGGAGATACGTATCCCCAACCTTCTTAGGTACAATACAAGCAACGTACCTAACCTATGGAGGGTCTTTATTCAACATGCAAGTCTCAATCTCAAACGACAACAAACAAGATATTAGTCATTATATCCCTCGGATTATTCATCCTAGCATGGAACTAACAAAGGAGGCTGAGTTGCATTTTCTTAGTTGGATTGACAACTTTTAACTTATTAAGGTCTAGACGGTGGTGTGGGTTTGGGGAATTACCGTGCGGACGGCCGCCGGACGGCGGATAGAGACATGACAGGGGGACAAAAGGGTGGAATAGGTGGAAATGGCTACGAAATGCCTCCAAAATGGCTGCCAATTGTTACACAAGACAACCTTCCGAACCTGAAGGCTTTTTCCAAACGGCCGTTACTCCGATTCCCGATACTGACAAATTAAGAATAGTCGTGTCAGCAGCAGGATGAATATTATTCATCCAATGATTCTCTGAGTACGAGGTACCATAGTACCTAGACATACCTGGACATCTTTGATGGCTTGATGGCTTATGCACAAAGCTCGTTGACGTGCTTTTAGACCTTGGACATTGACACCTGAACAACAGTCTCGACCGATCTCCATGACTGGGGTCTTAGGCCGGCTGGTTTGAGTGGGGTCTCTCCGTTTGAGGCGTATGCGTATGGGAGAGAAAAAAACAATATTTTGATAAGGGTCCGTTCCTCCCTGCCGTGAAACGGACAAGCTCATAAGACATACATAACTGCCCAAGTTTCCAACTATCACTTTGAATCTTCTCGATTCTCTCTTCCTACTTCTTTACGACTAATACCTCGACAATACACAATACGTATTCTGGTATTTCGACAACAACCCTACAACTTCTCATTTTGTAGTTTATCCCTCTTTCTTTGTAGACTGTTTAAGTCTATTACTTCCTCATCCTAGACAACTTAGCTAGGTACCCACAAAACACAACATAACACAACGAAACCTCTAAGCAACCGGACTTCGCCAACCACAATGACCAAAACAATTGTAGTTCTTGGAGGTGCCTACGCAGGCGTGGGAGTCGCACATAGACTTCTGAAACACACGAAACCCTCAGTGAAGGATCTGAAAGTTATCCTCGTTTCTAAGGTAAGAAAGCTGTTGACATGCACATACAATTTAGTCTGGTCCAAAGACAATGGGAAAGGCTGGGAACAACGCGACAACAGCAATGTGTCTTGTCTCAACTGGCAACGACGGGGATCACATGATATGATTCTACATACTATTACCATACACTCGCAGACGCGAAACATTGAATCCCAGCCAACCCGCTACGTTTCAGCCGGGAATGGAAATTAAATTGGAGACGTAGCCGCGAATCATCGGAACGCTCACGGACGGGTTACGGATCTTCTAAACATGACACTGACCTATCGTCGCAGAACAGCCACTTCTACTGGAACCTAGCATCGGTCCGTGCTATCGTGCCCGGCGCCTTGAAGGAGGAGCAGTACAGCTTGCCGATCGAGACGGGATTCGCCAAGTACCCGGCGGACTCCTTCGAGTTCATTGTCGGATCCGCCGAGGGCGTTGACGTTGCCGACAAGATCGTTAGGGTCGTGACCAACAGCGGCGATGAGAAGGTCCTAAACTACGACCACCTAGTCGTGGCCACTGGCACGCGCGCCATCAACGCCACCGTTCCATGGAAGAGTAACGGCACGTACGAGGAGACCGCGGCCCAAATCGCCGGCATCCAGGACAAAGTCAAGAGCGCATCGCACATCGTCATCGCAGGCGCAGGCGCCACCGGCGTCGAAGCCGCCGCCGAGCTCGCCTTCGAGTACGGCGACAAGAAAGAAGTCGTCCTGCTCTCCGGCGACGCAGAGCTACTAGGCGGGGACAGCCTCGCCTCCAACGTCGCGGGCGAGCTCAAAAAGCTCGGCGTCAAAGTCCGCAAGTCGGCCCGCGTGACCGAGACGAACGAGCTTCCCGACGGCAAAACCGAGGTCGTGCTCCAGGACGGCGAGAAGATCTCCACGGACCTGTACCTCCCTACCATGGGGGTCGCGCCGAACACCGACTTCCTCCCCGCGAACCTGCTGACGGATAAGAAGTTCGTCGACATCGACGAGTTTTATAAGGTCAAGGGCGCCGAGAACGTCTGGGCTGCTGGCGACGCCGTGTGGAAGCCCAAGGGGAGCTTTGTGCTTGCTGATAAGCAGGTGAGTTTTCTTCTCTTTCTGAGCCTTGAATACCGCGGTTATCTAGGTGACAGGCAGAATTGTGTGATTGTATGGTTTGCTAACTTGACGGGTATAATAGGCTGCCGGTGTCGCCAAGAACATCGACCTCGCGCTCAAGGGCAAGCCGCCCGTCGTCGTCAAGACGATACCGATGGACGTTCTAATGGTGGCCACGGGACGAAACCGCGGCGCCGGTCGTCTCGGCCCCGTCAAGGTCTTCTCCATCATGGTGTACATGATAAAGGGTAAGACGCTCGGCACCCAGCAATTGGCGGGCTACGTCGACGGCAGCGCTTTCTAGACGCCTTCCGTTTGAAATGCCCATGGTTTTTGGTTATAAGTCTTCCCGAATGGATGAATCGGTTTTGGATGAGATCGGATAATAAGTTGCTGCGACGAGAATTGGGACCGAGAAGAGAAGAGATCGTAATGCGTAACCCCCCAAAGATAGATACCCCTAGTTACCCCTTTTGGATGATGGGACGCTTCTTGATAGTAACCGAGTAGCGTTGTAATAGAGAATAGATGGTATTTCTCGTAACAAGCCGATTCTTGCATTTCGTCTGTGCTACCTACCTACCTAGGTATTCAGCGTTCAAACACTAGAAAATAAAAGGTTTATCAAATAGTAAATTTGTAGTTATACCTAATACCCATCCCGAATCAATTCTATCGACCCGTAACGGAGCCATATCCAGAACTTGTACACTTGCATTACAGACTAAGTAAAGTAGCTCGCTATCCGTTTCCCCATCTCTTACGTAGAGAGATAGACGGACACCCATCCCCATAATCGCGATCTTCCACCACCCACCCTATCTCCCCGTCTTCTCATCATCAATCTCCCGTCTCAACTGATCCAAAACCTGCATCCGGCCCGCAAGATGCGTCTCCAAGCCCTCGACCTGCTCCTTCACCGTCGCCAAATCATCCGCGACACCCCGTAACCCCGCCCCCGTCTTCCCCTTCCCAGTCCCCTCCTCCAGCTCCCGCAGCTCCCTCCTCTTGTAATCAAGCAACTGCTCCAGCTCCCTCTTCACAAGCGCCGGTTTCGAGTCCCGTTTCCCCCCGCCGCTCCGACGTGTGGCTTCCGCTTCGACCTTCGCCATGCGGTCCTCGAGCTCTTGCAGCTGCTTCTTCAGCCGCACTTCCTCCCACTGCTCGTCGCTCTGGGCCGCGCCGAAGTCCGTGCCGGTCGCTTTGAAGGCCCCGCGCCCGAGGCGCGTGAGGTACTGGTCGCCGAACTTGGCCTTGCGGCCCGTGCTGGTGTTGTCGTCGGCCTTGGCGGCCCACCGTGACGCTGCTGGGTTGTTGCGGGCGCTGTCGACTTGGTAGTCGATTTGGTTGCGCTCGAAGGACGAGCGGAGAGACGCTGGGACTGTTCGTGGGATCCGGAATCCTTCGTGTCGGTTGTTGAGGATGTGGAGGAAGGCTAGACAGGCGTCTTTGTTTACTGTGCTGCTGGCGGATGGGTTGATTAGGTTCCATGCTGAGCGGACGTCGGTGTCAGGTACGTCGAGGGATTCGTAGAGGTCTTCTAGGGAGGTGACTGGATGGACATTTCTGTTAGTGTTTCCCTTGCTTTCGTTGGTAGATCCTAGATAGTCCCTGGGATAGGGGTAAGAGGGGATGACTTACAAGCTATCTCTCCTCGCATGTCTCGGTTTTCTTGATATATGGACTCGTATTTGGATTTGTCCTGGGGGTTCATGTACCAGTCGAAGCCGTCCTTGAGTCCTGGCGTATCCGAGTCATCATCGACCTGCTCGAACTGTACTTGCTTGCCGGTGAGGGCGCGGTTGGCTTGGACAAGATGGGCTTTGGATTCGGGGACCAGCCAGTCCGGCAGCGTCGCGGGCACATCGTTGTATTCCTATTATTATCGACTAGTTAGATATGCTTCCTCGGACTGAGTGGAATGGGGAGGTACGAAGAGAGGTTGCTTACCCCATTCACTATGTCGAAGATGATGCGCATAGCAACGCAGAACTCCTCGAAGTCTAGATTCCCGTCATTGTCGACGTCGGCTACATCCCACACACGCTCGAGCTGGTCGTCTCTCAATCCACTGTTCTTTAGCAATGGCGCAGCTTGTTCGCCCGTTAGGTATTTGCCGCCATTGGTCCGCGTTGTGAAGATGTTCCAGTACGTTTCGATCTCCTGAGCCTCGATTCGAGGTGCCATCGTGAGGCACTAGATCGTAGACAGGTTAAGCTCGTTATTATATAGGTGTACTCTCTCAACCAGTTTGATGATGACCTAATTCCTATCCGGCCTTGATCGTCCCGCAAGCTTCAATTAAAGTCGATTATGTAGAAGTATGAATGAGGTAACTAATTATTCGCTGTTCGCAACCTTGCCAGGTACCGGGTCTTTACGACGTATGTACATTGGGGTACTTCGAAGGTTACCATGCAACTAACCGTGTTGGTCGGTGAACTTTAATTGGAGCTTAAGCTTGCCGGGGTGGGCAGGGGTACGTTAGCTGTGGCTCAGCTTGATACAGTATGAGATCATTGCATTTTCAACTAATTCTACTGTACCCCAAGAATCTTCGGGTTATAAAAGGGGAGAGTATCTTGTTAGATATAATTATCGGACCTCAGCCACACTATTGAGATGCAATACTATTGAAATAGTAAATCTCATAATTATACTCTGTAGGGTATCATGTTATGATACTTAGCATCTATAGCGTCTACAAGGAATCGTCAATCACGCTAAACACATTCAACATGCTCATATTGTCATTTATCCGGTACTTGTGAAGGGCTTCACCAGAGTAACCCCTACCTACGTACGTTTTGCACATATACTCTAGCCTATCATTATAGGCTTGATTAACCCATTCCAAACCCGTTTCCATTTCTAAACGCCCTACCAATCCGACTACCAGCAAATGCAACGGCGCCCAGGAAGGTAATACCTACTAACCGTCGCCATCCTACGGATATGGCCCGAGAAATACCTAACATCCGCATCGATTGGCTCGCAAGTCTAAACAACTATCATCGTTGAGTGGGTATCATGAGACGACTGCGGCTGTACTAGCTCCAACGGCTCCTTCATTTCCAGACATGGCTTTTTGCACTGCTTCTAAGAAGCCAGGCCGCCATTTCTGTAAAAACTTGGCGGCTAGGGGTCTTGTGTCTTCATAATCTGACCAGATATCCTGTATCGCATCTAATGCAAGCTCTCTGACCGGCGGGCGCAGCATCACCAGGTAATATAGCGTTGTCAGTGCTAGATTCACTAAGCTGGGATCTCGACATAGAGTCTTGATCCGCGTCAAGATAGCGGGGTTGAGCTCGGGTAACTCGCTGAGGAATCGTGTCAGAACTTTGTCTTGTCCGTGGAGGTAAGGGATAAATCCATCTAAAAGACGAAGGGCCCATTTTTCGTAATTAATAGCCACATCACGGACAACAGGCGAGGATGCTGCGGAACGCTGTTGTACTTTGTCGTTATACCATTCCTCACTTAACCAGGAGACGGCTACTTCGATCCGCTTGCGGAAGTCCTCCAAGACGTAGTTAAACAGCATCTCCCGAATGGAATCGCTGAGCTGGGGCGGTGGAAAGACGCCCTTGGTATTCTCGTCATCCTCTGACATGTCAAGTCCCGCATTTGCTCGAGTTGCTAGGCGAGTAATTACAGTAATCCACGAGTCTCGGTCGTACGAGCTGGCCGCTAGCCTATTAATACCAGCTTTGGTTTTCTTGACAGCCGGGTCCTCTAGTGTTCTCATAGTGCTGAACACTCTCGTGATCGACCCTTGTCCCACTTTAGCGGCCTGATCCGGATTCAACGTGGGCGGTGGTGGTAGTCGGAATGTAGGTAATGCCAGCCCGCCTAATGCAGGCTTTTCTAATTCGCGTGGCTGTTCTGCTGGCGAAGAGTCAAGTTTGTTCAAGATCTGCTCCGTGTCTTCTGCGGCATAATAATCCGGTTCATAGTCATCCTCATCCTCTTCAACATCGAGTGGCGCCGTCTCGGGATTAATTGGCTCGGGCTGAGCCACATTGAGCGCTGCTAAGCGATCTCGTACTCCCTAGAATCTTATAAGCCAAGCATGGGGAATGAGGCGGGCAGTCTGAACATACCTGAATAGCCCGATCTAACAATTGCTGGTCTATCCGGGCGATAGTTGTGACACTGATCTTCGCGGCGAGAGGTGCCGGAACATTATCACCTACGTTAAAGTGCTTCAGTCCATCATTATTAGTAAATGTGAAGACATCTGCGAGGGTATGAGGTCCAGGCTTCAATGGAGTTATCTCTATTTGGGGATTGGATGGCGTAGTTCCTGTTCGTTGGCGCTTGGTGTCTTGTGCATCAGCCTGCTCTGCCATGGCTCTTTTACGGTTTCCCTCGTCGAAGATCTCGGCTCGAGAGCGCATGAGTCGCTCAACGTATTGTTGGATACGTCCGATCTGTGGATTCTGCGGGTTTCTACAAAAAGATTAGCGAGGTCCTGTAATGAAATTAGAGTGATGAGGAATTGGTGATTCTGGAAGTATCCTACCGTCTGGATAAGTGCATGAGGAGCATTCGTGTCGTTTTCTCCATCGACTTGACAAGAACTTTGATCTTAGGCGTCATGGGTGAATTTGCTAGCTTCAAAGGGTTGAAGTTGAGAACCGTGTTGAGGATCCTATTAGACGTTGCTGGTCTGTTTCGGACAAGGATAGACAGTGTATTCAATGTAGCATCTACAACCAAAGCATCACTTAGATATTTTGTTAGCTAATAACAGATATATAGAATACGACGATATTATCCTACCTGCTATTGTCCTGCAAAACCCCGAGCATTCTGTCTAAGAGCCCCGATGCTTCGGCCTCAAGTTTGGGTGCGTCAAGGACTGGGTGATTTGGGGGGATCATGAGCAGCGATATGTCGAGAAGGTCACCGCGCTAGGAACAGAATCAGTACTGCTTAAATCATACCAGCTCGAAGAAACTCTTACTCTTGGCTCTGGATTTATACTCTGTGTCTGTGCAAGTACCACGCGTTGAGCGAACTTGATACAGCATATTCGAATACTCGGTGGGGCATTATCCCAGATTCGCAGAATAGCAGTCTTTATATCGGTCATCCGATCCCATGTGGGCGTGTCGTAGGAGTTGTTAATACTAATATAATTTGAAGAGTCAGCGATATGACCTTTGATTACTTCTCAAGTGATGCATGGACGCATGGAATCTAGGAAGAATGTGTGCGCATGCGCACCAAGAACTACGAGGAATCTACAATAACAGGCTGGGCAGAACCTACATCCATCGTAACGCCAGTGGGTATACACTAGCTGCCGTTTGAATAACGCTTTTCAATACAGTAACATCTTGGTTAACGTCTTCCACCAGTAGCTTTAGGGTCTCTAGCACTAGTAAAGACAATGTCTCTTTCTGGCCCGGCGCAATTGCAGGAGTAGCAAATGCTTCGGCAAGAAACTCGGCGCCCCATCGTCGGAATTCCACTTGGGCGGATGGACCTATAATGGGAAGGGAAGCTTGGATGACCTGTGTATAGTAGCCCGCGTTTCCTAATACAAGTTTGCGCGCCCCCTCAAGTTGGCGAATTTGGTCTTGGACGGATAACTGTGCAGTCGCCATTGCGGTTTACTCGGGTAGACCCAAGCGGGTCCAAGATATAGTCGAAATCAAACGGGTCGAGAGACAGAAGTTGTAGCAGAGTATGAACTATAAACCGACAATGATAATCATGGATTGAAAATGGTGTTTGATGGTTAGGAGACCGAAGCTGAATTAGTAGGTTGTCAAGATTCGAGTTGTTGAGTCGTTATGTGCTCAAGTGAACAATGTCGTTGATGTATTATGTCGCGTCGTGGATTCGTGAATGCTTGGTGATGTCAATTAAATGATCGCCAGGTATTCTGCACCGTTTTCCATACCGTGCGTGCTAACATCAGCGATTGAAAGATTTAGTTGCTGGTATGATCTAATGGTCATATAGAAAGTATCTCCAGACCATGTGATGGGGTGTGAAAGAGGTTGTCGACGTAAATAATTAACAAGTGGAATTGAATAACTTCCAAGGTTGGTACTGAAGTCTTCACCCGACAACCTTGAAAGGTAAAGAAAGCTTGCTTCAGGGTGTCCTACAGCACTAGAAGGAACAAAGCTCAGATCAATCTGGTTTGGGTTACACAGGGGTCTTTACAGCTTGTTAACCGAAGAATTGCCGCTTTCCCGCTCAGACTTGCTTTCTGACTAGCCGTTTTAAGATTAGTATGAACTGCAAGAATGAACATTTGAACCAGTTGACTGCAGCATCGTCAAATCTTTAGGAAGGTACTCTGTACTAGGTACATACCTAGTACTACATACCTTGTACGAAGTACAATCGCAGAATTGATACAGTGGGCTTGGCATTGTCATGCTCAACTTCTCACCTTTCACCTATTTCTCTAATTCTTGTCGCATATCATAAGAAACTCGCCCTCCTGGGCAAGGCACGGCATACAAGATGGCTGCTGGGTAATTCTGCTTTGGGGCACTACTTTCTACTATTTTCATGTCTAACAACCTTGTAGACTCGGAAGCTCTTCATACTACGATAGACGACAAAGACAATCGCCCGCCCTCATCCGAGCAAGGCGACCTTACCTCTTTAAGAACGCCGTACTTGGATCCGCTGTCGCCGCCTTCGCTGTTGGCGTTTGTAAGTGTCCATTCGAAGGAAAACTAGCCTCGTCCATTTTCTTATATCGATACTTGCAGATGTGTACACGATCAGTGTCGTCGGACAAGATGAATTCGAAGATGTCAAGGTCCCGAGCGCGCCGCTTCAACCCGAGAAGAAATAAGATGTAACATGGTACACTATCTCGGGGTTTAGGAACCGCGACGGGGATATGGAGTTACGAAACAGGTTTATAAAAATCTACATCTGGTCGGGCACGGAAGGCAAAGCAAGGCAAGGCAAGGCATAAAATTGGAAATGGGTCTTCCAATTGGTCTGAATAAGTTAAGCTGAATGGTATCATGGCCGACGTAGGGCGTGTAAATGAATGGCAAACCCCCAAACGCCACGAATGTGTCTATCAAGACAGCCCGAAAATATATATAATAGTGACCTCCCGTGCTCTACAAAACTTTTCGAAGACGCCAAACCATTGACAACGCAAGAGCACGACATCCATGACACCGCTTGGTGATATCTATGGATATTCAGCATACCTAGACAGGTAGAACACTCCTCTATCGTAAGCCGTGACGCCAAATGCAAAAACATATGCACAGGGTATAACGTCCTTATTTCCTATCCCGCAACTTATTCAACCCCAACAGCTCAAAGGGAAGTCGGCGATCGTCTCGTCGGTTAGCTACCCTAGGTTGCGCCAATATTCAGCCCTGTCCTTAAAAAATCCCCCGGTCTAAAAGTATCATAAGCTACTGACTGATTGGCCGTTTTCATGTCTTGCAGCTGTTTCAGCCGCTCTCATACTCCGTGCTTTGGTTTGCTCTAATAGGGTTGCAGCTCGCGTGACTTCGGGCGAATTAGAAAGCTGCCTCGGTACACCCTTCTGGGTCTTCGAAGGATTGCTGGATGGTTGTGTTGTTGATCCATTAGAAAATGGGCGCGACGGATGAGAACTTTTCTTCGACCCAGATGGTGCATTCGGCGCGGCGCCTTGTGTATGTGCTTCGTTTTGTCCTGAGTGTTGTCGTTGGAGAAGATGAGCGTTTGACGGGTGGTTAGGATTTGCCCACGGAGTCTGCTCAATGAACTGTTCTCCTGCGGGACCAAGACTCTGACCGAACGGCAACCCTCCATAATCCACGTAACTAGGTCTGTGGACGTGGTGCCGGGGCGCCGCCTGGCGATTTCTCTAATTACACCAAGTCAGCACTCCTATTCTCGGGCAATGGGTGATCAGCTATCGAGGATATCTCACATTCATAGCGTCAAAGTCATCGTCCAATTCTTGCAAGGTTGCCCCTTTCATATCTGGCGCGGCAGGCATGCCTTCGTGTTTAGCTATACCAGACAAAATGGAGACCTCTTTGTTATACGCCAAGGCATTCTTAATACGTTGTGTCGGATCTGAAGGGAAACGAAGACCAAATTCGGGAACGTTGTTGGCTTGCTTGCGGCGTTCGTGTTGGATGTCGTACCACTGTTGGCCAAGCTCAGCTAAGATCGTTTCTCTCGACTCCCTGACTGATTGGAAGTATTGAGAGTGAATTTGTGAGCGCCTAGCCACGGCCCACCTATCTAGAGCCTCTTTATTAAGCTCCAATTCTCGGTTTGCTACGCGGATTCTTTCGTCTCTTCGGGCGTCTATGCATTCCATCATAGCAAGATATTCAGGGTGGGTTGGGTTGTCGGATCGCAACATCGCTTCTTCTCGGTTCAATGCTTCCAGTCGCTCTTCGTATAGCCTAAAGCAGTGTTAACTTATTATTGATCTTGGTCTAGGAGAACAAGGTAACTTACCTATCTCTAAATGTTGCGAATCGTTTTTCGATTGCCGATAATTGATCGAAGGCAGTCCTTTTCCTCTCGACTGTGCAGATTGTGTCAGTGTTACCCCTTAGCCATGATTAGAGCAGTAGAAACGTACGTTCTTCCTCGTTTCTGTGAGCCGCTTCTGCCTCTTCATCAACATCGGCTTCGGCCTGTTCATCTTCTGCAGCATGAGCCCCGTCTTCAGCTATCGCAGCAACCGCAGCTCCTTCTTCGTGTTCATCGGTTCCGGTAGGTTGCTCTACGGCTTTGAGCTTCTTTGAACCACTACGCGTCTGCTTCTTGGGTACGGTCTCCGAATCGGATTGGTTTCCTTGCGCATGGTCATCGCCATCATCTTCACCGGCTACGACGTTATTTGCCTCGTCAAGCGAATGTTCTCCGCTATTCGTATGTAATGATGGGTCCTCCTCATCTATCATGGGAGTGTCGCCATCCATATCTTGCCGACTAGGTGTTGGGACAGAACCGGTGCGCTTTCGTGTAAGTTGTGGCGGCACAGAAGTTACAGCAGGTAAGGAGCGTTTTCGTTTTCTACTCTCAGCTTCTTGGCTTGCAGCTTCAGCTAGTATGCCAAGTATAGGGGATTGGTTTTTGTTTGGTGTCTTTGTCTCTTGCGCTGGTGGACTAGAAGCTATTGACATTTCTTCCTCAAAGAGAGGTGCGTCATCCCTATCTTTATCCTCGCCCGATCTTGTAATATGTCGTCGCAATTTGCTTGAAGCACGTTCGTAGATGTGGCCATCGGTTTGTCGACTTAGAACGATGTCCTTATGGCGGGTAGGGTTTCGGGGCGTGTCGTAGAGACGCTCAGTCTCAGCTTCCGTGTCATTCGCGTCAGAAAGGTCGTCAGGCGAGCTAAGGTCCTCATCGCGATTGTTGGGTGTAGCACTATTTAACCCATGCATACCGTCTGGGTCAGCATCTTTGTCTTCGACGTCGCTCAGAGGACTTGAACCATCGTCGTCGGAAAGTGGCTCGATCGGTGGGGGTGGAATGGTAAGCGGCGCAGGCGCCGTGTCTCCAGTTGCCATAATTTCGTAATGGTGAGTGTTCTCCCTTTTCGATTTGACGATGGGTTGGATGTGGTATTGAAGGTTAAAGGCAAATAAATGGCGATAAAAAGGGAGAACGTAGGTTATCGTAGGAACAAGTTGTCAGAGGAGTTTTCAAAGTTGGACGGCTTGAGATAGTCGAGGGGAGTAAATAAGAAGACAGTGGATCATAATATTAAGTAAAAGCTAGGCTTTTTAGAAAAGGGTTATAGCCTAGGCAATTAAATGAATATCAGATGTAGTTAAAAACGAGTGTCTTCTGAGTTGGGTGTTAGGTGTTAGGTGTCGAAGGTGTCGAGGAAGAAAAAGTGGTGGTGATCCAAATGGGAGGGTTTGGTTCGGTTTGCGCGCAAGTCAGTTGGAACGAACTGATTGTGACCCCCAGCCGCTACATCGCTGCGTACAGCACCTACCTAGGTAACGTCCCTTCCCCAAAAACATGCTACTTACGGCATTCGAGCGAAGCCCGAACTAAACCGCCTTTATCGATAACGATGGCGCGGTAGAACCATGGAAATGTCGGTATCTACTTTAATCCGATACCAAATTTCCACTAAGTGCTCCATAGGCCCACTTAGCTTGCATGGCGATAAGATAAGAAATCCCTAAGCAGCAACTTTTTTTTTCTTGTACCTCGACTTGGCTGGCGCTATATGTTAAATGTTAATAATAACTTCAACTTTATTGGCATAAAGGGTAATAAACCAATTCGTATTGCAAGATGGCAAAATCGTAAGTAACTCGAAAATACCGTCTAATTTTAATAATATAGTATTCTTACCAAAGTTAGAAAGCCTAGCTTGACAGCTTCAACGAAAGCCATTGACCCCACGCTAGATGCTCTATTCGCAAGCAGTGTAAGTTCGAAATGTCAATCATGAGAGTGTTAACAAACTCACAATAAATAAGGCCGGTCCTGTACAAGTCCCTCCTAAGACAAGATACTCAGAGCTACCTCCTCCGAAGGAGAAGAAATCCTCGCAAAAATCCGAGCATGTCGGATCAGATTCGGACGATGATATCGAGGCAGACGAGGAGCACGATGATGAATCTTTGAGCGAGTTGGATGAGGATATCGAGGACATTGATGCTGAGGATATTGCCTCGGATGAAGAAGTAGGGTCTGAAAATTCAGAGCCTGCAGAAGCATCAACTATTTCTCAAAAGAAGGAACGCAAGAGAAAGCGCAAAGATGAGCATGATGACTTGGAGGATAAATACATGCGCAAGATTGCCGAAGACACCGAGAGGGAGGCGCGATCTGATAAGCGCCGGAAGGGCGAAGCTGGTCAAGTTGTGAACGGTACCACCTCTGAAAAAGAAGGAGACTCTGATGAAGACGAAGCTCCAATAATTCACGAGTCGCTTCGGGAGAAGGTAGAAGACCATGCGGACGTCGAGATCGATAAAGCAAACCGCACTTTATTCCTTGGCAACGTTTCGATCGAAGCAATCACCTCATCTAAAGCCAAAAAGCTTTTGATGTCTCACCTCTCATCTCCGTTATCAACATTGGATTCATCTGGAGAGGAGCATAAGATTGAGTCGATACGTTTCCGTTCGACTGCTTATTCTACTGGAGCTGTACCAAAACGAGCCGCATTCATCACTAAATCCGTTATGTCCGCAACAACAAAATCCACCAATGCCTACGTTGTCTACTCAACACCGCAAGCCGCACGAACTGCGCTCAAGGCTTTGAATGGTTCTGTTATCCTTGACCGCCATATGCGCGTTGATAGTGTGGCGCATCCCACTGCAGTTGATAACCGAAGATGTGTCTTCGTAGGCAACCTCGGTTTCGTAGACGACGAAACTGTGTTAAACACCACTTCTGAAGGGGAAACTACCACCAAGAAGCGAACAAAAGTCCCATCAGATATCGAAGAAGGGCTGTGGCGGACTTTCGGTCAGCACGCCGGCAGAGTGGAAAGCGTCCGTGTCCCTAGGGATCCGAAGACGCGGGTAGGCAAGGGCTTTGCATATGTGCAATTCTACGACGCCAATCATGTCGAATCTGCACTGTTACTGGACGGCAAGAAATTTCCTCCGATGTTGCCCCGAGCCTTGCGTGTGTCCCGCGCTAAGGATCCGCGGAAGACGGCCCTCGCTGTAGAACGAACTATGAAGGCCAAACTTGAAGCCTCGAACGGGCGTGAGAAGAAGTCAAGCAGTACGAAACATATACCAAAAGTGACACCGGAGCAGCAATCTCAAGTAGGCAGAGCCGGGAAGCTCTTAGGTAAAGCCGCTGCAGCAAGGCAACGACACGAGTTTAAGGGGGACAGAAAGCAGCCCAGACAGAGGAATGAGTCAGCAACCAACGGAGCCTTCAAGACGCCAGAGCAGATTGTCTTCGAGGGTCGTAGAGCTAGCGAAAAGGATGGCAAACCTAGAGATTTAAAGTTCGGCAAGACGAAAGGCAAGAAGGGAGTCGTCAAATCAAAGACGAAGGGTCGAGGTGCCAGAAGAGCAGCTGAATGGAGAAAGAAGGGCGAATAGTTGTGTCCTTGGTGAGCATGAGTATGAGTATGAGTATGGGTATAGAGATAGGTATAGTCTTCACGATTACTTCGTCATGTGATCTTTGATACCCATAATTGGTCAAGATATCTACTGAAGTTGCAGAGCGCCTACTAAGTACCTACCTACTGTGCCTAGAATCTAGATAGGCTGAATTAACTATTTCTGTGCCTCTGACACGACATAGTGCATCTTCATGTCCAGTCCAATTGAAGAGTAATTATTCGGCATAATGTAGGTAACAGTCCAAAATTAGTTTGCATTTAATGTACCTAGTAATGTTTGGCCTCGATATTCTAGGTTAGTTGCGTTATCTACCTAGCCAGTAAGTCCCTGCCATATCTTGTTTAGTTTCCACCGGGGCGGTGTGTGAGGAGGTTGGATATAAAATGAAAGCTGTCTGATTTCGCGCCGTCGATTAATGATTGTTCTGGTACAAGATCTACATGTACCTTCTATATATAACCATCACATAAATGACACAGAGCAGGTACATGAGACACAGGTGGTGTATACCTTCCATCTCCCCCTCTATGGCCAGTAAGGGATAGATTACACAAGCCTAAAGACTATCGCGTAAGCTACCGGCCAGCTCTACTAGGTACCCTGGTTGTCGTGCCTTCCATTTTGCTCGAAATCGATCAAATCAATTGGACAACCCCTGAAACCTTGCCCCTCATTCTCAATTGATGCGACCAACTTGGAGTGAATGGAGTGAATATTCATTTTCCCCACACAAAAACCTACCACCCACTCAGTGCTGCACCCATCTTCACCTTGAACCCACACCTCCTTTTTTACACTCTTTCAAACCACCAGCGCTGTGCGCATTCGTCTCGACCTTTTATCTCCTCTAGATCGGTCTCGAATCCCGTCGCAGAACTCTAATCTTCAAGTTCTGACATTATCATTTCATCATGAAGGGTGAGGTAAGTTATCGAAAGCTCTCTGATCTAGTTGTAGCTATCACCCATCCACCGCCTTGTGGACTATTTCCTTACCAATCTACCATGATACGTACTGAAACTCGCTTGGATATTTCAATTACACTACTATACACATCCGCACCTCTAAAATATAATTATATTTAGATATTTTATCGAAGTTATATCTAACTAACATGTTGCTTCTCCCAGATCCTCCACCTTCACTTGGGCCAGGCTGGTACCCAGCTCGGTAACAGCGCTTGGGAGCTGTAAGTGTTACACCGCTTTACCAGTCTACTAGGTAGCTCAGTGTGCAAAGTCCCTATAACTTACCACTATCACAACATTTAGGTACCTTCTCGAGCACGGTCTCGGAGCCGATGGTCGACCCGACCCCAACGCAAAGGACGTCCTTGATGGTGGTTCTTATGAGACCTTCTTCACGGAGACGAGCACTGGCAAACACGTTCCTCGTTCCATCTTCGTCGACTTGGACCCTTCCCCGATCGACGAGATCCGAACTGGTGGCTACCGTCAACTTTTCCACCCCGAGCTTCTGATTAGCGGAAAGGAAGATGCTGCCAACAACTATGCTCGTGGTCACTATACCATTGGCAAGGAGATGGTTGACAACTGCCTTGACCGAATCCGACGTGTTGCAGGTGAGAATAAACATTGCCTATGCAGTTCAAAAGGCTCGGACGATCTAAACTAATATATTCGACAGACAACTGTAACTCTCTTCAAGGTTTCTTGATTTTCCACTCGTTCGGTGGTGGTACCGGTTCTGGTTTTGGTGCTCTCCTCCTCGAGCGTCTTTCCACCGAGTACGGCAAGAAGTGCAAGCTCGAGTTCGCCGTCTACCCAGCTCCCCGAGTCTCTACTGCCGTCGTTGAGCCCTACAATGCTGTTCTCTCTACCCACAGCACCATTGAGAACTCCGACTGCACATTCCTCGTCGATAACGAAGCTGTCTATGATATCTGCAGACGCAATCTCGATATCCCTCGTCCTAGCTACGAGCATCTCAACCGCTTGATTGCTCAGGTCGTCAGCTCCATCACCTCGTCCCTCCGATTCGATGGTGCCCTAAACGTTGATCTGAACGAGTTCCAGACCAACTTGGTTCCTTACCCTCGTATTCACTACCCTCTTATCAGCTATGCTCCTGTCATCTCAGCTGCCAAGAGCGCCCACGAGAGCTTCAAGGTTCACGACCTCACCTTCCAATGTAAGTTCCTATTAGAGTTAAATAAGAAGCTTCCAATCAGCTAACATATTTCTCAGGTTTCGAGCCCAACAACCAGATGGTTGTCTGCGACCCTAGAAACGGAAAGTACATGGCCGTTGCCCTTCTCTACCGTGGAGATGTCGTCCCGCGCGACTGCAACTCCGCTATCGCAGCTCTTAAGGCAAAGGCTTCTTTCAACCTTGTCGAGTGGTGCCCAACTGGTTTCAAGTTAGGTATCAACTACCAAAAGCCCATGGCTGTTCCTACCGCCTCCCCGTCCGACGGCGGTCTTGCGTCTGTCGACCGCTCCGTGTCTATGTTGTCCAACACGACCGCCATCGCGGAGGCCTGGTCCCGTCTGGACTACAAGTTCGACCTTATGTACAGCAAGCGTGCCTTCGTACACTGGTACGTTGGTGAGGGTATGGAGGAAGGTGAATTCTCCGAAGCCCGCGAAGATCTCGCGGCTCTCGAGAAGGACTACGAAGAGGTTGCGGCCGACAGCTTCGAGCCTGACGAGACTGAGGCGGAATACTAAGCTTTCTGCGTTTTGCGCGTATAATACCCCTAGGTTTTCCCCTCGATTGAATCCCGTTCTTGTTCTGTACAAACCAGTGCCATACCCCCTTAATCCTATTTCTTCGACGTTCTAAGTTGGCGAAAATACTTGTGTGTGGTTGGAGTTGCAAATAGAGCAATGGAAAAACTTCCGTGGATACTAAGTATCTTGCTATTCTTGGAAGGGGAGAGGCTTGTAGCGAGTTTACGACGGCGGCGTCTCGGTTCGGAGGCTGTTCGACGATCCGATAAGGTATCTGATAGGCGGTCGATGGACGGAGTGCCCTTGCTTCTTCTCCTTATAGCTTCTCCTGAGTTGTCCTGTCTTCTCCGTACATTCATAGTGGTTGCACAAATTCCGCGATGTCGAGTAGGTTGATGAATGAGATCAATGATTCCCCCCAAACCTTATCTATGCAAATTGTGAATTGGGGATTTGTTTAGAAAACCTAAATAGATTTAAGCCTTGATACTCCATTGATTATTAAAGTTACGTAAAGCCATCAACATTACTTGAATATTCATTCCATGCAGGTTCAAGTCAAGTAGCACTCAGCTAATTAAGCCTCTTACACCATTCTCCCAATTACTCTGTATTAGAGAACTACCTAAGTGCTTAGTGAAACTCACAAAAGTAGCTATCGTAATAGGAGAAAAAAGACACGGGAAAAGGGGATACGGGGTAAGACCGTAAACACAGGGGTATCATTTCGTTTCCAACAATAATTCAAAGGTAACATTCATCGTGGGGCATCGACTACTCATCCTCTGATAGACCCCATCCATCCATTCATCGCATCCAAGACTTAATCTTGGCTTTCTTGGTTTTCTTGGTTCTCCTGGTTCTCCTGTCTCTCTCGCATTCGCAAATTGTTGAGCTCCTTAAGACCCTCGCTTGTGCGGTTAGCAAAATAGCGGAGGGTTCTCAGTGTCCACGGGTTGTAGTTCGCAAACTTGCCGTCGATGGACTTCTGCAAGGTCGAAGTCGGGTGGCGTTTTGCGGGCGGATAAAGCGATGCGTCCCAGTCCTCGGCATTCACTTCTGTGGGGCGCTTTCGATCTGCCATCGCCCAGGCGTCTTGCGCTTCTGTTCTTGGAAGGTAGACCACGGGCAAGCCTTCGGGCGTATTGGGCTGTTCGTAGCCCATGAAGACTTCCACAAAACGCTGCTCTATAGTACGATCAAGCCCGCAGGGGTCAGAAATGTCATACTTGACAACCGCAGGCGCCTCGATTATTCCTCTTCTCACAAATCGGTCATAGCCCAGGTTAGTGGCGCGACACACGCGCAGTTGTGCGCGGATCTGGCGTAGGTACGTCGCAAGCCAGCGCTGGTTGGCCCTGGGTCGCTTATTGGGTAGGCCGATCCAGAGATCTCCATAGTTCACCGCCAGGGACCACTCGATGCAATACGTGGTTTTTAGGTACACGTTGTCAAGGTAGAGCTCTTGGAGACAGTTGGCAAAGTTCTTGAACATGCACACTAACGCATCAGCCTTGATGTTGAGGTTACGGAGTTCGAGGTAGGTCAAGTTCGGTAAGAAAGACTTGGGCGGGCGGACGATTAAGGGGAGAGATCGATATTCCCAGTCGGAGTGGGTAGAATCGGTCGCCTTTGTGGTAATGAGCTTCGCGGGTCTGGGGGTATCGCCAACGTCCAAGTCTATGAGACACAGGCTCTCAAGCTTCCCAGCCTTGCAGATCATCTCCCATAGTCGGTGAGCGTGCCAGAGAGGGGCTTGACCAACCCAGTGTCGTCGCAGTGACAAAGACAAGTGGTTTAGTTCACCAAAAGTTTTGATGATGTTCTTCACGTCTGATGGATTTCCCCACTACAACAAGAAGAGTTAGCAAATTCTCATTCCGCAAAGAAGCTGAGAGTCTTCAGAGTAAATGACTCCCCAATCATCTAGATTAGAACATACCAATTGGCCGATCGATATATCAGACAGATTCTCCAACGACAACGTCTTCAACTCCTTGGAACCTTCTCGTCGGTTGGCTAGCAAATCGAAGGTGTTTCCCAGGATCATAGTAGAAGCACGGTATTGGAGACCACAAGCTACCAGCTGGAAAGGCAAGTTCAGCTTCATGGAGGTAGTATTCGGAGTGTAATTGAGCATCATCTCAAGGGCGGCTCGGTATTCCATGGGCGTAAATGTGTCCTCGTTCATGCAGTACCATTCTCGTAAATTCGACACCCACTCCTTCATCTTGGGGATAGGGGCGAACGCATTCTCCAGAAACTGGCATTCACCTGCGGCGCCATATTTGTTAGCCAAAATAATCATGTAGCAGAAAGTTCATGAAAAAAAAAGTGCGTACCATCGTCTCTCACGACCATCATATCAATGAACAAAGATTGACAATAAGGTGCAATGCGACGCAGTGCCTGGCGCTTCAAGGGCGCGCGCGTGTTTGCCTGGTAGTAGTCTACGCGAGTGTAATCTATCGGAAGAGTGCAGAAGGCAATGGGTCTCAAGATCTCGTCGAATAGTTTGCAAACCTTGCGCAGCTCAAGAACCATGTTCTTGTCGCCATAATAAACCACGGCTGTCCATTCGATGATTTGGATAACGATCTCTGTTGGAAGCGTGTTCATCATGGTCGGTTAGGTGATCGGCCTAACCGATCGTGTTAGTAGGCTTAGGCAGTTGCGGTTGTTGACGTGCTGCTTCGATTGGGAAGATCGTGTAGATTGAAAGGTAGAAAGGTAGAAAGGTAAAAGTAGTAGAATTGTCAAGTGGTAGGTAGGTAGAATAAACGTTAGGACGGTACGTGACAACCAAAGGTTGCGCGATGATATTGGATTGAACTTCGGATGCAATTTCCAAGGTTGTATTTCGGATGTCTATGATAGAAGGTGCATCCCTGCATAATGCCGGCAAGCTACCCCTGCAGCGCCCTATATCTAGTGGGTACCAGTATGCTTTACAGCCAATCAAATAGCTGGTTGCACAGCATTACTTGCCATTTCGACGGAATTCCCCCACTTTGTGATCTCTCGTCCTTCAAGTCAACATTTGATCATAAACCTGACAATGAAATAATAGATTAAACACTTCGCTATCGTCACTCTCCTCGAAGTTCTTGCGTTTTATCTTGATATCGTATGTTCTTTTAGGTCTCTAGGAGCCTAAAGTGCGTATATTACTCTTAATCCAACCCATCCTAGCCGGACTGTCTTCATTGATATTCACCAATCCACAGCTTGCCGATGTAGCTCACTTCACAAAACGGATACTACCTTCTTACTATTCAAAGTCCAAACAACCCTCCCGACTTTGATAGCGGCAGATTTTCCGTCTATCGATAAGAGTACCTATGAGCGTTGATTCCATTTCAATACCTACCGATCGTGTACCGAATTCCAGGTTCTGATATAAAACGCACAAGTCATGAGCATCGAAGATTATCCGTACACGTTGGCAGAGATAGAAATCACTGCCCCAACGATTAAATTGCAGAATGATTAACAAGACCACCCGTCGATACTCTCACCAACTTCATCATGAATACTTCATTCTCCTAAGCAAAGCTAGCTCTAAGGAGAATATATGTCTTTTATCATTGACATTGTCTCGACGAGGTTGACAAATAAGTATTTGATAACAACTTCACTACAAGCGTAGGAAATATCCGAAGGGGTCCGAAGGATTCTAGAGTAGATCAAGGGGGGTCTCTCGAATCTTGACCAAAGAATATAGTACTCCACACTACTCCATAGGTACGATGCCAATCATGTCATCACCATCCTTTAAAATTGAATCATATCCATCCTACCCAGATATTCATCTTCCTAAGCAAGGCTTTTAATATATATATCCTACTCCATCCCCTATTTTGAAGAAACCTCGTTTTTATTATATATAATGCCCCTAAGCAAAGAGGAAGCCGAGGCACGCCTCACGGCTCGAAAGCCGATACCGAAGCCGAAACCGGCCTATCTTCCCGTATCTGGATCGCCATTGACGGTTGACAAGGATTTGTATGCTTCAATTGCGACGGCCCCGCGAGTTCCCATCGAAGAGTTCGTCATCCCAATTAGATCTGGGAGAGCCTGGAAGGCACCCGCCGGGTCTATCGTCCGGATTAGCACTCCCGAGGGCCCGCAAGTAGGTATGTACGATATGGGGGACTATTATGCCACTCATCAACTCAAAGCAACCATTTACTAAACAAATACCTCAGGTGACCTGAATATCTGGAATGCGCATAACCCGCGCGAGAGGTTCTGGGCGTCGCGCACGAAGCAACTATATGCATCCCACGTTTCGACGTACGACAAGCTGTGGTCGTGCCTCCCTTTCATGCGCCCCCTCGTGACTATCGTCGATGATAGCCTCTCGTGGTACGGCGTTGACGAGCACGGCGGCCGCGTTCATGACTTGTTGGGGACCCGGTGCGATGGATATATATCCAGCGTACTTGCAGACAAGGGATACGACTTCCACTGCCACTCTAATCTTACGCGAGCGGTTCTTCCTTTTGGTTTAAATGAGAGTGACGTCCACGATGTCATTAATTTGTTCCAGGTCACGGGGCTTGACGAGCAAGGCCGCTACTTTATGAACCCGTGTCCAGCCCAGAAAGGAGATTACATCGAGTTCCTTGCCGAGCAGGATGTATTGATGGCATTAAGTATGTACCATTCCCTTCTCATGCAATCTTAATTACTGTTACTAACGCCGCGAAGGCACGTGTCCAGGCGGCGACTTATCGCTATGGGGGTTCGGAGCCGACAGCGAGAAGGAGATGATCAAATGCTGCCGGCCACTCAAAGTCGAAGTCTTTAAGCTCGAGGACACAGACTTCCTACAGAGAAGTGGTTGGAAGCCTGCTGAGACTGCGCCATACAAGGGATTGCATGGCATGCTCGTGCCTGAGGGAGAACACGAGGCGGCTAAGTAAAGTGATTCATAACTGACATAAAATTACGCTAACTGACTTACCAACCACTCAATGCGATACCTATGCTGCACATCCTAACCTTGAACCACACACATACATACCTACATACCTACCTACATCCTCACATATCCATGCTAACCTAAAAATACGTGCTCGTGATATCCATTGTGTCCCTGTCATAGACCTGTCCGCTATGTCGCTACTGGCCGTTATATGCAAGGATATTATGGTTGGACTGAGAATCCGTCACCACATCCTGCGTCGCCAGCTCCTGGATACGATCGCACAAAGCCACCGGATCACGTGCTCCCTCCAAGCCCAAGAGATAGGCGCCCAGCCCAGCCACGTGCGGGGTCGCCATCGAGGTGCCCGAGATTATCGCCGTGCTGCCGTTGTTCCAAGTACTTAGGATGTCGACGCCCGGCGCGAACACGTCGATCAAATCCCCGTAGTTTGAGAACGGCGCTCGTTCGTCGTCCGATCGCGTTGCGCCCACTGTGCATACCGTCGGCTCTGACGCTGGCGAGTACAAAGACGCGTCTATGTTCCCGTTGCCTGCGGCGACTGCGAGGAAGAATCCCTCTTTGACGGCTTCGGCGGCGGCTGTGTTCACGGATGAGGAGAGCAGTTTCAATGCGCCGAGGGAGATGTTGCCGACTGCTTTGCCGATCCCTAGGGTGCTTATTAGTTCCGATAGGGGTAGTGGTAAATGTGGCAGTTATATGAAACTCACTGTCTTTCGCCTTCGCGTCGTCGACCGCCCACTGCAGACCAGCGATGACTTGACTAATTGCACCGGAGCCGTCTGCGCCGAGGACCTTGACGGCGATCAAGTGCGTCTTCTTGGCAACACCATATGTCATTGAACCGGTCGTACCAGCGACGTGGGTGCCGTGGCCGTTCTCGTCCGTGTCGTTTGTGTTGCCGTCGACGAAGTTCTTGCCGAACGAGGCGCGGCCTTCGAATTCTGGGTGCTCTGTGTAGATGCCCGTGTCGATGATGTATGCGTACGTGCCCTTGCCGGCCGTCTCGTCGTATTTGTAATCCGAGCTCCCTGGCTTGCGGCTAGAGAGCCGGGCTAGGCCCCATGGCGCGGAGCTTTGCGTCGTTAGACTGTTGATGCTGACTTTGAAGTCTGGCTCGATGTAGGCGACCTGGAAAATATCAGACTCGTTATATCCTGTCAAGGAGGGGAAATGTGATTTCTAGACTGACCTCGTCTAAGTTCGCAATCGAGCTGATCGCGTCGTCCGAAGCTGATATCGAGTACCCGTGAAAGCTACCTATCTTGTAAGTGTGCTTGGGCTCAGTGCCTCCTAATATGCCGGCAAATGTGCTGTGGAGGCTAGCTGTCGCACTCTCTTTGAGTACGGCAATCCATTTACCCGGAATAGCTTCACCTCGCGCCTCTAGGATGGGGGCCGCGAAGGTAGCTAAAGGGGCTGCTAGGAGGGCGCCGAGGAACTTCATTGTGGAGGGTTGTATCCGGTCTATTAGAAATTGCCTATGGTATATGAGGCAATGCTGACTCTACTTGATATCGCACTTAGAGGGGAGAAAGAGAATATTCAAGTGCGAGTCTAGAGACCAGGACCAAGCTGCTAGCTATAATGACTCGAGAGCAATGGATACGGGCGCATAGCTCAACTTTAAAGGCTTAAGTTTTTTCAAGCATTGCGTGCTGCTCGCTGACATGAGCTCTCCTCGCAGGTCGATGCCCGATAATGCAGGGCCCGGCATGGCATTGCGACCTGGCGCTGTCACGATGCATATCATTTTCCCCCAGACAATTTCGTCCCGTCGTGACACCGCATCCATACTACCTAGGTAGATAGCCTGGTCGTAACTCTCTCTTCCCTCTCCTTTCGGGAAAAAGAGATTGAAGCTCAGGCGGGATAGGGTCGTATTGGGAGGGTCCTGCCAAGCATGCGCCAGGTTCCCCTCAAGCTTTTGAGTGCCGGGAACCTTAACGATGATGCGAATGCCATACGCTTCCTCTAGTGACGGGATCCGCGGTAGTAGCCGCCTTTTCCCCTCATTGTCATGGTAGACATCCCGTGTTGTTAATGGGTAATTACTCGAACACTATAACCGTGGCAGCTTATCAGCGATCTTCGTCTCAATGCCGTCCCGGGTAATCAGCTGACCGCCTGAGGATGGTGATCTATGTCTATACTAGACAACCACTACCCACTAGTCGATATATCAGAGTTCAGATAACGGGTTTATGATGGGAAGTCTAGTCCGTTAGGGACGTCATGGCGTTCGTCCGATATTATAAGACGCGATATGGTGTAATACATATCTCAGGTAGATATGGGAGAGCAATGTAGTCTTCATTGATCTACGCCTTATCCGAGGCACGAGAACAGAGGCCCACTTCCGCGATATTCCTTGGTCCGTGTCTGGTCGGTAATGCGTGAGTTCATTTATATATTATGCATGGAGATACCGAGATTCAAGGAATATCGTGGAATTGTTTTATACGAGAACTTTAAGTGAAGGCTGAATAATATTATTTCAAGATGGACTGTGATCTTATTAATCAACGGTCAGGTTCAGGGGTTTGGTTTTTAAGCTTTGCAGAGGTTGAGGGACGAATGTGTGATACTTCATTTACTTCACTTGAGTGGTTCTGCGCTGACATATATGGAGTGTGTTGCGGTTTGTTTGAACACACCCATCTCTATTGAATCTCAAAACTATTGCACAGGACACGTGTATAATAAGACATCCGCCCCAATTGACCCGATTGTTTCTCCCCGATTTATAATATCTATATCCGACGCTCATAAGGATCTCGTAAGTCATAACACCCTCGATGGGACAAGAAGGCAAGTGCACGGCAGCTTGTTCAACAATCACAAAGTCAGTTCGATCCGTCCGTCGTCTGTCATGAACTGGCTGACTCCATAGCGCTTTGATTGCAAGCTGATAAAAATATTCATTAGCACACCACAGCAAAAAAGGGGGTTGTTTCCAAGGCTTGAACAAACCTCCACTCCAAGTTCCCCGTGTTTACCGTCCTTAGTACGTAGAGAATCTTCGATACGGCATCCACCTCCTCAGGGGTCAAGGGAAATTCCGATAGTATCGTATTTGCCACACGGTCGAACTCTTCGACTAGGATCCTTAGGTGAGCGACCGACATCTGCACCGCTGCGTCAAGGTTGTCGACTTGTTGATAGAGTATAGCTACGGAGCTTAATACGCTTCCCGCTTTCTGCCAGTGGTATGTTAGTACGCTATGCACCTACGTACTAGGTACTAGGTCCTGGGTGCTGAAGAAAGATAATCATGGCTTACCATCTCCTTCTTGAACGATATCAAGTCATTTACACTGGTGATGCGTCAGTGTCCTATCCCAGTATTGGTAGAGATATATATTGAACGCCTTACATGGAATTTATTATGATAGTAGTCATCCATAGGGTCTCGTACGCCGTTGAAGAGGCCAGTTGAAGGGGAAGCTTGGCTTGGGCCGCGTATCTAGTTATATGTTAGCACCCCTATCTTAGAATAGGTATCGTCAATTACGTACTCTGTGAAGCCGAGCAATGCGCCCATACCACTTGTCAGTATCCTTACTTCCCAGTACCTCTTCAGACTAGGTAGTCTATCGCTCAGATCTGCCTCTGCCTCAAGTCGCGTTGCATCGATGTATCGGTCGAAATGACCCATGAGGGTCTTCCGTTGCTCTAACACCGCACTCGGAGCATTAGTTGTTGGTCCAAGTAGCTTGTAGAAACCAAGAAGTTACCTTCGTCATAGTTTGCACACGTTTCCGCAGCAATGCCCTCAAAACTGCGGACTAGGGGATTAGAGGGTATCGAGTCTTCCTCTCCCGGTTGAGTTAGGCCGAGGGAATGACGTATGAAGGCTTTAGTCACTCTGCGAAGATCTTCGGCGGCGTTTGGGTCCGGGGTGAGCTTCTCGACAAGATCGTCCCAATAGCCAAACCAGATAATGTGTTCGATCAAGGTTCGGTATTTCTCCTTAGATGCTGATGGCCACCATCTTCTAGATGTCAGCCTTTTCCTCAGACTCAAGGTAAATATGACAATAACAACTAACCTTGCTGCAAGTAAGGCCGGGTTCATGTTGGTGAATGCTTTGCGAGCTTCCTCTCCCATAGGTTGCCTAGAGGGGGTTAATAAATCTAGAAGACACGTATAAGGGGCTCCGTCGTACATAGCAAGTCGCTTGTCAATCATTTCTTTCATCGTCTCGTAATTCTCATTCTGTCCAGAGGGCCAATGTGAGAATATCGGACGCATATCTGGTATAGAAAGCCTCTGGCCCTTCAGCTTCTTTACCAGAAGTTCTTTTTCGGTGTAGTTGTACATCGTTGCAAGAATTACAGAAGAACTCTTGAATAAGGGTTGTAAGTTTACATATGAGGATAGGCAGGTCCATGATGAGGATATTCGACAGCGATGACTGATACTTATAACAACCTTGGGATTTTGGAAGAGCCGTGGGAAACTGTATCGTAAAGTGAGATGATTGATAACGATCCTGGTGTGAAAGACTGCACAATTACTAACTAACACAACAGCTTAGACATACACGAGCTGAAATATGCATAAGTAGTTATTTAACTACTCCTATTCCTTCTTGCAAGCGATACTAGATCGACCAAATTTTGAATACAGGCCAATGGAAAAGGTAGTGACAGATACGCGGCCCACATCGTTTCTAACGCTCGTCAAACTTGGTTAGGCTCTCGACTTTGATCCTGTCAAATAACTAAGTCCGGGTGTGGTCGGAGTGACGAACACATCATTCAGCGGATTAAATAGCGAATATGTAGGTATGTGGCGTCCAATGAAGCTCAAGTAATGATACTATGCTATTGCCATTGGTGAAATAGATCGAGATATTCAGCTTTTCTCGTCATTATCCATGTATACCTAGTCGACTCATGGTTGCGACGATGGCGATACTATTTCGATAGGTGGAAACTAGGCCCTTCTAGATGACTTGACTGGGACAAACTTAGGGCCAGCCGCAACCATTCCCACGTAACGTCGGTACGGATCCGAGCGAGTTATCGGCATCGGATAAGTACCTCCCGCATATTCGGTCCCTTACCGCAAACGATGACTGTCCGAGACATCTGTACGCACGCCACATTCACACTTCCCTGCCATAAGATGATGCCGTAAGATACGAACCTGCAGTAAGAACCTGCCGTAAAATTTCGTGCAGGCGGCATACCTGGCAGGTATGCGCGTCGAAATATCATTCCATAATCATCATCGGCTCGGCCGATGAGAAATTTACCTAGTAGGTACCTAGCTTATAAATAGGTACCTACCATCTTTTGACTGGCGTGTAAGCCAAAGAGTTGATAATCCTCGGGTTTGTAAGAGTATCCAGACAACCACTTGAATACCAATTCAGTGGCAGTCTGATTCGATGTTCTAGACAAAATTTTCCAGATCGATGCAGGAAACTCCGGACTTGATATTCGATTACGAAGCTGTAGCCCTCATAACTGCTGCAGGAGAAATTAGAGTCAATCATATAAGCCACCGAGTACATGTTCAGCCATCATCGAACACACCGGTATTTTAATATGATAAGTTCGAAAAGAAAGTAGAGAATATAGCGCTAGAGGCGGTGACTGCTCAATCTCGATTTGTCTTCACGAAAAACTGAGTAGTCGTGTATCTAATGGTGCACAACATACATAACACGGGATGAGTAGGTACCTTATAGAGTGTAAATATCAATTGCTCATCCTTATTCAATGACTTGAAAATGATTGGTATACGCTATGTATGGGACGCCTTGCTTACCATCCATATGAAAATCAAGTTTTCAATCGCATTTGCATGCGGCTAGTACTGATGTTTAGGACAATGAACCAGAAGCATATCCAAATCCAAACCCCCCAAAGCCCAAACCCTAAAGTTGTCGTGGGAGAAGAATGATATTGAAGACGGTGCGCCATATGCACTGCCTAGTATTTCTCCCACATCAGTGGGTATTCCTAATTATGTCTTGCTTCTTCTGGCGTCATAATAGCCATTCGCCCACCGCAGCAACATTGAAACTGCTGGCGAAGCAGGAATGACAGACCCGGTTTGCTGTTAATGAAAGGGAGGTCCTCCATCACACTCGCACAACGCGCACATACCCTCCAGGCAATCTGGCTTTTGTTGTTGTTCCCGGAAACACGACTTGCTTTCCTCGAGATTTCTACTCTCTTGAAGAGATCCACCCGGGTGCCCCTGGTCCTCCTTCTTTCTAGCGTACGAGGCCCATCGTTAATCTCAAGGATTGAGTAATCGGCAAAATACAACTTTGCAACATCGGAGCGCGCTCTAAACTCCTTTAGATCTTTATTGAAAAACCTATCCACGACGGAGACAAAAAATGGCGGGGGCGCTTGCAGAAGAAGCATGCTAAGCTCACAGTGTTGGCGTCCACGGGCGATGGCTTCTTGAGACGCGTCAGATTTAGGTGCATTCGACTGGTTGTTAGCCCTAGGTTGCTCCCCGAGAACCGCAAGCGCGCTGGTGTAAGCCGACCGTATATCAGTACCTAGGCCGGTGAGAAGCTTGTCGAATTCATCAGCCTTTATGAGCGACGACGACGTATATTGACGTATCCTCTGGTATGCGGTATATAATGCCGCATGGGCAGTAGCACGAGGGTCAGGAGCCGTGTTCGAATTGTTATTTGCGTTGGACTTCTCCCGAGTTTCGTACCAACTAATAGCTCGGGTCGAGAACGAATCAAGAAGTGTTATTCGGCGACACACGGCCGAGAGTAGACCGCGCGTCGCCGAACATAGAACTAGATGCAATGCAATTTCGTTCTGCGACTGTAGGTACATCATCATAGGTACCGTCTGAGTATGCTTTAGGAGACCCATAAACTTGGCATCGTCAAAGAGGCAGAACAGTGAGTCCGATAGCCAGCAAAGTAAGTCAGTTGCCCACTTCACGCAGCCTGCCAATGCATTGACGACGTCTAAATAGTCATGTTTAGTACGTAGAACATCTTTTAGGGGTGGAATATTGGTTAGAAGGAAGGAGGTGAACATACCAGGCTCGTCGAGAGGGTTCATAGTGGTCTTGTTCATGTTTATGGTATTGCTCGACAGAGTAATCATGATCACTATATTGCGGAGGTTCAGAGCTAGCATGGCTAGCTTTCCCCAGGGTTGTCGGGGTTGGAAGTTGCCTCTCCATCCGAGGTAGTTGCTGACACTGAGGAACATTTGCAAGATACCATTCTTGATTAGATGATCATGAGGAGCATCCTCCGTATAATCGACAGTAATTTTCATCATCTGTACCATGGCTTTTACCCAATCGATTGCAAAAGCTAGGTTGGTGTCAGTTGAATGCTTCTCGCAACTGAAACGAATAAAATGAAATATCTTACCATCTTTGCTGGCAAACTTCCTAGCTACTGCTAGAATGTCATCGATATTCGTATTAACCGTGGCAGCTTGGGCTGTCGATATTGTGAAGCTAGCAACCAGGGCGGAAACTTGACCTGGAGATGTGTAAGCTCATACATATCTGGGATGTGCTTATGTGATAGATACATACTGTCGGTTATAGATTCTATATCTGATAGAGTATAGTTTATGCTATTCCATTTCACCTGGCCATCTTCGCATAATTGGACCAACGAGAAATTCGTTGGGGAAAGGGCCATTTGAAGACCTAGATCATCGATTAGATCCAGTAAAAGAAGGCCCAGGGAATGGCACTTACATGACGGCTCTCCACTTTGTGAGAAACCAACATCGAGTATAGAGTTGATACGATCTAGGTTAGGCTCACGGTATAACTCGGCCATGGTGAACCGGTCTCGATAATCCACACTGCCGTCGTTGTAACCGATGCATAAAACCTTCCCGAAATTAATTAGAGTGACCCCGATGATGATCTTATGAACTACGACAGAGTCTAGCTTCCTAAGTCTACTACCGTGCTAAAACGTATATTAGTTTAAAGGCTTGCATAGTGATTCATAACTCATACCGGTGGCGTCGACCCGACACTATTTCTCCTAGCTCCTAATTGCTCAAAGGCGGAATGGAGTGATTGTTGCTGATCTGGTAAGAGTTCCCAGCGGTCTATGATGCTTTGGATTTCTTGTTCGTAAGGGGAATTCTGTTCGGGTATGATTGATCGTACTGTCAGTATAACTGCTGGTGACCACTCCTTCGTCGATGTATTGTGTATGGAAGGTAGCATTTCAACATGGGTAATCTTTGATATGGATGCATCAAGGTGTGAATTACTATAGCTTGGTTGGAACCAGCTAGTAATTGCGACATGCCTCTTCAACAGTGTTGGATTCAGCATTTGACTCCCAGCGGGGACATTTTGGGTGCCGTCGGGCTTGGGGACGTTCCAGTTGACAACAACTTGGACAACACGTAGCTGCTTGGACGCAGTTGCCATGCCGATCATGAGTGTGTTAGCTACAGCGATTAGTGAACTATACTCTGGACATACATTGTCGTATTTAATTAACTTACTCTTATCGGAACATACTGCGGCGTGGGTGATCAAATCATCTGCAGTTGTGACATTCTCGAGCTCTAGAGTCGTCTCCTCAACTTTTCCATTATTCTGACCCCAAAACATTTTAAATATGCCGGATGTGGTAATAGAGATTAGCGCAGATTTGTTGGGATGAGGATGCCATGGGCCAGTGTTGAGGATAGGGGACATCTGGAAATTGTAATTGTTTCCATTGCCGTTCCGGACAGCTGGGGCATAAGATGGCGTATACGGGGGTGTCTAGTATCGAGTAAGCATATGACATGATAGCCAGATTTAAAGTATATCAGAACGCACTCTCGATTTTGTGACTTGTAAATTTTGCAGCCAAAAGGTACCGACGATAGCCTGTGCATCATCGATAGAATCGCTGTCCCATTTCCGAGTCAATGTTGGGCGGTTTAGATTTCCGTTGAAGTTGAGTATGAGAACTCTCCCAGCAGCATCTATAACTGCGAGTTCCGAGTTGATGGGTCCCCAACTGAGATGAACGAGGGGGCCTCCTGGAAGGGCTGCCCATGGTGAGATGATATTGGGCTCACTTAAGGCAAAGGTGGCATCCTTCTCATTAGCCTGGATGTATCGTAATTCTAGCGCTTGGCCATTAGGTGAAATAGAAGCAATAGTCCCTCCTTTGGACCAGGAGATTCCCCTTTAAAATGAATTAGCGGCTGACTTAACATAATGGTAGGGGGGAATGAGTTCGTACTGGCAGCAACCTCGTTGGCGGAGGTCATCTAATCTTTGTCGTAATCGTTTGCTGGCTGGCCGTGTTGGGAGGGAGAGGGCGGCCGCATCGCCAAATAAGTCATCGACGTCTTCTAAATCCACCTGCATTGCATCTCCACCCATGGGATTTTCTAAAATGAGAGGCATCTTGCCAGAAGTCATTTAGAAACTTAATCGGAAGACCTAAGTTCCGGGTAAGATTTAAGAAATTTAAAGATTAGAAGAAACACTGGCCTTTAGCGTACCTAGCTAGTATGTAGTATGGGTAGTAAGCTCTGCTTGAATGTTGATAATGAGTTAATCGTTGGTTGGCATACTAGTAACAATCCTAGGACCAGGCTTGGACCTTGGACATATAAACGTCTCTTCGTTGCGAAGGTACAAAAGCCAGATGATATTTCTGGATATTATATACCTATCTAGTTATTATAAGACGTATTGGGAATAAGTGAAATAGAAAATTGATTCAAAATTGATCTTCATTCGCATTGTGTTAGTTTGTTTGAAGTTGAGTTGAATAAGTGAATAACGCACTGATACTGAACAGTGTCTGAACGGAGTTGAAGCTTTCTTACTCATCATGTGGGTCATAATCGCTTCGTAAGGGGGGTGCGGGTCTCATGCAGCAATTACGTATTGAAGCCAAACTTAGATTTAGACGAGGCTTGAAAGGTAGAATGCTACATTTCAACCTTAAAAGCGGAGAATTCTGTGGCTTGTTCAGCCTCAAATTGAGAATGAGCCACGTTCTCAGGTGCTTATCCCTGGCAACCACGGAGCAACCAGAATTAAAACTCTCCTATTTTCTTCGGTCGCAAACGGGATAATGCCGTACCCAATCATTCTTAGCCTACCTAATCGAATTGTTCTGACCTAAGAAGTCTGTTCAGGTTTCAGCATCTACGTTTAGTAAAGTATCTGGTGATGAATCAAGCCAATTCAGGCGATGAGGGCGGATGCAGCACCATGGCAAACAAAGACCGTCGCATATGAGGGACCGCCTTAATCTACACTTCCAAACAAAGTTATTATCCACCTGAACATACTCGAGGAAAAATCTGCCCGCACACGTCAAATGACATAACCTGGAATATCTAACAATGGTATGCAGCATATTGATGAGTTCTTCAATGTTTTATCTCTGAATATCTAGCATCGAAATAATCTAGTTGTGATGTGTACTTGCCTTTTTGAAAAAGATGGGTGAGAGGCGGCTTATGGCTGAATTGTCGGTGGACAGAGTTGTCTTATTTAAAGACGGCAAATACAACTCCAAATCACTTTTCATACCAAAGAAAGTTTAAACAAATCACATGTGCCTAGTTATATTTTGACATGAATTCTTTCTTTCCTGTTTCTCCAGAGCGACTATCGAATTAGGGTTAGTGCGGGAGGAGACGGTAAGGAATTATTATAAACAACGGATACCTACCAACTCTCCAAAGTATGAGGAGAAGCCCTAGAATTATTAAAGTTAAGACTATTCATAGTCATCATCACACAGCCTAACTTTGCCTGACTTGTGCTGCGTTGTTGGCCGACTAAGCGAACCCGAAAGAGGAGGGAAGAGGAGCCTTGCCGTTCGCTATTGCCCATTGCCCTGCGTTGTCTGTTACCTCACGGGTACCCCCTTCTCCAACCTCCCGGGAGAACCCCCGAGTTTTTCCATCTCACTTCGTCCTTACAACCTCCAATCTCCGCCATTTCATAACCGGTCCGGACATCTTGCGCACACGAATTGATCGCAACGACGACGTGATAAGTGCACAGTTTTTGAAAATTTGCTATCGCCGACAGCACGGCGCGAGAGTCTATAGGATTTAGAGTTGTGCTTTACGTTTATAAATCGGGTTTATTGGCTTCGGCATAACGCGATGATATAGCACCTTGGGTTCTTTCCTATTCCGAATCGTCGCAATATAACAAGTCCTCGCGGCCGTATCACCCCTGCCTCGACTGAAGTACTTTCTTCCAAATACAATTGACAGGCGCCTTCCTTGGTTCCTTCTTATTATCCTTTGGAAGATTTGCTCTTTCCCATAATTCAGATCGAAGACCCACCGACATGGATATGGATACTTCATCAATCTCATCGGCGTCAGATCTTTCTGACCCTCCCTCTTCCAATCCACCTTCTTCACCTCTTTCAGTTCTCTCTAGATCTCCCTCAATATCACCAAGGACATCGCTTTCTTACAATACAAGCCGCCTACCCTCTCCACCTTCAACAATAACTTCCCCAGGAAGCGCGTCACCAATGAAGTCCTCCGATCAAGTGTCGGTCGAGAACGAGATTACGGTGAATCCAGATGGCCCACCGCCCGCTAAGCGACGACGCGTCGAGCGCAAACCGCGTACCACCGAATATCTCGATCTAAAAGCAGCATCACAGCAGAGCGAGAAGGACGAGAAGTTGCTGGAACAACTAACTGGCGCTCTGCGCAAGAAGAAGAAGATTGTGGTTATTGCCGGTGCCGGAATGTCCGTATCTGCAGGAAGTACGTATTTACAGGTGTTTTTGCTTTTCTCTTAGCTTTTCCTTCAGCTCACGTGCTAATTTCTATTCTCCTAGTTCCCGATTTCCGATCTTCGAAGGGTTTATTCGCGACTTTACCTAAAGAACACGGTCTAAAAGGTTCCGGAAAGCACCTATTCGACGCGTCTGTCTACAAACATGATTCTACAACCTCATCATTCCACACTATGGTTCGGGATCTATCGCATCTTACGAGGAATGCGAAGCCTACCCGGTTCCACCATCTGATCGCCTCACTTGCTAAAGAAGGCCGCCTACTGCGCCTCTACACACAGAATGTTGACGGCCTCGACACGTCTATGCCGCCTCTTTCCACAACAGTTCCGTTGAACACCAAAGGTCCGTGGCCCAAGACTATTCAGCTCCATGGCGGCCTAGGCAAGATGGTATGCTCCAAATGTAGCGAGATCAGCGACTTCGACGACTCGCTTTTCGAGGGTCCGGAGGCACCTCTCTGTAAGGGATGTGAGGAGACTGACAACGTGCGTACCTCTCACGCTGGGAAGCGTAGTCACGGAATCGGACGATTGCGACCGCGAATGGTTCTTTACAACGAGTATAACCCCGACGAGGAATCCATTGCCAATGTTGTTCGAGCCGATATTCGAGCCCGGCCTGACGCCATCATCGTCGTCGGTACCAGCATGAAAATCCCCGGTGTGCGTAATATGGTCAAGGATATGTGCCGTGTGACGAGAGAGCGCAAGGATGGTGTTACGGCCTGGATTAATCTGGATCCTGAACCTACCGGCGCCGACCTGAAGAACTGCTGGGATCTAGTCGTGAAGGGAAAGTGTGACGATGTTGCCTCCCTGGTCCATCTGCCCCGCTACGACGCAAGCGTTGATGAAGCTGTAGTCATTGACGAGAAGATGTATGAGGATACTGTCCGCGGCGTCAAGCTCGAGGTGGAAATCCGAAAGACCGAAGGCATCTCTGTCAAGAAAGAGTCACGTGACAGTTCACCACTTGAGGCGAAACCGCAATTGGCCGACAACGTTCAGGGCATGCCTACGCCATCTGCTAGTCCCAAGGCACGGGCAGCCTTGCCTACGATCAAGATCAAGACACAACCAAAACAGAGCAAGCTCGCATTCTCCGGTCTCAACTCGTCGAATTCATCTACGAATACCACAACAGGACGCAAGGACGCTAAGAAGGCAACCCAGCGTAAGCCCAAGCAGAGCAAGAAGGCAGAGCCGAAGCCTCCTAAAGCTACGATCAGCAAGACTTTCAAAGCTACCAAGGCAACTACGGCTGCCCCATCCAAGATCCCCGCAAAGCGCGAGTTCGAATTGGAACCCGAACCAGTTCTTTCTCCTCGATCTGTCATGCGCGAGGAGTTCTCACTGCGTCCTCGAAGCAAGGCTGCTGGAGACGACACCGTACCTCAGAAGGGCATTGAGATTGCACCGCCTACTACTCCTCCTCAGCAGCCTGCACGTCTGTCGCTTGCCGGCACTATCTCGCCTACATCGAAGCCCCGAGGTTTCGCGTCCTTGATCGATTAGTTGGAACTCAAGAACCCCAGTATATAGGCCTGTCCTCATTATTTCCCTGTACATAAAACATTACACGAGGTCATCTATTCACGCAGGAAGAGGAATGTCAAAGATAAATCTTTCGGAGCATTAGAGGTTTTCCGGGGTCCGCATTTCCTTTGTTCCATTGCATTCTCGCATGATCAGCACGTATGGGACGAAACGTGCGTCGCGTTATCTATTTCCTAGGGCGGCGAAAAAAATCCGCATCATTCCGGACGCGGCTCAAGTCCGTCGGTTCATATCTTGCTTCCTCTCACGGCGGGCAGAGGAAAGCACAGAGGCAATGGCGTTTGATACCTAGAAATGAGCTGTATGGTTATAGCTAAACATCTTTATAATGGCCCGGTTTCGGTATGAAAATACTTGACATATCATATACCTGGTACGGGGACAAAGACCGGAAAACCCCGAATATCACAGCAAGTTGATGCAGAAGAGAATCGGTTGTTCTTGCCAACGGCTCTTAATGTCTCTCGGGTGAGAGGAGAGTCCGTTGCTTGCCCGTAAAATGCAGAATAATCGAAATATGAATGATCTTGAGATCTACTTTTTACATGCCGTTGATACGTGAATATGAGATTCAATATCCTGCGTGACTTGTAAAAATCAGCAGTATTCTCGCGCCATGTGACAAGTCTACCTAGTCATATCTTGCACTCTAACTAAGTAGCCGAAGTAAGCATGTCATATTACCCATGTCACGTGTTCAAAGACAAACGTAGGTAATCAGGGTGAAAACCTTGAAATTGGGAGCAGAAGGGCTTAGATAATTCATAATTTCCATTAGTTGAGTAGTAGTTGGCAGTAAGAAACTACTATCTAACTATCGCAAAGTTTCGTCACGATACTCCATCTGCGAATATGCAATGAGTAAACACGATATAGTCCCCATGAGACTTCTCCCTCTGATGAGCATGATCTTTGTTTGCATGCCTTGGGGTTTACATTCATTTAAAATAATGTTGTTCCTACTCAGCTATTCTCAACTCCCCTAGAGCGTTCTAATCGTGGCTGGGATCAGAGCTTCTGCGGATATAGACGAGGGAGAGATTTAGCCATTCCGACCATAGAACTCCCGGTCTCCTGTAACGTTGATGCTTTTTGTTGGGTATGATTGCGTCGACTCCAACCTCGCCTGTCTAAGATGCCAACCCGTGACGCCATACGATGCAATAAAATGTGATGGTCAATTAGTTGTTATGCCCTATCATCCACCATGTCTGACCAACTGGGGATGAGAGCTTTTTGGTGGTTCCCCTAGCTAGCGGCCCTCGACTCGCTACGGTGACCTCCGTTAGTAATAGCCGTGCCGGTGCTCTTGGGCTTCTGGACATCTCCGTTCTTCTCCCCTTCCTTCAATTGTATACTCAATTGCTGGTAAAGTGCTGATAACCGCGGTCCAGTCATCTTATTATCCTTCTCCTTCTCCGGCTTACCGGTCTGTTTTTCAGACCCCGGGATTCTCTTCGATATAAATCGCCTATGCCATGGTTAGTTTTCATTCATGCAAATTTCCCGACTCAACGTACCATAATTTTGGCTTCAGCTCCTCTAGCTGCTCGAGCGACAAAGCTGAAGTCTTGTTAAGTCCTTCAATAAAATCGCCGATTGCGGTTATCTCGGATTTTAGGACCTTAGCCCTAGCTTTGGCAACGGGGATATTTGCCTTAGTGCATGCTTCCACCTTCTCAACATGAGACCATATCGGCTGCATAAGAGCTTCGATGACGGGAGCATTTCGTTCATCATCTTCATCATCGTCGCTTGCTTGTCGTTGGAGATTATCAGATCTGCGAAGTTCCTCTACTCGACGATGTTTGTGTCGACGATCATCTACTTCACCACTATGCTTTCGCTTCGCATCGGGTCTTGGCGTGCTGCTGTCTCCGATACTGCTACGAGAACGGTGGTGGTCTCCACGAGAATGAGAGCGATCATGATCTCTCTCCCGGTGCGACGACTTCTTTAAGCTCTGGGGAGCAGGCGAGGCTGACACAGATCCTCCTTTTTCTGGGCGCCTATGGCCATTAGGTGTCGCATGACCACTCTTTTTGTTGTTACGATGATGGTTCTCAACGATCTTGTGAGCGTTGACATCATCAGAATGAATCGAGATGAGGACCGACAATAGGTACTCTGCGCGGCGTACCAGGTGGACGGCCCCAGGAGCTTTGGCACCCTTGCTCTCACCGTGCTCTCGTTCTTGTTTCTTCTCGATACGATGTTCCTCTAAGAAAAACTTGTCCACCATACCGAGGTCTTTGTCGTCGCGAATCTGAGCCCAGGCACCAAAACCATATCTATCAATACCAACGAGGAGCATGCCATCTTCTCTAGCACCCCACTCACAGCTATAATGTGCCGCCTTCGTGGCATCCGGAAGCCGAAACGTTCGGAAGTCCGGTAGTTCTCGAATGACGCGCCGCAGAAGACGTAGCTGAGGCGGACGGTCAATGATTGTCTCGGCGTTGATCTTCTTAACTTCGCCAAAATCGAACATGACAGCCTTGATGTCCTTTTTCGTGAGCTTTTTCTTGGTTTGCTGTTCCTGGACTCTTATCTCGTCATTATTCTTCTCTACAGCTTCGCGAGACATCCTGACGAGATCATGAAGTAGTCCACCTATAAAGTCACGATCGCGATCACTCAGGCGAGCATCACGCAACAATTCCTCAGGACGGTCTTCAATGAAGCCATATCGCATGAAAGCCCGAATAAGGTTACGAGTCTCCTTCTCGTTGAGCGGTCGTCGGGGATCAGAGAGCATAGCCCGCTGCTCCTCCAGGCGTTCCTGCTTCAACTGTTCGCGTTCTCGTTTCTTGGCGATGCGTTCGGCTCTCTCGGTGTCGCCATTAGGCCTGGAACTTTTCAGTGCGGCTCGTCGCGGGGCACTGGCCTCTAATTCCTTCGCAAGGTATTCGTCTTCCTTCTTTTTATCTTCATCGGCCCTGATAGCTGCCAGCTGTTCCGCCGGTATAATCTGATCCCAGTCAAGAGCAAGATCATCCACCTTGACATCAGTGTACTGCATGAAATTGTCCCAGTCGATACCGCCAGTACTGAGGTTCATCTTATCATCTATCTTAGTCTTCGTGACCTCGGCATTTTCCAAGATGGAGTCAATATCGAGTTGTTCCAGCCTCTCCTGGTTACCGGACTGCTCAAACATCTTCTGGGATCGCATCTTTAATACCCATTGGATGTCATCCGCCGATTTGGCTTCGTCGATCCTAACACCCTTCTGTCTGAACTCTTCCCTGAACGCCTTTCCGTCGTCCGTAACTCCGGCCTGGATAGCCAGATACTCAAGTAGCAACTTGTTCCGGGCACGCTCGAGGACTTCCTCTTCAATGGTCTCTTTAGAAACAAGGCGATAGACGGTAACAGGTTTCTTCTGACCAATTCGATGAGCTCTAGCCATGGCTTGAAGGTCGGCCTGGGGGTTCCAGTCCGAGTCAAAGATAATGACAGTATCCGCAGTCATGAGGTTGATGCCTAATCCACCAGCTCTTGTTGAGAGCAAGAAGCAAAAATCAGAACTCTCTTCAGCATTGAAGTGATTGATCGCCAAACGTCTCGGCCCAGCGCCAATGGTACCGTCAAGTCGCTGGAACTGATACCCACGCAATCGAAGATAATCGCCAAGAATGTCCAGTACCCTCACCATCTGACTGAAAATCAAAACGCGATGATTATCCTTCTTGAGCTTGGCAAGAAGCTGGTCAAGAAGCATCATTTTGCCACTGCTAGCAATGAGACCCTTGATTTGATCTTCGCGTCGTTCGCTACCGTTGAGGACCTTTTCTTCGGCACCAGGAAACATGTAAGGGTGATTGCTAACCTTCTTCAGCTCCATAACAATGTTCAACAGAGATGACTTTTGGCCATTGTTTCCCTCATTGAGAGCCGCATAATTCCTCGTCAGGATGTTTTTATAGTATTCGAGTTGAACATCTGAGAGTTCTACACGAATAATCTTCTCGGTCTTTGGTGGAAGGTCTGATTCGACGGTTTCCTTGGTTCTTCGCAAGATGAAGGGCGCAATTGCAGCATGAAGGTCCTGAAGTTTTGTTTGGGCATCTGCGGCCGCAAGCGTGTCTAGGTCTTCGTCTATATGAACCTTTCCGGGATTTAAGAAGTCGAGAAGCGAAGATAACTCGGCCAAGTTATTCTGAATAGGTGTACCGGTGATCAGAACCTTAGAAGGGGCGCCAAAGCTCAAGAGTTCAGAGTACAACTTTGAGTCCTTATTCTTTAAACGATGGGCCTCATCAACAGCCAATGCTTGCCACTTAATGCTTCTCAAGAAGTCTGTGTCCGCCAGGATATATTCGTAGGAAGTCACAAGGACATTGAACTTGTGCTTCTTAGGATTCCCATTGAACATAAGCTCATGCTCTCGTATAGTATTTCGTGCGTCGGCATTTCCAAGGTAGACAACATAGTTTAGATCAGGAGACCATAAGTTGAATGTGTCACACCAGGCTGGTATGACACTCAAAGGCGCAACAACTAGGAAAGGGCCTTCCTGCTTGCGCTCATTGCGAAGCCAGCTCAAGAAGGAGACAGTTTGAACCGTCTTACCAAGACCCATTTCATCAGCGAGGATGACATTGTTTGCCCGACACCAGTTAAGACACAGAAAGTTCAATCCCGTGAGCTGGAATCCTCTTAGCTCGCCGTTCTTGATATAGCTAGGCTGCTTGTCAAGCTTCAGAAACTTGCTTCGGGTCGAAGGGTTGGACTCATATTTGTCCGAGGTCCATGATCTTGATTGTCGGTCGAGGAATTGTTCAATCTTGTCTTCGGCCATAGCACTAATAGTGGAGGCATCCTCCCATGTGCAATGCTCATAAGTCAGACCCTTCCACTTGACGAAATACTCTCTCCCTTCCTCACCGCTTCGTTGCGTAACCACGCGTTCTACTTTGGTGTAATCTTCCAAAGCATCGTGGTCTCGTTCCTTGTCGAGCATGTATTGCTCTCGGGTCTCAGGAGGGATGTCATCACCGCCATACTTGAGATCAATCTCGTACTCGATCGTTCGTTTGTAGTAGTTCTCGAGTTTACGAACGCCACGATACCCGCGAAGGGTCTCTAAGGTATCCCACGTATTATGGAGGTATGATTTGCCCTGCCATTTTATATTGTACTCGAAGTCGTCTCTGGTTGCGTCTGCCATTAGCTCGTCACCGTCTCGAACACGATGACCGACAACCTTCTCGATGTACATAGAATCTTCGGTGAGCTCTTCACCTCCCCAGTAATTGGGTGTAAGCTCAGACTCGTCTTCGTCATCAATATCGCTTTCATGATAAGTCTGAACTTGCTGAGCGGCTCGTCTGTTAGACCAACGCTTCTCGGCATACAGCAAAGACTGCGGTTGAGATTGTTGCCGACGAGCTTTCTTAATTAAAGTTCGAGCACGAGCTCCGCCATAGGTATCGGAGTCGGAATCGGCAGCAGGAGTTTGTCTTGCGGGAGTTCCTCGTTTAGAAGCTACGAATTAGAGTACATTAGTACAAGAAACAAAAAATACCGTCAGATTCTAAGCATCTCGAAGACAACTTACACTGTCGGGAGATCTGCTCCGCGCGAGGCTTCTTCGTTCGACGGTTGGTAGGAACGACATCAGAATCAGATTCATCACCTTCTTCATCAGACTCAACCTTTAAACAATGCTGTCAGCAACATAGCTAATACAAACCAACTTCTAGATCATATACTTACGAGTTTGGCCTGCTTCGTAGGGCGAGACTAATAAGAGGTCAGCCAGCAGAACTTTGTAATGGCAATTGAATTGACATACGCTTCTTCGCAATCCATAGAGCTCAGGATTCTCTCGTATGTAATCATCTTCGTCTGCAGTAGCTTTTCGCTTAGGAGCACGGTGGGAGCTGTTGGAAGTCGATGTCTCATCATGATGCGCGTCACTCTGTGATGGAGCTGGGCTATCTTCCATATCAAAGTCGGCATCATCCGAGGCATTATTCGGCTCGTCATTATCGCTTGACTCGGCACCACCTTGTGAATCTAGGTCTTGTTCGACATCTCGGGAGAGTTGATTATTGACGGGTGAAGAAGAGGAAGATGCTCGAGGTGCGGTATTATCATTAACGTCTGACAGGTCGCTCTCACTAGCACGATCATCAAAGTCCATTCTCGTAGCTGATCTCGTCTCGGGCGACGTGTGACCGTTGACGGAACTTGGCTCCGGTGAGCTCGACATGATGATATTGGACACCTCGGTCCGCTACTGTGATGGCAAGGTTAGCAGATTTTTCAACACGAAAAGGCTACACATATGAGATCGATGGACAGCGCTAGAAATGGCGATCAAAACAACGCAATAAACAGCTATTAAACACGCGAAATGGGTCTGACAATAGATCTGGCGCATATCAAGTGATGGTTTGATGAAGGCAAGGCTGATAGATGATGGAGAAGGAATTGCGGTCGATCGGTGTTGACGTGACGGGCGAGGAGACCTCAACGCGTCGGACAAACCGAGAACAACGGATTCCATCTAGATATTAGCATCGGAGAAGCTTAAAAGCAGTGAAAGAAGCGATAACAAGGTCGCGTGTGCAAATCTTCGAGATGGATTCGATGTCAAATACACAGGCGAGTGACAGAACGTAGGGATGTCCAGCAGCAGTATTTGCGCGGGAACAGAAACTAAATACTTACGTATCATCAACTTCAGCAATCTAGGGAATAAAAAGAAACAATATGACACCTTATTATGGAGTTGATGATGTTCGGGTGCGGCCCCGTATGCTGCGTGTTGTGGGAATGGATGTGAGAAACTGTCGGAAATCGACCTGAAGAATTGGTGGTCGGGGAACATTGAAAGTGGACGGAGGGTGGGAGGTACCTACCTTGCCAGCTTTGAAAACGCTAGTCTGTTTCCGAGCTAGCGCCCCCAAGCCACAGACCACAAACCACTCGCGCCACAAAGTCTGTGCCAAGTGCTTTACTGCTGTTCGTCACTGAGCACTGAGCACTGGCACTAACTAGATACATAATTTGTGAAGGCAACTACGAAGGTACATAAATACTTCTAAGTTCAATATTTCATATAAGTTTTCGGATTTATATCTAAGGTTGTTGCTCAGTCAGTATGAATTGTCTACTTAGTTAGTCAACTGGTGTTAGTTACCGTATAATTGTATCTGTATTGTATGCAATAGTCCGACACCGCAAATGTACCTTCAGTGTTCGTTCAACAAACCCCAAATCAAGCCAGGTGGATTTCCTGCGCCTCTTTTCCCCGGGCAAATCCCGGATCGGCTAAGATTGGCCGCTCGAACGCCTTGGTCACCCTGACTTCGTATCATACAGCAACCTTTTTCAAGGCAATCACTTTCTTATTTGTTCAAAATAATTATACAATATGAGTTTAGACACAGCATATCTAACATCTATTGACAGAAACTTTCTTAAACTCATGAGTCACTAATGGAAGTCGCGTGGGAAACATTCATAAATGGCTTATTGCAGTGGATGCGTCGTCGATTAACCAGCCACCTGGTCATTAACAAGGTTCTCATAAAGGCCTAACAATTCAACTCGGACGTGTTGAGGCTCCAGCGCTTCTACATAGTGCCTGGCTAAGATAAGTCTTACATATCGAACTTGGAATAAAAGCATAGTCGAAGTTTATTGAATTTACCTTTAAGAGTGTGACCAGCACGAGGCATTTATTAGTCTTTAATCTTTGTAGTAATTATAAGATGAGGAAAAGTTAGTTCAACCTTGGAGCCTTACTCACTTCTAATCGAGTAGTTAGGAACCGTGTAGAGTAACTAATTGCTTACATTATACATTATAGGTACCTAGGTATGTACAAGATTCGGAAATGTTAGAATATGGCATATAATGCGTTTAGCTTACTGAAACCATAGCTATAATCTTATAGCCTCATTGCGCTGGAAAGCACTTAGTTTTGAGAGGCTCGTTCACATGCGTTTCTAACTTTGTACGGCATAAAGTGGCTTCAATATATGATGTATTCAAGCTAGTAAACTCGGTAAGATGATGAGTAATATTTGAGAAGCGGTAAGTACCTACTTGAGTGAGATCTTTGCAGAAAAGCGCATTATCTTGAATGATGACAAGGAAGTCAAAATCTGAAATCTTACATGATAATTGTCATGTCATGGGACTGATCCGCAAGTTTAATGGTTTCATACATGCCGATTGAGCCAAACCATCAAAAGACAAGAATCACAAATCGGATAACTTGCAATTTATTATAGCTAGTCCGTAACAATAATTTCACTTCCTACCTAATTTTGAACTCCCCCTCTCGATGCTATCATAGAGCAACTAGAAATTGGTCCATATTCTATAGTCCTTCAGATTTCACCTTACAGCAGATATCTCTATTATAAAAATCTAGTGATATGTGCAGCAGGAATTACGACTTTGTGATTTCATTCTCCACATACTCAACTCAAATGAGCTCTTTAATAGAGACATACATGATGGCGTTAGCGCCGGATTTAGATAGGTAGAGGGCCAGTTGAAAACAATTACTTAAAAGCATTGTAAACAGATTCTTCTGTTGCCCTGTGTCGGCTGAAGGTCCATTCTGTCATGACATGCAATACCTATCATGACAGTGTTCACCTAATACTTACCAAATCACAAATCTACCATGAATAACCAATAACTAGGTATAGTTAGAAGATGGAGGCGAGATATTGTATAATCGATTTAAATAACCTTATCGAGGATTATAGGTAAGTAGGTACCTAGGTAGGTAGGTGGTTATCCCTGAATGAGCTATGAGGTATCGTGGGTTGATATTAACTATTGAGGTTCACCCGAATAAAGGCAGCTAGGAATGGCGCGAAGCAACATCTCCACCTGAAGTCCGAGTAATACTACATAGTACCAATGCCCCTACTGGTCCATTAAGGAGGGTGAATGATTACTTCCGATTGGTTGGATCACTCGAGTCACATGAAGATTGGGGGAATTCAGTAGTTGTATTTTGATAATGCTATTGGGGCATGGGAAATCAGAAGCCCTACCACGAAAAGTCAGTAGGTCAAGGTATTCAATATTGTCTGCTATCCATTATTGATATTGATTGTAGTAGAGATGATAGGCAAGATGTTACGAATATGCCTATGCACTCTAGGGAGCGATGGATGATCTAGCTTTATAGAAAAAGAAATAAGTACGAGGAAGAGTTAGTGAAAGCCTCACTATAGGCCTACATATGTGGATAAAGGAAAGCTCTGCTAGTCAGAACCTGAAGATAACTAGGTACAGACCTAGTAGAGATGATTCAAAATCCAGGGTTGAGGCTCTTTGGGGAATGATAAGTGAGGTCACTCTTGGATTTGACAGGACTAAAAAGACTAGGGCGCTATTAGGCGCTAGCTACCTAGGGCTTCAGTGAATAGAACATGTGGCCAGTGCTTATTTTTATCTTAAGTACATGTTTCCACATCCTGAAATCAACCAATGGGAGAAGACTAGTTCATAATTTTTCACGCTCACAGTGGCTGACAGGTGACTAAGCCAGCAAATCACCCCTCATTGTCGTCTACCCTAATTTTAGTACCCCACCAAAACTTCGACTTTTACCAAGGCGCATTTCCAAGTTGGTCGCAACACTTTATTCTTCTATTTTTCTTGTCCTTGTTCTTTACATCGTCAGCATAGCTTCTCTGGTTACTTTGGTGGTAACCTCTTCTTCCTCCTCGTTCCTTTCTCTGGGATACTTTCAAGGAGCCGACCGTTACTTTTTTCACCATGGCTTCTAAGCTTACTCGGTATGTAATCGTGGGACTCGAAGCAAACTTCTTCCTGGTTGTGTGGGATATTAATTTCTTCATTTTAGTATCGCCATCGTGAACGATGACAAGGTACGTTGGCCAAAATCTGTCTTGCCCCCTTGACCAAAAAGAATGATATACTAACGCATGATACCCTTGTAGTGCAAGCCGAAGGTACCCATCTTGGAACTTAATTGAGAATTTCACAAAATTAATTACAATCAATAGAAATGTCGGCAAGAATGCAAGCGATCGTGCCCGGTATGATAATCTATTCCCTTTACTCCCTATGTTTGAGAGATACTTCCCTCAAATCTCGAAATCTAACCCCTATACTATTTAAGCTACTGGCCACTAATTGTTGAATTTGTAGGTCGTTCGTAGTGGAAAGCTTTGTATCGAAGTCAGCCCCGATTCGAAGATAGCATTCATTTCCGAAAGTCTGTGCATCGGATGTGGTATCTGCCCAAAGAAATGCCCATTTGATGCCATTACCATCATCAATCTGCCTACCAATCTCGAGACCCAAGTGACCCACCGATACTCCGCAAATAGCTTCAAGCTCCATCGACTACCTACCCCACGACCCGGCCAAGTTCTAGGACTCGTCGGTACCAACGGTATTGGAAAGAGTACGGCGTTGAAGATTCTCAGCGGCAAGCTCAAGCCTAACTTGGGCAAATATGAGAACCCCCCTGACTGGGAAGATGTTATTAAATACTTCAGGGGTTCTGAGCTGCAGAGTGAGTCGACCTCTATGATCCCACAAGAAAAAAAGCGAAATGATATACGCATTTGCTAACATATACATTAAGACTACTTTACCAAGGTCCTTGAGGATGATTTGAAGGCCGTTGTTAAGCCTCAGTATGTGGATCAGCTTCCTCGAGCTGTTAAGACCCCCAACAAAACCGTGAAGTTCCTCCTCGAGCATAGATCTGCCATGGGTAACATGGACGAAGTTCTTGATGTCCTGGAGCTCCGCCATATTCTTGACCGTGACGTCAATTTGCTTTCTGGTGGAGAGTTGCAGCGATTTGCCATCGGAACAGTTTGTGTCCAGAAGGCCGATGTTTACATGTTTGACGAGCCGTCCTCTTATCTGGATGTCAAACAACGTTTAGCCGCAGCGCGAATGATTCGCTCTCTCTTGGGTCCGGATAATTACGTTATTGTGGTTGAGCACGATTTGTCGGTTCTCGATTACCTCTCCGACTATATCTGTGTTCTCTATGGAAAACCCGCTGTCTATGGTGTTGTTACTCTTCCCCATTCCGTCCGTGAAGGTATCAACATCTTCCTTGATGGCCATATTCCTACCGAGAACTTGCGATTCCGTGAGGAGTCCTTGACTTTCCGCATCTCAGAGGGCACCGACGATTTCCAAGCTGACAAAGCCCGCGCCTTCACGTACCCCAAGATGGAAAAGACACTCGGCAATTTCAGACTTCGTATTGAAGAGGGAGACTTCACTGACTCCGAGATCCTCGTCATGATGGGAGAGAACGGTACTGGAAAGACGACTTTCTGTAGACTGCTAGCCGGTGCGCTCAAACCCGATAGCGCCAAGAAAGTCCCCGAGATGAGAATTAGCATGAAGCCGCAGACTATTACTCCTAAATTCGAAGGCACAGTCCGCCAGCTATTCTTCAAGAGAATTAAGCAAGCCTTCCTCTCGCCGCAGTTCCAGACAGATGTCGTTAAGCCTCTGAAGCTAGACGATTTCATTGACCAGGAAGTCAAGAATTTGTCGGGTGGTGAATTGCAACGTGTCGCCATCGTCATGGCCCTCGGCCTCCCCGCCGATATCTACTTGATTGACGAACCGTCAGCTTACTTGGATTCAGAGCAACGTATTATTGCAGCTCGTGTCATCAAACGCTTCATCATGCACGCCAAGAAAACTGCCTTCATTGTTGAGCACGATTTCATTATGGCAACGTATCTAGCGGATCGTGTTATTGTCTTTGACGGAAAGCCTGGTATCGACGCACACGCAAACAAGCCCGAGTCGCTGCTTACCGGATGTAACTCGTTCTTAAAGAACTTGGACGTCACCTTCCGACGAGACCCTACGAATTACAGACCTCGTATCAACAAACTGAACAGTCAGCTGGACCAAGAACAAAAGTTGACAGGCAACTACGTAAGCCCAATCAGATATTATTTTCTTACAAGTTACATCGCTAATATGATCTCTAGTTCTTCCTGGAAGAAGACAGCTCTTGAAACGGGCGCTGCATGGGGTAACGGCTACAATGATGGCCGTAATCACGATCAAAATATACCACCAGCATCGGGCACCGGCGTTTTAGGCGTTCAAAAGCAATATACTGCATGCCGAGAGAGCGGAGGCGCGCATGAATCGGCCGGCGTGGATGCGGAGGGTGGGGATGAGAGTGACGAGCCGGGCGGCTAATCACGGCTACGGCAGTCTATCCCCTGTTTGTCTGGTCCTGCAGGTAATGAATTCATGGAGCTCTCATGTTTGTTGAACAGATAGGAGTGCTCCTATAGTTGCAGCAATTCGTATTGCGTTGAAGAGAGACTATGGATTCGGCTACTGCAGATTGAGGGACAAACGGGCCAAGTGGGTGACTGTCGTTCACGTCATGTATGGCGGGCAATATTCCTGCTGCTGATGATTTCTGGGATTCTTAGTCCTAGGAGAGAGAGGATAGAATAGTCCGTATGACGATGTGGGCTTAGATTATACTAGAGTTTCTAGCCAAAAACAATATTTTCCGCGTGCGTTTGTGGTTTAACTTGAATGTGATTTGCTTATAAGATTATATCCTCGAGTGCTGGATAGCCCTGGAAGGTGATTATAAAATCTTCATTAGGCAGAGGATTCATCTCGATAATAATAATAAGTTTCGATTTACCGTCGTCATCATATGTAGCATCATGCTACACGATTCATTGGGTGGTATTACATTGTACCTAGTTCTTCTATACGTGGCTACGAAGTGTCAAAAAGCCCCTTTCACGTCTAGGCAAGAAGTTACGCAGGTATTAGAGTAGACAAAACATGTATTATTAGGCTATCTACCGGGGAGACTAACATTCTCTACTAAGGGCAGAGGAGGGATGGATGATACACACCGAGAACATATTCCGGAACGTCGTTTGCTTGGCCGAAATCTGACCTTTTCCCCCGCGAAGTCCTGCGTAATTGTGAGAAAACCCCTGGTTTTTTATGTGAAGAGAAATGACGATAAAATTGGCATCGATAAGCGGAACGTACAGCAAAACGTGGCCTTTTGCCCCTCGCCGGCGGCATCGTTGCGTAGGTGCGAAGTGTGCGATGGTAGGGTGGAAATCCGAGCTGCATCCAAGTGTCCCATGTCATCTGAACTCCAAGAAGAACCGTAGTCGGAAATTGACGCACGTACTTTTCAATTCTCGACTTGGCATAAGTCGAAATAAGATGGATGACCTTAGCCAAGGGACTACGACGATTTCGTATTTTCCCTTAAGAAGAACGGGGTTTGGAGGTTGTGGCAGGATATCTTGAGGCGTGACGCAGAATGCTGTGTAGACCGATTAAGTGACTAGTCCTCTTCAATCTCACCCTCCTCGCTTCCCGAATGTACACCGTTATCCTTTTCCTCCTTCGGAGGCGGTTGAACAACTGGCGGAGTCCTAGTTTTGTGACGAGTCTCACGATGGGGGGAACGCTCACGCGGTGTTCTCTCTCTTCTTAGTCTCTGTTATTAGCGTTAGTAGGATGAACCGAATTTTTTCCATTGAGGCGCCTGACCTTTGAGTCTCTAGAGTCGCGACGCTCAAGGTCGTCGTCATCATCAGCCCTCCGGCGTCGAGAAGAAGTCGGGCGTTCGTCGCCGTAAGGCAGTTCTTCAACGGGAGCTCTCTCGACCCGACGTCTATATTGTCGCTCGCGCTCCTCTTCGCGGTCCCGTCTTTCTCTTTCGTAATGGCTCGGCGGATCGTCACGTCGGGACCGAGGGGGGTATTCTCTATCCCGATCTCTATCCCGATCTCGTTCTCGATCTCGATCTCGCTCACGATCGCGCTCACGGTCACGGTCGCGGATATCACGGTCTCGGTAAGAATCCGATGGGCGACGGTCAGACAATAGACTCTCAGCCATACTGGACTTACGATAGTTCTTCTCGCGCTCGGCAATGGCCTTACGACGATCGGCTTCATATGCGTCGGGTTCTGGGCTCCGGCTATGACGTGAAGGTCGTGCGCGGTCACTGCGGTGAGAACGGTCACCTCTATCTCTATCTCGATACGTACCACGATCAGCACCACGATCAGGTGATCGCTCGCGACGTTTATGACGGTCCTTATCCTCATCCTCCCGGTCTCGTACTCGGCGAAGGACTTTCTCGAAGGCTCCACGGCGGGCATCTTCGGATTTAACAGCTTGGAATTCGGCCGCGCGAGCAAGACGAGGCCGAACTTTCTCCCAGGTGTCATCTGCAGCAATCGGCGGGTCCACATGCTTGATATAGGAGCGGAGGTCATCGACAGCCCTTCGCTGCTGGCGTTCGGTATGTCTGTCCTCATCAGAGCGTTTAGATTTCTTCTCTTGGAGCTACCTAGAGCGTTAGTAGTGAGACATGGTGGGCCGTGGGGGTTTAACATACCCGTTCAAAGATCAGCATAAGTATATCACCATCAATGTTAGCAGTGCGTCGATCATTCTTGAGTATAGTAGAGAACTCCTCAAAAGTAGTCTTAGGGGTGAACTCAAAACGGTTGTCCTAGATTCCAGATTAGCGGGCTGGTCTGAATGATCAAAGTTAGATGAGAAATGACTTACATCAAGCACATCAAGCACATCATTCCGAGTTGTACGCAGAGCGCGTTCCTCCTCTTCAACAACATCCCAAAATAAATCGAGAGGGCTAGATCCGGCTTGACCACAAACGGACTTAAATCGATCATCACTCTCAAGCAGGGGATATACTTGGCTCCATTTCGTCCCTGCCTTGATCTTACCGGCTCTGCGGAGCTCTTGGAGTAGGTCTGTGAATGCATCTCGTCGCTTTCGCTCGACTCGGAGCTTCTTATTCCTTTGATTCTGGCGCGTCTCGTTAAAGCTTCTCTCCAAGGCTTTGATATGGTTCTGAAAAGCAGTAAGGATATCAAAGTTGGTGAGAGTCTTATACTTCTCGTCATTTTGGAAGGGGGCAGTGGCTTTGAGGATATTCTGAGCTTCGGACCAGCGCGTGTAGGGTTCAAGATTCAGCTTAGGGAGAAGGTCGATGAGGCCATCCATAGCACTCTTGCGAAGGCTAGCTTGGCTTTCGACGTGACTTTTCTTAAGCTCCACAATATAATCCTCAAACAACTGACGTCGCTCATCTTCGTCACTGGTTGAGCGGAAGATGGTTTCGCCTTCTATGATAGGACGAGCTGTCTTCCAGCGTGTATAATGCTTGATTTCGGGGTGGCTCTTCAGCATAATGGCGAAATCGGCCCGGAGTTTTGCAAGTCTATCTTTGGCGCGCTCCTTGTCTTGAATAATCATATCTTGGCAATACTTCTCAAAAGCAGCTTTTCTGTCCCTTGGGTCCTTGATAGATCGATACTGAGGGTCCTTGATCGTTGCTCGCATAGTCTGTTCCCAGGTCCAGTCAGGCTGTACGCCGCTGCGGCGTAGCAATTTCGTAAACGCCGCCTCGGCTTCTTCAGGCGTCGCATATTCTGGCTCGTTGCTTGCAGGAACAAAAGCCTGGGCACGTAAGTCGCTACCATGTGTCAACTGACGCGACTCAGGGAAGGTCTCTCGGTATTCGCGATGGTGATCGTAGCCTGAGTTCGGTGGAAACGACGAGTTGGGAGTAAATGGCGTAGCAGACCTATATGAGAGTTAGATATAAGCATGTATGGTGCTTGCTAGGGTTCTTACGAGGGTGTCGATGGTGTAGCTTCGTGACCCAATGCCTTTCTATAAGCTTCTGGCATTTCCCAGGAACTCTGCTTCGTCTCTGTATTATACCAATACTTGCGACCACCTTCTGCAGTATATTCCTTCCACGGCTGGTTCGCCAAAGCGCGCTGTGAATTTCTGGTTAGTGCATTGTAGCGACATAGATATAATCAGGCGCGTAACCAACCTCGGCCTGTGACATCATTTCCTCTGGTTTGGTCCATTGCGTCGCCTTTGTGATGGTATTATAATAGTAAACGCGTCCATCAGGGCTTTTGTATTCCTGCCAGGGGTTGGCCTGGCCGTAATGGCTGTTGGTTCCGTTCATCATCACGATAGCTCCTGGGCGTGCTTCAGCTATTCTCTGCCTTTGAAAATGGTACCTTGTAAATCTATTTCTCCCATACGAGGGAGAAATATATGAAGGAAGTAGAAATTGCAGTGATCTGGAAAGTTTATTTGATTAGGGAAAGAATGATTGCTTCATTGATGAAGCAAAGTGAATGAAAGTTAGAAAATGACGAATTTTTTTTGGCTGCGGTCGGAGGAGGTCGGTGGTCGGTGGTCGGCAGGTGCGTTCACAGCCGTAGCTTTGATTACCTAATACTATTGGCGAACTGTGCCTATACCACTTAAGCATATAGAAGTTTAGGCAAATATTAATATGTTATGCATTAAACATAGCTAGCTTAATGGGTAGATACTTACGTAACCCTTCATCTAGTGCATATGATCTGTGCACAAGCTGATAGACTGTGATATGTATTTACCGTGAAAACCTCCTTGTCCATGGCAGCAATTAACATTTTGCTCCTATTCCCATATATTTGCATCTTCTCATTACCATATCTAATAGCAAAATGCACCAACTTCTTACGACGAATTTCTCCGGCAGTCAACGACAATGAATAATGGTCCAAGTGTTATATACCTCCCTTAATTTGTGGCGTGTCAGGCATTACTTGGAAAATGTCTGACCCATTCATCGACACGACTTCCAAAACAACAGTCGATCTACTTGACGATTCAAGTCTCACATACTTTATTCCCCTTACTACGGACTTCAAAGTCGAAGACGCGTTCAGAAATGATATAGAGAAAGCTGAAGAACCGTTTAGCTCAGTTGAGCGACGGGAATCTCTTTTCTTTGGTTAGCATACCCCTATCTCTTCCAAGGGTCTGTTTCTCACCATGCTCATTATTAGACCCCAGATGAATCCGTTGATATTTATCTCGTCCTCAAATGCTCCTACGTCGAACAAGATATCTTGCGATCCTCTCTACGAAGTCTAGTCATTTCTGTTGAGACACAGATCGTCAATGGAACAGCATCAGACCGCGATGGCCAACCACCCTCTGAAATAATCTCTACTGGAACCGTGGGCAATGATCAGGACCCTACCATATTAATTGGATTCTTAGGAGGTCATGACGACCAGGGTGAGGAGGACAGCCGGCAATATACCGTTGCGGTATGGAAACACTCGGTATTCATTAGTCGGCCTAGGATGCGACTGCAGAGTCCCTCGGTTGTCTTCACAGCTACCGCGGGCCTGAAACCAACAGTCCCATCTCTACTGGATAGGCCTAGTGATGCGTACCTACCTAGTGGTGTCGCCTCAGGCCTTAATCTCCTCGGGTCCTTTGGGAACGACCCTGCTATGAATGGTATCAAGCCTCGCCTTTCAGCCCTCCGAGTGTCTCGCGTTGCGCCGGTCACACACCAAGATGAAGACGCGCTACAACCTATAAAGTCGTTGTCTAAACTCTCCCTACGCATTTACCCTGCCGCGCACTCGCGCATGCGCTTTACGCATCTTAACACGACTCCTTCTACCGCGACTGTCCTTGCAATGCTCGAAGTTGATTTTACGCCCTTCTTCGAGTGCGAAATCATTCTCGATAAGATATCAATATCAGTGGCAGATGGCCTAGTGGAAGACCTTACGAGTCAGGCTGGAATGCCACTTCCGGTATCTTGTGTAGCTCATGATCATGTCACGTTCCTATATCGCCTTTCACCGGCCGATGCAGAAGTAGTATCGAAGAATCCAATACGAGAGCTCAAGATCGCTATCTCTGCGATGGCCCTACTACGGCCAGACGTCTGCACGCCTCGCTTGAGCATGGCGTGGACTGCTACAGTTGATTTTACTATCCCCGTGAATCCGGGATATGGCTCTACTATGCAGCCTATCCAACGCATGCACCGTCCAAGTCAACTTTCGATAGGGGGTGAGAGTACAATCTCTTTAACAGCACCTTCTGTTGCTCGGCCAGACTCGCTACCTTCTCTAGAAGCTTCAACACGGGCAGAGACATCCGTGCCCGATATGGGTATTACTATGACATTCACTTCTCCATATCCGGATCAGCAGATCTTCCCAGGCGACGAGTTTGTCTGGAACGTGTTTGTTGTTAACCGGTCGCCAGCGCCGTCGGCGATACCAAGGAAGTTGGCGATAGTAGTAGTTCCAAAGCGAAGACGGAACGAATCACGGGTTAACCGTCCGCCCTCGGTTTCTCGATTACCTGAAGTCTCACATGGTCAATTCCAACAGTCGAAGATGCCAAAAGATCGGAGTGTGGCAGACGCTATCCTTGACGAGAATGTCGTCCACGCTATGCAGCACAGCAGCATTATCGACAGTGCGGAAGTAGTGTGCCTCAGCGCGGATGTCAGAGTTGGCCCACTCGCACCTGGAGCATGTCACGTTGCGGAGCTCAAGTTTCTGGCATTGAAGGAAGGTATTGTAAGTGTAGAAGCTGTGCGAGTTATTGACCTGGCAAATAACGAGCATGTGGACATAAGGGAGTTGCCAACTGTTATTGTTAAAGGCAAGCATGAGAGCTGATGGGTATGATGAATTGTGTTTCCCAAGTGGTTTTCGAGATACACCATGAGTACCTTGCCTTGTCAATACAATATGATTATTCGACTTTTAATATCCTATTGCCCCAACTCTGTGCATGATACAAATTTCTTCAACCTACATAAACAGGCCAAATATCTAATACTTGATGAACACACTTTCCTTACAACATGTACTAACTAATGATGACTAGAAAGAGTAGCTCTTAATCCGATACCCCATTCTTCTCAGTCCTGTATCCTTTACGTAGGGGTATCTCCAGCTGAACACATCACGATAAATCCTTCCCTTCGTGGTATAGTCGTGGTGTTAGTGAAGCGCAGGTTTGCCGATCCCTCATTTCATTATTACAAATGTCCGTGAGGCAATCTCGAAATGCATCCAGATGCTCTCCTGCATGGATTTATTGGTGATGTTCCACGGTATACTTGTAAATAGCCATTCGATGGAAGTATATTAGCTGAGTTCCTTAACCCATCCATACTTCGCTCTCGAAGAATCGAATCCTGCAATCTCGGTTAAACCCGGGCGGTTTGTGCCACCAAAGAGGTGGCGTCCAATAACAATGTTCATGATCATTGATATTTTGAGTGGCTGTCGGCGCCTAATGATACCAGCAGTATATTGTAGGCCTCAGCCCGCCTAGACAGAGAGACTCGCCGGAAAAAGCATAAAAAAACCAGATCCTGTTGTTTCTCACAGACCATTTTCAATCATGAAAACTCCGTGTGAATATCCCTTAGAAATACAGCGTTTATCTAACTATTCAGCATTCGGATACGAGTCCCCTCCCCAATCCCGAAAAACCCGTCCACCTCGTCGAGGCTCAGTCGGTTGACAAAGCCACGCCGTCTCCTATACCTGGGGTACCGCACCGCCTCTATCCACGTCAACGATACGCCGATGCAAACCCGCGAGACCTGCGAGCACATCCTGAAGCAAGCCCAGCGGCACGACGGGTGCCGCTATCACTAAGCCGACGCGACCTACGTCAACCAAAACGGCGCCGCGGAGAAGACCGATTTATGGGGATTATCAAAGAATTAGAGGCTGTTCGAAAGCCCAGGCTTCGAGCAGTGGTTTTTCCGATCCACGCCATAAATACACCGGAACTAATATATTTCTCACATTCACATAATTAGAGAGTGGGCTCCCTTTTAAGCCCTCTAGGAACATTACATATAGTAGCGATCTAATGAACTCAGGGTCCTCAACCCAGACTTATACCCCGTAAGTATCATCGATTTACGACATTTAGAAACATAAGTTCGGGAATTTTATCATCGCTAGAATATGTAGGTACTAATTATCCGCCTCGAAAACTTCTGCTACATCGAGTCTCTCTCGGTGCAATACCCCCCACCGTTCAGCTGTTCGTGTGCGTGATGTTACGGTATAATCTCCGAGAGTAGAGCTCTAGATCACGCAAGCTTTCCGGTGTGTCGGATCGCAATCCGAATCTCGTCCTAAATTAGGAAAGGCTTATGTAAAGGATATCTGGTTCCCTATATTAGGTAATTCCTGGGTGTGTAGGATGCTCGGTTGGATGTTATCCTTGTAGCGCCTGGGTATGGGAGAGAGGGTTCCATAAGCGCAGAGTCGAATCGATTCGCTGTGATCTGAGCAAGGGTTGCGAGACAAATTATCGATCTCGTCAGAAGTGACAGACCCGAGCGAATCGCGACTAGAATGCCGCATTGAGTCCAGCAGGTCCAGCTGGGTGGAAACGCACATGGCATGTAAAATGAAATCGACATTGAGCTGTCGACTAACGACAACTAATAGCATATCGAGTTCTGCGCACTACAATCACCTCGCGTATCTAGTCGTCATTAGTTCGGGACTCTATATAGTTTCGAGAGATTTAGCCTGTCGATCTCCACGCTAAGATGTGTGGATCTCGGCAGAGCATAATAGCGTAAATTGTGGGAGATCTAGTTTCTTCCAAGTATCATCACCGCGTCTCGTCGTACCCCTATTATAGATATTCACTGCATACTATCAATGCTATCATGGCTAGTTGGGGAGCGAAATCGGGACAGAAAAGACGAGAGAGGCTAAGGATAGTATCTTGTACATTCGCGAAAACATAAAGTTGTCACGATTAGAAACTCCATCGACCCAAAAGAGAACCCTAGTCTAGTTCTCGGTAGCCAAGCCGAGCACACCATCCAGCTCGTCACCTACCAGATAGAGCCACCGAATTCTAAGCTAACTATAATGTACCTACCTTATGTAAGGAATTTTCACGACGATCAACTATTCATTTACCTTTTTGTTAGTTTTTCCTCTTTCTTCTAGTTTTTAAAAAAACTCTTTGGATGATACAACGTAGTATGCAAGTGTCTGTTACGATGCGTCTGTAAATTACAGCTCGAGAGGTCGTAACCATGGACCGCTTACGCCTATAACAAGATCTTATGGATTCTCGAAGATGTCTAGATATAGGCGCGAGTTCACATGAACAAGGGCATTAGTCAAATAATGACTTCGGTGGTCACAAACCTGCCTAGGTGGAGGTAGACAACTGACATCTGCAGGAATGGTTATGCATATGCGTGAAACCCACGAGTTCGCAGATTCCTGCGTTCATGGTAAAACGCATATAATGTGTCGTTAAACTAGGTACCTACCCAGGTACCTATAGTTAGAATATTCTATACGGCCGGGAAGAATATAGCCATAAACGACCCAATAGACACTTACACTAGGGTCCCTAGCATAAACCAACATAGACCGCGGCGTTCTGCCCCAGATTTGAGGCGTCTTGCCAAGCATAATAGAAGGATGGCTCGGTCTTATAGCGGCCGTTATTGGTTTGGTGTTTGCTGGTTGCCGCTGAAGAAAAGATCCATAGCGGTACTCGTTGATTATCTTCATTAGAGATCGAGAGAAAGGGGCTAGTACGGCGCCACGAATGTGTCATATTTAGCGACAAGCGTCTAGCGCCATATATATCAACGACGTTAGTACGTAAGTTGATGGGTGAGCAGACGGACCGACATGGCCATTAGGTAGGTATGTTATGGGACATCACCTAGCTGAGTAGAGAATAGGTATAGGCCTACGGATTGCCATCGCCGAGATCATCCCAAGTACCACCTTAAGTCCCTTCATAGTCTAGCGTGTAGTCGCAACCAGCCACTGAGAACCTGAGATATACCTAGAGAATTTTGCTGCTTCGCACAAGACGACGATCACTTCGCAATTGGCTTAGAAGCTGTGGAACGACGATTAAGTTTTTTGCATGATTCCCCCCTGCCGTAGATCCAAACTTCCAGCTCGGTTACGACGAGTGTTGTGGGTTGACCATATACATATCCCCCATGGGATCCTCTCTATTGCCCGAGATCTGTATGTTTCGGATCTTGCTGCCATTTTGCTTGCCCGGTCTCGTTCCATAGGGCAAAAAGGCGAAACGTCAAAATGGCGGCGGAAGATGAACACCTGGGGCAGAGGATGAACGCCGTCAACTGGACCCTGACAGCGTTGGCGGCGACATTTCTTAGTCTGCGAGTATACTGCAAGTTTAGTCGACATAGGGGCTTGTGGTGGGACGATCACATCTTGATATTCGCTTGGGTACGTAATATCTCCTTGATATTTCCGGGATTCTCTCTAATACGTTGGGAAATAGATGTGTCTCGTCATCGCAGTTGGTTTCATCACCAGCTCGATATCCTTAGGATTTACCAGCCCGACAGGCCCTAAAAGCCCAGAAGATGCGACCCGACTTCAGATTCACGGGGGTGTACAAAACGTATTTTTCGGGTTGGCCACGGCTATGAGTAAGACGTCGTTCGGAGTAACACTGTTGAGAGTCACGGAAGGCCGTATAAGAATGCTCGTCATGTTTCTCACCGTCACCTTGAACGTGGCCATATTCCTTTACATCATCTTCACGTTCTTCAAGTGCCAGCCGGAAATCTATTCTTGGATAAAAGGACCTGGCTGCTGGAGCACGGAGAAATACATCCATTATGGGATCTTTGCTGGAGGTACGTGAGTTCTATCTCCTATGTTAGTTATGTTGCTAACTTGGTGAATAGCGTACTCCGCGTTTGTGGACTTTTCGTTCGCAACGATTCCCTGGTTCTTGATCATGAACCTTCAGATGAGAACTAGGGAGCGGTTCGGAGTCGCAATAGCTATGAGCTGCGGTGCAATGTAGGACATGATGGCCTCGGTATTCGACTGTTCGCTAATTGATACCTAGTGCTGGGGTAACGGCTATCATGAGATGTGTCTACTTACCTCTTCTCGCTAAAGGAACATTTTCTAGTAAGTGGACGGCATTATGAACGATGGACGTATTGACAACTAACTCTCCATAAGCCCAAGGAACAACACTTGTTATATGGTATGTGGCTGAATCATCGGTTACCATCATCGCCGCGTCGATACCCGTTCTGCGAGCTTTGATAAAGGAGATATCATCGTCCATCGATCGCTACGGCCGTAGCACTGCGAACAAATCCGGCATGAAAAGCCAGACGAGAAGTACACCTAGGGTCCTACATCCAAGTAATATTGTTACAACGGTGGTCAGCTCCCGTAGAGACCCTAACGAAGCTGGCGATGCGAGTAGCGATAAGAGTATTCTTGACGCAGCGCACGCACCAGGGAAAACTTCGCTGGGAAGGATTGTACAGACACAAGAGGTTAGGCTGAGTTACCACGATCGAAGCGATATGGATAGCGAAGCAGGATATGAGATGGAATACATGGGGAGGAAGTCGTCTTAATCTATGATACCCTTAATTATCATGAATTCATGTGTATGAAGACCTGATACGATACTCACGATATACATACAACATAAAAGCGATATGGTTTTAGCCTACAAGATATTATCAAAACTGATTCGGACGGGAGCGTTTCTTAACTTGAGGGGATTATGTAATATCATAGAAGTGTCGCGATTCAGAGAGGCAGAGAAGGGTCCTCGTAAGCACATGTACAGAATGTACAGAATCGGAGAGTCCGTATGAGAAAATCGACGATCAGTGACGATCTTTAAAACTTACCTCAAGTTTCCATAATATCAATCACTGCCAAAATGCAGAAAACTTGTTTCCATCACAGATAAAGTGAGCTGTCATCACCTTAACCGACCCCCTCACTTATTACGTCACGTACCTATTTTTCAGAGTTGCTGAAGTCCGTTGCTCTTTAGTTATGCTGCTGTGTTGTCGATGGTTTTATAGGTGAGAAATACAAGTATTATGGATGATTCATTAGAAGACGTAAAAGTTGATAGTCACGATGATATGGCAATAGTTCCTTTGTGCCCGATCCGAAATTCGTCGGATCGGAGACTTGTCTCAATTTGATTGAATTGATTGCATAGAAGTAATATGGGGACGATTATGAGGGAGCTAATTACATACATCCGACCTGACGGGTAGGGTGGGTAGCAAATGCATGCATGTTTGTTTGCACGCCGCAGCCCCTAGATGGACCATGTAACCCCTGATCATGGCTACCTGACGGATACCGATATTGTCGATATTTTCCTTAATGATAAGAGCATCAGGGTCTCTCAACCTTGGAAAAGAGAGTGTCCAGAATGTGCTGAATGTCTTGAATCATATGATGAGCGGTATGATAGCATCCCGCTGTGCGCCAAGCCGGAAATGGTCAAGTTGAAAAGCCACACCGCAGATTTATACCCAACAGCACAGAGCTGACGTCTTCTAATGCGGCTGAACTAGAACTGAAGGGATGACGAAACCTGCACCGGATGCTCGGATCGACAAATAAAATTTCATCAGTGCGGATCCGACTCTACCGCCCCATCGGCCATCGGTTTTTGCTCTGTTTCTAGTCAGTCTGGTTCGACAAAGCCATTGAAATCCATTGAAACCCATTCAAAGCCAGCCAAAAGCCAACCAAAGCCACCTAAGACCACCCAAAGCCGTCCAGAACCATCCTATCTAGTGGGCTGGTTCTGGGATAGCTCGGGAAATCCGGCACTTCCAGAGCTTCTTAGGCTTCCCAACCCCGATTTATAAGTTCTAGCGTGATGTTGGCTGCACGTTTTCGAGCGCCTTCGATGGCTTTGTCCGCTCTACCGCTATCGTCGGACACTCGGAGAACGAATCCTGATTACTAGGTACTCTTCTCTCTCACTCTCACTCTCACATGTCTTACTATGGTCCGTGACGTTATAGATAAATCGCTCAGTATAAGGTCATCATCCTGTCACCCTGCTACTTTCCTATGACCTATGACTTTGTTGCACTGCTATGGAACTTAAATCTCTACCGACACCACGGACGGCCAAAATACTATTAGACTAGCTCAAGCGCTGGCTTAATTACTTGCTTCTCTAGTCTCCCACCGCCCGCTTCCATCTCCACCCAAGGGTTTGCCAATTCTAAGAACCGAGTCTCCTAACGAAAATGGCCGGTTTCGCCAAGACCCTCATCGTAGCAATCGTCGTCTGCATCGTCGTGGTGGTGATAGTGACCGGCCTTTTAATCTACATCGCACTCAACTGGTCCAAGATACTACGCCGTGTCACTCCCGACCGTTGGGCATCTCCGCCGAGCGAGAAATCTACCTGGCCGGAGCCGAGACCATCCGGCGAATTCGTCCCTTCGCCTATTTCGTCTACGAGATCGTCGAGATTTAGTGCCGATCCGATGATGACCAAATTTACGGAAGGTCAGGGCGAATCTATAACGCCGCCTCCCAATGTGAAAGCCTAAAGAAGAGGGATACATCATTCCCTCTCTTCCGATATGAGGTACGAGCTACGAGTTATGAGTGGGATTTGTATATACGGTGTCATCAGGGAAGAGACTGTTTATGGACTCATTTAAGAAGCGGTTGCATGGTTCAGCATCACTGCTAGGCGTTTGGAGTTTTACCACGGTCGCATTGTATAAAGGGGTCAACATACGGGGGCATATGGCATGAGTGAGATTTCGTATCACTAGGCCGCAAGGTCCGACGACTCTAGAATATAATAATCGCATTAGGGACATGGAATGAGATTGTTATTCATCAAAAAGGGCCTCAGAGACACTGTGATTTTGAGCTTGGAAGAACTTGCGAGCATGCTTCCTAACACTAATCGTTTAGAACCTCAGGGACACCGGTGCCATCAACTTCAGCATATCCATGACGTAGTACGACATAGTGATAACGGACCATTCATTCGACGAAGCCATCGGCGGCCCTAACTAACCTCCACAACGAGAACGTTTAGGTAACGGGGCGGGCCGACAACGCGATACGAAGGTTTAACCACAGCGGTTCGAGGAAGTCTGTTTAAACAACGAACCCTAGCCAATACGTTCGGTCCACGAAAATTGACAGAAGCCAACACCACCGCTGACTCTAGGTAGTCTAGGCTATACCGTGTGATACCATACCTAACTACTAGGTACCTGTTTATACATCATAGGCCGCATGCGACGAACAAAGAAACCAAACCGCTTCCCAACCCAACCCAACCCATCCCATCCGACCTAAAGCATCGCAACAGCGCCCACAACCCCAACAACCACCACCGCCGCCGCCGCCACACCCCCCGTCTGCCTCGCCACCGCGCCATTCCCACTCCCACTACTCCCCTTCCCCGTCCCCGTAGCCTGCGCGACCTTAACACACCCCGTATCCGCAAACGCCGTAACAAGATTAACCGCGTCCGTAATATTCGCCGGGGAGAAGCCGAACCCGGAGATCGTAGTAGCGGAGGGCAAGGGGTTACACTCCGCATACACGGAACTAATGTTCTTCGCGTTGGCAGCGACGAAGCTGGCGAGCTGGGTCTGGTAAGAAGCAGCTGCTGTGCGGAGAGAAGAGGGGAGCGCGGAGACGAGCGAGGAGGCTACGGCGCAGGGAGAGCTGGCGAGGGCGCCGGTGTTGATGTTGGGGGTTGCGGCGGAGAGGTAGCTGATTAAGGCGGTGTTGGAGGGTTTGGGCAGGTCTTGGACGAGGACTAGGGCGCCGGGGACGAGGCAGGGGATGGAGATTGTGCGCGTGGGGTTGGGGGTTGATGTCGCTGTGGATGAGGGCATGGGCATGGGCATGGGCATGGTCATTGACATGGACATGTCCATCGGCATCGACATGTCCATTGATGAGCTGCTGGATTGGGCGAGGGCGTTGGGTGCCAGGCTCGCGATGGCGAGGATGGTGATTTGGTGACGCATCGTGGTGAGGGATTATCTTTTGATTAGAATATAGCTGTAAGACGATATTGTATTAAGCTGGTGATGAGGGACCTATTTTAATTTGATAAGAGGCAGTGATCGTAGATGAGGGTAGGTCAGAGAACACGTTGAACTTATAACCCCTTTGGTAGGACTTATTCCGCTACATGGATTGCTTGCGAAGTGAGCTTAACCTACAGAGAAGATAACTCAGCCCGAGTCATACATGAAACATAACTTGACCGGGTTGAACCTGACGGAGAGGTAGCACAGCACCATCACTTTCCCCGGAAATACTTACCGATTCTTGTCTTACAAGAAATCCCTTATAGTCCTACTTACGCGACAGTGGATCTGGACGAGACGGGTGACATGTTGGTAACTACGTGTAACCAAGGAAGGCGAATTCGCTAGCCTATGTTACGGTGTTGTGTATTTTAGGAATCATGAATATCTAATCATGATATTCGGTAGAAGTTAGGGGAATCCTATAAGTGTTACCAAAACACCGCTCTTACGCACGTAACTGAAGAAGATACCTCGCATACCAACCTACGAAATTAGAATCAGCTAATGCTATAGCCGTCCAATAACTGACCAAGGTACCTACCTATATTAAAATGACAGGCTCTTGGTACCGACATGAAGATGTTGTGCAACCACTCAGCTGGGATGATGGATACCTATCGAGGTGCGGTTTAACCACACATCGAGTCCTACATAGGATTCGAGAAGGGGATACAAGTGTTACGGGGCCGTTTTAACTTGTTTCCAAGCCATTTATTTACCAGATGTCTTACTAATTCGCCGTCGCGGATCTCTAACATTTCAATTTCCAAACACCAAAGCCATCTATCTATGTTGATCATGATATTCTGACTTAGACATGGGATTTAAGTTGACAACTCTGAGAGGATGCCTATCAAACCACAAAAAGACGATTCACTACCACACAATGCATCTAAGTCCAAGGATACCGTTGATGAATATTTTATTATCAACAAAAACGCAGGATCAAAATCCCATTGTTATAATACTAGCTAAGTGGCGCCCGAACACAGGCTCATGTTTTCTTTCCATCTTATACACGGCTCTCTCCTCCACAGCCAACCGCGTAAAAATACAAGCAGAAGAGTCCGTCTCGTCTCCATACTCTACCCAAAAAACATTACATATACAGCTCAGCCAGTCCGCACAGAAGTAGGTAGGTAGGTAGGTAGTGTGTTCAACAAACATTATACAAAAAGGCCCCAAACCAAGCCAAGTGCAGGCAGGTTTTGTCTCCTCCATCAAATATACAACATTCTCTAGCATGCTAGAACGAAAATAAAAAAGCCAAAAAGCCAAAACACAAAAGCACCAAAGTAATTCTTTTAATCCCAACGCCAATCCCGATCCGACAGCATGCTGCGCTAGCAAAGCGTGACGGGAAACGGATGCCAAAAAGAAACAAGCCTGTAAATGCTCAAAAAAGCAGCGCAAGAAAGGTACCTAGATAGATAGATAACGATACATGCATGACGAGAGTTATATGCCGATGTTCATGGGAATCGTGAGATCAGACGCAGACGTATCAAGCACTACTACAACCACTCCGAAAGACCACGGTCTAGTTCTGCAAGCTCCTGAATCGCGACTCGAAAGCCGACACCTTCTCGGCCTGGAGCTCCTTCTCGAGCTTGCGCGTCTGGTTGACGGCGGCTTCGCGCTCCTCCTGCAGCTGCAGCACCTCGATCTGCGCCGTGTTCATCCGGCCGACGACCTGCTGCATCTCCGCGTCCGCGTCGCTGAGCGCGTTCTCCAGCTCTGCGACGCGCGCGCGCAGGTTGTCGATTTGCGACTCCTCGGATACGTTCATCGCTGGCCCTGAACGCGTTACTTCGAGGCGAGGGGAGCGAGCGCCGGAGATGGAGAAGAGCGGTGATAGCGGTGATTTCGAGGGGAATGTGCGTGGGGACCGGAGGCCGTCGCGCATTCGCTTTAGCTGCTCGTTGTGGCTGGCGCGGAGGGTGGAGATCTCTTCCTCGTGGCGTCCAATTCGGTCTTCGGAGGCGTTCTGTGCTGCCTCTAGCTTCTCCTCTAGGCTACGGAGGTGTGCTTGCATCGAGGTAATGCGGTCCTTGTTGGACTTCTGCTCCGCCTCTCCGCGAGCTACGGTATCCGAGATTCGTTGGCGCAGGGTCTGGTTGATGGTGAGTTGCTGGCGGACTTGGACGGCTAGCTCCTCGACGCGACGGGCCGACTCGCTGAGTTCGTCGGCAAGAACCTTTTCGGATTCAAGGTAGACTCGCTCGCCGGCCTTGAGGGCCTCGAGTTGCTCCTTGTAGGATGTTGACTCCTGGATGGCGAGGTCGCGCTCCGAAATAGTTGTAGAAAGAGTTCGCTCGAGCTTCTCTATCGCGCGCTTGGTGAACTCGTCTTGGGAGCTGCTGGATTCCAAGTTCTTGATGCGCTGAAGAGATTCGGCATAGGCCTTCTGAAGTTCTGCATAAGCTACCGTCAAAGACGCCGAAGTCACGGGGGTTGCTGATCTATCGCTGCTGTTGCTGTGACGGGCGAGAGAGGGGGGGATGAGGATGTCCTTCTCGTTGAGTAAGCTTCTGAGCTCCGCAATCTCTTGTTCCGCTCGGTCGAGATCCATCTTAAGGCCACCGAGTCCTTTCTCTACTTGCCACTTCGAGTCGAGCGCTTCTTCGGCTCTTCGGCGCAAGACATTGATTTCAGCTCGTAGATTTGAGATCTCTCTCTGGAAACCGGCTTTCTGCGGAGATTCGGTTAGAAGTCGATCACGCTCAACCTCAAGGAACTTGATCTTCTTTTCATTTTCCTTATTCTGGTGCTCTTGTCTGTCCAAGAGGTTCTTCAGGGCCCTGTGCAGAGCGTCTCGTTGCTCCTCTACGTCCTTTAGTCGTTCCGATAGTTGATCTCGGGATTCAGTCGGGGTCGGGATCTTGACCGTTTTAGATCGCATCATGCCGGAAGGAGGTCGCTGAAGCTTGAAGGATGATGGCGGGCCGGTGAGAGAGTTAGATCGAGATAATCGAGATCCAGCAAATCCGCTCTCCTCTGAAATCGTATCCATAGAATTGGCCTGCATCTGCTTGAGCGATGTGTTCTCAACTTTGAGTGTCTGAAGCTCCTGTTGCAATTTTGACGATTCGTAGTTCATCTTCTCGAGTTCGACAGCTTGTGCTTCGAGACCCTCCACACGTGCCCTGAGATTGGGAACGATCTCATCCCGAAGGTTGTCGCGTTCGTTCGACGCATTCTGTAACTCGTCCTTGAGCGCTGTAAGCAAGTCCTCGAAGTTATCCTTGACCTGGCGCTCTTCGGTAAGCTTGCGCCGTAGTGTTTCGCATGTGCTTTCTAATTCCTTAACACGTCCGCTAGCATCGACGTTGTTAACTTTCGCGAGGTCGATCTGAGATGCTCTTTGCGAGAGTTCCTTGATCTGCTCGTCGAGCTCTGATCTCCTAGACCTTTCGTCCTGGAGTTTGTTGGTCAACTCAAGCCTGATCTGGGCCTTCTCCTGCTCCGACCTCCTTTGGATCTTCTCGATCTCTTCCCTTGATTGATCATATTCGCTCAATTTAGCCGAGCTGTATCCCGAATCCGAGAAGTAGTCGCTGGTCCTCTTGTTTGCTGTTGTTGTAGGGTTATCCCTCTCTGTTTGTAATCTGTCAACTAAATCTTCTAGGTCCATCTCGCGCCGAATTGACGCAGCCAATTCGGCCGAGATGGCCTTTAACTCATCTTCCATCTCTTCGATTTGATGGTGAGGCGAATACGTAGCGGTTTCTGGTGTTGCCAAGTAAGATTCGCAATATTCTCTAGAACTGGGAGATCCGAATGCCGCCTTGGGGGCGTCAAGTAGTGATTGTGGTCCAACTGTTGTGACTGGGGATGCATCGGCGACGCTGGTTGTCTTTGAGAATTGGAAAGGCGAAGGAAGAGGCGAAAACCCTTTGTCCGAGGCCTCAGTGTTAGAAGGCGAGTTCCAGCCAAAGAAGTTTCCTAGCTTTGATGAATTTGGTGACTTGGGTAGTGGTTTGTCAGTGTTTGGAGTTCTAAGTTCGTAGTTGTCAGATAATGAATCGGCTGGCTTAAGATTCAGTTGTGGTGGTGTCTTCCGGGTGACATGCAACGACATAGTATTAGTATTAGAATTACTATTATCGGACGAATCTGAGTTATATCCGTCGAAAATGTGCTCGCTCAGTGGATCCTCCTCTTCGTCACTGAAAAGATCGTCATAGGTGGACTGGTCGTGAGGTTGCGACAGGTCGTTGGTGTGGTGTGTTTGAGGTGCGTCAGGGTTGTCAGCCCGAGAACTTGGACGTTTGACCTCACCCGCTAGGTCAGCCGAGATGGAGTCGGCAGAAGCCAAAGGATGACGAGTGGCGGAGGGTTTTCTGGTTAAATTCGAAAAATTAATTAATTAGCATTCCGAATTTAGACTATTCGCGTTGGATTGTTATTCATATATATTAATGGAATCCTGACTCACTCTTTACCTCCCTGGATTAATACGAAATCCTCAGGTGATTCGAATCCGATCCTAGATATCGGAGGACGAGGGAACTCATACACCGTAGGGCTATCCACCGAAAAGGAGCGAGAAAAGCGTTGATCCGGCCTGGCCAACCCGTTTGTCAGGGCCAAGTACTCTCCAGAGGAATATCTAGCGGTAATTGGCGACGCGGTGGACGATACTGGCTTCCGTCGAATGGACCTGGCGGGCGGCGATATGATAGCTGAGCTGTCGATGACGAGACCTCTCGTGTTTCTCGAGACCGGCGATTCGGGAACGGGGTCTAAGGAATGCGATTGGTCTGAAAGGGAAGGAAACGGCTGCGGCTGCTGCTGCTGAAGGAAAGACAGATCAGGTGAGGCATGGGGAGTCTCAGAGTTGGCCGTGAAGGAGGGATGGTGCGGGTGGTCTTCCAAGCTCTGGCTTTGGTTTGACATAGACATGGTGCTCTGCTTGATCTACTCCTACTCCCTTGTCTTATCACTCATGACTAGTCGACTAGGCTGCTAGGTTCTCTGGGTAGTAGGAATGAATGTGTGGAGAGGTTACAACCCAGGCCAAGAGATTATTGATTGAATCGGTCTGCTAGACAAACTGGTAGGTGGTAATGTTTCACTGGCTGACTGGCAATAATACCATAGTAGAGAAAGGCAACCTTGAACTTCAACCTAACAAAACCTAGGTTGTCGACAACCAAGAAAAGTGAGAGTAGAGAAAGAACGAAAAGCACCAGAACTCGTCTGGGCCAGGGTGTGAGTTGTGTCGAAAGGGGTATGGCGGCTTAGACTACGACTAGGTAGCGTCGCAATCGGTCTTTTACACCATTATTAGGCCATTATTAGGCCATTTAAAGGAGCAAGGATATTAGATAGACTGTCGAAAGCACTGGCAGCTATGTGGCTCCTACTTTTTCCTACTTTTCCTCCTGCTTGCAGCTGCACGCGCTCGCAAGTTGACAGACATTTGCTGCTAGCGCCTAAGTCAGGTAAGTTTCCCCAGTCGTTCCCTTGCTTGGGCTTGAATGGTTCTGTTCTTGGTTATTTCTGGGTCTCTTCTGGGTCTCTTCTGGTCTGTATGGCTTGAAGGAAGGCATTCTACTGGCTGGTCATTATCTTGGACCCCTGCCTATCTTGCCAACCACTCGTCAACATTCCGCGTTGAAGACCCTGTCACGTCCCATTTTGGATATGCGCAATTTTAATTCCCCTGCCGGCACCTGGGCAGCGAACAAGATGGTTTGTAGGCGCTCTTGCGCGCATTTGGCTGAAGAGGGAGGGCGGAACTGGCTGAAGTGGCTGAACTGACGAATTATCTTTCTTCATACCTTCGCCAAGGATCCAGATCCTACATGTACTGCGCGTTCTCCTGCATATTCTCCTGCATACTGCAGGTACCAACTGCAGGCAAACGGCATTTAGGTAAATGATCGTCACAGCCCGCGGGGTGTTTGGTTCGCTTCGTGGTAGGTGTGCCGTACATACGCACATAGAAGGCAAGATGGTAGGTAATCTCAACTTCGCGATGTCGACTTTCCCTTTTTGAGACAGCCAGATAAAGAAAGATCGATCTCAATAATCGCATTGCCCGATCCATAGTAGCGCCACAGGCGGTTAACGACAATTGAAAGTCAATTGAAACCTATCGTGCCGAGTGGACTTGAATTGGGTCTTGAGTCTTGAATACCACTATGTACGCACCTACATATGCATTGTGTCATCATTACTGACAATATCAAATAAAAGAAAATAGCATAATAGCGCGCGGTAAGATATGACTTTAGACAGTCAAGACTAGTAATGACTACGACAAGAGTTACCGAAGCCACAAGGTCAGGGGTCCACGAGGCTCTACGAACGCATCCACGGATGGATATTACATAGTACATTTGTACGGTGCAAATAATAAAGATCAAGAAATCCGACCTCGATGCGCGCAAGCTTTGACCCTAATCAGGTCTAACCAAAGGCTAGAAGTTGATAGATGCTTGGAATTCTTTTATTAGCTCGAGCCTCAAAGATTAACGGCCCGCCGTACAACGTGTTCGACGTTGTACATTGTATCGGATGCACGAAACAGTATTATGTGCTGGCGGATTTCACGACATCAATCTGACTGTTTCAATTCTCGGGACGCCCGACATTTCGACAAATATCACGATATCAAATCACTTGCATACTAAGTGATCCTCGATGTTTCGCGGCAGCAAGACTTCTAACGCGTAGTTCAAGATATCTTCTAATACATAGTACATTTTTAGGGGTCAACAGTGGGCTGGCGCTGTAGATCAGGGGACCCTTCCCACTCCGCGATTAATTACTTGATTAACTGTCAGCACTTAGTCTATCCTTGTGCGCATCGGTGGAACTGTTTTCCAATGTAAGATAGATGACCGAAACTAGATTCATGGTCGCTCAAGTCAGCATGAAGACCTAACCGGTAGCTAACAATCAAATACGAAAAAACGAGGAATCGCTATGACGAATCAAGAATTCTATTAAAACCTAAAGGGATGACGATTGAATGCAGGATGATTTAACTATGGCGTAACTAAAATCGCATGACTAGAATCCGACTGGTAAAAATAGGTATTAACTAGCGCCAGGGACCATCCATAGAATTGAAGACAATAATACGTATCGGATGTTTCAGGACGGGATTGGCCAGAAGCTCTCATTGGTCATTTAATTAATGAAAAGAAACATTTCGTGATCCTAATTCCTGAAGGCTAAGTGGACATCATCGGAAGTGGGCTAATCTTGATAGTATGTCATGTGAGACATTCTCAAATAACTTAAGGGTTTCCTATTTCCTGTCCATTACGCTTAACGGTATGCTAAGCGACGACGAGCCGACTGTAGACGAGTTAAGCGGCACGGTTATGCAGCGGATATTTCGCCTACGATTCCAACCCCCCAAAACTCAAGGACTTATCTTGATTAAGAAATATTTCCGTACGAAGACCGATGCCAGAAGGCTGGAAACAATAATATGGAGTCCCCAAGTTGAGCTGCAGGGAATGGAGGCTCAAACTTGGAACCTGGTTTATCGCCTGCCTTGTCAGTGATCCTGGTAAGAAATCGCGAAGGCACGTGGATTGAAGCACAGCCTTCTCGTTAACAGAAGGTGATTTAAAGCTTCAAGTTCTTCATAAGATATAGCTCTAAAATTAAGAGCAAGTGAAATCCTCTTAGACTTTGAAACTCACTACGATCTCTTTTAGAATGTCGAATGTATTCGGCGAAGGAGCATCGTATATATGTAAGGCCAAGAACGTAAAGAACATCGCTTACTTATAAAAATAGGTGCAGAATAGGATCTAGATATGGCCTCAGCCTTATTAGAAATATCACCCCTGATGTAAATCGTAAAAGAGGCCCGTCAATTCAAAGAATCGAACAAGTCAAATAGGAGAAACAATATACAAAGTACAACAACCTGCCCCTTTAAGTGATTAGTCAGGGGATTAGGGCAAGAGCGACCGGCACAACGTCGGAGCTCCGTGCTTACCCTTTTTTTCGCACAAACGATATATACGGCATTTCCGAGCGAATCATCACAGCCCGGTTAGCTCAATCGGTAGAGGTTAGTAGACATCAATCATCCGATTTGATTCCTTCATCTTATACTAACTTCTTCCATAGCGTGAGACTCTTAATCTCAAGGTTGCGGGTTCGACCCCCGCATCGGGCTCAATTCCCGATGCATCTCTTTAATAGAGATACTTCGAATCATCTTTTTTTCGATTTTTTTTTTGCCCTTTGCCAAAACGCTTTATTGCCAGTGATGACAGTATTATGTCAGCTTAGAAGACGATATGGTGAAACCACCTAAGTTCTATGACTTTTTACTCCCTTGCTTCGCACAGGACGACCAACGCCAATAACTTGGTACTTCCCCAGTAGACAGCGTCGGCAAGTTCGGAAAGAATTAACCTCAGCCCATTGTTGTACGAGCGACACGCGCGGGTTTTTATTCCTGTGGGACGATGCCGATGCCTTGCTTCGTAAGAGCCTCACCGGGTTCTCTGTTTCACATGGACGATCCAGCAGGTAAGAAGTAGCCCCTGATGTTTCCCGGTTTCGTCATCGGCTACCAGCAGACGGGTACTGATCCGACATGGCGTCCGGACATTGCTTAAAAATCAATAGTCTGGTGGCTTTTGCATATAATACGTGGCAAGCCATCTAGCCGCTAGTATCATTATGTAGATAGAAATGGGAACTTCCGGTGTCCGTTGGCTGGTTTGATGACATCATTCAGGTAGGTACAGGAAAAGGTGATGTTCAATATTGTTCACTGATTTGCTTGCGCTCAGATAGCTAATATGTTATGTGCGATGATATTATGTATAGCAAATACTATGCCAATTATCTAGTAGTCAGTCACGCAAGTAAATATGGATGTATTGTACAAGTTAGTAATATTCCACGCTCTTCATGACAGTGTCCCTTCTCAAACGCCACGCCATGCAACTCTGAAGCACTTTTCAAAACACGCTGTTCTTGCTCCATTTATTAGCAGCTCTTATCCTCCTACCGAAGAAGTAGAACACAAAAGGAACCGGTATAAGCAAGCATGCGAACCCGGCGAATATGCTGGACCCGGGCCCGACTCCGATGTTGTGATAAAGGGGAGTGACGACAAGTGGGAAAGCGGCCGCGAAGCAGCTCCGCATGAATGTGTTGGCGGCTACGGCGCTCGCTGCGTACATTTGAAATGTGTCGACGAGGTAGTTGAGCGCGGCTTGGAAGATCGTGTTGAAGCCGCATCCGGAGAGGTATAGTCCGATGATGGGGACGATCCAATGTGCAACGGCCGGGTCCGCCGTCCAGCCGGTGAGGAACTGGCCGGATGCGAAAAGGACCGATCCTAACATCATGGGGGGCAGCCTCTTTTCAGGAACAGGTTTGTCGCCGACTGCGTGATATGATTTGTTGTAATAGAGCTGGTTATACATGTTGATACCGGCACCAGTGAGTGAACCGAGGAGGAGAGCTAAGAAGGGTAGTTCGGCTGGTAAAAGCGACCAACCCCTGATTTCTCCGAATATGATGGGAACTGCTCCGAGTTGCATGTAGAGGATTCCATAGCAAAAGCTAGCATATAGAGCAATGAGGAAGCAGATGGGTGTACAGAGCAACTGAATGGGACGGACGAGAAACTTCCTCGCAAGCTCCATGATGCTAACATCCCACTCCTCGAACTTTGCGTGTAGTGCCCAGTTACCCGTCTCGAACCTCAGCCGGCGCGCCTTATTGATGAGAAGTCTTGGCGGATACGTCTCGTCGATGAATATGACAGCGAATATTAGCACAACAGATTGTAGCATCCCAGTCGTATATTCAGTCCAGCGCCAACCAAGACTGGGTTGTACTACCACGGCGGCTGATACGATGGGTCCTAGTGTAGGCCCGCCCACAACAGCCATCGCATACCCAGCCATCGCGATACCCCTATAAGCCGGCGTGAACAGATCTCCAAGAACCCCACCAGTATTCGTGACGGGCGCCGAAGCGAAAATAGCGCCCCAGAACCGCATCAGCATGAGCGTCTGAAAGTCCTTCGCAGTCGCCGCCCCGAACGAAAAACATATCGAGATAAACATAGGCGTAAGCACCGCCACACGTCTTCCATAAACCTCCGACAGCGGCGCCCAGAGCAGCGGTCCTATACCAAAGCCGAGGAGGAAGAGGGTGGTGCCTAGCGTGGCGACTTGCTTGCCGACGTGGAACTGCTCGGCGATCTGCGCCGTGCCCGCGGAGTAGGATGAGGAAGCCCAGGTGGCGGTCATGGTGACTAGACCGTAGAGGAGCGTTGTCGATACTTTTTTGTTCCATGGCCAGTTCACGGGGCGGTAGGGATCGTCCAGCCCGTCGAAGTCGACGAGACAGTCTGAGCCGGTTTTCACTTTCGCGAGAGGGTGGCTGAATGGTGGGATTGCTGGCCTGGAGCGCACACGTGATAGGACGTTATCCCGACGGGATATTGTCCTCGAGAGGGACTTTGAGAGCGCGAGCCCGTTTAGATCATCGCGGCCTGTTGCGCGGATCTGAGATGGGCGCTGGTCAAGGGTACATGGCCGGTGGCCGTCGTGATGATTTTCTGTCTTGGGACATTCGCAACTTGACGATCCCCAGCTGGTGGGAGACTCAGCATCTGGAACTGGTACATTGGATGATCGGCCACGAAAGCGTTCAAGGTCGTCTTCGTCTTTAGTACCATTAGACATTATCACCTTTTCCAAAATCAATAAAGGAATTCGTTGGCAAATGCATGTCTGAACTATGAATTATGTAAAGAGCAATCGTGAGTAGCGTGATTCCGATTGCACATATATCTACTAGGGAGGCAGTTTACATCATAGGAACTCAGGCCGAAGAGCCGAATTTTGTCCCGATTCAGACTCCGATGACGTATTGAGTTTGCCAGAACCTACACGGGATCTTGGTTAGCGGCATTCTGTTCAAATAAAAGCTCTACCTCAAACTAGGCTTTCTCCTTGGATGATAAATATAATCACGGGATAATGCACTCTTAATCATTCCATAGGGAGGAAGGTATTGTTGTCTGCAATTAGGATCACGCAACGAGAAAAACACCTGAGGAAGTTCTAGCCATCATTCCCCGGCCCCGCTCCGGCCAAGACCGCCACCGAAAGCTCCGGGTATCTCCGAACATTGCACCTAATGTATTGGGCATTGGAATATCTAAAAAGAAGTCGAGAAAAGTATGAAAAACACTCTTAAGATTTCATATAATTAAAACTGGCTAACTATCAAATTGTTGAGGGAATTTTATAAGTCTTCAGATGATCCTGTCATCAGGAACAAGACGGGGAAAGAGAAGTAAACAGTGTTTATAAACCTAGTAAATGACGGATATGTTCAATCTGCATTGCCTCTATATACATTGGGTATGTATCTCTATAATTTTAGTATACAGTCGAGCTTTTGTTAATGTTAATATCCAACAATCAGCTAAGCACTATCACAACTTAATATTGAACCTGCCCCGTATCCTCTCGCCGAATATATAGAAAACGACGGGTATCGGGATGAGCGCGAGTGAGATGAAACCGAGCAAGCTGTTACCCCATCCGAGGCCTAAGGTGTTGTACATCTCGAGACCGCCGAGGGGAAGAAGCGCACCTAGCAACGATCGAAGGACGGTCATTGCGGCTGTTACAGATGCAGCGTAGCGGAGATACGTATCGACGAGGTAATTCTGGATGCAGAACTGTGTGATATGTTAGCTCTAGACATAGTGGCACTATATGTTCAAATCGTAAGGCCATGGAACTTACCAATACACCCATCAGTCCGGCACTGAATATGAGAACACCAATCATGGGAACAATCCAGTGCACCGCGTACTGGGTAGTCCATCCATAAATAAATAAGCCGATGGGGAGCGTGAGACCGCAGGGGATCGTAAGGCCAGGAACAAGACGAAGTTCAGGTTTATGCTCGATTCCCTTGGCTTGGTTTCGCTTGACCATCCAATCCACAATCTGCCCGAAGCCGATAACGCCAACGATGAAACCTATCCCAGCCGGAAGAAATGTGAGGCCGTTGTCACCCTCGCTGAATCCGTATTGGTCGGTGAAAACGAATGAGAAGGTCGTGATGAGAAGATATAGAATTCCGTAGGATATCGCAACGTAAAGCGACATAAGGGTGACGATCGGCGTCAATACCAAAAGTTTCACAGGGCGAACTATGGCCACCTTGAATTGATCTACAGGGCTGAGTCTTTCCGAGAGCTTGCTTTGTAGGTTTAGGTTTCCTGTCTCCTTGCGGAGCTTCTGGGTCTTGCGCTCGAGAAGGACAGGGGCGAAGGTCTCCTTGAGGAAGATGATAGAGACAGGGATAAAGATTCCGGCCTGTTTATGTTAGCTCGTACATGATGTAACGATTGGTAGTTAGGGCAACGTACGAGAATAACCATCAGCCAATACACCCACCTCCAGCCAGCGGCCTGGATTAAGTAACCACCGGCGATAGGGCCAATACAAGGACCCAAGAGAGGACCCAATGACCAAACCGACATGGCTCTACCACGTTTCTCGAGTGGCATGATGTCCGCAATCGTGCCGCTTCCGATAGTGATGGGGATTGATCCAGCGAGACCCATGAGTAAACGAAACGCCATCAACATCCCGATACTGTTGGCAAGAGCGGCGCCGACGGTGAAGAGAACGAAGATTATGTTACCAAACACGTAAAGGGGTTGACGGCCGATGATCTCGCTCAGCGGGGCCACAAGAAGCGGGCCGAAAGCAAAGCCTAGGATGTAGATCGAGAGAAGGAACGTGGCTACGGTAGACGACGTTGAGTGGAATTCCTCCATGATGCTAGGAATACCAGGGGCAAACATCGAAGAACCTAAGGGACTATGAAGAGTTAATAGGTATGAATGAGAGACGAAACTCCAGGAATGTGGGAAGGATGACACTTACGTTACGATGGTGATGATTGACACGATGCTGATATTGATCCATTTCTTGCCATCGGGCCAGTTCATCGGATTCTCTGGGTCGTCGGGTCCATCCCACTCGACGATGTTCGGGTCCTTCTCATCAGCACCAAGCGCGCGATTGTCCGGTCCCGCTTCAACGTCCTTTTCTGAATCTGGCTTCATGGTCGACGAATCCGAGTTGGGAGTTGTATTCACAGTCGTGGTCTCGACAGACTCCTTCTCCGCCTTGTTAGTATCCATGTTTAGTAGTCCCGGCTCCTTGGAATCTTTCACAATGCTGTAAAGAACCCAACAGTTCGGAACGATCGACTGGCCTAAGGAGACGATGCTACTTCGAAGGTAACATGACTCTGATGTGCTTGCTAAATATGGTATATATACTGCTGTTTTCGTGAAATCATCAAGGGGTTAACGGGAAGTCTATCGGTGGGTGCTCGGGGAGTGGCCGGGACTGACATGGGTCATTGGACGCATTATACAGCGAAATCGTCGGAGGGTCTTCGGGGGGTCGACTGAGTCTGGGGTATTTAAAGCCGTACTTGACGCTTGATTCCGGAGGTAACTGACATAATACGCTGTAAAGCCCGGCTACCCTTGGGCAGATCCACCCTTTCAATGCAATAATTTGAGTATCACCAACAGCATTACATTGAAATGCTACTTGTTATATTTGAGTTGCTTCAGGGTCTCTTGTTTTTGTATATATCGACGCACATCCGCGCATAGGCTGGATGTGTCGCATGCATCTCCAGTTGTGTTATTTCCTTCGCTCTACTAAACGAATTGCGTCTCCTTCGTCGTAATTTGAATATTTGTCATTACTCGGTGCCGCGTAGTATCACTGCTATTCGCTCGCTTTGGACGGATGATGCAATTGCGGCCACTCTCACCTGTCCACTTTACTCGGGGCCAGAGTCATGGGTTGGATGTCCTAATTAGGAAATGCATTAGCTCGAGGACATCTAATGGGCATATAAAACGACACCTAGGATTTCAATGTTTGATGGTTTATAACTTGTATGCGCACTTTTGAATGAAGTATTGACGTATGATGCTATCATTTAGTGTAGGAATAGTTAGTGGACAGACATCGACGAGGATATCGAGACTATGGGGTTAAACGCTGAGAAACAATAACCCTTACTCCAGGCTATCTTCAAACTGCACCCCATCCTAGTAAATGTCGTTGACGCGGAACGTCTGCAGATTTCTAAGGCGCGTCAATTGTCCAACATCGTTAAGCTTCGATAACTTTGCCTACCCCGGCCGCTCGCCGGGGGATCTGAAGAACCGAGGCTGGACATAGAAGCGAACGGGATACTCCTCGTACGTCTGTCCGAGAAGGTTTAAGTCAAACTTCTCTTCTTCCGGGTCCCACTATATCCGAGATCTAGGACCACCATATCGTCATGCTCGATACCTAGGTGCCTAGGTAAATACCGGATGTAAATGGGTAAATGGATTTTGCTTTTGTGCCTCTGAAATGTCGCATGAGTCACATGATTAACTTACGCCACAAATGGGTTATCGTAGCGATCATAGCCATACGGTGGGATAACTGTAGGTGATATCGTTCAGTAAATATTCTTAGTATGTATATAATCGCTATTTGAAAACTACCTACAGTAAAATAGAGATATACAACGACAGCCTATGGTATAACAATAATCCATTATAACTGTAAGGACCTTGGCCCCTTAATTAAGGAAATATATATACGCCGACGTCATATATGGTATAATATAACTTGTGAATAGGTCGCAATAGGATGTATCTTCCCTGATCATTATTATCGTACTATCGTCATCCACAAGTCTTCTAATCTAAGACATAACCGGAACGCCAGGCAATGCATCTCCAAAACAACATCTTATAAGCTTCGAAACCACACCTAGGACGACCTCTTTTCTCGAATCGTCTGTTGTCGAGTTTCCTCCAACTCCTTACGGACGTAGTCGTTGAATTCGTTCGGGTTGTCGAGGTATAAGTGATGCCCGGCCTTACTAACGATGATGACCTTCGCAGCCCCATTATCCTTTCGTTTCTCTTCCTCAGTACCGTGTAGTAATAGATTAACCTTAGCTTGCTTGAGCTTCTCCTCAGCTGCTAAGCCGCCCGCTACGTCCATCCAGTCGTTCTCGCCGTACATGAAGACGATCGGATACCCCATTTCCTTAACGGCGGGAGAGGATCCGGTTTCGGGGGTGATAACTTGTCTACCCACACGTTGGATTCTATTGATGATAGGACGCCTAGCGTGTGCGCCAGGAGCAAGGAGATACGGAAGTGCATATTCGCCACTTCCTCTTTGCTTGAAAATCGAGTAGGCGTAGTCATGAAGAGTCTGCTTCTCCTCCGGCGTCAGATGGTTGAATCGACGAGAGGTCCAGCCGGAAGTGACTCGTGGTCCCAGTGGCCCAGCTAATCGTATGATGCTAAACGGCGACACATTGGCATCCCATAACCAAACCAACCATGGAGGATACGGTCGCTTCTTCGGGGCATTGGCGTCAGGTTCTTGTCCTTTCATGTTTCCGTTCAGAGCCCTGTTCCCATGCCCTTCAGTTGTCGTCTGTTGGTCTGTAGAAAATTCTTCTTGAAACGACGATTCAGTGGGCTCCGGCATATCGGCGTTGACAGCGTAGGGATCCTCAGGTACCCCGACTGGGGAGGCGAGAATGAGCTTGTTTATATGACCTGGATATTTGAGCGCATAAGAAACACCCAAGTATCCACCTAGGGAATGTCCGAGAAGGGTAAACTTCTCGATCTTTCGAATTTTTCGCCACTCCTCCAACGCATCTATAAACCAGTTCTCTGCCTCCGTGATCTTGGTGGCCTGATCTTTTGCGCACACCTTAAAAGGTGGTCTGGTGGAATTGCCCATTCCTAGCCAATCCAAGGCGTAGATTTTCCAACCCTCCGAACGGCTTAGATTCTCGAAGTTCTTGTAGTAGAATCCCAGACCGGCTCCGTATCCATGAAGCATGACTAGCGTGTCGTCAACTGGTTCTGCGATGCGCTCTACGGAGAATTCGTTCAAAGCTCTATTCTTGCCCGACAAAGCAACCATTGTAGACTTCCATACTCTTGGTCCGTAAGGATCGATCTTTGTCGATGTTTGAGTCTCGCCAGGATGTTCTGCCGACGGGATATCCGCGCCAGAGCTCGTCGACAATGCGACGGCTTCTCGAAGATATGGGATACATGATATGACGTTACGTTCAGCTATCGTGGGGGTGACACTATTCCACTGCAATTTGGTCAGAATCGATCTAGTTGTGTGGCAGCTAGTTTGGCGACAAGAATAGCAGACGACAAGCAATGTGACAACACTAGACAACACATACCCATTGGTATACGGCTTCTTTGTAGCCTAGAGGGAACATTCCCATACTAGGCGGTTGAGTGGCCGGTTTCCCTTCCGGCGTTTGCTCTTTGGCTCTCCTCGGGGCTAACATTGGCCTTCGTAATCGCGGTGGTCTTCCGATAGGTATACTAGATGGCACAGGAACAGATTCTTCGGTGGGCGTGTTAGCCTTATGTGAAGGATTGATGTTATCGGCGTGCTGTATTCGCGCAACAGTGGTGACAAGTTTCCTCGACTGGGCAACAGCTGAACTTGGACTTTTGAGCATACCGGAAAGGTGGCAAAGCCGGCCACGCCTTGTCTTATATGGGGGTTACGGGTTACGGGGGCAAACTCCGAGACATTGGTAAGGGAGGCTGTGAATGGCGATAAGGAATACAGTACTTTACTGTACCGTTCCACGTATCACCTCCAGGCAGTCAAATGATGACACAACACCAGCCGGGGAATAACTAGAACCTGATAGTGCGGAAAGACCGAGAACCCGACTACGTGCACAGCACACGGAATTGTCATGCAGGAACAGAAGTCTTCTCTGGCGGATCCGAATAAAAGGTGGCTTGGCTGCTTAGTTCCTTAGTTCCTAGCAGTATGTACGGAAGTATTCTAGCGTTTTCAATACCTCTCTAATTGGATTGGTTGACGATTCATCGAGACATGGTTCAGGGGAAGGGAAAAGGAAAGTTGGCTGAATCTGTGGTCCGAAACAATGGACCGGCGAGTTAAACAGATCTCCCGCACTTTCGGCTTTTACGTCCTCCCGCCCCGATCCACCCAGCTGAGGTAAGTGACATCGACGTACTAGGGTACCTTTAATATGTACCTTCTCTGTAATTTGCAGGTGCGTACTAGGTATACACATAATTGATGTCACACGTCGATTGTTCCTTTCTTTATTCTTCGTTCTTATCATTATAATTATAATAATTACCTTCTTAAACGTGTTTAAAGCGTTAAAGGAACCGAGATCTACATAGAGTTTTTGTTGTAACTGGGGTACATGTTGCCCCCGCTTATCTTGTCATGTACAAACTCGGGGTTACGAGTCACGATATTTTAAGTCCGTTATTAGGTAGTACATTGCGGAACCAGTCATCTTCAATACTTTCCGAGCCCAAGTTCCAACCAAACCGCAAATAAATCCATATTATGTATATCGGTAATTCACATCCCTTAAATCGATGTGCAGTAATATTTATAGCTCGCATCTGCACGTGTCATGCACTTCTTTATCTCACCTAATCCTATTTTGGGAAACAATCTCTATCAAGCTGACACTGCATGAACCCTTCCGATTTCCATGTTGATAAGACATTAGAAGGGTGGCCCTCCGCGGGATCAGTAGGGTCTAGGGAAATACACTGAAGTTGATGAGTTACTTAGGGAGGTATTATTCCATAGCTTGGTTCTTTGCATATTCCTTTTTAGATGAGTTATTCGACAACGATTCTCCCCCTTTTAACCATCTGTAGACTTCTACTAACTTTGACTTCATCTCGTCCTCGAAGATTGGCAAGCCATCAACTATCGATTTCCATCTTCCGTTGGATCTCCGTCTCTCTATAATCCCTGTGTCAGAACTGTCCCTCATCACAGGAATTAGCCTCTAGGGCGACCATGTCGAGATAGATTTCATCTACGACGTCTTATCTGATCGAGAAATAAGGCGTCGGAGATGGAGGCGACTCCCTTGTTCTCCTTGATCTCGGCGCATGTTGGGAACATTGGTATCATGAGATGTGCTGGCAAAAACGCGCAATTTTGTCGGGGAAGGACAGAATTTCTAATCCGGCTTCCGATTATCCGTCATTGGGGTTTAGCATCGGATAACTACCTCACGGCCGTGGGAGTGTGGGAGACCAGAAATATCTGGGTAAGCACAATCCCCCCCTCATGATAGTTCGCCAACATCTCCTTGAATTTCGGACGAAGGGTGCGACAGACAGGCGGGGAGACGGGATATCCCGTGGTAACTCATCCACTCATCTTGCAATCGCTATTCGACCGGTGTGGATATCTCCATGTATCCCCCCCACGCCATGGTAGACCCGTAGAAGAAGCGGGGCTCGAGGTGAGGAGAAGACCATCGCGAACGAATCTTATTTTCACCGAGTCGACAAAGGCGCTTAAACCAACAATGCGTTATGTATTTCGCCAAACGAAACTTTCGGAGATCCTAAATGGATAGAAAGAGGACCGGCATCAGAATTTAGACCGGAGTGACCATTATCCACGGAGATATATCGGATTCAGCGAATACTCATTTTCATTCTGGTTAGACCATTAGGCCATGAAGTAGTCGAAGGAAAGTATGTGTAGTGCCGAGAGGCCTTCTCAAACATCCTTTGGAGATTTATCCTTGTTTCTAAGCTGAATTATTCGAAGATGGAAATCTTTGGGCTTGCTAATGGGCTTGACCATACCTCCGGAGGACTCGTCAAAAGAGCATGGTTTTCTTACCCGGTTGAAATCCACCAGGTAAGACGTCCGGATAGGCGATCTCGCGACTAGCCGGATTTTTGGTAGGTTTGGTGAAACCTGGTTTATTGGAAGTAGAGACACCGTTCTTGTGGTTCCCAGAGCCATGGGAGGTTGAGATATGAAAATCCGTGGAAGGCTTGCGTGGATCCATGATGAGATAAGATGAGTAGCAAGTTGTGACCGTATTTCAAGCTTTAGGGTTCATAAACACTTAGAGTTCTAATACATACGGAGGAAATGGAAGATTTGAGGAGTTGGGGGGAGGATGGGTTTAAGTATGCCAAGTGAAGTCTTGATCGAACCACTCTTGGGCACAAACTTAGGTACGACTGTAAGACAAGATGAGATGAGATGATAAAATTCCCGAATTATCAGACTAGACCGGTTCTGAATATAGCAGGTAGTACAGGTGAAGAAGATTTCGTTCTCGCAAAGATCGTCATCGCAATACGTCAGCAGATATGCAGCTATAAACGCCGAACAAGAGACCACTCGTTATAGGGCATAGGGCATCAAGATTCCTGCAACCATTGCGTCAAGCTTTTCAAGCTATAGAGATCATGCGGTTTACTACCCACGGAGCCAAGATTCGGGTGGCTCCGTATTGAATTAAATTTTCATCTAGTTGCAAATAAATGCTACGTCTTACTAAATATTATTCAACTTATTGACTAACGGGAGCTGTATTTGTTGGAATGCATTGTGATGCATGGATAGCATTACAGGTTATGCATGTGGTGGTACAGGATGAAAATACCGGGATACATAGGTACTGAGTACTTGAATACTTGGAGCTATGACCACCAGACTTACATAAGTACGCGCTCTTTGCTGATGGTGGGGACCTTACAGTTAAGGTACTTTGAGTACTCCAACCCCAACCCCAAAAAATTAATGATACGATCAATCGTTCATTTCACTAAGGCGACATAGGGAATTTGACCTTCTACAACTACACCCACATATGAAAAATCTAAATCTCTGCTTCTAAATGCACCGATAGTCTTGGAGTTGTGTTGATGCGGGCTTACGTCCCAAGTCGCCTCATCTGATCCGTTTGTAGCAGCCACACCGACCCCCGAAACGCGAGAATCATGGCCGACAGCATCGACTCCATCGTCAAGGGTGCCCCTCAGCCCGGCCAGGAGATCAAATCTCCTCCCATGGGAACGAGCCCTATCGGTGTAGTGAAGCCCGGTGATCCTTTGAAGCATACGCCGAGTTCTCCTTCTATGATCTATCTCAATATGCTGATCCTCGAAGCCTCTCTACGCTCCCAGTACCTTGAACTCCGAGCCCGACGGCGCAAACACACATTCTTCCTTAGTCTTCTATGCCTCTGGCTGTCAGGTTTTGGATACGCCCTGTTCTTTGCGCCTCGGGAGGATGGTAGTGGCGTCGGCGGATCGGTATACTGGGTGGTCGACATGACGGAGAAAGTGTGCTTCATAAGTGGCATCGTTACCGGCATATTAGTCTGGGGAACCGGTATATGGGAGCGGGGCATCAGGTGGCCGCGGCGTTGGTTTAGTATATGCAACAGAGGTTTACGCGGATTCAACTGCAAGTTGGTCGTCATTAAAAGGTCATGGTGGGTTGAGCTTGTCTCGCTAATCGGCTTTTTCTTCACCTATGGCGCATTCTCTAGCAGGGCCGGCCAATATCGTTTCGTGGAGCCTGCGATACTACGCGAAGTCGATCGAGAGTTGAACCTCACCCGTAACGAACACCCACAACTTCCGTTTGTTAGCACAGACGAGGAGAAGGGTGGGCACGAAGAAGATCTATCGCCTGGAGGTGACTACGTCAAGCTCCTTTTGTGGCCTAAGCCTTTCTCGCCTAACTTTCGGGAAAACTGGGAGCTCTACAGAAGCGAGTACTGGGAAAGAGAAAACGAGCGCAGAGCCCTATTAAGATCAAAGTTGAAAGCACGCGATAGACAACTTGCAAAGCAGCAAAATGGGTGGCTTTGGTGGTTACCGGGGCAGCCAAAAGTGGAGGATAAGCCACACCTACACGTTTCAGGGACTGGAGATATGGAGAAATTACATCCTCACCGGCCTGCAGCGATCGGAAAAGATGGCAAACGTGCTAGGAGTGGTAGTGTTCGGCGGGCTAGTAACTCAGCCGGATCATCACGAAGCCCGACACCTCCAGTGGAGTCTGAGGAAGGAGGGCGAAGTAGGAGAGGCAGCATGACCTCGCTTACTTCGGAAAAGAGACGGAAGAAACATCTTTCAACTAGCTCTAGATCGAAAAGATCAGGTGCCGATTCGCGATCTGTTACACCGGAATTCACTTCGCCGCTTGCTAAGGAGAGCAGTGTTGGCGATAACGAAGTTCCGTAGCAGTTCCTAAGAGGTTAACGGAGCATACATACTTGCTAGTCATATTTTGGCCCCTTAATTCATAGAAAATTTCCAGATTCAAAATGCTAACTTCGGATTATGAAGAGTGAGTGGCGGTAATCTCTGATATGTATTTCCTTCCTACCAGTGTATCTTCTCTCTTATTCAGAATATGCGAGGTATAGGCATTGAAATAGGCCTTGAAAAGCACACTATGATACCTAATGGACCTTGCGGTATTCTCTGTACATAACTTGACTACTATCCATGGATACGTCATACATTTATTCATAAGGACCATTTAAGTAACGATGTTGACAGTGGTAAAATTCCTAAATGTATTCTTTCAGTACCCTTGTACCTCTTAATTACGTCGTTGGGGACCCTGAAGCCAGGTGCATAGGGCTGATAGTTTATCATGGAAGTACCTACCCATGCAGCTGTTCCGTTAACAAAGGCAGCCCTGGAGCTACTTCGTACGGCCTACAGCTCTAAAGATGCCTGGCAGGTACATCCATCCATACACCCAGTGCCAATATTGATGCCCCACACCCCATTAATGCAGGTGCTGCCCAGTCTGCCCAGTGCAGCAGGAGCTGAGGAGCTGATAGGTAGGAGCTACCTGAAATAACCTTTTATAAGCTCCACTCTGGGTAACATCCCATTATCTCGCCGGCGCAGTTATGTTCAGGTCAATATTACACAATTCACAATCCGCACCTCGGATCTTGTAAGTCTCACTTCTCGATACTTCTCAATCCTTCTCGACTATTACATTCAGTTTTGATTGTTATAAACTACCCGATCCCACAATCTAACAACTTCCAGCATTAACCTACTATTCATACGACAGCCCTACTCGCCATTAAATCATCGATCATTCGTCATCTTAAGACCGCAGCTAAAGCCGACGTCTCGGAGTAAGAGGAGGATCGCTCAGCTATGGTGATGGACCTTTCACCACCATCTCGACATGGTGTTTATCCTGCTGCACCGTACTCCGCGCGACCACCCAGCCCCCCTTCCATTGTGATACCAACACCCAATCTGCACAATTCAAATGAGCATATCACCGTCGTGCCGAGCTATGAAAAAGTCGATCCAGCCTCGCTTAGCGCAAATGACCTCAAGATTATTACACAAAACCACAAGGAACAATTAGCTAAGGACTCTGCTGCCAACTGGACATATGAAAGCCGTCGAGTGGCACAACCCATCCTTGACTTCATCTATCTCGGCCCCTCCAGTGTCGCCCGAGACCGCGAATGGCTACGCAAGACCGGCATCACCATGTTACTAGCCGCGAGAGATTCTAAAATGGCCGGTATACGCCTCATGGCTACCGAAAAGGTTGCTCAAGAACTCGGTATTCAGTCCGAGTATGTCGATGTCTCCGGGTACGACGAACTGATTCGCTCTTTCCCCTCCGTCGTTCGAACCATCAACAACCACATGCTAGACGTATTTCGTGGGCAACGTATAGAAGACACGCTGATGCAGGTAGAGGATGGCAAGATGGCGATTCCCCAAGAGAGATTCCAAAGAGGGAAGGTCCTTGTTTTCTGCGAGACAGGGAACGATCGTTCGGCTGGCGTTGTCGTTGCCTACCTAATGTCTGTCTTCGGACTAAATCTGGTCGAAGCTTGCCAGTTCGTCAATTTCAGGCGCTTCTGTGTCAGCATAGCCGACGACCTCAAGTATGTCCTCCGATCATACGAGGGCATACTTTCTGCACAACGAGTAGTGCACCAACATGAACTCACCAACCTCACAAACCAAGATGATAGCCAATCGATCAAAGCTAGGACAAAACGACGGTTCGACGACACAATCGACAAAGATGAGGAGATGGGAGGAGTCGATGAAGGCGTAGCACCCGATAATGACCGCTTCATGGGCCGCCGATCATTTGCTCCCTTCGTCGACGCTAAGAATCGTCATCCTGGATAGTGATTAGGTCTCAAGGGACCTTGGTGGGTTTTAGTAAAAGCATACATAAGGCAGTTCATTCGAAGGATAAGGTTCATATGGGATACTCGACTCGATTTCGTCGAGTCACGACGGTCAGCAAAGGCGTTCACTGGAGGAGAAATACCCCTTTTCTTTGCTTTGTTTTTATTTTTACTTTTATAGATGGACAGGTAACAGCCTCTCGATTGTATTTTACGATTGTTTTCTCCACCTCGGGGACTCGCTTGTTAATAAGATAGCAACAAATATATTATATAAGTCCTCGTGCGTTTCGGCAGTAATACTACAGTGATGATCCCATTCTAAGCTTCAACTCGTGATGTTGATGATATAAATACCTCGGTAAACCAGTGTTCATGATCAAGACTAGTAGTCAAATGAATAATGACCCTCTTTTACTTAGTACTTCACTGATATTTGATCTCCAGCTGCGTATCAAAATCTCCCAACTTTGAAGCATATAATTCAGGCTTGGAGATTGATTGGAAGCTCGAGTCTACATATCAACTACCCCCCCTCTCTGGCCCATCTGCCTCTTTTTTTCTTGATTTCATTCAACAGCTCACAGTAGCAAACAAAATTAAATCTACGTTCTACCCATCTAAGAAGGACCTAGATATGGGTACCATATTCCAGTTTTGTGAATTCTATATTTTAGTGACGGATAGAAACAGTAGGAATCATGACATGTGGTATTATTATAGAACAATTCTTGTCCTACGCAACTTTTAACTAAAAAGATTATTTATTCAGCTTCGATTATTCACGAGTAGATTAAATTACTTAAGGGATGATCAATTGGATGGCTTGGGGCTGGATTATAAGAATACTCAGTACCTTCAATCATCCCATACTATACTGGTATTCACATTCTATGATAAAAGCAGTTGGTCCTCTCATGTGTCAGAGATCCCATCGCATACTTGGAGGAGGTATCGGTATTGCCAAGCTAATAAAGAGAAAAACATGCCAGAATTGTTTGAGATTGTTTGAAATTTAGCTTATTTATGTTTGTCACGAATCAAAGCTAAAAGGATGAACTACTGATCGATATATATAGAGGCGTTCAAGTAGAAAATGGGGCGAAAGCTCATCCTCGTTTGGTAGGTAACGACCTTCAAAAAGTGTTACCAACTCCCACATCACGATAACCTCACTTGGATAGATATATTCAATACGTGTGTCGGCTTCAAGAGCTAATCACCATATATCTCTGCAATTTTCTTACTTGGTTCATAGTGATATATAGTAAAATTGAAGCCTGGTGGGCGTGACTACATACTGGAGAAATAGATTGGTATCGCTAGATTTAGTCTATGATATTTGATATAATATTTACCTTGGATGCCTGATATATAAATACATTTAAAGGAAATCTTAAGTGGTTGCATCTTATTTCTATCATAGTGAGTACCTACATACTTTATTGGGTACTAGTTGCCACTACCATTCTCGTCTCTGTTCCTGCTACTGCCTTGAGTACTTGCCGCACCTCCTTCTCTCAGCCTTGCCCTAGTACAATTACTGTCTCTGAATAGCGTCTTGTGCGTACTTGCCGGCTTGTCCTTCCTTTAATTCCTTACTTATCCAGTACCTACAGAAAATTACACACCTGCACACTTCTACACGAAATTATTTTCAGTACGCGATTTCCGACGACCTTCTACTACCACCTTTCTATCAAAATAACAGTGTTCTTGTAAAGATCGTCTCTAACATCTACTCCTCCTAACATAATCCTTCTTACGTCCTCTTACTATCGTCTTCTTTCTATCGCCCTCCTTCCACCATCCATCTATTGTTCCTCTTCCACTACACTCACATCGTGACAATACATACTCTACAACTTTCCCATTACCCATTATTCTCGAACTTTACCGAGAAAATATCACATCCTAGCTATCTAGTTGGCGGTAAAAATCATTTGGATCAAAGGTTCGTGTCCACTACTGATTTTCACTTTTCACATGCACTTGTTGTCGTATATCACGCACATACTCATTTTTTAGGTCAACTCCCATCTTGAATTTAGTACTCATGACGCTAATCTTGGAACAGGCACAATGGCTCTGCAAGAAACTGTCGCTGTTGGACTCCCGGAATCGTTTACTGGAGAGCAGGTTAGTAACAAAGCAGACGACCCCCCGCATGCCGCTCTGCACGATGATGTCCACGACGAGGACAAATTACGCGACCGAGATATCCATGACCATGCGAACCAGAACAACAACGATCGCGCTATGGGAGACTATGTCGACCCGAATAAGCCACAGATCGAGACTCCAAACAACACGGTGATTGTTCCTAGAGATTCTCCGCCTGCTTGGCCCCTTATTGGTACGTCTTGAACAATATTTAACGATTTAAAGATAAGAATAACTAACACATAAGTAGAATATCCTGCTCAGGCAGTTATTCTCAAAGAAATCACAGATGCCTTGGGATCGTTCCAAATGGCTTGTACTGAACTTGGACTATCTCGAGAGGAAGTCAACGACTTCACGGTGCGACATGGACAAGAACCGCACAGCCTCATCTACATCATTTCGCAGAAGTGTATTGCTTACGGGGTTGCGTTTCTTAAGTACCGTGGACTAGACGAATATGTAGAGGACGTATCTCGATGGGACGGCTGCTTCGTTGACCGAGACCAAGATTGGCCTCTATACATCGACTTTGACGCAATTGATCCGGCACTTCTCGCAGCTGTATCGCAGCCATCCGTATACCTTCAACCATCTACTGGAGTTCAGTCGTCATTCATCAGCATGCCTTGCGAGTCACCGTTTGGGCCGAACTCTATCACGATTTCCTTCAAGCTATCTAAGTCGAAATCAATCCCCAGCGGTCGTTATGAACCGTCAAACTTTCGGATTGACTATTTCAGAGTACCCCCCGGGGTTATCGTGTTGGGTCCCGTAGGCCAAAAGCAGTTGTTCAAAGGTGGCCAATACACCATTCTGTATCCTGCAGATCACCCACCGGTCCACGATGCACGTCAATACATGATATGTAAAAACGTGCCCGAGCATCCAGGGCTAGACCGTCTGTTTCGCGGAGATCCATTGAATTCGGAGGAAGGCCAAGATCACAGAGACTCCGCTTCGGACTGTGAAACAAGAATCGAGGAGGTCAAGGAAGAGATATTGGTGTCAGATGACGGATCTGAGTACTTACCACCATCCGGGGAGCCTTCTGACGACATCTTTGACTTCAACGCCGCTTCTGGCGAACCGTCATATGCACAAGAGGAAGATGGGTCTGCAATTGAGGAAGACCCGAAGAGTGATGAGCAACTACTGCCGCCCTCTCCAAGACGGATCCCTTCGCCCGAGTGTCCCATTTTCAATGGAATCGAGGATTCTAAGAATCCGGACCACATTGAAAGATTGGACGACCCGACACGTGGTGTTGTTTTTCATCATATGAATCCTTGGGACAACGAAGATCCCTCGGAGCATCATGGACGAGGCCAATTCGAATTTTTGCATGATCCTAAGCCAACCACTCCGTATCTACCAGAATTCGATGTCCCTAAATTCGCTCACGAGCCCGAAGAGTCAACGATCACAGGAGGCGAGTGCCTGCTTCAACTTCGTCTCCCTAGAGGATACTTCCTGAAGGACCCCAATGGGTATTTCATGAACTTGGATACCTACCAAACGAGCGCCGAGCATGGTGTCAGCCCCCCAGGGCATGGAGGAGAGTATATAATTATACGCCCTGATTGTGATCTTGAACCCGTGAAGTTGGACGATTCGGAATTGTTCCGAGCATCGTTTGGTGAACCAATGGGCTTCTTCCGGGACGGTATCATGTCTTGCCAACTACTGCAACCGGGCCTGAATAACTTCATGATTGTATCGTATTGGGACAAGGGCAAGTTGCTGGTATGCTGCAGACATGGTGTCTACGATTTAAAGACACCACTGAGGGTCCCTAAAGAACTTGATGCCAAGACTGGTGTGAAGCGCAAGTTTAGTTCTGTCTCAGATCAATCTACTTCCGATGACGAGAAACCATCTAAAAAGGCAAGAGTGATGGACTCGGATACTGAAGGTCAGCTTAACCATCAAATCTACACTGAATGCGGAACTGGTACTGACACTTTAGTGATATCTCAAGTGGAGTCAGAGCCTCCAATCAAGAACTTCAACTACCAGAGCTCTTTCAAGGTCTGCCTCAAGATTCGACCCAAGCTCCTATTAAAGATCCGACCCAGGAAAAAGACCCTTTCCACAGGCCGAGCTCGCTGTCACTCAGTCTGAAGAGATGCCTTCCCCGAATACCTATCGTCGACACACCATCTGACTTGACTTCCGGTTAAACCATCTCCTGAACCTCTGTACAGAATCAATCGTCGACCGGAACTAGAAAAATTGAACAAGAACCACAATATCCAACGCAATTACACACCTAGCTTGAAGCTTAGCTTTAGGATCAATGGCGTTTTCGAATCATCATCAGGCCCTAAGAATCCTAAGAAGATGCTGCATCTTTGGAACAGTATTGAGTAAAAATTGGCCCCAGGAACTGCATGCCTCTTTGGAAGATTTCCTAGTCCAACCTCAGGCTCAACTTCAAGGATACCGTACTGCAAATCTTCTGTAAGTATCCTAAGAAGATCCTAATGGTTAGAACGCAAGTGTCACTAACATTGAAATCTTAGTGATAACCTTCCCTTCTCCCTGAAATCTTCTCAGCCTTGCTTGAGACTCGAGATCTGAGATACGCTATTTGGCCAAATACTCAATATTGCGTATTTTCGGCTAGCCTTTGAACCGACCCTCATTCTCAATGGATATCCAGGAACATATGGACAGTTTGTGGATAGTTGGCTATGAACCAGCTTGGATGCGCGGTTGCATCTTGACAAATGTGCCTGGCTGAGATGCTTTTTTCTTCCATTCTTCGCTTCTATAGTCTTTTTAAGGAACTGAATTGAAGTCTGCTTTTAAACTTGGTTTTCTAATGTGCGATGAAGTTATGCTGTTGTATTTGGGTAAGGGGTTCTTGACAGCCATTTACGTAATCAGGGGTTGTCCTTAGTCATATGCTTAGTCATAAGATTACTAAGGCAGCCCTTTGATCAGTTAAATCTTAGTCATGCTGGAGTTCGGTTATGTAAGCATTTGTGATTACTAATAATCGCACGATCCCATATTTATGTCAGCAATCTGCCTGTTATGTAATCAACCAGATTATGTCATCTTTCCCTCGTCCCACAATTCGAGCTTGAGAACTTAAGAAATACATTCAACAATATCTCTTGAAATTCACGGTTTAGGTACCTAACCCGCAACCATAAATCCGAGATATGAATTATGGCGAATGAAGTGAGCAAAATGAGTGTTGGCATAACACTTATATCGATTCGTCGACGCTTGGATAACAACTCTGAACTCTGCCCTCCTCGAATATCAACGCGACACGGGCCCCGAAATTAAACGGGTCTCCTTCATAGACCACAAAATCTTTACTGCGCGGAAGTTGCAGGATATCCTCGATGTTCTTCGACACGAGGTCGAGTGCTAGACTGTGGTTTCCTGGACCGGCAATCCAACTGGCTTCCCAGATGCTGTTCCGGATGTGATTGTTTGTGTCGTCCCAGGTCGAGATACCGACCTTTACACCTGCATCGATCAGTACTTGTGGCCCGAGCCGGTCCGTGAGCGGTGGACCTGGAAGACAGTTGCGCGCATCCCAGAATAGGGGTTCGCATCCCCAAAAAGGCGCGACGATGACCGGTACGTCGGCCTCAGCGAGCTCAGAGGCTACCAAGTGTGCTTCTGAACCGCCCATAATGACGATATGTGCGCCTGTTTCCCTTTTCAGGGCTATTAAGTGTGCGATGACATCTTTGTTATTCGTATGAATAACCACCGCGATTTCGCCCTTCGCTGCGCTTTCATAGATGGGGTGGATATGCTTGTCTACAGTGAGTAAGTCATGTAGCTTACTTATCTGAGACGTTATAGATGGCGTTTGATATGCTAATATCTATATGAGCTTGGTTTCTGAATATGTACCTGAAAGGTTAGGGTTAAAGGTTTCGCATATCCGCCGATGCGCGAAGATCTTTTAGTGGCTGGGGTCGCTAAGTTATAGCGATTGTCCACTAAATATAGTGGGAAGATCACTAATAGGTTCGGGGCTAACATAGCCCTGTAGCTGCTTATTCCATCACGCGCTAGGCACACAACGGGGCTAATATGCGAAACCTCTGGCCCCGAACTTCGCATGAATAAATGGAAGGGTAGCGGAGACTTACATTTTGCGCCATGTCCGATTGTAAAATGAAGACCGGCGCTGGGTTTGACGATCGCGCCGTCATCGAGCACTGCAATCGATCAGCATGGCTAGCAGCATCTTACGGGGAAATGGTCACATACCACTTTTTGCCCCTGAACGGAACAAAGTGCTGATTCCGTGGAAGAAGCCTGTCGTTAGTGGTGGAGTTACAATTCGAGTGACACCGCTACGATAACCCCTCCCAAGATGTATTCCATCAAATTTGATCCCGAACCTGCTTGAAATAGGCTTTGCGTATTCCTCACCTAACGATGCGCCATCCGATGTTGATGGTTCTTGGCGCATTTCCGTCAGACCATGTTGGCGGGTGACAACTGTAAGTCCCTAGGGAAAAGAACTTCTGTCAGACCACTGAAATACTATTGATGGATGATCTGTTAAACTTACAGGAAGCATGTACCCATCTTGCAAGTCGATGGAGGGAACATTGTCTTCCACTGCTTGTTTTGCTGAATTTTCGCATTGACTTCCACCGACACACGCGATGCGACCTTCGCGTACGACAACAGTAATGTTTCCTGACTCAGGCTGTTCGCTTCGTATGCCATCTTCGCCGATGAAGCTCATCTTTAAGCCGCGCACAACGACATCAGATTGACCCGGTTTGCATGAGCTTTCGGGTATATTGTCAGGGCGCGAAGCCGGTGCCTCCTTAACAAATGAAGGAGATTCCGAAATCTTCCATACACTTTCGGAGGCGCGAGCTACACTCTTTCCATCGATGTACACATCAAGGGGTGTAGCGCCAACTTGCAAAAGATGTCGGTCCCAAACCACGAGGTCAGCGTCGTAACCAGGTTTTATAAATCCAAGTCTATCAAACTATTAGCACTAACCCATTTCTTGATGCAAGGAAATTCTGTCTAGTCATAGCGCTCACCTATTATCCAAACCAAGCAGACGGGCGGGATGCCCAATGATAGACATAACAGCACTCTCCGCATCCAAGCCAAAATGATGCGCAATCTGCGCCTCATAAATCAACCATTGGCCATGCTCTGCAGGATGATCGCGCGTAAGGACGAACGGGATGCCGTTATTCGCAATCGTAGCAGGCAAGTATGAGCTCACGTTATAAAGCTCCTTTTTATCGCCCCACGTGTCCGAAAACGCGACGACGGCAATATCGCGCTCTTTGATCTGGTCCATGAGCAGATCGGAGTGTAGTGCGTGGTGGAGCCCTGTGATATTAAACCCGAACTCGTCCGCGTGGTCGAACATGGCTAAGACATCCTCTGTCTCGTACCCGTGCACGTTGACGCGCAAGTCGCCGCGCAAAACGTCAACGAGTGTTTGCCATTCTAGCGAGCGCGGGTACTCATGCTTGAGAGAGGCTAGCCCATGCGCTGTTGATGCGGCTTCACACCATCGATCTTGCTCGTGCTTAAGGCGGGATGCGGTGTCGTATGCTTTGCGGAACCAGTACGACTCACCAAGCCGCGTCGACGGACCGCCAGCCACATGCTCGAACTGGCGCTTCTGGTTTTCGCCCATAGCCATCTTAAGGTATCGCTGGGGCTTACCCCCACCACTTCCAACTGCGGGTGTGTCAAGCAGCATGCCTTGAATGGAGTTTGCACGCTTCATCTTAACGACGACTCCCTCGCCGGAGATCAGGTTCTTGGCACCAGTCAGGACGAGGGAGGTAGTGACGCCACCACTGGCGATGACGGGGATAGCTCCGTCGTGCGGCTTGAATGCGTCGATGGCGCGGGCCCACGGCGTCACTGGGGCCGATATCTCCGTCACGTCCTCCGTCGCCCATAGTTGCGGCGTCTCCCGAACCCCCACATGCGAGTGCATGTCCACGAGCCCCGGCGTTACCACACGGCCCCGCAGGTCGATCACCTCATCCCCGGCGGAAACAAGCCCCAGGGAAGAGGCGGTGGTAACTGCGGTGAAGATGCCGTCTTGTATCTCGATGACACTGTCGTAAGTCACTTCGCCATCACCGTTGATCAGCGTAGCGTTATGCAGGATCGTGCGCTTACCGGCACTGGATCGCGCGGCTAGGCGGGAGGCTGCCAGCGTGGTGTCCACGACCGGACGTTGTTGGTTCAGTGCGCATTGCGTGAGACCGTATTCCAGATCCGCTGCGCTAAGCTGATGCTGAGCGTGGGCATGCTGGTGATAAGGGGGTGTTGCGTGCCATTGGCTAGAGAGGAAGAATGTGGTGATAACAGCAACTAGAACGGATAAGATTATGTCCTTTTTTATGCCAAGAAAACTTGCACCGTCAGGGTGATGTTGGCGCTGACGACGAGGTCGTTCCCGCCGCTCTGCTTTTTCCATGTTTGTGGAATGCTATCGGATGTTATCCGAAAGAGCTGGAGAAGATCTTGGTGCTCTACGTTATAGCGGCTTGATGCCCATCTATGATATACCCATTTGATGGTGCATACACAACTATGGCACGGAAATAAGAACCAAGGAACATCCAGTACAACCATTAAGAACCTCCAATTAGTAAGACCCATATCAAATCTATACCAGATGGAATAGTCCTCCAAGATAGGGAGATATAACCCTCGCCATAATATTTCCCGATTAGGAAGTACATGAAGCGAGCATATCCGCAAACTGCTATAGGCAGGTTTAGGTAGGATACTCCAACAGACCCGGGACTCTGGGTCGTCTGGGGTTCGGGAGGACGTGATTAGCTCGCGCGGGCATGCCGTGTCTCGCTTAATGATATGCATTACTTTAGGATACTACCGTCTCCTCACGGGGGTTACGCGTTGGTTGCCAATCATCCTGTCCTGTTCTTTCGAAATCTCTATCTTGCATATATGCTGTGGAGCCGAGTCACAGCATATGAGGTAGGTTTTGGGAAGACGCAATTCTTTAGTGATATGTTCCACGGCTTATACTGCTGAGGTTGGCGGAAAGGCGGAGATGTGAGTTCGTCGGAGATAACGAATATTTGCATATCTAGATGGTACCTAATCGTCGCACATCCCCTATCTTTGAATTACAAACAAATAACCCTTAAAATTTTCCATAACCCGTGAATCCTGCCCTATCCCTTCCATCATTCATACATATCTAGGTACATAGATACATGTAAATATTAGTCATCCCCAGACTTCCCGTCCGTAGATTGCATCTATAGTGATTATCGCTCCGCCTAAAGAACATAGCGGAATACGAGTTTCTGTTCCTTATCGGTAAGATCGAGGAATTCGTCGTCGGAGTGGCTGAGTTCCCCGTCTGCGGAAGCTAGGCGGTCGCGTCTCTTATTTTCCAAAATGAGATAGAATCTCAGGACAATACTGAACAAGATACATAGGGCGAAGCAGATGAAAGCGGCGAGGAAAGCAGTTTTATATGCTGGAGCCTCGTCTGAGAGGAACAGCTGAGGGGCAACGACCTGTCCGACACAGTATGCGACATACATCATAGATGATGCGGTAGCTTTCTTCGTGTATCCGGCGAAGTTGCTTGTGACCAACGACATGGTGAGCGTACTTACAATGCCGTGAGTTTGGACGACATAGTATGAGCCGAGCAGTCCACGCTTGTTTTCTCGGGGTAAAGTGTAAAGTAAAACGGCACCAATCAAAGCCGGAACTTGACAACCTAAGATACGATTAGAAAAATAAGGGGTAGGTAAAGGGGCTCGCTGAAGACATACCAGCAATTAGCCATGTGCGAATATTTTTAAAACGACTGGTCATAAAGCCACCGAAAAGGACACAAAGAGCTTGAATGACACCTAAAGGTACTAGGAGGAGAGTCGAGTAAAGCGCACTGTATCCGAATCCTTTAACGACGATACTGCCGAAAGAACCGACTCCACCTGCAGGAATATCATCGAGGAAAGTGGTAGCGACGAGGAGCCAACACTGGATATCCAACACACATTCCTTGAACTGAGACCACTTCCACACGTGGTTCTCAACACCTGTACGATTGCTTCGAACACGCTCGATGGCCAAGGCTCGGTCCTGTTCCGAAAGCCAACGGGCATTGAGCGGCGAGTCGGGAAGGTAATATAACAAGAAGCCGCCGTAGCATATGGTGAAGGCTCCGAAAATGAGGAAGAACCAAGCCCAGTTGGGAACGTTGTGGCTGGTGATATGAGCTATGCCGTACCCAAGAAGGCCACCGCACACCTGGCCGATGGAGTTACCGAGAAACCAGTACGAAATGCGCAGCGGCTGTTCCTCACGCGTCCACCACTGGGATGAGATGACGATAAAGGCCGGGTTGATGCACGATTCCATACAGCCTTGTATGGCCCGGATAGTCATTAAGCTAGCGAAAGACCGGGATGCAGCTGTAGTCATCAACACGGCTCCCCAGAGCATAGTCGCAATACCAACGAAGCGACCGATGGGAAAGCGGACGATCAAGCGGGCAACAATAGGTTGTGAGACCATATAGGCGAGGTAGAAAATAGAGCCGGAAGCCCAGCTGTACTGATTTCCGACCAGGTGCTAAGGAGTAAAAGATCAGCGCCATGGCGGATAATGAGTTGAGTTGAGTTGCGCTGCACTCACATTGTCTGTGAGAAGACCGAAATTGGCAGAATAAGAGAGCGCATTTTTGTCCATAAAATTGAGAGTATACGTGATAATCATCTAGTATATAGAATTAGTATACTTAGTCATCAGGGTCTTAGGGGGTTATGGTGGTTGCGCATACCAATGGTAGGAGGTGACGATCGATTTTGCGCAGGACGCGCTTGTTTTCTTCTTCTGTCAGGGGTCCGACAGCGTGTTGTCTGGCGAACTCATATGCCTTGTCAACCTCATCATCCTGTCTCGCTTCTTGAACGGAATTGGCTGTCGTCTTCTCTTCGTGCTTCTCCATATTGAACTCTAGGAATTATCCCTTATTCCCCAGGCTCACGGAAGACAGAAAAGCGAGAGTTGTCGAGGTTGTCGTAGTCGCATCGTGTCGCCTTCTGACATCTTTTTATTAAACCCTGTGCCCTTGTTCTGTATGCCCTGGACGGTTATGCGCCATTGCCTTATCTCCAACAGCTTTCTTTAGGTGTGAGCATTGGCGAGCATAGGCGAAAATCAGGTTGTTGGAACCAGTTGGGTTTAGTTTTTGGATTAGTTCTCACTGAATTCTTACTAGTTGATGCGACTCTACTTTATCTCCGGGTATCGATAATATTGTTAGTAACTGAGCGACTCTTGCCTTTACCGAAAAGAATACCGAATATAGAAAGGGAAATTGCGAGCATCTCACGCGCCATCACGTGGTATCCCAGTTCCTTATCAGTCCCCCAAGCACCTCGACCCCTGCTCTGGTTATCTGGGATTATCTGAGTTATCCTCTTCCTCGGTCCCCTCATTCTCCGCAGACTCCACAATCTTTTTCCAAATCCATTCGATATCCCAGTGATACCCAGATTTCCCACCTATCCATTTGATCGATCTATTTGTTCCAATCCCATCTCCTGGGTCTCCTCTTTCTGGGTCTCGACTCTCGGGTCTCCTTCTGGGTTCCTTTCAGGGTCTCCAATTGCTGACCCAATGCAACTATCACTTTATACTACTGTTACTGCTACACAACATATACATCTTTGACATTTATCATTTATCATTCCGGGTTCTTACACATGAATCGAAGTCGGCCGGTAAGGTCGAAGACTGGCTGCTCGTCATGTCGGCGACGAAAGGTACGGTGTGATGAGGCCAAACCTATCTGCAATGCCTGCACGCGTCTGGGACTCACGTGTTCGTATGAACCAACCCGTACCGCCAATTCCGCAGAGACTCTCCGATATCGTGTACGCTTCGTCAGTTCCCGCTACACGAGATCAGAGCCAGAGCCGGAACCAGAGCCAGATGAGACTAGGAGTAATCCCTCCCAATCCCGGGCTCTTTTGCCTGGGAGTCCTCCACAGTCTGCCACCTCTGTCACCTCCGAAACAGAGCGCAATTCCGAATTGCCAATATCAAAATCAAAAGACGTAGAGCTGAGTTCAAATGAGCAGCAAAGCAAAATAGTTTCAAACAACTCTACCTCTACCGCTACCATGTCACATTCCCATCCACATCCGCATCCACATCCTCACCCGCATCTACCATCTCATCCTGCGCATCCTGCACATTCTTCACCCCTCCCCCTCCCCGCCCAGATTCTCACCGGACATTCACCTCAACCGAGCACCTCGCCCGCCGTCATCCCAGACCCTAGCGCATTTGCCCTGACCTCACAAATGCATGTATACGAGCCTCAAATACCCGGCTATGTGCCAGCCTTCTTTGACCCTAACATGAATTTCGATTTACTGGGCGAAGATTGGTTATCACCCCACACACCAGGAGATGCATCCCAAGATTCAGAATCGATTCGAAATGATTTCCCCGAGTCGAGTTCGTGCAGCACTCAAGAGGCCAGTGTCATTATCGGTCCGGATGATCACAAACTTATTCAGCATTACCTGAACGTAATGACAGGTTACGCTAAGATACGTTGTTCGGGAGATGAAAATATTTATAGCCACATATTCAGCAATATGGCACTATTTTATGCACCATTGTACGATGCCTTGATGGCGTGGACGGCGCTGCATCTTGGCCAGGCAAGGTCCGACCCCGACCTAATCAGGAAAGCCGAGGAGCGATACGCGCATGCTGTCTCCTTAACACACCAAGATCAGAACGTCGCCGTACACTTCGAGCTTTCTATTGTGACCATATGGTTTGCGCTGCAGTATGAGCTTCTTGCAGCCCAGGGTATTGAATCCTTCTGTCGGCACTTAGAATTTGCTGCCGACCTGGTCGAGGCTCACCGACGTCACCAAAAAGCCGGCGGAGAGGCAACCCTTCTTGGCCATATCGGCTCCCGTCTATTGGCATGGCTAGGCGCATATGATAGCCGAGCCTCGCGTATCGGAGGTACAGGGCGCCTTTTGCAAAATCTCGAGGCTTTCGCCGCAGATTACGACTTCATTGACGCTGCGTACCCTAATTTGCCTACTAATACCGAGGACTTAAAGCCAATATTGCGTCTATCTCTGGAACTTGACTATATGGAGAGCCGGATTGTGCAGTCATATCGTAGATCGGCTACTGCATCTGCCGCAATATGGGCAAATATGCAGTCGGGTCTCATAATGATCCACGAACGATTCGAAGCCGACCCATCAGTGGCTCCTATTATAGCTTCTCTCACTAACCCCTCACGCGCCGTTACTAGTAGGATTACCACGAGGCGCTTCAACTGCTTGTTACTCTTAGCAACGTTTTATAGTGTTGTGATAAGCTTCCATAGGTTGATACCTGCCCATTTAACGACGAGTATTCCGGATAAGCTTATATCGGCCCAAGTCGCGGCAACCAATATTATCCGCCTTGCATCTTGGGTCGCTCGATTTCGGCCCCCATCGCCACAGAATATTTGGCCGCGCATCTTGTTCCTAGCAGGCATCGAAACCATGGACCTAGCACATCAAGATTTTGTGGTTAAAACTCTTACCGACGCAGAGGTTTGGGGCGCTAATTTTCAAAAGACGAGGATGCTGCTCGAGAAGGTTATCAAGATCCAGTGTGCGGAAGGAGTCAGGATTGACTATATCGACGTCATGAAGCAAGATAAAGGATTGTTTATCATTTGACCGAAATATGCGTAATGAATTCCGAATTTTGGGAAAGCAAGGCGACGAGATCAATGTACTATGATAACACAGGATTCATTCAGCTGATGATTGTCCACCATTACGTTTATTGTTTATCTACTGTGGGAATAGAAATGCGGTCGAGTGACAGGTATTTATCCACTCGGCTAGGTTCTTCCAGATTAGGAAAGTCCATCGATTGTGTAGCATGGCACAACTCGATATATCGATCTATTATCTACCAATAGAATAGTAGTACAATGTGTTACTACAGTCTATATACCACTATTTACTTGCCTAGTGCCCAGAGGTAGGCACTGACTCGAGTTTTTGAACATCTTCATATTGTGCAAACATGGAGAAACACCAAGGGACCATCCCTTACGAACGCCGAAAACCGTGTAATAGGCGCAGAAACTTTTTGCTCTGTTCGCTGGTTTTCATCTGTTTGATACCGTTTTACTTCAGTCCCTCGTTACGCTCGCGGACTGGTCACTGCTTTAAGTCATCGAGCAACCGACTATATCGTAGTGACCCAGAGAAATGGTGCCCTCTTCCGAACGTCACCTCTCCCAAAGATGATGGCCTTAAGTCAAGCGAACACCTTATGGACTCTCGGGAATTCCAATTGGCAGTAGAACGGCTCTCGGCAGCAGTGCGCGTTCCAACAGAGAGCTTCGATGATAACGGCGATGTCGATGAGGACCCCCGTTGGGCGACATTCCAAGACCTCCACCAAGTCTTGGAGAAACTGTTCCCGCTCGTGTAAGTGGCCATTACTCCTTGAAACTTGAGCAGCATTCGACATAGTTTTTATCTGGTTTTATTTATAGTTGTCGGATGCTAATTCTGGGACTGTAGACACTCGCAACTTGAACTTCGTAAGGTAAATAGATACGGCCTTCAATACACATTCAGGGGCACAGACCCCTCACTTAAGCCTATCCTCTTGACGGGACACCAAGACGTTGTCCCTGGTGGTACAGCTTCCCGTTGGACCTATCCCCCGTTCGAGGGACATTTTGACGGAACCTTCGTATGGGGCCGAGGGGCAGCTGACTGCAAGAGCGTTGTCATTGGAATTCTTTCGACCATTGAAGACCTGCTATCGCAATCGTTTGTGCCGCATCGCACTATCGTGCTTGCTTTCGGCTTCGATGAAGAGACCGGTGGCCTCAGGGGAGCAGCCTCTTTGAATCAGTCCCTAATTCAGGAATGGGGGTCAGACTCATTCTTATTCATCTTGGACGAGGGCGGAATGGGTATTCATAATCAGGGAGACGACATTATTTATGCGTACCCGAGTGTGGGGGAGAAAGGTTACTATGATATTCAATTAACCCTTGAAGTGAATGGCGGACATAGCTCAAGACCACCAAAACACACAGGTATTGGCATCATGGCAGATGCAATCGTGGCTTTGGAGAACAACCCGTACTCCCCGCAGCTAACTCAATTCAATCCCTTCCGAAGAGTGTTGGAGTGTAGAACAAGATATACTCCAGATGATGTTCAGCCCTGGTTGCGCGATGAACTTCTCGACGGAAACGAAAAAGAAATTGCAAATAAGATCGCCGGCGAGGAAACAGACGACCAATGGCTGCTGAAAACAAGTCAAGCCATCGACGTAATTACTGGCGGGGTTAAGGTCAATGCTCTGCCGGAAAGTATCGAGCTACAGGTGAACCATCGGGTCGCACTGCATGATTCGGCCGAATATATCAATCGGCACATCCAAGAAGTGTTGACTCCCGTCGCACAGAAATACGGGTTCTTGCTTGAAGGATTCAATACCTCAATTTCTACAGGCTCGAGCTCAGACACTGTCTCATCCAATGTCTTACGGGCGCGGTCCTTGCAGATCATCCACCCATCCCCGACCGCACCAACTGATAATGGTGTATGGTCGATCTTCAGCGGCACTATAAGACATGTCTTTGAATCTACAGAGAGTGCACAGGGTAGAACCGTTATTCCTGTTGGAAATATCATGACAGGAAATTCGGATACAGTCAACTATTGGGACCTCACTAAGAATATCTATCGGTTCACTCCTTCGAGAAATGGTACAAGAATGAACCAACATGGAATCGATGAGAGGATGGGAGTTACTGCGCATTTGGAGGGCATGAGATTATACTATGGTAAGTTATTCCCCACTTGAGAATTTATAGCGTGCTAAAGATTCGGTAGACTTGATTCGCAACTTTGATAGCTGGAAGGACGAATGAATTAGGTGAGTAAGTACCTAGGTAATTAGGTAGTAAATTGCAAATATTATACGTGAGAATTTCTTAAAGGTGTGATCTGATATTCTACAAAGCAATTAAATAGGTAGGTACCTACCTAGGAAGCTATAAGTAATGGAATGAAGATACCTGTAAACTTCACTAAAAACCTCACTAAAGAATATAAGACATCCAATAATATATTGCCACACTAATCATGTAGGCACTTGCATTAGCACTAAACCGATAGCTGCAGCAGCTGCAGATGCAGATACTGCGGGAATACCAGTAGCCAAGATTATGGAACTTGTATTCCGATCTTGCATCCTTCTGGGGCTTTGTTTCGGTTGGGGAGCGGCAATCTACCCGAGCCCAAACATCAAGATCTGTACGTAATAATTAGAATCAATCTGGTTTGAGACATTGACCCTCAGAATAACTTTTGATGACTTGCTTTCAAGCTTGAGCAATGGATTACGTTTATAATTATGTGCCCGGTTTTAACGCCGTAACGACCCCTATATCGGCTCGTGAGTTTCCCGATTAGGAAATTCCTCGCCTCTTTAGTGGAATCGTCATCACTCTCTAGGGCTTCGTGACCAATAACGCACCATACCGACGATGGCTACGCCTTGTGGGACTACTGCAGCTGCTATTTTTCCCTTGCGGCTGTTTTGCAAGAGCTATTCGCCTTCCTTCGAAGAGCATGGCTAGGTACTATGCCAGGAATAATAACGTAGTCGACGCGGTCACATAACTTAGTCTTTTATAGATGGCTCAAGACCAATCGCAAAAAAACTACCATTGGACACGCAGAAAAGTTCGCCTCCGCGCTCGTTTTCCTGACATGAACGAGCGTGCTCGACGGCTCAGAAGACGAACATGGATCACAATCTTCTCCAGCACCCCATGAGCTCCCAAAATGTGCTGCATATTCCAATCGACTTCCGGATCCTGTCAGACGAGCTTTCAAGGAGGTATGTAATTATATAATAACAATTTCTACGCACTTACCTACAGATATCTAACTTATTTCAAGGGGGATTTGGCAACACCGTGCTGCTAATTTATCAGACTTCATAGCGACGGGTTACCTGTATCCCGCATTAGCTGCGCTGTCACTCCTTTCCCTGTTGGCCTCAATCCTTTTCCCCAATGGATTATTCAGTCGCAAAATAAAACTCCATACCTCTTCCGTAGAAGTATCCAAACCGACGCGGAGGTCACATACGCCGCTCAAATATTCCATAACGCAAATAGTCGTCTTTTCCGCAGCCCTTTCTTTGGCAGCTGTCTCTGCGTCTCAAAATGGAATATGGGTGGAACCAGCCGTTTTGGGCTATGTGCTTCTCCTTGGAGTTTTGCAGTTTGCCTGGAAATCGAACGCTTTCAGCCTTTTGCTAAATCGACAAACGAACTCACTGGTAGCTATAATCACCATTTTGGAAGCTATTCGATTGTTATTACCTGTTGCGATTATGGGTTCGAATAGAAGGCCGTCGAGGATCGAGTGTGCTAAGCTCGGTTGTTTAGCATTTACGCTCATAATATCATTCATCACGCCCCGGGAGATGCGAAGCCAAGAGCGCAATGTAGAGAGTTCGGTTGCAGAGGAAATGAACGAGAAGTACTCTCCCGAGGAAACCTGTTCGTGGTACTCCTACTACATGTCCTATGGATGGCTCACATATCTTACGGTCAGGGGCTTCTTTCGGGATTTATCCATCGACGATCTTCCGCCCCTACCATCATATGATGCGCCAACTACATTACTACAACGTATGAACGAATCCCGTCTGAAAGGTGGAAGAACCATCAGAACTCTTTGTCTTGCGTTCCGAAATGATATCAAGACAATAATGGCCTGGGCGGTCACGACTGCGATGGTCGAGTATCTCGCACCATGCGCCATGTACAATCTCCTGAGTTACTTGGAGAATCCTAGTGAGAGTACCGCGATCGTGCACCCGTTCGTGTGGATTTCGCTCCTGTTCATAGGCCCTGTTGCTCGTTCCGTTTGTTATCAAAGATCTATCTTCGTAGGAACAAGATTACTTGTTCTAGTCAAAGCAACAATGATTCAGGAGATATACCAAACGATGATGGGGTCGCATGTAGAGGACAGTTTACAGGGACAGGCTGACACAAACAGCCAGGATCAGAGTATAGACGAATCTGGCGATGCTTCGACGAACGGTGTACGAGCACACTCCGCCAAGATGGAAAGCTTGTTGTCTTATGATGCCGACTCGATTTCCAATGCGACCGACATATTTTATGCCCTAACAGCGAGCACATTATCAGCTATAATTGCTATGACCTTCCTATACCAGCTGTTAGGATGGCCATCGCTAATTGGTGTTGGCGTCCTGCTATCCCTGAGCCCTCTTCCTGCCCTGTTTTCCGGACGCCAATCACGGTTACACAGGTTCGTGATGGAAACAACCGATTCTCGACTCTCCAAGATTTCCGAATATCTACACTCGATCCGAACCTTAAAATTTTTCGCTTGGGAAGATGTAGCATCCAAGACGATCAATGCTATTCGTGCGACCGAACAACAACGGATTTGGAAACGTAACATAACATCTATGCTCATCGCGATGACTGGCGACATGCTCTCTCTTGTCAGTCTCCTGGCCATGTTCACATCGCTCGTACTTTTCACAGACACGCCCCTACGAGCGCCAGCAGCTTTCACGGCGTTGGCCTTGACGGAGACCTTACGCGCGCAATTCGTATGGCTCTCCAAGGTCGCTCAATGGGTAGCGCAAGCCTACGAATCCGTCCAAAGAGTTGACAAATTCTTCGATTCCGCCGTAGAAATGAAACGGCATCCAGCCGGGCCCCCTGAATTCAAGAATGCGACTTTCCGCCTGAGTTCATCCTCCAGCTTCCGACTCCGAAACCTCTCCATCTCATTCCACGAGAAGGCGCTTAATATCGCGACAGGACCCACTGGAAGTGGGAAGACGTCCTTGCTATTATCGCTACTAGGCGAAACGAGTCTTGAAAGCGGGACAGCCGCTTGCCCACCAGACGTGTCCTACGTGCCGCAGACAGCATGGCTGCAGAACAACACTATCCGTCAGAACATTCTATTCTATACCCCATATGACGAGCGTCGATACAGGCAAATCCTCCATGCCTGCGATCTCGTCGAAGACATAACGCAATTCCCACTAGGCGACCTGACGCATGTTGGCGAGCAAGGATCCAGTCTTTCGGGAGGCCAAAAACAGCGAATATCATTAGCTAGAGCCTTATACTCGCCTTCGTCAACGCTTCTCCTTGACGACATCTTCTCAGCGCTCGATGCGCATACTGCTCTTAGAGTGTACGAGCGATGTTTCCGTAGTGGGTTACTAAGCGACCGTACAGTCATCCTCGTCACGCATTTCTCCACCGCTATAGATGATGCGGAAGTACTTGTCTCGTTGGATCACGGGGAGGTTTCGTTCACGAAGATAAACCCCGGGCGCCCGCCTAGCTACGCTAAGTCGTCTTGGGTAACGCATGCTGAAGAAATGGAAGAGGAGAGTGGTTCGCAGTCAACACCGAGTCCTCAATCAGGGGTGACGTTCATGCAAGGTGAAGTTACGGAGATATCGCTCCCAGAGGAGAATTTGGGTGGAGCAGAAGTTGATGAAAAGAGGGCATCGGGGCGTGTTCCACGTGGGTTCAGTAAGTTATCATTGCGATGCGTTCGAAATTGACAATTCTAACATTTTGAATAGTTGTTCGATACATGCTTCTTTTCGGAGGCTATTCGGCCGCGACCCTCACGATAATTAACACCATCCTAGTGCAACTCGCCTATTTCTCGATCACATTCTGGTTATCCATATGGACGGGATTATCCACGCAGGACGACTACCCCTCAAAAGCGATACCGTACCTCCTTGTTTACATCGGCACGGTCCTGGCGTTCATATCCCTCCAATTCCTCAACAATTACATATATCAAAGAGGCGGGTGGAAGGCAGCAAAGACAATGCATGAGCGGCTAGTTACGGCAATCCTGGGAGCCCCTATTTCGTGGTACGACAACACCCCAGTCGGTCGCATTATTAACCGCTTCGGCGTGGATATACAATCCATGGACAGCGCGCTGGTCGACTGGCTACGAATGAGTCTCGATAACGGTATCCGTCTTGCCTTACGCCTAGCGAGTATCGCGTCAATCATGCCTATCTTTGCGCTACCAGCCGGCATCTTCTGCATGATCGGTTTTGCGACTGGGGAAGTCTACGCCCGCGCGCAGATATCAATCAAACGACTATGCGCCGTAAAGATCTCCCCCGTGTTCTCGCATTTCAGCGACACCACCGGCGGTCTTGCCGTCATCCGAGCGCGCCAGCCGATGGACACCGTCTTCCAGACCCTCCTCGCAGACAAGCTCGCGGTATACATGCGCGCGCTAGAAGCCCAATACAACACCAACCGCTGGGTCTCTATCCGCTCCGACTTCTGCGCCGCCACGATCGCGGTCACGGCGGGATGCATCGCGTACTATAAATCCGGATCACCAGGACTCGTGGGGTTCTCACTAACGAACGCAATCGGCCTCAGCCAGACCATCCTAACATTAGTGCGGAACATGAATGAACTAGAAGTAGAGCTGAACTCATTCCAACGCATATCCGAGTACGCCGAAATCGAGCCCGAAGCGGAACCCAAGGAGGAGGAATTAAAAGCGGGCAAGATACCCGCGTCTTGGCCCGCGACCGGCAACATGGAATTCCGGAACGTGACGGCGCGCTACTCGGAAACCGGACCAGATATCCTACGCAACGTATCATTCCGCGCTCAGCCCGGGCAGCGGATCGCTATCATCGGCCGCACCGGCAGCGGGAAGAGCACGATCACGCGGTCGATCCTGCGGTCCACGGACGTGGTATCGGGGGGCATCACGATCGACGGGATCGACGTGCGGAACATCCCCCTGAAGCGTCTGCGCTCGAGCATAAGTTTCGTGCCACAGGACGCGGTTATTTTCTCCGGGGACATCCGATCGAATCTCGACCCGGAGAACACGCTCGACGAGACGGAGCTGCAGGCCGTGCTTACGGCGTGCAGCTTGATCCAGACGCGGGGCGTTGATACGGGGTCCGGGCTTTCGGTACACGCTCCGGTAGCGAGTGGTGGGAAGAACTTCAGCAATGGGCAGAGACAGATCCTCGGGCTTGCGCGGGCGATGTGCAGGCGGTCGAAAGTGGTGATATTGGATGAGGCGACGGCGTCGGTGGATCATGAGACGGATGTGAGGATGCAGAGGCTCATTCGGTCGGAGTTTGCGGGGTCCACGATTATAACGATTGCGCATCGGCTGCGTACGATCATTGATTATGACCAGGTCGTTGTTATGGATGAAGGGAAAGTTCTGGAGTATGTAACCCCCGCCCCCCCTGAGGTCATGGTTGATGTGCTTTTTACTGACGTTTGATAGGACGGGCTCGCCTGCTGATTTGATTGATAAAGAGGGGACGTTCTGGGGGATGTTGAGGAATAGTGGCGAGTATGAGGAGTTAGTCTCGTTGGCGAGGGAGGGAAGCCATGATTGATATGGCTATCTTCGACATTTTGCGAGGTCCCCTGAGATAGAATTTCATAATAATGAAGAAACGTCATTTCCAAACCCTTTCTTGGGAATTTTTGAGGATATGCGGGAGAGATCGAGATTAGGTAATCATAGGGGTGGCTCTTACTAAGCGAGAACTTTTTGTTTATGTAAGCAATTACCAAGCTGATTAGGTAGGTAATGAATTCTTTGATTGTTTAGCTAAAATTTAGTGCACCTAGGCAACTTCACCAGGCGGGTGTACCTAAGCGAGCGTAAATTTTAGGTACCTAATCCCCAAAACTTAGTACGTAAAGCGGCATTATAGCTGTAGCTCAGGGCATTCAGCAACCAAATAAAAAGATCTTATAGGTATCTTATCAATTCTTATGCAAACCTTCTAGGTTATAAGCCCCTTACCTCAATTATAACGATCATCCACTATAAATGCGCTATAGTTATTCACCAATCCCCTAAAAGTCCACTAACAATTAGGCGCATCATCTTCCACTAGGTACCTAGTAGTGCTAAATCATACTAGGTACGGTCTTGGCCAATGAGTTAGAGCAACCTTGTCTGGTTAAAGCGCATTCATGTGCTATCTAGGAAATTAGGTCGGCTCGCCTACAGGTAGGAACTTAGTTGATGATTAGTGTTCGTGTTTCGTAGAGTTGATTACCACCACTCCCCAGATATCTACCAGTTTTGAAGCTGTCAAGTAGTGCTGTCAGCAACTCAACTATACCTAGAATTTTAATCAAGCATATCCAGCTTACCTCCAGTGAAGATTCCCCAGGGCTGCATTGCGACAGGCTTCCACGAATCGGAGTACCACCCGGTCTGTTTTTTCTCCCCAGATAGGCATATTGGCCAAAGCCATGTAGTATCGTTTATAGCAGTTATGGATCATGCTTGAAATTTTATTCAGAGCTTGTTGCGCTGATAGCCCTTGGTTCATCAAGAGTACGATGAGATTCTGATCAACACCCAATGCCTGGTAAGAAGAATTAGTGTATGGATAAACAATCCCCTGTAAGCGGCCTTACTATATCTTTCTTGTACGACAGGATATCATTGGCTCTGTCGCGATATTAGAATTTATAACTTGAGTGAACTGCCGATGTTGTTGGATTACATACAGAAGCGCGAGGTCAACCGAGACACACATGCATTCTTTCAAGGACGGGTGGTTGATGATATCCAGGGGAAGTTCTACGCCCTCAGCATATCTATATTCACAAATCAGTAAACTTGTATATTTACCCAGCGAAAGTGTGTAGGACTCTTAACAAGCAACCTTAGGTATCTTACTCAATGAGGGATATACCTGGATATACGCCGATTGTCCCTCTCCTCATATGCAGGTATTCTTCTACGCTGAGCGTCAATGTCCTTTTCCCTTCTGTAGATCTTACTTGTTCAATTAGGCCATCGAAGAACATCCTATGCATTTGCTTTGAGTGTTGTTGCATGTCTTCAAGAGTTTAGTATCCTATGTCTTGGCAGGTATCCTTCATACGAACATACCTTGAGATGATCTCTATTGGTTCGGGGTTAGCGAATATAGGCAAAAGCATTAGATCTTTCGCTGACTATGGTGACAATACCTTTTTTATGCGTTCCCATGTCGTTTGAAATACATATCTTAGCGGACATTGTTCGGGAGCATACCACGGTTGCGTCTCTTCCATTATCCCTACAGCAATCCCAATCTCCTCCTGGGCCGCCGAGAGGTCTTTTCTGAGGTGTCCTTCATCGAATTCTTCATAGAAATCATATGTTAGTAAGTCATTGAAATCCAACTCCATTTCTAACAGGCTCACATACGGTCGTCGAAATAGGATGCCTAGAATAATTGAGTTAGTACCTACACTCTTCCCATTCCATCTTTGATCTCGATAAAACGAACCCAGTGCATCCAGTCAACTATCGTTCTTAGAGCCTCTTCGTCGCAAGTTGGTGCCCACATCGAAGCTAGGTATGCATAGTCCACTTTGGAGTTTTTGGTTGCCCATTTTCCATTCTGCCCAAAAGTCCTATCCAGAAGATCAGTTTGCGATTCTTTGAGCAAGAAAGGGACCATTGACCCGAATCTTGTTAGCAAACGTACCTTGCAAGCCATGCATCAGCCTGGGGCTTCACGGAGAAATAGTTTGGGTTCACGATAGGTTTCGCAGACATGATAGACGAGAACATGTCTGGTACGAAAACCTGGATTCGTTTGGTCGTCGAATTGGGAAATGGACTAATGTTTCGGACAGGGTTATGAGTTGGGCAAAAGGGAGGTTTTCCATGAGAATTCGACTTTATCAACGGCGAGTCCATTGGCTCAAATTCTTGATTCTTTTCCTCGGTAGTTGGTTCCATCGTGAGCGGCGTTCAAAGTCCTGAACTGAGATGACCTCGCGATTTTGAAAATTGGATAGCGACGGTAGTCTCGAGTCCATAGAAGGTATATGTATGTTAGCTAGAACCTTCCACCTCACCAAGGCCGTGTGGGTAGGCGTAAGACTACCCATGCATATCTATCTAGAATAGGTTATCGAGTTTAACCAACAATGCATGTGGCATATCCTCAACCCAACATCCAGCAAATTTGCGATTGAAATGGTTTGCATCACTTCGTGGATGCCGAGAAAGATGCCGTCCGATGTATGGAGCCACGTCCCGCTATTGGCTCGTATAGTTCACATCGTGTAATGTTTCGGTTGTTGGTGATCGAAGCTTATAGTGAAGCGGCATATGGTCGTGCCTTTTCTCTCCAACTCAATCTATAGAAATTTAGAAGGGTATACTCAATATCGTGTATGCGATGCAATGTCCACTTACCATTCTCCACTCCCCTTTAAAGGGGAATAGGTCGCAACAGCCCTATACCGCATTAGCCCACTTCACTCTGTGTCTGTATTCACATTAGCAAATAGCAAACAATTCGATAGCTCTCACATCACGTCGACTTAAGAATGTCTCGATAAACACATGAATTATGCGTCGATAATTTGACGTACCTAGACTAATTGAATATGACCCGCCCTCGGTAGATGTTTTAAGCCTTGTTCGGTCTCTAGGAATAGCACCGAAGTGTTGATAATTGTTTAATCGGCCAGTTCTGTCGAAACTTTTCGAATATTTGCCTATCAAAACTGACGATCACCTCCAGACCTTCTCCATCACCGTCGGTGTTGGCTGGTACCCTAGGTAGGACGATAGGGTATCTCCTGTACGTCAGCTTCGGCAATCTAACTGCATCGCATGTTCCCAAAATGTCGCCCCAATCTAGCCCGCATATGCTCTGATCAGCCCATGAAACGATAGATATGCCGTCGTGACGCGGACCTAGTGTAATTGGTGGATGATCCTCGGACGCAGCCTCCAAATACAGCAATGCATTTCGAACACTTTCCTCATCGACGCTGTGGAGGGAGGCACGTATTATAGAAGAAATATTGGCGAGTCTCGAGATTGAAGCGGAATCCAGGTGCTCATCATTGGTTGGGGCACTGGCGACAGAGGAAAGAGATATGAGATCTTCCCGTAAAGCTGTAGCAGTGGTCATAATGAAAGCAGCACCCAGATAGTCTGGGGGTAAAGGTGGGTTAAATCGCGAACGGAAGTTCACAGGGAAGCCTATCGTGCTGCTGTCCTTGCCATCACTAGTCGATTCTGATTCGGCTGTTAATACTGCACTCCAAAGTAGCGCCGTGAGTATGTCGCCTGATGAAACCCAATTTTTGGCGTCCAGTGAAATGACATGCTGATTGACTGTACGTTTCAAAGCCAGTAGAGTCTTCTGTGGGAAGAAAAATATACCCGTTGTAAGATCGCTAGGTTGTGACGCTGAAGCGGGTAGCCTAGCTAAATCATCGGGACTCTTGACATGGAGAAGTTTGGGGATTGATGCTGGAATTGGCCTATATGAAGTATTAAATCTCTCGTGCAGAACTTTGCGGTTTAGCCAGGTCGGATTGAACCCAGCTGCAGTAGACGCGCCCGTCCGACAATGCGAGGCCCAAATTTTAAGTAAAGACCCAAATCCGGTGATGTCGGTTGTACAATGATGAATTGCAACACACAAGATAAACCCTCCTTTAACGAGGGATAACCTAGCCCGAAATACAGGTGCCGGATTTGGAAATGGTGGTTGGGTATCAGGAGGTATGATTCCAGGTACAGTGAATGCTGAAGGTGGGAAATGCTGCTGTTTTATAAAGGCGTAATCGATGGTATCTGAAAAGTCTTGTTCCGAGTAGAGATCCTCAAGACTTTGATAAGATTCACCGAGAGAAATATGTTTGCGATCTTCGCTAATGACGATGCCGGCGAGGAGGTAAGGGACATCAGCTACAACTCCGGCCAAGCCAGCTTTGAGTATGTGAGAAATCTTCTTGTGCGTCGAAGGAAAACAGAACATTTGGCGAATATAACCCCGAGGCATAAGCCTATCAAGCGGAGAGAGAGCCGACATGGCGAGATACTGAAGTATAAAGGATTTTCGTCGAGTTCAATTTTCCGGACCTTGGTGAGACTTTGCTTATAGAGTATCTATCTTGCAATATATTATTTTAACCTTGGAGACCTCGGCGATCGCATCGAATGCGCTAAAGTCGATTTTGAACAGAGGAAGAACATATTATCCCACTGCGATGATATACCCATCATTCGCATATCCTAAAGAGAAGTAATTGTCAATCACGAGTCTCACGGCGATATCGGTAATATCGACTATATTCAACATTATTCCCGAAGGCATCTAAGAACATAATAGCCAGTCAGCCACGTAACGGTGGTAATACCTAAATTGAATCCCCAGGCAGTATATCTTGAAGTGAATCTAATTCATGTTCGGGTACCAAAGCAACGTAAGGATTGGATATGAGCGACAATGCTCGGATGTCGACTCGAACACCGTTAAACTTCGCGCGGTCGGTCCGGGTCAGTCAGTAACCACTTTACACGTACCTAGGTAGGTACTAATAGGTACAAACACGCGCATCGCGTACTGAATCTTGGCCAAGTTAGGACCGATGATCGAAAAACAATGATCACATCCATAGGACAGACGCGTCGAGGGGCACATCAAGGAAATTAGTTAGAAAATAGCTGAATTGTTTATTATGATGATACTTAATATGATATCATATTATTATAAGTAAATAGTTGAAGGAATATTAAGGAACATTACTGGCATGCCTGTTTTCGATTTGACGGAGATTAGGTACCGTGGCTGCGTGGATAAGACTGAGAATCCATGCGACAGCCCGTTGTTCCCCTTTATGCACTTCTGATGAATATTAGGTACCTACCTAGTACCTGGTATAATAACACACGACAAGAGAGGATCTTATAATTCTGCTTAATAATATTTAGGTTCTCCTACCTATCGTAAAGGAATCGGCACTTCAATTGATTTTAATTCTAGGAAGTTACACTGATGACATGGGATTCATCTAGTGCGCGGTGGTTGCTATGACATCGACGTTGAATCTCGAATTGATGGAAAACGATCCAAGTTAAAACGCGCTTATCCACAGTGTAGTACAGTTCCATGGATCAGGGGCCATCACTAGCCTCACTAGCTTCACTAGTGCTGTCAAATTTAGCTGACTGGCTTAATGATGTGGCTTTTAGCGGGGTACCTGGGGACTAAAGTGACCTATCAGCCACAACAGTCTGTGCGTACCGTTCAATAATACTGTAGGGCCTTGTCGATAGCGACCATACGTAAACAGGGACATTGGAAATCTATCGACAAACAACATCGGCAGAAGGCCTGTAATTCAGCCCGTTGCATCACCCCATAAACATGGGCGTATCTTGTTGAATCGAACCCCTAGATCAAGTTGGGTTTTGCTACTTTTCGTACATACAGAATACAACATACGAAAATACGCAAATACGCAGATTCGCAGATTTCAATTCTAATTTGAGCGAATAGCCAACTCAACTAATGAGAAGAATCCAAAATCCTTTAGACTCAGACTTCAATTCCCTATTCCACCCTATTTTCTTACTTGTCTTACTTTAAGCGAATCGAGCCATAGCCTAAAAATACCATCCATATGACAACTGCCTTCGATTGTGCCGCACCTACTAAGTAGATGACATAGTCTGCTTTTTCTACCTAGTACTTTACTTGACACTGAAGTATACGATCGCTTCGAACCAAACAAAACAACAAAACCACAAAGCGCATTACCCATTACCCGCCAATCCACGACCTACAAACGCAGATACGGACACAGACACAGACACAGACACAGACACAGACACAGACAGATAGACAGACAAACAAGCAAACAATAATCTATATTTCCGGACTACGCAACGTCCCAACCCATTCAAGACAACAGAGATGAGAAATGCCCAGTCGATTGCAAAAACCTCGACCACTCCCTACGCCCAGTCGCGAGTCTTCGATTCCCCTACAACAAGACATTGAAACCCGTAAGTGTGGTCTAGTTCATGTCTAGCATCCAATGCATACAGTCTCTTGTGTTTTAAAACAATCTCCTGAAAGAGAGACAAACAGGACTTTGTCTCTCTATCGAGTTCTCAGGACAAAGCGAATCCCTCATGATGTTCCGATACTAATTATTACAGAATCTGAGTTAACCTGTCTTTATAGAGCCTACCTACCTATATACTACATCGTCAGATGCTAGCCCTAGAACAAAGCCGGCGTATGCTTCCTACGGCCCAACAAATACGATGAATACCTACAGCACAACCCCCGATTCCAAATTCAACCCCTATACTAGTCCTAGCTTCTCTCCCAACGGCAACAAGATTACCTCGACTATTCGAACCGTTCCTAGCTTCGAGGCGCCCTCGGATGCTTCCTCATTAGACTCTCCATCCGCACGAAACAGCGGTTTCTCTAGTTCCGTTAATAGCAATGTTAGTGGTACATCGTACCATTCTCAACAACCAACGCACAGTACTTCTACCGTCAGGTTAAAACCGCAATCGCCTGGCCTGTCGCCGCCATTGCCGATATCACAAAACGGAAATTCATATATGTCTACAAGTGATGCAGCCTCTGGTGAGTCAGAGATGACAGATGAGCCAGCGCTATCTCTACAGGTCCCTGAGACGAATACACTCGACGATCGGTCAAATAGAGCTCTAGATAGCTCGCCGCAATGGGATGGCGCTGTAGGCAAGGCCGGTCTAGGGAAGACGGGCCGAGTCATTAATAAACTAGTATCGGACAACGAGGCATTGAAGCGAGATATCCAAATCGAGAGGTTAAAAGCCGAAGAGGCAAGACAAGCTGCAAGATTAATCGAGGATAAGATGGAGCGTATGGTCGCAGACTACGAAACTCGGTTATTGGAAGCCAACGTCACCAAAACACTGCTCAGTCGTAAAGAGCGTCAAGTAGAGCACCTGCAATCAGCTGTTGAGTTAGAGAAAAAGCGAACGGCAGATGCTCAAGAGCGCGAGCGCATATGGCGCGAAGAAGTGGAAAAGAGTCGTCGCGATACCAAGGTACAGGTAGAGGAGGCTAACATGCATGCGGCGCTGATGGACGGCCGATACAACGCCATTTCGTCACACTGGAAAGATCAAGGTGGCGAAGTGAAGCGCGCAATGGAAGGCCTCGATGATAAGATCAAGTCATTGGTCAAGGAACGCAAGACGGACGATGAAAAAATCAGCGTCCTCCGCGATTTATGTGACCAGCAAGATGGGAACATTCGAGATCTCCAAAGACAAAAGGACGAAATCGCCCGGCAGTTTGAGGCTTACAAACGTGAACAAGAGCAAGCGTTAAAGAGTATCAAAACGAAGGCCCGCGATAGGGAAGATGAGCAGCAGAGATCACTAGAAGAAGCGAAACGAGTACTTGGTCAACTCAAATGGGCACTAAACGTGAAGCAAACCGTGAAGGATGCCCAGTAATACATGACCAAGCCCGCCGCACTCCCTCATCACCCAAACGATCTGGACGTACCATGGATCTCACGGGCTTATATCTGTTCTTCAGGCCAATTTTTCCTCTCTATCATGTTTAGTGGGAATACCGGTTTTGAAATTGCAATACCCCTTCTCATTTCCCATTTTGAACTTGGTGTACCTTCGAGCGTACTAGAAAAGCGCTACGAACATGTCATCACCTAATTACCCCGGGTCGCTTCTTACATCGTAGCTGCGGCGATTCCTTCTTTACCGAATTCACAACCCAACCCTGGCGCTTGATCCATAGAGTGGCTAGGAGCAGGTCAGGAAAAGGCGCTCGAAAAGAGCTTTGGCTTGGATACCTATATTATGATACTTGGACTGGCGTTGTGGCGAAGGGGTTTCTGTATGGGTTGAAACTAGAGCTTGGCTCTACAAGTAGTATCATTGTCACTTTATAAGGCACATCATTGGTTAGGAGGGTAGAGAGAGACCCTCTGCTGGCATGGCAAGACATGTACGAATACTTACATTCACGACCCTCCCTTCTCATACTCTTTTATGTTGCATATACCCGGGTTGCCAGCTTATAGAAACATTTTCCATTGAACATTTTCTCCGTGTTATATCTTCAAATTCGAAATTGAGTAACCTTAGTGATAACAATTAACATTGGTCCAGCTCTAATCTCTTGCTCCAGGAGATACTTAAAAGTTTTTACGATATCAAGATTATCTTGAATGATTATAAATGCGATATATATCTAGGTACGTAGAAAATGGTTTGGATTTAAATTAGGAAGTATTAGACATGGTGTACTATATAATTTCCCTAGCGGACAATTCACGACTTATGTTTTTATAACCTGAAAAGTAGTCTTACCTTAACGGATTCGTTAGACCATGAATACCTGGTATGAGTCCTAATGCACCAACTTCTCGTGCTTGAGCAAACAAGGTAGTTATAACATAAAGCATCTAAATAACATAACGCAAGGCCGAAAGTTTTACATTCACTCTATTATAACAGGTCTAGAAATGAACGGACCTTGTCCCATAGATTCAATTATCATGAACTAGAGAATCATTTTCCAATAACACAAGTAGCCATGGATATCTTCCATTCCAGGTTATGAATTACCCGTTCAATAACAAATAAACATTGGTAGATATTACAGACAAGATGATCTGATAGCTCAAAATAGCGTACTACAGAGACTAGTTCCCAAAATATGAGTCATAATCTAGTACCTAGTTGCATTTGATTATTACCAAGATTGCTACAACTTTGACCACCTACCCATCCTCCCCCCTATTTCGGATAATCCTCGGATATTTGGAATAACCCCCTTTATTCCTAACTACCACGTGATCTATTGCAACAACTTGGAACTGTATGTAGTTTTCTATCCTTAGCCATCATGATCCGGTCTGGATCAAAATATCAGCACCTGAAGGATTAATCTGGCTGTCTGGTCTAACTAGGATCCAGCTAGGTCAAGGTTCAATAGGTGTATGATTTATTAGTCCATGGACTCCGTAAAATATATATAATAAAATAAACTTGTATATAACACCCAGCCATACTATAATATTAAGAAAACAGGCCTCATGATAATCACTCGACACGGGCCTCACCATTCGGTTTTAACAGCAATACCTAAATTAAAATCTTTGCTATTCAAAGAGACCATGTCATCGTAAAATGCATTACAAGAATCATATTAGGTATTGTCGGATTTAAATGAATAAACGTGATTATATGTTCCTATGCCTCACTACTTGAGTACCTAGAAACCCTGGAGATCTCTCCTCCCTATTCACGCCCGTATTTATATTTATCATCGTACCATAATACGCAATTGGTGCAAGTGCTAGACTTAATTACGCGTTGAGTAGCCAAATTTCAAGATTTCCGTGACAAAGAGTCGTTCCAGAACCTACAACATAATTGATATTCGCATACATACATAAGATGTAGTTGGGTAGGCCTTCTTTAGTACTAAGGGTTCATGGAATAAATCTCGGCGGGTTCCCTGAACTTTAAGCTATAATTAATCATAAAGCTACTTACCTAGTACCTACATGATAGATAAATGAGTCATTAAAATAATATGGGCGTCTGGTATCTATTAGGTACTTCAGGTAGGTACCTACCTATATTTATAAACTTAATACTTTGATCGTACTCGCCTGATCTGCGTACAAGCTACTTACATGTTACCTGACATGTATATAAGTACCTAGTAATTATTTTCTATCCTTACATGTACATTAGTGTATAAAACTAATATAGACTTGACTATTATGTAAGGATAGTGGCTTCCTGTAGAACCTGTGGGAAACGGGCTCATTATAGAGCTATTAGTAAGAGCTACCTATATGTATCTAGTAGGTTCGACATGTATATGTGTATGATATCGCCGACTCAGGGTTATAGGAAGGGGCATATCAACGACAGGAAAGTACCATAATCATAATTGCCTTCAATATTACCGAATTCTTGCGGTTGCTCTCGACAGAGAGAATTCCCTCATAAAATAAACGGAGCCTACTAGATTCACTGATATTACCTATAGGTATGTACTTAGTACCCACCACTGAAGTGGACGGTATTCAATCTTCAATCTTCAACAAATCACTTAGGTACTAGGTACACTTTGTAGGTACCTAAGTATCACAAGGTACTAGGTACTTGGAATGGAACCTTTTATGACTTCGCCATTCTAAGATCAGCCTCAATATGGCCATCTTATCTTGTTCAGCCCATCCAACACTTCACTTCACACTTTACATCATTCATTCCCTACCATATGGATATCTACGAACTTCGCACTTGACACCTACAAACACTCCCCAGTTGTGATCTGGGGTCCCAACCTTATATATTTATCCCCATAAGGATTCTCGTGAATTTTCTAACATTCACAACCAACAATTCGTCTGCATCTTATTTCGTCAACATCTCGAACCCGAATTTCGGTTCTGTCATTAACAAAATACCTCTGTTAACCCTAGACTTACATTTGTCCTTATTCTAGTAAGTTGATCCTTTCTATTTTCTATTTGTACTTCTTTTTATTTCTACTTTTCCTACATTGGTTTTTTCTGAGATAGGTCATTCCCATCCCATCTATCAGTACCCAAGTCAAGAAAGATCATCATCTTCTATATGTACCCCATTTCCTTACACCACGAGACTATTCCCATTAAATCAATTGATTTAATTGGGATATCTTGGTTAGAGTAATTTTTGAAGCACTGCTTTGGCCTACTCTTAATGGTAAAAAGGTGCCCCATTCACGTTGATTGCTTACCATACATATTCCCTCATCACCGTCATCTCACCTACGTATTCAATTACTTGAATATTCTACTTTCATCCCATAATCACCTACTCAGTTAAACGCCCTGAAATCATACGGAAGCATCCCTGTACATGTACCCTTTGGGAATCTCCAGCAATCTTTCCAGGTCCATCAGAACTCAATTTTCCATTGATTGACACTGTGCAAACCTATGGGGCTTACTATTTTCTTTCACTCTATACCAAGGCGAGTCACTGATTACATCAACTGAGCTTGATTTTATTTTTACTTTTCTACGTGGGCACCTTCATAGTATTCTATGAAAATACAAAAAGTCGGCTCCAGAAACTAACATATCTCTACCTAGAACTGATGGCATCCACTAAAATGTCCGCGTCACAGCGCTATGATATGGGTGAACCCCGCGTATCTCCACGGGTGCTAGATAAAGTACGCAGCCAGTTTCCTGGCTGGGCTGCTGCGTCTTGGTCTCGTGAAACTACGGCGGCCAACGACAACAATGGATATTCTGAGTTCCTTCTCTCATCCGACTGGATGTTACGACCAGAAGGGCTCGCGGAGTTGTCTGATGAACTCGAGAAGAGCATCGAAGTAAGTTTCTATGAAAATAAATCAGAATTTTTCGATATTATCGATCAATTTGCACTCTATTTCAGTTGCTAATTAATTTTAGGGCGCCCGAGTGGCCTACAATTCCGAATTCTCCTCTTTCAAGATCCGATGCCTAGCATCTGAGGAGGACGCTGTTATGGGGAAATGTCAGTCCTTAATGGACAAGATTGTCCAACGCGAGCTCAGTAGAGGCTTGGTAAATATCGTCAGAATATTCTATTTGAGATTTTATCTAATTATCCTATAGGACAACTCCAAGCACATCATGACTCTCAAGCAATGGCGTGATGGCGCCTACGCTACCTCTAAATCGGAGAAGAAGAAATATGTGATGGCTTTGGCACCCTCGCATATTCGAGATTCCATGTATCGAACGGCATGGATCATGCCAGATACTCTGGTGCAGAAGGACGTAGTATTGTCAAGATTGGTCCCGAGCAAAGCCTTTGTGAAGTTGCAAAACCTCACTGGCTGTAAGATGATGATTAGCGGCGATGGCCTCTGCATGTACATCGGGGCCGAGTCTGAAGACGAGGTATCTATGGCTGAGCGTAAACTTACTACTTTGGCCAAGTACGCTGTAAGTTGCTTTACATCGAGCTAACTACAATGAAGAGGAATATGCTAACCCTTGTCTACTAGTCAATTCCGTCTGAAGCCGACCTCCGCTGCGAGAGCTTCATTTATGCAGAGGACCAACAGGGCGGCCTTGCCAAGTTCACGTACATGGCGCACGGAGCGAAGGAAATCCTCAAGACTTTCTTCTTGGACCGAATGGTCTATTCGCTGGCTGAGGACAACTCAGCTTATGGAAGACTCTTTGATAAGGGTGTAGTTGTGACCATGTCTGGGGTTGCTCTCAAAGGAGCAAATTCCACCCCGGTGACTTCGTCAAGCAATAGGGGCAAGCCCTACATAGCCTTCTCGTCGGAGTGGCACTATAGAGCTAAGCAGCCGTCCACTGATGTGGCGTCTTCCGTTCCATTTGACCCTAACCCACGTGTCACCTCATGGATCACCAAGTTGCCTACGCCGGAGCTGATGTTACCTCATGGGGATGGAAAAGATACCCCAGACCCAGAATCAGGCATCCACAAGGGTCTTTTAAAAGCGACCAGTAACTACAATAGCGAGCATGGTCTGACACAGAAGGAAATCTATGAGCAACAAGACAGATTGCTCCCTCATCAAATCAGCCAAGTAATCCCGACATTGCCAAAGGCAACTCAGTCAAAGACTAAACCGCAGCTAATTCAGGAGAATACCCATGAGCAAAAGAGCGGACCACCTCGTCAGGCCAACCATGCCCTTCCTACTCTAACTGAGTCAGGACCAGAGCAGATTCAAAAGACCATGCCTCAGTGGTCACCAGAAGGCATGCCTAAGCAACGGGTGCCAGAGGTTCCTCGAGGTGGTCACACGACGCTTACCAGGGGTAGAAGAGGAAACTCTGGAATGGGACGGGGCGATCGAAGGCATAATAATGGCCGCCAGGGAGGCCAACGTAAGCGTGGCAGCCGTGACAACCGTGACAACCATGGCAACCGTGGCAACCGTAACAACCACGGTGATCGTGGAAACCGTGGTAATCGTGGAAACCACGGCGACGGCGGCAACCGTGGTCGACGCCCTGCCGGGAGACAGCGCCCTACTGAGCAACTCCGCATGAACTCAAGAAACACCCTGGGCAATATATCGGATCGAACACCATTAAGCTTCCCGAATTTCTCGCAGAGTACCTCTCAGAATCAACCTAAGAAGAATAACAACACTGTTGACTCAGGATCCGAGAATTTCAGTTCAACTTCTTTCGTGGCACCCCACCTTAGATACTTGATCCCAGGTGCTCAGAGAAGCACAAGTAAGGAGGCATCTCAAGATACTCATGGGAAGGAGGGTATTCTCATAGACCTGGAATCTGATAAATCAGATGACGAGCAAAGCATGAAGAAACTTCAGACCGTCATCGACGAGATAGCTGAAGAGATGATGCCCCAGAGTGGGGGTGTCCAGTCTCTTCCAGCGCAACAGACTACGATTCGCCCTGACCCTTTTGCCGAAACCTGGAACATGCACCTTCTACAGCAACGCCAGCCTCCGACCGAGACTCGCAGTTACGCTCGCGACAGTCAAGGCCAAATCTTGCATAGCACCATGAAACAACAGGCAGGTTCTAGGAGCACTCGAAAATATCCTTCATCGTCGCATAAGGTGTCTATATCTGAGGACCCAGCCCCTCAATTGATTGAGGCCATGACCGAGAAGATTTCTCATATGCTGGGCTCATTAGAAGTGTTTCCGGGCCAAGTATCCCTGAAAGCTCAGATTGGACGATTCTGCCTCACGAAGATTAATCGAAGTTATCTACAAACACAGGGCGACGGAGAGCAGCTACATGGTATCAAGGAGGCCCTAGACAAGCATCACGCCAACCCCCTCGATGTCATGTTTACGAACATCCTTACCTCAGAGGGAGCGGACGCAAACCACATCGCATTTATGAACGACAGCCTCGGTAAGAGAATGTGGAACGGCGACACGCGCCGTACCGTCTACGAGATCACCTGCCGTGCTCTAACCACGGACAAGAGATATTGCAAATTCATCGTCGAGGTCGACGGAGACGATTTCACTTATCAAGTTCGCCAGTTCCCTTGCGAGTCCTCTGCTCTCTTCATACACTGTCCCAAGAGATCGTGGGATTTCAAAGTCAGTCTATCCAAGTCTCAAGACTTAGGCGAGGACTTTAATAAGTTCGCAGAGGATCTTATTCGCGGCATGCGCATAGTGTGAGTAAAATATTACCACGACCTCTTTTTTTTTAGATGAGCTAACATTACGTTACATTACAGCCCTCAAAAGAGCGGAGTGCCCATTGTAGAAATTACTGCCAAGAGAGATTACCAAGTTGACATGCTGGCATTTCGAACACGTAATATTGCGTCTTACACCAAATTTAACGGTGCCTCGGACGTGATGGAGATCTGTGAGGTTCATGATATGGACCCGTCCGACATCACAGAGGGCGACAGCAAGGTAACCGTTCAGCTCGAACAGCGCGACGTATATCAACAACTTGGACAGCTGGGAACCTGGTATGAGGTATCAATGCAGTCAAAGACGGTCAACAAGGCGCTTCAGCAGAACCGCAACCTTGAGTTCGGAGAAGAAGTTGATTGGTCCCCGAAGAAGTTACAGGAAACTGGAGCGTTCGATGAGCTGATCCGTTCCACGATCGAAGTAGTCAAGAACATCGACGGGGTGGGTTACTGGGGAGACAACAATCAGGACACGGTGATCCATGGCATGCCTCTGACTGGCTCTACGACATCTTCACGGATTAGTGGTTCTGTGATCCTTCCACCTTCCATATGGTAGTTTCGTCACAAACCTCCGTTCTGGTATCATCGCTAGTCGAGCTTAGGTCTTCTATAATGGAACCTATGAATATGGGTGATGTATAGGGTTCGAAAGGGTTTATTTCGTCGGTGCCATCTCCTTTCTTCGTCAGAGTTGCACTATAGCCTGGACACCTAGTTATTTAGGTGGTTGACATGTTGGGCTACGCTTTTCTACTTTCTTGCTTCTTGCCTTCTCGAAAGAATTTCGCGAATAGTCGAGCAAGACTACTACCTCTGTAGATAGTCGGATAGCTACATGACAATGATACGGCTTATATGCAATTGACTCTTCATTTGTGTGCTCGTGAACTTCGTGAGGTATTCTGTTCCGTATCCCTCTGCCTCATGCATTTCTCCTGTAGGCACAACACTTACCTGGTGAGTAACAACTTGCTAAACATTGTATGCTTGCAAAGTAGGTATTTAGAACGCCGTAAAACACGAAGACAAATAACGAAACACCAATCCATCCAGACTGGAAAACATTTGCATTTCTAATGGGTATTCTATCATAGAGGCGGGACATGCGTAGGTACGGAAGCAAAGTCCATCGTCCTTGAATCATAGACAGAACTTCATCATCACCCACATCCCCTACCCTCCTCTTGAATAGCTAATCTCTCACAACCCAAGGACCAGGTACGTAGGCAGGTACGTGGCCAACAATTTCACCAACGAATATTCAACCACCCATCCTTCTCCTTCTCCCCATCTCTTTTCACTACCACCTCCTTACTAACTCTCCCCTCCCTATCCCCCCTCCCCTCTCTTCCACTCTTCATATTCTCATTCTCATTCTCATTCTCATTCCCATCACCACCACCACCCCCCTCCTCAATAACACCAACCCCAACCCCCGTCCCCCCAAGAACCCCCCGTATCCTCGCCACAGCACTCCGACTTCTCCACCTCCTCACACCGCTCTACAGCGCGCCGAGGTCGAGGGGAACACTGCTGCCGCGACCGGCACGGTACTTTCGAGGCCCGCCGTGGAAGTGGCGGGGCTTGGGGAACTCGGCTTCGTCTTTGAAGCGCCAGCGGCTGTCCTGGACGATGTACCGCTCGCGTGGCTCGCGCGGGCTGGTCACCCCGCTGCCTGTTGGGGTCGGGCTTGGGCTTTTGCTGTTGCTGCCGCCGCCGTTCGGGGCGAGTGTGTAGGAGCTTGGGTCTAGCATTGATCGCAGGGTCGACCCGGCGCGGGCGCGGTTTGAGGTTGATGGTTCTCTGGTTAGTGACGGTTGAGAAGGCGCGGATGCGGGGGGTGGTGGGGGTGGCATCGAGGTTGGGGAGGAGCGGCCTCCCGTTGCAGTTGCGCGCATGGCGGCTTGGAGGGCGATGTTTGGTGATGGTACGTTTGAAGGTGCTGCAGTTGGCGGTGGGGGTGGGGGTTGTGAGCGTGCCGGCGCTGCAGGTGGTCTTTGAGACGCGGCTAGAGGTGGGGGCGGCGCCAGGGGTATAGAGGGTGCGGATACTGGCGGAGGAGGCGGCGGTGCGGGTGCAGCTGATGGTGGTGGAGGTGGGGCTGCTGGAGGAGCGGGTGCCGATGTCGACGGAAGCGGGGGAGCTGGCGGCGCATGCGACCCGGGTAGAGGTGGAGGATGGGGAGCATGTGACGACAAGCTCGCAGGCTTTCTGGATCCGGGAGGCGGAGGGGGTTTCTTCCCGATCGGCGGCGGTGGGCCTTTCGAAGAGGACAGCGAGACGGATGAGATCGGTCGTGGAACATCGCTGTGCATTTTTCTAAGGTGTGCTACAGAAGCGTGGGTGCCTGCCGTTGGGACCGCGGGCACTGCACGTCCTGGTAACGTGGGAACGGCCGGTGCTGATCCCATAGGCGGTCTCGGTATCGACGGCGGCTTTGGTGAGGACTCGGAGTCGGATAAATAGGATGCATTTTGGTTTGCTGCGTAAATGGTGAGTGATCTGTATACCTATATAAACTCAGTAGAATCAATAACTTACCCCCAGTATCTACACCTCCGCCACGTTTCTTCAATTTCGGCATGCCGCCTGCGAACAAGCCTGCCAGTTGAGGCGCCGGCTCTGCTGACGCTCCGCTATCACGGCCTACAAAATCACTATTGCTTCTTGCCCTATTCGCTCCCGGAATTCCTGGAACTGGTGGTGCACCACTTGGAACTGCAGGAGCCCTACCTAGGCCCGGGACAGGGGGCGCTCCTCCCATAGGCGGTCCTCCTCCACCTCCACCTCCTGACGAACCGCCAACTTGGGGAGCAGATCGATCGTTCGTAACGGCCTTCTTGAGGGCTCTTCCCTTCGTTATATCGGTGAGTAAGGCACCTCGGCCGGCGCCCGATGGCGGTGGTCGTGATAACCCTCCGGGTGGTGGAGGAGGCGGTGGCGGTCCTCCCATGCCTGGGAGCGGCGGTGGGGGAGGAGGTGGTGGAGGCATTTTGGAGAGTAAGCTCCGGCTATTTTAGAGTGTTGATATTATCAGTTTCGTAGGCAGGGTATCGGAGATTCGATTCGAAGAGAGTCGGCAAAGGTTAAGAAGATAGCCTGAAGGGCCGTCACCATGCGTGGCTATACAATTGTAAGATGATATGGCAAAACCGTGCAAGTTTCTCGAATGAGGTAAAACGAAGTAGCGATGTATATCTAGTATTTGACTACAATGGTATCTTAGTACAAGAAGGAAGCAATCGTAACGGCACACGACGCAATTCAATGGCGGAAATGATAGACTGGTGCCTTATCGATGAATGGTTTAGGAGGTAGAAGGATAAGTAAATCAATTTATGGGGCGACGTTGGGAATTGCTGGTCGTAAGCTTTTCAGCCGCCCGCTGTCGTCACATTGTGGCGCAAGTTGCCCCGCCGGATGTTTATCGATATGTGACCTGTAACTAAGTACTAGGTACCTTGCTATTGCACGTAACAGAATTTAATGTGCTCGCTCTTTCTATTTTGCTATTTCTTATATTATATGAGATGATTTTTTACTTTGGAATAGTAAGCTAGGTAGTCACGATACCACTGAACAGAATCCAAGGAAATTACTCAAAGCGCTATTAATAAAGAATGGAAGGAGCATGGTCATTTCAGTCCTTATATGAGCATATTTTCAGTTGCCCTCTATATGCAACTAGTATTGCTATAACAGTTTTTAGTAATTAAATGAAATGCTATCCAATGAGAATAGTTTTTATTAATTGGCAAGTCTTAATTGAACTTCTTTTTCACAGCATTCATCGTCGTGTTTAACTACCTCTTCTCACCCCTGGCTCTCCTGCTAGACGTCGTTGCGAGCGTTTTCGCCGAATATTACCACGTTGCAACCATCGCAACGATGCCTCGATCCGCTCCCATCCCACGAGTGCCGACGGTCTGTCAGATTTGCGATTCGATCGTCGGCCGTCGCTTATACTCTACAAAACCCACATTGAGAGCTCACAATGCCACTACTAGGCCTCGAATTCAAATAGAAAGAAGGCTGTTAAAGACGAATACAATACAGAAACGTGCATTAGTCTCTGGAGTATTTTCAACCGAGAAAACGACATCAAGCTCTACAGATACTCGCGATACTCCAATTCAAGATGGCAATACACCTAAGAAAGCGAGAGAGGAACTGTCATCTGTAACCAATATGATGACCTATATTGAAAGAAGCAAATCTAAGGTGCTCACAAATCGAGGCATACCATCAGAAGCGGATATAAATGCAGCTCTCCGGGCATGCTGGGTCGTAGCCGATTATATTATGGATGATACTGTACAACCACAACTTACCCATATGGTGAATGAGCTGGATTCGACTGCTTCGGAGATTCTTTCGTTAGATCGCGCAAGCAATTCTCACTCTTCTAAATCGTCGGAGACTCCCAGCATTAGCATGACGGCTCAGGTCAAACAGATTATCGACAAGATATCGCACAATGCTTATGCGGTAATATCGCACCCACCTGTCTTCATTACACCTAAACTACTTGAAAAATATGTCAAAGTTCAAGCCCGTCTAGGGAAGCCGGAGACACTTCCCCAGATATTCCAGATGTATGCGTGGAAGCCTATGCCCCGCGAATCTAAAGGATCGATCAGCTATGTAAAACAGAGTCCGAACAAGATAGCGAACGCCATCGAGCCAGAGGTGATCGAGAAGGCCCTAGACACCGCGATTGAGGTCAAGAACCTAGATGCTGCGGTTGGTATCGTAGAAAATAGTTATGCTACGAAGGCTTTTATTCGAAATAAACTCTTGCGCAAATGCCTAGTACCAGGAGGAACACTGGCGGCAACACCAGTAGCAGCATATCTACTGGCCACGAGCTTTTCCAATTTTCAAAATACAATGGACACAACCTCTGCGACTAATATAGCATTTGCCGGTATTCTAGCCTACGTTGGATTCACAGGGTCACTCGGCATGGTTGCATTAACGACGGCAAACGATCAGATGAATCGAGTTACCTGGAACCAGGGAGTGCCTTTGCGATCACGATGGATAAGAGAAGAGGAGAGAGCTGCGTTAGACAAGATCGCTTGCGCGTGGGGGTTCGAAGAGAAATGGCGTCAAGGCGAAGAAGAAGGGACGGATTGGGATGCCTTGCGGGAGTATATCAATACGAAGGGCATGGTTCTGGATCGGACCGAACTGATGGAAGGAATGGAATAGTAGATCTACGGGTTTTGTGAATCCCCCAAGATCTACCTACGTAATGGCTGTCTACTAGGGGCATCATACTAGACAAGATGGCGGTCTTGTTCCAAGGTCAATGTTCGCCAAGTGGACCAGCAACGTTGTTTCGATCTATCGGACATGGGAAGTCAAAGTTTCGTGTATCCGAACTGTGGGGGCCACCCGAATAAGCAGCCATGAGAAATATGTCCTTATTAAGTTTGCTTCGGCATCACACTAACCTGGCGACTCTCCACCTCTGTCCTCCCGTCTCGGTCTTGAGTCGCGCATCTACTGGCTCCTCCGGCCCAGACCCTAGGAACCGATCCGTACGGGGGGTTCCACAGACTATTACGTGCATCGCCAACTTACTTCGCCTCTTTATCACTTTCATGGCGCTTTATAGAGGCGCTCTAAATATACTTGGCATTTCTTTTTTTTTCTTTCCTGCATATGGTGAGAAGTAATCCTAATCTCAAAAGTGCCCAAGGATGGATATCCACTACCGCCCAACGGACGGCTTCTTGGCACCTGAGTCAGGCTATCATTATATCAAGAACAGGGTCGACTTTCGTCTGCCATTGCTTCCCATAGGTTCTGTCACGAATAGCTACGATTTATTATCTCCGACTCAGAATGGGTGGACAATTCTCACCGAAAGATCCCAAGAGATGTCCTCACTATGCCCGTTTCGCGGCTCATCTCGATAGACCCCAGTTTGACGGTATCTACTGGACCTTCTTTTGCTCAGTCATACTCATCTTATTCGTCTCGTCATGGATTTTTCAATCGTAAGTGACAAACAGCTATCGATACAATATCTTGGGTTCTATAGGATATTAACCGTTTACCTATCGCGTAGGACGATGAGATACCGAGAAAAGCCGGAACATTGCGAAAGCACATTTAGGAGGAAGCTTAAGATTTCTCTCGCATGGTGCACATCATTGTTTCTGCTCGCCGCCATCCTCCTAGTATTTGAGGTCTTCGCCCTTCTGGCGCTACAATTCTGCGACGGTGAGGACCTCATGTCACTCTACTGGTCCACATGGACCATGCTTCAGCTGGGGTCCGAGATTGCGATCTTGGGCATCAACTTGGCGATGTGGCATCACTTGTTTAATGTCCGACAACCGTAAGTCTCCTTCGTATATTATAATAGCTCCCGTTCCGCTTCATGAATATGTCACTAATTAATCCTTCATTACCTAGACTCTGGGCCCTCGCGTTGGGTACCCCTGTTCTTGTCGTTGCGGGGCTCGGCCACATCATTCACGTTGCTTTCCGAGTATTCTACAAGAAGGCTAAGGAGAACAGACGGGCAAGTAGGGAGGTCCGCAGCAACACCGCTCGTAAAATGGCAGACGTCTCCGCGTCCACCTCCACAGCGTGAGTCCCAACCCAATCAAAATGTATGCTTAATATAAACTAGACACCAGCCACTAACGATTTAATCATTGTCTTAGCCCCAGCATTAAGCCGGAACGCGAACACGTTGACCAGGCAAGCGATCTAATAGCCGGACAAACCATGTGTTTCGCGATAGACGTGGGCGATGACGAACGGGTAAGGCAGTGGCCGTCTTTCGTAGGGATGTCAGGCGGCAAGGCGATCGTGCGGCTGACTGCGATACATGTCTGACGCATCGGTTTCATAGGGCAATTTTGGTTACAAATCTAATTTATACATACATTGATATAATATACGATATCTCTGTGACTCTCCTCCCTCTTACTCGGGAATTGTGACCAAGCGGTGTGGCTGCGCCAGACTATTGGGCGCCAACGTGATAACAAGAGGCGGGAATGCTCGCCGCGTCACGGATCTCTTCACAGACCATGTTCACATGGCTGACATGGTTGGCAACCTAGCACACCCAAGCGTCCGTCTACCCTAGCCTACCCCAGCTTGGTGGGGATCTTCATCGCGCCCGGACAGCCCCGGACTGGTGTTATCTAAAGCCGGTAAATAAAACGTCTAGGCGGGAGGAATGATGTGCTATGTATGGTACCCAGACATGTGAAGGTTCGCTAGTCTGATATCTGTAGATTTGCCAAGGAGAGATCCTTTCTAAAAAAGGGGGCGGCGGTGGAGATGGGAAGCCGCGGGTTTGTCTGCCCCGGCCGAATCCTGCAGGTCTAGGTCGGTAATACGTATGGGCGACTTCGTAAAAAGCAAAGCGGCTCAGCCGGTAGATACTAGTAGATACCGTACCCGCCAAGAGACCCAGCTACCAAGTTAGGGTTAAAAGGTCGGGAGTCGAAATTTTCTTTGGCGGAACGAGTCATTTCGTCAGCGTATGTATTATAATCCCCCCTGGCAATTTACTTTTTTATCTAGCAGCCTAGCTGTCTAGGCAATCGATCGGGGATCCTGGACCGATGACATATTGTATTTGTTTAAGTCGTTATTGGGTATTTTATCCCCAGAATCCCGGAATCCTAGTTGCTTAATAGCGATAACTATAGCATTATAGCAATCACAAAATAAAAGAGAATAAAATCAAGTTGACTGATGTTGATGTTGATACTTCAACACACGATAAGAGAACAGACCTTCCGAAAGTTCCCTCTCGTAAGCGTGCGCGTCACACCGAGTGTGTAGCGGGCAATGATATTCGGATGGGGACCCCATTGCGGAGAAACCATTCAGACCAAACATTGGCATGATAAGACTACGGGGTGATCAGTGATCTCACGGTATTAGGGTCATTTAGAGTAACTTGACGTCTTCATGTTGTTATTTAGTTGGGTGTGAGAGAGAGACTACGCTATATCGAGAAATCCGAGAACAAGTGTTTTGTAATCAGAAATACCTAGACTGCTAGAGCGATATGTGAATTTTATGTAGTAGCCGTCTCAATATCCTGGACGAGGGTGGAGGGGTTGGGATCTGCGCAGGGATTGGACAGGCGCTTGCAGATATGCCGGTGTTGCAGACACTTTCCGGAAAGCTCAGCTCGACGCCATGCCGTTTGTTGGTTTGTTTGTCCGTCTTGTCTTGTCCCAAACTCATAGATCCCATGGATGCGACGGATGATATGATTGGAAGTTGAGCGTATATAGTATAGCTAGCTTTCGGCCGACTATACTCGTCCCGCACGTCCAACCTGTAAAATCTCGCCGGTCAACCTCTCGTCACTACGTAGGACTGGCCAGCTCGCGCCGTCTGCTTTGTACAGGCTGACTTCCAGCTTCGTGCCAAGGATCTTATACGTGGACTTTTCCACGTCGATTTTCCCATACAGCGGAACGCTAGTTCTATAGCGCTTAGGTTGCGCGTCGCTGGTCGGGAGGTCGACCGCGATCGCTTGTGTCTCGAACGTAATCGTGGCTTTTTCCTTATCAATCTTCTTGAGGAAGAATGATGCGATCACCGTCGATGGTGTCTGGTAGAAGTCATGTCGCACCGTCTCTAGCAATTCCTCTCCGTTTTCGGAGGTCGAAGTATTTGCCGTTTTGGACTTGCTCTTCTGCTGTCCGGACCCGATGAACAAGTGCTTAGGTGATGTTTTACAGCCCTCGAGCTTCATGAATTGGTCGAATTCTAGCACTCGTCGCTTACAGCAGCTGTATCCCTTGCTACCTTCGTGGAAAATGGGAGCGCCTGGGTGATGAATGCATGTCTCATCCTCTGATCGGCCTTGGCCTTTCTTATAAGTTATATTACAGCCTTTCCGTCGGCAAACCTTTCCATCTGGGATCTCCAGAGACGGGTCGTCATCTTCGGACTCAGGTGGTGGCGGTGGCGCGGTAGGGGCTGGCTGGGGAGTTAAAGGTGCGCGGGTAGGCGCTGATACAACTTCGGCAAGTTTTGACGCTAGAGATTGTGTGGCTGGATCAAGATTACTCGGCGCCTTTTTCTCGATCTCGGGGGGTAAATCCGTTGTACTGTGTTTGCCTTTTGTACAAGGCTTGATCTCGAGAAACTCGTCGAAGGTTAGGACTCTTGGTTTACAGCATTTCCAGCCTTAAATGTAGAAAAATACATGTTAGAAAATATGTTTATCTTGGTAATGTCCTGGTATTTACGTTGTATTTCCTTTTCTCAGAATAGCTTGGACTACGTACCTTTCTGCCCCTCATGGAAGACTGGAGGACCCGGATGGTAGACACAGACCTCGTCCGGATCGGTGTAGACCTTGCCGCAACCCTTGTGGACACATTTCTGGGCCATTGTCGCGCACACGTACGGTATTTTGACGAAGATTCAAAGCTCGATCGGCGTCTTAGTAAGTGAGGTGAATTTGGACTTGTATTTGTTTTGCGATAATTTAGATAATTCATAAATCGCACATGGTTTGTAGGTGAAGCTGGTGGAAGCTGCGAGAGCCTTGAGCTTTCTCACCGCCTTCCTTTTTCGGGAGCTTTGTACTTTCCTTGTCAAAAGTCCCCCACAGAAGCCACCGAGTATCCAGGTACCTATGACGTACCGACGTTCGATTATTGGTATGTGTGAATGTCTATCTGACTTTATCGTAGTATAATTGTCCTCCTATTAGGCACCGCGGAGAAACAGATAGTCTGTCAGCACTCTGATTGGCAATTCTAGTGTCGATGGGATTTGTAATCTTTATGCGAGCAATATGTTTGACGTTCATAAACTCAAACTGATTCGACATCATTTGTTACTGTCATGCTCACTCAACATTGAAGGAAATAATAACAGTTGACACACCAAAAGTTCATCTTAGTTACTTTTGTAAGTGGGGCGGCAGAATCTGAAGCCCCGCCTAGTGGGGTAGACACCTCGATTGAGATATTCAGTAATAAGGCATAGCTAATTATGAGGAGTAATATGCTAATATAACATATACCTCTATACCAGATTATAATTCGTCTACTCATTATGGACTCCATCTTCAACTTAACATACGATTTATACGCAACTCATACGACTAAATTAATTATGATTTTACATGAGGATCATTTCTCTAGGAATTAATAACCCTCTGTCTTTCTATGTAAAGCTTCAAATGCCAAAATGAGAGCTACTTCTCGATTGCTTCAAGCCTGTAGGATCACGCTGTTCACGCGTGAAAACTGCGGGCTTTGTACCACGGCTAGGTCAGTTCTCTCTGACGTCTGGGACACCCGGCCTTTCCAGTTCAAGGAGATCGATATCATCAAATCAGAATCCAAGCCTAGTTGGCGAGATCTATATGAGTTTGACGTCCCTGTGGTATGTAAATTGGGTGAGTATAAAATACCTCTCGTAAGCTGATATCCCCTTCACAGATACACATCAGCAAGTCTTCAGCTCCGGAAGAACACCCACAGTCAGCGTCGAAATCCATTAAACTCATGCATCGATTTACCATCGACCAGGTAAAAGATAAGATGGATCTAGCCGAGAAAGCTTAATTAAAATGGTCTATTATATGACATCGCTTATTATCTCATATAGACATATAGATACGAGTATATCCTTTCGCTGCCCTCCATGAGTAGGGACAGAGAAATGCTAGTTCCCCCACTCCTTTATCATTTAGATGTTCTTAATATCTACCGCCAGCCTTCGGCGCTTGTTGCCCTCGAGCGGCACTCAACGACACGCCTAGCGAAGCCTGCAACAGCGTCGTGTCGAGCGCCGCGCTAATCATGTGGAATCCCTTATCCGCATACTCCTTAGCCTGCTCTCCGCTCGTAGCGAAGAAACCGCACTTTTTACCCGCCTTGTTCGTCGCTTCCAGGATCCGTTCCATGGCTTGCTGGAGCTCAGGCTTGATGACTCCGTCTAATATAGGATGGCCGATGTTATTCCCCAAGTCAAATAGTCCTATGAAGAGCACGTCGATGCCAGGGATGGCGGCTATTTCTTCGACGACATCGAGCGCTTCTTGCGTCTCTATTTGCACCATCGTTAGGAGCGAGTCGTTGGCATGCTGCAGATATTCTGTCATGGATGGAGCTGGGTTGAATCGCTCCATGGCGAACGGAGATCCTAATCCGCGTTGGCCTTGGGGTGGGAATTTGGCGGCGGCGACAACTTTCTTGGCCTCTTCCACAGAACGAAGCAGTGGGATTAGAACCTGGACTGTTAGCGACATTGAATTTCGATTGCTCGCGAGTCACCTACGCCGTGTGCTCCAGCATCCAGTGCCCCTTTTTAGATGTCAGTTATATGAAATCAACGGATTTTACTGGAAATCTTACGCTTAATCATCCAACCCTGCATATCGGGCATTCTCACGAGGGGACTGACACCGCAACTGGCGATAGTTGGAACGGCCTCGTGCATTGCGGCATCTATAGAATCAGCATTTAAATCCTGCCTGTAAGAGAATAAGGAGCTTCACCGTCAATATTTCCATGTTCACAATCTACCATCACCCAATCCACGCCTGCGCGTGCTAGCACCCTCGAGACATTCTGACCCGGCAACGTTTGCCAAACCCCTATACTAGGGGTTTCATTCTTAAGAAAGGCATTTTTCACTACACATCCTTGCAGCATTTTCGAATATAGTCTTTTCAGCGATTGAATATTATAACAAAAGTTAAGATTAAATTTCCCAGAACTCAACAACAAGGTCCGGTTCGCGGAAACAGCACACCGAGATATAAGTGGCACCGATCTTACTATACCAGACAGCCCCCTCAAAGCAGCCATGTTATGTCGTAACGTAAGATACACGGCCGCATCGGGAATTGACATTGTCTTTCTCCAACCTCCGGATCTTCAAAGGAGGAGAATCAAGTTACCACCCGCGGCCCCCTCGCTCATGCAGTATATTAAACTACCGAGAGCGGGGTAGTTATCGCTGTAGGATCTAAGCTCCAGCTTTCTTTGAAACATGCATTACTTACCTAAGATACCTATCATCATACTGGAGGTGACTCGGGTTTTCTATAAGTATAAAAATCATCATACGTTACACCAAGAATGGTTGCGACCTCAAATGTTGTAATTGTCACATTTATCATTGTTTAATTGTTCGAATATGCGTGAAGTTGGATGCAGTTACACTACTCCGGTTGAGGCTCGGTTGCTATATTGCTTGTATATAGGTAAGCTTTCTTAGAGGAAGCATTGATCTAGAAGCTTAATATAACTCTTATATGTGACACAACCTATGACGTTACCTAGCTGGGTAAGGAGGTAAGACCGGCACTCTCCCCGCTAGGCCTTCTCCGATCCGTGATCTTAGTGTCCCACTTTTCCGGGAGTACTCCGAGTCGTGACTTCAGGGAGTGTCTCAATACATCCATGGATGTGATACTCCGCTCTATATGAGGATACGGAGTTTACTCTCATATCATGTAATTGAGGAGGAGTATAGAAAATAATATTTATTTTTAACGTGAAATTTAGATAAGATTCCCAGTTAGCTACCTAGAAATCCGTGTGCTCCTTATTGAAGCATCTCCTGTAAGTCATCTGCTATTTATTTAAGCCTTTATCCTACAGTCTTTCCTCACACCACGTCTTTGTGTTACAATGGTAGAGCGGGGATATATTTTGTGCGTATTTACACACTGTCAATAGATCCTTCCTATGTATACCCTATCCCATTTTAAATCGATTCGCTAGTGGAGTGAACAACACCGTTTCACCCTAATCACTAGTGACCTTTAGTACCTAGAACCACTAAACTCATCCTAGATGATATAAAATGGTACTTGGATGCTATAACCTTTCATCCCAATCCCTCATACTTGCAACTTCTGTGTGAACTGCTCAACACCGGCGTCGATAAATGCCCAACGGATCCGGATAGTGGAGCGGGATAATCATGTTGCTATGGAAATGCATATCTCAAATATTGAGAATTATGAGTAGCATTTGTATCAACATGGTTGGATAGTGCACGGTAGATTGAAGAGGGTGAAGCTGGTAAAATCGATGCTCGTCCCGATAATGCTCAGTAAGAGCTATGCCTACTCCTAGGGCTTTCAAGGGGTAGGATGCGTGACGTCGTTCATTAGCGCGTATGGATTAAGTGTTCTAGATTGTGACATAAAGGTCTGACGGACGGCAACATCCAGGGCCGCCGGTCCCCCCGGCATATTCTGCATGGCGGTGAACATTTGACTCAGGAGCTCGATGTGACTGACAAAGTTACCATTGTGGCTGGCTTCCTCTAGGAGCGCCGTCTCGGCTGCCCAATCCGCGCCCCATACATTTGGCGGTATGACATCACCCTCGTACAGCGCGATTCGGAGGGGCCACTGTAGACGCGGCCACCATTCTTCGTCGTCTGGATCGAATAGCGATATGATACCCATTACCTCGCGGCGTGCTACTCCTTTTAGCCACCAGACACTGTCGAGACACTTGAGTAGGCCAAAGTAGCTAGCAAGGATGGCAAGAGCGCGGGGACGGCGGGTTTCGAGCAACTCAACGAAGCGACGCGAAACGGTTGCGAGAAATACGAGTGGGGCGCCAGTGTGAGGTATCTTGTGAGCCCAGTCCAATACAGCGACGGCGTGCTGGTACGCTTGCCGCGTTGTCTCCTGAGCATCTAGGTCATCCTCCAGACTGATAATCTCATCCTCAACTCCATCCAGGAGATGCCCAAAGAAATTCGCATTCTGGCCCGAAAGATCAAGGTTGAGCGCGGGTTGTGACTCGATTATCGGGACAACGATACCGCTATGGCGCAACCATTGCCAACTGGCAGCTACGACAGCCTTCACGCCCTGGAACGAATGGAACCATGATAGCGGCAAGACATATCCATCAGACCTATCCTTAAGGTCCCCGCTATCGTCTCTAGAGAAGATGCGGGATGCTGTGGATTGGAACGCGATAAGAGCGGCTGTGAGGAACAGCGCTTCGGCATTTGACTCGTTAATACCCTTGCTTAAACTTGCGCCGTATTCGGATAGGGTAGATGCCATATATGAGTGGCTGGCGCGCACCAATTCTTGGTCCTGCGGCGAATGATATCGTAGATGGAGAGCGGAAACGGCGAGGAGAGCGTCGGCTAGGAAATTGGCGCCGGAGAATGCGAGGTTCGGGACAGTGTTCCTCCATATCCTCTCGCTTACCGGCGACGATATGGCGAGGGTTTCGCAGGTGATGGTGGTGTAGTGGTGGATAAGCTTCAGTTCCATCATACGACTACTTTTCGTATTCGCCGTCAGGGGAAGCGTTTCTGGATTTCGGTATAAGGGAAGAGAAGTGTCCGAGTCCATACATGGTGTTGGTGGGAGGGTACTCGTCGACGGACTGTCGCAATTGCTGGATGTCGATGGACGGGGAGTTTCGGCGGGAGTGAGGGAGTCGGCGAGGCCAGGATGTTCGAAATCGCAAGCGACGCCGTGCTTTGTACAATTACCACACCTGGGATGAACTTCATCGCACTACAAAACAGCCACCAGGAACTGTCAGTTTTGCGCCTCCCCCTTTTCATGTGACTGGCCAAGACTACATACCTTTATCTTCCTGGCCTTACATCTGCGACATCCAGCTCGAGATTTCTTATGAGATCTCCTTGGAGGCATTGTCACGCAAGATCATAATCGCTGTCGGAGGGTAAGTCTATTATTGTTCCTATAAGGGCAGATAAACGAAGCCATCGATAAAGACGTCGGAGTCGTGTCTAATCCACATCCGCAAGTAATAAGTTGGCAAGCATTAGATTTTCGGATGCCGAGCGGAATACTTCCAAGATTGTGACTAGTGACCAGGACCAGCAAGGACCAGTAAGGATCAGTGAGGGTGACCAGTGACTAAGGTCGAAAGGTAGATGCGGATTTTGCGGGTTGCGGAATTGGAGATTTGAGGGTTACTGTCAATTGTACGTGCAGCAGGTGCAGGTAGCAGGTGGGTTTCCTTCCTGCCTTTGATATGCTACCAACATGCTAAGCCACTCGTCAAAGTTCGCGGCAGATCCGGGGGCTAATTATCGGCCAATCACTCTTGTTCCATTAGCTTGGCGGGGGTATACATTGTACATATATACATAGTAATGTTACTGTGCACGATGTACGCACATATACGCCCAATACGCGTATAAATCATACCTGCCTGGCTGCCTGCAGTGCTTGCCTCTGTCTGTATAGCGTAAGTACTTCGTACCCGGGCATAGTAATGTTAGGCAGCCACCTCCCCACCCGTTCAATCGTCCGTTATTACTCGCAGCCACAAACTGCGATGTCATTCGGCTCGGCTTTCTTAGCCCCTCCGAGTTCCCGAACCTTGTACCTATCATTATGAGACATATCGTCTCGGTAAACAACCCCTCGGGATCCAAATTGTCCCTTTTACACATTTCGGCCCCGGATACGTCCCAGAAAACATGGCCTGATTACGGAAGTACCCCGAGAAGATTATCAAGTGTGCTTCGAAGTCATTCAGCACGGAGCGTGATACGACCTGATTCTCACGTAAGCCTCAGGGGTTAAACGTGAACGTGAATCTTCCCAGTTATGAGAGTCTAGATTCAAGAGCCTCATAGAATCGAATCGCCTTGTTTCTTCTCTGCTGAAGCTTAACTCTTACGATATGGCGATCTACATAAAGCGATTAACGTGGCTCGGCATCTTCGTCATCGTCTGCTTCGCACTCTTCTGGGGTCGGACATTTTATGGAACCACAAGACTGTCCGACCAATTGTGTTCCATCATAAGCGTTTGTCGCACTGATCCACCTGAGCTCCCTTCAGTTGAGGATTCTCCCGTCGTCCTCGAAGGGTATGGAAACTTCGCCGGAACCACTATAAACACTACATTGAGCGGTGTTGCACTCCCGGCCCCAGTTGATGCTTGGCTAGGAATCGATTATGCCACCCAGCCTATCGGTGAAGGTCGTTTTAGACCTATTGACTGGCCAGCTCCATTCGACGGCGTGAAGCTAGCTACATCGTATGGGAAAGCGTGCATCCAAGATGCCAAGTATATCAGTATAGAAGCGCAGGGGGAGGCATGCCTAAATTTCAACGTGTATCGAACTCGGGGTGTTCCGTTGAACAAGAGACTTCCCGTTTTTGTCTACATCCATGGTGGAAGTTTCAACTTCGGAACTAGTAAAAGTCTGGACGGGGCTGCGTTTGTTGCGTCGTCCAAGGAGCCAGTAATTGTCGTGACCTTCCACTACCGCCTAAACTCCCTTGGTTTTCTACCGTCGGCAATGTTCAGTAATGAGGGCCTCCTCAACCTTGGATTACGAGATCAGTACTTCTTTCTAAAGAATTTCGTGCAAAAGCATATCAGCTCTTTTGGTGGCGACCCAGGAGCTATCACGCTTGGTGGCCGTTCTGCCGGTGCTCATTCTGTGGGCATCCACTACTTTCATAATTATGGCCAGGATGCCGGAAAGCCCTATATGGCCAGAACCATCCTCCAATCTGGATCTGTCACTGCACGAACGTTCCCAAATGCCACTTATCCGTTATATATCCGCCAATTTGAGGAGTATATGGCATTCCTTCGATGCCCTACTAATGATAATGCTGCCGCCTTAGCCTGTCTGCGTTCTGCTAAAGTCACTGATATCAGAAAGATTAGCAGCAAGATGTATGATGACTTCTTGTACAATAATACATGGCCATTCCAACCAACACAAGGAGGCCCGATGCTCGAAAAATTCGGTTCCCAGTCTGGCTATGATGAGACTTTCTTCCATGTGCCAACACTTACAACTACTGTCACAAACGAAGGAAGATGGACAGTTCCAGGCGACAAGAAAACCAATAATGAATTCCTAGAGTATATGCACACAAATGCCCCTCTCTTGACCAATAACGATCTTGAATTGCTGGCATCCTTATACCCGGATCCAGCGACAAATATCAAGTCCCCTTTTAAAGATTCCCCGAAGGAAAAGGAGGCACAGTATGCCCGCCTATCTGCTGCGTGGAGTGACTACGCGTATATCTGCCCTGGGCAAGAAACTGCATATAGGATATCAACCGCTGGCATACCAACATGGAAAGGTCGGTTCAACACAAACAATAGCTTTCCGGCTTGGAAGGGCATTCCTCACGCGGCCGACGGGAAATATACTTGGCCCGAGCCAAAGTCCCAGTATCCGGAGATCGGCCACGTGCTCCATGGCTACTTGTCCAGCTTCGTGACAACCGGGGACCCGAACACACACCGATACCCAGGATCTCCCGAGTGGCCAAGATATACTCCTGAAGGATACGGCCTCGATTCAAAACCGGCACACCAGCTTGTCATCCAGCCTAAGGATACAAAGGTCGAGACGGACGAGATCCGCCGCGAGGCATGTCTATTTTGGAGAGATCCCAAGAGAGCGCCCCGTCTGAATAAGTAATTGGATGAAAAAGCGTTGATTATTACATTATTATACCCATAGTCGTACCAGAATCCTATATCACGTATAAATCAGAAGCTATTCACCTACATCAGCACGTGATCCGATCGTGTGGAGTAAATCTACCCCGAGCCGGCTTGGGGGGGAGGAGTTAGAATGGGTGGCTAGAATGACGTGATTCGCACTTCACCCGGATTGGTGGAGGTGTCAGGGGTCTCTTAACTAAGTTTCCTTCGCTGGACCTTACGATCCTATGCTTTATACTAGGGTCCTTATACCAAAATTGCCTTTTCCTGGGTCGCTCACCTCTATAAATCTATACGCGCAAATTCAAGACAATGGCGACTTCATTCAGTGAGATTCCGGTAATAGACCTCTCACAAGCGGATCACGACTCGACTAGACCCGAGTTGCTGACTAATCTCCGCTATGCTCTTACAGAAGTTGGGTTTCTATATGTGTCAAATCACAGCGTCTCATCGACGGTAGTTGACGAATTAGTAAATGCACTGCCTACTCTTTTTGAGTTAGAAGGCGAGGTCAAGAAATCTGTCGCATTGGAAAATTCACCACACTTTCTGGGTTATAGTGGTGTCGGAAGTGAGAACACGGGTGGCAAGACAGACAGGAGGGAACAGTTCGAGTATGCGACAGAGTTGACGGCAACCTGGAAACCCGGTGTTCCCCTATACGAGCGTTTGCGGGGTCCTAATCAGGTAGCTATAATCTTGATATTATATTCATAATATAATGCTGATGCTTTTAAGTGGCCAGAAGGGCATCCCAAACTCCGTGCCGTGGTAGAAGCTTATATACAAGAGCTTACACGACTAGGCGATCGCTTCTTAGATCTAGTTGCCCAAGCTCTTTCACTTTCTCCTGGGACATTCCAGCCATTTTTATCAGACCAGCATCGCTTGAAGTTGGTGCACTACCCTGCGCTCCCGGCTGGTGATCCTGCCATCTCGCAACAAGGCGTTGGACCACATAAAGACTCCTCGGGGTGGTGGACGTTCCTACTCCAAGCATCACCTCCTGAAGTGAAGGGGTTGCAAGTCCTCAATAAAGTAGGGGCTTGGGTCGATGTCCCAGTGGTTCCGGGTACTTTCGTAGTCAATATCGGCCAGGCTTTCGAAGTCGTTACCAATGGCGTATGTAAAGCGACGACACACCGGGTTCTCTCGGGTCCACACGAGCGATACAGTGTGCCCTTCTTCCAGGGCGTTCGTCGAAATCTCACTAAAGCGGAGGCCGTCGGGTCCCTACAATCACACTTCAGTACGCTTAACATCAGCAAGGAATCCGACGAAGGACACGCGGTCGACTCTGCTTTCTTGAAGGGTAGATATGATACTTGGGGAGAGTCGCAATTACGAACGAAGGTGCGCAGCCATCGCGAAAACGGAAAGAAGTTTTATCCCGAGGTCTTTGACCAATATATTCACGACGATGCCTAAAAATAGTTAAGAAGCCGAAATCTCATTTCATTTACAGGATTTAAGCAAAACAAGCATATTATATCATGTTAGAATTGATTGGATTTACTGCTATTTATTCGCGAAATACGTTTAATCATAATACTTGGCCGCCTTGCCACCGATGATTTCCTGCTCCAACACATCACTCCTCGGCTTATCCCTAGTAACTCCCCGCGCCACACGCGCCTTCACCCACTCCCCCGCCGTGATCCCAACCGCGCTCCCATCCGTCGTCTTATCGTATCCCAGCCGCGCCAATACATCGCTCACCACGGGTCGCAACTCTAGGCTATCCTCCGGCCTCACAAAATATAAGACACCTAGACGGTCGATATCGGCCTGATCCGGTGGCGGAGCGACAACGCGGTGGATGCTGCTCTTCAGGAACCCGTTCGTCAGGAATTCGAGCGAATCTGCGAGGTTCACCGTGATCGATTGCGGGTATGGTTTCACCCACTTCCACTGCCCCTCCGGAGTTCGGACTTGGAGTGCGCTGACGGGCTGCCTGAAAAGAAGCGTTAAACTGCCGAAGTCCGTGTGGCCCTTCACCTGCGCGTTTGAAAACATAGGTACATGTTAGCCACTCAATACACAACATTTCCAGAAGAGGGAAAAAGTAAAGACACTCTAGGTACACATACCCACACATTCTCCAGGATGCGATTCTGCTCCTCGGTCCGGTGGTGGTACTTCATGTATCGCAGGTGGCAGTCACTCTTCTCCTCGTACCGATGTCTCTGTAGGAAGTAATCCTCCGGTAGCTCTAGGATGATGGCGAAGAGAACGAGGAGCTTTCCTACGATGCCGTCGTTGATGTGGCGCGCGAAGGCTTCGATCTCGTCTCTGTTCTCGTTGATGATCTCCGGATGCGACCTCTCGAGCGCGGGGATGAACTTCGGGATGTTGTAGATCTCGGTGTTGTCGAATACACCCGGTTTTACTTCCTATCAACGATATAAGAAGTTGTGTAAGTAGGTGGTCGGTCTGGGCGAAGGTACTCACGCGAAGCCCGAGCGGCTTGTAGCCGTTGTAGCCCCCATTCTCAAGGTCCGCCCGGTATTTCAGCTTCTCCTCGGTTGGAAGCTGGAATACTTCCTTGCCGATGGCGAATTGTCGGTCGACTTGCTCTTGGGTCAAGCCGAAATTGATGATGTAGAAGAATCCGATTTTCTGGATCGCATCGAATAGCTGTGTCGCAAGTCTCTGCTTCCCACCTGGCTCGTCGAACTGCGAGAGATCTAATGTTACAAGATCTGCCCAGTCAACTGTGGGTATACTATTAGCATGTAATTTCTAGTTCGATGGAGACTCAGCTAAAACACATACGCTCATATTTTGTTTCTTGCTCTTGGGTATAGACTGGTGTGTTTGTCTTCCCCTGCGGGATGCTGGTAGCAACGGCGGCCATCTTTTTTTATTCAATGTATAGATCTACGTATCGCATGTATGTCGATTTCACTGAATATGATATGGGTTCTTGCTGAAGCCCCTCTTAATTACACAGCATCGCGACCCAGAGGTATGGTTCGATTTACCCATGCCATAAGTAATCCAGCATCGGTTCCGATACCGACGACCTCCACGATTGCGTGATACAGTTACCAACGTTGATTCCAAATGGATTCATGGGTTTTTTGAGGCGAAGAGAGGGGAACTCGGTTCCAAGTTTCCGGGTTTCCAGCATCGTGGGTGGCTCGCGGGAGCTCATGCGAAGCTAAGCGAAGTCGTGATCATCCTGGCCGATGACGAATCTCGGGCGACACAATCTGATCGGTCGAGAGCCCCCAATCTTCAACTCCAATATCTAACACCCCTACAATATTATCGGGAGAGCTTCCGGAAATAAAAAATTTAGTATGCCAATATCGTTCTGTTAGCGAAGACGTGGACGCGATGGGTTTAGTTCTATAGCAGCACGTTTTCATTCTATCCATAGATAATATCAGCAAGGGCCATTACTTCTTGGCAGATAGATACGCAGAGATTCGTGATTATAGTGGGCAATGACTGGATGTTACTTAGCGGGCCGTTTCTAGCTTGTGTCTTGTTAGTTGACTTGCTCATGTCTTAAAAAGACCCGTCTATCTCGAACGCTGTCGCGTTGCATCAATACAATACTTGGACGGTCTGACCTTTTCAGCACACGCGGCTATCGGTAGTCATTCAATGAGTATGGCAATCTCTAAAACACCTGAGATAAAGACCTCGGAGGCAGCAGGGGACTCGAGTTCGAGTAGTGTTAACGATGGGTTTCATCACGCCCGCAGAGGAGAAATAATCGACGATGTATCTGGCGGAGAAGCTATCGATGGATACGAAGCGGAGCGAATGCGCGCGAGAACAGCTCTGACGGCGGATGAAGAGAAAAAGTTGATTCGGCGGATTGATTGGCATCTTATGCCGTTATGTTCACTTATTTTCATGTTTAAGAATCTGGACGCCGATAATGTAAGTATTCCCTCGAGAATTTGAACTTGGTCTATTACAGTAGACATCGCTAATGGTTCTAAGATCTCGAACGCTCGTATTATGAACAGAGGAACTTCTCAAAACATTATGACGCAGTTATCATTGACATCTGATCAATATGCCTTAGTTACTGCTCTTTATTATGTGAGTTCAGTGTGACAAGTTCAAGGTAAGAATGGTGGCTTATAGTGTAATAGATACCGTATATCGTGGGGGAGGCGCCTTCGAACTTGTTTCTCAAGAAATTCTCACCCTCGCACTGGCAGTCAAGGATCGTAAGTCTCTTCCACGTTACTATGTCTTAATCTTGAATTAAGCAGATATTAACGACCACTACCTACAGATGGTTACATGGGGAATAATGTTGGCGTGCAATGTTGCAGTCAAGAATAAGGAAGGACTATATGTCACAAGATTTCTTCTAGGACTCGGTAAGTACTCCCCGAGTACAGTCTGAGACTACACTAACACCTATCGCAGCTGAGGCCGGGATGTTTCCGGGAATCATCCTACAAATGACGTATTGGTACCGGCCAGATGAAATGTCTCTAAGACTCCTCTATTTCTGTAGGTGCTAGCAATAGGCATGGATCTTCGATGGTGCTAACCAAAATCCTAGATATATGCGGAAATCTCAGTGGAATATTTAGTGGCATACTCGCATTCGCCTTCGATCACGCCTCAGGGGCGCGCGGATTGTCTGGGTGGCAATGGTGAGACCCATAAACCTTTACTTCTAGAAAGGGATGCTAATAAGATATAGGCTATTTCTCGTCGAAGCAATCGCAACAATCCTGCTAGGAGTTGGTGTATGGTTTCTACTACCAGATTGTAAGCTGCTCTGATTTAAGCAACACTTATAAATTTCACCAAACACTGACGGTTCCTATCCCAACAGTTCCCCAGACAGCATCCTGGCTCACAGATAAGGAGAAGGCATTCATACAAGCACGCCTACCCGCAAACGCACCAAGAGCAGCAGAACAGGACTTCAAGCTCAGCGAGATCATAGCCTCGTTAAAAGACAAGAGACTGTGGCTCTTTACCTTCATATGGGCGTTCTTCACAGTCGGTACCTCGGGTGTACGCTTCTATCAGCCAACAGTCATTGCGGACCTTGGCTTCACGTAAGTACCATATCTACTCACCTCACCTCTAATCTCGAAAACTGGAGACCGTTTCTTTCTAACAAACCTCATCCCACAGAACCATCGCACAAGCCCAACTTCTCAACCTCCCCATCACCATCCTCGGACTCATCGTAATCGGCGTAACCGGCGTAATCGCCGACAACGGACGTGTGCCCCGTCCCGTCTTCCCCTTAGCCTTCCTAACCATAATCCTAGCCTGCTACGGGGTAATGGTCGCGTACCCCAGCAACGCAGGCGTGTACGCCGCAACAATGATCGGCAACGCCGTAACCAGCGCCTGGTTTCCCATGATGTGGCCATGGCGAGTGCAAACCACAAGCCGGGCCACAGGCTCCGCCTTCTCGATCGGCTTCGTGAACAGCTACGGCCAGATCGGCGGGGCCGTCGGACCCCAGATCTTCAGGAGCGCGTACGCGCCGCGCTACCAGGTGTCGTTCGCGGCGGCGATGGTGCTGGTGGGGTGCTGCATGGCGACGACGCTGGCGACGTGGTGGGTCACGAGACAGACTGAGCGGGACACGCGGAAGCTGAAGCTGGCGAGGATCGCGGCGGCGAAGAGGGACGATGCGATCTTGGATGATGTGGTGGATAATGACCTGAGGAAGAAGACCGGTGGTTCCGTTGGGGTTTGATGGTTTTGGAGCTTGAGGTATGCGGGTGAGAGGGGTGGTTTAGCTAGATATAGAAGAATCTAGAATCTGGATATTTCTTTCGAAATACTAAGGTATTTCTGTTGCTGATCCTGTCAACACAGGTGCTAAGCTAGTGTATTCCCTTTAGACTTCGCCGGAACTGCTGGATGTAGGTAGTCGTAAGGTCTTATGTTAGTCGAAACCTTTTCGGAGGACCGCACCGGAAACAATGGATCTGATGCAGAGAACTCAACCACCCAATTCCACTGATAGAATTATGGATCCAAGTATACTGCATATATGACCCATACTTCCTGTGCAAGGGAGGAATACACGTTCTTGTACGATTTCCGTTGATTGGACAGTAGCCCATCTACACCGAATGTCGGGACTTGGAGGGCATTTAGGACGAACCCCTGAATTTTCGGAATGGGGGATATAACCACTCGGGACGGGAACGCTTGATACGGATGCATCCTACTCTCCACGTCTATAGAGCGGTCTATCCCGAAAACCACTATAAGCTATAAGATAGGTTAACTTTTCCCAGTTTTTCTAGCCTACCCACACATGATCAACTCGTGGGTAAGTCGCACGGGCAACGGGGGTATCGGGCGGCAACCCGGCGCCCCAGCGACCCCAAAGCCCGCGCATAAGTCTCCGCGTGCACCTCCACACACAAACTCTGACGATTGCTCGCAAACCCGCATCGAGCAGAAGGTGCTTTCGAGGGAGACGCGAGCTTATCCGTCTGCCGAGAAGGGGTCCCCAGAATGCCGCATCAGAGTTTACCTCATGCACACCTATCACGGCGGGCCAGCCAATCACGTCGCCGATCGTGGTTCCCATTACTTAAAAGGCGACCGTCACCACACCTCCGAGAACGTTCGTCGCGTCGTACACATCGCACATAACTCCGTAGCCCAAACCCTCACACCATTGACCTAAAAGTCCTTACATTCCTACCGTACTTTGTTCCGTTCAGGTTATTAACCTACTTGTCTACTTACCTGCCTGCCTAGTACCTGGCTGGCTACTTAGGTAGGTGTCGTCGAATCAATATAAAACACGGAAAACGACATATGTAGGCGGGTGGGCGTGTGGATGGGGATAGACGTGCGTGAGCTGTCCAGTGCATACCTACCCAACCGCAGAAGCTTGCGGGAGCGATATCGCCGCAGGCCCATTCTCCACGCGCACCACGGACAATGGATAAGACGACGAACGCCAGTTAAGAGCAAGGTGGTCCACGGCATTGACCGCGCCTCTCAATCCCTCGACTTACCACTTATCTCGTACCATAGTCGGCAGACTACCTAGGTAGATAGCGCGAGTGAAGACGGACGAGAGAAGCATGTGGGACGCCGTTCGCGAGTCCAGTATCGGACAAATCACACGTCTCGTCTTCCGCCGCCCGGACCTCCTCCCCTACCCCGAAGAGCTCGACTCCTTCGAACTGCCGGCCTGTCTGAGCTGGAGCCCTAGCGTCCTGCTGGACAGCAAGCTAGAAGACGAGTTGAAGAAGCAGGAAGGACGATCGCGGCGCGTGGAACAGTATGTCTTCTCGACAGGTACGGCAACGCCATCCGACGAGAAAGATCTCGAAGCCGGCGACCCGACCGTAGTAATAACATCCGCTGCATCCTCGACACCCGTCGAAGACGCACCCCGCAATAATGGCCCGGACCCGGTGATAGTAGACTGGTACTCGCCGTCCGACCCATCGAACCCGCAAAACTGGACTTTCGCCAAGAAAGTCTGGATCACGACACAGATGGGTCTGTACACTTTCGCCGTGTACATCGGCTCCTCTTTATACGCGCCCAGCGAAGCAGCAGTAATGTCCACCTTCAACACATCCTACGAAGCCGCAACTCTCGGCATCGCACTCTACGTCGCGGGCTACGGCCTCGGTCCCCTCCTCTGGGCGCCTCTCTCCGAGATCCCGGCCATAGGCCGCACTTCGATCTATACGGTCACGCTGTTCGTGTTCGCATGGCTAGCGCTCGGCGCTACCGTAGTGAATAGTTTCGGCGGGTTGCTAGCGCTGCGGTTTCTCCTCGGTTTCTTCGGGTCGCCGTGTCTGGCCGCCGTAGGCGCTACTCTAGACGACATGTTCGCGCCATGGAAGTTGCCGTACGTGCTAACGATCTGGTCTGCGTCGGCGACGCTGGGGCCCGCGCTCGGTCCCATCGTGTCCGGATTTGCCGTGAGCGAGATGGGCTGGCGGTGGAGTGGCTGGGAGCTCTTCTGGCTCGCTGCCCCTGTCTGGCTTCTCATGTTCCTGACGCTTCCCGAGACGAACCCAGAGACAATCCTGCACCGTCGCGCAATGCGGCTGCGCGCGTGCGCAGGCCGCTCCGATATAACGTGCGAGGCGGACCTCAGGCGCGCACACATGCTGACGACGCGGCAGATCGTCGTCGATGCGCTGATAAAGCCGTGGGAAATCAACGCTCTGGACCCGGCGGTTTTGTATACCACCGTCTACGCCTCGGTTCTCTACGGGACGTATTATTCCTTCTTTGAAGCGTTTCCCCTCGTCTTTACCGACATGCACGGGTTTAACTTGGGGGAGTCCGGACTGCCGTTCCTGGCGTTCATGCCAGGCTTGGTGATCGCCATATCGGGGTACATAATCTGGTTCCGGCTGCAGGTAGAGCCTAAGATGCACAAGGAAGCCCCGCCCTTATACGGCGATCCAGAAAGTAGGCTATTCCCTGCCGTGGCGACGACGATACTTGGTCCCATTGGATTGTTCATTTTCGGTGAGTGTAACCACAGCGACGAATGATCTGCGGTCCAATGCTAATGAATGTGCTTGATTAGCGTGGACTTCGCGTCCCGATATCCATTGGATCGTACCCATCATAGGCCTCATGGTGCTCTTCATTTGCTTCGTAATTGCCTTTCAGTGTATGAATTTTTATATCGCGCGGTGTTATCCGAAATATTCGGCTTCCATATTTGCCGCCAACACGTTCGCCAGGAGTTGCTTTGCCGCGGGTTCGATCTTGTTCTCGAAGCCTATGTATGATAAACTCGGCGTCGGTGGCGGCGTAAGCGTGCTAGGAGGTCTGTCAGTTCTTTGCGCGGGTGGTATGGTCTTCCTTTGGCGTTACGGCGATAAATTGAGGCTCAGAAGCAGATTCGCTCAATCTTAACTACAGACGTAGTTACCGGTAGTAAAACTACTATGTGTACATGTATATATAAAGCCGGTTTGCGGATATTGCTCTAGCATCTAAAGAATAGGTAAAATAAGCAAGAGAACTTCACATTTAAAGGGGTGGGAGTAGAGTTTAAACGGCACTAGACTCAAATTGAAGCCACTATCGACCATGTTGTATAATCCGTACTGGCGGATAGTATAATACATTGTTATAATACAAGCCGATGCTGCTGTGCTAGACTGTGGAGTCTCCCTTCCGAAGGGGCATCTTTAACGTATATATTCGAAGCGTAGTGCGTGATTGCGAGCCGAACCTCTGAAGTCGAGCACGTTGGTATATCCGCTATCCGCTATCCGCGCCGCATCCATCTCCGTTGAGTGCCCTCGGGCTTACTGTAACTGTAGATATCCACTCCTCTGAAACTTATACCAGTGCTCTTTAATCCTGACCTGATACGTGCATGAACCTAATGACATAATGGGAAATGCTATGGTATTGTGGAGTCCTTAGTGAAAAAAGATGACAATCTCCTCTCAACGCCTTAAACTGTTTCAATGCAAAGAAAACGAATGCCGCCAACCCTTTTTTGGATAGGTACCTATTTGATTCACGAATGTGAAATCCAGTTATTGACCGAAAATTCGAATGTACTAAAGGCCCCAAGTAATAACCCCCTAACTCCTTTCAAGGTATTGATTCTTTTTTGCCCACGATCCATTACAAATAAGACCACCTAGCATTCGTAATTTGACGCCGTGTATGCAACCCAGGCTCTTGGGAGCCTATATCTTTACGGTATTGGAGAATAAATTAGGCCAACTTTCTGAAGCCCTCAACCCCTAGGGCTGGTACCTCGACGTCGCTTAAACCGAGAACACCTTCGTCTCGTCTACGGTCAACAAAACTGTTGCATTCGGCAACGACGAGACTCCATTCGGCCAGGGCCCGACCAGCATATTTTACACCATTAGCAAAGAACCCCTTTGGTTCAACCGGCATGATGATAGGTTCCTGCGTCGGGGAGATCGGACTTCGACATAACGCATCATCTCTAGCTCGATTCGTAGAGCTCACTGGGCTGAGAGGTAAATCATCATCGTTCCTGTCGATAGGACTCGATTGACCGATGCTCTGCCGACGGTCGAATGCCATGGATATTCGGTGAGGCGATGGGGGGACCTCGGAGGGATTAGCGTTCTTCGCTGAATCGACTAACCCAGGGTTGGGGCTTCCGGAAATCGCTCGTGTTGGAGCTGGACGTCCCGCCGATGGTGGCGGTGGACTTCCGGTTCGGCCTTTTGCAGCTACCCAGGATTGCGCGGGACTCGGTAGACGCGGTCGAGTGAGGATACGATTTGGAGGAGACATAGTGCCAGCGGCGTTCCAAGACAGGGTGAACTTGAAAACATATTGAAGAGCGTCATACGTGGGCGATGAGCCTATGCTATCCGAGTCAGAACCGGGCGGAGTGACACTGGAGGGCCCCTTGGGTGGCAAGATTGGTCGAATGCGTGACGCCGCAGTCTCACGTCTCACGGCTTCCAAATCATTATTATTATTATTACTTCCAGTAAACGAGAAGAGTTTGCCCAAGAGACTGCCTCTCTTCTTTTGAAAGGTAGGTTCGGCGTAGTCGATAGAATCCATCGACTCGAAATCGGTAGCTGGAGTCGACGCTGGATCGCTCTGCGGAGGGAGGGGGGCGGACGAGTCAAACCCCATCATGAACCCAGGTTGCACGGTTGGTATTTCGGTGCGAATGATCATGAATCGCTTACCGGGAGTCGGGAACGAAGGTGCGGTCGATGGTGGGAATTTGCCTTGTTGCTCAGTAACATGCTTCAACCAGAGATAGTGAGACCATACGGTCTTGAGACGCGAGTAAACGACGAGGAATATCCTCCTGTGAAAGAGTAAGCAAAGAAACGTCTAAATTTTGAGGGGGCTTCAAGATCCTTACGTGTCCGATTCATTTGCACTGCCAGCGTCTCTACATATTCTCCAGCATAGTAGTCGCATATAATAAGCTCGGACCATAGGACACCAGTTGTTGAACAACTTGTTGAATACCTCCTCGGTGAGCAACCACTCCAGACATACAGCCTCTTTGCGGGGTTGGTCGCTTGCGATAGCATCCCAAATTGAGAAGATGAAGGAGAGCACCCGAATCTCAGACATTGTATTGTTGGAGTTCATAACTCTCTTGCAAACCTCGAACCAGAACGGCCAGTCAACGAAGTTCTGGGAATCAACGAAAGTCTCGTAAGCCACCAACGATTCCTCCAGGAAGTCACAAATCGTGAAGCATGCGTTATGGTCATACTGCGAGGTTCGTTTCGCAGTAGCTCTCATAATCGCCATGAATGATTCTGCAAATGTGTGTCTTGCGTCCACGTAGTACATGGATGCGGGGGAAAGCAGGTCCTTCAATAATACTATCAGCCGGTTCTCGCTCATTCCTTTCATGATATTGCTGTTCGGAAGACCCGGCAAAGCCATCGCAGATGCATCGGCACCATGAATCGCATCTGTAAGTGGAGGCGCTATCATAACATCTACAGCGGCCTGGCGATGTACGGTCGAATCCAGAATAGTCAGTACTTGGGCGTTTACCAAAACGAAACCCGGTGCACGGGCTTTTTCAGCTAGTGTCAGTCCCGCAGGTGTAAATTCCTCGACCAGTATATAATAATACTTGCAGAATATGAAGAAAAGGTCAGTATCACGTCCTGCCCATCTAGAAATCCATGGCCCTCGCCAGTGAATCTTGGCAGCGGTCAATGGAAGCGTGGCAGCTTGTTTAAGCATGTTAGTTAAGTCCCTAACAGAAGTCCAACCAAGTTTGTCGACGCAATGGGGGAAAAGCGCCACGATGACATCAGATCCGCGTCCGCAATGCCGCGGCAGGCCGAACTCGTCCTTCACTCGACGTATCCGATCCGGAGACAGAGACCAGAGTCGAACCAACACGTCAGCAATACCTGGTGCAAAGAAGAAGGCATAAGCACAAGCCTTTCCTGCAAAGTTGACAAGGCTCAAGGGAGCGTGTCTCTGAGACAGCTTCTCGACCACCATAGCCATCTGTGCTACAAGATTTGTGACAAACATGGTTTTCACGTTGTGTCTTGCGGACTCGGCCAGATAGGTAGAGTCTGTCGAATCCAGAGAAGCAGAGGACTTGTTGCGTCTAATTTCAGATTGCTGCTGTTGTTGCTGTTCTGCAGAATTTCGATCCGTAAGCGGGCAGAAGTTAGCAGCGCACTGCCGCCATTCAAGTCTCATCATGAGAGAAGTCAAAGCCTCGAGTAGAATAGGCCTGTCAACTCCCGCGACAAGTGGTTGGACCTTTCCGTCAAACAGCTCAAGAAGTCCAGTCCACCATTTATTCAATATAAGGGCTCGTCGTTCCAGGTCTTCGTGATGTAGCATCCTATTCGATGGATGATTCGCATGAGTTCTTAGAAACGGCACCAGAACGCTTCGAACCATACCCATCTTCAGAGCTGTAGACTTCGTCTGGAATTTGTGATTTTCTGAATCCAGGGCTTTGAACGCCGACCAAAGAGGGTCTCTGGTCTGTGGCAATTTCCCCAATAAGATGTTGTCATCTGGGAAGGTACTGTTGCTCGTCTCGGATGTATGCGATTTGCGGGTTTCAGTGGACGGGGGAGCAATGCTGGCTGTTGAGGATGCAGGACTATCGCGATCGTATTGAGCCTTGCCTTTTGCCAGCATGCCGGGTTGTCGTTGCTTAATCCTATTAAGATAACTTCCAAATTTACCTAGAGATTCGGTCGATTTGTTGCTTTCACTGTCGGCAGGTGATACTGGACGCTTCCGTGAGGACCTTCTAAGCTTCATGATCGAACTGTTACTAGCAGATCGTTCACGACGACCCGGTCTTCCTTCGGGGATGGCTTCGACATCGTCCTTCTTGTCGCCGGGCGAGGGCGACCGTGATCCCGTTATCCATGAACGCTTCGCTAGAGAAGAAATTGAATCTGAAACGTTTCTATATTTATCGTGGGGCTTCGGTGTCAGGAATCTGTGGTCGTCTGCACCCTCTTCACTTGCAGGCTCTGTATCCATCGCGTCTCCGGTATCCTCTACCAGGTGTAGAGACGGTCTAGATGAAGGCATCCATGACTGCGGTCGGCTTATTGTCGATCTTCGTTTCGGGGCCTTAGCTGACCCGGAATCAGGGCCAGCCATATCGTTTTCGGTGTAAGTAGGCGTGGGTTTCTCATTGGTACCGTTCTTCAGGATGTCCTTCGAGAAGGAAAAACTGGTATCGAGGTCAGTACCGAAGTCGAAAGAAGGTACATCGAAAGAAGGTAAGCCAGGAAGGCTTTTGGCGCTCGATGGTCGATTATGTAACTTCGGAGCCACATTCGATTGTGGTTGGAAAGTATCGGGACTTGACAGCAAATCTGAGGTGGAATGTGAAGGAGAATGACTGGAAGAGCGAAATGGCCTTGTGGGTTCGACGGTTGGCAGGGCCGTGACTGTCAGGGTTGGGCCACTCATTTCATGGCAAGTGTCTTTGCAGCCTGGTGGATCAGCACAGCTGAGGCCAGATGGAATGGCAGTGGACAGATCTGGTGACGCAGATCTGCTTTGTCGGTCGCCCTGGCGATCAAAAGGGGGAGAAATGCTCTCTCAACTTCAGGATGACTTATGAGAGCTTAGGAAAGAGGACGAAGGCTGGGACGGTTAGAGCCTTAGAGGGGGGCGTCACTCAAGGTTCAATCCAACGATGTCACCTCAAGTTATTAGGTTATCTGATGCAGCGAAGAAAAAAACAAATAATCCCCGCCAAACATATAATGAAGTTATGTAAAAGAATAGTAAACAATAATGTAGGAAAAATTACCCTCTTTCGACTTTCGCATGCACCGCTACATATGGAGACAGGAGGCTTGAAAAAGAGAAGGTGAAAAAAAATAAATGTCACCAAACGAATGTGGGTGAAAAGAGCAGTTTGTTCAAGACCAAGAAGCGACGGACGGGTCAAGCTAACAAATTGGTGTTTCAAAAGCTGAAGGCACGCCCAGGCCTTGTTGGTCCACGGTCCCAAATCGTAGGTACACTAATAACACTAAAATTGTGCTGAGGTAGCACTAACTCACTCCTAATCGGTGGGGGTCAGCAGGTACCTGGCTGTCTACTAGCTGTCTACTGGCTGTCTAGGTACTTCCTAGTAGTTGATTACAGCACTTAAAGCACTTGAAGCACTTAAAATGGACGGGTGGCAGAGACGGATCATAGTGGTAATAAGGCGACGGCTCAGCCGAGGCGCACTGCAGGTGCAGGGCATCATTGATAGCCCTATTAGCTGGTTGACGGATGTATGTACCCACCCTGTACTGTATGTCACCACATACATCATAATTCAGCTGATCTTAAAGTAAATAGTACAGAACGGTGACTTAACATGACTTAAACTCTTTTGGGACCCGTCTCCTATATTTCAGATTTACTAACAGATTCAGCCATCCATCCATTTAATCTCCACGCTTCTTTTAACCTACCAGTGTCAGTCAACCAATCTATAAACTACACTTACTCCTATACATTTTCTCTCTGGTTAATATTGAGACAGAGGAAATGATCATCGAATAAACACACACCTAGCAGACCTAGGTGTGTAAATTGGTAATGATGATGTGACCGCTCATATCCCAAAGCACATCCACAAAATACGTGTAGAATCAATTGATACACGTACTCTTTTCATAGAGATCGGCAAGCCTGCCCGACTTATGAACCAGGATGTCCCAATGAACGCAGGACAAAGCGAACTTTTTCGCAGCAGGTATCCTGCAATCCTGCGACTATGAATCAATATTCGTGGCCCGAAAACTCTATGCAAACTATCTGCAGACTTGCGGAGTGGGAAGTTAATTGAAAGAAAAACTGAAAGAAAAAAAGACATCGAATATTCGAGCGGTTGGACAAGAATAACTTCGAAGAGCGGTCTTGCGGGAAGTCGGGAAAGTCTTATAAACGTACAATCCGAGACCCGCATGAGTTTGAGACTCAAGATTGGTTTGACCATCCGCTTTAGCACGATATCCAGTCTGATCCTGTAGTGCTACTTCGTAATACTTGAGCTGACAAAACGGCATTCTAGTATCACGAACCATATGACGTGTTAGGTACCTAGACCACGTTCCAATTAGATATTCCTAATTCGTTGATCATATGCATCGCGAACTCGAGCTGCTATAGCTGAGTTTAAATAGTCCGAACAGACCGATGCTTAACCTTTCCTCCCTTTCTCGTTCAAGTCGTATATACGTTGTTTCCATTCAATGTCTTAACCCATCCTTGCGAATATGCGCAAACACACAAATAGAAAAGCAAGCTTAACGAGAATATTGACTGTTATTGTTTGCCCCTATAGCCTGCAAGCTCGTTATCCAATAGCGCTTCTAGTTGTCTGCATGCTGATTCACATTGCCGCCGACATATAAAATGTGACCAAGGTACGCCACTCCTAAGCCAATTAACCCCTATTTATGCCAGCTAATACTTGATGACATTGGCGACATTGGCAAGCTGAGCGTCCCATCTTCCTAACTCGGATTAGCACTACGTAATTGTCGATTAAACTCGGCACTATCTCCAGGAAAGCCTCAATAGTTGGGACGTTCTAATAAGCAACCCTTGCCTAGGCTGCGAAAGCTTGGGAGAGCTAGATACCGAAAACGCCTTGCCGAGGACTGATTATAAATGGTTCAAATTAAGAAAATTTGATCGCAAAGATATTCCCAGCAGGATGTACTATAACAATTTGTCGAGAGGATGCGATACACCAACACAATTACCAGCTACGCAAGCCACGAAAATAACAGGTCAGTCATGCATATACTTTTATTGAAAAAATAACCCTTCAATCGTGATACATGTCAGTCATCACGAAAATCACGAAGTCTTATCGATTAGGATAAATTTCCCTATTCAGGGATGATGGGATTTCGATTTCCGACCATGCACGGACCTATATGACGTGACGTGCAGGGGTTTAATTATAGATCCACATTTAGAGATTAGTGTCTCGTTACTAGCAAAATACTTTACAATGGTTTAATATTCCAACAAAGCAGTATTATTCAACTACCAAGTCTTAATCTCTCCCCTGAAAGATGCCGGCATTGCCATCGTTGCGCTGGGCTTGAGCAGCAAGGACGAAATCCTCCGTTCCAAATCTTACAACCATCTCTTCCGTAGAATGCAGTCCACCATACTTGAAGTGAACCACCTGGGGCATCGTAAATAGAATGGCATCGCATTTCTCTCCATTCATCCACAAGTCCAGAAGATTTTGGAAACTTGACTTCAATACAGCCATCATTTCCGAGTTCATCTGCACGCCTTGTTTTAGGCTGACGGCCATCATGACGGCTATGAGATTACCAGAAATGGGATGCGTAGAAGACAAAACTCGAGTATCCGCCACTTCCACAAGATTGTTAATGGAGTTTCCCCTGGCGTTATTCCCAGGCACATTGCCATGATCTCTAATCGATGTCCAGAAGTAGGCCATAAACATAAGCGCGCTTTGGAAAGTGATTAGACGCCTTCTAGAATCACTTTTTGAAGACGCCCATGTTTGCTGTAGTAGTTTAGAAGATTTGGTAAAATCGGCTGTTCTCTGTGTTTTCCATTTCCTGTAGCATTCGGACCATTTGATTTCGCAGTGGTCATCTTCGGTCATCGATGATTTGTCCATTATGAAGCTTTTATCTTGATGAGTTGAGGGAAGGAGACTGCTTGTTGTAAGATGTGAGAAACTCTTTGGGGGGGATCTTATGCATTTACTAATCGTAAATAACATACTAGGTGGTTGTATTTATAATTGGATGTGGTTTCGATGGAGATGGGAGAAATATCGTACCTAGTAATTGCTAGAATCTATGGTGAGATATTAGGAACTCTGACGACTGAAACATCCTTTGGGCTATATAGACACGACCTAAATAAAATCTCAAAAAATATTTTTACATCAACCTACTATGAATTACATACATGAACATCGCCTAACCCCCCCACCAAATATTCCCCTGTCATGGTCGGCCGATGTTTCTCGCTTGGTTGTAAAGCCAACCACCAAATGACCTTAGTAGAAATTACCATACTGTCTAGAAATATCTTATGGCAAAACAGATTGAAACAAGTTAAAGTTGACCGGAACATTCTTTTACGGAAAGAAGTCTTTGGATGCTAGAAATCGCCGAATAATATGTGGATCCCGGCCCCGAGAGATCGGGGTCGCTTTTTAGATTTCGGCCATTTCAGTGATCCACTATGACTTCAGGAAATGATACGATCCCACCAAATGACACGCCGATTATCATCTTACTTTTGGAAGTATCAGAGAATATAAAACTGTGGAAAATTCCAAAGCAGTTCTGAGTAAGTAATAACCCATTACCTCTTCAATTTCATTCACATCTACTGCGTTCACTATTTATTGTATCAAGGGGCATATTTGAAGTTACCCAAAGCACCATGGAGAACAGCACAGACAGCGGCAGCAAGCTAGCGGCTCTTAACTCGGCCACGCTAGGAGCTGAAATGCCACAAATTACGTTGCCAGATGGAACAAAGGTGCAAACGGGAACGATGGGGTCAGTCTTCGTTGTCATACACACTAACTAGTATCAGCTGCTAAACTCGGAACTTTGTAGTGCATTGCTCATCAACATCCGTACGTATAACGAAGCACACATGGCTGGAAATAAGGACAAACTAGCTCAGCTGGAAGAAGCGATGCGCGCGACGTTGCCAATGCTAGACAAGGTTGGCATGTTCGACCTCTTCGCACCGGAAGAATGGATCCAGGGGAACAACGAGGGTCGGAAGATCGTGGGTAAACTGTATCAACAATTCAAGTCGGAGCAGAAGTAGGGGGAACAGGTTGTATATATCATGAACGGGAAACTCCCAACTCCGTTAGACATTGTGTCTGCAGAAATAGTAAAAAAACCACCAAGAACGCCATTCCATGCGCATTTTTTCATCGTCTTGATGTTTTTACTTCTTGGAACGCTTCGGGGTATCCTCATCGACAACCATCGCCTCCGCTTCCTCGTCATCCAGATCCCTGCTTCGCTTGAGACCCTTCATCTTCCTCGTCTGCAGCTCGCTGAGGTCTTGTCTGCCAAGGTGGATGCGGCCGATCTTGTCGCCGATGGTATCTGTCGTTACGTTCTTCTTGACCTTCTCCTCAACCCTGCCCGTCTTCATGGCCTCCTTCAGTACCGCCTCTTCAGGCTCCTGCATGCGACCGACTCGGAAGTCCATGCGCGGACCCATCTCCTCAACCTCGACTCTCGGTAATCGCTGTCCGCTGCGCTTCGTCGAGATGAGGTAAATGCGTAGGTGGATCGCTGGCTTTACGGCATCGCCCACAGGCTCGTCAGCCGAAATGGATACGATGTACTGCAGACCCTCGACGTCGATCTTGTCACTGGACGCATCGCCCTTGAATAGGTCAATGAACATGCTCTTGGCCATCGTGTACTCGTTGGCGACCGGGCTCTCAAATGCGGTGCCCGAGAACAGCATCATAGGTCGGAGACCGACAGCGAACTTGCGGCCCTTGAATTGCGCGACGCGTCGACAACTCTCTGGGTCTAAGTGCAACTCCAGCATATCGAGGATCTTGCCTGCGAAGGTGCGCGCGAAAGTCAACGTGTGCGGGCGCTTCTTGGAGCTTATTCCGAATACGAGCAGCGAAGTGTCGTTCTTCTCGCTGAAGAATTCAAGGGATGCGGGATCCTCAAACGGATGGATGTCATTCTTCTTGGTGAATTTCTTGGCGAGCGGTTGTCGCAGAGAGTAGAGATCTGTTAAGGCATCTTGCGCGACTTGCGAGCAGGTCGTTCCGCGACTAAATATGTTTAGTCAGTCTTCTGGAATACGATTGAAGATAAAGAAAGTCAAGTATCTTGACTTTTCACATATCTGAAGGGGCGTACGTACAGGAAAAGAGCTGTCTTCGGGTTCTCGACTACCTTGGGAGCCTTCTTCTCAAGAGCTCGTTTAGAGCGGGCATTTCGGGGTTTTCTAGGCAATTATTGTTAGTAAAACAGAATGAATATGGATGGCACTTCGTTATACTTACATTTGTCTCAACATTTTGTGTTTGTTCTAAGTTGAAATGTGCTTAGATCGTAGATGATCTTGCTATCGCAATTGACGATTTAGTTAGAGGGACCGTTGGAAATTTTTAGGCCGGCAGAACTTTTTTAAGTGGGTAAAATAAACGAATTGAGAAGGCGGTATATTGAATGCCTTCACTACATCTAACGGCCCGACACAGCCTGTGACCACTTGGCAGGTCTGTTCCACCAATTCTAGACCATCGTGCTACAATCAGCGTCATTGTCTGAGCTATATTCTTCTTAAGACAACAACTTCTTCACCCTTCTTACAAAAATTCATATCTCATTGATATCTTAATTAAGCTGACAATCAATCATTATGAACATTTATATTGAACCTTCTGGGAGATTGAATTCTTCTGTTCCATTCACAGGAAAAGTCGATTTTACAGCACCATGCACTTGTTCAGCTAGGCCTAACTAACATCTAATATATAAGATCTTGAATTCTTCTAAGAATCCCCTGAAGGTACATACAACCAATTCAATCCAAATAATGAGAAGGCCATCACTGGCAGACGATACGAAACGGCACATTCAAGTTACATACCCTAGGCAGCGTAAATCGCCACCTCGGAATATATCTCTCGAATTGTCCCTCTTGCTTATTCTCATGCATGGCGCCACTGCCACTCCTTACGCTCTAGGTTACAACTCTAGAGTTAGGGGCATTTCAGGGATTGATGCCTCACGCCTTCAAATGCAATTGAGCATTTTTAGATCTCCCATGTTGGTGATTGCGTTTCTTGTTGGATAAGCTAAACCCACTGTTGAGACGATAGATTCTTCAAAGTATCCGCCACCCACATCGTACAGGGAAAATAACCAGTTTCGCTGGTCTGGGATCATTCATGATTCGGGCTGACGGAAGTCGCCACGACACCCCTGATGTGCGAGAGCCTAGCATGTAGAGCCTAGCTCTATGTTGGATTCGATAGATATTATCAGCGCCATTCTACGAAGTAACAATTTCTCTAATCGCGTCAACTCAGTTTCGAGGATACTTTGATTACTTATGGTTCACAGAACACAGACCGACCCTTCACCCTTTCTATCTGGCCTCCCGGTAATAATCGGCCCTCTACAAAATGGTCCACTTGCTAGTTGCATATGTCACCAATCATAGAAGCAACCGAATCGTATTCGGATACCACGATTGGCAGCAACCTTACATCGATTAGCACTTATGAATGTTACGATGCTAAAAAGAAAAAACACTAATAAAAATGGATCACCAGCTTCGAGAAAGCCCAGTTGCTCGTTTCTGAAACGGCGCGATCAAGAATTTATATTCCTTCATGCTGAACTTGCGACTACGTGTGCTCGGAAATACCATGTTTTCGGTCCGGATATAAGTGGATTACGCGCTTTTACACTCCGCCAAAGTCTGTGTATAATTTACCCCGGCATTTCATCAACTCCTAAGTCTTCATATTATTTAGATTGTTTACCCATCGAACCTTGTTCTCATGGACCGGAGAGGAGATTCCTCCCATAGACATTGGACATTGATTGAGCGACAGACTACTTAACTCGACATGATTTCCGGAATCCATGGTGACGTGGAGGTCTACGTTCATACCATGAACAATTTGACCTAGTTGCTTGGTATGAGGGGTATTGAAATTGCGGTTCCTAAAGCCCTTCATGTGCTATTAAAGATCATCAAGCTTGTCTACTAAATATTTTTATAACTAACCTTGTATATAGAGCACTGCCGACGATATTTGGCAGTTTGATGAGTTATCGCGGGTCTATATGCCGCCTTCCGCTTAGCGCTTCTGGAGAAATTGACTTGGCAGGTTCGCGACTAGACCAAGTATACGGTAGTGTAGAAGAAAGCTCGTGTGAAGCTATTTCGCTATATTCGACGGCACTGGGCATCGGATAAGCTTGGTCGATCATGGCTTGTTACAGTAATATATAGGATGATGAAGTGAGATCCACCGGATCTAGATGTTTTGAAACTCCAAGCGGGTTGCTGTCAAAGTTTTATAAACGCTTACCTTGCAATATTTCATCGTGTGGTCCCGGCTTTCTGGGGCTCGTAGCTAACAGAAGCAACGCAACTACCGGAACGGATCCTATTAGAGCGCTGATTTCATTACGCCGTCTCAACGCCGGCATATGCTCTTATCTGTTCCAGGTTAGAGCCATGCAGATAGCAAATCTTCAGCAGCAGGCTTACGGCGCCGTCGCGGGGACATTAACTATATCCGGCATCTCGCCCACCTACTCAGCTCCACACACGCTATCCTAATGTGATTCTGGTCAGGAACCAGCTTTGAGCCGCACAAAAGTTATGCTCTCTGTCAAACGCTCGATTCCGATGTTGATTCGATGTGTCATTCCAATGAGATCGTAAGTTGAAGAATGCTACGCTGCAAGAAAAAACATACTCCGTACCTGCATATGTTTCATGGAGGATTTCGGTCGACCATATAGGTTAGGTTGCATCAATATTAACTACGCGAAATAAGCATTATTACATCTAATCTTCGTCGCAACTAAATGCCTAGTTGGATCTCCCTAATATTACTAAGTCGATCGGCTATGTATGAGGGGCTAATGAGAATTAAAGCTTCTCGAAGCTTGTGCGAACAGACTCGAGCGCGACGATGTCACTTCATCGACACGTGCGGACATCTTCCAGGCGCCATCCCGGCCTTAATATACACAACAAAACAATAACACCGAACCGCCGAGTCGCACACACGTCAGCAAGTCTCCTTTATCACACTCGCAAGCCCCGAATCTCTGAATCCGGGGGTGGGATCTCCTGATCCGGCATGCCTGGCAGCTAAATTGCTTACGGGCGTGATGGGAACGACCTAGCTTGCCAAGATGAAAAAGATCCAGGGGTAGCCTATCATCACCGGCATATTGCCGATTTCGAGCCTAGCTGTATCTTAGTCGTCACATCAAGCTCGAAGACACCCATACCACCCACGAGGGTCGGGGGTAACGTCCCACAAGGCTGGGTCACCAAAGCTCGCGCGGGCGAATCGTTTCTACTTGTCAAACATGAGACATCAGACTGAAGGAAACGGCAGCAGGGATCGGGCTGACGTCCTGGGATCGCCCCGAGTTGGCTTCCGCCTCTACCCACGTCCAGCAAAAACGTGGCTCTGGGTTTCCTCTGTTGTAGATTTTTTTTCTTGCTTCTACTCCTTCTTACCCGAGATACGTACGATGCCCGGGGTTTCATTCCTTTAAATCTCTCCGCTCTCTGTTTTTGGCGGTTCTGCGGTGCCGTTCGTTTCTCCTCTCCCCCCGTTGAGGTATCTCCTGCATATTGTGTTGGCGATTCGGCAGGATGCGGTTCCTTTCGTTGTTGTCGCTGCTCTGCCTCGGCGCATTGCAGCCAGCGCTGGCCGCTCTCAACCTTACTGGAGTTCCCGCCTGTGGTGTAAGTTAAGAGAGAGAATCATCCCTCTAGAAAGGTGTTAGGTAAAGATAGGTTGACTGATATTTGTGTAGTTAACATGTCTCGCGAGTGAAGTTGGCAAATCGGACTGCACATTTACGAATGCGACTTGTATCTGTACCAATCCGGTCCTCCTGGCCAATATTACCGAGTGCGTCACGGCGAGCTGCTCGATTCGTGATCAATTGTGTAAGTCGATATCGTGGAATGGGGGTTGGCTTGTTTCGATAGCTGATTCATGATACCAGCGACGAAGAAATTCTCGGCCGAAACCTGCGGCATTCCGGGCGAGGACAGGACCGCTCTTATTAAGATCATTGCGATTGTGTTCGGCGCGCTTGGCCTTCTGGCGTTTATTTTGCGATGCATGGCGAGATTTATTGGGCCGCACGATTGGGGTCATGACGATTCGGTGATGTGCTTGGTCATGGTATGTCAGCATCAGTTCGAACTCTTACCCTCTACCCCTTTCTAACTTACTATGTAGGCCCTCGAAATCGCGTTCGTGTGTCTATCAGTACCTAGTAAGAGTCTCCTTGCCTAGAAAGTATAGTATTTATGCTAAGAGTCGATTAGTTTCCAAAGCCGGACTCGGATTGGACATGTGGTTTGTCCCACACGATTCCATCACCCAGATCCTTAAGGTTGGTAACTCCTTTACCTTCCATACGAAGCAACATACTCTTACTAAAACGGGGAATAGCTGTACTTCTTCGATGAACTATTGTACATTACGGCACTAGCTCTGACCAAGATCTCGATTCTCTTCTTTTACCTTAAGGTGTTTCCGAAGCGTTCATTCCGCATCTGCGCTTGGGCCCTTATAACCTGCAACCTCGTCTACGCTCTCACCTACGATTTTCTTCTTATCTTCCAATGCAATCCGATATCTGGAGCGTGGACGTTTTGGGATGGCGAAACCGAGTCGAAGTGTATTAGTATCAATATATTGGGATGGTCTGCTGCGGCTATAAACATCGCATTGGACTTGGCCGTCATCGTCCTCCCCTTACCGGCATTGTTCGGGCTATCCCTATCTCTCAGAAAAAGACTTCAGATCATAGCTATGTTTGCTGTGGGTTTCTTGTAAGTTGATCCGGAGGCCCCCAACTGACGAGAGCTTTCGCTAATTCATTCCACAGCATCACGGTTGTTAGCATTATCCGTCTATACACGCTTATCCACTTCGGCGACACCCAAAATCTCACTCGTAAGTCTTCCTCTCTTTCCCCTTATTACTTTCCAATTCCAGGGGTAACTCTAACCCCTATCATAGAGGACTACGTCGAAACCGGATACTGGTCCACGATCGAGGTCCCCGTCGGCATCATATGCGCATGCATGCCCGCGGTGCGCTCGCTCTTCAGCCGCGCGCTCCCCAAGATCTTCGGCACGACGCGGAATATGGGCTCGACCCTCAACTACGGCCCGTCGTCTGCCAACCGGCTCGGCCCCGACTCCCGCAACAAGATCAGCGTCAAGCAGGAGTGGTCAGTGCTCAGTGAAGGCCCGAACGATTACAAGCGTAGCGAAAGGGACTCCTCCCTCGAGCTCCTGACCGTGGCCGGCTTAGGGGGCGGCGCGGATCGGAAGGAGATGGGCATGGAGGTCGAGGTCGGCGTCGCGATCTCGGATCATATCCCGACGCGCAAGATGACGCTCTCGAAACACGACGGCACGTGGCGCGGTGTGACTGTAACAGATCAGGAGGAGAGCTCGTATAAATCAGCTGCGTATACGACGGAACGAGAGCTGCGGTAGTTTGTGGATGAGGTTGGCTGGCGTTTGTACTAGATCGTTGGCTGTTTCGATGCGAATAGATTCTTTTTCTCGCGTGATGATCATTCCTTCTATGTGATATTGAGGAATCATAAGTTTGAACGATGTGAAATCGAGTATTCTAGCCTCTGCAGAAGAGACAGGGTGTACGTGCCTCAAATCCATCATCGTGGTCATACATTCGTCTACGAGATTGAATAAGGTTAGTATCGTAGTGAAGAAGGAAACTGACAAATGATCTAAGTATGGATAAACACTCTCTTGATGCATGTTGCAGGATGCCCGGTGTACGTTGAACATCTCCGTACAACGCCGATTGTACTCTGTATCTATATCACAAGGAGCCTCATGACCTCGAAACAAACACCATATGACAGTTTTCTCATGTTTTTCTGTGGAGGGTTCCACCTTGTGTTTACCGTATGATCTATAATTCCCAATCTACCTATTTCTATAATATTAGGAAGTCTAGGTACGTAATAAGTTAACATGATCTGAACGTTTTCTCGGTGTTCTCCAGTCGTACAGGTATTACGTGATGAGTACACGAAAATGAAGTTGCGGCAGAATGAGAGTATTTATTACATGAGGTAGGAACTACACATCTAAGATATAAATCAATCGCGATTCCTAGGTAACCTTTATATAAACCTTGGAACTCATGTGAATCATTTTTTCCTTAGGACCCGCCCCTTTATAATATTTTACTAGCCCATCTTCAAAACATGGGTCATTTGTATCCCACCAAAAGACTTACCCTCTTCTTCATCTGCACCATCTTCTCCAATTTCACCACGGGCAGCATCTGGGCCCAGTTCTGCGATGACGAGGCATGCTCCGTCAACTGCGGGTTTACCGTCAGTGTCAGTAACCCAGGTTGTCTAGGACGAGAATGGGGACGGAAGTCGGTCAAACTGCATGGCCAGGATTTTGTTGGCTCCTATCTGGTGAGCTCCCCCGACGATAATTGCGGCTGCCAAAACGATTGCATCACCATACCAGGCGCTGGCCTTCCTACCTGCATAGACCTTTCTAAAAAGGCCATCGCACAGTCGTATCGCTTTCAACTCACCACCTGCAAGAAAGACGAAGCCGGGTCGGGGCAGGGGGTTGGGGATAACTGCAATGTTTCGTCTTCTGCTGATCTATTGCTCCCTACTACTCTGCCGTCGTCCGCCAGAATAAGCACGATTCTCAACATGACATCAATTGTAGTCTAGGCGACGTCGGGAGTAGGCGGTCAGGGTACGTACAACCTTGGCTCCCTAAACATGCCGCGTATGAAGATGATTTCGTCTCTAGCAAGATGTATATCTACTAAGAGAGATTTTGATTGGCGCAGTTATCTAGGCAGAAAAGGAAACGTTAGCACAAATCAAGAGAAATTCAACTTTGTATACCTGCCTGATGGTTTAGTCGGTGTTGCATCGTATGCGGCTAAGAAAATGAAAAGAGAAGCGTTGTCGATGGCAGCTCTACTGATACCGGTATCAGTAGTAGTGAGATCCCCGGAGGAAATTCTCCATAGACGACGGCGATCTAGTCCTCCGTGCTTCGCCATGCCAGAAGAGCAATGAAAGCACCGCCGACCGAAGTTCCGAATGAGGCTGCTGTGAATGCGTCTCCTATACTCCCCTGTACCACGGCCCATACGATACCAAAAGTCAGAGACCCCAACAGTGTCAAGAATACAAGAAGGTAGATGGTTCTCCAATGCCATCCCTCCTCAAAATAGATCCCCCAAGCATTGCTCATTTCATCGTTATTGTCTCGCTTAAGCAGCTCCGTCTTCTTTGGAACTTGAGTGTATATCCTTTTGTTTCCACTCGTAAAAGTGTGATTTTCTTTGAAGTAATGTGTGAGCTCTTTTCGGCTTATTACTGGATGACGATCTGGACTGTTTTCGGGCACTGGTGAGCAGCGATATTCCTGATTTGTGGTCCCGGCTTTCTCTTTAGGGGGGAAACAAACACAATCCTGCCCTGAACAGATCAAATCCCTTTCGTGTAGCTCGGCAAGTTTATTATCAGGGTCGTGTATTCGGAACTTGAATACATACATTAGCAACTAAATATATAGCATTTTATACCTTTACAGGACTTACAGTAGCTAGTGAAACCGACTTCACACTCCGTAATGTGAAAAACAAGGGTTGTCCTCTAAGCTTCTTATATTTGTCTCGTAAGAGCTCGAACAACTCCTTGTCATTGAACGTATTTTGAAGACTTTGCTCATGATAACGATGTAATGGTTTGCCTTCGTCAATTAAAAGCAGCAAGTACATTGATTGGGCATTTCCCGTAGTCTGTTTACCCGGAAGCTGACCGCCCTGGCGGGGGACACCTGCGCTAGTAGCAGAATAGCCGGCAGGGCTTGACGGTGGCCCGGGATTCTGCGGCTGGCCGGAACCGGCTGGGTGATTAACTATAGGGCTGTTATTATGAAGTGGTATGGAGCCAGCGTCTGTTAGAGTCGTCTCCATCTCGGCCGGACTTCCTAATCCATGTTTCAGAACATCGTAATAGAGGACCGCTCCGCATTCCTAGGCTAGATATCAATACGCATACATATTTCGCTTACACAACAACGACTTACACATCTGTATCTTATGCGAGTCATGCCTGGTGATACCGGTTCTTCGATACTTGGTGGTATGCCAAATAAGCTGAAAATCATGTCAACCAATTCTGGGAGAGTCCGAGGAACAGCTATTTCTGTAATCAGTATTCAGATCTGTCACAGAGGTGAGGGCTTCTGAACATACATATCAAATCCAAAAACGAGGTTTTATCCTCCGATTCTTCAAGCTCACTTGTACTGCCTGAATCATCTACTGAGCTCTTGTTAAATGTCAAACTTGCGTCCGGCTTACATGTTTCTTCACTACCGGGTCGTTGTGGATCAACATTACCGGGGTCATTCAGGTCGACTTCTGGTTCCGGACTGCTGTCATGTTTGACTTCGAGAGTACTTCTTGAAGTACCCACTTCTTGGGTATCATCCACAAGAGCATTTGTATCCATCGAAGGGTTAGCTTCGCAACAGATAGCTTTTTGAAGCAACTGTTCCAGGCCATCATACATTTCCAGTCGATCTTTTTCAAGAATCTCTTTCCTTCGCTCTAGTCGATCACCTAGGGGGCCTTCCTGTAGGCGGTGAAGAATATGCGATGCCATCTCAATTGTATCGCTATGGTCTCTTTCTAGACTCTGCCTCTCTTTCTTCAAAATTTCCCTGTAGTACTGTACGGTCTTGGAGTCCCTTTCCAAGATAATAATACTCGCCGTAACCCTGAAAAGGAGCTTATCCCCTTTGTCAGATAACTTTTCTTGAAGTTCTAGCGCTTCCTTTGCGTGTGGTAGGTAGCCCATCCAAATATCCCTATTCTCATATGTAGGGGGTGGATATTTGTCGGTAAGTTGTTGAATCACAAGTTCGACCCGTTGTTCAAACTCTTTCCGTTTTCGTAACCAATCGCGCATGAGATAGCGAACACATTGATGAATATCAAGAGAGTCTGGCTTGTTTCCTTCGATGACGAATCCGTATGCCTTAAGCGTGTCGATTGCTTTAGTCAGTTTTTCTCCCTCTGAAGGCTTGGAGAGGAGGGATAGGGGAATATCGCTTTTGGCTAAAAGGCACGCCGACTTGAGATATTCCAACGCGTCAGGATGGGTCTGCAAAATATGCTCAAACGATATACGCCAAGTTGTGGCTATGGGCCCCGACTCTTGGACTATCTCTGCCTCTAGCTTTCTGAACTCGCCGAGCTGGGAAACAAATTCATCTCTGGGTCTTGGATCTTTCTCAAGCTGAGACTGTGCCGACTCGTAAGTGCTGATGTATTGGGATATCGTTACATCCGTGTTGGATGCTATATACGCGGATGCTTGGTTTATTGCTAGGGGGATACATTCCAAGTGCATCAACAGGTCTTCCATTATCTCCTTTTCGTCTTCTTGGATTGTTCCTAACCTAAGTTGGATCATATCCTTTGCTTCCTCAATCCCCATTTTGGTTACTTTGATCTGTCGATCAAAGTATAAAGACGGATATCTTCCAAAACGAAAATGGCGAAAGATGTCTTCCTCATCATTGTGATGAAGACGAGATATGAGAGCGATAGAACTATTTCTATCATAATGAGGAAGCTTGCGTAGTAATGAAATATCTTGGGCATAGGGAGGCATAAAATCATCGATTATGATGAGCCAGCTTTGCATACGTTGAAAGGCTTCCTTGATTAATATTCTGGGATCGAAATTACGGCCATAGATTTCTTCCACCCCGAGTTGGTGTCCGATCTTGCGGTAGAGCCTACCGTAGCTGCTGAGGTCGGTGGTCGCAACCCAAAAGACTGCGCAGTCGTGGTCTCGTTCGTGGATACGGTAGGCAGCCTCGAGAACCATCTCGGTCTTTCCGATGCCTTCATGACCATATAAAAGAGTAATCTCACCCGGATATTGGTTATGTGGGTCGATTGATTTTATGAGTTCCTCTATTTCGAGTTCATGTCTATAAAATTTCTCGATACGTTTCCGTGGGACCACAAAGGGGGCTTTTGGAGATTCTTTTCATACCTGTTAGCATAATTATCACGACATACATACTCAGGCGTAGTCGCACTCACCCGACTTGCGTCCCACTGGGACGTTCTCCTGGTCATCTGACATCTTCCTGGCTATTGTATGATCATTTTTGTAGTTACTACCTACACATACAACAACTTGAAAGATGGTCCTTTGGACGAAGAATGAAGACACGAAGGCGGGGTAAAAAGAAAATTAAAGGTTGTGAAACCGTTGAGGCAACTCAGGTGACCCTCGGGATGGAAAATAACATTATTTGCTCGGTTCTTAGGTGGCTTGACTGAGATGAGCTCTTTTGATGATACTGGATATCCTCGAATGTAGCTTTCAACAACTTGATGAGTCGACCCGAGATACGCGAATGATTTGATTATTGTTCAGATAACTGAAATCCCTCAGGAGAAGTTGGTTGCATCGAAATCAATGCAGAACTTGTTTAAGTATTAGTTATTTTATCTAAGGATACCTTAACATTACCAAGAGCCTCGTTTATATTACCTACTAGGTACTAGGTATATGAAATTAGTAAGCTTCTTGGTCAAATTTGATGTTAAGCCTCCCGAAATGGAAGGAATGAGATCTTTATAACGGAATCCTTTTGTATCAAACCCTTTTCTAGGTATACGATAGTCTCCCATAGGTCTCATCACACTTTGAGACTACGTAGACCTAGGTATCTAGTAGTCATTATATAGCTCTGACAGTGATGTCGTCCCACAAAGATGAGGCCTCAGGTTGTTGGCGAGTAGCCGGGTAAAGATCAACGATCATAGATGTAGTGACCCCTATTGCATTCTAGGTTATGGAATCCTTGCTGTAAAAGTTAAATAACAATATAGTAGAGCGAAATGACAGATAAAGATATTAGGTAGAGATTGTACTGCTCCATAGCTAGACGTAGCGGCGGATTTGAACGAGTTCTTGTGGACGTACAAAATACCTGTAGAGATTACCAAATCATACCCATCGTCCTACCAGAATTATATCATCAGTGGACTAGTTCCTGGCGGAACACTAGGAGGACATTCTTTGCTTCAAATAGTATGTGGGCTGCGTTAAGTATAATAACTACAAGTCCCACCAACTGATCCCATCCGAATTAAGCCCAGTGCATATACACGCGTTCGAGCAACGCCATGTACGTGCTTCGACATATTATTATACACCGAAACGTCCTAGAGCAACAGATCTAGAACCTAAGATTCAAGACCTCGTCTTGGTCCTTAGCGTGCGAGACCCAAAATGTCCAATGTGATAGCACTTATCAAGGAAATAAACCCCCAACGCCGTACATGCAGATCACGGCGGTCCAATTACATTACCGCTTTCCATATCCCATGTTCCCGAGTTCGCCCTATTCTGGGATGAAGTAGCTATTGATGTGATGGATTGTAGTCATTTTTACTCTTGCTTCTCCTTCGCATTCCCGACGAATCGCTCTTTCATCGATAATCGTTTTCCTCCCATAGACTTGAACTTATCGATTAGGGTCTTCCTCGAGTCTAGCTCGGCAATATCATCGCCACCCCCGACACTCTTGCCGTTAATCATGATATTAGGTACAGTTCTGCGCCCGGTTGTGGCACCCAACTTTGCTTGTAGTTGTTTACCCAAGGGATGTTCATCGAGCTCGACGACGTAAGGGGCGGGATCGATGGAATACTTCTCAAGAAGAAGACCCTTTGCTCGTTTCGAAAAAGGACAGTATGTTTTCGAGAAGATGACAACTAAAAAGCATGTGAGTTATGACAAAGATAGTAGATAGCATATTGGACCTACCTGGTGATTTCTTAAGAATGTTATTAAGGGTTGCTTCGACTTCGCGGTCCTCGTCGGACTCCGCCTCTTCTCCCTCAGCCCCTGTACCGGAACCCTTGCTACCCTTCTTCTGTCCCCCAGCAGAGCTTCCAACACCAACAACCTCGCTCGGCGCATCTGGTTTTAAAGGTGCCTTCGCGTTGGCTAAATCTTTGGCTTTCTGTTCGGCAGCTCGTAATCGGTCGGACATCTCCTTTGCCAATTGTTCGTCGTCTTCGTCTACTGATCCATCTCCGTCTTTGTCCTTTACTGTCGAGTCGACAGTTGTGCCCTTGCCGCTCATTACTACTTGCCCACTGCCTTGTTGATGACCTAGACCATTCATGGTCTTGCCAAAGAAATCTTGCACCGTTCGATTATCATGGGGAATAGTCGATCGCATTTGTGATGTGAAAAATAAGGTGGTGATGACGGCAGCTAGTGCCACCATCATAAGGAGGCGTACTCGTCTAGCTGAAGGCATCATGGGAATATTTAGGGCGGACTGAATACCGAGTGTCTAGCGATGATTACGCATGCGATGGGAGTCTCGAATGGATTGGAGCGGCGAAATTACAATTGATGGAGAGGGTATAACGTATTCTTTTGTTCGGTGATTGTCTGCATGCGTCTATCTGACGGCCGGCGCAAACATGCCTCTATATTGTTTAAGAGTGTCAACGGTGGCAATCGGACCAAAATACCAATCAATCGCCGGCTTGAATAGAATTATTTAGGACTGGCGAGGAAATATTCGGGATCTGCGCTTAGAGGGAGAAGGTTCGAAACGGACTTGAAGTTTTGATACCAGGGGGCTATTCGAAGATTGACAGGGCTGAAATGGCGATCTGTCAAAGACTGGATACTGACAAGACGATTTTGAATTGAGGCGGCTAAATGCGACCCTCAGCGCATTTACAAGTTACCTGACTAGTCGCTAGCTTGCTAGGTCTAGTTACACACAATTAGAAAAGTCGTGCAAAAAGCAAGGAGTGATAGTCAAGAATTGATTAATTTGGTGGCCAACTGAAGCGCGGATTGAATGGTTTGGATTGATAACGAAAAAGAAGGAAAAAAAGAGTGAGTGAGTGGACTTCAGTGGGCTTGGGAGTTGAAACATGAAAAATGGAAAATGGGCAAATACGTAGTGTAAGGAATGACGAAGATGGTTTCGATTGTGGTTCAAACTTTAACTTGGATGTCACCCCTGTAAACTTACCACTTTCACCTGTAAACCCCTGTATTTTATACCGTAGCTTGCGCAGCTTTCCCAGTTGCACAAATTGCTTTTACGTGTGCTTACTGGTTGAATTTGCTCAAGCATAAGTCTAGGCCCCGCAGTACGCCGCGACCCCCCAGTCAGATCGGCAATTTTTTCTTGGTAAAGCTTACCCTTTTCAGCTTTCTAGCAACCCTAGAGCTTGAAAACAAGACAACTTTACAAGATAAATATCTTTCCCAAATACCTTTCTGAAATACCTTTTTTTCTCTTTATCAACCTTACCCAAGATGGTCTAGTAGTGCTCTAAAATTATCTCCTCATTTCAGATTTGGACTTAAATTGTAAGCTTCCATCTATACATCTGCAAGGGGAAAGGGGACTTATCTTAGGTACATATCAAGCTTTGGCTTTATATGGATTGATAAGCCTTCAAATGTCCCGGCAGCATCGCCGCGACGTGCAGATCTGGGGTAAAATTTCCCCCTGGACAATGCATCATCTTTCATCCATTCACAACCCCAGCCTCTCAATATATTATATTACCACGTAAAGAATCAATTTACGATTTGAAATCCTCGGGACCTTTTTAATATTCTATCTAGAGATCATACCATCCATTTTGCTCGGCACTCTGCGTTGGTTTCCGAATGTCGGGATAATTTGTGGGACTTCAACATGTGACAGGACGGACAATAAGGCTGGCTTACGGTTAGGCGCATCCGAATGTCCTAGTCTTGTATAACAAGTTGACCGACGACATGGCCCATAATTCCGAGCGGAGTATTATGCGAACGGTTTATGCGGATAGGTCGCGCCGATTTCCATAATAGGACCAGCTGTTGGCGGCTCCTTTCACGCGATGAATGTGTTAGTAATCTAACCACGAGGATTTACCTTACAATCCTTACAATCCTTACGAATGATCTTCTAAAAGCATATAGGTGCCCTATGTGAATCCCGTAATGTAAGGCGATGATCGATCGAATGCGCTTCTGGCCATGTTAAAGACCTAGGCCTATTCCTCGAGTATTCTTTTCTAGCTACTCGGTCAGCCAATGTAGATTTTGAAGAGCGAATGGGAGGCGCTAAACTGCAATTTCAAGCTTGTTATGCATCTTCACATACAGTCGCAATGACGGGAGAGGAGCACCGATCAACATGACCTGGAGGGGTTGAAGCGTAACGTCAGGCACAATTTTGTCAGTAGGGCTAGACGGATGACTACCTACTTAGGTACTACTACACGATATCGACCTTTCCTTCATCCGTGGGATTTGTAGATAAGGGCGTCGGTACTTAAGGTTTCTGGTGCCAGCTGTTGTCGAAAGGGTTGTTCTTTACATACAGTCAGTAAACACTCCCATGGTCCGGTTAAACTTACTAAGGCAGTGCAGATTATCGTGTATAGGTCAGCTTTGACCACGTTTGATTCCCGAATTGAGACGACAAACAGTAACAATATATATATAAAAGATGACTAATCATGGTGTTTTGGCCTGACGGTGGCCTATTCTTCTCTTTTTTCGAAGTCGAAATGAGCATCTAAGCTTCGGAAGAGTGACCAGTTGCAGTATGAGAGGCAGGAGTAATGATTGACCTTGATGGCTCTTTCATCAATTCTGACGATATTAAAAGAACCTTCCCCTCTAGTTGGAAGTGCCCAGTGCCATCAAGGTACGCATTGGCCACTCACCGGACTCGGCGCACTCATTCATCTACAATTTTACTCAAATCAGTCAACTATTCGCACAATATTAGATGCTCATCCGATACAATTCTTAATGGTAGTCTTAGTTACAATAGCATTGTTGGTCCATTGGTTGGTTTGCTGTCCCCGCTCTCTGCCCTCCCAGTATTGTCCATTACTATACAATTAAATACTCAAATTCTTTTTCACCATCTTCTCTCGTACTTCCTCAAACTTTTGCCCACCTTGGAAGTTTTTTCCCCCTTCTTTATTTAGCATATTCACAACATAACTCAACTACACTTATCGCACCCTCTGAATCTGCTACCCAAACCAAAGTTTTCTCATCTATAGTACCCAAGAACACTGAGTCGGGTTATTCTCTTAACCACCGCATAAGATGGAGGCTTTTCCTATCGAGATGATCCTCGGCGTCGCCGAAAACCTAGATGCAAAATCGCTGTCTGCGCTCATGATGACGAACAAGGTAAGACTACGCATCTGCTACTAGACATGTCATCTTTCCTCACTACCATCGATAGAGCTAACTACTCGACGTAGCGATTCTACTCTCTCATATCCAAACACGAGCGTTCCATCTCCGTACGCATCGTGTCAGGTCTTGGTGTCCCTCCCACTGATGTCATGCTCTCATCTGAGGCATTCTTGCGCCGTCCCATCAAGAAACATACCTTTCAGATGGTAGCGGAGGCACAGAAGCGGGACGCGCACATTGAGGACATTCTCAATTCCAAGTTCTTCAACGATGCGATGCCAGACCGCTTCGAGCCTTGCAATGCCCACCAGAAGCAGTTACTCCGCGCTCTAGTGAAGAAAGCGATGATCCAATGCAACCGCATCGCGGATGTTGCCTCAAACTCGCCATGCCACCCAATGAAAGCGATCTGGTACGAATGGATGAAGGGTTCATTCTACCTCCCTTTCGACTTGCCCCTCGGATACCGTATGAGGGATCCCTGCACCAATATGGGGGCACGCGACAACCAGCGTGACTACCTGCGGAGCCTCCCGAAAAAAGATATCGCTATGATATACTTCCTTCTGACCACCATGAGCTGGGGTCTGTATCTCGAGAACCCGAATGTAGCCGAGGCCGACAGCAACTTCCTCGAGCGCCAGGTTGTTTTCAAGGAGGGCGTGCTCCGGCACGGCTCTTGGTTTACGTGGGGTTATCTCGTCGGAGACGCCACCTGGAAGTCGATGGCACACAAGATGCAGCGAATCGGATGGACTGAGCTTGTTAGTTTCGAGCTCGGTGAGGAAGACACTCCTGCAGCCCTCCACTCAACTCTGGTCTCCTTATTCGATCAGTTCTACGTGTCAACACAGATCGACCCGACCAACGTGAACCCAGCCGCCGTCGTTCTCGATGTGGTCTGGGACCTCGTTACCAAAGACAAGGAGGAGCAGTCAGCAGAGGAGCAGTCAACCGAAGAGCAGCCAACAGAGGTTCAGTCTGCAGAGGAGCCCTTGGATGAAGCTACGGAGATTGCGGGAGAAATCTTGGAGGAGATTATTGAGGAGGTCGCGACGGGAACCGGAGATGGAGTATCTGAACAGGAGACGCCCGTGGTGGTCACCGAGGTATTCTAGGATGCTATAAAGGTTAGAGGTAGAGATGGGGACTTGGTTTAGACCGCCTCATGGTGATTGCATAGCAGGGTCGGATTTGGAGTTCCGGCAGATAGGAGTCAACAAAAGAGAGAGGGGCTTCGCGGCATGGCCTGTTGCTTTTTGTTTCTGAACTTTGGTCTCTTTTCCCCTGGTATTATATATTTGCATCGCGGTGATGGTGATTGGTTCGATTGGATGATCTGCTTTTTTGTAGTCGGTATGCTTCATATGCGCCGATGATTTCTAGCGTGTTTTTGATAGCGGTTGAATTTTTCTTTCTTTCTCATTGTTTCTTATTGTTTCTCAATAGCGAGGTGAAGAAAATACCTATCATTATAATCACTCGCCGACTCACCTGATCATGGCTGAACTCTAAAGTCTTGACACAGGTAGAGCTGGTGATGTGACTTGTAATGCTTCTTTGACGGCTTATAAATACTTGAGATGGAAGTTCATCCAACGCCGATATCTGAGTATGCTCTAGCTTTCACTTGGTCAACCCCAAATTATTTACTAGGTATGATGGGAGGAACCGATCGTAACTTGTTTAGCTCGAAAGTCAGAGTCTGTTCTACCTAGTAGTCTAATGTTTCACGTGGTAGCTGAATGGAGCTATCTGTGGATGTCGTAATTAGGTGTAAGACCTAAACCACGACTGTATAAGTGACCTATGTAGGAGAGAAGATGTGACAGCTAGCAATGCCATAAGTGAGTCAATTCGAAATATCTCGGTATATTAGTCAGAAGAAAACATTGTGAGAATTCAGAAAGATGAAGCCGATTGTAACCATCACGGTGCGTAAACGACGGATAGGAAAAATTAATTAGCTAATTTGGAAAGAGGAAGTTTGAAGCGAAAATCTTGTACGGATTCGATTAGTCCGCGATCTAGCCAAGAGATAGTCTCCTCGGGACCCATTTATCTTCGCTGTTCCCCACGACGGCCCGGGGCTTGACATGAGTCACCCGGCGGGACGGGGGACTGTTCTAATTTCTGATCACAGATTAAGTACGCTATCACGAAGCTATGTCTTTAATGATACAGGACGCGTTGACACCGTCATACCAAATACTCGGAATTCAATCCGACCTCGCAAGGCGTGCCAGATGATGATCTCTAATTGGCAAGATATTCCGAAATCCGAATTAGCACTAGACTATTAACAGCCGAACTTGCAACCTGGCTGCCTAGAGATCGGACGCGTCGATGAAAGGGCGACAAACTAATTAGACACTTGCTGGAATGGCCTGACTCCAGTCGACCGTGAATATGGAAATAAACAACTCGAGCAGATATGGGGGAGTACAAGGCAGTCAAGTGCTTTATGCAGTCATCAGGACAATGTGCAGCATTGCACCAACAATCTATAAACCATCCAGTTGACCGCTATTACAACCCTACAGCCCTATAATCCTTCGACCCTATAGGGCGTCAGCGACTTTCAATACACATGTTCAACCTACTAGGCATTTTACATGCCAAGACCCACTCGATCGGTCGGCTCTATTGACTATCCTAGTGAGGAAATAGTCCGCTCTGACAAGCTTGCTATAGACAATTGAGCCTACTAGGCTGTGTCATCAGCCATTGCTAAGCCTATACAACTAGCTATTAGTCACAATGGTAGCTGTTAGGTTATAAAGCAAATGCCTTTCCTCTCAGGTTGAAGTTGAATCTTGTTAAACAGCAATATCGTCATCAACAACATCATCAACGTCGCTAAGTTACAGATTCCAGTATCTTCAATTGAGTCTACATAAAGGATAACGGCTTTAAAATCGGTTAACACCGGATCAACACCATCATTATAAATCCCACAAGACCCCTGACCAAGCCAACCAACGATTTAATGTGTAGGGACTGCTATAAGACCACCGCCGCCTCGGTCTCCCTGTCACTGGCAATGACAAACCCAGAACTCATCTGGGCCCATCACCAAGAGCAAAAACAAGCAGCTCGCCGAGCATCAAAAGCACGACATCAAACCCAAGCCCAACCACAATCCGACGTCATGTCTTCGTCCGCTTCAACCTTCTCGGGCTCTACCGCTTACTCTTATGACAAAGACCAGCCTCAGACCGATTCTAAGCAGAAGCGATCGGTTCGGCAACGAATCAAGGAGGCCTTCAAGGACATGGGAAGCCCGCCTACGGCCTATGAAGACCGGGTGAACGGCCGCAAGACGGAGGAGCCGGCCCCTGAGCACGGTCCGATGAGCTCGACGCCCCAGAGTAGGACTTAGCTGGGGATGGTATAATTGCAAAAGTTACGTGTAATCTTGACGGGATGGTTGAGTGGTTTTCCTGATTTTGGCGTTAGCAATTGGTGGTCTGGGGATTTGCGGCACAGCCGATTTTCGGGTTTTGGGTAAAACAGAGCACAATTGTGCCCAGACGAAGACGCGGGGATTGGCGAGGAATACGATACACATTACACCGCCACAGATTGGTTGGATTTTGGGGGTTTGATGGTGGTATTCTGAAAATTAGGGATGGAGATAATGACTGGAATGCCCTGATGGCGGGATAGCTATGCATCCTTACGTTAATTTCATTTTAAACATCTGTGGAATTTTTGCTGTGAATATTGATGATTATTTGAAGACAGGTATACGCTGTCATGTTCTCATTTTGAATCTTGAAGATCAGTAACAACCAACTTGAACCACCAAAGAATGACAATACTTTACCCCTAAAAAGTTCCACGAACTCAAATACCAAAACACCTTATTCCCAATTAAATCGCTTAGTTCAGGTAAGCATGTGTATTTAATGACGAAATAATATGGAAAAACCATTTCAAATTTTGCAGGTCATTCATAGGATATTTGAAAATAGTGTCTTATTCCGGCAATATACCGAAGCCGCATGATACAGTCGGCACTTCCAGGGTCGGAGTTCAACAGGTATTTCTTTTGGCAATGGCCCCACAAAGCCTCAATCAAACTCAACCAAAAAAGCAGAGAAGTTTCGAAGAAGTAGGGGTAAAGAAAAAAAAAGAGTACTAATGCATAAAAGCAAAAAAAGTGATGTGTTCCCTCGGGCCGGAATCGAACCAGCGACATTTCGGTAACAATTAAATATTCAATTACAGCCGAACGCCATAACCAACTAGACCACCAAGGGAGTGGTTGGTTTTGCCTTTCTCTTCTGAGGAAGTGGGCTTCCTGCGAGGGGAAGGTGCAAGAACTGCTGGCAAGATGGCTTATGTACCCCTCCCGATCGCGCCTTCTCATCCACGAATAGCCGCCGTTTGCCGGCTTGGACCCACATGTGTAGTCTCTTTGCTGGAAATACCTCGCTTCTTGGCGTCCAGTTCAATTTACTTCTCTATTCTCTCTATTCCATAATAGCGAAACAAGACCTACGAATTTAGAGACACAAGCGAAAAACTTCAGATTCAATTCACAACGAACAGGCAACCTTGCAACGAAGCATCCAATACGCTATCTACACGCACAACAGCCCTCAAGAAGACGGAACAAGCGAATTAACATAAACCTCAATATTCGCATACCCAGCCGCCCCAATCTCCATCGCATCGCCCGCATCCCTCGGATCAAGCCCATGCGCGCTCTCCCACTCATCCGGGATCCCATCCCCATCCGTATCCGTCAACGCGCTCACAGTCACCACACCTCCCACTCCCCCAGATGAAGCCGCGTTCTCGTCACTAATCAACTGCCCTTTCTTCCCGTAACTCTGCACCTCCGCTACCAATCCCTTATCCACCGCGTCTCGCGCAGGGAAGTTCGCCCCAACGGCGCTGAGGACGTGGGGCACGGCGTCCGGGGCCGTCAGTAGATGCGTCGGGCCGGGGTAGTCGAAGCGTGACGGCTCGATCGCCATGTTGCTGTAGCAGCTGGTCTGCGCGCAGAGGGGAGAGCCGTTGAGGGACCCGTCTTTGTTGCTGTCGTAGTAGTTCTCGGAAACATCTGGGATAGGTGAGTTGGTTTTGTGTTTGATCGCGTGGGAGAGTGAGTGTGCTTACAACCGTGGAAATTGGCGTTGCCCCGTGTGAACGCGGTTACGCTGGTGCTGGGCCCGGAGATGAAGTAGTTGTTGATGATGTTGGCGTGGCTTTGCCCGGCGCTGTCGCCGGCGATGTAGCCGCCGCCTCCGCCCCAGTTATAGATGACCTGTGTGATCTAGGGTCAGCGAGTGTTATGCTATTACAGCGATGCGGGATTTCATTCTGCGCATGCTCACGTTGTTCTGGAAGTCGTTCATGCCCTTGACCTTGGGGTTTCTTGTCTTGTTGTCGATGTACAAGTTCCTGAAGAGGCTGATGCCGTAATCAGACTGCATCAGCCCACCGCATGAGTGCGTTTCCAGGCCCTGGGCGATAATCGTGTTCTGCACGGTCACGTTGTGCACGGCGCCGTTGATGGAGAAAGTTTCGTCTCGTCCCCAGGCCGCGGAGACATGGTCGAATATCATATTGCTACCGTCAGCAATGGTGATTCCATCTGCCAATTGGTTGCCATATGTAAGTCGAGTTCATCAACTCATTTAGATCAGATATTACCTTTGCCCGAGTCGCCGCCCTTGCCCATGCGAAATCGGATATAGCGCACGATGGCATCGTTGGCGTTAGAGAACGACATGCCGTTGCCATAAACCGTAATGCCCTTACCGACCGTTAGCGCTTATAATCCCCCCAATTTTTCAAGTTAAACACCACCTACTTCACCCGGAGCAGTCTGTCCGGCAATGTAAATATTCTTAGAGACGGCAATCCGCGTAGCGATTTTGATAGTTCCTCCCACGTCAAAGACGACTATACGATTTGCCTTTGACACGGCATCGCGAAATGACCCCGTTCCCGAGTCGCTGTCCAGCAGTGTGAGATATGCCACGTTATAGGAGTGCATTTGAACACTCACTTTAGGTTCGTCACATGGTAGACCGAGCCCGTCCTACCACCGACGGCATTTCGACCAAACCCTTCAGCGCCAGGGAACGCCAACAATGCCGACACGCTTGGGATGAGCGTCGCTAGACACGCCGTAGCGAGGGATCCGAGAACAACCATAGCTGCGAATGGCTTATAGTGGCATAGTAAAAAAAATAGGCGCCTGAATACGGCGCCATGAAGTAGTTGTTGTTATGTACACGAAGGAATATAGGTTAATTGAACCACTTAACCCGACACCGAGCCATCGCGTCTAATTTTCCCGTAATGTCTTAAACGCATCACGGAGCGTTGAAGATAGTACTCAGATTAGTTAGAATGGCCGGGCTTAGGTCACATCCCGATGCATTCGGGGCCAGGGGTGCGGTGCAGGCTAAACCTCCACGAAATTGAAGGGTTAAATCACGAGGTGAATCAGTTATGTAACTTCAAGTGCCGCTTGCTTTCATCCTATTCATGATCTTGATAATATGCCGTCCATTATAATCTATATCAATCCTCATCCAAGATACGTTACCGTTAATGGGTATCTATCGTTACTAAGTAAAAATGTCAAATGCGCCCAGATCGTCTATCCTGGTATATCAAATTCCGCTTCCCAAAACTCCTCACCATTAAGCCATGCCGCCAGATGAAAAAGAAAAAAACAAAGAAGTGGAGTATCAATGTTTGGGAATACAGATAATTACATCTCGTCCTCGAAAAATTTGATCAATGTCCTGGCCCCGGAAACTCCGAGGCCCATGAAAGGATAGCAGATATAAACCGGCTCCTGCTTCACGCCGAACTTCTCCCTGAACTCGCTTTTGGCAATTAGTTTTAGCTGCTGTGCCACCGTCTTGTACGTGCGGCTAAGGAGCCTGGCTTTGATGCCGTTTAGGTTGCTACCGATGACTAGCTCGTCCATGGCACCGGCACCGAAAGTCACACTGCTGATCCCTGAAGCTGTAAGGCTTTGGATAGCGCGGGAAATAAGGGCTTCGATACTTCCGGATGGTGAACCAGGGAAATCAAGGGCGAACTTGATTTGATAACCGTGTTCAGGCGAGAGGCGGTGCAAGATGACAAGTCCGACAATTTCGCCGTTCTTATCTTCGGCCCAAAGGTAGCGACGGTGAGCCATTGACACCCATGGCCGAACTTCAGTAATGTGGACTTGCTTTCGACCTTTACGGCCTTCCTTCCAGTCCTCAATTCGCTTGTCACATTTTGCTCTCACCTCGTCGGGGACCGGTTGGCCAAGTGCGGTTTCGTGGATTTTCACTTCGGCATTCTTTGCTTGGCGCTCCTTCTTAACCACCCTATTAGCGTTGCTCACATCCACACGTTCCTCAGCCACACACGTCAGTGTCCGCCATCCAAGCTTCGCACCCAGAATATCTTCGACTTGCGCAGAGGCCAGGATCCAGATAGGCCGGAGATCTTCATTCTTCTTAAGGTACTTAAGGAAAGAACTAATGACGATGCCGTACTGGCGCGGATCGCAGAGAGGATTTCCCATGATCATCGCATACTTATTTTCCTCCGCGTAGCCCACTGCAGCTCCAGTTTCCGTATCTCGCCAGACTTTATACCGTTCGTCAAGCCAGGAAGTGTTTGTCGCATCGCCGTAGTTTACGATGAGCTTCTCTAGGTCGGGGAGGTGGACATGGTCGTGCTCCCCTTCAAAGGTATAACGGATAGTATCAGCTTCCGGGAACGGAAGCTTGTCGGATTGTCCGGGTTTCTTTGCTGGTAATGATTTCGGATCTCTTGGGAATAGAGTGGCATTTCGAACATCTCCTAAATTCAATAACAAGAATAGGACACGTTCAAGGCCAATACCGCAACCTGCGTGTGGAGGTGCACCCCACTCAAATGCTTGCATGTATTCTTCCATTCCGTCGGAATCTACCCCTGCCTTCTTCATTCTTTCAGCTAATAGTCGTGGGTTGTTAATTCTCTGACCGCCTGTTGTGATCTCCTGGCCTCGAAGGAATATGTCGAAAGAATTGGTGACTGTATCATCATTCGGGTCTAAGTGCGTGTAGAAAGGCCGTGCCGATGTTGGAAATTTGTCAAGGATGAAGTAATCAGTACCATACTTCTCTTTCACCAGCTGACCAAGCCGAATTTCTGACCGCGTTCCAAGATCCTCATTCTCGGCGGCTGGCTTGCCGTCATCATCTGTCCACCCTGATGAATTCAACAGCTGGACCCCTTCTTTGAAGGTGAGGCGCGGGGTTTGTTCAAGCCAGACGAGGTCCTCGTGAGGAAATTTAGTCTTGACATTTTCAATTTCCTTGCGACATCGAGAATATACTGCCTTGAAAATGGATTTTAACAGCCCATCAATCACATCCATAGCTTCGTGGTAATCGTTGTGAATCGTCATCTCCAGATCCAGACCGGTATACTCAGTTAGATGTCGGTGAGTATTGCTGTCTTCGGCTCTAAAAACCGGCCCTATCTCAAAAACGCGACCAAAATCAGAAGAGATTGCCATCTGTTTCGCCAATTGCGGGCTCTGTGCGAGAAACGCGGTTCTATCAAAGTAATTAACCCTGAAGACCTCAGCACCCGACTCGGTCGCAGCAGGCTGGAGCTTGGGTGTTTGGATCTCAATAAATCCTTGCTCGTCAAGCGTGGAGCGAAATACGTTGCAGATGGAGGAACGAATTCGAAAAACGCTTTGCATGACTGGGGTCCGAAGGAAAAGGAGTCGGTTCGCAGTGCGAACTCGGTTTGAAGCTGCCAGACGAGTCTCGTGGCTCTCTTCACTTTCTTCCACCTGCTCCATGTTATAAACATCAATAGCTAGGGGCTCCTCAACTTGTACTAAGACATGCATACTATCGATGAGGATTTCGAGATTATGTACGCTGCAAGTCTTGATGTGTTCTGGTGGCTCGCGTACAATACCTCGGACATGCACTAAGCACTCGGTATTCAAATGCTCAGCCCATCGTACGAAGTTTTCTGATACAGCCCCTTCTCGGACTTGCAAAACGCCTTGTATAGTGTCAACCTGTTGACGCAGAAGGATGAAGGCTAGCTTTGAGCTTACAGACCGCACATGGTGTAGTCGCGCATTGAAACTGATTGTCTGTTCAATGCGATCGGTTGAAAGATGCTCTAGTAGAAAGGATGGTGGTACGCGTTCCTGATCGAGCGTGCCATAGCTCGAACGTATCTCTGGTGGTTCCGTGGATAATGCTTTTTCTTCCTCTTCCCTTTTCTTTGCTTGTAATGATCGCCGTTCCTCCTTTTGTGATTCCTTTTTAGCCCGTTTCTCATATATGGCTTTCAGATGCTTCTTATCCGATTCAGAATCCAACCCATCCGTATCACCAAGATGGATCTTCGTGATATGGTTCTTGGCGGATGTGTGTCCGATGACTCGATTAAGTATGAGGAGGGGTTTCTTTAGCCTTATCGAAGGCGCCATTGTGTTGGTTGGGTAGGTATCTCTATGATTTTGGTGCAAACACGCGGGAATATCGGAAATATGCGATCAAACTCCTTGAAGAGACGAAATTATTAATACCGGAATATTTGATGTTGAAAAGAGAAGAACAGCAAGTGCCAAAGTGCTCTAATGAAGGCCCAAGGTTGATAAGTCAATTCTATTCTAGGTAGTTTCGAGGTGAATGAGCGATGGGAGTCGTAGGCAAGAGCAAGTTTATAATAAACCTTGGCAGGAACCTGACTGATAGCCTAATATTTAATTGCCTCTAACGATTTTTGGGGGATTTGCTATGTACTAGCCCTCGAGGTAGGCAGGCACGGAATCGGCATCGACGGCCAATAGAGCTCATGTGACGAGATACATGTTTTTGAAAATATCCGTCGAAGTTCCTAACAATATCTGGATTTTTATGTATCGGTGACGACAACACTACACCCCGGTACTTCCGGAGCAAATAGACCGGATGATGTTTAGCCAATCAAAACTCGCGTTGGCTTGCATGTATTCCTTAATTGGCAAATTTGTACCTCGATGCAGGGATTAATGGCAATCAAGATGCTACAAATGACTTGGATCGACATTTTATTGCCGTTCTTTTTGTGGGACCGAAACTCATGACATCACTAAATCGAACACCTAGATCCGACAATTGGATCCCGGTCCAGTTATTAGTACATTTAGCCACTACACATTAATAGAAACGGGTTATCGGTCGGAGCAAGATCTTCTCCATAATGCTTGTAATTAATTATATGGTAATTATAAGTATTAATGTATCAAGTTAGCAAGTGCAAAGCCATGAAGCCATAGCCCCCTGCATTGATTTTGTAGAATTTCCAAAAGTCCGGGGCTGCTTAGGCATTAGGGTAGGGCTTAGCTGGGTGAGGCTCGAGCTACCCCCTGCTGTCCTGAATCGATTAAACGTCATATCAGTGGATCAGTGGGTAGCTGTTCCTGTTTACGCAACGCGACCGATCAACTTTGATGATACAAATTCTCATATTCTAACTTTCTGTTTCAGACAATTTGGAGTCTCAGAATTCCATCATGGGAATTACGTCTAGTTCTTTCGCAACACTATCCAAGACTTGAATTAATATCGCACAAGCTTTAGAAAGCTGGTTTTCCAGAGACACACACAACTCCCATTTATGTTCATTCAAATTTCATAGATCCCAAAATGCAAACTGTCGAAGGAATACCCGTCATATCGCAGAGCAATACCGAAGAAATTCTAGCTAAAGGGGAGGTTCCTCCTAATCAGAAACCGAAAAAGGCGAAAGACAAGACAGGAACTCCTCCTTCGCGCTTCTCGCTTAGAGTAACAGCTGGCTGGTGGAGGTCTCTGCAATGTATTGGGATGAGCTTACATTTCCTAGCACCACCACGGCCACCAAATCCAGACTTCATCAAGTCCATCCCCTCTACCTTGGCTACCACTAAAGGACAATTTACTCTCCAATTCTACCTCCCCGAGGGCTATAGCAAGGATCCGAATAGCGACAAGTGGCCGGTCGTTGTCAATTACCATGGTGGGGGATTCACACTGGGCAACGCTTCGGACGATGCAAGATTCGCGCGCTTCGTGTTAGAGAAGTGCCACGCAGTATTTGTCTCAGTCGACTATCGACTTGCGCCAGAATTCCCCTTTCCCACAGCTGTCGACGATGGCGCCGATGCGCTACTATATATCATCAACAACGCGACAGAACTTCGAGTTGATGAAAACAGGATCGCAACCTCAGGATTTTCTGCAGGTGGTAATATCGCTCTCACAGCACCAATTCGCTTGTTTGAGCACCGGAAGGCGACAAAAATCCCGGAGTATCGTATTATCGCAATCGCAACTTGGTACCCGATAACCGACTACACTCTTAGCCGCGCTGATCGCCGAGCATCTGCGCTTCGTCCTGAAGCTACCTTACCACCAGCATTGACAAATCTCTTCGATGCATCATATCTATTCCCTCCCGAATTAGACCTTGCTCATCCCTGCCTATCACCTTCGAGAGCATCGGACGAAATACTCATAGAAGCATTACCTCCCAATGTGATGTTCTACACATGCGAGTGGGACATGCTATTGCGAGAGGGTGAGGAGCTTGCCCAGCGGCTACAAAAACCGCCCATTTCGAAGAATGTCTACTATACCATGATATCTGACGTGGGACATGGCTGGGATAAGGGACCAAACCCAATGAAACCGCCGACCAAGTCTGAGAAACTATATGGAGAATGTTGCCGAAGACTCAGAAGTGTGTTTGAGGAAGATCAGACTCATACGATTCTTCACCTCCCAATTAAGCTGCCTACGTTACTCCTCCCCAAGCTTAAGAACGGGAACGACGCAGAATGAGCGGCTATACATCACAAAGAAACACCATGTATATAGGTACCTATTCGAGGATGTCCGCCCGATCACTAATAGTTGTAGATACCATAACAGACTAGAGATTATACCAATAAATTAGATATCACGGTAATGAATCATTACTTCCATTCGAGGGTGTCGCCTACTATGGACAGCTACCTGTCTATCATCCATGTTTCTTTTCCCATAGGCTTACCTACATTAATCGTTAGATGCCCAGGTAGGTAAGTATAGGTGATCGGTGGTTCTATGCATGAAATTACGAAGACGCGCAATGTCAGATTCGAGACAGGATTTGCTCTTGTGTATCGTCGCAGCGAGCCAGACATTAACGGTCTTACCTACGTCATCCCGTTTTTAAGGTGGTGGGGCTACGCCGAGCTGCCGGGTTTCGCAGGGGCCAGCACGATTCATTGTACTGCATAACCTAGTCGAATGCCCTGAATGTCGGATATTCTGTAGCTTTTATTGCGTTTAGTAGAACTAAAATGTATGTTTGCTTTGTTCTGTAATTTTCTAAACATTAGGTAGGTACATACTGTATCTGGGTGGCCCACGCGTGTAAATCTAGATGGCAGGGATAAGTGGCGGGGCATTCGGAGTTTAATCTACAGGACCAAATGCTCCTAAAGGGTAGGTACCTAGTACCCAGTAGGTATCCCTGCATCGAGGCTCAGAATGAATAACGTCATCGCTGTCCTCTGCCATCCTCTTCCATCTTCTGGGCTTTCGTCAGTCACTGTATCATTACTCTGATTACTTTGATCGATCGATAATACATCCCGTTTCTATGCCCGACCATACCAGAATTCCGGCGCCAATACACAACATATTCACCACACAATGGGCTTGATCGCCTCCCACAACATTTGGAGTTTGTTTGCTGGTGAATGATTAAATATTCTTTTCTCGTTCAGCGAGGACTTGTATTTATATTCTAGTTACTCCAGAGTCAGCCGCTGACGAGTCGCGACATGGCCAACAATGACTTAGAAAATGGAAGCGCCGCTCTAAACCTACCTCAAGCGTTAGGTACGGAAGAGTCCGGAGGCGAGTCTGTCTCTTCTGCGATCGCAGTTAAGGATGAAAGCGAGGAATTACCTGGCCTACCGCGATTAAATTACAAGCTCTTAGATCATAAAAAGAAGCTATTCCTAGTTGGAGGATTGTTGGTTCTCGAAGGAAGCATACTACCTATTATTCTATTCTATCCACTCTGGTTCGATACCAATTTGAGACATGGCATTCGTAAGTTTAAATCCATACTCCCTTCGTCTCTCTACGATCCAAACCCTCCGGCATCGCTGTATTATACAAGACAAGAGATGTAGAGGAGTATACGGAACTCTTTAGGAAACACAAACTAACAGTGACGCCCAGTTTTCGCTATCATTACATCTTTCTTCGGTCTCGTCTCGGGCCTCGAATTCGCTCACCGATCATGGCGCCTAATCATGAAAGATGATTTCTACCGACCTTTAAACGGCACGCGCTGGCGCTTCGACTTCACACATATGACGTTGTCTGTAGGCTACACGGTTATGACCGGAATCCTAATCGGAGCGTCTATCCCGCACGAACCGCTTGTCCGCCCCCTCGCAATGCCCCTACCCTTGTTCTTCATCGAGGTGGGCTCCCTTGCTATCGCAACTGGTTTGATGGACGCGGGAAATATGCCGGCGACATGTAAAGTCAGCTCTACGCCGAAGGGTGCGCCGATACCACCCGTACTGTTGACTTTCATCGAAGACGTCGTCGCGGTCGATGGTGGTGCGGGGAAGACGTATAGGCAAAGATTGCTAAGCAGATACAAGATAAGTAAGCACTTTAGAGCGCTTATCAAAGGCCTAAACTGGTTCTGGGGCATCGGGTCTATACTTGTTGGGGCCGGCTCGATGGCCGTCGTGTGGACTGTGCCCCAGGAGATTGCCTACGGCATAGGTAAGTTCATGATAATCTTAGCTCTTACATTGCGTCTATAATACTGATAATACTTGTAGGTTGGGGAGCACCGCTGGGTTTTGTTATAATTTGGCTGGCTATTACGATACCGTGGACGCATCGAAGTCTTCAAGTTGAAAAGAAACAGTGGATAGCTGATTTGCGGCGTCGGAGTAAACAGGGAAATGAGAAATAAGAAGAGTTAAAATAGAGAATACATAGAAAATGGTATAGACTGTATTCACTTCTGCACGTACTTCTCATAGATTCATCATCGGATTTCTCAATGTGTTGTAAAAGCCAGGGGTAGCGTATGGGTATGGGTTCCCTATATGGTCTTATTTTTTATTTAGGAAGATGAGTCTTTCAAGATACACCCCTGAGTTACCGTTCTCCTCGAAGCCATTTCTCTCAAGCAACCCCATCAACCTCGCTACCTCTATCGACCGCCTGTCTAATTCGGATACCTCGCCAATCTCGTTGTAGAATGTGTCCCAAAACAGTTGTCGCATGTCAACGTGAGAGGGATGGAAATGCCAATCCGTATATGTCTGGATACCCAACAGGATCTCTGCTCCGCCAAGTGATATCCCGAAGGGCGCTATGAAGGCCTCGGCCCAGTCTACGACTCCAGTGATGTGACCAGTCGCTTCTTCAACATGGATGTTGTTCTCTAGAAGATCGGCGTGCTGAAGCGCAATGGGGAAGTCGGGGCGAAAGAGGAGATGGAGATCCTGTCTGACTTCATTTATTACTGGCTGTAGGTTTTCGGGAAGCGTAGATGAGAGCTTGTCAAGAGTAGCTACATATTCCTCCTGCAACCCAACCGGTAATGATTCTGAAGTCGGTCTATTAATCCATCCCAAAGCAAAAAATCTGATGTCATAGTCAACAGCTATGTAATATGCATGGTAAGTAGAGAAAATATATAACATATATCGACTAACCTGGCAAAATCTTGAATGGTCTGCCTTAGACGCTGTTCCATACCAGGCGCGTCCGTCTTGAACATCTCTCGACGTACTCGACAGAAAGCTGGGCCAGATATACGATTCCAAATATACACATGGAGGGATCCTAGGGTGCCGTGGTACACACATTGAGGCACAAATTCCCGGTAGATTTGCTGGACAAGCTCAAATCGATTCATGTCAATAGGTAAATCCCGGAACTGGACTACCTTGGGGGCTTCCTCTCTTTCTACCGTGTAGCTACTCCCTCCCTGCATTGGCGTGGCAGAGGCGGGACCTCCTAGCAGTTTACCAGCCAGCTCATCGCATTGGTCTCTCGTACATGGAGCATTCGCAGTGAAGAACTTTGAGATTTGTGCTCGCGATAAAACGTCGTAGCTATCCGGCCCGACCGCGTACTTGGAAACATCCATTTCGAAGATCGACCACGGGGGATTTATTAGAATTATACACAAGGAGCCGTCTAGGCTGAACTAGTGGTGCTCAGTTGTAACTTCAAGATCGAGGTGAAGCAACAGCGCATGAAAATACTGTAACCCCTTACAACACTCACATCCCACTGCTAGGAGATGGGCCTTGTTGGCTGATAGGTCACTGTCGGGTAGCTAATAGTTAGGTATATGACTGTCTTAATTCCTAAATGTCTCAGAAATTGGGGGACAGCCCCCCTTATATAGGTACCTACTGCAGGGACTCTCAGGTTATCCCCACTATTATCCCCTGAGACACGCATGCTTGCCCCTTTTATTCGCACCGCATATTTTAACAACCTGGACTGCTAACTTACCATCGTATCATCACCAAATACTAAGCAACATCTGCTATGTAAAGGTAGGATTCAAGTTTAATTATATATACGAATTATAAGTCTAAATATTTCAAAATATCCCAGATCCGATACAAGCCATCTATACCTAATCCCCTCTACCGCATAAGGAGCGCCTACCAATGCCAAAAGCAAACCCCCAAAATCAAAAACTCCATCGCTGATGCAAATGAGTGATCCATGAAACCATCCCATCATATATCCCGTAAAGCATTCCCCGTGTCCCCAAGCCCCAGAATCAAGCACCTAGAAGGTGCCCAAATAGACAGAAAAACAGACACTAGGTTCGAACCTAGCACTCATAAGTAACATAAAGCCCATTCTTCCCATCCTGCTCGAGATAGACGCGACCATCACCATTCTGCGTATCCAGCTGGATCTTATAATACACCTCCTCGGCGCAATTGAACCGGCCCACCGTATGCGTCGCCGCGTCCTTGCTCTGCTTGTCCCAGAACGTGAAGTCCGGGTGCACGGGCTTGGTATCCGCAGCCGGCAGGTACGGCTTGATGCTGTTCGCGGAAACTAGAGATGGGACCCCGGTGAGCGGGAGAATCGCGGCGAGACCGCTTCCGTCGACGACGAAGGTCCGCTCGGCTTCGGCGGCTTGTGCCCACATTAGGTTACATGTCTTCGCGCCGGCGGGGATCCCGCTGAAGACGACGACTTGCTCGAGCTGTTTGCTGGCTCCGGAGGCTTGGACTTGCAGGTATGTGACGGGGGTTTGAGAGAGGTCCGGCTGCAGGAGGTCGAGGTTGTACATGGTGGGCTGCCAGATGCTGCCGCTTTGGCAGGTCGCGGTGGGAGGGGCGGCGGTGACGGAGGTGGTGGGGGTGGGGGTTGCGGGTAGGCTTGTGCTGGCGATGGGCGGGAGCGCGCACGGGTCTTGCTGGTAGCACCCCCGGTACCCGTTTGCGCAGGCGTAGAATACGGTGCCGGTCGGGCAGTCGGTCCATTCGCGGCGTGAGAGTGAGTTCTTGTTGATGGGGCCTGCTAGGACGACTGCTGCGAGGCAGGCTAGGGAGGTGGCGGTCTTGACGATGGAAAACATCTTTATTAGAAGGTTGTAGGTGACTAGGTATGTGATTGTGGTCGAAGAGTGTAGATTATGAGTGGTTATGGATATGATTTTATGAGAATAGTGAGAAGATGAGCAGACGTATGATTAGGTATAAGTACTAATGATTAGATGGTATATATGCTGAAGATGTAAGAGAGTATGAGATGATGCTGAGAATAAGTCATTTTGAACCGGCGATGAACTGCCATCTTTATATCTCGGATTCATGATGTTGGTACCCGTCGTAAGTGAGTAAACTCACACGAGGGCGGGTAGGCGAATGACTGTCATGGCGGAGACCTGACTGCTGACAGCAAAACGCGGCTGAGTGCAGTTGGGATAGATGTCGTTGCTGTTGGAATAGAAGCACCAGGCAACGGGTTACGGTACCGTATATCGGCTATACGTAATGAGAAAGAGGCAGGGGAGCGAGGCGTTCGATCTTACGAGCTAGGCGATAATTTAGCAATACCTAATCCGATTACCTTTCGATTATTAGCTAGAATCTGTACCATGAACCTGATGGTGGTGGATTTACGCGGAGATCGCAAAAACACACGGACACAAGGGCAAAGCAAAATGCTTCCAGCCGAGCCAGCACAGAGCTAAGTGTAACTAATGCAACTAACCTCAACCTAATCTTACAAAATACGTGGCTGTGCGGAGGTGCGGCTGTATGCGTTCACTCGACCCGCCAACACGGTTGGGAATGCCAAGATCTTGGCGTACTTCGTACTCTATTAATATATTTTACACTGCAGCCACGTGGGACCCGCCGGTCCCGATCAGACGAATCGTCGGATGGCAGCTGGATAATATCCATAAATCTTATGCAAAAGCCAATACTTTTTCTTCCCCGCGATTCCTTCCCAGTGGCTTTTCTAGCTATCGACGGACGTCCGCAGTTTGTCGAGGACCTGGTAGACATGATGGAATGGCCTGTTCAAATCTGCCATTGTACTACGTTGCACCATAAGACAATGGACGGGTAGGCTATCTTTCATCTGGTTGGTTTATGACCTTGCTGATGCTTACATAGTAGAAGAAGGGCAGCTATAGTTACTGGGGTTAACCAATAGTAACTTAGGTCCTAGAAGGGTATATTTAACTCTTAGTTGACGTAGGACTTCGGGATCTTAGAGAGATAACGGATATTTGACGTGAATCGAGATAGCCGTGGTTCGTGGTATGCTGGAGGCCGTTTGTGATAATTTAACCTAGCAACTGGGCTTGGATCAGCCTCAGCCTAGAAACATCATTCTCATGACCTCTTGGTAAGTCATTTCGCATGGCAATAGATAATAGAAGTGCATAACACGCTGCGCTTCGGCCGGCCGCATAATCGGCTACAACATGGCTTGCACTTCGAGTGAACAGACCGAACAGCCGCCACTTTGAGATCATCTCCCAACACCTCATTTTTATTTTGTTAAATTTGAAAACCACTTCATTTCTATCACAAAAATTTCCACTTAAAGCACGAAGTTAAATCATCAAGGGTACGAAACAAGTTCCTACTACTTAATACCTAGTAAATAGGTCAGTTGTATCTATCGCCTTGACTGGGTAGGTTCACCATTTAAAATTCCTATGTTGAATGTCTTCCTCTACGAAATGTGGTAGGTTTTAGGTGATTAACCCTCAATTTCTATATGCGCCCAGCCTCCTTTCAACTATGACAATCTTGAAATTGGCAGATAATCTCGTGTCCAGACATAGAAGTTTCGTTGGATGCGTAAGGCTGGCGCTTATAAGAAATTCTCACAACAATATCGCTAATCTTTGCCAACGTCTGTTGGTTCGCCTTCTGTTGGCTCGCTTAGTCCAACTTCCTGAGAAGGCTCTGTCTCTTGCCCTGATCGTTCTTCGACCCTTGATTTTTGACTGCGCGTCCTTGTCGATATAGGGTCTAGAACGCCGTCGATGGAGCTGTTGGGGTTAGCTAGCTTGTTGTACCTCCTATCTCCCCAAAAGTCATGGTCGATGATAGTGTCGATGTCTATGCGCTCTCTTGGATCATGCTTAAACATGCGCGATAGAAGATCCGACAAAAGAAGGACCTCTTCCTTAGGCATACTAACTACCCTCTTTACCCATTCCCCCCTTCTTTTAGGCGAATCCTCACTCGTACGTCGCCGCTTTGTATCTCGATCCTCTGACGATTCATCCACATCCCGTTTTGCTAGCAGCTCTCTGAGAATCATCTCACTTGTAGCTGATTCCGTCTCACTACTGCCAGGCCCGTGCTCGAAAGGGACTTCGCTGTCTTTGGTCCGCGTCGTCGGCATAGCGGGTGATTCCTCGTCATGAACTTGCCCCGATTGATTTTCGGAGGCGTCGGTCATTTGCAACAAAGGAGAATATGGCTCTCCCTCAACATCCCCTCCAAACCCATCTGGGGCTAGACTCTCTTCCTCAATTCCGTCAAAAATGAGATCTGCCTGGGCATATATATCTCCTTGAGAACCTTCATCTTCCGATGTCCAGTCCTGGCTTGCATAATCGGAGCTGTCAGTGTCGGATTCAGTATCGTCTAATGAAGTATATGCCCCGCTGTTCCTTTCGTAGACAGAACAATCTCGCTCTCTGCCAAGAGATGCTTGTAGAGGGGTCAGCCACTCAGATTTTCCTATAAAAGTCTTTCGCATATTCCGCTCTTCTTCTGGGGATAGCGAAATTAGCTGATCTATGTTAGGGAGTGTTTCTTCCAAGGCTAAATTCGTCGAGTCTGAATGTTCTTTCGCATCCTTAGACGCGGGTTGATGTTTTCCCTCCCTTTCTAGATGAGTTCTCGCTGACTGTCGATACCCCGCTGGCAAAGGTCCAAACCATAGTTCCATCTGACGTATTAAAGATGTGTAATTTTCATATTCACTAAACAACGGTGTCCGAGTCTTTATTTCGTATATCGTGCAGGCGAGTGCCCAGATATCCTGCAAGGGGCCGCTCAGTGTCTTTGTAAACAGGAGCTCTGGTGCGGCATATTGTCGATTCCACTTAGGAAAGGATGGGGGGTCCGAGTGATAGAAGCTGTCGTTAAAATCGACGATTACTACCCTTCCCGTGCGACATTTTCTTTGTAAAGTTTCTAATGAAACTGGGAAGACTAGGTAATCAGGCCCATGGGGCTTTGGATCATTGCCCGAAAGAGTTTCTAAAGGCGCGTATTGTCTTGGTCCAAGGTACTTGCTAATCTGACGACCAGTCAATTCCATCACATCGTATGTATCCAGCTGCATTAGTATATTGCTTGGCCTCAGGTCTGGCAAAAGTCAGTATGATTTAATCGTTTCTTGAGGATGGCAATGCTTACCTCCATGGCAGATCCCCTTTCGGTGGAGATACTGCAGCCCTTTGCTTACTTGGAAAGTTATGTCCGTCAATAATTCCGGAGTATGAATGCCCATGCCATCAGGATGGTTCATAAATAAACTTGGTCCGAGGAGATCCGAAACTAAGCAAAGGTGACGCCCATTTGGCCCGTTGATCCAAAAGTGATCTCGAGGTATGTTAAGGTGGTTTTCTCTAAGTTCTTTGTCGCTAACATCGGCTAGAGCCTTCAATATTCGAAGCTCCGGGCATTCCTCGACCGACTCTTCTGCAGTCATGACCTTTACCGACTTATAATACCTACATTTCTCGTCGTAGCAGAGCCAAACTGTAGAACTATTACCCCACCCAAGTTTGTGAACGACCTGAAACCGATTTTCTGGGTCAAGATAATCGTTGAAATGGATTGGGTGATATCCACCAGGTCGATATCTCTCCCTTCCCTCGAGATCCAACGCGTCATCCCCTCCCGCACGATACAAACGCTTAGTTGGTTCCATCTGTAACTCGGATTATGTTAGAGGGGAGGGCGTGGCGTTGACGTCCCGATGATAATTAGGGTTACCATGCCATGACCCATTCTTGCCGGTCGTTTTCTGACAAGTCTGCGACTTAGTATTGTTCGGATGGGCCGACCGTACCTAGCGTAACTTTCCTGTGGAAGCTGGGAGTCCCTTTGTCTAGGTACATTTAGGCTGCATTCGGAAAATCGGCAACTTACTATCAAGTATGTCAAATTCAAGCCTTTGTTCTATGGCTACTAGGTAACTACTTGGTAACTTAGAAGATGAAGATTTTAATATCATTCCTCTTTATCTCACCACATGGTGATCCTCATATAATGGTACCTACCTGGAAGTTTTCTATAATTAGTTCCAGAATAAAGCATACAAGTCGGATAATAGTCTATTGTTGAACATGGCCAGTCACTATAATAAGATAGAATGAAAGGTCCAGAGTGAACAATAGTCCACTAAAAATGCCTTGGTTGTGGATTTACTTCAACAATGTCCTCTTTCTACTAGTACTTCACCCATAGGGATAGGTAACTATGATATATATCGAGCTCATAAACGTGAATTCCTCTTGGTGAAGCATCTAGCACCTACTAAACATTAGATATACGCATTAATCTGCCCAAGAAACAGTAAATTGTATAAAATATCTCACAAGATGTATTCGGAAATACCCTCGTCCAGTTCAAGGGCGTGGAACTTTGGGATGAGCCTTCCACGTGGAGCTCCCCCCGTCATTAAGATGAGACCCCAAGAACTTAATGATTGCCCTAGAGACGGGCAAGGGACACTCGATAATCCTATGGTAATATGGGCTGCTCGCTTGACGGATGGTCAGCGACAGGAGCTTGCGGTTCCCGAATACGAGTCCGAGGAGGATCTTTACCGTGCGATCGATGCTAACGCAGACATGGCTAAGACAGCAGCTATCAGAGCAGGATGTACCGTCGTGTGGATTATTTGCCCGGTTCATACCAGCAAATATGTTTACGATAACGATGGAAGTAAAGTTGCGGTAAGGTGGGATCGGTTTGGAAACCCAGTGGAGTATGCTGTCACAAATGCCGACCCCCATCTCACCGTAAAGCTAGGCACAAGCGAAAATTTATGTCATCTCCACGGACATATCAATGTCCTCGTGGATGAACGAGGGTTTCCAACCGACTTCATGAAAAGCTTCCAGAGACGCCAGAACGGGAATATTACTGACGGTGATGACAGAACTATGGAACTTTTTGAGTGGGGTGCTAAGGCAGAATTAGATCAAGAACGCTATCGAAGAGAGGCTGCAGATTATGAACTATTCAAGATAAAAACAATGCGAGGTGGGAGAGGATGGGAAATCGAGGATGATAAAGATGATGGTGATTACGTGGATAAAAACCTTGGTATCGAGATCCCGGAGTATAACCCCATGAGCTACGACACCGAATCTACTGATGAGTTAACAGGACTTAATCCCGAACTGGAAGATTATCTCGTTCGGAGATGGAATCCTTACTACAGAGGAAACGGACATGCTATTTCCATCCAAAGGTTTGGTTATAGCACCCGGAGATTCAGGAACAACTATGATCCCTCATCCTATAGTCAACGCCCTCATCGTCCCACATCGTATTGGCATGGGGAACGAAGGCCTTATGTTCCTAGGTACGTTAACTAGCACGACACTTAATCAATATTCCCTTTCGCAACATTCTTAGAGGTTTAGTACGTATCAACAAGGTAGATACAGGTATTATTGCTATAGTTGAGTTAGAAATGAACATTAACTTATAGTCTCATGCCCTTGGTGGTGCGTTATCCCGGTTTTAGTACATGTGAGCACTCCCGTATCGTGAGAATAGGCATGACTTGAATCTGGTGTAGCATATGGTGACTCAAATAAAAGCCTTGGAGGTTAGTGTATTATTTTTCTCAAAAATTCCAATCCTACGGCGAAATTCATCAGTCGATATGAACCATTGCCGGCATAATCGTGAATCTCCGCGGAGCCTCGACTATTGGTGAGCTGGCTGCACCTAACGTTAGCTACTTATCATATGCAAGTGAATTTAATAATGGGAACTTGAAATACAGACGATACCCATCAGATTTTCGAAATCAAGAACACCCGTGATGTGGACGAATGTTTCCCCAGTGCTTTGCCGCGCGTTGCAATTCGCGTTTTCTTTCTTTAGATCGTTTGCGCCCTCCACGAACACGTCCGAGACAGGAGATTCGAGATGAGTCACTTACATATGAGGGAAATAAGGTATCGCCACCGAAAGTCAATCGAGATCCCCGCCCGAGAAAATCAACCTTAAGTTGATGTATAAAGGGGGAAGGGTTTACTTTCGATATCATCAACATATCCTCACGCCCAAACACAGCCCATTGACACAACATGCCCAACTTCCCCGAGATCGAAAAAACACTAGCCTCCGTAGAGGCTAGCCCTCGAGTTATCCAAGTACTCCGCGATTTACACACGAAGGCCCTCTCTGAAGTGCCGTTTGTCAGTACAGCTGGGTCGACGGCAGACGCTCTTGAGAAGTTCGTGGCTCTTGATCCCGACAAGTGCGCGTTGGTGTATCTCCTCCTTCGATCCACCGCGGCGCGATTCATCGTTGAGGCGGGGACGTCATTTGGTCTTAGTACCATATACCTCTCCTTAGCTGTAGGACAGAACGGTGGCGGCAAAGTCATCGCGACGGAGAATGAGCCTACCAAAGCATTGAAGGCCCGCGAGAACTGGCGAGCTGCCGGGAACGATATCGAGAAATGGATTGAACTAAGAGAGGGAGACTTGCGAGAGACGCTTAAGAAGGATCTACCCGATCAGGTCGACTTCCTGTTGCTTGATAGTAAGTTTGTTGCGTAGTTGCTGGAAACATGGCAACATCTTGGTGTGTTGCGCTGACGTAGACCAGTCTGGACGCCTCTGGCTCTCCCAACATTGAAGCTTGTCCATCCACGCCTAAAGATCGGTGGATTAGTGGTTGTCGATAATACCATAGAAGCGGCATCAGGATATGCAGATCTCATGTCCTATTTTGAAGATCCCGCCAACGGATTCAAGGCGACAACCGCTCCTTATTCAGGAGGCCTTTTTATCGCTGTGCACCTTGGAAGAGGGGTTGCATGAGAGCTCAATCACATATGCCATAGTTTCAAGAATCGAACCGGTTTCTGAACTCGATTGAACTTGCAAGTGCTGAATACAAAGGGTTAAGGCGCTGTATTGAAACACTAAATTGTCTCCGGAATCCCTGGAATTTATTCGCTCCATTGTGCCTAGGGGTCGTAGGTACCTAGATTACAGTGGGTGATAGCAGTTGACTTCAGCGCACTTACTGATCTTTGTTGATAGCCCTGTAGCCTTGGGACCTAGAGCCCTATATTTAGGCGCTAAGGTTTAGTTGTGGCTGTTTCCCCCAACACCTACTGCCCAGCGAGTTCCCCAGCGGGTCCCAGCCAATATAGCCCAGCCTGGTACCTATACCACGATTGTAACTTTGTAAGCTTTCTTTTATTTATACTTTAAAAATACTAGATACTATGGATACAACCAAAATATATATTCTCGTTAATACTTTTCTCCCATGCCCCAAACGCCGTGCTTAAGATCAGGCCATCTGAAAGATATTGTAAAGCTCTAGAGCTCCATGCGCGCCGACAGTCTCATCCACTAAGAACCACCAATTATCCATGATATTAGGCTCTGCACCGCATCCTCTACCTTCGTTCGGCATCGCGGCTAGCCCGCCTCTCCTCTCTAGGTCTCGACCTCCTTGCTTCGCTCGGATAACGTGTCGTTCTAGGCTCGTCATAGTCGGGAAGTTGAGGGGATGCCATATCAGGACCAGCACCTGTGTATCCAGTACGTCTGTCTTCGAAGTCTGCGATGCCACGAGTGTCCCTCATCCCGTTCAAATCTCGGGTTTTCCTAACCCCATTTGGTTTCTCGACATCATCGTACGTGCGCTTCCTAAAGTGACCCATGCAAAAACCGGACGGATGCGGCAAGTGCGTTAGGACAAGCACGATGAAGTAGCTGATTGTAATGGTCGGCAACATCCAGCTGCTTCCCACAAAGGCTGTGTTGCGCGCGTTCTCGAGTACCGCTTCCTGGTTAGCGGCTATGATGGTGAGTAATGCCAAAATAATGGAGATGGAGATGCAGATGGCGGTGCGGAAGATGTTGAAGGGCGACCATCCCTTGCGTTTGGATATGACGTGCATGATGGTTAGAAAGAGTAAGACGATACCAGCGCATGCGAACGCGTAGATGTACTGTTCATTATGTTAGCCGTTTTCTAGGCATTCCACATAACATCAGTATTAGTGGAGACGATAACTTACAACTAGAATGAATCTTTTGGCAGAAGCAACCGCTGCTGCAGTCTGCCAAAATTCCGTATTTTCCAAGCTCTCCTTCTCCTGTCCCTCGGGGGGGTTGAAGCCGAAAGCGTTATAAACCGCATTGATCATCGTATTAGTGAGTTCTGCTAGATCCTTCACATAGTGTTCCAACATCGAATCATCCGGGGATGGGTCTGAACTCCAAAATGAGTCGGGCATATCGGCGATCTCTTCGAGAGTCTCATTGACAGATTTCATCGTCTCCAAAACGTCGAGAGGTTGGTATTTCTTTAAGAACGGTAAGATCAGATCACTAAGCTTCTCGGAAACCTCTTCGGAAGTGGGATTGCCAGTTAAAGCTTTTTGCTCGGTATCGAGGATCTTGCTGATGATCGAATTGGCAGATTCGACGATACGAGCCCAGATGACGAATTGGCTTGTGCCTTCGAGAAGAAGTACGAGAGCAATGTGGAAAGGTAGATGCAATGATGTCCTAAAGATAAATGTTAAGATAAGTGATCTTAGAGATATGATAACGATATAATATTGAGAGCTTACCACCACACTTGATGTCGTTTAGACATGGAATGTTCATCGTGCATCCAGTCGAAGTAGATCTGGAAGATGATGTAAATCAAGGCAGTCCCGGCAGTGACGAGACCGATGAGTGTCGGACCTGAGGATTGTTAGTCAAGTATGTACAATGATACGCGAGAAGAAAATACATACTCCATAGTGTATACGAAGCATCCTTGGCAAAGGTGTCCTTTACCAATAGAGTGATACTCTTGGCAAGGATGATACAGCCTTCTCCGAGAATGACGAGCGTCAGGAGGTTCAAACGCTCGCCCAGATGAGTACCCAGAAAAGTCAAAACGTGGGACATCTGAGAAAACACTAGGTGCATCAACATCTCGATGACGCCTCCGATATACCAGACAAGAAACACCCGGCTGCTTTTCCCCAGATCGTATCTGAACGAGACACCCAAGTAGATCATAGAAGCGCAGAAATGCAGGATAGCGGTGAAAATCATAGGTCGTTTACCATCGGCATACTTGCGGATCTGGAACGCGACGGTCGCGTACTGGAGAAAGAGGACGAATCGAGACACGGCAAGGAATAGCGACATCGTCCTGAAGATCGACACGATCTGGTTGTCCGGATCGAAGCTGGTACCGATCTCGGCGAATCCAATCATGACACCTAGGTGCACGGCCTTGCAGCAGCGCTCCCAGATGCTGTCGGCCGTGAACCGTACATCGTACAATGTGGTTAGCCCCCATGTCGTCCACAGGAGACTAGATAGATGTCGTGTTAGGCGCTGTTTCATAAGTAGCCGATGGGTGGTCCACTTACACCATATACCCGATGAAAGAGGTAAATCGAGAGAAATCGGAGATATCATGGATCTTGGATAGAAGTTTAGTATCAAGTAGCCTATGGCGAGATATGAGATGCATATGGGGAACGCACGCTAGTGAAGACGTTTAAGTTGGCCACAAACCACAAGTCGTAGAATAGCTATGATAAGTGTCAGTCGCAAGAGGGCAGATGAGCGAAAGATGAGTTTCTCGGCGAACCTCAAAATTGGTAGCAGCTTCGGGCTAGTGGGTATCTGTTAGTCCTGCTCAAGCGAAAATAGAGTATGTGAATGCTCACCTTAGAGAACTTGGGAGTATCGTGTGCCCCATCTTTGGGATTGAGCGACTCCGTCTCATCGCGGGAGTGGGCTAGTTGATGCTGGTGTTGATGTTGGTGATGATGCGTAGGAATAACACGGTGACCGGTCATCTCAGGCTCGACGACCCGGGAACCCAGCAGCTGCAGCCGGCGCCCGGCATAGTCGAGATCGTGTTGTGTCATCTTGCGGAGTCTCAAAGGCCTCGGAGACGGACTCTGTTTGGACTCTAGACTGCTAGACTGCTTGAAAAACAAGCGATCGACAAAAGGAAGGAATGGGTTGACCAGCAAAAGAAGTGATCGAAATCAAAGCCAAGAAAGGCGGTTCACCGCGAGTTATATCACGACTCCAATGACCAATGTGCTGTGCTGGTGCCCAGCCTATGGGGCGGTGTTCCTGCCCTGCGTCGTGCCCATCAGCATCGAGTATCCATAATTCGGCTTATACCTATGTGGGTACCATGCTGCGTTGTCGTCGTTCTTGTTCAGTAAGGGACGGGAGCCTCATGTAAAAGTCTTCGTGCGGCCCTGTCATGACCCATGCTGAAGTGCGTTCTATCCTAGGCCTGTACATATGCAGTGAGGCCATATTTTGACACGAAGCCACGAGATGAACTGTAGCGAAATGAACAGCGACTAGGTTGATATGTACCTAAGCAGCTAAGTGCTAAGCTACCTAGAATCTAGATAGGGCTGATGGTGGCGCTCGGCAGAGCTTGGCCAAAAACATACCTGCGCCCTTGGACCGGCTTGGGGGGTTATGCTGGCGCCACGGGTTGGCCAATTCCCACGTTATGGATATGGGGCGAGCGGTCTGGCCTATCAGAGGCATTTTCGGTTGGTGATCTACCGCAACATCCCTTCTTTTTGGGTAGGAATACAACAGCTAATGCAGCTGCAGTCAAATCCTGACTCAGGACTTTAAGTGAACTGACCGAACTAGATCCATAGTGCGATCTTCAGCTCAGCTCTCCAGAATAAAAACATAAGGTTATTTCAATGTTGATTGATGAACCACTGCACAAAAGAATCCTAGCTGCTGTTTCTACTTCTTCACCTAGTCAGCTAGTGTAGTCAGTTAGTGTAGTTGTCGAATGCCTCTAAATCTAGCGCGTGAGTTGCCAAGCTCTTTAACTATTAGCAGATTAGGGGTGCCTATTTTTACATAGGGGATATGTACGGCGTATCTGTAGAATTATCACACTTCCCCGAGATGAGACGGACTGATCGTTTCTTGGCGGCGAAGAGCGTCATCCGGCGCTGATTCCATCCACCGTCGGTACTCCGAGATCTACAACTTAAAGTCCGAGACGAACAACCAGCCACGAATATTCCAAACAGTTGACGTATATTATTTTATAGATTCGAAAGATAGGCGCCGGCACCGCCGAACTAACCTATGAAGCTATTTCGTATCTTAAAACTCAGCCATTTTCTTCTATTTCCCATTTGGTTAACAGTAAGATGGGCAGTGCGGGTCTTCGCAGTCTTCGCAGTAAGTGTCTTTGGCAAAGATCGGCAGCGCTATCTCGGTCTTCGCACAGGCCTTTTGTCTTTTCCCACCCTTGTAGCACAGTTCAATTTCGTACTTCCACTCTCCGGTCTTCTCGTCGACGAATCGACATCCGCACATATAGAACCGATCGTGTCTCTTGCACATGTTTACATACATTGTTTTATGACATGCTTATCCGACTGGCGTCAGACGTTGTTTTTAAAAACGCAGGCAAGAGATTATCGAAATCAACTGTGATTACGGGCGTTTCATGGGAAAGGAGTGAACAATAAAATCTCATGTTAACCCATGTAAAACAAAGGTATTTCTTGCTTTGTGCCGTGCACAACATAAAGTCATTCAGTGTCGAGGGCGTCAAGGCCAAAAGGAAAGTCCACGTGGGTTCCTTGTTCCCAGAATAAGTGCATTGAACCACCCGACTACCATTCTCTAGCTACCTTTCGGCGTTCAATAGCGGGATATCTACCAATGTCGCTCTCTGAGGCGATGAGGTATTTGCCACTCGGAATTTTCGATTATCGCAAGACGAATGATGCTAAACTCGCCACTCATATTCATAGAAAGGCATTGTGGCTTGCTATTTGATGTGAGATTAGGGGGCTTGATGACCTGGCAACACAAAAGACCTGAAGACGTGTAAGTCATTGCAATACTTTAGTAACCTAGAACTCAGGCGGTGCTATGCCAATGAAGGATCTATTCTCCCCCATTCGCTCGTATGATGCTCAAAGATCAACACTTACAAGCAATGAAAAGAATGGCTGTAGTCACCAAAAATTTACTATTCGTTGACCCTAACCCTCAAACTCGGTGGAAATGAATGCATGGCCATCGTGTTTCATTAACAGCCCGAGGATAAAGCTCAATTTACGGCTACCTACATGCCTTGGTAAATATCGTCCCGCGGAGGTTTTTCTTGTGATTCGCATTATCTTTGTGTTTTATCCTTGTTGATCACAATGGCAATATGGGCTTTAAAGGAACTGTCACTTTCAAGACCCCAAACATAATGAACAAGTAAACATTTTAAGAAAAACATCACCTACACATTTAGGGAAAGAGAGAAAGTCATCAACTATATTCCACTCTAACATCTCCTCACTATCTCACCTTACATCATGTGTCATCAGGTCAGAATAAATCTAGCATGCGGATGCAAAACGAAGCCTTACATCGTTCGCTGCGTCGACGCAAAGGAATGCATTAATACGGATTTTGAGACCGTTGAGCGCAAGTCGATATGCTGGTGCAGGAAAGAGGATTGTCGGTACCGCGCATACAGGCGCTTAAGCCGTCAGATGAGGTACCTAGAAGAGGACATAGCGTGGCAACAGGCTGCGAAGGACTCGAAAGCTGCACTGAGGAATCGAGTCAGCCGAAAGTAAATCACAGTTGGTACAAGGCATGGGCTTGTAAATAGGTAGGTTTTCAAACGAAGAAAGTTCTAATGCTTTTGTGGCTATATTATGCGGATATGTCTGATGCAACGATTTAAGTACAAGTAGAATGCTAAACTATACGGGTATACGCAGTACGAATCCAAGCTCTCTAAATGAGGAAGCTTCCCAAAATCTGGGAGGCTATTAACACCATACCGCCCAAGGTTACAGCGGTCTGTGTTCCAGCATTGCCAGCCGGCGTGTCTGACGAAGTAGTGCCCTGAGAGGTTCCGCTGCTACCGCTGCCGGTGGTAGTAGTATTTCCAGCGACGGAACCCTGAGCAGGCAGGATGCTGGTTAGGGCACTTAGCACGCCCATCTGCTGGGCGGGGCCTGTCTTGTTGTCGAATTGGCCGGAGCTCCAGTGGAAGCCACAGAGGCGACCACTGCTGCCGCCCGTGCATTGCGCCGCGGCGCTCTTGGCGCTGGATTTTAGCACGGGGAGAACTTTAGCGGAGGTGTACGGTGCCAGCTGGATGGTCGAGCCGAGACCTCGGTGAAGGAAGGACTTGTAGAAAAGCATGTCCGTTGTGCACAAGTTCTTTAACTCGCATGCAGTTTCGACTGCGACGCCGTTAGGGAAGAAAACCTCGAGGGTTCGGGAGACGAGTCCGTCGACGCGCTTCTTCCAGTCGTCATTTCCGTTGGTCTATTATACTGGAGTCAGTATATGGCCGGGTAAGTTTTGGGTGATTAGTATGAACTCACATGATTGTACATAAATGCCGAACCCTGAAGGAGCATCGCGGCGTTGATTGAGAATGGCCCCTTGTTGAGGGACTTGCAGTTCTGCGCTGGTGCCCCGTCATAGACGTCGTATTTGTCACTGATGAAGCCAATATCTTCAAGCAGATCGTATGCATCTTTGGCCGCATCCTCGTATGTCTTGTTACCAGTTATACGTGCCAGCTGAGCAGCAATGTTGAAGTAGAAGATGTTAGCGTTAGCTAAGATTGAGTCAGTAACCAAGGCTTAGTCACCGAGTAGGGATAATGGTTCACTAACCGGCAATATAGTTGTAACCATTGTTAGACGGGAATATCTGCCACCTCAGAGCCCCATCGCAGTCACCATCATCGACTCGTCGATCGTCCGAGTGGAGGTTCTCGAAAACGTTCTTAGCCAATGTCAGCCACTGCGGGTTATCCTGGCCCGGTTCTTGGAAACCAATTCCCTCAGCCCCGACGGCAGCAAGACCCCAGATGGCCTGATCATCATTGCCCATACTGGAAGTCCAGTTAAGGGGCATATAGTTATCGTTGGGGCCTATCTGGAATATGAGGCCCTGCGAGATGTCCTGGTCGTACTTCGTATCTCCCGAGCGATTACGGTAGTCCAATAACGAACTCCAAAGAGCACCACCAGTCCACCAGTAATAGTCTCCATCTGGAGGTGCAGAGAGGATTCCAATAGGTTCTCCTGGCGTATTTCCGGGGTAATAAGTCATGAGATCCTCCGCCACTAGAGCCGCCGCTGCTCTGACAGAAGCTATCGACTTGAGTAAGCACTGAGTATTCTTTATGAGGGATCTTACTCTTTCCAGGGGCACCAACCTGCATCTTCAACATCAACAGTAAGACCTGCGAGCGCGCCATTGGCGGCTAGCAGTAGACGAGCCAGGGGATTAGACGGAATCTTCGCCATGTTGACGTTACAATAGAATATCCACGTTAGGTACCAAAATGAGCGACAAAAGGTAAGTTATAAACGAATGTAATAGCTGCCAACACGCTCTTCACAGATCAACGAGACGAATTTCAGTGACGTTGGCAACGATGGCCTAAGGTTGGATGCGATCAACTTTTTCTCTCAGCCCTGGGGACACGCCCTAGTATATTAGCTGCAATTTAGCCCCTGCGAGTCCTAGAAATTCAATCTCAGCCCAATTAGCGGTGGATCGTGACCCTTGTCGTAGATGCCTACTACGTAGCTAGACCAGATTCGGGCATAATACATGGAGCCGCACGGCACAGCATACACAGCCACTACTTGGCTACTTGGCCAGCCAGTCACCAGGACGCTTTCGACCCCTTAGCAGACTGATTATTAAATAAGCTTAGCAAATCCGCTTCAATTGGAGTGAAGCCGGTGTCACGATGGTGCCATTATTTTCGATTGTCGACGAGATGGTATCGAAAACCAGAAAAACATTAGGCAGTCTCCTAGTAGAATCATGACCGTGCCTCATGCATATGCATATGTAGCATGTTAAAGTAGTAAGAAGAGTGAATGTTAGACGTTCGGGCAGGATCAAATTTGATCGAGGATGGTAGATAGCTTACCGTGTCACATAATTCTCAGCACCGGAACATCTCATCAGATAATGATAAATAGAATGTGCCGCTCGAAAACAAATCATATTGCCCCAAGGGTATCAATACCAAGTCTATCCTCATGTCTACCGACCCTTAACCTTCCTGATGACGACCTTCCCACCATCTAATTCCCAGCCGACACCGTCCTCCGTCGTGAGTTTCGCCCACTTCGAGTCCGCGCAGCCCTCTAGGAAGTTTAAATCGACGCTTAAGTATGCTCTTCCGAAGCACTTGAGCAGGTGTTTTCGCATGCCTTCTTCGGCATATTCCAGCAGCTTCGCCTTGTGTCCGTCGACTCTCCTCTTCAGGCGGTTGAATTCCATATAGTTATCGTGTGCCAGCGCATCGAGTACCGCGTCGACCTTTGCATCTCGTAGTTGGTATTTATGTCGCGCGGCAAATGCCTCGGCTAGGTTGTTCCGCCTACACGCCGTATCGAGGACGAGATAGCCGACAACTTCACTCATTTCGACCGACGTCATACTATGCAGCGGCTGTATCCTGCGGAGGAGATGTAGGATGGCCGGATGATAAGACTCGGGGTGCCTGACTAGGACGGAGAGCCGGATACAGAAGAGGTAGACCTGGATTGCGAAATCATCGACACGCTTGGAGGCTACAATGCCCTCTCTAAGTTTCCTTAGTGCCGATAAGACTTCAGAGAGGCCTCTAGTATTGTTGGGGATAGTGGTTGGAGTTATCGAAATCGAGTTGGAGTCTAGCGGAGGAGTATTGTTTGTAGAATTCGTAGAGGGGTTCTCGTTGTTCGAGCCGGAGGAGAGGTTGAGCGAGGCGAAGCGGCGCAGAAGCTCATCACGTTCACCAGCGTCGGAGCAAAATGTCATGTAACGCTCGACTATTTTGGTGTAGTAACGCTCCTGTGTTTTGAAGTCAAGTAACCTAATCATTTTGTTAGAACTCCGGATAACTCATCGACAAAGCAATCATGATCAGGTTGATGACTGACCTACTATCACCTTTCGAAGGCAGACCCATTGCCTCCAATGGGTCTAATTCTACAGGTTTCAGACGACTCCATGGAGCCGAAGGTGTTCTGTTCCCTCGGGCGCCCCCGCGTCCACGCATTGTCAAGTCATATCAAGCAGCGAATATGCTTGAATGTTGTTGAAACTGTTAAGATTCTACGGCGCACAAGTGTTAACTGGTATGTACTTCCTAGGCGTTAGCGGGGCAAGTGGGAAGATAGATCACGCTAACCGTGTTAGGTTACAGCAGTGAATAACATGTGCGCATTGACCATTTCCCGATACGTCAGTCCATACTCGCTCCTATTGGTCCGAATCTAAACACCTTAAACCAGTACGACGAGTACCTCCGAGATATTCAAGGCATGCTCATTCATAATCCCAGAAATGAACTACGCAAGAATAGTAGATATAATCTAAGTTATTCAAATTTTTTACCTATCATCAAGGCTACAAAAACACTGAATCTTATGCTCTGGGTATGCAGTGCCAAGGTACACGGGTGATATGCCTGAGAGAAACAATGCTATTGACCCGGGCAGTCATAAACAAGGAAGTATTTTATCAACACAAAAGGTCCTTGAGAAACAATCCTTTCTCATAATTCGCCTAGGTCATTATGTCGAATATACTTAAAAGGAGTTGGAAACTTGAAAAATGGAAATCCGATGCCAACATATACCAATATTGCAAATTTCTTACATGAAGCTCAAGGAGTTTGACAAATTGACGGAAACTAACCAAAAATTTGACTCAAAAGTATTTTGAAAATATTAGATGCTATGGAGGTCCTTCAAGCATTTCGCCCCTTACCTCGAGGTGTTTTCAAAGTGCCTAAAGCGGTAATTCAACACCAACCGAACCCAAGACAGATGGATGTTGCTCAACACATGGCGATGGGTGGTATGGTCATAGAGCGTGACGATGATGACCTTCCCGTTGAGTTTGGGGGGGAAATGCAAACCTTACGGAACCAGGAAATGGAAAGAGATCTCTACCGTTCTTATTTTGCACGCTTCGATAATTTCATTTATAGTCGTCCTGCTAAAAGGTATCTCGATGATTTGAATACCAACGGTTCTAGTAGCGCCGACAACTGTAGTGGTGACGTGTCAGGGGAAAGCAATTCTAACATCATAATCGGTGACGATAACCCCCTTGCTCTCCCAGGTCCGAATCGCATCACAGTCGGCGTTGAATTTGAGTTATCGCTCGCTGTGTCGAGGAGCTGGTCAGGCTTACAAGATCCTCATCCAAACGATGGTCGATGGCAGAGTGAGAATCTCATACCCGAAGATGAAACGGATCCATTCTATCGCCTTTCGCTCCGTAATCTGGTAATTGACACGCTCAGACGACACGGGCTGGTAGCAAGCAAGACGAAGGAAATGGAAATTGGACTCGATGGCGGAGAAAGAGGTTGGCTACAAGATCTCAATGATGGTAGATCCTGTCCGAACCTACCAACACTGATGCTTTGGCAGCCATATTATCGGTGGGACCAACGGAAAAGCCGTTCAGAAAACTGCATTTTAGCTGCTCGAGATATGAGTACTCAGTTCATCACATTTCACGACAACAATGGCCTCGAACTTCATAGAACGAGGGACCAAACCATAGAAGACTTTTCAATCCAGAAACTCCCACTCTCTGTACATGGCCTAGATCGCAGTATCAGACATGACGAGCAGGTCAATATTCGTGGGGAGATAGCACAAAACTGGCTGGATATAATTAGACATTACCAAGATGGCCTGGAGGCAGCCGAGGAAGGGTCCGTTGATAGCAAGTGCATCCAAGTCCCCGGAGCAGACCCAAAGTATTTTTCGTGGACATGTACAGTCGATGAAAGCATGGCAGTTAGTGAAGTGCTTCCGCGACACTATGAGATACCAGGTGACTCAATTCTACCTCCAGCCAATCCATCCATCACGCTCATGCCACGTCCTCCACAGTTGTACAAATGGTGGCCAGGGGAGGTAAAATCTCCCATCTACGATTACGACGACCCGGCAACTTTGGAAACCCTACGCAAAGCTGTAAGTATTTTCGGAAGACAGATAAAAGATATCTCCCATTCCCTACCCTCAAAAGATCAATAGCTAACTTGTCACTATAGTGTGCGGCTCTTCGAAATACTTATCGGATTCATAAACCTATGGCGGTTACCGAAACGGGATTGCACATCCACTTTGGCCAGGAAAATGGCTGGACGCTTTTGCAGCTTAAAAAGGTATAATCCCCCCTCAACTGACTTAATCAATGCTAACTAGACGTGTTTCGTAGTTCACAACGTTTTGGCTGCTCGCGGAACAGTTCCTCGAGACACTGCACCGCGAAGAGCGGTCTAAAGGCAACATTTACGCCTTGCCTCTACGAGATTCCTGCTCAATTAGCGCCGCGCTCTTTCGACACGAAGAGGATCCTCGCGTCAGGGAAAATCTTCCTACCACGAGGAATAGAGATCCACAACGATCCTACGAGTATACCCAGCTCATGAATATGCATGTGCCAGTTGACCTCCCAGCGGAGGCCGATTTTCCTCAGGCGTTGCGGGAAATCATTACTGAGGTTTGGCAGTATGATACAATCACTGGCTTAAGTCATGGGATGACCTGTTCCGAAGAGGGAGACTACGGGTCCGTGATGTATCGCGTCAGGGGCAATAAACGCACCGGTAGTGAACCTGGTGTTATGCAGACACTGGAAGTGAGATCTATGCAGGGAACGTTAGGTATGTTGAATCGAGAATCATCCTTCCCTTTGTCTTTTTAGCTTGTCTGGGGAGTAAGAACTTTTTGGTCAAGCTGATTGGGAAGTTTTCGCTCCCAAGACACATCCCAAAAAGCCTTTGCACCCTTTTTTAATGGATAAATTGCTAACTCTTGCTATCATAACAGATGCCGATCACGTCTGGAGGTGGATGAGTATCTGCCAGGGCATGATCAGATTTTGCAGGGACTCTACCCCCGAAGAATTCAACGATGGGCTGCGGAAATGGGCTTTGGCTACAGAGACCCTAGCGAAAGTCATTGGAGTCCCAGAAGAGTATTTCGCATGGTTTGAGGAGCGGAAAAACGAGAGAGGATATTTCGCATACCCCGATGCAGACAGAGTAAACGTAAGTAACGTCGAGTCCCCTCCCCCCTATTCCCCAAAGAAAGATTGCTAACTCTTGGTTTCTTTTAGTGGGCTGACCCATTCATGGTGCCCGGGTTCGCAGACGTGTATGAAGGGCTCAGTACCCTGTAGACGACTTTCGTAGTGGAAGGGGAAAAGTAAGTCAGATCACGGTGAGTATCCACAGGTGGGTACGAATAAATTGCTCGTAGATAAACATTGCGTGAAATATGTACTGGTTCGTCTTGTTGACTGGTTGTGTCGGCTGAAAGCTATAGTAACATCAAAAAGTAAGTATTTTGAGAAATAGCGTTAATATTCAGCTGCAATCCATCGAAATAACCTAGGGCAAATGGTACTCAAAAGTGAAATCCAGAAACCAATTTCTACGTAGATAGTGAAGTGTCTTGATAAATCAAGTATCTTCGAGGGCAAACATCCTAGAAGCCGTTAGCAGTCAGCTGCAACGTAAATGCACGTACGAATAACAACAGTGTTATAATCTTTTGCCTGTATTAGTTATGAGCATCGATGGTACACAGGCCGAACCACGCAACCCAACGCCGAACTGCCCGAACCCTTTCACTTCCTAGTCATATCGTAGCCGGGGCACCGGCATAAGAAGCAACCACAACCCCCCCTCAAACCTTCAACCACAAGCTCAGCACACCCTTCGCATACTCCACGATCTCATCACCACCGAGCTTCGACTCTCCATACAGCCGATCAACAAACGAAATCGGGACCTCAGCAACGGAGAACCCCATAGCCTTCGCACGCACCATCATCTCCATCTGGAAAGTGTACCCCTTGCTCTCCGTGCTCTCAATGACCTTCTGCAGCACAGCCTTCTTGTACAATCGAAAGCTGCCCGTCAAATCACTCACACCAGGGCGGAGGACAGTGTCAGCGAACAAGTTCGCGCCGCGGCTGACGAACTTGCGCTTGAGGTCCCAGCCGTAGACGCCGCCGTCGCCGGCGTACCGCGTGCCGGTGACGATGTCGTAGTTACCCGCGCGCTGGCGCGCGATCATCTGCGGGATGAACTTCGGGTGGTGGCTGAAGTCCGCGTCCATGATGATCACGTAGTTGCCTGTCGCGAACTGCAGCCCGTGCACGTACGCCGTGCCGAGTCCGAGCTTTCCGGTCCGCGTTTTGAGGACGACGTGCGGTGCGTAGGCTTTGACGAGCTGCTCGGCTACGATTTGGGTTCCGTCTGGGGAGCCGTCGTCGATGATTATGAGTTCCCAGTTTAGGTTGCTGTGGGAGTGGGAGGGTTAGTTTGCTTGTTGCCTTGCGCGGTGGGGGGATGGGGGGTCTTTGCGACGTACTTCTCAGTGAAGGTTCGGTTGAGCAGCCAGGTGACGATGGGAAGATTGCGACGCTCGTTGAACGTCGGTAGGAGAACCGAGTATTTGTCGGTCGTCGCAGCCGCCTTTTTCGAAGCCATTATTGCTGTGTTTTAAGGAATCTTGGAGGGGTAGATCGAAGCGAAAAGGATTCAATTGGTGTAGACCGAGGTCCAATTCGATGAAATATTCGAGTATAGGTGAAAGGAGCGAACTTCAGTTGGCAATATTCGGTCGTCGGTCGTCGCGTAGCTCGAACAGTTCAAGGTTAAATTGGGGACTTGAATTGAACACGCTGCGACGTGACACTTTACACATTACAGTGGGTCTTAGAGGACCTTGTCGGGTGACTAAGCCGGATTAGCCCCTTTTTACCCCTGTACTTTTACTTACCCTCCACTATCACCATCCGCTATCATGCATCATTAAAAAAGCCAAATGATGCAAGAATCATCGAACCCTCTTTCCAAATGAATAAATAAAATCCCATATGTGTACAGTTTTTATCAAAACTTAAAAATTTTAAACCATGACGATTGCACTATTTTGAAGTCAGTACGAGAAATAATCCAATCCTATTGAAATACCTCATGAAGGATATTCAATTTGATGCGCTACATGTATGTCTAAAACTCATTTCTACGTCAAGGTAACACGAAAATCTACGGAGTTGCGGAGGTCGTAAGTACATAAAAGCCAAGGACACCAGTCCTCTCAAGCTAGCCAGCCCTGGAGCTTCAAAAACATCTCTAGCATCTAACCCGGGCACATTTATACGGGGCTCCCATCCTTCTTCTCCCTCGTGCTGGCGTGCGTGTCGCCGGTATGGCTTTTCCCAATACTCCGCCAGCTCTTCAGACTGCTAAAACTAATGGTATGGTGGAACTTGCGACCGCCCTCTTCGCTGCCCTGGGAGAACGCATCCCTCACCACCGCAGCGTCCTCGAGAAGTCTGAACTGTCGCTTAATCAATTTCCAAAGCTCCACACCAGCAACGTATATGAGAGTTGCAGCAACAGCTAAACTCCACTCCCAAGTGATGTCTATGTGCTTGAAGACATTGGTATTAACTACGGGGATGTAGACGACGGGGAAAACGCTAGCGGCACCGAGCACCACGGCCCAGAAGAGGAATCTGTTCTCGTACACGTCCTTGAATAGCGGGAATTTAGAGTCGTCATCCGGGTTGAGTCGGAACATAGACCGGCGGATATCCTTGAACTCCCAGGCACTGATCAGGATCAACCACGTCAGTTCGGCGAACACGGTAGCCCGAGCGCGAAACACGGGCTCACATCCAGGCGTGAATGCGCGGTTGCAGTCGACGCCGAGCTGTCCGTCGTTCGCGCCGTAGATGATGATGACGAAGGTCATGAGCGACAGGATGCCCATTAGCAGCCCGTAGACGAGCATGTCGATAAGGATCTGGTTCGTGAAGACGCCGCGCCGCCGGTCGTGGGGTGGCTTACGCATGACGTCGCGGGAGGCCTGCTCGCGGCCGAGGCCGAAGGCCGGGAATGACGAGGTCAGCATGTTGATCCAGAGGATCTCGAGTGGAGAGATCGGGAAGACGGAGAATCCAGATTGGTCCTGGAATCCGAGACCGCAGATCAGCAGGATCACTTCGCCTACGTTCGAGGTGAGCAGGTGCAGGATGAACTTTTGGATGTTGTCGAACATGCGTCGGCCTTCGCGGATCGCGGCGACAATGGAGTTGAATTTGTCGTCTGTGAGCACGATCTTGGCTGCCGATTTAGCTACGTCGGACCCGGAACCCATTGCAATGCCGACGTCGGCGCGGGATAGAGATGGAGCGTCGTTGACTCCGTCGCCGGTCATGGCCATGTAGGCGGATCGACGGCGGAGAGCTTCGATCATACGTGTCTTAGTATCCGGGGCGCAACGGGCAAGTACAAGCGGTAGCTCGGGTAAGGCATCGATCTCTGCGTCAGAAAGCTTATCGAAGTCGCTTGCCTTCTGCACGATTGCATTGGCGACATCATGACCAAGGATGCTGAGGTTCCGGGGGATAATGCCTACTTCCTTGGCAATTGCCTCAGCCGTCGCTGGGTGGTCGCCTGTTAGCATGTGCACCTACAATATCAAAGGTTAGCATTAGGTAAGTATTACAAGCACTGGATATCCAAATCACTTACCCTAATTCCAGCAGAAGAGCATTCTGCAATAGCCGGTGTGGTCTCCTTTCGTGGGGGATCATAGATCCCTGCTAGACCTAGGAGTGTCAAGCCGCTCTCAACGCGCTGGCGAAGAGCATCATCGCCCTCGTGATTTTCAGGCGAGCTCTTCTCTTGATACTTCCCTTCCCAAGGTCGCGACGCGATTGCGAGTACACGCTGGCCCTGGCTGGCAAACGTATCCATTTGTTCCAAGATTCGTTCCTTATATTCCTCGGTCATAGGTTCCTGGGAGCTTCCAGTACCAACAGTAGAGCAGAGATCAAGCACTCGTTCGACGGCTCCCTTAGTAAACACTATGCTATGTTCCATGTTCGGGCCATTGTATATCACCGACATGCGCTTGATACCACTATCAAAAGGGAATTCGGCAACTTGCTTCCAGCCCTCTGCTTCTTTTACTTTCTTGCCCTTCTGGAAACGGTGGGCGAATACTTGTAAAGCGATTTCCGTCGGCTCGCCGGTAACTTGCCATTCGGGCTGGCCATCCTTGGGTTCTGGCTCGTGCCTTACAGTAGCCAAGTTACACAGCGCTGCAGAGAGGAGAAAATCTTGTAGTTCAGGATTCATAGTGGCTACTTTCTCATTTTCCCTTTTAGGTTTAGAGGGATTGAGCTTTTCGTCAGGCACATCAAACTTGAGGACCGCCGCACTACGCTCCTGATCAAAGTCCCGTTTTTGAGTCTCTGGGTTCTGATCGTCAACCTCCGAAAACGTAACGACACCTTCGGTCGGGTCGCTGGGATGTTTTGAGTCTTTGACAGTATAGATTGTGTTGGACGGAATCCATACTTTTCGAACAATCATGGCTCCTTGAGTCAAAGTACCAGTTTTGTCGGAGCAAATGTTGGTGACACCGCCAAGCGCTTCCAAAGCTGACAGATCTCTGACGACGACATTGGCTTTGCGCATGACGGTCACGGCAACGACCATGGTTATGGTCAAGACTCTAAATAGGACGGTAATGTTAGCAACATTTCCGTACATTGGTATGTATTTGGGGGACTTACGCAACGAGAGACTCGGGTATGATGGCAATACCAGTGCTAATAGCATAAATGACAACTTCCTTAGGAACATGAAATTCGTTGACAGCGAAGACAATGACAGCAAGTAAAAGGGCAGAGCCGAAAAGCATGTAAGCTAATTTTGACAGCTTAATCTGAAGGGGTGTCCCTTCAGTCAGCCCAAGAAATTTACCAACGAAATCATATATACGCCTAGCCAGACCAATAATTGGCTGTCGCTTTCCGTATTTCTTATAATTCATAGAACGACCAGCCTTATGGTGCTTCTTCGCAGTCGAAGCAGCAATCTTACCGACTTCGGTCTGCATACCAGTAGCAATAACAATGCCCCGGCCACGACCTTTCCGGATAGTAGTCGTTCCGTAAGCGATATTGATTCGGTCGCCAATTCCGAGTTCCTCATCATCTAAGTGTTCGACTATCTTTTCGACAGGAACAGATTCACCAGTAAGGGATTGTTCATCAGCAGCGAGATTCATGGCCTCGAAAAGACGGACATCGGCGGGAACCGTGTCACCCATTTTCAGAATGACGATGTCACCAGGAACGACTTCAGCACTGCCGATTTCATTAATACTTCCCCTCAAAGTAATAGTGAAAGTAGACTTACTTAGGGATGACTTGAGTCCTACCATCACGGAGAACCATGGCGCTAGGAGCGGAAAGAGCTCGGAGAGCATCCATCTTCTTCTCTGCGCCATACTCCTGGTAGAACCCAATTGAAACGTTTAGTACGATGACAGCAAGGAGGACCCCTCCTTCTACCCAATCGTTTACAATGAAGCTCAATGCCATGGCAAAAAATAGGACCTAGCCACCTAGGTCAGTCATATACCATCATGTTTATTGTGGTTAGGGTTACATACCAAGATCATAGCATTGAACAACTGCTTAAGAAATATTTTGTACCAAGGAATGGCTCCACCAACGTCTAGTTCATTAGGGGGATGGATCTCTTGCAACTGCGTGACCTTTGCAGAGGACAAGCCTCTTTCAAGGTCGGTATCAAGTGCCTTTTCGACATCTTGGGCAGTTAAAAGAAATGGATGACGTTCAAATTCGCCAGCCATCGGAGTAGAGTCGGAGCTTACACGAGTATCCTCGGATAGAAGGCAGAGTCTTCATGGGTGATATGTTAAGCAAGTGTGGATTTATATGCTATAACTTATCAACTTAAAGAGACTATTGGCTTGATTCAATTGTCTTCTAGAAGATATTATACTAGAATTCATATCTTCTAGACTTCATCCAAACCTGGGGTATAGGTCTCTTTATAACTTCGGACGAGTGTAAGAAATCCATCCAGTTGAGGGGTACACGCCACCGACGATGCAAATTCTCCTGCATCCTATCGTAGGCGCCAAGTGAACTAACAACACTTATCACCACCATGATGGTTCTTTAGTATGTTCGTGAAGATGATAAGTCACATTGAATGATGTTTAGTCCCATATTCGAGCAAGCGAGTATCTGCTATTGGTCGAGGTGGGCAAAGATAATTGGTATAAGCTTGGTCCCAAGACATGCAAACGTCAGAACTGGCTATAGATCATAGCATAGAACACGGATGAGGCTCCTAGACAAGAGATAACCGAGGGGTTTCCTAGAATGTGCTTGTAACAAAGCTTGGCCCCAAGGCCATCTAAGCCTTGGCCTGTCAAGACCAAGACTTGGCTTAAGATATAAGACCATTTTTCAAAGACTCAAGAACCCACGATTGAGTTGAATGGTGTGCTTAGGGTGGAGCTAATTGATGAATGAAAGGAGTTCTGCACGTGCTAGACATGCTTAGTGGTTCTATTCTGTCCACGTGACATAAAGGCCCCTCGCCTCAACTCTTGGCCAAAGTCTCTTGGCGGTAGAAGCTCGGCTAATCGGCATCCTTCTTTTTCACGATCAGGTGGTCCATGCTTTAAGCCTCTCTATGAAGCTCGGGCCACTTTTGGTCGGAAGAAATTCCCCAACCTTTCCCCAATCTTCTTCTTTCGATCAATCATCGATGCATCATCTCATGTCTTGCGCATAGGGATCAACATAAATCGACAAGTAAAAATATTCCTTTTCGGAAAGGTGGATCGCAGATCCCCATTCTCCTCCACCTAGGCACTCACCCGCTCTGCCCGCCCGCCTATCATGCCTTCTGCCATGAGCCTCAGCTGCACGTATGCGGTACAGTATCTAACGTGGTTAGGAATGTTAAGAATAGTCCTACACAATGTTACTGTTCAAACGATGCTCAATTGATTGAAATTGTGCAGCTGTGGCACTTTAAATGTTTCTCGTTTGTGTGCAAGGACATGCAGTTCGACTTAGTCGGCGGTTGGGATGACCAGTCAATAAGTCCGACACAGTGGACGTCATCCTAAGAAGCTGACAAATGCAGGAATGGCTTCGTCAGTCAATACAACAACGTTTGCGCTTACCGAAATCAAGAACAGGCCAGCGTTTGTTTCGGCCCGTCGTCTGTCTTGTCTGCCTTGTCCGTTTTGTCCTTATATTGATTGATTTGGGCAATCCGCAGACGGATAGATGGATGGGTGGACGAGAGCGGATGAAAGCAAATGAAACTAAGTAAAAGGTGGCCGATGTGGTTTTATTATTAATAGGTCGCTGATGTGCCGTACAAGTCTGTCCTAGCTTCCAAGGTATGGTCTGATCCATGATGGAATGTTGGGTAAATTCTACTTACTACATGCTTAGGAGTAGTGACTGGTATGAACGACCAAATCTGGTTACAGCTTCGCAACCATCCTGCAGCTTCCCCTCATTGGATCGGATGCAAGTGCTCCCTAGCTCCAGATATTTTTCCCCTTACTCCCCTGCTCCCTGACAGCCTGCCCGTGGCAGTTGCTATGAGATGTGTTATGTTTGTGTTCCGGTTGCGTAAGGATCTGGGAGCAAATGTGGAAGCTTCGTCCTCAAATAGTTTTCCCGGTGCCGTCGCGACTTCTGATTCGTTCGTGCTACTAAACTGTGAGATGGATCAAGAAGCTTGATCGACCTCACCTGGAGTTTCCTTCCCAGTTTCTAATTCTTTTTCTTCTCTTTTCTGTCAGCTCTTAGCAACATCTTAAACACCTCACTATACTCAACAACAAATTTGTATCGTAACATTGGATTGCTACGTTTTATAATTCCCATATTTCGTTAACGCCGGACATCCATATAAATCGCTATAAACACTGTGCGCAACCTTTAGCCTCCTCTTCTGACGTCATCAATATGGCCGAGAACAACTCCAGCGGCATCGAGAAAGGTATTAATTCTTTTAATTCTTCATTGCGAATGTCATGAAATTCTATGCGACCTTCATCCAAGCTCAATTGGGTTGTTCTGGGACATCGCGTGCTCTCCGCGCCGGTGCGACTAGATCGCGACATTGAAGTGGCACAGTGCACTAACGTTTTAGGACCAGGCGCAAATGGTGATGCGACAGTTCCCGAGTCGCAACCCAGCATTCCACCAGCTGCTAAAGGCCCCGTAGATGCAGGAGAAGATTCCACAAAACCGTCAATTACGACAGAGACCGCGAAACAGCCCACGACTGAAACTACGACTGATACCGCGGCCATTGCGCCTAGCTCCGAACCGGAGGCGCAAAAAGATGTTACCGGCACCGCGACTCTTTCAAAGGAAGAGTTGACTGCGAAGCTTGACGAGGCTCAGACATTAGCTTCTCAGCCAGAAAAACCGGTCGATTCTACCACCGCCCAGACTACTACGGACACCGCGGCAGCCGAAGCCCCGTCACTTACTAATGGTGAAGCCAAGGAGCCTCCAAAGCCGGTTACCGTTGAAGAAATTCATGATCAGGATATGCCGGATGCTGCTCCACCTCAACCTACTGAGATGACAGGGGCACTTCCTGTTGATGAACCGGCGAAGGACGCGCCGAAAGTCGACGATGAGCCTAAGATTGATGCTGTTCCAGCTCCCTCTGAGACAGGCAAGTCGGAAGTTAGCACCGGAGATAAGCGTAAACTTAGTGAGGCATCCATTGACGACGGTGATGATGCTGCCGAGAAGCCTGCAGAAGACGCGCCGGTTGAGAAAAAGAAGAAGACTAACGGAACTACTACCAACGGGCCGCCTAAAAAAGTTGGCCGACCTAGGAAAGACAGCAAAGAGAAGAAGGCAGTCCCGTCTACAGGAAGAACCGCAAGAAAAACGCGAAGTCAGGGAGCGGCCGAGTGAATCAGTTGTGATGGCATATGAAGGATAAAAATTAGTTCGTCATTCCCTCTTTAACATACATCGATTGGTGTTGTTTTCCTTGTCGTAGGTCTATGGAACCGAATACTGGGCGGGCGCTGTGTGGGAGTCACGGCTTCTCCGGAATCAAAAGGCAGGACTTGCAACGTTCATGCTGTTGTGTACATATTCAACAACCCCCGAGGATTAAAGAAAAAGTGTTAGATCCGGGATTTTTCTAACCTATTGTTTTCGGAATTACTCTTTCGATGTTAGCGAACGCTAGGGCCTGTTTTGCTTATTGCTGGTGATGTGGACGTCACTGTGTGATATGGTAACGTATGGTCGACTGATGATATGGTACCTGTGGTAGCGTAGCTCAGTTACTTATATCCAGCGTTTAGAAGATATTAAAATAAGTCGATAGAATGAGCTCATTGATTCTTTTGGTGTTGTGAATGTGTATGATTTAGTCATGGAATAGCGAAGTTTTGACGTAAGATGCTTTGCTCTTGATGTCCTCTACCTGCTTCATGATTGGAACTTAACATGTGAAAGAAGCGAAATGGTTTTGATTTCTCGGGTTTCTAACCACACTACTAGCGAGCCGGCTCTTAATTACCTAGTAAAGCTGGGTAGAATGTATATGTCCAGGTATCTCTACTATGTCTGTGAAGACCTCGGGGAGGAAATATCGAAGAGTTGCACAGCCTCAAATATTATCCGGTTTTAACAAGTGATGAATAGCGGGTTGGTATCTTGAATTACACGTATTATCCATGTGCTCGTTACCGTTGGCTATGTCTTAAAGAACATAACTAAAGTTGGGCTAGAAGATAGTTGGGTGTTTGACCTCTAGAACCACGCGCGAAGCTAAGGGTTAACACGTAAGCTTAGGGAGACGGAGGACGGAGGCAGCCATGAGTCTAACTACCCAGTGGTCTTCTATTATACAAGATGTTCCTATTATGAGAAGTTCAAGCCACATCTTTAGCGTATCTTATTTTGATCCTCTCTAGATCGTGTGATATCCTAGCCTTCACAGATGACTTATTTAGATTCTCGACTCATAGAGTGAATGTTTTGGATAAGCGTGGTTTTGAGAGTCAGGCATCTAAATTACCTGATAAGAGAAAATAGGAGAGCGTAGTGATATCTAAGGCTTCGCTTGTTCTTCAAGACTTGAATTAGAGCAAGCTTCAATGTTTATGGCTAAGGTTTCTTTGGATGACCACCTGAGTCAAGTGACGCGACCCTCGAAATAGTCTACTGGAACGATAACCGCTATGCAGCGGTAGTTTACTTAAGGCCGCATGCTCTATAGTAATGTTGAAATTTCTTATGCGAACTCGAAAGCTGTTATTCTAAATATGTACTGATAATCAAGAGTCGTAGGTAGGATATTGGCATGCGTACTAGATAGGTAGGAGGTACGTAGAGAGAAGTAATAGTGGTGCTGACGCGCTACGCGCCGCGATAGCACCTGCGCAACCAATACGACTGGATTGTAGCGGTCCCAGATTATTTCATGCTGGCACGTTTCATCGCTTGGAAACATGCGCACACCGACACTTGGGTTGGAAACGGAGGTCGTCGAGATATTGTATAGATGAATACTGATACTTACCTACTAGTTCGTAGTACTTTAGATTATGAATGGTCATAACTTCATACAATGTTCTCTTCTGAATTGTTCCCATGACAGCCATGGTTAAACTACGGCACGGCACCTCCGTGACGGCGCTGACTTGTGAAACATAGCGGCATTAAGCTTCCCCCATCGGCTTGGAATTCTTATTTACGAATGTCGTTAGAACAAGAGACTGAGGCAACCGGTCACGATGTCCGATCGAACCAACAAATCGCCGCATGTAGCACGCAGTAACTGTAAATGGCGATATCCCTCGCTTCTCATTGGTTGGTGTTTGCGAGCTTTTCAAAGTTCGAGATTTACGAACTGCCAAGGATGAGGTTCTGTGAATTTCCAAGACCCATTCCCGGTACCCTGGCTTAGGATCGGCGGGTCCTTAGCACGTTACAGAAACCGGTCCTTGGTATTTTCTAGAAACCTTAATGCCCTGTATCAGTCTATCGATGTTATATTTGAGTTTTGTGTTGGTAGATTGAGTTGAAGTTGTCGATCGTCGTATACCAAACTTGCAATTTGGATGGTGCTTCGAATGATTCACATATAAAGAGGCACATGATACTGAACGATGACAATATGACTTGCTCGCGAGTCGCGAAAGATAACAATGTCTTGCATTAAGAAGCTCGTATTCTGGAATGACCCCGCCAGCTCACCACTAGCATCTATTGGGTTATTTAGGTACGCGGCAGTATTGCCCCTAGTTGATTCTCAACGATGGGTTGGTCAAAAATAGAACTGAGGGTGGGAATTGGGTCGCCTAGACATTTTATTGGACACAGGACCTGGTCTCGACCTTCTTAAAGCTTGAGTTTGTCCAAGGGGTAAAAGTGGAACATATGCAAGATATTATAAATACCTGGTATATGCATCTAGGCATCTCTATATATGCTTGGCGTATGTGATTTATCGTTATTAAATAGGAAAAATTGAAAGGTAATCGAATCGATTCTTAGAAGATCATCCAACATAATACTAGAGTTAGCGATAAATAATCTATATATAAAACTATACGCGATGCTATCTTGGATATGTTGGTTTACACCCTACACGCGGACATATACTGTATCGGTATTGCTAGTGATAAGCATAATTGTTGGCTATCAAGTATCGAGATTACAGATGTACCTAGTATCTCAGCGATACCTAACCCTTCAAGACTCTACAACGAATTGTGAGTAAGTACCTAGTAGATAAGTAAGAATTAACGGCAATGTATGTAATTCATTGAAGAAATATTTCTTTGATTTGTATATATTACATAATAGTAAAATCAGAGACAATCGAGAACCTCGACTCGATATGATGAAAGCTTCACTAAGTAAATAAAGCCAACCACCGAATAATACATATGGCTAGGGTACCCCTAAAATTTTCGCAACTTGAGTCTTGAGAGCCTGAGCTGGTTAGCAGAATTAGTGCACTTAGCGCATCTCGACGTGTCCCGGATGGCGGATGCGACCTTTCGTCATTCTCTCCATTGTCCCCTGGACCTAGAAGAGATCCCAACAGAAGTCGTCTGTCTTTTTTCGAATTTTCTAAAAATTTCTCATATCCATGGAAACGTCCTACTGAGCACGTAACACTCGCTTCTTTACCTCTCCGCATTATAAGTGGTGATCCCTTCTTTTTCTACTCATAGGTATGCACTATTCACTTGCATAAGTGCCGAATAAGCTGTACCTAGAAGTCTTTCAGTGCTCCCTGCGATAAACGTCAGCGCCTATCCTGGATCTGATTCGATACGTTCCTCCCGAGGTCCTTCAGTTCCCTATCTGAAGCACGCACACCAGCCAACCTACATAATACAATACAACACTCTATCCCTTCAATCCCTTCAATCGTATAACTATTCAATCCTCGACTTAAAATCGCGGTCGCGTCACTCGTTTGCGCCCGCTTTGTGTGCTTTCCGCTTTCTCTATACTACGATTATAACGGCCGCCTTTGTTGGGGGATAATAGCTTGTCTTTTACCGGAACGAGTACTTCGCAGAACCGAATACGATTTGTCGGGCTTCGTCTGTACCCAACTCCTACGAGATCAATATACCTGGAGGATATCTTATTGTATATATTACGTTAATATCCCGAATGCTTCCTATGCGATTTTGAAAACGCTCGAACGACCGATAACCGCGGGGGCCCCTTAAAGGCAAGGAGGCAATTGTTGGGAACCACTTCGTCCACTGACCCTCTACGGGTCTATACGATAGGATGGATGTTTGGATCCAGGTACAGCACGTAACGTCTAGGCGGGATCTAAATCCGGCCGAAGAATTGTTACAGCTGCTGAGGAACCCCTTTAAACAAACGGTAAAATGACAACCTGATCTTTGATCTGTTTCGATTCTAGAGTATTGTAGCTAACCCTTGACTCCATATTAGCTTACAGATGGTGCTATATGGTCTGCCTTGGGCACGTCCGTGGGATTTACTGCTTTTATAGCTATCGCTTTCTCGTTCCTCCGACCTTATAACTCTGTCGTTTACGCACCGAAACTTAAACATGCCGACGAAGAACATGCGCCGCCTCCAATCGGCAAAGGCTATCTGGCATGGATCCCGCCCTTGTGGAGGACGACCGAGAAAGATATGATCGCTCACGCAGGGATGGACGCTGCAATCTTCATGAGGTTCACTATTATGTGCCGTAACATCTTCCTTGTGCTTGGCGTCGTAGGATGCGGTATCCTGCTACCCGTATACTATACGCTTAATAGCGACAAGACGGGTAACCAGAAATGGTTCATGAGACTCACACCTTCTAACGTCAACGATCAACCTATTTGGGCGGTGGTGGTTACGGCCTACCTATTCAACTTCATCATCATCGGGTTTATCTGGTTTAACTATAGACAAGTTTTACAGCTTAGACGGGTGTACTTTAAAACCAAGGAGTACCAACAGAGTTTATCTGCGCGGACCTTGATGGTCAGTCTCCTGTTCCTATCTTCCTATATAATTGTCAATTATGGTGTAACTAATCATGAGCCTATAGTTAAACGACATTCCAAAGAAATACTCTAATGATGAAGGTATTGCTAGGATCATTGACGATGTTATCCCTCACGCTTCGTTTGCTAGGACTGCTGCTGCTCGCAATGTTAGGGACTTGCCTAGTTTGATCCAACAGCACGATCATACCGTTCGGAAGCTTGAGAAGGTGTTGGCCATATATCTGAAGGACCCTTCAAACCTGCCGGCTGGCCGACCGATGTGCAGACCTTCCAAGAAGGACCCCTCTTTCACTACCTATCCTAAAGGGCAGAAAGTCGATGCTATCGAATATCTGACTCAACGAATTAGAGAGCTCGAAGTCGAAGTTAAAGAGGCACGAGCGAACATAGACAAGCGCAGTACTTTGTCGTACGGCTTTGCTAGCTATGACGACATTTCCGAAGCTCACAGCATCGCATACGCCCTACGCAAGAAGAAGCCACATGGAGCCACGATTGTGTTAGCGCCGAGACCAAATGACATTATTTGGGACAACATGCCTCTGACACCAGCGACTCGAAGCTGGAGAAGGATCATTATCAACGTCTGGATTATCCTACTAACGCTAATCTGGGTTGCGCCCAGTGCGATGATTGCTATTTTCTTGGTCAACTTGAGTAACTTAGGCTTAGTTTGGCCGGCATTCCAGGCCCAGCTGTCCGGGAATACTGGCTTCTGGTCCATCGTGCAGGGTGTGGCTTCTCCGGCTGTGCTATCTCTCGTCTACTTGGTACTTCCCATCATCTTCCGCCGTCTTTCTATAAGAGCTGGTGACCGCACAAAGACGGGTCGCGAGCGCCACGTCGTCGGCAAGCTATACGCCTTCTTCGTCTTTAACAATCTTATCGTCTTCTGTCTCTTCAGCACCATTTGGAATTTGGTTTCCTCGGTTGCCAACGATCCGCAGAAAGCTTGGGATACCTTGTCGAACTTCGGTGTAACCTTATTCATCTCTCTATGCGACATCTCCTCGTTCTGGGTCACTTGGCTGCTACAGAGAAACTTGGGTGCCGCCGTCGACTTGGCCCAATTATGGACTCTCATCTACAGCTTCTTCATGCGCAAGTTTTCGAGTCCAACGCCTAGAGAGATGATCGAGCTTACGGCACCTCCGTCCTTCGATTATGCCAGCTACTATAATTATTTCTTGTTCTACGCTACGGTGGCTTTGTGCTTCGCCGGTCTCCAGCCCCTCGTCCTCCCGGCTGCCGCGCTGTACTTTTCCATCGATGTTTGGCTAAAGAAGTACTTATTACTATACATCTTTGTCACCAAAACCGAGTCTGGTGGTATGTTCTGGCGGGTGCTGATCAATCGCTTCATTTTCGGCACGGTTCTCTCAAACTTGGTGGTATTTTTGACGGCTTGGGTGCATGGAGATGGAACCCATACGATGGCCTTCGCATCTGTACCTTTGCCGTTTATCATGGTTATCTTTAAAGTTTACTGCTCCCGAACTTTCGATGCCAAGATCCACTTTTATTCGACTCGCAACATCCAAAAGCATCCAGAGGGGGCAATGCCTAAGGATCCGTTGCGGTCGGTTGGTCTTGCTCATCGGTTCGGTCACCCGGCCCTCTATAAGCCTCTCATCACGCCTATGGTGCACGCAAAAGCCCAGAATATTCTGGCTTCTATATACAAGGGACGTCTGTCGGATGGCCGCGAAGCCTACTCTGGAGATACGATGTCCACGTCCGGCTATTCCGATGCCTATGTCATGAACCCGATGCACGCCGGCAAGCCTGGTAAGGTAGCACACCTTCCGGGATTCGAAATAGTACCGGAGTCGAGACTTGATTTTGAATATTATAAAACACGTGCCGAATTCGCATCTGAGCACGGCGGCGGCGATATATTCGGTCGCTCCAATGACATCATGCGCCCCGGTACACCTGGTAGTAGCATGTGGAACGGTAGCGAACCGAATTCTAGGTCTGGAAGCCCTACAATTCCGAATATGCCTAGAATGGATAGCCCGGGTAGAGTGTTCTCGCCCAATTCAGATATAGGCATGACATACCCAAGTGGATACTCTCAACCGCTAGGTAGTCCTTACGCCGTTGAGACAGGGCCCGGTCGCTCGCGTAGTCCATTATACTCACAAGGAAATGATAGTGCATCGAACCTGGTGGGAAATGCGGCAGCGATGCCTGTCGCCGCGCCTATATCTGGAAGAGAGCGCAGTGTAGAGCGTCCAGCCAGAGCGCCGGGTGGAGTAGGAATGCTAGGAGGTGGTCCGCGGGGGTACGGCGGTTTACCCCAAGAAGAAGACTTCGGCCCCGAGCACCACGACCCCATGCAATACAACTACTTCCGAGAAGCACGGGCCCCGCGTAGATTTTAGCCGGAGCTAATTTCTAGCGAGACGGGAAGCGAAGGAACGATTGTACATACATACGACTCAGCGTGAGATCATCAAAAAACATGCGTGGCTTTTGTTTATAGAGGGAGGGTGTTTTCCTCAGGCGGCATACCTTGGCGGTAACGGCGTTTTGCTTTTCCTCTCTCTTCATTTTTATGTTTCCTGTTTCCTGTTACAGTACATGGCTACGACGAGGGTTGGCCTGACGAGGGCGGCCGATGACGAAACACATTCCGATGCCGAGGTATACATACCTAGGCTGTAATAGAGAAGAAGAGACGCATGATGACGACTACCACCGATTTTCCTCGCGGACGGAAAGACGTCTTTTTTTCCGCGGCGATTACCACGACGACGAATACTTGTTGGTTAGGTAGATAGGTACTAGGTACATATACTAGGTAATATGCGCGCCGCCGCGGGAGCGATCGCATCGCTCCGGGCTGGGCCGGAATATTATTAATATTGTGAATATTTCACTTGCTGTTGCGACTTGGAGATTGGTGTTTGTGTGTGTGGCTGAATACCTATGTCATGTAGGCTGAGACGCGAGACTCTCGGCTAGGCTAGGCGCATCAAGTATGTCGTATGGATATCTAGGTACCTATATGCGACTTCCCGCGATGTTGTCATTTCTCATCTGACACGTTGGTTATCTGGCCTGCAGGAAGTGAGAAGTGATGCGTCCAACGGGAGAGAACATGTAAGTCTATTGGTATAGCCTGTTTCGTGTCTCATGCTTGACAAATCAAGTTCTCACGACATAATAGATCTTTTTCTTTTTTTTTGTGTTTGTTGGTCTACGGAAACGCGCCCGAGACCTGGTTAGGAACCCCGCTCGCAACCTAATGCGCCCATGTAAACGCAAGAAGATGAAAGAGGAAGCGCGGTCGATAACAGCTCTACATGGAAGTGACTCGAACCATTTAAGACGGCAACTGCTACCTACCTACTAGGTAAGCTAGCAGTTTCTCATCAACAGAATGTTTTCAAGGCTGCCCCCTTCCGTCTAATTCATATAAGTTATCGGCTAAGTTTTCTATGTAGAATAGGAAATCCTTTAGATTTATATTTTCTTCATGCTAGGCATTAGTTTCGATTTTGAAAATGCCTAAAGTTCCATACGATATGTAAGTCTGTTACTAAGTAAGACCATGTATCTGATGCTAATTATATGCGATATACAGCATCGCGGCTTCGAAGCCATTTCGGTTTCTCATTGGGCCGAATAAGAATGAGTGCTTCATGCACGCCGAATTAGTCGCACGAATGTCTAAGCCACTAGACACATTAATCAACGGCAAGTGGGTAGAGAATGAGAAAGGCTTGGTCGAGTGGTCCGAGATCGACGAGGGAACCTTCGCTCGCTTCTGCGAATTCGCCTATACAGGCGATTATCAGGCCGCAGCACCCGTCCGCGTGGCGCCTCCTACACCTCTGAGCACAGAAAATGGTATGTTGTTGAAATCTTTCCAGCGTCCTTGAAATTTATATTCACAATAAAAAATAACCACGATAAATTACTTATGAGGGCACTGACTGAAGGCATGTCAATAGTAGATCAAATCGCGATTAAACAGATAAACGAGTCTTGGCTATTATACAACAAGAGAATGAAGACGAAGACGGTTACTTACGACTACTCCGAAGTTTTTCTATCGCACGCTCGTTTATACGCTTTTGCCGACTACTACTCCATCGAGGATTTGATGGAGCTGAGTATTCGGAAATTGGACGAGCAAATGGGATGCTTCAACCTCCATAACGGAGGGAGGGTAACTGATGTTGTCCAGTTGATCGACTTCTCGTATAAGAACACACGGAGTGACTCGGTTAAGCAAGATCGATTGAGAAACACGCTTTCTATTTATATCGCTCGTCATATTAAGGAGCTTTGGCCGAATACTGATTTCCAAGGCATTTTGGAGTCAGGGGGGGTTGCGAAAGATGTAATTGAAAAATTAGGGGGTGTTTAGGACAATAATCTTTTTTTGATTTACGGGTCCATAGTGGAGCTTCAGCCATAAGTTCAGCACTGCGTTTGTATGTATCAGTGGACTGAACCTTGCAGCCGTGTTGAACTGAACTTTGAACTGACTGAACTGATTGAACTGAATCAATTAAACTGTTGATTTAATTGTTGATTGTACTGTTGATATATGAGGCTATTTACACTTTCTATAAGCTGACAAGGTTGTGAATAGCTTCATTTTTACTTAGGTAATAATAAGTACCTAGTAACTTATGAACTTATAGACCACAAACGTTCGAAGACTTACCAACATGCAGATATACGCTGATTGGTCTAAATTATAGTGGATATTAACCCATAATCAGGATATACTTTCGCATACTTATGTGCCAGTGTGTCACGGACCATAAGTAAGAAAAAGATTATCGTCCCAAACACCCCCTTACTACCAAGTTTGCATGAAGGTAGTAACGGGGAACCTAGACCTACAGGTAGGTAGTCAAACTAGTACCCAATTCTGGCAATAAGGCAGGGGCAGGGGTCACGGGTAGCCCCTGTAGCTGTAGCCCTAACTTACATAGTAATATGAAATTTGGCGGGGAATCAGATATTCGTAAACTTGGGCATTCTTATGAAATATTTAACGGGTGATCATTTCGATATAATAACCCTTTGTAAACTCAACAGTCAAGGAGAAAGTTGGTTCCGATGCAGCATAATACTGGGTAATAATAACCCTCGGAGCGCGGGCATGTAAGGCTCCAGCTTGGAATCGTCCAACGCATCCTCATATAGGCGCCAATGCTACCTACCTAGGAATGATGGCCCCCAAATTTGGAGAAGCCATAGGAAACCTCGTCCTTTCAACTTCACGATATTTTACAAGACCCGTTCACGCAACAACATGACATGGATCCAGTGAGCGCGATCGGTGTATCAGCTGCCGCTTTACAGTTCGCCGAAATCACTATTAAAATTACGAAGCGCATTGCCGTCTTCGCAGTCTTGCGTGATGTACCAGAAGATGTCGAAGGACCAAAAGCCTTTATCGAACGCCTGCGCAGTCAGCTTGGCCTTCTCAACACCACCATTAGACGAATCGAAGAAGGGCTCCCGAATTCTAACGAAAGCTTACAAGACAACGAACTGTTAGAGCTCAGGAATTATATATCGAATCTCAATCGCCACGGCAAGAGGCTCGATGGATTACTCAACAAGTATCTTCCGGACGATGGTGCTTCGGTCCCAGCTAGGCTACTGGCAGCTTTAAAGAGTATCGCTTCTGATACTGAGATTAAGTCGGCGATAGATAGCGTCAACGAGCTACTCCCACTTTTGAACACATTCCTTCTCACTTCAATCTTCGCCAAAGGAAGCCTTGCTTTTAACCAATCCAGAAACATTGGGGCCGGTATGAGTTATGGTCTTGCACACCCAGATTCTAGTGCGATCTACCAGGTCACCCGCAATGAGGTTCGGCATTTTATTGATAGACCTGAATTATTCACCGAGATCGATCGCATTTTAGGTACCGGGCAGATACAGTTGCCTAAAATGGCTATATTACAAGGTATGGGTGGCCAGGGAAAAACGCAATTGGCCATCAGGTACTGTGGAAAGGCTCGGCTTGAAAAGAAGTTCCAATACATCTTGTGGGTAGATGCTTCTACCCGGGCCTCGACCGTGCATGGCTTGGAGGAGATCTCGGAAAGCCTCAACGACGGCAACCAGACCTTGTTGGACTCCGACGCCCGAGTGGCGTTTGTGAGGCGTAGGTTGAACGCTGCACATTTATCATGGCTCCTAGTATTCGACAATTATGACAATCCTGCCGCTTTCGATCTTCGAGAGTATATGCCTAAGGGTCCTCTTGGAAATGTACTAATCACTAGCCGAAGTGCAGATCTTGAGAGGATTGGTCCAGTAATGCGCATTTCCGGTATGAATGAAGAGGAGGCAATCAAACTGCTGTTTGCATTGCTTGATACCCCCAAGAATGATAAGAATCGAATAGCTGCCTCTGAAATTGTTAAGCGATTGGGTTATTTACCCCTCGCTATCGACCAAGCCGGTGCGTATATGAAAGCTGAAGGCGTCCCTTTAACAAGCTTCCTCGATCACTACGAGCAATCTGCAAGGGACGTCCTTGAGTCGGTCCCGAATTTGTGGGAGTACTATGAATCCTCTGCCAGTGAAGCTGTAGAGGGTATGTCCAACAATACGGCTAAAACAGTGTTTACGACGTGGAATTTGTCGTTTACGTTGCTGAAGCCTGATACACTAGCAGGTACCCTGAAGGTCACCATCCTTTCTCTACTAGCATTTTTTGACGAGCATGCGATATCGGAAGAATTCTTTGAAGTTTATTACTCTACGATGAACCCGGGCCAGCAACCAGAATGGATATCTCTCTTTGTTGATGAGGAAGGGAATTGGTCAAGTAAAAAGTTCGACGGTGTGATGAGGGCATTCCTACGGTTATCGCTGATCACTTCACTAAACACGGAAAGAGCGGATACTAAGTATGCATCCATATCGCTCCATCCTCTTGTTCGAGATTGGATCAATCTGCGCCAGGAAAAGAGCGTCCACAAGGCCAATTTCACAACATTCACGAGGATTCTAGCGGCTAACCTTTCGGCAACTTTTTGGGAAGATTCGGTCTTTCTTTGGGGATTTCGAGTATCTGCGGACCAACGGCGCCGGCTAGCTGAACATCTGATTCCCTGGATGGACGTATTTAAACGGCATAAGTCAGATCTACGGCCTACTATTATCTGCAAGGAAAATGAACGAGACTTAACGACTATCACTGCAGAACAGCTAATAGCTAAATTCTTTTTCGATGTTGACCAAGAAAAGAATAGCTATGAGCTGTCGCAGTGGCTTTGGGAGTCCTGCGATGTATCGGATAGAGCCATGCTGCGAGTTAAGTTCGACGCAGGCAACCAACAATTTATATCCCTTCACACAACAGATGAGGCGAGGAATAAGAGCCGAGAGAACTTGCAGTATTGGAAATCTGTGCTTGGAAATGATAGCTCGGGAGCTAACATGCTTCACGAGAGTCATTTAGTCTTCGTCACATCTTTAGTTCAAAGTGTGTACGTAGAAGATAAACAAGAGTGTATTGACACTTGTAAGGCCGAATTGGAGAAACTACCAAACGACGAGGAAAACATGTTACTGAGGCATCGTATACTAACCGAACTCATATACGCAGCACATTATCGTTACGAATACGACATATGCAAAAAGACGTGTGAGATCTTGTTAAATGAGACGGAGAGATGCGGCGGTGATGGCTATCGGAAGAAGATCTGGTCGCATAGAGTTTGGGACGCTGTCGTGATGGTTGTGACTGATATCTCCAGCGACCCAGAACTTGCCGATCATCTTAGCCTGCTTGCACTTGAATGGGCAACTGAAAAATACGGTATAAATCAAACTTCTATTGTTAGATTTCACCTTTCGAGAGCGCGGTTCCTCCAAAAAATGGGGAGGCTTGTTGAAGCTGAAACTATGACCCGCGACTGTATCGTGAATGGCGGGGTCAATCGCAACCACTACATCCAAATCCACCTGATACTAGGTAGTATCCTTAAGAACCAGGGGAGATTCGAGGAAGCATACGAAGCCTACAGTTCGGCTCTTTTACAATCTCGGGGGACAAACATAAAAACCGAAACACTGAACTTGCTAGATTCCTGCGGAGAGGCTGCTAGTTGGTTCAACATTGGACTTTCCGATTCCCATTACACCCTGATGCTGTCGCTTTCTAAGAAGGTCCAGAACTGGTCCAGCGTATTCTACGCTACGATCAGATTATATTGGGTCAAATTATATATTGGGACTGAGGTTTCCATACAAGATGCCCTTGCACTGCTTGTCGATACACTGACAGCGTATGGGATTAAATTCGTCTATAAAAAGGATTACAAAGAACCGACGCCCCTGAGAGAGATCCACACTACCATACACTTAGACGAACTGGAATTATTGCAACATTCAATTGAAAATGAGATGGTTCACAATTCTCTCATGGAGAGCTTTGGTGGCTCATGTTGTTATGGCCTTAATCTTTTAACTTACTTAGCAACGCGACTGCTAGAGGCTTCGAGTATCGACGCAGCCGAGCATGCTTTTCAACTCGCTTTCCAACTTGCTAAAATGGAATTTGATAAGAGGATGGATATGGACGGTCAACCAGCAAGAGTATTCGCCAGCGACATCTGTAATTACACAAGATTGCGTTTTGCAGTCGACAAAGACGAGCAAAGAGTACGAGACATCCTGGACTGGACGAGTATCCTCGTTCATAAACATGCTGAGGGTGGCATGGAAGGATACCACGAAGAGTGGTGGGAGTGCCAAAAGGAGCCTCTATTGGACCTCATTGAGACTCGTATACAACGTGCTAGAAGGAGGCAATCTAAGGCGATGCGGAAGATTTCTAATCGATTCTCGAACATGATGGGTTCGAAACGTTTCGATTTGTTTTTACGCCCATCTATACAGCATGGATTAACTCGCACAAGCGATATTGCTACTTTACCAGAGAGGCCGGCCGCATCACAGGCCCATAGCAACTCCGTGGCAGGCACATCTAGGTCATGATGGGTGTTATATGAGATAGGGAATATTGCATGACTTCTGGATGATATAGAAGAATCATAATGACCCCGTCGCTTCGCGGAAACGTCTCAGCGAAGACGACAAGCCCATCGATTTTTATTCTAAGGGTGTCATAGAAACTCTATGTCTACCTGGAGCAGAATGGGGTTAGAAAATGAGACCCATTTGCAAAATGTACCACATCGGACCAGGCAAATGTTGGCTGTGTAACAGAGGATGGTTTTCCTTGTAGTGCATTTTTCTTCGAGTATATACTCCCATCATTCATATTCCCAATATGTAACTACCTACGGTAAACCAGGACTCTGATACATTCCTTCCTTTATTAACGACATGATACCATTTTTTAATATCCCGATCATTAACATTACAATATATATCATATTCTATAACCATCCCATTTATCAACAAATCTAGCCAATCCATCAAGTGCCTTCTCAGCAATCCATGTTCCACATAAGTGTCATTAATTATCCCATAAGAAATTAGGTCTCAAAAGCCTGGCGTCCGCGTTCCGTTTTCTGTAAGCTCAGTTCCTCCGTAAACAGGGACGTTACGAGACCAAGCCCAGAGAACCCGATCATGACGTAGAAAACGGCGCGCATGGAGGTTAGGTAAGCCTGTACGACGGGGTCGAAAATGTCGGCGGGGAAATTTAGGGTCCGGAGCGTCGGGATGAAGGCTACGGCGTCGTGGGCATCCCTTAGCGCGGCTAGGGAGTCGGGAAGTTCCCCGACGGTCGCAATGACAGACCCGAACACGCTGCTGAATACCGTGGATCCGATAGCCAGTCCAACTAAGCCCCCAAGACATCGGATCGTGAGAAGCAGCGCGATTGCGTGGCCGGTGTCGTCGACGCTTGGAACACTTGCCTGCATGGGGATATGTAGCAGACGCAGAAGAGCACCGATGCCCATGCCCCAGATAATGGGTATCCCGTAGCGCATACCAGCAGACGAGTACTCGTCGAGCAGAAGAAACAAGCCGGTCCCCAATGTTACTAGGGCCCAGGATAACCATATCCTCACTTTATACCCCACGCCGGCCTTCCCGATCGCAATAACAGAACTGATAGCGCCGACGACGCTGGCGATGCTGGTGGGTAATAGGGATACCGCGGACACAATACGGGTCTGGAGCATGACGGCCTGGTAGAAGAGGGGCAGGTACTGCAGGAGCGTGTACAGCGTCATACCGTGGACGAAAGCGCCGCATAGCGTCACGATCGCGGTCCGGGAATGGAAGAGCCGGTGCGGCATAACCGGCGCCTCGGGCTTCGCTTCGTAGATCGCGAAGCCGACGAGAACGGCGAAGCCTAGGAGTAGTGGGAGGATTGTCTGGTACGAGTTCCATGGATACAGGGAGTCGGCCCAGCTGATAGGGAGGACGAAGAGCGTGCATCCCACGGTGAATACTAACATGCCGCTCCAATCGAGGCGCTTTAGTTTAGCTTCGAGGGTCGATTCGAGACGCTTTAGACGAAGGAAGATGAGTAGCAGTGGGCAGGAAATGCCTAGTAGCGGTAAGTTAATCCATCCTATCCACCTCCAAGTCACAAAGTCGCTGAACAGGGCGCCGACTGTGGGGCCGAGGATACTGCCGATGGCGATGGGCAAGGACATGATTCCGAGGTATAGCGGGCGTTCCTTGAGCGTCGTCATATCGGACACGATGATCTCGCCGAGAACATCGAGCCCGCCGCCGCCTAGGCCCTGGATGACGCGACCGGCTATGATAGCGGCCATGTTGCGGGCTAGGGAGAAGGTGAGGGATCCGGCGGTGAAGAGAAGGAAGCCGACGTACAGAGGCGGCTTGCGGCCTATGACATCGGAGATGCTGGCGTATAGGGGCTGGCTCACTACGAGGCCGAGGAAGTATGCGATTCCTGCCCAGAATGACTCTAGTGTGGTTCCGTGGAGCTCGGATGCGATGGCCTGGGATATGTCAGTATATCTCTACGTACATTGGGGAAAGGGGGTGGATGACACTTACCGGAATGGCGACCGCTAGAGTCGTAGCGTCTAGAGAGTATAAAAACACTAAGATATTGATGGCTAGAAAGGACATATAGAATCCCAGGGGTTTTCCCCGGGATTCCGTATTTCCTGTTGCATCGCTGTCGGTTTCGACTTCGATTGCTTCAGAGGCATAGGTCTCGCCCGGACTGGTCTCCGTTTGTTCTGTGGAAGCACCCGATGTCTTAGGCTCGGTGCTTAAAGACTGTTTTTCGCCGGGGTTCACAGCGGGGAGCGCCATTTTCAATCCCCAATGTGATGACTATCTGGTGTCGTACATGAAAAACGAAGTTGCACTTTAGCGTCAGCCACAAGGCGACGCGGAGATCGGATCCCGGTGAGTGAGTGGCTTGAATTGCGCGGGACGGAATAGCCAGTTGTCACGGACAAAATGAATGCGAAATTTGGAAAAGTCAATTAAGCTAGCGTCGGCATAGTTAATCTATAAGCGGCATATTGCCCCTTAAATGTGCCGCGTGAATTTGACTTGGAAGATTGAAATGAACTGATTGCGATGTTGGTTGATGTTGGTTGATGTTGGTGTTTTTCTTCGAATTGAGATCTGGACGTGCATTACTCCACCGAACCGTCGGTTGGTTGCATTAGCCATGCAGGATATTACCCCTTAAGGAAATACGCTAGGCCATAAATAGGTTTAGCGCGACGAGACCTAGGACTTGATCATCGCGGGTTCTTCAGCGTTTAGCGAATGCTTTTAGCGAAATTACAGAGGGTAATATTTATCTGGGGTGCCGAAAGTTCCGTTAGGCATCTACATATTTTTCCAAAATCTTGCAAATTTATGATATTTGAAGAGGCCTCATCATGAGGCCTCCTATCCCCTTAACCAGCAGATTTCATACCCGGGTATCTTGTGCTCTGTTCAACGGAAATGTGAATATCCATGGGTTACCTCTTTCCTGAACTTAACCGGACAACGATGTTTGAACAAATCAGTTCCTAATCCAAGTTGAATTCAATAGACGCCACCGATGTTATTTTACATCGTATCGGCGATTGTCGCGTTTCTCGGTTGTCATGCTTAGGGTTATTCATCTTTGACCAGTTTAAGCTCTACGTGTAAACCGTACACCGGAGCCAAAGTGATAGCGCCGCCTGCCACGACGTCTTTCTCGTCCATATCCAATTTCCACTCGAACCGAGAGATCAGCGCTGCTAGGAGACATCTTAGTTCAGCCCGTGCAAAAGTTTGCCCAATACAAGCTCGCGGGCCGTGTAAACTATAAAGATGAAAGTCAGCAGGTTGCCCAGCATATCCCATGGGTAGGGCAAAGTGTTGCGTACAAGCTAAGGAACTCATAGTTGCTAGTAGCGCCACCTGTGTTATTCGGGCGTCCGTCCTTCTCGATCCACCGTTCAGGTTTAAACTCGGCCGCATCCGGTCCCCAGAATGTGCGGGATCTGTTCATTAACCACGGCGAGATTAGGATTTCCGTGCCCTTTGGAATTGGCTTGCCGGCCAAAGTTGTATCTCGCGCTGCGATCCTAATGGTTACTGGGATGCTTGGATATAGACGAAGCGTTTCGTTAAGTACTCCATTTAGAAACGGAAGACGCTCTAATGTGCTCGAAATGTCTAACTTCCCATCTACTGACTTCTCGGCGGATGCAAGAGCACCACGGACTTCAGTTCGTAACTTGCTTTGTCGATCTGGGTCCAGGGCCAATAAATAACTTGCCCAAGTTAAGGAAAGTGCTGATGTATCATGCCTAGACAAAAGCTTAGCTCGACGTTCGAACTCTCTGAAACAGTTTGATGGGTGGAATTCCTACCCTGCTGCTAAATACGTGAGGAGCTGATCGCAGACAGCAGTATCTGAGAAATTTTCGGATTTGATAAGCAGTGACAAGATATCGACATTCTCGCCCTCGTTCTTCCGTATGGCCTCTCGTTTATCACTAACGAGTTGGCTACAGATACGCCGTAATGATGAGCTAGCGTGCTCGAAAGCTTGGTTCATCTTCCAAGGAAGCATGCGGACAAACCGAACCGAGAACCATGCCGACAAGACGAAATATACTAGCATCTCTTTGCTCGGATTGAAGATCGTTTCATAGCTTTCTACCAGAGGGTCATCCGAGTTATTGAGTGCATCGAAATCTCGTCCTAGCCCGGCGATGCCAATGATGTTAAGAGTGACTTTACTCGCCCAGCGAGACATCTCAGCCTTTCCGGTCAGGGGCTCAGTGGCCACACCACCTTCGGAGCACTGCTGTCTCACGTTTTCTTCTAACGCGTCGGTGAATGCGAGAGAATTCTTCCAGATCATAGGGTATAAGTCTTTGATGCGGCGGAAGCTGAATGCATTGAGACTATTCTTCCTAAGGAACTTGTGGTCTTCTCCCTCTGTAGTAACTAGTCCATTTCCTAATATGCTGCCGAGAAACTTGCGCATATTCTGAGGTTTCTCAAATTCGTACGAGTGATGCACCAGAAGATCTGCCAATACTGATGGCCCGGTGATTAGTAATCGGCTTTCAGTTATCTCTCTTAACGCCACGATGCCGTCGTTAGGTACATCTTGGATTATATCCAGCAGTAGCTCAGCCTGGGTTGTCTTGGTGGCCAGCCGGGCGTAGATCATCCGAGGTAGCCACCACTACATGATTGCTATGTTAATCTATGTCTATGTCTACTTAATAGAAAATTGAAGGACAGACCTTAGGCCTTGGAAAATTTCTCAAGGGACTTATGAAGTTAGGATATATAACGGTGGAATATACAAATAATATGGCATAGTTGATGGCAAATACAAGCGTTATTAACTTGATGATATTTTTGGGATGTTTGGTATCGACGTAATCGGGCAACACTTTTGAAATCAGCACAGATTCGATCCCGGCTGCAAGAGTAGCACCTTGCAAGCTGAATATCGATGTCGCCATTCTTTCGTTGGCATCTAGTGTCGATTTCGCAATGGACTGAGATTCTATGCTGATAGCTACTAGATGATTATGATCTTAGAACGATTCTAAGATGGCTTTAGGATAAATAAAGGGAATCCCCATTAATTCTAAAGGAAGGTTTACCCTACCTTCCTGTGGTATCGGTGAACCATATTCGCAGGTCAACGAATCCTAGATGCCAGCTATTTAAAATAGCCCCCACCTCCTACGCTATTCGACAGAATACCCTAGAAGCTACCTCAATATCTCAATATGTACTAATCTTGGGAGATAGGCTTTAAGTATATGTACCTGGTTTACCTTACTTGGAAAGATGAACGATGATCTAGTTAGGATAATCTTTCGTAAATGCGAAGATATAATATGTCGTTGGAATAGTATAGTAGTGTCGTTTCTATCCGCTAAATCTTGCTAGTATCTAGTCGGTCCTTGGAGCCAGCGTAACTTAGTGCCGGTGCTCGGGTCCCTGCATTAGTCTACTCCTTCATTCTATTCCGCATGTCTTGGACTTTCCGGGTTCCATCGTCGCTGCAGTTTTTATGTTGCGCTTGCTTATTACCATTTACGCAGCTCGATCGGATTCCGTGTTTGAGCAGGCGGGTTCCGTAGCCGACCCCACCAACCCCGCACTCAACCGAATTATTAAGTCTGAATATGATTACCTAATTCAAATTGATTATCTAATATATTGTGATTATGTAATAGATCATGATTATATAATCGCTTCTCATTTTCTATCTGACTAATGCTGCCGCTTGTTTATTTCAAGGTTCTACCCCTCCATAGTACATCGTCAGCTTTTATCTTGGGTATCAAGTAATTCCTAGATTTCGTTGCGGTTCCATACTACTGCTATCTGCCTCATACATCAGCCATCATAGCATATATCTGCTGAGCAGCCTTGGGAACCTTTGATTTTCCCTCGGCCCCTTTTTCGATGTCGATCATCTCCTTGGCCCATTCGCAGATTGAATTGGCCAGCAATTCTACCTCTGTTTCGGTATTCCCAGCATGGAACATAAGCCTAATTCTGCTCTGGCCCTTAGGGACAACAGGATAATCGATAGGAAATGCCGATATTCCTGATGTTTGGAGATGAAAGACTAGCCAGAAGTTATATCGCTGACGAGTCCAAACCGGCACTATATGTGTTAAGAAATCCCGAAACTCCCAGTTATCACTGATCGGAATCGATAGGATACCCATGTCATTCGCTTCATCCCAAACTTCATGAGATGTTATCGTCGTCAGAAAGTGCTTGACTAGATCCTGAATCTTCTCTTGAGACTATCCAATATGTTAGGCATTATATCAATGATGATATAATCAACAATTACTGACCTCTTGTGTCGCACCGGACTTTAGTAGATTATACGCAGAGCGAATCGCGGCTACCGCAGGGAAGGAGGGTGCAGTGGTGTAAATGACAGAGCGCGCAAAATTTAGCAGCGCCAATCTCACAGATTCGTTTCCTAGTATAACGGCTAGGAAATATGTTTTAGCTTCATGAACCAATCAATATAGCGATTAATTGCGTTCTTACCACCTGATGAAGCCAGTGCCTTTCCGAAGGTATGAAGTCGAATTGCGATTTTATCTTGTATGCCGAGCTCGCAAATGAGACCGGCGCCATTTGGTCCTATTATCCCCGTCGCATGGGCTTCATCTACTATGAACACCGCATTCTTCTTCGGACAAACTTCATCGGCGATCTCAATGAGCTCTTCTATGGGACAGACGTCTCCATCCATACTATATATCGACTCAACAGAAATCAGCACTGAGCGTGATCCATCCCTAATCATGGGCTGTGAATCTACGACAGATGCTAATGTATCCCTGAAAGAATCCACATCATTATGGCGGAAAGACATTCTGCAGAGAGCTAAACTGTGGGCCATGCCATCGTGTGTACTAGCATGGACGAGTTCATCGTAGACAATTGCATCTCCCGGCCTCGGGATAGCAGTATAGATTGCACCATTGGCTTCATACCCCGAGTTCACGATAATCGCACTCTCCGCTCCATGGAATTCGGCGATTTCCCGCTCGACCTGCTCAATGTAGTCATAGTTGCCGTCCATTAGGCGAGAGCCTCCAGCGTACAGAGGAAAGTCAGGGTGACGTGCAAGCTCCTCCAGGAACTCGGTGCGCAGTTGTCCTGACGATCCCAAGGCAAGCAAGTCATTAGAACAAAAGTCGACAGCTTCACCCGTCTTCCATGTGCTCTTCGTTCTCGTAGCCATGGCATGGTCAGCCCTCCGCACATCCAAAGCCTCTTCGAGATTTCGATAGAAAGTGGGGGCGTCTTTCATTCGTGGGGCCTTCGGCTTCTGAGCCTTGATCCACGAACCAAGGAACCCTGGCGATGACATTTTCAACAACCGACGTCTGACGAATGATATTTTGACCCCTTGCAGTAGGTTAAGCCGTATATGATACAATGGCGTCACAAGTAAACGAATCGAGGTATTCGGGAAACCAATTTCATACGAACTTGTCGAGTAGGGAAATACACCCCCGCTAAAATGCGAGTGAATCCGAATCCATCCCGTCTCGCTCGATTCGATCTTAGGTTACATTCGGTAGCGGAACCCGGCCATGATTGCAGCAAATCGTCAACGCGATTGGTTTGGTGGGTCGATGTGGACATTCCACTTCCACTCCCACAAGTCAGAACTCCACGAACCTAGGAATGCGGCTGACGAAGCTTACATACAATATCTTAGTATAACATTAGTTAAGCAGTGAAGAGACATCATGGGAATACCAAAGAGTCTACAAGGAAAGGTGAGGAGTTTTCCTACGAAGTTATATGATATTTCATCAAAGCCATAAGCTGATCGTGTTAACGTGAGGAACAGACCGTTTTCGTTACAGGGGGTTCCGGGGGACTGGGTAAAGCAATATCCAAGGAGTTAGCCGCACGAGGTTAGCATCAATATGCCTGAACTATCGTGTCTTCTTTACTTAACTTACATAGGTGCCCACATTACAATATTTGCCCGTAGAGAAGGCCCTCTTGAAGAGGCAAAAAAGGACATACTTGCTGCTCGCCTGAGCGAGGACCAGGAAATCAATGCAGTATCTCTAGATCTCGCCGATGCTTCAAACGTCGATGAAGCATTCAGAGCCCAGCCTCGAATCGCAGACATATTGTATTGCTCTGCTGGAGGGAATCACGCCGAGAACGGCTTTCTTGCGGACATTGAAGCTAAGGATCTTGACAATTGCATGAAAAACAACTATTATTCATCCGCCTATGCTGCCAAGTCGATTATTGACATATGGACTGCGGATGACAAGAAAGGGCCATCCGAAAGTGCCAAACCTCAACTTCGCCAGATCATCTTCATCAACAGTGCTGCCGCATTTCTCGGAATACCAGGCTCTATCGCCTATACGCGTATGCCTTTCCCTTTGATCTTTAGGTAATGAAATCTAATCTGTGCTACAGCCGCGAAATGTGCCGTCCGTGCTTTAGCGGACACCCTGAGAATGGAAGTTCTACGATATAACTGCCCGGCTTCAACCTATACTATCCACATCGCTTTCCCGGCCGACTTCGTCTCTCCCGGATTCGTCCTAGAGCAGAAAACGAAGACGCCGCTGACAAAGCGTATCCAAGGTTTGGATCGCCCCTTTGAAGAACTCGAGGGCCGCTTTCCATCGTCCGAGAAAGTTGCTTCTCTCGTTATCGCGGCGGTGGATAGGGGCGACTTCATCATCTGCGAGGACTCGTTTTCTGCGTCGGCTCTCTTTACTAATATGACTGGGCCCTCGCCGAAGAGAGGCCTTGGGATTGTGGATTCTATATTGGGTCTACTGGTGGGATGGGTCGTTTGGCCGGTCTTGCGGAGGAGGTGGGAGGCTATGTGCACGGAGGATGGCGAAAATTCTAGGAAACAAGCATAACGAAACCCATGATATTTTACATTTGTTTTGTTCATCACATGCAGTTGATACCAAGATAGGTACTTGGTGTTAATAAAAGGAATGTCTCTTGTTTCTAGAACCACTTGAAAACGAAGGCTATTAGTTGTGAAAGGAATTCTTCACATCGCTATAAAAATCAGGTAGGTAGATGTAGAAAAAAGTGATTCATTGATGTTAATATTTTAATTATACTGTAATGTAAAACTCGTATCTTCTATAATTATAGGCATTGCAGGTAGCACTTATTAACTGGGTTCCCCGGAACTTTTTGAGGAGGACGCTAAAATATTAGAGTTTAAGGTGAAATCCCGTTATTAAAAGCTAAAACGCAGTACTTTTTAAGGGATGCCAGGCGAACTTTCATGTACAGGTAGCGCTAGCATTATGGACGGATGGGTGGGTAAGGAATACTCTTCCAGGGGCTTCGGTAACGGAATCCGCGCTTATCAGGTACGGAGCAAAACCCCCTCTATGGGCAGGGGTCAATAGAACCTAATTCATGTATGGATTTGGTTTAGGAGGGGACTATTGTAATTTTATAGATCTATCAGATCTAATGATTTGTCCAACTCCCCTCCATGCCCAAATTTAAGGGTCTTCTCCGCGAAATTTCATAGACCTCCAGGGCTCTTTTTCCAGAGTGGGCAGCGCGGGACCATGCTTACTCCAAACACCACGACTTTGGATGGCGGGGGAATCGAAGAACATCCCGTCCCCAATGGGATAAAAGTTAATGGAAAAGCTACAACTAATGGGTCGCCTGTCAACGGAAACGAAGATGGCAAGCATTCTTCCAACGGCATAAAGACGAATGGATATTCTACCAATGGCGAATCTGTTAACGGATGGTTAAAAAATGGCCACCAGACAAATGGCCATCATGTCACCGACGTGCCTGTTAATGGCAATGTCAGCAGTGGTGCTATGCCCATTGCAATATGTGGCATGGCTCTTCGTCTGCCGGGTGGATTAACGACACCGCAGGAGTTGTGGGAATTCATACTCGCTAAGGGCGATGCACGCTCCAAGGTTCCCCAGAGTCGATATAACCTATCCGCATTCTATTCTCCTACTGGGAAACCAGGCACGGTTTACACCGAACATGGATACTTCTTGGACGACAGTGTCGATTTAGGGGCTTTAGATACATCGTTCTTTACGATGCCGCGAACAGAAGTTGAACGTGCAGATCCCCAGCAACGATTACTGCTGGAAGTCGCGAGAGAATGCTTTGAGGATGCGGGTGTCACCGACTGGAGGGGAAAGACGATAGGCTGTTATGTAGGGAACTTCGGGGAAGACTGGCTTGAGATGTTCGCTAAGGAAAATCAACAATGGGGCATGCACCGAGTAGTCGGCACCGGCGATTTCGTGCTCTCGAATAGAATTTCGTATGAGATGGATTTACGTGGACCGAGGTATGTGAACATCGCATCACTTATCGCGCAATTTCTAATTAGATGTCTACCTCTGTAGTATGACTCTCCGTACGGGATGTTCAGCAGCTCTTGTGGGGCTGAACGAAGCCTGTATGGCTATTTCTAGGGGCGATTGCGAAGCTGCATTAATCGGGGGCGTCAACCTCATTTTAGGACCTAGCATGACAACTGCCTTGGCAGAACAAGGGGTTATCTCAAAAGATGGTTCCTGTAAGACCTTCTCAGCTGAAGCTAACGGATATGCTCGTGGCGAAGCAGTCACTGCGATTTATGTCAAGCCATTGAGTGATGCTATTAGAGATGGAAATCCAATCCGAGCGGTTATAAGAGCGACATCACATAATGTCGATGGGAAAACTCCTGGAATGTCGCAGCCGAGTGCTGATGCGCAAGAAGCATTAATGCGAAGAGCATATAAAGTCGCTGGGATAACGGACTTTTCACAGACAGCTATGGTAGAATGCCATGGCACAGGAACAGCAACCGGTGACCCTATAGAGACCAATGCCGTTGCTCGTGTGTTTGGAGAATCGGGTGTTTACATCGTACGTATCCTTCTAGGGGATCATTTCCCCACAGGGGTGTCTAACATTAATTTTAGGGTTCATCGAAGCCAAATTTGGGGCACTCAGAAGGCGCCTCGGGGCTTGTGGCAATAATGAAGATGGTATTGGCCCTAGAAAATCGCACTATACCCCCTAATATTCGATTCACAACACCCAATCCAAAGATTCCGTTCAAAGAGGCAAAACTCACTGTTCCCCTGGAACCTACTCCGTGGCCAGCTTCTCGACTTGAGCGCGTGAGCATTAACTCCTTTGGTGTAGGCGGTGCAAATGCCCATGTAATTCTAGATTCCGCTGCTACCTTCAACGCGTCTACTATAACCCAGAATGCGCCTACTATACCACAACTACTATTATATTCGGCAAATACCTCAAAATCCCTGACGAGAGCCGTTGAGAATTATAAGCAGTGGGTAGAAAAACATCCTGAAAAATTAGCGGACTTAGCCTATACCTTAGCTTTACGGAGGGAGCATCTGCAGCACCGAACATTTGCTATCGCCAATAATGGGGTGGTTGAGAACGCTGCACCCCCTACCAAAGCGGCCCCGAAGCCCAATATTGTGATGGTTTTCACTGGCCAGGGCGCCCAGTGGCCGCTAATGGGCAAGGAGTTACTGCAGTCTAACGAAACGTTTAAAACCACAATACAAATACTCGACAAACACCTAAGAGCTGCAGTTGGTGACGCACCACTTTATTCTATCGAAGAGGAGCTTCTTAAGCCAGCTAGAAAAAGTCGACTTAGTACGGCGGAGCTATCTCAACCACTCTGCACGGCTATTCAAATTGCGCTCGTCGATACGCTTAAAGCATATGGAATTGCGCCAAATGCAGTGGTTGGCCATTCTAGTGGCGAGATTGCGGGGGCGTATGCTGCTGGGGCCCTTACAGCTGCGGAGGCTATCATCGCCGCCCACCACCGTGGCGCTGTAACAACTAAGCAAAAGAGAGCCGGGTCTATGGCAGCTATAGGGATGAGTTGGGAAGAGACGGAGAAGCACTTAGTCCCTAACGTCACCATCGCTTGCGATAATTCACCCAAAAGTGTTACAATTTCAGGCGACTTGAAGGAAGTTAAAGCTGTAGTTGCAGCCATCAAAAAGTCAAACCGAGATGTGCTGGCTAAGTTGTTACAGGTCGATAAAGCATACCATTCTTACCATATGGCGGAGATTGGAGAGGACTATATTTCGTTAATCGGGCAACAAGTAACCGGAAATGAGCCTACGATTCCTTTCTTTTCCAGTGTGATAGGCAAACTGTTGAACGGAAAACGCAACCTTGGATCTAAATATTGGCGAGATAATCTGGAGTCTCCAGTCAGATTCAGAGAAGCTGTTACTAGCCTGTTAAAACATGAAGTTGGTCAGAATGCTGTTTTCCTCGAGGTTGGACCGCATTCTGCTCTCGCGGGTCCCTTAAGACAGATCTTTACCGAGGTTTCTTCGCCCGCGCCTTATGTTGCGACCATGGCGCGCAACCAAAACTGCATCACGTCACTTTTGACCGCTGTTGGGAAGCTTCATTCAGTAAATGTTCCGATCGATCTTAAGTCAGTATTTCCAAGTGGTTCATGTCTCCCAGACCTCCCTCGGTACCCATGGAACCACGAAGATAGTTACTGGTACGAGCCTCGGATATGTAGAGATTGGCGCCTACGAAAGAACCCGTACCATGATTTACTAGGCTCCCGCTCGCCTGAGAGTACTGACATCGAACCTGCTTGGCGCAACATGTTCCACCTTCCCAATGCACCTTGGGTTCGTGACCACAAGGTTGGGGATGATGTGGTGTTCCCGTTTGCTGGTTATATTGCCATAGCCGGAGAAGCTGTGAGACAAATCACTGAAATTAACGAGGGATTTAGTATTCGACATATCGTTGTCAGTATGGCTTTAGTCTTGAGCGAAGGGAAGCCGACCGAGATGATGACTACTTTCCGCCCCCATCGATTAACTAATTCGCTGAATAGTTCATGGTGGGAGTTCACTGTCTCTTCCTTCAATGGCCACGTGTGGACGAAACACTGCACAGGAGAAGTCACAGCATTATCGGCAAGTCTCAGACCAGCGGCAGCTATTGACGAGCTTCCCCGAAAATTGAATGCGCGAAAGTGGTATGAAACGATGCGCAAGTCTGGGTTGGACCTTGGGACTGCTTTTCAATCCCTTGATGCCATAGAGACATCGACCAATTCCGAGAATCGAGCGATTGGAAGAGTGGTGAACAGTCGACAAGGAGACGAGGCTAATTACCACATTCATCCTACGGTTATCGATGCGACACTACAGATCATGAGCGCCGCTGCCGTAAATGGCTACGCGCGCAAGGTTAAGAATTGGCTTCCGACAAGTATCGACAAACTCAGCATTGTTCGATGTGCCTCTGACATGATCACGAATGTCTCAGCGAAGAGAACAAGCAACCACTCAATCCTCGGGGGTGGAAGCTGTACCGCTGGTGATCTTACAGTCCTCGAAGCCTCTGGTATTCGCATGACTCTTGCCGATGGCGCCCTTTCGAGCGACGGGGCCGATACTCACGCAGCAGCACGATATGAATGGAATTCTGACATAGACTTTTTAGATATAAAGGATTTGATTCTACAGCCGTTTGATCGCGCGCCTCATATGGTTCTCCTAGATGAGCTTAGCCAGCTTTGCTTATTATCTTCTCAACGAGCGCTCCCAAAATCAGGAAGCCACCTAGGTCACATACAGAAATATGTATCATGGATTGCTTCGCAGAATCAGACAGAAGGTTTAGTTGGTTTGGATGATGGAACCTTGAAGGCCCGAATCGAGGAACTTGCAACTCGTCTCTCTGGAACCCCTGCTGCGTTTGCGGCTACTGCTCTTCGCCAAACATCAAGCAAAATTGATGTCCTAGTGTCGGGCCAAACGTTACCGGATATTCTATCGGATGACGAGCTCACTGGTCTTTATGATTTTATCAACCAGACTGATATATCCACGTTTATCCAATCATTAGGCCACTCAAAGCCAAATTTGCAGATACTAGAGGTTGGGTCCGGAACCGGTTCGTCAGTAACTAATTTCCTTAAGAACCTCACTCGGCCGGATGGACAAGTCCTTTGCTCGAATTATACCTTCACGTCCATGGGCTTTATCTCTGGAAAGGACCAACAGAAACCGTTCCCAAACATGGAGTATGCTACTTTAAATATTAGCAAGGACCTCGAAGAGCAGGAATTTGGAGACCGTCAATTTGATTTGATCATTGCGTCAAATGCCGTTCACATAACTAAAAACATCCAAGAGAGTTTGAAGAATATTAAGAGGCTTCTTCGCCCCGATGGTCGGTTGTTACTTCAGGAGTTGTGTCCATCCTCGAAATGGGTCAATTACATATTTGGATCTTCGCCTAACTGGTGGCACGGTATTGCTGATGGTAGGCCGAATGAGCCATATTTCGATGTGAAGAGGTGGGAGTCCGAACTTCTAACTGCAGGTTTTGGTCGAATTGATGGAACAGTTCTGGATTCCGATGGACCACATCAATTGATGGCGACGGTAATCGCAAGGCCTTCCAAATCCACCGATGTTGCGAAGAAACGAGTAACAATATTATGCGAAGATGATGAAGGTGGAATGGGCGGAATTGTTGACGAACTTGAGAAGAACGGATACGAAATCATTAAGTGTAATGTGCACGATTCCCCGCCCCCAGGACAAGACGTCATCTCTCTTCTCGACATATATGGACCGTACTTCGAGGAGTTAGACTCTGCTCGTTTCGAATCGTTTAGAAAGTTCCTCCGTGGCCTTCAGGATGCCGGACTCTTATGGATCACGCCCCTTTGTCAGCTCGGATGCGAAGATCCCAGATATGCACAAGTACTTGGTCTCGCGAGGACGATGCGCTCGGAGATGCTGGTAGACTTTGCGACATGCGAAGTTGACGATTTCGCTTCGGCGAACGATAAAATAGTTCAGGTCTTGGCGAAATTCCAGAGGCGTGAGGATGATGATGTTCTGAAACCTGACTTCGAATACGCGATTCGTGGCGGAGAAATCCAGGTGGGAAGATTATATCCTTTTGCCTTGAAGGATGAATTATTGGTGTCGGAATCTGGTGACAAGGCCGTTCTTGATGTCGGTACGCCGGGACGTCTCAATACGCTACACTGGGTCCAACAGCCACGCGAAGAAATCCGCAGCGATGAAGTGGAACTTGATGTTCATTCTGCTGGTTTGAATTTTAGGGTGAGGCGATCTCTTCAGAATACTATTACTGATGCTCGGAAACTAATAGCAGTATTCTAGGACATCCTAGTTGCCATGGGAATAGTCGAACTTCCTAAACGCCAATTCGGACTCGAGGCTGCCGGTATCGTGACCCGTGTAGGAGCCGATGTTGAGAATATTAAGGTTGGCGATCGAGTCTGTTGTTTGAGGAAACATGCATATTCGACTTCTCTCACTACCCCAGAAATGTTCTGTGCGAAGCTCCCGGATCGCCTCAGTTTCGACGAAGCTGCATCCATGCTCATGCCCTATGTTACCTCTATACATTCCCTGATGAATATTGGGCGTCTTGAACAGGGACAGGTAAGTCGATTTGATCTTTATTCTTATAGCCTACTAATAACAAGTAGTCCGTCCTAATACATAGCGCATGTGGTGGGGTTGGGCTGGCAGCCATCCAAATATCTCAGATGTTAGGGGCAGATATCTATGCGACTGTCAGTAATGATGAAAAGGTCCAATTTCTTGAGGAACACTACAATATACCAAGGAACAAGATATTCAACTCGCGAAATGACTCATTCGTGGAGGGGATCATGCGCGAAACGAACGGCGCTGGTGTGGATCTGGTTCTCAACTCCCTCTCCGGCGAACTTCTACATGCCACCTGGACCTGTGTTGCGGAATTCGGCTCCATGATTGAGATTGGAAAGAGAGATTTGATCGGCAACGGAAAACTTGACATGAATGCCTTCTTAGCCAATCGCAGTTACTGTTGTGTGGATATCGATCAGCTCTGGAAGAAGCCGGTTCTAATGACGAGGTAAATATTAACTTCGAGAATGAGCGGTATTGAATTGGGTTGACTAACGCACTCTGTAGGCTTATCCAGTCCACCTTGGAGCTTTACGAAAAGGGGGCCATTACTTCAATCCAGCCCCTGAAGATTTTCCCCGCAACAGAAACTGCAGATGCGTTCCGATACATGCAAAAGGGACAACATATTGGTAGAATTGGCATCTCTTTACGGAACTCTCCAGAAGATCGTGGTATTAATTTCGAAACATCGAAGAGGCCTAGGTCTGCAAATTTTGAGAACTCTGCGTCGTACCTTTTGGTGGGTGGACTTGGTGGTCTTGGACGTGCGATATCAGCGTGGATGGTTGATCACGGTGCACGTGAATTAATCTACCTCTCACGAAGTGCCGGTGAGGGTCCAAGCGATGGCGTATTTGTTAATGAGCTTAAAAGCATGAACTGCGATGTTAAGCTTGTGAAGGGAGACGTCACAAATCTCGATGATGTCGCTAAGGCAGTTTCATCAGCGACGCACCCCCTGAAAGGCATTATTCAAATGTCCATGGTTCTTCGCGACCAGAATTTCGAGGCTATGACTTTCGATGAGTGGAATGTTGTGGTGGCTCCCAAGGTTGGGGGGACATGGAATCTTCACAATGCTACCGTGGCTACAGGAGTCGATCTTGATTTCTTCGTCCTATTCAGTTCGCTTTCCGGTATCATTGGGCAACCTGGTCAAGCAAACTACGCAAGCGCAAATACATTCCTAGACGCATTCGCGCAGTATCGGAAAAGATTAGGCCTTGCTGCATCTGTCGTGGATATCGGGGCTGTTGAAGAAATCGGGTTCATCTCATCGCAACAAGGGCTGATGAATAAGATGAAATCTACCGGATTTAAAGGAGTTACCGAACAAGAACTTCTTGACGCGATGGCGCTTGCCATGGCACCTACTGAAACTCGCGAAAATCAGCCAAGCGGTACTCGCTTTGTTGATAGCAACACGTTTGTCCTTGGCCTCGGCTCAACAATCCCACTTAGCAGCTCTGCTAATCGGTCGGTCTGGAGGAAGGATCGTCGCATGGCTTCATATCATAATGCTTTGGGCGGAGGTGCAGATGCCGCCGCATCTAACGAGGTCCTCAAGACTTTCCTCGCTACTGTTAAAGCCGACCCCTCTCTTCTCAAAGCGGCAGAGTCTTCCAAGACACTCGCGCTTGAAATTGGAAAGAAGCTATTCGATCTACTACTCAAACCGCAGGAGGACTTAAACACGTCCATGTCGTTAGTTGATTTAGGGTTGGATTCACTGGTAGCGCTCGAGTTACGCGCTTGGTGGAAGCAGGTCTTCTCGTTTGATATCAGTGTTCTTGAGATGTTGGGTATGGGTTCGCTTGATGCGCTGGGGCAGCATGCTGCTGAAGGTTTGTTAAGGGTTTTGGCGGAAAATGATGATCAGAAGGGTTCTGAATAGGTACCTACCTGAGGTACTATAGGGGATCCCCTTGAAGGACGAATCATGGGCAATGTAACTAGGATTATACGGAAGGGGCAATGTCGGATATTCTGGTATCATGTATGGATGGTTAGGTTTCTTTTTATGTTAGGTTACTTAAGCGATTGTTTGGAATAAGAAACTCTCTCTTGTTGTTAAAATTATGAGGGTTATGACTTTGTCTATGGGTGCTCTACCTGAAGATTTTCCATGCGTACCTAGTACCTACCTACCTATACTGCATACCTAGCATATGCCACAAGTACCATATACGCTAGGTAGGTACCTACCTATTTATTTAAGAAGTCAGGGTAATTTTCTAGTGTTTTAACGGAAAGCTCCGCCTGCTTTACAAGAAATACTCAAATATTAGGTGCCTACCTAGCGAACCTATAGAAAGCGACCCCCTTATTAATTGCTTCTAGGACTTGGGGGCCTAGACCCAGCCTGCCCTCGCAGGATATTACTAATTTTGGGTTACCCCAGACCCCATAGAATGGCACCAATTGCAAACAAAGAATACACTTCCAAGTTTCCTACTGTTGGAGCACTATAAACTATACTACCACAGCTGCAGTTACCAATACCACCTAATGGGTATGATATCTATCGAGCAAAATGTCATGGTTACACCTTTAGATGGATGTTCTAGATTTAATGTTACCCTTAAAGATATGACTTGACTCCTATTGGTCTTGATGAGATCGAGACGCACGTGGGAATATATGAGAATCTCGTGGAACGAGATTCCGCTTTCACATGTGCGACCGTTCTCGATCCGATGCTGTGGTTCACCAATCTTGGCTCGGCCGAGTCTGTTATGTCAGTGTCACCCGCACCGGTGCTAGTTTCAACCTCGGCCCCGGGCCGTTCTGATCATGCAAGATCAAGAAGGTACTTGGCATCGATAAATGTCATCGGTAACGCAACGAGTAGTTAGGGTTCGTCACGGCACTTGCAGTACGCTTTTGTTACAATTAGCCCCTGAATCTGATCCTAATTGCCTGAAGGTAGTTTAGCTTGAGGTAGAGCGGATCAGGCAGCAAGGAAACTAGGTGACTACTATCGCCTACAGTGGAAGAAGGATCTAGGTTTTACTTAACCAGGAAATGCCTATCTAGGAACCTATCTGACGATCCAATCCTTCGGGCCGAGATGCCTATTCAGGGTTTAGAGCCGCTGGCCATATCGAACGTCGTTGCATTAAAGTATGAGCGAGGCGAGGTATGTTATAGAAATATTATTCTTATGGGAAGATAGATATGCTGTGCTATATTTATGGGATATGACCCACCATACCATTAGATCTAGGTCCACCATGAATATCAAGCTAGTCCACTAATTTTCACGGGCTTTCTACCTACTCCTCGCCACCCTCACCTTCAGCTCCTACTGCCCTAATTAATAAGGCGGGGTCTTCATGACGTACCAAAACTAACATTGCGACCGTTCATGACCATTGATATATTGTCAGCACCTTACCTACACTCAATGGAACTGACGGATGGTCTAGTAGGAGCTTACAAGCTAGCTCACCGAATCTTTCGTAAGAATAGATTAGTCTAGGCCAAATCAGCGTTGGGTATCATCGTGGTTTTTACAGGTTGACGAATACGCTAAGTCCTACAGGAAACATAATATCTCAAAGGTTACGGCCAATAAGCACTCTAAATTGCCGAAAAAAGTCAAGGAAAAGGATTGTTCGTACATATGACAAAGCCGCTCGGCATATGCCACGGATACCTACAATATATGATGACCGCTTGATGAATAGATATCCGATTTGACGAAACCTACAGCAAGTCGTATGGTATCTTCATTGACCCATACGCCCTTGGCATCCAAGTATTACATCCTTTCGGTGTGAATTAAGTTCCGCGCCTCCATCTCACATCGGGGGAACAGACCAAGCCAGGTAGGTATCGTGCAGCTCAACCAGTGTTCGCCAATACAGTGGATGGTTACAATCTGGTGGGTCGTCATAGGGCGTTTGGCTTGCAGCTTTAAGGCTCGAAAGGTGCAGAACGTGGCCGTACTGTTCTCCATAAGCCAGTGCGGATAACCCACTAGCAGGGGTTTCGCCCAGGACCGTTTTCTCAGCTTCGAATACGCGACACCTTGGGGACCATCGGACCGCTAGGAACAAGCAGATGATTGCGTAACATTCGAGGATTTAGTGGAATCACCAGTAAGCATGTCGAATCACGTACGAGTTCAACCTGTACCAGATTAAGATAGAACAGGCGGGATACCTAGAATACCAAGACATAGGTAGCATTGGCCTTACGGCAATATCCACTCAAGCTTGTTAAATGGGTCGGGAGATCTAGTTATAGGAGGAACATTAAGGTCGCTCGTCTTGGACCCCAAATCCTCTTGATTACCTGGTAGGTACTGACTAGTTTCGGGACTTTGGAAGCGAAGGTCTAGGTAATTGAAATGAGCTCCATCCGCCTTACGTTGACAAAGGTCATGGGAGACCGTTCTATCGATCATGTCTTCCGAAAAGCGTGTTCGGACACACGAGGAGGTAATATCTCGAAGCCATTCTGAAAATGTTCAATCGAAGAGATCTAATTGTAACCAGATGTCCAAGGAGATGAGCGGGAAGGATTACGCAGGTGAGCGGGGACCCCAGTTTACGTTGGTGTGAATGGTAGCTAATCATCGCGTTGATAGTATGTGATCAATGCCGAATTAAGAAGATACGATGCGGAAGAGAGAAGCCCTTCTGCTCCAACTGCAACCGCCTTGGGCAAAAGTGTGAATGGTCTGGGAATGGCAAGAAGGGTAACCAAACAGCTCTACTGTAAGATTCTATTCGATTAAACAAACTCAAATACACAATTAACATATAGTAGAAGCCATACCATTGAGGGTTTAAGCAGACGCCTTGAAAATTTGGAGGTATGTCAGTTATCCCCGTTTTGTTTCCGCGTTGACTGATCACTTTATACAGGACGCACTGGCAGAAACACAGAATACTGTGAAGAGGCTTGCATCAGGAACCCCAACCCTCACTGAAGCTCCTGTAGCGCTGCAGCCCAGTCACACTTGGCCCACGCCAGAGGACGCCACTCCCACGACCTACGATGCACCCATTTTCAAGAGGCCTCTTGGCCACTTTATGAGGGGTCAAAATGCTGAAACCACGGAGAGATACTTTGAACCAACGTCGCTAGAGTCACTCTTATACAGTATAAGAGACTCTATCCTTGAACCCCTCGTTGTTGAGTCTGGGAATCAGAGTGTGAGAGAAAACGCCCTTGTTGCGCAGCAAAAAATCGATCTCTTAGTGAGCCAGGAAGAAAAGTCCATTCGAAATGGAATTCTCCCTACAGCACCACCCATCTCTATCTTGAGGGGTATGATCGAACCATATTTCTCAACCATCAACCCTCATTTCCCCATCTGGACTAAAGAATCATTCGAGAGAATTGCCACCGCGCTACAAACGACATGTTCTTCCGGTCAAGACCTAGGGCGCATTGTATGTTCCAACAATTTGATACTTATGACTTTAGCTGCAAACCTATCCCATCCTCCTCGTCATTCAGATAAGTCGAGTAGGTCTAAGCCGGTGCGCGGTACCTCTTCTATTGATCTCGATCTTACGAAGGGTTTCCTCGCAAATGCAAGAAGGGCAATCGAGCATGCTGAACTTCTACTCTCACCTCGACTCATCAACGTCCAGGCGCTCCTATCTCTGGTAAGCTTTTTTATTAGACACTCATTGTTTTGAGTGAATTTCTAATAGTCAACGAATAGTGTGTAGTAGCACAAGAACATATGCCGCCAGATGTCTTCAAGAAGTTATTTAATATGGCTGCTCAGTGCGCAAGGTCCATCGGCGTCCATGACTGGGAAAGAAACCCACTAGAACGAGAAGACACCAGAGAAAGACAATGCGTGTCGTATTGTTTATATATTCTCGATAAAACGGCCTGCTGGATCGTCGGCGGGTCGGTTTCAATTCCTGTATCCGACGTCTATATCGATACTACCTTGAAATTATTTGACGACAAGGCAATGAATGATCTAGTTTCCAAAACGAAGCTAGCCGAAATCGAGGAAGAGATATACTTGGAGATATATGCACGTAGAGCTCCAGCAAGGACCGAGGACCAAGTTCGAATGATGATATCGAAATTCAACAAGAAACTACAGGATTGGCTGGTTGAGTCCAGTAAAGATCAAGAGGCTGATAGTACCGCTTCTCTGGAACCTATTCCGAAGATCGAACTATCTATCGGATTTGCCTGTACGCAATTGTTATATATGTGGCCCTTCAAGGAACACCCAGATGCAACATCTCAACGTATAGAAGTTAGCAGGAGATGTATGAGACTCTTGCTTCGACTATGGGACTCCACGGTGGAAATAGGACATCAAGGGATACTTCCGCGGTTAGCATTCCCAGCTTCTACTTAACTCATATCTTCTGGCACGAGGAGACTGATTTCATTAACATAGCATCGTCGCTTCCCACCCGCCTCTATACCTTTACGAGGTTTATGCACATGTTCTCAGCGGAGATGAGGGGCAGGATTCACCAGACGTAGAACTACTCCAATCATTTGCCGAAATGCTTCGAAGCATAACTGATCTACAAGAAGAAAATACATACAATAGACGGTTATGTGAGATATCTTCCGTTCTCATAGACGTGGTATCTGCGAGGAAAACCCAACATAAACGGCGAAAAACACATCACACTTCATCACCTTCGATATTACTCTCATCTTCAACATCGCCGAGGCGCACACGTCGCGCATCTCCCTTCACCCCCTCTTCAGACATACATACTCATTATAATGAAAACAACACATCCCCGCAAGTTCAAAACGACAGTCAAGGTACCTCGAATCTCACAAGTTCAAGCTTCGACTCGCTGATATCCCCGGCCGATTCAGGGGGTTGTGCAGAGGACCAACTAGCAACATTAATAGGATCGCTAGGAAAAGGACCTTTTGAAACCTTCGACCTTCTCGAATATAACGATACTCAAACATCGAGGAGCGAAAATCTTGCCGAGAAGGAAATTTGGTGGAATTGAAAATAGGTACATATTAGACCCGAACCCTTCCTGTTCAATGAAATAGGCAGAAGGAGTTTGTGTGTAGAATTGTGTGGCAGAATGTTTATGGATCAAGGCTTTGCCTCTAGTAAGAAAGGACAAAGTTGGCATTGGAAAATACCTATTTATTGGGTACATGAAAGGGATTAGGTACGAAAGGGACTCACATACATGCCATGTACATACTCCCCAAAGCTAAGTCATGAGAATCAAAACGTCATTCTCAGTTTTCAGATATGCCCTCCTTTTTCTTCGGTCGCATGAGTTCCAGAACGAATCTCATGCCATCATTGCAAGGATCCGGTGGATCCCGAAAATAGACATCGTCGACGAAAATTTCGACAGTAAGGCCAACAATAGACTTCTCGAACTTTTTGCCCAAGGAATCTTGAAGTTGCGCTCCTTCAACTAACGATTCCACTGTGGAAGTAACTTTGTCCATGTGGGTTAAATATTCTTGTGGATATGCATCCCATAACTCCTTGGGCAGAAGATTGGTCCGTACGGACCCAGGACAAATGGCATATGTCCGTATGCCATCTTCCTGATAGAATAATGGAGCAACGGAGCGCATGAAATTCAATATGCCTGCTTTGGCTGCTGCATATAAAGGTGTAATTGCTTGGGGATACTAAAACATATAAGACACAATCATTTTTTACAATTACCTGCCCCCTAAGAATGTACTTCGTGAAGAAGAACACTTACAATACCCGCGATGCTTGATGTCATAATCAGAACGCAATCCTTATCCCCGTTCGTATTTGCCCTGAAGTAGTGTTGCGCAAGGTAACTGGTCTTGATGACCCCTTTCAGGTTGACGTCAATGCTAGACTCATCTGGTTCCGGTGGTGGCGATGACAGCTCATGTTTTTCGAAGAACTTCCCCTTTTCCATGACGCCGGCATTTGCGAAAACGAAATCTAGTCGACCCTCGATCTTAAAAACGGCATCAAAAGAGGATGATAGAGATTCCCAAGAAGAAACGTCGACTTTATGAAAAGCACAGTTCCCTAAGCTAGCTTCATTCAAGTCGAAAATGTGCACCCGCCAACCTTTCTGAGAGAAGACCTCGGCGACTGCTAGCCCTAGTCCCGACGCGCCACCGGTGATGATGGCTACTTTCGAAGTTGGCATCATAAGTGTCTGGGTGTCTGAGTTTTACTAGGTAGGAAGTCAAAGTAAAATCGATAAAGTGAAGGATGAGTCGGATAGTATATATTATAACTCATGATATTCCACCATTCTTCGCTCTGTCCTAGCAGCCTGAGAACCTCGCTAGGGAGATTCCCCGCACCGGCACTTTTCGTGCCTCCCATGTAATTCTTGTTTATGTTATACCAACATCGGATTTTCTACATATTGAAATATTTTTTATCGTATGAGCAGCCTGGTATGTAGAGATATAGTATAATATGCTAGCGTGTACTGTAATTGCAGTAGCCACAATGAACAGAACGAGATACGCAACTCATTGTACTCCAGGGCAAGTGGACGTCTTCCGAGAAATGTAGTCACAACTGGTAATAGGTACCTATACAATAACATAACTATTATGCAACGATAAAATGCATAAAACAATGGATGTATGTGCAAACGCCACGGACTTAGACCGACGTTCACAGCTTCGTTACGGGCTGTGAAGAGGTCGTGAAAAGGTTGTGAAGAAGTCGTAGATCTACTAACAAAGCTTCGAGAAGGATGTCGAGGAACACGCTAATTGATAATCGGGTACTTATCTGCCCCGCAGTGGCTCGATCCCTGTGAGCTTTAGTTGATGATAATGGGGTTCTAGGCTGTCTTGGATTGGTGGAAAGCGCAGTAAGACAGCTGTAAGATAGTGGCCGCTTTCCCTTCTAGGCAGCGGAATCAACAAGGATCTCCACTTGGAAGTCGCGACGCCAACTCTGTGCAGCTTCCTCAATTTCGTGATAGCAAAACAGCCTCTGCTTCCTTCCATATTCACCGTACTTTACAATGTACTCAAATTAATATCACCGGGGGGAACTTAAATAAACCCTGTAATACAACTTTTCCCCGTTTTCTTTTCGTGAACTTATTCCCTTCTTACTCATTTTATTTTTTGTTATGAGCTCCTTCGCGACGAACACGTATCATTCAACCGAACAACGATGCGCCTACCTGCTTAATTTGAAGCTTGTCGCCATCGTCGCTCACCAGGATAATGGATCGCAATCCACCCAACTCCCCAGGAGTACTGGCTACGAAGTCTAACGGAAGCATCAACGGTAATGGTAACAGTAACGGTACTAGCATCGGTCGCGGTGTTAGAAACACAACGCAACCATCTCGTATCGGTCGAATACCTCGGAGAAGTCCTAGCAAACCTGAATTGAAAGATAACATCACATCCGATACAGATACTAGCACTAGTACTAGTTCTCGACACCCATTATATTCGAGCCCGAGATATATTCCCCATAGCAACAGCTTCAGCGCATCAGCTAGCAAAATTCCCGAATCGCCGCGCGAAACGCGAATACCTCAACCTAAGAACATAGCACCTATTGCAACATCTTCCGAACGACAGAACAATCCACCAACCAATCGAGGAAACAAGCTAAGGCCTCCCCAAACTCAATCTCTTGAAATGCGACAGCCCTTGAACCTGAAGTCCGCCTTCGAGCTGGCTCGACAGCAAGAGGTGGACGACACCCTCGACGATACCTTTAGTATTAAGCATGCCTTTAATATGGCCAGCGCTGAGATGAACGGGCGTATCGATGGTTCCCCTAGTCCAGCTCCGCGACGCTTGCAGTCGAGACGTCCATCGTATAACACAGCACTACCCCAAAAGACTTTGACGACCGGTGCGAATAATGATCTCGGGCGTCATCTCCAGCAATTCGATCGAAATCACCAGCTTACTACAGGCAACGGACCACTTAGTGGCTTATTCGGTAGGAATAGAATTGGCCCTAGAGTGTCGGAAACCGGTAATGTCCTCGCTAAGAAGGCTAGCGACAATGATCTTAGAGGTTCCCCAGTGCGTCGCAGGGACAGTCGACAGGATGCTATCCCAAGAACGGATGGACGTGCCGACGCGCTTATTCCCATTCCATCTATCGAGAATCAATCGTCCAGCAATGATCGAGGCGACAGGGCTTCTTCGATTAAGAGACCAGCAAATCCGTCACCCGAGAAGAGCTTTAACTGGGAACTCGATGCCGATTTCACAGCTGGGGATCTCCAAATCTCCGAAAGCCCTCGAATTCGAACCGATCAATCTAATGGAAGGTCCCGACGGACTTCGAGTATTACGTCTACCGCTAATGGCGCGACAAACTCACGCCGCAGTAACAACCGGATTGACGAGATTCGACAGAAAGAAATCGATGCTGCGAATGCTGTCTTGCCGGAAGAAGACGCATCATCCTTCAGGCGACCAAATAGTCGACTTGATGAGATACGAGCACGAGAGATGGACGCGTTATCCAGGCGGGCAATGGCTACAAGCAGACTCGATGAGATACGACTTAAAAACTCTGAAGCGCGAGAGGAGTCGCCAGAAGCTGGACGAAGCTCTAACAAAGAAGAACTACGAGATAGTCCACCAAAGCTTAATAAGCTTAATGGCGCACCTACGAAACCCCTGGAGGATCAGTTGGAGTCGAAGATGAAGGATGAACAGGCCGTAAATACCCCCGCCATTGTTCTTCGAAGCACAAGTGAACAAAAGCTTAACGAGCCACCCAAAGAGAGGACGAATGCTTCTAAGACTGAGGACAGTAGAAACCAAAGCCAGCTATCACGAAATGATTCTCAAGACTTGCTTAGTCGTCTTGCGAGAGCAACCAGCGCAAGCCCCTCCTCCGAAAAGGTCGAACAAAGAGTCGTTTCAGAGGAGCCGAGGCCTCTGGAAAAGCCTGACAACAGAGAGAACAGTCGTTCGCGTTTAGCACGGGAGGAAAGGAGATCTAGGAACCTAGAGGTTAAGAACCTGGAGGTTAAGAGCTCCAGAGAAAGACCGACGGTCGGATTTGCTGGTTTACGACCAAGTTCATCAAGTGATTCTATTCAAGAAAAGAGGAGCAGTTTACATGGCTCGGAAGTGGATCCTATGGATCGTATCGAAGCCGAGTTGAGACTTTTCGCACCTCTTGACAATTACTCCGAGAAGGGATCCGTTCGAGCTCCATCACCTGATCCATCAGAGCCAGCTGAGGAAGAGACGCCCCGAGTAACCAAAATCGACCCCTTGACTCAACCAACTCCACGTGTAACCGGAGCATATGTCGAAACACCGGCTACTATTCGTGTCAAACAAGAGAATCATCTAGATGACAAAAAGGTGGCGGATGCCCCTGACCGCATCTCGGATTCAATTCCAGAGCTTCGCACCAAAGACTCTAGTCAGCCATCAAACAGCGACAGCGTGAAGCAAGAAAACGATGATACCACGGCTCTTAGAAGAAGAACGTCTGTGCCACGATCTTCGTCGGCCCCCTCTACTTCGCGTCGCACCAGATCCGCTTCCAGGCGCCGTCAGCCTCTCCGCCCTGTAATCAATACAGCCAAACCTCCGACGGTAAAGGATGACATTCGTGCTATTCTACGCATGAATCAAATTGATGACTCGACACTTGAAGACTTTGATTCAATTCTCGCCAACCAAGACATTGATGACGAAGAGCTGCAGAAAATGGTAGATGACACCATAGACAATATCGACATGGATACTCAACTACCGGATCTCTCAGAGCGGGATCGTGAACTTCAGATCTATGATAGGATGAGCAAGTCGCTGAGAACGGGTCTTTTAGGCATCCAATCCGCGAAGAAGGGGATTGAACGTTTGGAAGATAGGGTTACGCACACCGAGCTTAAAGCAGAACAGGCCCGTACGGATCAGAATACATCCAAGTCGAAGTCAGAAGTCCATGCGTATGCACCTGCCAGTTCAAATAGCTCTGCTCCTGTTATGCTCGCACTTCCTGCTCTATACCGAAGATCTCCTAAACTGAGGCCAACAAAGTTTGGAGTATTAGCTCTTACTATGTTCATATGGTACATTCTGGAGTCCATCTTCTGTTTTCTTTATGTGGCTCAATACGACTGTACACCGGAAATACCATGTGATTGGTCACCAAACGAGCCGTATTTCCCGTACGCGATGCCATTCATGCTAGATGAGTGGGCTACCGGGGGAAAGGGAAGAGCTCTGACGTGGAAGGCTGGGGAGGAGATCGGAGATATTTATGCTGAAGTTTCGGACTGGGTTACGAAGAGAGATTTTACCCAGCTTGATGAGAAGTTCATGAACGTCTGGGAGCGCAAGAGACATCGAAGACGATTACGAAAGCACGGCCTAATTCCAAAATGGGTGGCGCCTCCAGACTACAAACCCAGATTTCCACAATGGAATGCAGCACGCTTGGCTATGGAAGCTACCGAAGATGAATATGATGGAGAGGATGAGACGATGGGCGCAGACGAGAGGCTTATTTGATGCGATTTGCCAATAATCATGCCAGGCCTTCAGACCCCACTCGCACATACTTTTCAAAGGAACTGTCCTGTATGCCATTTTCAGTCAATACTGGTTCTGCTCTTGGCTTCTCATAATGTATAGGCTATACAGGATGCGATTTTGCATTTGCTGGAGGTGGAACAACTGGCGTTCTATAGGCTTTGGCTTCACAATTTCTCGGCAAAACGGCTTCAAAAGGCACGGAATACTTTACGGTTGTACTAACTCACGACGTTTATATGTAGGCTAAGGCCACTATTGAAATGAAAATCTGTTTGACAGCTTTTCGCGATGCATCGTTTACATAAACCTACGTTTTGGCCCCTTTAATTCCTAATTATCTACTTCGTCGGACTAAAGTACCGCTTATACGTAAAATATTAACAGTTTCAACTTATAAATGTCTACCTATGTCATGTTCTAGATAGGCACATTCTTTCCTCGGGCTTTGATATCAGCTCTCCCCGCTTCACAAGCACAAGTCCACTCGTAAAAATCAAAACGTGCTAAAGTTCCTAGCAACCACTGCCACTTACGCAATCAAGCTTACGGAATAGGAAAATATGAGATCTAGCCTTCGAACAAGATTCGCCGGTGTCGAGTTGATGCTAGTTAATCAGAGCCCTGATGATGAAATAGACAAGTTTAGTCTGAGACGGCTTGATACCAGTTCCTTAGTCCACGATAGCTCAATTCCCGATTAGGCAATAAAAATAAAATAGAACAAAGCCGCTAGAATGTCGAGGTAGATCGCTATCGCCATCTGATGTCATGACTGCTGTCATTGTCTTTCATCTTGTGCGGCGTCGCACAGCTGGGCATAGCTGCGACAGCTCCAAGAGTTATCATTGCTAGAACGCAAGGGGTATGTTTGAATCTTAGACTATGAGCTCATCTACCTTACAGAACCTTCAAGACATACTTAAGACACGCTACTTCTCCTGTCTTCACATTTAGGTTACGATTGATATCTATACTATAACCAAATAATTTTACCATCACAAGACACCCAAGATAACATCCTGCTATTACCACAATGACTTCATATACTTCACGGGAGCCTGAACATATTCCCGGTTCATTCCCAACCGACGACATGCTATCTACCCCTACTGAACAATCAAACCTAGCTTCGCCAGCATCTCATCCACATCATAATAAATTACACAAACGTGAAGATCCCCGGGGTTGGGTTGGTGAGGGAAAGGCTGCCCGCGGACATCAGCATACCGACTCTGGCGTCGGCCTCACTGATACGAACGCTTTAGACTATCATACTCAAAGTAAAGCCAACGAAAAAGCTTTCCAGTCTAACCAACCCTTCTTGCAAAGACACGCGCAACCTGATACCCCCTCCAACATTGCAGATGCAAAGCCGGTCAATCAACATGAAATCGGTGGGAAGCCAGGTGTCATGACTGGTGCTTATAGTCGACTTGATGAGAACAATCGCACATATCCCAAGCCAGCTCCACAAGATTCGACTCGGCAAGAAACCAATACAGCTAGAGGTGTCCCTGGATCTGCCACAAGGGGAGCTTCCTTGGTTACACCAGAAGCTGGAACCAAAGCAGGCATTGATAACCGCGGCGTCGAGCAGAATAACTTGATGCAATCTAGTCAATTTGAACAAGATGATCCATATTGGGGTGATGTACCCTATGGAACCGGCATCTATAATACCGTCACCGGACATGGCAGCTCCGAGACACCTGCTGAGGGGTCCGCTCATCTTCACGACCCTCATTTAAGCCATAATCAGGACCGGTCTTTCCCCCTTTCCACCCATAACACATCATTACGTAATGAGCCGGATAATGACAACGGCTCAAAGTTTAAGGGAGGTATAGCTGCCGGTACTGCTGCCGGTGCTGGTGCCGGCCTCGTAGCCTCTCAAGTTCCTCGAAAACAACAAGATCATCATCACGAGAGGGGCGACTTGGAAGAGCCAACTTCTCACCAGGGTGAAGATAAGGGCGCTAGCACGGGAAGTAAAATTGTCAGCTTCTTCTACCGGGACCACAAGGATAAGGATACTAAGCCTGAGAAACACGAGGCTAAGAAAGAGAAGCACTCTATAGAGCCAGCGCCGAGCAAAAACGATAGTCCTCTTACGAAGAGGGATGCCGGTGCAGCTCTTGCGGCAGCTACAGTGACAGGTGGGACTAAGGATAATGCACGCCAACATGGCAAGCCTCAAGCTTTTGAACGTAGACAAGACAGCAAGACAAACGCGCTCTACGAACATCCAGATGAGGAAATCGATAACCAAAATAACCAAACGAAGGATCCCCCCAGAATTCTTGGATACACGGATCCTCACAGACAGAGTGGTATGAAGGATATCAATAAGCCATACCCTTCATCCGACGATACGGCCACTAGGGGTTATCTTTCTTCTCAGTCGAGGCCTACTGAGCAGAATGACTCAAAATTGGGCTATGGACTTGGAGCCGCTGGCTTAGGAGCGGGCGCTGGGTACGCTATTCATGAGCATGCCAACAGGGGCGCTCGGAATCAGGGGCAATCCACTCAGGCCATGCACGAGAAGTTGACGACGTTACCATCCGAAACATCTACGCAGCCAATTCATCCAAGCCACATCAATGACAGGGCTCAGTATGGTATGGTCGCTGGTACCACAGCACCGATTTCTTCCTCGGCGAAACAGTCTTTACCGCAAGCCAGTGAACCTCACGCCAAATCCTCTCATACCCAGCCTAGCCATCGTAACCAGTACTATATCCTCCCAGATGGAACACCTTCGGGTATGAACATCGGCGATCACTCTGATAATATGATGAGTTCGGAAACCGCACCACTAACCACTGAGAGCAAAACCGCGTCGAAGAACGACCACACCGGCGCCAAGCTCGGCGCCGCTGGTGCAGGTGTCGTCGGTGCCGGCACCGCAGCCCACCACGTCGGCCGACAAAGCAACGACAACCCCACCACATCCGGGACTCGCAAAGATACCATCCCCAGCTCAACCCAGACTCACGAGCCATATATGGAAACCACAGGCTCCCAAGCCCCTAACCCCACACCCACCGGCCAGCGCAGCGGACAGTATATTCTAAGAGAAACTATGCGTACCAACAACCCCGCTCGTGACCACTCCGGTGACAAGAATCCCACTACGCCGCATCCAGCTGCGACCGCGAAAGAAAGCCAGCACACCGGATCCAAAGCCGCTACTGCTGCTGCCGCGGGCGCGCTTGTAGCCGGAGCCGGGGCCGCGGCACACCATCACGGCAAGAACGATTCGGCGGAGGCGAAGGTCGCACCTTCCGGCTCAACACGCGATCAGAGGTCTGCGACGACGAGCTCGACTCAGGCCCCGGGTTTGGGTGGTGCCAAGTCTCATGTGAGGAATCGCGCGTCGACGGATTCGAGTCATGATGGACAATATAATGTCCTTGCGTCCGGGACGCCGTCGGGGATTAATCGGGAGCATTTGGTGCATGGGGAGTTGGGTGGTGTTGATGAGGAGGTTAAGGGGGGCGCGGTTCGGTCTGCGGGTATGGAGACGGGGAGGGAGAAGGAGATGGGGATGGGAAGGACAGGTTTGGCAACTGGTGCTGGGGCCAGTGCTGGTGCGGGCATGGCTGCGATTGCGGCTAGGGCTTTGAAGGCTGGTGATCCTGTGGTGCATCGGTGTGGGAGGTGTGGGGAGGAGAATGATATTACGGGGTATTTTCATGAGTAATGACTTGTTATGACAGTGAAGAGGATGTGATGAAAGTTTGGATGGATGATGGATTGGGCTTGATGAAGATTGATCAGATGAGTTGGATACTAGGTACCTAGGTGACTGTACTTATTGGCATGATTCATATTGAGATTGGATATAGTTAGTATGAATGATGTGCGAAAGAGATACTGTACCTATTAAATGTGTGAAACGAGGTTTGCCCCTTTTTGGAGAGAGGGAGAGAATGAACTCTTCATATATGTTTTCTTCATTTGACTCCTTTTGTCGTTTATTAGGTAGGTAAACATCCGGTCACCGTTAATAGTAGATTGATACCATTTGACAACCATATTGCGTACATAGAAAGGCATCTAGTCATGTTGAAGCAAACACTATGCATCTAGGTAGGTAGCTAGGTAGTAGCTAGGACCTACATAAAGCACTTCTAATCCGTCCACACTCATGAGTATTCGCGTTATTATTTCACTCACAACTCCTACCATCATACCATAACTCCATTACTTCTACAGAACATTCACTTTCCCACCTCAATAAAATATTAGTTAGGTCTCTGGAACTGTAGAGGTATGAACTTTCGTGAGTGGGATCTATCAACTACTCTAGGCTTACCCCCCAATTTTCCTCGTGTAGACTACAACATTACCAGGGATAGTATTGACAACATTCCTAGAGGATGTCGGCGTTCCAATTGTGAGCGATTCTATCTCGAGTTCTTGGAGGTCGGTAGAGGACCTCGCCAATTGCAACAATACCCAAATTACGCCTATATCAAGATCGATTTTGCAAGGAACTTTGGTGAATACGAGGGCGTTGGTATATTCATACTCCCAGACCTCGACGGCAGTGTTCCCGTGGATGGTGTCGACTTCTCGGAACACATACCTGGGAAAATGGTCGTCGTGCCTCTTCCTTATACACAAGTTTCTGGGGCTTCAGTTCGCGCTTTTCAGTTTTCCACCCCGTCTAGGAGTGATTCTATGCCCTTGGGAGGTCTACTCTCAAGTATGACTCGCACCGGAATGCAGCACTTTGACTTTTGCCAAAGTGGAGGAAGGAATTCGCTGTTGCGCGGTTGCCGCGACTTTGTGTAAGTGGTAGTTTCACAATATTTGACACGTTCAAACATCGTCAATACTAATGTAAACCAGTTTCCAGATGTTGATCCATATGATGCTTTCTGGGCACATCGATGGTGGAGCGAGAACGATCTGGCCGGCCAGCAGATATGGATTACCAGACGTAAAAGGCGTATCGGACACCATGGGAAAGCAATTTGGCCCTGGAATGGACGCTGAGAATCTTATCCGCAGGGGTCGATTTCGTAACTTCCAGCGCAAAGTGGCTACCTCTTCGAAATATGAGCCGGAACTGTAGGTACCTACCTACCTAGACAAGAATTTAAATACCAATTAAGAAAATATTTATCCCGAGATTTATAGATATTTAAATCGCGCTGCTGTGATTACATAACCTTCAATAATGCGTGTTGGTGTTTATCTGTAGGGCTGACCTGCCCCCGTCTGCTAATACGTAAGATGTTGGTTAGGGGGAATTGTCCCGCATGCAAATCAAGCTTGACTTTTACCACCTAGACAGCACCTATGAATATTAGTTAATAAATAGGTATAACTGAGGATTAGGTACCTATAGATATTGATATTTTGAATTCATGACTAGAATCTATACCTCTTAGAAATTGTCGAACTTAGGAAACTAGAGTCATTATACCTGGGTATAAAATATAGATTTTCTTTCTGTTCGCGTAGCATGACATCGTCATATGGAAGCCAACAAGAAAAACTTGTTACAGGACAGCCATGTCTTGGAGTTGGTGGCAAGAGTGAGGCACGTAAGACCTTAGATATCACCGCTGTTTTATGTGAAACCACACATGTTCATGATGACTTGCTAAAATTAGAATCGAGTGCTAAGACCGGTTCAATGATCTTGGCTAAAATCGTGGATGCGTTTTCGAGACGAAAAAAAGACATAGAACTCTTTTGAAACTTTCTGATATTTTTGAATCTTTCATGATAACCATGGAGCCTCTTTATTTATCTCTGGTACTGTAGGTGTCTAGGCAGTAGGGTTATCAACCCCCATACTTACGAGGGTGTACCTAATAATATCGCGATGTTAGCACTAAGATCTGCGGGCTTTAGGTGGCTCATGAATTCAGCCCCTTCGGTTCAGGGGGTGAAGCTCTGCCTTACCAAGTAATATGGTACCAATTTAACCCCAGTCTAGGGCTGAAAAGTGTTAAATAAGCAACCAACAGCATTAGCAGCATTTTAATCCTAGCCCGTGCTGGGCGCAGCACCTGGCCAAGCAGTAGTTTAGTGCAACTAAAGATTTCCTAGCGACGCGTTGATTCGCTATACATCCGATAATGCGTGGGTTTTCGAGTTGCGCCAAGGGCGACTTTCCTTTTTACTACCTAGAACGAGTCCCTATCGGTTGACGAGTGGAAACAAAGGAAATGAAGCTAGCATAACTTTGCCTTTTTGTGCCGCATACGACGTATTCAGCTTCATAATAGATCCCAGCTGCCTGGGTACTTTGCCATATGTTGAGTCTAGATCTGATGCGGTATGACATCTGTAATGGCCTGTGCTATGGCTTGACGGATGCTTGAATCTTTAATTATGGAGTGTCCGACCCATTTGCTCCATCTACTCCACGGTCCTCGTGCTACTGTGCCTCATCCAATATTTATTAATTTAGAGTAACCCTCATATATCGCTGACTGTTTGTTTCTCTCTGTTCTATTTTTTGTTGACCTCTTTGCTTGCCTAGAGATTTCGACGATTGTGTAACGTAATAAAAGCTGCAACGTTTGCCTTTGTCTACGATATTTATCTACGCAATGGACAACCAAGAGAAGATAGTCTACATTGCGCCTGAGCAGACTCAAGCCGGCCAACCTCAACCTCAGTATCAGCCAACGATGCAAGGACAACCACCAGTCGGAACTTACACGCAACAACCGCTACAGCCTCAACCAAAAGGGCTAGAGGACGCACAACCACAATATCAACCTCAGATGCAACCGCAAATGCAATCCCAAGTCGATCAACGCGCGTATCCTCACCCGACAGCATATGGCCAACAGGGTGGTGAATGGCAAGCGAGTCTCTGCGATTGTTCACCATGCACAAGCTGTCTGCTATCCACATGCTTGCCATGCATCTGTAAGCACTCCAGTCCACCTAACGCGACATGAGAATATACTGACGCGATCATCTTAGTACTTGGTCAGACCTCCGAACGAATTAGAGATCCTTCGATGCAATCGGCCGACATGATGAACAGCGACTGCATGATTCACGGTCTAATTACCTGCTTTACCGGTTGCGGATGGATGTATGTTTTTCCAATACCAAATCTTCAATTGGAAGTTAAAGAGCTGACATTTCTTTTAGCTATGCGTTGATGAAGCGAGGCGAGATTCGAGAGCGTTTCCAGATCGAAGGCAGTGGCTTTAACGACTGCTGCGTTTCGTACTGGTGCCCGTGCTGCGCGCTGATCCAACAAGACAACGAAGTCAAGGTGCGCCAGCGCAACGCCCAACCGGTAGCGCAGGGCTACCAACCTCAACCCACGATGCAAATGCCAGCGCCCTCTTACCAACCATAAACGAGAATCCTTCTAGGGATATTTCGCTTTTCATGTTTATATTGTATTTATTGGCACTTTTTAATGACCAATTGAGGATAAGAGAGGGCTCTTCCAGCGATTGGCGACGTGTCGATATTGCTACGACTCTGAGACCCGTATGAGGCAAGGGTTTATTGGTAGCTATCTCTACCTATGGATGTTAGTGGGAAATGGTAATGGTTATACCCAGGATGAATCGTAAATAAAAATTCAAAACATCGCCGATACGAACGAAACAAACTTTACAAACACGATTTTATTTTAAGAAAAAAAAGGATTCAAGCCAACATAATTTTGCTTACTTAACACCTGATTTCGTAATCCTGCGCGCATAGGTACCGGTTCCAAGTTCCGCGACCCTAGGCACGTAACTGCCTAAATAAGCCTGGAGCTCTCCGATGATAGGTGGATGTTTTGGCAGGTACGGCGCAGTCTTTCACGCCGACCATCCCCGGAAACGGGAATGGCCCCTGAATTTCCAGGTAAGTACCTAGGCAAGTGCCAGGAAGATATGGTCGAATTAATTCACACCCGACACATTCTTTGCGAGGTTCATTGGAGCGATATCTTCGTATAAGCCGTATGTTTTCTCATGGTAGTTCAATTGATCTTATTCTAACTAAATCGGTCACTAAATTTAATGTATGTAAGGGTATAGGTAGGTACTTGTATCATCTGTCATTTGAGCCTCGACATAGGTGTAGCTCGCTCATAGCCATTGGTATTACCTTTTTCCTATATCGTAATTTAAATGATTTAGAGAATCTTACGAACATAAAGCTTAATAATAGACTGGTCAACATTTTTTAATATTAGCTAAATCCTAGGTTGCGATTCTGACCCTGAATCGTCCTAAAGCGGTGCTAGTCGTCAGGTCTTCATGTTCCCAAGTTTTGCCTTATTGGCAAAGGTAGGTACTAATGCCCCTTTTCTACCCTCTCTATAGGCGTCACGCAGTGGCGTTCTCCTAAGCCACTTTAGCGTACCCCCCTGTAGGGCCCCGTAACTTTCTTCTTGTCGACAGCTAGAGAAGCAAGACTCATCTACCTAGTATGTCCCAATTCTAAAGATCGGCTAAGGATGGACCTGTAGGTAGAGCTACCAACTAGCTAGGTACTGCTCAATCACCATCGCCCATCCATTCTCTCCTCCAGAGCCAGAAATATCCAACAATCTTGAATCCGACCGCATCGGGGCCACAGATCCCTAGTGGTGTGAGTGAGCCTTGATATTGATGATCGCGCCTGGAAACAGTCTGATTGTGCGTTTGGAAAGTAAACGTTGCGGCATTGAGTAGAACCGGACCGCGCAGTCGCATACCTGCACCCGGTGCGACCGGAACGGGTACCCTAGCTCGGTACCCCTCCTCGTCATAACGAAAGCGTATGCCCATCAAAGTCGGTTCAACGTAATTCTTCCCTCCAACGGAATGAATATAAGAGCAACACCATTCCCCTTCTGTGATGTTTCTAAGTAAATCACGAACGCGCGTGTTGTACCAAGTCCACCACGCATTACCACAAAACGGATCGAGATAGTGGCCACCTTTTCCTTGTTGGTTCGCAAGAGTAGGATCCAGAAGGGGAAACCTTGGTTGGAGAGGTGTGAATCCTGTCTGTGTCGGATAGGTTCCTTCGCTCTGGTTGCCTCTGACACACGAAACGTCAAAGAATTCGATTTTTCTAGGATCCGGAAGCCGAAGTGGTGCGTTAACAGGCAACCATAGTATGGTCGGGTCATTGGGAGAGACACGTCTGAACATGCCCGTACCCCCGTGTATCCATACAAACTGAGTTTGTCGCGCAATACGGTCTGCTATGAAGAGTGCGCACGCCTGTTTGTTGATCCAAGACTCATTGGCCCGTTGATATTCCCACGGAGAAGTTGTGTAAAGATATGCCTTCGAAATATGATGGAGCTCGTAGTCCGTAAGTTTGGATGGTTTAGGTAACTCAAGGGTGGTCATGGTCATGAGGAAGGCGAACTGTAGATAAGTTCCGGTGCCAAATTTCCAAAGATGTGCCCCAATGAAGAAATTGTAAAGGCATTGGATTGTATCAGCATCGCGATAACGCCACGGCGTTGTGCCTAGATGTGCGACTATTAGAAAACCAGCCCATGATATGAGGGAAACTTGACAAAGACTGATACTCACATCCCCAGATTGGTAGAGTAGCAAGGAAGCCTAACAACCCTTGTAGCGACTTCTCGATCTGACCTGCAATATCTCTGTCGGTAGTAATGGAGCTGATCTTGGCTCTACTTTCCGTAGCCCACGCGATTCGTCTGACTTCAGATAATGCATCTCGAAATCGGGTTGCTGCAACAGCTAGGCAAAGCCATGTCATCCTTTGACCGTCGCGACCCGGGCAAGGGCCATTCTTCCCGTTGGCATAATATCTCATGAATTGCACCAATGTTGACCTGCTCTTAAAGACTGCAGAGTTGATTTTGGGAAGCTGGGGATTTGAAGTTAGCTTCCTGCTTGAAGGTAGTTTGATATAATGCAATCTTACATAAGCCTGAAATGACATCTGGAAGACAGCGGCATTGTTGCAAATTGGGTTCAGGTAACGACATGTCCGACTGAGAGCCAGGATATCTAGAGCCGAACACTTCCCAGCGATTTGCTGTATCAGCTCGGGAGGTAAATCGGTAAGTACCGCCATCGTGTTATAAAAACACTTTGGATGGTACGGGTTGATCGATAGATTCAATGGATAGTAAAGATTAGAATCCGAATAAATTCTGGATCGAAACTGAGGTGGAGAGAATTGGGATGAGGAATAGGAAACTCAAAGTTTACAAAGTCAATTGTTATATAGATATTTTAGGGTCGTGCTTTTGAAGCACTGATCTCTATATTCAACATTACCGCCTAGCACCTACCTAGGTACTTAGTGCTAAGGATTAGGTGACGGACGCTAATAACACTGTATTCTCTAGGTACATATTTGCATGTTTTGATCCTTCATAGCTCTGCGCCTTCCTTCTGAACGGGCTTAACTATGTGGAAGGTGCATAGGAAAATACAGTGTCATTGGCACATACCATGCTTGGTTACTAAGCAGTCGTGCACTGGCCTATCTGCCTATTTAAGGTTAGGGTTAGGGGTTACGGACCCATAAATTAAATCGGTACCTATCGGTCGGATTTCAGCACTGAGCATCTGCTATGGATCCCAGATCTAGTGGGGTTTCTACTCTTGGATGTGGATGACACAACGCAGCCCAAGCAACCCAACATACCTACTTCATCTACAGAGTGCTCTACTTCCCCTTTAGCCGCGAAAATTATATGAGTACCAGGTACTATTACCTCCAAACCCCTTTGAAAATGACTTACCTGATGAACCTACCCAACGAGGTTCTCATTACGATCCTTGAGCTTCTCGCAACCGCCGACCTCCAATCGCTCATCCTTTTGCAACTCACAAATAGACGGCTTCGGGTACTAGTTAGAGATGTCATATATAATATTCAGAAAGTTTCGTCCGCCAGCCGTAGTTCTCAATACGGAATACATCCCTTTTTGAAAACCAAATTCAAGGGTTTGTTTAATACCGCAGATTGCTTCACGGCGATGGAAAGGAGCAGGCGAGCATATCTTAGTCTCGAAGGCGATTATACTCTTCCATTCCGCAGGCTTCCATGGGCACAAGATGAAGAACAACTCCAGGCGCATCTCCGCCCAGAAGCGAGCTGGCGCGACATTAGTCTCACTTTTGGACGAGCTCCTATTACGCACCTAGATATAGTCAAAAGCTTTTCAGCTCCGGAGGGCGATTCTGTCGACTACTATCAACTGGAAATGCCACCATCAGGTATGACAATGGGCCTATTCTACGACGTTCTTCTGTGCGACACAGCCACGTACCGCCGCGAGACAGGAAGCTGGGAACTGATCGTCGGGACACGATTACGCAGCTACGACGTACTATCCGAATATGAATGTTTTATTCCCGGTGATCGGGTTCTGGTAGATCAAAGCAAGGAAGCACGGCAGGCAGCCGTGCTATATGTACGAGGCGCCCCCGTCAGCCGCAATATCGCTAGCGAGACCGAGGAGAATAATTGGATCTCCAGCAGTCAGAATAAGCAACGGCTACTACCGTGGCAGGGGCCGGTCCAGAACTTTATATTTACAGGGTATTACGATTATTAAGACCCGTAGAATTAGGACGAACGCATGTCCCCAAGTTGGACTCCTCCTTTAATACATAGTACATTGGTCGTACACATATCCTAAAGAACCTAGGACAGGGAGAGTATATGCCTGGCTTACTATTATAGTAGAACGGCAACGCCCGGGGATCCCGCAACTTAGCGCCATCTAGAGCTAGAATGACATAGATATCACATACCTATCAACTTGGCATTATGTTTCAAGATAGGACAGCCTTGTAAACTCGGCGAGGAATGAAGCCCGAGCATGAGCAGTTTACTAATCCACTCGACGCTACCCATCCTTCGTACTCGGAAACGCCCCGACTGCCGAGATCTCTTACATGTAAAACAACTCAATCTATCATATATCAAATGCCCGAACCAATAAAACCCATGTATGGCAAGGAACCGAATCTTGATTTCAAAAGAGGTATGATTATAGATCAATAATCATGACTAATAGACGACTTATTAGTAATAATGCGAAGATGACGGAAACAGCAATCAGTCAACATCGATGCCGTAGATCTGATCATGGCGGAGGTTGGAGGTCGTATTGTACAACCGTCGCTGCTTCAGCTTAATGCACCTAATCTGCCCGCTAGGTTAGCAGTGTAACTGACTAGCAGAATGACACGTTTCAGAGCCGGTCGAGGCATATCCACCGCCCCTCATTCGGACGATATTCCAACGTCCAAGATGCAACAAAACGCAACTTGGCGAGAAGAGGTAGGTAGATAAACCACCCGATGACTAATTCATGCATGATTTAGACGGGAATGCGGATTCCGTCGCGGGTCCGTTGTTTCCTGAAGATTCTGTATAAATATTGGATACTAGAACGTCGGCAAGAGGGGTTTGGTCTGAGGGGTTCCTTCTCTATCCGCATCCTGACTGTCTGATCACAACATTTAAACTCGCCATTGCAACATCCCATTTAATCTCTTTACCTACCACAACTTCAACAACTTAAAATCAACTCAACTTTACTTACCAAAGACCTATCCGTAACCATGGCTCCTTTCGGCAAGATCTATTCCTACCCTAACAACTTCCGCGTTGAGCGGGTAAGTTTTCCCCCTTCATCCCAACTCTTAATTCCTAACCCCTGCTCCCTCGTCTCGGATCGTCAACCCTAATACCCCGCGTAGGCCCAAGTTGCAGCCGCCTTCAATGGCCTCGAGGTCCCGCTAGTCGAGGACTTCAAGATGGGCGTCGATAACGCTTCGCCCGAGTTTGTGGCCAAGTTCCCCATGGGCAAGGTCCCTGCCTTCGAGGGAGCGGACGGATACTGCGTCGCCGAAGGTGCCGCCATCGCTACCTACATTGCCCTCTCGGGACCCAAGAAGGCGCAGCTAATCGGCGCCGACGCCAAGACCCAAGCAACGATCTCGCAGTGGGTGTTCTTCTCCGAGAGCGAGCTGGTCGGCAACATGCTCCCGCCCGCCACCATGGTCGTCTTCAAGATGATGCCGTACAACGAGCAGCTCTATACCACCTGCGTTGAGCGTGCTGAGCGTGCGCTGAAGCGTGTCAATGCAGAGCTCGAGGGCAAGAAGTACCTAGTCGGTGACCAGGTCACGCTCGCCGATATCCTTGTATCCGGCGTTCTGTTCTTCGCTTCCAAGTTCTTGATTGACGCCGAGATGCGCAAGGAGATTCCCAATGTCGTCACATGGATGCAGCACCTGGCTACTCTTCCCGAGTTCAAGCCCCTTGGTGAATTCACCTTGTTGGAGACCCGTGCTAAGCCATGAAAAAAGCAATGATCATTGACGCAGAATGTCAACGATTAAAAAATGCATCGATATTCGTAGTAGGGTTGTTCGGACGTTGTCAATGATGTAAGAGGGGCTAGCAACCAAAAAAAAAGTTTTAAACTTTGGTGAGGACGCAGGAGGAGAACACGCCCTACGCTTTACATGTCCGTTCGGAGGAAGAGTGGACCAGTCAGCACGATAACGATGTCAAATAACCAACCAAGATAAAAATATACTTAAGCTTACGAGCAAACCTGCCCGTTCCCGCGTAGTACTGTTTGATTACTTACCTATATGTATATCAAACCCGAAACAATGATATTGTACCGAGGCGTGTAGGTACCCGTCGACACTTCCCTACCCACCCACCTATTTAAAAGAGCAAAAAAAGGCCCTTGTGTGACCGTATGCGGGGCGGCGTGGCTTCCGTTTGTACTCCCACACCAGATGCCAGCTTCCGCCCAACCGTCTCAAAAGATTGCCTTTTTCGTTCGGCGAGCGGAACCCGATTGGCAAGGCGACCGGCAAGGGCGTTAGCCTACAGGGATGACGCCCGCGGCGAAATATGGATGGTAGGTATGGCTCCAGCGCAAGGGCGCTGGGACTTGCAGCACACTACGCCTTCCCGATTACACGACGCGATGGCCTCCGGTTCCGGAATGCGAGGGCCGCGGCGCTGGGGCGTTGGTCCGGCGCTTCTTTTTTTTACTCGCGGGTTTTTGGGAATTGGGGGGTTGGTCATTCTTTGTTGATAAGAGGAACAAGTGTTGTTTCTAGGGAATTTGCAACGGGGTTTTCGATCCCGGTTAAGAGATCTTTTTCGAGTTACGGCAAGATGGATTCGTCGGACGACGAAGGACGTCACTTTGTCATCGTCGCGTTGGAAACTTTTTACGTCCCAGTACCGAATTTCAATTTTCCCCGCGGATATACTTATGAGATTAAAGAGTACTCGAGGACGCGCCCGGAGGAGGTCGCTGAGAGGATTAAGAATGCGAATATTGTCCTTGCTGTTGTGGTCCCGATTACGGCTGCCGCGTTAAGCGTCGAGGCATCGCCGCATCTGAAGATGATCTCTGTGGTGGCGTCGGGAACTGATAACGTCGACTTAGATGCGTGCAGGGCGCGTGGCATCGTCGTCGCGAATGCGCCGCGTTGCAATACTGTGTCTGTGGCCGAACACATCATGGCGCTATACTTCGCGACGCGTCGGTCGATGGTGCTATCACATACGCAGGTACAGGCGGGGGAGTGGCCCAAGAAGGGATCGCTGCAGGAGACACTTAATGGCCCAGATGGGAAACCACCGAAGACCTGCAGGCAGGAGAAGCTCGGAATTATCGGTAATGGCGCGGTGGGTAAGGCGGTAGCAGAGATGGCCCATGCCTTGGGCATGAGGACTAGGAATGCGGCGCGAAAAGGCACATACGAAATAAAAGATCGAAGAACAGGTCGCACACCATTCGAGGACGTAATTCAGGAATGCTCGGTCATCGTTCTATGTCTACCGCGGACTCCTGAAACGTTGAATCTGATTTCAGAGGCTGAGCTCAACATGATGCAGCCTTACACAATCATCATCAACGCCTCGCGAGGCGGCATTGTGGACGAGAAAGCCGTCATCGCTGCGCTTAGGGAGAAGAAGATTGCTGGCTACGGCACGGATGTTTACGAGACCGAACCGGCGAGTTCAGAGAATAGTCTCTTGGTCGGTCCTGACACGGCTGGTCTTAATTTGGTCACTACGCCACATGTCGCGTGGGTTGCCGAGGATACGAATACTCATTATAATTGGGCGACGATGGAGAACGTTGAGGGTTGGCTTAAAACTGGTCAACCAAAACACCCGGTGATATAAGCATGGCGAACTTTGAAGACTTAGACGGTTATATCGGCACATTGCATTGGGCTGTTAGAGGTGCATAGAAATAGAGGTATGAAACACGCCTGATATACATATGAATTATTGCCCCAAGACTTGGATGATTATACTACTTGGGTATTTTCAAGTTTATTCTGATGATCTTCCTGGCGTTAATCTTAGGTAATGCTCTTAGTTCATGCTAACAGTCCACATGGGGGAACCGTGTATATTGCGAAGTAGATACTGACCTGGGTAGGTGGTATTTTGTACAGCTATCACCATCTAGATGAAGTTATCGAAGTCTTCAGCTGGTAGAATCTGCCATTAATCTCTTTATCCGCTCATTCTTGCTTGTCTTCCCTTATGGCAATGAAGCTTGGGAAGCCTTAAAGCTATTGTCTTTGCTAAAATGACGAATTTATCTACTAGATCGACTAGATATCGTCATGAAGTTCAAAAAAACGCCGATGAGCAGGGGTCTTTCTTAGGTAGGCTACTGGTGCGGTGTCCACTTCACACAGCCAAACAGCTTACTCGGCTCACCGCTTGGCAATGGGACGGCAATTTCCCAAGACCCTTCCGGTGTGGTTACCGGGTCCCATCAACATTGGCCTCGGCGGGGTCCCATGCAGGTAATAGCGGTCCCCCGGCATTCTTTTTCTGGGCGAGTCGGACGATGTTGGGGCTTGCGAAATAGGATATTAATACGAGGCGACAAGAAGACACGCTTCCCGGTTTCTAGGACGGATAATAGGGGCGGTCTCGGAAATGAACAGAACCCTATATTTACCATGTCTAGGCCCCAATGCCGAAGCTTCTTTTTTTCCCGTTTCCGCTCCAGCTTCCACAGCTACTGACGTGACGGATCATGATGCAGCACTTGGCAAGATTAGCTTTGGGTATATTCGCGATCGCCGGTCCCGCGCTCGCCGCGCAGGTTGACATTCTAGATCTGGAAGATGGCGATTTGGTTCCGGGGAAGTATATCGTCAGCCTGAAGCCGGCCGTAGATGTAGAGGCCCACCTGAGCTGGGTACGCGACATCCACAAGCGAAACCTCGACTGGTGCGTCACGGCAGGGCTGGAGAAGTCATTCAGCTTCAGTGGGTTCACCGCATACGCGGGCGAGTTTGATGACGATACCATGGCAAAGATCTTGGCCGATACAAATGTAATCCTTAACCGACCTAAGCCAACTACAATGCCTCAACAACACCGCTAACTATCTCAGGTCCTATCTGTAGAACAAGACAGAGTGGGTCGTATATCGTCTCTAGTACAACAGGGCAATGCGCCATGGGGTCTTGAGAGCATATCGTCGCGCACGCCTATCGCCGACACAAACACACGAGGCCACACCTACTCCTATGACAGCACAGCTGGGAACGGAACGTTCGCCTACGTGTTGGATTCTGGCGTCCTGACCAATAACACTCAATTCAATGGTCGCGCCATCAAGGGCTACAACGCGTGGAACGGGACCGAATCCTTCGACGACCACTTCGGCCACGGCACTCACGTCGCCGGTACCATCGCCGCCGAAACGTATGGCATAGCGAAGCAAGCCACCGTTGTCGACGTCAAGGTCGTCAGGAGTGTCGTAAGTCGAACCTTTCGCCCCCACACCCTCAAACTTCAAGCTTACGCAGAACGGTGATATTCTAGGGCTACTCGACACTCTCGCACGTAATCGACGGCATCAACTGGGTCGTGAACAACGTGACCAACACGCCCGGCCGCGCAGGCAAATCCGTCATTAACATGAGTTTAGGTAACCTCCCCTTCCCCTTCCCCCTCCCCATCTCCAATTTTCCCTTCCATTCTAACCCACCCCAGCATTCTCAACCTCAACAACCCTAAACCGCGCCGTCGACGCCGCCAGCGCCGCCGGAATCCTCTCCGTCGTCGGCGCCGGCAACGACAACGCGCTCGCATCAACGCGCTCCCCGGCATCCGCCAGCACCGCGTTAACCGTCGGCGCAATCACGCACAACCGCACCCGCGCCTCCTTCAGCAACTACGGAAGCGACGTCGACGTATTCGCGCCCGGCGTCAACGTCGCGTCTTTATGGAACGAAGAAGGCGCCGAAAGGATCCTCAACGGAACCTCGATGTCGTCGCCGCACGTCGCGGGGCTAGCACTGTACCTCAAAGGGCTGGAAGACGGGCTCGACACGCCGGCCGCGACGATAAAGCGGATCAGGGAGTTATCTGTGCCGGACGTCGTGGGGAATGCCGGGGAGGGAAGCGCGAATCTGTTGGCTTTTAACGGTATCACAGTACCGACCTACTAGAGAATTTTACGTTTTATGAGGGAGGGATGGAGGAGGATGGTGGGGGGTTGTGGTGGTGGTTGTTACTAAAAATAATTACGAACAAAACTGTATATATCGGATGGGTATCGAATGTATTCATTCTCGTAGCAACTGTCTCACTGGTCCTGTTCTTTTGTTACCTTAATCTCTAAAGTGCATTGACAGAAATAGAAATCATTACCCGAGGCAGAGAAGCCAGGGAAATATCATCCTTAAGATACTTAGATATTTACGAGATCGATTTTCTTATTTGTGTGGTTCTTGCAACCGCCAATCACCGTATCACACCTGAAATTGAAATCGTTGTATCGTCACTAGAACGAATATGATAGGAAAGCTTCTGCATTTCTCAACCGAGTATCAAAAGCTTGTGTCCTCGGTATCAACCTAATCCTAGTACAGGCATCGAAGCCTCGATGCCGAAGATGGAACCCTGGTAAGGAAAAACAATCGTACATGCAAAGTCGCGTCCCCCCCGTACCTATTAGCAAGAACTTTTCTGGCCCTTTCCGTGCCATGCCCCCGCCAGTCAAAACGAGAGTAGACGGTACCCTCAATCATTCATTAGAGTAGAGAAAGTATCAGCCTAATAGAAGGCGTGTGGCATGGCCACCGCCACCGTTAAGCCTAACCCGCATTCTGCATCCAGGCCGGTTTTGTCTGCGATTCTGCGGACTACGCGATGCCTAATGGTAGTTGCCGCCCCAACCTTGTTGTTGTTGCTGCTGGCGACCGTAATAAGCTCCGAAGGCTTGATTGCCTCCATAGCTTCCATATGGTCCATTGCCGTGACCTTGTCCAGCCGCACCACCGATTCCATAACTGCCCGCAGATTGATTGCCATGAAGACTATGGCTCATGTGACTAGGATATCCACCGTAGCCGCCCATGCCCTGCTGAGCGGATTGGGGTGGTGGAAGACCAGTTCCCGCCGGCGTGGTGTTCGTAGCTGATCCGGGTCGCGCCGCAGCTGCGAGGGAAGGGCTTGGACCGCCGGCAGCTTTCGTATCACCGTATGGCTTGAGGTCATCGTTACCAGCTGCGGTACTCGATGCGGGCGCATTAGGCGAGTTAAAAGATTGGCCAGCCTGAGAAGGGTAGGCCGAACCACGTCCGAAGGTGTCATGCATTCCACCAAAGCCACTGGTACCAAGGCCGCCAGGAGCGCCCGACTGCGCAGAGCCTGCACGGCCGTAATTGTCAATGCCAGAACCTAGACCAGTCTCGCGAGCTCCAAGAGTTGATTGGGCAAAGCCACTAGTCGCAGGCGACGAGGCATGATCGTAAGGACCCTGAGGGGACATGCCGTATTGATGAGGCTGTCCATAGAGCCCACCCTTACCGTAAGGGCCACCGCCGTAGCCACTTTGTCCATAACCACTGCTGTACTGGCTCATGTACTGAGCATAATAAGGACTGGAGTAGTAAGGATGGGAATAAGGGTACTGGTTAGTGTGTGGCTGTTGATGAAGATTCGACTGCGGCTGGTTCGTCTGGCCAGTGGCCTGCTGACCTCCTTGCCCAATAGGATTAGGAGTATTGTGGCCACTGTTATGAGATTCGGCAGAAGCAGCAGCGCCGTATCTAGTCTGCTGTGCACCGCTTTGAGGGTACTGGCTCAGATTATCGTTCTGGCCAGCGTTGTAGCCACCAAATGCGCGGTTCGGAGGGTTCGAAGTCTCGTGGTGATTCTGACCACCGTGCTGCTGCTGTTGCTGCTGCTGTTGTTGCTGTTGTCCATACTGCTGGGCGTAGTAATTATTGTAAGAGTTTCGGCCCTGTGGGTCAGCAGAATAATACGAAGAGTATTCACTCGGCGCGGAGCTAAATGCGCCGGTGGTTGGGGGTCCTGCCGTTTGTGTTGTAGGCGTAGGGAAGCTGTCAAGACCGGCCGAGGTGGTAGCTGTCTGTTGACCGAATGAGTCGTACGGTTTCTGTGGGAAGCCAGCCGGTTCCTGTGTGTTAGTCTGACTGAAACGACCGAATTGTTGATTGGCGGGCGCTTGAGGCGCTACGTAAGGATTAGTTGGAGACTTGATCTGGGGATATTGTGGGTATTGCGACATACGTTGGGTCACTGTAGCAGCTGGGCCGGTCGGGGGAGCTACGGGTGTCGCTAAAGGATGATTAGTGTACTGGTTCATCATATAGAAGATTCTGTAGGGTATTGTACCAGCTGTGCCAGGGGCCGGAGGAAGCGAAGCGGCCGGCTTCTGGGCAGGTGGGAAGGCCTCAGGTACTGCTGCCGGTTGGGATACCGGAGGCAATGAGGCACGAGGAGCGGCCACGGGCGATTCGGGAGGCGGCTGAGTCCTAGTTTCGGGATCCTCACGGTCGCCGTCAATATCCTCCTCTCCACCGTTTAGACTGAATGCGCCAAATTGGACAGCAGCTCGGTCAACTTCGCGGTTTCCTGGCATGCGAACTGCCTCTTCTTGCTCCAGAAGGCGCTTCTGGTAGCTGGGCATACGTGGAGCAGGACGTTCGGTCGCCTTGATCGCCGTCGTTGCGTAACCACTAGCAGCAGGTCGTGGAGTCTGGTGCTGAGCTTGGGAGGCTGAGAGCGGAGTAACCGATGCACTCGGCTGAGGCTGTCTCGGATCCCATGAATCCGCCGTAGTACTTGCAGCTGTGTTAGTCGCGATCGGATTCGATGCGTCAGGTAGTTGTTCGAGATTAACTCGAGTCAGGTCGTCTTCGGGAGGGGGGAGTGCCACTTCGGGTTCAACCACCTTAGGCGGCTCCACGACAGGGGGGTTCTCAACAACCTCCTTAACCGGTTCTTCAGGGGCGGGCTGAGGCTCAGGCTCAGGAGCAGTAGGCTCGGCCGGTGGGAGTGGTTCAATAGGTTCGGCGGGCTTAGGCGTGGGAACTTCTTTCGGCTTCGGGGTAGGCTTTGGCGCAGTTGACTGCCGAAGCATGCTAGCCCAGGTCTTCTGAGTGTTCTGGGGGATAACGGTAGGCTTTGCGGGCGCAGAATCAGTAGTCGATGTAGTAGGGACAGTAGCAGGGGGAGTTGCAGTGGTTTCGGTGGTTGATTCAGTTGTGCCCCAAGCCGAGGTAGTGGCATCATCGTTCGCAGCACCAGTCTTCCAATCGGCAGATTCTTCGGTCGGGACAGAGAGTTGGTGGTTATCCTTAGACTGGTGGCCGTTCGTAGGAGGGTGAGCGGTGGCTCGGCCTCGACCAGTGCCTCGACCTCTCTCGGTACCGCGTGCACGTCCACCTCGGAAATCAGAACGACCACCACGAACAGGTCTACTGTTGCCGGAATCGCTGACGGTAAGAGGCTCCTTAGCCTTAGGACGAGTAGTAGTCTTCTTCGGCTTCGATACTTCGCCCCATTGAGAGATAGTACCTATAAGACATGTTATATTAACAATGTGAAACAATATGGCAAGGGAGAGCAACGAAGGGTGAAGACAAGTATGAAGTGATGAAGCGATTAATTTTGGACGTACCATCTGCGATTCGTGTAGCAGCGACTTCGACGTCGCCATCCGTCTCCTTGAGGGCGTAGAGGATATCAGCGTCAGACCAAGTCGGGAAAAGTTCCTTGATAGTGTCCAGCTTTAGGCCATATTGCTTTCTCAGTTGGCTAACATCACCATCATCGTCCAAGCTGGTCGCGTCTAGGGTACTGAACTTGTCGCCATTCGTGCGTCTATTCGCGGGGCCACGGCTACCAAACCCTGCTCTGCCACCTCGGCCGCCACCTCTTCCACGAGAGGATGGTGCCTGGGATCGAGCCTGAACCTCTGCCATTTCTTAGTCTTGGGCTAGGCTGTGAATGTGTAAAGAAATAGAAAATGAGAAATGATTCCCTTCTTAGAAGGGGTTGTCAATAATAGCAATCAAATCAGCGACAAAGTCGACTTGACAGGTTGCTATTAATACGGCGGAGGAAGAGTATGTAGAGTATGGTTGAGGAAGTTGAGGAAGTTTAGTAGGTTGAAGGTTGAATGACGAGAGAGTGGGTTTTGGTTCCAGGTTGGTTATGGTTGGATGATGGATGGGAGGAAGGTGTTTAAGAACTAGGGTGGCGCGTGTGGCACTGTATGCGATCAGTTCAACCACTGGCGAGGCTGACAGTGTAAGTTGTGTCAATAAAAAAAATTGACGCGCAGCGTTAGGCGAATTGGCCAATTGTCTGGAGACAATGGCAATCGGTGGTTGAAGTAAGGAAGAGCTTCACTGTAGCGGAAAATGTTTGATTATTATTTTGCTTTGGATTTTGTAGTACGTGAGTGTGAGAACCTGAATACAGTCCAGAGCTTTGCAGCGAAAAAGGAAGTGGACTGGGTGAAATGTGGATCCTTTGAAGGCTTTTTCGGCTGTTGGATTATCTGATAGTCCTGACGGGGCACCTGGCCACTGTACTGCAGAGTGTCTATTGAATGTTAACGAGAATGCACTGACCCAAATCGGGCATCGTACCTACCGTATGCGTATTGAGTACGTACCCTATCCTGAGCACCTCAGGTCTGACAGGTTATGTAGGGATTGTACCCCATAGAAAGTGGGTTCTTTCCTGGATTTTTGGTAATATTTTATTGGCCAACCACATGGGTGGAACTGTGTAGAGGCACGTGCGAGTCAGCGCCTGCCATTTACGCACCTAAAGGTATGGGGAAGCTTGACCTAGCTAGATTTTAAGGGCAGTCGCTGAGGTAACTAAGATCGATCTGCGTGCTTTATACTGGATGTGTGCGGAATCATAGGCCTAGATAGATACTGTACATGAATTTTTTAAAGAAAAATTTCTGTATTATAGAGAGGTGATAAATAGGTGCATACCAAACCAAATCGAATTATCTTAGAATTACTAGAATTACTCATTGTGAAATAAAATTCTTGTTTGTTCACCTAATAGGCATCTATATATGTAACGATATTGATACATATCCATTTATGTGACTAGATAAAAGCCTCTACCATTGATAGATAGGTACCTAACAAACCTTTGGAATTTACAAAGATTATGCCAATATTTTCAAGGTTTACCTTTCCGGCAAGTCGGAGAAATTAAGTTAGATACATCTTAGTAGTACAACACTTGAATGACTTACAAATCCGGCATCTACGTGCCGCGATTAAAGTAAATCTTCACGCAAATAAAAGTGAACGGTAGTCATATCTATAGTCAACTACTAGGGGGGCATTATTTTGCTTATTATTAGCGCCTAGTTACTTCGTCCTCCCTCCTACCTAAGGGCTTTAAATCAGATGCCTATCCTCTTAAACGTACTATGTAAAGACATAATTGTAACCATTAACTCCTTACTTACTTAGGTACCTAGTAAGCTCAACATTGAAAAGACTCATCCTCTACAATTGCATCAAGTATTCCTACCTGAAGGATGACCCCATGTGTTTTGCAGGGATACTAGATGGACCAAATATGTATGATCATTGCCTGACTCAGTCGTAAGACAAGTCCGCCCTCGTCCGTCACATCATAGTGCTGGCCATCTTATCTTACATGACAACCTTTGAGTTCTAAATTCTACACAGTGCCATAACGATACACATATAACTGGCTTTCTGCTTTGGAGAAACATATTACCAACTAGCATCCAAGATATCCTCAAATCAAAAGTTTAGTATTGAGTTGATTGTAGTAATCTGTATGATGTTCCCTGTGTGCAAAGTATCTAATAGGTATTTATCGATTACATTAGACGCTATACCCAAAGCATATTAGCTCTAAACTCTAGGCGAATAGGAAGGCACGTATCTAACCCGCATCATAAACCCAATACAACCAATCATTAGCTAGTGTTTAGGTACATGATATCCCATTTGATGTTCCACCACTTTAGTCGAAATACTCTGCCGTGACTTCATCTACCCTTCGATCAGCGACTTAGCGACAACAACGTGGATGGCTACACAGGACTCGCCCAAAAATAATAATCTCGCTCGCTCCAGCGCTTAAACGATCGCACGAATTAGGTCGATCGGTTTTCCTCCCACAAGCTCTGGAAGTACAGGTACTTAGAAACCGAGGAGCTTGAATGTCCCCGCAATATCAGACCCGAGTCCATTCGTCGTCACCATTTCCACCACCGATACTGTCACCGTCTTGAGCCACCCAAGATGGTCGTCCGAACGAATTCCCTCAAATCCCTTAAGAATTTCCTCCCACAGCTCCACCAACCCTTGCCTCTAAATAAACGCGAATCGCGACAACTTCTCGAATCGATCACGGCCTCCTTCCGAAAGAACCTTGACGAAGAACACCCGTGGGGGAGCAGTAAGGATGAATCAGTTTCGCGGAATACCACACGCCTGAAACAAGATTCTCCTCTTCTCAAGTCAACCTCTACCTCTTCAAATCGACCAACTGAAAAGCATCTTCATGCAATCCTCTCTCATCCGCTCTTTACCCACCAAGAGCGCCCAAAACCAGCAGCCGCTCTCGACCCATTCCATGTCTTCGATACCGCGGTTTCGAGGGGTCTTATGACCCCACGGCGCGCTGCCGGCTTCCTCTCCAAGGTCCGAACGCAGATTAAAGCTGAAAATCCCGACACTGAACAGGAAGCCATGGCGAAATCTGGTGCCGGGCTTCGGGTGGTGCAGTGGATGCGAACGTCCGGCTTAGAAAGTAACATGCAGTCTTTTTCCAATGTCCCTTTATTTTGGAATCTCATACCTTTCATGTATGCCGAGGGTTTTGAAGAGCTTGTTTGGACATGGGTAGCGCGTCTAGGATCGCAGAATGAGCCTGGAAATTGTGAGGGCATCACCGCAACTGCTCTATACCGCCTACTACAAGCTATAAACAGACTAAAGGGAGAAGGTGTCATGTCTTCCGGAACACATAGTCTTGATGATGCATACAAGGCGATGTTATATGCATATGATATATTACAGCCCGAAAAAAATCGGATAGCGTTTGGTAGCTACAGAATGGCCTGGGTGAGTCTGGCCTTGTCCTCTACGCTGTTGGTCTCACGGTATCCAAAGCCCTCGGCTCCTATATTTGACGCTTTCGTCGATGTCGGACGCTCTCTCGAAGCTCCGATGCATATAGCTCACCTAGAACTACACCATCCTCTAAAACCAAATCACTCCGCCGCCGTCCAGTTCATGCATCAGAAAGCCGACCATGCCGCGCAGATTGGGAATAGCCCATTTTACCGGAAGCAATTTGTTTGCTTGGCCCTGGATACGGCAGATCGCCTGAAGGAGGTCGGAGATGTCGAAGAGGTTTCCTGGATCGAACGACTCCTTACGAAGCTAGGTAACGACCTAAATTCCAGCATTTCTAATATTCTCAACACACAAACCGATAGCTCCGCAGAATCTCGCTTGCGTACGTGGCTTACGGTATAATCATCAAACTGCAACATGAAAACAGCTATGGAGTCGGGCAGGTTTATGTATCACAGGAAAGGATATGATATCCGGGTTGGATCGGCGTTTAGGAGATCTTCATTATCTAACTCATGCAATGAGAACATGAACGTATATTTTTATCAAAATGAATATACCAGACTATTATTATATTTCTTACCATACCCAATTACGTATCAAGACATCTCAGTACAGAAGGCGCATTCAAAACATTTTGCCATAGGCAGATCACCACCAGCTGGCACTGAAGTGGGCCACACCTGCGAGCCAACTGTTGGCATGAGCGTATGCAGCTGTCAATGGGATCGCAGCCAGCAGGCAGCAGCCGTGTGACAGCTGTGGGCGGATCCACCACCAGCTGGTGCTGATCTGCCTATGGCAAAATGTTTTGAATGCGCCTTCTGTATATACGATATATAATCCATCCGAATACAACTAAAAAGGGGGTATCGTACAATCATCCAACGAAACCAAGCGAAAAACTCATCATACGTATAACCAATATCCCATACATTTCATCCATCCAGCGTCCCCCCGCATATCATCACAAACGAACAAAAGAAATAGAGACGAAAAGCACCTCAACCCTCCTCCATCTCCATCCCATTAACAACCCTCAAAGCCCGCCGCGGGCCCAACACAACACTAATAAAATTCGGCTCCCGCCCATCCAGCAGCGCCTCCGCCGAGCTCCCACTCGCCGTACTCCGCGTCGCGCTGCTCTTCGACCGACTCACCCTCGCTCCTCCTACAGTATACCCATCATACCCCCACGGATACCGATCCTCACTCGGCCTCAACCGCCCCGACCCCGACCCCGACGTCCCCGTCCCAGGACTCCGCTCCTCCCCGTTCCCAGCCATCGGCACCTTCGGCTCGCCGAGCTGTCCGACCCAGCCGAACCGTTCGCCGGTCCCGTTTTCGGAGTTGTGGCGCTGGGTTTTACGCAGTTTTTCGCGGAGATTGGTTGGGGCTAGGAAGCCGTTGTTAGTGGTGTCGTCGTCATCATTGTCACCAGCGGTAGTGGTGGCGCCGGAATACCGGTTCGCGACCTCCATGTGCCGCTTATACGCCGCGACCTGGCGGCGGTACAGCCACGCGCAGAAACCGAGGTACAGCGCCGCGAGCCCGGCAAAGCCCGCGATCACACCCGCGGTGATCAAGCCGCCGTTCGTCGCTTGCGGCGCCGGGGTGGTGTTCCCGGGGGCTAAGCCAGTTGCGCCCGGGCTGTTTGTTATCGTCGCGGTGCTGCCTGCCTGCGTGATGGTGAAGACGGGGGGCGTGCCGGTTTTGAACGGCCCGTCTGTTGCGGGGCCTGAGGCTGGTTGTGTTGCGGTTGCACCGCCCGCGGAGGACCCGCCGATTATTGATTGTACTAGGCCTGGGACTTGGTAGCCGTAGCTGCCGGCGAGGACGCTGTTGTCGGCGTGTGCGTTTGCGGGGTGCGAGGCTGCGTCGAAGGAAGTCTTCCATTTTAGGTTTGAGGCGTCGAAGGTGTAGATGCCGGGACTGTCGCAGGCAAGCTCGGTGCCGACGTAGCCGCCTATTACGATCATTTGGCCGTCTCGGGCGGCGCATTGGTGGCCGGCTCTGGCGGGCGGTTGTGTGCTTGTGGTGGTGTCGACTTTGATCCAGGTGAATGAAGGGACGGTTAGGATCCATATATCTGTGTATTGGGTCTGGTTGCCGTACGGGAGCAGGTTTTGTCCGCCGTACATGTAGATGTTGAATGAGCTGGCGTCGGAAGCAGAATAGATAACCGCGCACGGATTGACCCGTACTTGCGGTGCTTCACCTGATGTTTGTTGGTGGTACCAGGTACTCGTTTTGATATCATACACGTCAATGGTGCTCATGGAGGAGAATGCATCGGTTGTTTCGTTATCTCCAACCACCCCTCCACCGAGACCAAGCAGGATGCCGTTAGGTCCCCAGCCGGGTACGTATACGAGAACACCGTCGGCTCTTTCGCTGAAACCATCTTGGTTTTGAATACCGCCCCAGGTGATGTTGCGGAAAGCGCCTCCGGTAGGGGCACCAGAAGAGCGGAGTGAGTCAACTCCAGAGTTGGCGTAGCCAGGATGCGTAAACTCAAGTAAGCTCTTCAGGTAAACACGACCGACCTGGTCTGACCAACCTGGTGTAGTGGCCCAGTCTAGATGACCACCAAAATACCAGCTGACGCCCAGCTCGGGAACAGAAATTCCAGCTCCTTCCGCCGCTCGTTGTATTGGAACGCCTTCGGGATCTGAGAAGTTACCGGCTGAAGTTTTAGGGTCTTCAAACTCAGTCCACGTCGAAGAAGCAACATCATACACCCATGTAGAAATTGTGGATGGTAGTGCTATAGGGTTGTCGGAAAATTCGCCTCCGTATAGATATAAACGATTCAAGTCGTTCCAAAGATAACCGAGCGACACGGCTGGGGGGCCGGATGGTTGCGGGAGGCCTGTTAGAGCTGGGGAGCTGATATCCCATGATTTAGTAACATCGAGGGTAATGAAGTGGTTATCTTAGTGTAAATCAGTATGTGTTTTCTTTCGGTCTCGAAGGTTTAACTTACTCCATGTATTCGCTTCCTGGTCGCCAGTAGTCTTCGACCGACCACCGTAGTAGTATATCGTCCCATTAATGAGAGCGCCTAGTCAAGGTTAGTCTCTACATATACTAGATGAACAGCAAATAAAGAGTAGGTCGTTACTTTGGCCAGCCCACCTTGTACAGATACTAGGAGGACTATTCTGACGGTCTTCGAGGACGATGCTTCGGGCTGGTCTAGTCACTCTTGCGTCTGCGCCGCTAACCTCAACCTTCTGGCGGCCATTATTAAAACTAATAGTTGGAAGAACAATTGCAATAAGTAGAACGATCATCGAGAGCCTAAATAGCCCTGCAAACATGGGAGGTAGCGCACTAGAAGCTGTTTTGATCCTTGGACGCCTTTTCGGTGTCAATTTAGATAGCCAATTCGGCTTTCCTCCCGACGAATCTTCCCTATCAGAGGTCTTCTTTTCAACTGGCGAAGTCGTTTCCGAGGTCGATTCTATTCTTTCACTTGGTCCAATCTCTTCGTGGCTCTCGGAAGTCGTGCCTTGTTGATCTTGCTGGCCTTCCTCTTCGTCTTCAAACAATCCTACTTCAATAAACATCGACTGTCGACCTTCTCTAATCTTGCTGGCCATGGAGAAGGTTGGAAACGTCTCACTTTCTCTTAGTCGATCTTCGGTGACTTGCGAATTGAACCTCGGGCGTGCTGCGACACTTTGTGGTCTTCCAGGATCGGAATTTCTGTGTAGAACTCTGGTGAAGGTCATGGCGAAACAGCGCTTGGGTATCATTAATGGTATGAATATGTACGTAAGCGGTCATTTGGTCACTTTCTGTAGTGGATGTCGCCACTCCATGTAAAATAGTGGCTATAGGAGAGGGGGTGGCATCTTCATATATAGAATGAGGTCACATAGTAGCCTTCAAAAGTTCTTAGAGGTCGTCAAGTCGTATAGCGGTAACAAGAGGGCCAATCTCTAACAACCTATAGCTTATTACTAGGTATAGCTATAGGTCGGTGTACTGCGCGTCACCATGTCATGACCGAGTAATAATCGGCTGGGCGCCTCCTGAACGTAAGAGGGTGGCATGCCAGCATACCAAGATGGGCTGCATGGGTTGTTGGCTCTCTTCATCATAAATACGGCTATTGATGGCCATGATTGCATCAACTAGTAGCATTCACTATAAAGAACCATCAAGACCCTATGGATTGAAGAGGGAAAACTTGGAAACTTGTTCGATAGAAATCGGTAAGCATGCAGCTGCTCATTACCGTTTCTGGCCAGGAACCGACGGATTCATCCCAAGCGATTGGTTCTGGGGAACTGGGGCGACCAGGGGCGGGTTACCGATGACGACACACTCTGAGATCCAGTCGATCTAGATGTACTAGGTAGTCTAGATGCTAGACGGGCTATGTGAAGGCGTAGAGGCGTTATTCAGGACCGGGGTGTACTCGTCTAGAAGGAGGGTTTGCTCCTGGTTGTCTTCGCATAGGAGTAGTATGTACACATACAGATCGGTCAGGCCGTGTAGCAAAGCCACTAGCACTGTGTAACATTTCTTCTTTTCAGTAAAAGAACTCCCTGAGCTATAGCAGCTATTCGCTAAATTTTAGCGGCTACATTACTCACAGAAGTCAACATAGACTCAGTATAGGTAGGTACCTAGATAACTTTCTATGGTGAAAACACTGTGTAAACATCCTTAGTGCGGGTACCCTTAGAAAGAAGATAATAAGCGCTAGATGGATCCCTTGCATAACACAGCTAACATCAATTAGGTGCCACTTATAGGCGGAGTAGGGGTCATTTTAGCGAGGGGACAAGAGTTAGTCGTCTTTTTCAAACGTCATTGATCACCGACACCGTTAGAAAGCATCACGATGGACAATTGTATTCTTGAGATTACCTTACTCAAGTTAAAATGAAGAATATTCTAAAATTTACTTAAAGAACTCTGATTTACTAACAAATGGATGATCCGTCTCAGTCAAGTGATCAGACAACGAACGTCCAATCTCACAACTTGCTATTCATGACAGCGAAAATGTGATCATTTATACTGCTATTGGGTTTATGACTAAGAAGACATTTCAACGCAATAAGAACATATTAGTGATGAAGAACTTGAAATATCCGAGATTTTCGCAGTCAGTACCTACCATCGGTCTAATATTCTACTCAGGACTTTCCGTCTCGATGATTAAGGGGCAAACATTACCTTGAAGCCTGACTCAACGTAGACGGCTCGTCACTTCAACATTGTTATTTGTGGGAGTCACTCACACTCACCAATACCAATGCAAGTAGTTTGCAAGTCCCCTAGTTTTTATATAACGAAGTATTTTCTTCAACTCTTTAGATCTACAAGTAGTAGTCCTTGGCAATTTGGATAGGCATTTAGTAAAATTCAAACCCGAGTTAGGAACAAGATTACAGACTCTGAAACTGTAGCCACAGCATCATACACGATGTCTATCTTACTACTACTCTCTCTAATAATGGGCACATATGGGCATTGCCCACCATTCCCGATGAACAACGGCTCGACCAGGCTTAGCCAACCGACATTCGGAACCACGCTTACTATTTCCGTTCGGCCAGGATCGTTACGGAATAATCATACTAGTCCTACAGGGTCTGTATCAAATCTAGCGGGAGCGCATGGGGGCATAGGTGCACTGACAACATCTTCAACCATTGCCAACATGTCTAATAGCTACTCCAACACAGCAGTTCAAACACCTCTGTCTTCAGTGGTTTTCAGCACAATGCCATGCGATGACGACGACGATCCAAGCATTCCTAGCGTGTCGACAATCTGGCCATGGCCTAGCAATAGCACTCCTCCGGAAACTTCATCGTCGCAACCTCCCCAAGCGCCGACATATACCTCATCCATCAGTACTTCCACCAATCCTGGTAATGTCACGAAGATAGGATGTGGCTCTTCAACATCGATCACCACAACCACACCATCTGTTTCTATCAGCCAAAGCACTAGTTCCACCATCGCGAATAACACGGTACAAGTAGGGCAGGCCCCGGCGCCGCAAACTGCGCCCGGATTTGTAGGTGAACTTCCGACCATTAGCAGCTCGACTAGTAGTAGCTCTTCCACTGCCGCAAATAACACGGTACCGGCATGGCAGCCCCCGCCGAAAACTGCGCCAGGGTTTGTAGGCGAACTTCCTACCATTAGCAGCTTTTCCACCGCCCCTATTACTTCTCTCACCACGCCAACTACGACCCCAACTACCACTATAAAGGTCACCCCCATCACGACTTAGTCTTTGATGTGGTCTAAACTGTTCGACAAGTATTAGGCTGGTATCCATACGTTATTGAGTCTTTGGGGCTCGCTGTTGGGAAGGACTTCCGGTTTTGGGACACTTAGGAAAGTCGTAGGGATAGTAGGGTTAATTGCCGTCTAATTTTAATACATAATTAGGAGGGTCCGGTATACCTAGGTAGTTTTGTAAGCTGTTGTATATGTGAGTGAGATTTAACATTGTGTGAAGGAGTTGATGTCTCTGTCGCCTAATAGAAAGCCTGGTGAAGTGTAAAGGGTAATAGAGGATCTCTCATGCCGCGTACTCTCCGTAATTCAGCCAAGAAATGTTTCTAACCTCTTTATATCCTCCTGACTTAATAAATTCTTTCTATCTTGTTATGGACAACGCAATGTGCGGCGGCTCTTCGAGGAAGGCCACCATCCCCATTGCTGCCTTAGGCGCCGCTAGCAATCGCACCAACGGTATCATCGCGGGAAAAAGGCTTCCATCTTTCATCCTCATGACCAGCATCGTTTTCATAGGTTGGATAATTATCGCTATGCTACGGTATGTAAACGTTAGTCATCATTCAGCTTTCGCTTGTAAGACAGTAGACTCCATACTTACCCAACAACGCCATTCTTATGCTGCACTGGGCGCCGGTCAACGACCAGCGACCGACGTATGGTGACCATTTCGATATAAATACTCCTCACGTTGCCACGTATTCAATAATGTAAATATACATATGTAGGTACCTAGCCTAGGTAGGTACGTACATGACATCAAGGATGAAAGCAACCAACGCAAACAAAGCCCCGCTCCTCCCGAGCCTCCCTAGCCTCCCTGACTCCTTACTTCGACTTTCATCGTCAATATCTACTCCGCATCTTCTTACCCTCTTGTCTTCTCTCCCGTCTCATTCATGTCGCGTAGAACTTGCCATGGCTATCCTTCAAATATTTCTGACGACAGTGCTTTTGGCCGCCCTGCTGACTATCGGAGGTGCCATACGCCGTCTGTTCTTTCACCCCTTGGCTCATATCCCTGGCCCGAGACTGGCGGCTCTCACCTGGTGGTATGAATTCTATTTCGACATCATTCAACCCGGCCAATATGTCTTCAAAATCCAGGAGCTGCACAAACGATACGGTAAGCCCGATAGGTGCGCATGTGTAGGTAGTTCACAGCGCAGCATTCACTGATCTATCCACCTCGTAGGACCAATCATCCGGGTCACCCCGGACGAGATTCACATCTCCGATGTTGGATTCCTCGACACCATCTATGCCCCTTCGTCATCCCCGAGAGACAAGTATGAGTACCAACTGAGATCTTTGCGGGTTCCCGGTGGAGTTGGCACTACTCCCAGTCTTGAAGTCCATCGCAAACGACGTGAAGCTCTATCTCCGTTCTTCAGCAAACGCAATGTAGTCTTCCTTGAGCCGACGATTACCGAGAAAGTTCAACAGCTTTGTCAATTGCTTTTGAAGCATGCCTCCGAACAGACGCCAGTCAATCTTTCAGATCTCTTCTTCGCCTTCTCCAACGAGTAAGATCCCTTCAAATCCGGACGGGACAAAGAATGGTCCTAACAGAGGCTAGTGTTGTCAATAACTTCTTGTTCTCTCAGAGGACAGACGTGCTTTCGGATGAACAGAAAGCCGCCGCATTACGCCATAACAGCTACCAGCTCTTGGCGGGAAGTCATCTTAACAAGCACTTCCCGTTCATTCCCGACTTCCTAGAATCTCTCCCGGAATCCATCAGCAGGCCTATCATGCCACCTGGATTGATTGATATGCTAGACCTATTTGATGTATGCGTTGCCCTGAAAAGTATTGGCATGCTGTTCTAACACGAGAGACGCAGCGAGTCCGAGCCGAATTAGTAGGCATCATCAAAGCGAAAGCTTCTGGGGCCGGTAGCGATTCGTCGAGTGCAAAGTCTGTATATTATAATGTGCTCGACAATCCTATTTTGCCCGCATCGGAGAAGGCCTTGCTCCGGCTAGAGCAAGAAGGTGCACTTCTGGTTCTCGCAGGAACGGAATCACCAGCCAAGTCCCTCAACATGATATTCTACCACCTGCTGGCTAATACACAGATCATGAGCAAGCTACGGGAAGAACTCAGCACCGTCCCACAACCAGCGTCGTGGACCCAACTTGAGCGACTGCCATATCTCACCGCGGTCATCGAGGAAGGTCACCGTCTCTCCTTCGGTGTCACGGCCAGAACAGCGCGTATCGCTCGGGAAACACTTATATACACCCCTACATCTTACGCAGCTTCCTCTCCGAACACGGGAAAGTCCTTCAAGATCCCCGCCGGTACTCCCATGAGCACAACGACCTTGAGCGCGCATACCGCAGAGAGTGTTTTCCCCGACCCGTTCGTCTTCGATCCGGAACGCTGGCTCGGTGACGAGGACCGCAAGCTCCAGAAATGCCAGATGTCCTTTGGCAAAGGCAGCAGAAAGTGCCTTGGCATCGAGCTGGCACGTGCTGAGATGTATCTGGTGACTGCAGCGCTGGTCCAGAGCTTTGATATGAAACTGTGGAAGACTGAGGCGAGCGATGTGGCATTTGTTCATGATTATCATGTTTCAATGCCGAGCGCGGAGTTCAAGGGGTTGGAGGCTATGATAACTACCTTATGAGGAAATATAACATGGTTTCGCTAGTTAAAATATTCATTGCTTAGTATAAAGGGGCGCGTCTAAGTGATGGCTATCGGCTTCAGGCGCGGTGATTTTATCGGGAACGAGTGCGTAAATAAAGTAATTTTAAGACTTAAAATCCGATTTTGATGGGGTAAGGCGTCGCGTGGAACAGTCCATCCTGTGGGTCGCATGTGGCATAGGGGATGCCATTTCCAGATCCGAAAATCTCCAGTCTTGAAAGCGTCTATGTCGTGTAGGCATCATTTGCATACAAAATCCGTGTCAGCTCCTCGCCAGGTGCTCCTACGCAGCCCTCGCAGTAATTCGCCGTCGGCTGCCGCCTGCCAAGGTACCACTCTGCTACAATTTTATATAACTGCCACATGCTCTGTAGCAATACAAGGTCGGCCACAATAATTGCGAGTATGAGGTTGCCAGCGGATTTGAGTTCGGGTACTTGGCAAAGATATGTGGTTGCTATGACAGATGGGATGACACTTAAAGGCCCAGTCGTGGCTTTTAGCGAATCGAAGCTTGCGTTCCCCGGTCCAGCCTTGAAGTTGGCCATCTTTATCCGCGAAAAGTTCGATGTGAAATAAGTCAAGAGCGATTCGTCACTAAGTATATTGGACACTGCTGCCGCTTGACCCAAGTCTGTTAATACAGTAGAATATGTTGATTTGGCTAGCGTATCTGCCTCGATCCAAATGTTAGGGTACAGGTTTGCTGCATTCAGACTCCCAGCTGTTAATGGTAGAGGTAAGGAAGGACAGCAAATCACATCGAAAGAGGCACTGCCTTTGTCGACAATAAAACGATAATCAGTATCGAGGAAATTCAGGTCCTTAATGTCGGAGAATGTTCCGTTAGGTGTGAATGACACAGTGCCTTTGCGTATCCCACGCTCGCTGTTTCTGGTCTTGTTAATACGCTCTAGCTGCATCTCCCACGTAACCGCCCCCCAGTACGTTGACATCAGCGTTTCGCCCCACCAGAGGCTTGCCCGTGTCGTTTGATTGCGGCTCAGAAAGCCGGTGCCGAGGAATTTATAAACATCGGTGTACGAAGCAGTGTTGGGCACGTATTCATAGGTTTGTGTGAGATTGAAAAAGACCATACCAGCCGAAGTGGTTATCCGGCAGGTAACATAAGATCTCAATAGGGCACCCCATTCAGAGTAGGCGAACTGGTTTGCGGTTCGATCCATTGCTTCGAGATTTATTTCGATTGAGGTGACAGAACAGTTCTCTAATACATTATTATAATAATTGAGTGAGGGATAAGCAATGTGGTCGCCGGTATCTTCGTGGTACTTCCACACATTCGTTAGCGTATACGTGAGTGCTGTCTGGTTGGTGAAAAGCTGGCTGTCCACAGGTAGGTTGGCGGGCTGGCACGTCGGTTGGACTTTAGCAGTTAGAAACGATGGCCAATGCTGGAGCCAATTGCCCTCAGATACTGTGGCGTTAGGATCTGAGGATATCTGCACTACTAGATTATAACCACTTGAAGCGAAGTTCAAGAAAGTGAAAAGAGCAAGAGAAACGATGCCTCCGATTATAGCACCAGGCGTAAACCAACGAAACGGAAAGGGCCGTGATACGCCATAAGTGAAGAAGGATTCATATTTCTGACTTGACATTTTACTGCCAAATATGACCTGAGGCCCTAGACAAGACAGTATGATCTACAATTTTGAGAGACCTTAAGGTCGAGAGAAGAGGACGAAACATGATAGCTAGAAGATAGGAAATCAAAGGTGCTACGGTTGCCTATTATAATCCATTTTATCAGCTCTACGAGGGGTCATGAATGAACATGGGACCGACGCCATTCTATGCATTATCATATATTAGAGTCGCTTTGGGGTCACTTTAGGGCTACCCACATCGGAAGAGCCCCATACCATTGCTTACATCTAGGTCCGTTAATTGCTGCCAAGCGCGAGCTAATGCCTACAGGAATGGCGTGTGGTGCTAAGTTAAGAGCAAAAAAGGTACCCCTGTTGTCAGCTAGCCCCCAATAACCGGGATCTGAGATCTGACGGAATGGAATGCCTGCTTCATAGCCGCCTGGAGTAATGATTAAACTTTTGGTACCCAGGTATGGATGAATTAATAATATAATTTTGGGAGTGTTTGCTGTGAGTCAATTTCTGATGAGTTCAAAGAAGTAAATTTATAGTAATAGCAAAGATTGTGTGAAGTCATAGCCAACTTACAGTGCTAACTAGCCTAGAAACTCGCAATCGCAATCGACCCCAAAATCCTATAAAGAACGCAGATAATATGGCTCAGCTAAAACTAGGAAGCTGCCGGGCAGGCTGAGAACTTGAGTCTACTTTTACCAACGTACTAGCTAGATGGGTGGTATAGCTATATTCTCAAATGGTTGAATCATCTTAAGTAGGTACCTACCTAGTACTGTAAGAGTTGCTCGCCATCGTTCCTTTAATAAGTAGTTTAATCTTTAATATTCATCCTAAGTATTAGAATGATACCATTAAACTTGGATGTCTCCGTCTTCAACTACTTGGTATATACCTATAGGTACACAAACACATTAACAAACTTAGGTACTTAGGACCTTTGAACTTAATTCACGCTGAAGTATTATACAGGTAACTCCGTTCAGAGAGATACGACCGCTTCCTTCCAGCCGACCAAAGCAGAATCTTAAGTCGAAAGATCAACTTGATCGGATCGAAGTCGAGACCAGTGATCAAAGGGCATTTCCCAAAGGTATTTAACACGGCCTCCACCCTTCTGTTTTCTTCCACATTTTCTTCACACATTCTTTTTTTTTTCCCACATCACACCTTTTACCTACCCTTCGTGGTATGTTGTGGGAAAACATGTTTGTAATACCTCCTTCATCACATAATATCCATCACCTATCTACTTCAAATTAATCCTTAAAATCCATACATATCATCATATAAGTATGGCGATTACTACTTGGGGTGGTATATACCTTTGCCCCTCGAGATACTCTCCAACCTCACGAGGATGTGAGAGAAATGGTTATTAACCATACATAAATTCCCATACACTTCTATTATTCTTTATTCATTACTAAATATTACTCCTCTTCATCACCCATCAGGGAACGCGACTACAGTTATCATTAAAGGATACCTCTTAATATTCCTTCCATGGAGAAGCAACAATTCATCCATTGGAAGAGGTAAGCAAAACATACCCAATCCTAACCACCTTTCCATCGATAGGTACCTTTTAATATCAATTGCTAATTATATTTACTCTAGTGCGACTCCGATTTAAGAGAAGCCCGAAGACATGAACCTTTTTAATTATCGGGATCATTTAGGGGCTTTAGACTTCACTGCCCCGCAAGGGAACCCGAATCCTCTAATAACCTACAAGGTGTTCGGATGAGAGAATCTGACCCTTATCAATATTTTCGAAGTTCAACTTATACCTTCATTTTATACCCGGACGCGACGAGATATCTAAACCCACCACCCACATGGGCATTCACTTGACAGGCATCATGCCATGTGGGTGGTTGCCGGCTGTGTCGCACATAAACCGACACAGGCAACTAATGGAGCAGCCGAAACCTCGTCAAGCTCAAGGCCGATCACAATGTAGGTCGTCGCTGGCGACGACCTCTTCAGCATGTCTGCCCGCACACATTTTCTCTATTTTCGGACATTAATACCTCCCTGGCGACGGAAAAGCCAGCGGGGGCACATCACATTCTTCGTGATGTTGGTCTCTTATGGGGTGTTCAATAATCGGGTCACCCCTCATGGCCTTGTGGCGCCGAGGCTTTGAACTACGCCAATATCACTGGTGATATTGGCGATCTTTCGATCAGTTATCGCCGAATTGAATATTATATCGCAATTCGGCGGTGGACCAAGTTCCCCGATGGATTCGGGTTGAACGGGTCACACGCGCACTATCTCTTACGGGAGAGACGATCCCGTGAGGTAATTAACTATTGGTAAATACCACTCAAAATAGTCCCTTGGACTCATCGTCGGTGGCGTGGAGGGGCGGACGGAGTCGTGGCCAATCCGTCGCCTGGGCCGAAGCCACGCCGAGCTGCGATCACCAAATAGCTGGCCTGGCTCATGGGATTTAATACCATATGGCATTTGCGGCATACAACACGCTGCACGGGCTTAATATTAGGCTGGAGTTCAACAAGAACCCAAAACCAACCGTCCTAGTCCCTACCCTGCCTAGACGGTTCTAATTAATTAAGAATCATATAGTAGCTATCGAAGCTACAGCTCATTAATGAGCGGGCATATCACTTACTAGACTATGCCTGGTGCGATACGTTCCAAAGACGTTATCTACACGATTTCTCCCTGGATCCAATGATACTATTACCAGTAAGTCTCCAAGCTATTAACATGGCGAAGCCCATAATCTAATTTGCAACAGCGGGAAACAATCCAGGATCGCACTGGACCGTGCTGGATCACGGTGTCCAAGCCTGGGTTAGAAGAGTGACGTCGAATCTCTTGGAGGACTCGACTGTCTACCGAAGTCAGCGTTGGTGACGAGCGCTAAGACGCTGGGAGTTTCTCGGTGAAGCTGGTTCTTCACCCGGAGATGGAGTCTAGTAGGACTCCATCTTCGCAGACCTTGCGTGGAATGGGCTCACGGGGTGGTTACCACCTTCCCACTCGTAGCCCACTGCTTTCGCTCTAGATGTGGGCGGGGTGGTGGGCTTGGGTGGCAAAGATTCCAGTTCATGTAAGGTCTGGAGAGAAGAGCAGATGGACGTAAACGATATTCCAGTATAAATGAGGACGGACTCGCGCAACCTTCGTTCATCTAAGAGCATACGGCACTTTCTCCATCACTTTACGTGAAGGAGACCAGTGGTCCCATCAACCACGACATCTCGAACATGGACACATTTTCAATACGATGTTCACTCATCGTTGGGTCGAGAGGACTCAATAATTGGTACCCGATATTTGGTACCTACACTTTTTTTATCTTCAATTCCCGAAGATCTAAAAGAAGAAGAAAATACCTAAAGACCATGTCGATAGACCAATCCAGGATGAGACAAGCTCGGGGATTTCGGGTCAGGGTCTGTAAATAATGCGGGGGAAGAATGTTAGTGATAGGTGATAGGTCAAACCCGATGAAGCGTTTTAGCATACATGGGGTATCCCCGCACACGAATAAATCCCGCGTGGAGACCCTGAAAGGGCTGACGGGATAAGGGATGGGATGGTATTTTCGATCTTGGTTAATAAGTTGGAGTAGGGTTACGTTACGTCTATCTTCCCTAGGATAATCCTAAGGCAAATCCTCAGATCAGTCCTAACTTTTACAAATAAGTGCTTGACTATTAGGTGCCGCTTAGACCTGTCGGTGTAAGTCTGTGACCTGTAGTGGATCCACCAACCCCATTGCTGGATACTGGATATGCTTCGATGTTGCGCATGAGCCTTGAAGGATTTTGAGTTTGACTTTAGAGCAATCCCCACGTTTTCTTTGCTCAGCGATCTGCCAATAGCATCGAGTTGACGATTGCCCATCATAGGTTGCCATTCCACAAGAAACATTAGCCGGTAAAGCCTTATCACAGGCACACGTGGGAGGACAAGCTGGACGAGGTATAGAATATTGGATGGTGGGATGAGCGAAGATAGTGCGGTTGAACACGGGTACTAAAACGTTGGGCAGGCACCAAAATTCTGTTTCTATGCAATGTAACCGCAGAAAATGCAACCCTGTTTGATCAACCTGGATGCCTGCACGTCGTTGTTCTTTTTCTTTTCCTTTTCTTCTACCTCATTTCTTGATATGAAAATAAACATGAAGATAATAATTTTCAAATGGAATTGACATATAATTAATTAAATGCGATTAGGTTTTCGCTATATCAAATAAGTAGCTCACTAACATATACTCTGTATTATTTTCTCACAAAATGTTAAGCACGTACTTTGATCGTCTCTAACGCCAACCTTAATACCGGCATTTCCGCTTGGCTTGCCCCGGTTTACGGAGGGGTTAGTGGATTCAGGGACTCGGGTACCTTGTGTAGGTCTGGGTAAAATTACCTGAAGATATTTCTTAACTCTTCCCTTTTTCACCTATCAATTATTTGTCAAGTTTGTATTTCTAATCGATGTTGATATTCGGTGCTACTATATCTAACATGCGATCGAATCGCCAATTGAATACCTCATAAAATGTACATATATTAACCCTTACTAAAATACGGTCATCAAATAAGACAGTAACACTCGTACCGGACTCTCGGGACAAATTCACAGCGCATCTTTCTTGTCACCGTAACCCCGAACAGCGAATATCCATCACCCATCATCCCTGTCCATACGGGGGTACCTTCCACTGCGTACAGTTGCTACAGTACCTAGTACCTACCCTCTCTGTCTCTTCCATACCGAACATCCACTATCCTTGCAAGTTTCTTTCCTCAACTCTCCGCTAATTAATCTTCTACCTTGGAACTCGAACTTCCTACTGAACAAAGCTCCGACTCTCATCTCACCCCATTTTCACTCATGTCCTAATTCTAATCCATCCTCCCCTTTAGGTATCTAGTTATGATCCTAAATTGTGTTACTAGTACCAATAACCCCAATCACCTCTCGATACGTCTCCTATCATCGTATGCAATCCTCTTTTTAGCATTAATATCACACTAGGTCGTCGGGGTATAGCATTAGGGGTATATGCGGTGAGGCAGGTCGGGATCGAAGCGAACTGAGCCTCGCGAAGGCAAGAGAAAGGCGAGGTCAAGGGACGCGATCATGCCTGAGAAACCACTTACCGTCGCTACGTACGCGGCCGGCGCGAGTCTTGCCGCGATTACTCTTTTCTACGTCTTCGCCCCCAACTTTTTCCTCGACGGCGACTCCATTCCTAAGGGCAAGAAGGGCGTAGTCGTAGGTCTTTCGAATCCTGCAAACGATTGCTTCATCAACTCCGTCCTTCAAGCCCTCGCCGGCCTAACCGACCTCCGAATTTACCTAATCCGAGAAAACCACCGAAGACATATAGACGAGCCATGGGTCTACCAAGAAGTAGTGCAACATCACGCATATAGAAACTCTCCTGAATGGAAAACGCAAGGTCTACAAGCGGGTCTCGTCACCCAGGGTCTTAAGAATATCCTTGACAGCCTTAATGAACGACCTATTTATAGGAAAACCATCTCTGCTGCCCCTTTTATCAGGGTCCTCGAGACTGCTTTCAAACAACGTATTAGTAGACAGCAGCAAGATGCGCAGGAATTCCTACAGGTGGTAGCCGAAAGATTATGCGACGAATATCATGCAGGGAGGAGAGCCCGACAAGCGGCTAGGAAAAAGAGTGCCGCCGTGGCATCGGCTAATAAGGCGGAACCCATAGATGGCGATGCCGTTGAGGAACGTTTGGCAAGGTTGGCCACAGGCGAGGATACCAGTACCAACACCACCGAATCAAGCGAAGGGACGCCCGGAGCCGAGGTAGAAGACGAGGAGGGATTTCCCATGGAGGGCAAATATGAAAGTCAGATCGAGTGTCAGACGTGCGGCTACAAAACGAGACCGACGGAGAGTACGTTCTGCACTTTAACCTTGAACGTGCCGCAGTCAAATTCGGCCTCGCTCAATTCCTGCCTGGATGGCTTCTTCAAGACCGAGTACGTGGACGATTATAAATGCGAAAAATGTCGTCTCGTTCATGCGAGAGACATATTAGAGTTACGGAAAACGCATTCCAACTCCGAAAGCTTCCAAGCTAGTGCGCAAGAGACAATCGCGAAGCTTCAGTATGCGATCGACAATAACCCTGAAAACCCTCCTCTAGACGTCGAATTACCGCCGATGCGTGACGCACCTACATGCAAGATTGCGAAACACACGCGACTTACAAGTTTCCCTAAGATCATGGCTATCCATCTTTCTAGGTCGATATATAACAGCATATCACAGAAGAATTCGGCCAAGGTCTCATTTCCAGAGCAGCTACTAATGGGTACTTTACTAAACCGCAAAAAGTACAAACTACTTGGTACGGTTACGCATAAGGGCAGTCACCATAGTGGGCACTATGAATCCTTCCGCCGACAAAATGTATCTCTCCCCTTCTCGACACCTAACGCCTTCCAGGCCTCTATGGCCTTCACCAAATCGGCTACGCCAAGTCCAGCTTCAACTCCTCGAGTTTCCGTGGCGCAAAAATCAGGTGAACCCAGCCCTGTAGCCTCTACTCCCGATCTAGCCACATCCTCGCCGGGGACTTCCTCACCTAATCAGTCAATCGACGGTCTTCCTCGGCCATCAACAGATTCCATACCGACTCCCCAAGCTTCGTCGTCTTCTAATAGCCGATCGACGTTTCGTCGCAGCCCCACCTCATCCACGAAAGGTCGCGAGTCGGATACTATCAGCCTTAAGTCGGTTGCGGCGTCTGCTCGATCAACTATGTCTAGGATATCCAACTCGGCAAGAAATAGCAGGCCCGGCAGCCCTTCCGGCAAAACACCTATCGCGCCGTCCACAGCGAACGGGAAAACAATATCGCTAAAAACGAAAGCAGTCAAGCCAAAGCGCCAGAAGCAAAGTGACCGATGGTGGAGGATTAGCGACGAGAAGATCAAGGAAGCCAAGACAAGCGAAGTTCTAGGGATGCAAAGGGAGGTATACCTGCTCTTTTACGAATTGGACCGTGAGAGCCCGGCGGAATCGTAGTGGGATGTCCATCGGCTCTTGGAGGACATTACGCAGGCCGCCACCTACGATCCGGAAAACGATGAACGGGAAGATCCTTATCTCAAATACCGGGCCGAACAGGGCGTCACGGGACGGGTCCAGGTCGCCTTCTTGAAGTTTGGGTCGTTACTAGGAAAAATGGGTCGGAAACTGAAAAAGGAGATTATACATCTATGGAAGTTGTACATGGGCTATTACGTTATCGTGGATCTTGAGGCTGGCTACCCGGAATGCGAACATAGGTGGGAGCCGTCCAGGCGGGGGGATTATCCTAGATACATGGCTTGCACAAGCAGATCGTCGGCGCATCGAGAGGGGATCTTTGAGTCGTCGTTTTAAAACAGGGAGGAACAATACCATACGAAGAAAAGTTCGGCAACGAAAGCGATACGGTATGCGGCCTTAAACATCCCATTCGTTCTAGAACTACGTGGGGCGATATTTTATCACAGACGGCGTTGGTGGCTCATGGTCGAAGTTATTTCTTTCCTTGCTGCATGCATTTTCTGGACCCGAGTTGGCATTACGCGAAGATGTTTTTATCAAACCCAGGTTCATTCGTTCCAAAGGGGATGTATGGATTAGGGTATGGATATATCTTGGCTTGAACATTGAAAAGGGCATCATCCATTCAGAGCAACAGGTATGTACTAAGAGCGAAAACAATCGATATCATTATATGAAAAGCATAAGTCGGGGCTGCGAAGATAAGTAGGTACATACATACGTACATACTTCACCTATTAGTTAGGTACGAGTACATAAAATACGAGATGTAGATGTTTAGTATCTGCATCGCATTTTGGGCAGCATCTGCTTACCTAGTACATAATAAGATCAAGGGGTTGAGAATTTATGACGGCTACTCTTCGTATATAGTAGCCTAACTAGGTGCGTGTTATATACCCGATGAAGTCAGAAGAAGACGCTTTTGATGTCGTATTATGAAATATCCGATGGTACTAGGTATTCATTAATCATAATAGCCTTGGTGGTTTGGCGGTATCTTCCCACATAGATGCAATCTCGATATTTCAAACCCCCCAATAGCACCCCTACGTACCCCTTTAATATCCTTAGATTACCATCACCAAACCTACCTTACCATTACCAGATAACTCTCCCATCACGTAGGTTTTCATTTCAATATTGTCCCTCGAGAGTCAACGTCCCAGTCTTAGTAATGAGATACTCATTGATAGCAACATCCTTGCCAGACTCCTTGCCGAACCCCGACTCCTTGATCCCGCCAAACGGCGACTCGGCAGCGGACGAATTTCCTAAGATTTCATTCATCATCAGCCTATCCGATTCTTCCTAGAAAAGACAGAAAAGTCCCGTGGAAGGAGTCAACTCACCAGTATTCAACCCAATCATCCCGGCCTCGAGGTTCTCGAACATACGCCACATCCGATCAACATTCTTCGTGAAGCAATACGACGCCAAGCCCATCTACACCACGATGTCAGCAGCAGCACCAAACAAACAACCAGCTTCCCCCTTAACCCCCCTCCCCTAGTTTTCCAAAGCCTACTTTATTAACAAAAAGCGCACTCACACTAGTATCATTAGCCAACCTTACCGCCTCCTCCTCCGTCTCAAACCGAAACAGCGCCAACACCGGCCCAAACGTCTCCTCATCCGCAATCCTCATCGCGCGCGTCGCGTCCGCGATGATCGTCGGTTCGAAGAAATAACCCGTGTTGCCACTGACTCTCTTCCCGCCCGTCAACACCGTGCCCCCGTTTTCCTGCGCATCGGCGATTTGCGCCGCCACTTTATCGAGCCCGGAGGGCACGGTGAGCGGACCCATGGTCGTGCTGGGGTCCATGCCGTGTCCGAGACGGAGGGTTTGCGCTTTAAGGGCGAGGAGGGAGGAGAAGGCTGTGTAGATACCGGATTGCACGTACACCCGGTTTGCGGTTATGCAGGCTTGGCCTGCGTGTCGGAATTTCAGGGCCATTAGGGCTGGGAGGTTCGGCGGCTGGTTAGTATTTTACCATTTTTCCTACGCTAGGGGGAGAGGTTTACCGTCGCATGCTTGGTCGAGGTTCGCGTCGTCGAAGACGACGAAGGGGCAGTTGCCGCCGAGCTCGAGGGTCAACTTCTTCAGCGTGTCGGCGCAGTGCGCGGATAGGATTTTGCCGACGCGGGTCTGGTGGTTGGGGTGTTAATCATCGCATCGTGCTTACTGACTGGTAGTCATGCGCTGGGGGGTTAGGGAGGGATGCGCTTACTGAGCCGGTGAACGAGACCTTCTTCACCGTCGGGTGTCTGCAGAGAGCTTCGCTGAGGGAGGGGGTGTTGGCTAGGGTCGTTGGCAACACGTTGAATACGCCCTTTGGATACCCGGCTTTCTCGGCTAGGTATGCTAGTGTCAGTGCTGATAGGGGGGTCTCTGGTGATGGCTTCGCGATCATCGTGCAGCCTGCTGCTAGTGCGGCACTGGCTTTCCTAAGGACCATGCTGTGGTAGGGGGTTAGCTTCTATTTCTGTTTTTCGGCGTAGGTATCACAGTCGCTGACTCACGCGATGGGGAAGTTCCAGGGAACCAGAGCGGCGCAAACACCCAGCGGCTGCTTGATAGTGAAGATCCGTCGTCCGGGCATTGCGGCAGGGTACGTTGCGCCCTGAATTCTCTCCGCCTCGCCAGCGAACCAGCGCGTGAATGAGGCCGCGTACTCGATTTCGCTATGAGCTTCGGCTAACGGTTTCCCGCTCTCATATACAAGAATGGTGGCGAGATCGTCCTTGTGCTCCCTTATGAGGGCATCGAACTTAGTGAGCAAGTCAGCGCGAGCCCGAGGTGTGAAAGTGCGGTAGGTCAGGAATGCTTCCTGAGCCGCCTTCACGGCGTCGTCGACGTCCTCGGCTGCCATGTCTGGACATGATGCGAATGTTTCATTGGTCCCTGGGTCTGTTCGCTCTTATGTGAGCAGGACATCGAGTTTGAAGGCATAGGAATCTAGACGAACCGATGATGGCAAATCTCTTGCCTGACTTTGCGTCGACCCATTTCCCATTGACGTAGGCTTGAGTGTGTAAGAGCTCCGGATGCTTCAAAAACGCCTTTTATCTTTCTATTAGTCTCTTTCATCGATACTCCATATCGTGGTCACTTACATCAATAGTTGGGCTCGCGAGTCCCATGTTGACTTAGTATTAATGTTAAGAATTTGGTAAATGGTACTAGATAATTAGACGATATAGATTGATAAGTTGGAGAGGTATTAGGTATATATGGCAATACTTCGTCTACGGACCTGATAAAGTGGAATCTGAAGATCGATCTTCTTCTCCGAGACAAATGTCATTATTACGCTAGCAATTCCCTTACTAACTACCTAGTAGGAAGTATACCAAAACTACCCCCGCACGATGACCTGCACCTTCGCCCTTGATCGTCCCGAACAATCGGGTTCCAGCCGATGTAAGTTATCTTGGCCGGGTCGCTCCGCCTCTTATACCTGATGTAGGTAAGTTTTGTGGGGACTTGACTTGCAGCGGAAATCCATCATCCAATACCGGGACTTGTACCTGTACCAAAACTCCGCTTTATGCAGCTACTTACGATGTATCACAAACCTTACTGTCGCCCCCACAAGCCGCATGTCAATACGAAAGCTAGCAGTGCAGCATATGAGTTAATATTTTCGAGCGGTGTACGGGACTTCCGATGTTCAAAAAGCAATATTATATGACTTCATGATTATTGACTCAATGTCAATTGACGTTATTTCTATCATTCACCACACTAAACTAGGTTACAGTGTCCATTTATTTCCAAACTGTGAAAATCATACTCACAAATAGATCTTCTAGCTAAGGGATATTATAGGTAAGAACGAGTATACTACATGTCGAGTCCTAGATCTCACATAATTTAGGAAATCGGAAAGTTGCCCGAGTGGCCTGCATAAAATTCCAAAATAGTATAGCAATCCCTCTCTATAATACCCTATTATACATAACCCCTTTCAAGGAACTCTAGATCTCTGTTGCTAGATTGCGTCAGCGTCAGCTTTCAGCTTCGCGAGGCTATAGGACTCGATGTTACATTTAGTCATTGTCCTTTCGATTAATTCGGTATATCCCTCATTTCAGGCGAACTTCCTTCCTTAATTGGCGTATATCTGCACTCTGTATGGGCATATACATGGGACCTCTTAAACGGGCGTGATTTTATAGCCCCCGCCATTTAGATTGTACATAGGCTATAGATCTTGGGTATGAATTGCCTTGCGGCATGGCCTTGTCCTTGGTGCGCGACTCCGCAGTCCTTACTAAGGACACGCCGATATATCCGAGTATATCTCAGCCTACCGAAGTATGAATAATCTTATAATAAAGTCAAGTATAGTTCCCATGAGTAAGTCGACTCCCTATCATATTATAAAATAACCGATTCATTATGATCGCTATATATTATGGTCGACCAGGCCCAAGAGCCTTTCTCTCATCATTGTCTACGGACGCCCATCGTTTGGCGACACGGCTATCCGAAGAAGTACAGAAAAGTTGCAAGAACGCCTACCGGTTTATATCAACACAGTTAACTACGTATTACCAAAGAGTCAAGTCGCATATCAAATCTGTTGAATGGGAGAAATGGATACGAAGGTGCTGTTGGGTAGCCTCCATACTCTGGACCGTGTCGATACTGGGCCTCTTTGCATTTCTTGGCCTATATGGTGCTCTATCATATAGGTTTGAGAGTGAAGATTCGGCATGCCGATCTGACGATACCTTTAATCCTATCATATCCGAGTATAATGCTTGGGCGATGTCAGGATTCTTCAAGATAAATCTAGGTTTCGGAAACCTAACATTTACGGAGGCAAAGGTGGTCGATATATTTTGGGACATAGTCAGATCTGAAGACTTTTCCTCTGCCATGACTATGGGCTAATATGCTTATAGATAATTGGCCGTGGATTGCAAGCATCCATGGCCTTCATGTCATGGCACGTTTTTACCATATACGTAACGACATTGATGGAGTTTACGCCCGTCACTTACGCAGTATTTTTCACTGTTTTTCTCCAGAATGAGCCTACACTTTATTCAACATTCAGTATCGTACGAGCCTTTATCTCACAACGTCGCCTGAGATCCCGAATTGCCATGGTCTTTATGATATGGAGTATGTCATTCCTTATGGTATGGCCGACAATTGTTGGTGCAATGACTGGTTATACGACAGTCATAGAAGCGCTCGTCTTAGATTACAAGGGTCATTACATTCCTTTCAAAGAATTTCAACCCATTGCATATGTCATCCATGATGGCTGGAGAGTCAATCTTACAGCAAACTATATCGTGTCTCTCTATGGTTCCGGCAAAACTGCTGAGAGTAAGTCCCACGATGTACTTCAATAATTCCTGTCTAGCTTACACAAATATCAGAGGAACCTATTGTCAATTTTTTGCATAACTCTTTCTGTGGCGCATGCGTATTTGGTACCATATCAGATTCAGGGGTCGATTGCTCTATACAGGAAGAAGCATCCAATTGTTCGTATCATCTCAGCGTCCTCATAGCTCCGATTGTAACTAACCTTGGAATATTTCGATTGGACATAGACGTGTCCAAGTATGGATTCTTCGGTCTTAATCATACGGCGTCCACATTTGGAAGAATAGAGATACCAAGTCCAGTTTTAAACATATCCGCCTTTTATATTAACCCTGTTGGGGAATTCTACGGATCCTCACAGTTCGGAAATCTATCGAATGCCGCCTTTGTTTATTCTAATCAAACATATCCCCTCACCTACGTGATAGAAAACGGAAGCTGCCAACCAACAGTGAATGTAAGTACGAAGTGGAATAGGTTCTATAAAATATTTAGATGCACTACTAACAAATCATACGTACAATCTAGCGCCTCAAATGGGGATTTTCATTTATACAAGTATTTTTCGCCCTCCTATTTTTGACCGTTTGGACGATTGGAACAAGCATATTATGGCATGAAGCTCGGTCAAACTTGTGTCTCCTAAGCCAAGCAGTTGTGCCCAAAGGTTGGCGGCCTATACTTATATTAGCTGAAAATATGAAAAAGGAAATGGGTAGGGCTGGGCTGGATGCTTGTTCTTTGACAGGCCAAGAACTCGAGGATGAGATCAAAACAAGGCTCAAAGGAGGGTCTGTCACTCTTAGATGAAGTATTAACCTTGAGAACATTAAATGTATAAATTTTACATTGAATGTGTGATATACTGGGTTCAGTGGTGTCATTCCTCGTGAACACGTTATCACAGATGTTCCCTACTTTGCAGCAATCGCCTTCGGAGACTCAAGAGCCAATATCTTTTTAGCCGCATGTTCGGCCGCTGCCACAATCATTGCAGAAGGGTTTCCTGTCATCATTCCGGGGAAGATGGATGCATCAACTACGAAGAGGTTATCCATCCCGTAAACCTTCGTGTTTGTGTCAACGACGGATGTGCCGTTATCAACTCGGCCATCATCCGTTCCCATCTTCGCAGTACCGACCCAATGATTTGAGCATCGAACTGCTGGAACCGCGGGTATCTTTCATGATATTAATTAGCAATTGAATAATCAAAAGGAGAGGAAAATGACATATCTTCGCGAGAAGACCGTTATACTCTTCCTAGGGGAGGACAATATGGTCCGTGTACTTAAAAAGGGGTAAAAGGATAAAAAGGGGCAAATATCTTACTGAGTCGACAAACTGCGCCGAAGTCTGATTAGACATCGGACGGACCCAGGTAAGATTCGAGATGGGCTCGAAATACTTGCGAACTCTTTCGAGCCCCTCGACAACAGCCGCCTTGTCGTTAGCTTCGCGGAGGTAAGGAGGGACGGATACGCGGGTGTTAAGTTGAGGTGTAATCACCATGCGTCCTCTCGATGTAGACCCAGTCCCAAGATATTGGGTTATAGTCATGGACGCTTTAGATGAAGTCAGCCAGAAATTCAAGATAGTGCTTGTGATGAACTAATTCCTTACTGTTCTTAGTCCCTTCTACTCGCGCTTGCCAGTGTAGATGTCGATCAATGCCATCGGGGCCGGGAATGATTTCCCAAAACTTCGGATGTTAGTCATATCGCCTCGCTCGACTGTCTAAGTAACTCACAATGGGACCTAGGTTAGGTGCCGCCTGCGCAAGTATCCCAGTTCGATTCCCTGCAATCGAGTCAGCACCATTTTCAAGGTTAAGGCCGAACTAGGTCATACGCAAATATATCTCCGTATCGCTCAATATCGGTTTGCTATACGCCGCATAGAAATCGTAGAAGACAACATCAGGATGGGCGATCTCGATATCAGTCTATAAATGGTATGGTTAGCTTGATCCCAAGGCAATCACAAATGGGGGCCAGTAACTTACCCCGACATGGTCGATCAGATTATACCCGACGGGAAGATTAATCCAAGAGTCCTCAGAAATCATCGTCGCCGCATCCAACGTCGAATTCCTCACAACATTCAGCTGATCCTTTGGCCCAATCCCACCTATCACCACTAAGTCAGCCACCCAAAACCTCTACCATCAAAAAAGAAGCAAAGCAAGAAGGCAGATCGAAAACCATACTCCTAAAAAGCAACTTCGCACTCCCAAACGCGCCCGCCGCCAAAACCACCCGTCCCGTCCCAGGCGTAACCTCAACCACACCCACATGCCCCGCCGCATTCCGCGAACACTCAACCTCGACCCCCGTCGCTCTTCCCCCCACCCTCAAAACCCTCCTCGCCGTCGTATTCATCCAAAGCGCAAACCCACTTCTGCGACTCGCATCCACCAAATACGTCGCCAGCGGGCCCCCCCTCTCCCCATTCGCGAACATATGCGTACTATGCCCAAAAGTGCGATCCTTCCTCTCAGGGTGCTCGTTCGGCACAATGAAGCTCCAACCACTTTTATTCAATCCCCCCGTCAACGCCTCGAATCCCTGCTGCAGATACAGTTTCCCGTCCGTGCTGGGGTGCGTAGTCCCCGGGATGCGCGCGAACACGCGCGCCGTGGCGGCCGCTACATCCGCGCTGTGCCAGCCCGCGGGCCAGCTACGGTCCCAGTCGTCGGGGTGCGGCTTCCACCATAGCCCGGAGTTAACCGCGACCCCGCCGCCGAGAACGCACCCGGCCATTTGGTCGACGTCCGTGCAGACTACGCCGCTTGGGTTATGCCAGATCTCGTTTGCGAGCCCGGGCACGTCGAAGCGGGTTAGGGTTGCGTTGGACAGCCATTGCGGCTTCATGGTCCCGCCCCAGATGCCCGTTGACGGCGGGCCTTTCTCGAGAAGGAGGACTGTGTGGCCGGCTTCTGAGAGACGGTCTGCTAGTGGGATGCCGCCGGCTCCGGAGCCGACGATGATGTAGTCCCATTTTTGGTGGGAGATGATATTAGAGCAGACTGGTGGTGCAAGTTTTATGTTCGCTCGGGCTGCACATGGTTGGGATACTAGGGGCGATGTTAGAGTGGTAGTAGGTCGCGCTTGAACGCAGGGCCTGGATATGCTTACGAAGCAATGCTGCAGTCGCAGCGGCGCTTAAGTATAGATTGCCATACATCTCCACCGAATAATCCTCGCGTGACCGAGAGTACCAAGGGCGGACAATATCGGATTCAAAGGGGAAGATACTAGTCTTAAAGACGAGAGTGAGGGCACTCTTTACCCGACATCATATAGGCGCGTCACCACCGCCAAGAACGGCGGATATGCCTAAGTCTCTCGCATCATGAAGCGCCGCTTCAAAGTAGCCTACACGATGTATTGGAGTATCTAGCGCGTTCGAGTACGCAACTGGTTCAGAGGGTAGAGATCTGCAATGCTCCCTTATTTACCACGCAATTAGCCGACGCATTATCATTAGACGCCTCATGGGACAGGGCTCGCGTACTTAGCCGCGAAATGAAAAACCTGGGGTAAGGCATGGCTATGCGGCTGGCCCGGGTTTCTGGAAGCTCGTTAACGGTCAGAAATTTAAGTGCCGACGGAATGGGAAAGTTGCGGTGGTGGTCAAGTCGTCATGACAGGGCAGCTCATGCAGGCCTCGTGAGGTTTCGGGCTTACGGCGATGTTCGAAGAAGGAAATTCTGGAAATATTAGAGAATTCCCGGTCAGCTCATTGTGTTATATGCAGAGAAGGCAATTAATGCAGTCAATAATAATATTATGGTTTGTGGGCGGAAAGGGGTTTGACTCAATCCTTAAGATGAAACCATATCATCCAGGCGGTCTAGCCATGGCCTACCTCCTGCTAGTATGTATGCATATCCATATATGTTTCCTTTACCTGGAAAGATAGAATCGGGTATTTTGATAAAGGTAATACTGAACTAGTTCATCCATACCAGTTAGTCAGCGATAGTGTACCCAGACAGAAAATCTACTCGTTATCAGGACAAGATTCTACGATGAAAAGGTCTTAGCTTCTATTCAGTCAAGCGAGCAACCCATCGCCCAGGAATCTTCTTACAAAATCATAGCCCCAGCACCTGCGGTATCTTTGAGTTTACGATCACTACTGCCACCGCCGCCGCCGCCCTTCCCACCTCCAGACTTTTTTGATCCACCGGTGCTATCTTTTCCAGTCTGTCGTAACAGGTTAACTAATAGAATAGGAATTCGGTACCCACATTGATTAGCTTACTCGGGGTTCGGACTGTTGTTTCAATCCCCAATGTCAATAGAGGTAACGTTTACTCGGCGTGATATGAGGTCACTTACGATTGCACCGGGCGCTTCAAATATGCCACCAGCGAGATCAACGTTTGGTAAAGCGTCAATACTACCAAGATCGAACCCTCTCTGTCCTTTCCCAGCTTTACTTTGGTCTTGCTGCTCAGAAAATGCCATATTCGTATTGCAGAGATAATATGGTGATGTCTTCTTAATTTTCTTTAAGGATCTTTCGAGTATGTTATAGGAGTGAGGTAAATGCTAAGCAACCAAACTATGTAAGAATATTTTTCCACATCGATATTTCATTTATCGTTTGTGGCAATAACACGTCATTCCACAACGAAGCTCCATTCATAAGACGTTGGACGCGATATAATTACGGCATGCCGCCGACGAACGTTTACGTCACATATACGCGATATGACCCCCTTTTCATGATTAGTCATCCGTGTAGTCAGGTAGACTTACCTAGTACCACAACCAACGTTTATCGAGATAGACCTTACTAAATATATTGATACCCATATTATAGATAAATTGGCTTTTATTGTCAACCAGAAGCTTCCTTCAATATATGCCAAGATTCGATATCGAACGCTTGCGTATGTAATATCCACATCTCGCTCCAAGACCATACTTCGGTCTTCACATCGGATGGTCCGTACCTAGGTATCCGTGTGTTCGGAGATTCTCGAGTATGCAACTCTCGTCTAGATGATAGGAGCTTCAGCGTGATTTTGGCCTGGCTTAATAGGTAGCAAAGCTTCATATTTCGTTCAGGGATAAATTGCTAGACAACAAGATGAGGGCCAAACACCGAATTTCACCGAGAACCCTCGTAGTGACGGGATGCGGTCTCTACAAGGCGCCGGAAAACTTGTGGTTTCCGTGATATATACTAGATAATAGATATATTACAGCAAATACCAAGCCATTCAAATCAGGGTTTAAGAAACTATGGGGAAGTAATCGCCCTTGGTGGGATATGCTTCATACCTGATTTACGACCCATTACCAAGATCTAGCCCTATGCAAGGCACTATTGCTAACAACATACTTACATATGAATTCGCCCTACCTAGTTCACCGCAATTGTACATTCGCTTATCTTGTCTGCTCATTGGTCGTCTTGGAAAGATCGTAGGTCTCAACGGTAGCCTAGTCGTTAGTCAAATGCAGGAGCGGGACTATGCGTTAGACCCGGCAATGGACCGGACCCATCGTGGAAGACTTCACGGGCTTCAGTATAGAGCCTTGTTTCCGCCGCGGCAGTTCCCGATCTCAGGTAGCTAAATGGCCAGGCAGGTGAGGAAGGGTTTCTTGCACACTTGGCAGGGAATTACGTATTCGAACTTCTAGTCGTGAACTGGAGGCTAGTATTGGTTCGGTGGTCAAGTCATAGTGGATTTCACTGCTTACATGATTCAATTGGGACATTCTCCCGAGGGGATTGTGGATTGTGGTATGGGTAATGGGTCGTTGATCATCATCATGTTCCCAAAATTTCACGGACTGTAAAAGGGTCCGATCGTCCGCAGCGGAAAAAATCTGGTCCCCGGCCTTAACCTCAAAATATCAGAATAGGATCGGATTAGCCGTAGTAGCTATAGGGGGTGTGCGTTAGTCATCCAATTTATGACAATATTCCAGATATGTGTAGTTCATTGGATACGAATGCATCGTGGGCTATGAGGAAATATAGATATATAAGATGGAATAGCTGGACTGTTTTCCTACCTACAAAGTCGAGGGTCAACATCTCAGCATCAATTCATTAAGAAACCGACATAGCAAAATGGCAGCCAACGTAATTCCCAAGGAGACAGTAATTCCCAAGGAGACAGTAATTATCGACAATGTGCTCCGTTATCCACCCTCGGGACTGAAAATCGTGATTGTCGGCTCTGGCCCAGCTGGTCTGCTTGCGGCAATCGAATGCTGGAGGAAAGGCCACGATGTTGAAGTTCTTGAGAAATCACCAACCTTCTCGTCTATCGGTGTGTATATCTCAGGTTGGCTCGAAGCCATTGGACGTTATATATGGCTGACATACGCATGATGAATAGGCGATATAGTTGGTATTGGTCCTTCGGCCTGGTCTACTCTCCATAATTATCCTAGCATGGCGAAAGAATATGTGGAAGTGGGTATTGATGCGTTAATGACGCCTTGCCATTTAGATGGCCGATACGCAATGGAGCCGTTCGAGTTTGAATACAACCGAGAAGGCGTTGCAGAACATGCTGCATATCCATTCCGAGCAGTAGGAATAAATGGACGCGCCGATCTTACAAGAATTCTCCTCAACCAATGCGAGAGGCTGGCTATTTCAGTTACGTATGGCGTATCTATCGTCGATTACGCAGAGGAGGACGGATTTGGTGTTGCTATCTCTGACGACGGGAAACGATACCAAGCCGACCTGATTGTTGCCGCAGATGGCATCGCATCTAAGTCATGTAAACTCATTCTTGGAGAACCTGTTCGTCCGGTTGGCACCGGCTATACAGTTTACCGTGCAGCTATGACATTGGCCGAGGTACGCGACTCACCACTGGTTAAACAGAACCTTGCGACATGTGAGCGACCAGAAGCACGACTGTATATTGGGCAAAACCGGCATATTGTCGTGGTTATCGACAAGCGTCTGGTTTCATTCGCCATCACACTTCCCAATGTAAGTTGCCTTGTGTCGCTGAACTTACTTCATATGGCTTATGATTGAATGATCTCTAGGAAACACGTGGCGTCGCACAGGAGTCTTGGTCGTCGACTATAAGCGCTGAGGAGCTGTTGGGCATGATTCCTGATGTGGAACATTTGGATCCCCTCGTGGTCGAATTAATCAATAATTTCCCCAATGACAGGATTGTAGCATGGAAGCTGTGTATGCGCAACCCCCAATCAAAATGGTCATCGGAGGGAGGTCATGTTGTTCAGGTTGGCGACAGTGCTCATAGCTTTATTCCAACATCTGCGAATGGCGCTACGATGGCACTTGAAGACGCTATTTCGTTAGCCGAATGTTTAAGACTCGGTGGGAAAAAGGATGTTGCCTTAGCCGTCAAGGTTCACCAGTTGTTGAGGTATACCGCGCAGTGAACCATCGCACCATCCTCTGACCAGTAGCTGACAACTAAAATAGGCATCAACGCACGACACTTATACAACGGGTAGGGTTATTGAACAGAGCCGCTTGGCATCAAAACCGAGCCGATAATATCTTGGGCGTTCGTAAGTTAATGCCCCAGGGGAAATGGATGTGGGGACACAAGCCTGAGCGGTACGTGATTGAGAATTTCCGTAAGGCACGCGAACATATCGAGACCGGTGCACCATTTGAGAACACCAACCTTCCCCCTGGCCATAAACTCGAACCTTGGACGCTAGAGGAGGAAGTTGAAAAGGAGAAATTGGGCCAAGTTTTCGATCTGTCAACAAACGGCGATTGGGGTGTTTGTTAAACCAGTCGCATCTTCAAGGACTCCAGAGCGTGAAAGTTCTTAATGTTCCTCCTCCCCGCTCAATCCATAACCATATAGAATAGATAGGTAGACTTCGTCAGAAAACAAACAAATTCGCTCCTTTTCAATTTCTGATGTCAAATTGCATATGATGATAGGTGAATTGCCTATTTCGACCCTATTCTGCGATGCAAGGTAAGCACGCGGGCGCTTCTTGTTCTCATTTTGGACGCTTTATATACCCCACACCCTCATCAGATGAGGGAAAATGAGAACACGGCTAACTCTCCTTGATTGTTGTAATTCAGGTTCATTGAGATCTTTGCCGTCGTGCGCAACTCCGAAGATGGTAGAAGAAAAGACTGACAGTGAACGCATCGTTGAAATCTCGCGTGGTAGTAAAGAAGGCAAGACGGTATGGCCATGCGACGAGAATACTGCGTATGTTCAGCTGGATATGCATGGCTTAGCATTGGTTCCTCAGCCTAGCAACTTTCGCGACGACCCTCTGGTATGTTGAGATATCTATTTCGTTCGATAATGCGCCTAAGGAGACAACTAAAACGCCACTTCTGTAGAATTGGCCCATCTGGCTGAAGTGGTTGGTTCTGCTCCAAGTGTCCTTCCTGGCCATGCTTGGTCCCTTCAACTCATCAGTGGTGAATCCGGCACTGGTTCCACTTGCGGCTCTCTTTAAGGTCCCCGTCGGGTCTGCACCCTTACAAACTACCACCACCATCATTTTGGCCGGCGTAGCGCCGTTGTTTTTCGCACCGTTGAGCAATATTTACGGACGACGGCCTGTCTATATGTTGTCGACCATCGTTGGTATCGTGGCCACTGTTGGGTCGGGCGTAGCAACCAGTTGGGCGGGGCTGATTATCGGCCGCGTCTTCAGTGGTATTGGTACGGGGGCCGGGATGGCACTTGGTGCGGCAACTGTTAACGACATGTTTTTCTTGCATGAGGTTAGTACCGGTGCCAATAAGAGCACAAGTTCTGATTCAATATAATCGGACTAATGCGTGATTCAAGAGAGGAACCAAGATGGGTGTCTGGACCGTCTTCCTCAACAATGGAGCCCACGCGGGCCCTATAATTGGGGGATACCTCGCGCAAAAAGCTGGCGTTCGCTGGTGCTATTACCTTCCTGCTATCGTCAACTCCGTTGCTTTCGTGATCATGTTGTTCGCGCTGCCAGAAACGTTATTCTCCCGGTCTAAGGAGAATCTCGCCAGGCACAAGGAGCGCACCTATCCACAAATGCTTTTTAGCTTCAGCCGGAACGCGTTGCTTGATAGGAGGCTGCATATTCGGGATCTCGTACGGCCGTTTGAGATGCTCAAGTATCCATCCATTTCGCTAACTTTCATATACTATATTGTCTCATTTTGCTTCTCATCCATCCTGCCAGCGGTTACAGTAGCGATTCTCTTCACCAACATATATCACTTTCAGAGTGGTGTCATTGGTTTGATGCTTGGTCTTCCCCTTCTCATCGGCTCTATGCTCGGTGAGATCATGTCGGGACCGTTCTCAGACTGGGTTGTGCACCGGTATGCCGAGCGCCACGGTGGCAAAAGAAAGCCAGAAGCCCGTCTCATCGCCTCGTTGGGAAGTATGCTACTATGCCCCGCTGGTATCATCATCTATGGCGTCTGTCTTCAGCGGCGGACTCATTGGATTGGACCCGTGATGGGAATGGCCATTGCCAGCTTTGGCTTGCAGTTAGTGACTACCGTGAGCTATACATACTGTAGCGATTGTTATAAGCCACAGTCGGCCGAGATTGGCAGCCTCTATAATTTTGGACGCCAGACATTTGCATTCCCGATAGGGTTCTATGCGTAAGTCAACCCAGTCCATATGTCGAGGCGTTTTGATTTGCATCCGCAAGATCCGGTCTCTGCTACGCTTGATGCCATTGCTGATCCTAGATAACTCTGCAGGCTACCCTTCGCAAATCGGATAGGAGTCCAGTGGGCTTGGATAACGCTCGCTTTAATTACAGCCTTAACATCGATCGGTATAATTGTCCTAATGTTCAAGGGAGAGCAGTGGAGGAAGAGGTTGGGAAAGCCGCAGTTCCATACGGACATTTAAATGTTCCATGAAAGTGCGTCATAGAGCGGCACGGATTTAGTGGCTTTCGCCGGGTGCCTCCGCCTCCTAGTGGGACAGTATAAGATATTGAGCTCTTGACCAGGGACCTAAACTCACTCTTACAAGACATAAAAGTAGAAAATTTGAAGAATAAATATCCATTGGTCTTACAAATCATATGTAAAATTATAGAATCTGTACTCCGGTAGTTTCTTTTAACTTCAACCCCCAAAGCTAAAAAGCGTCCCCGTAAACGTCACAACATGATTGGTCCAAAATCTCCGACGGAAAGCGCCGAACCAGTCAAACGGCCCGCATCCAAACCTCCAAAAAATTCACAAATCGAGAAAGCTTCAGCAAGCTTCTATCAGCCTTCAGAGAAAAAGGCAGCAAAACCGGAGTCAGGCACACATACTGCCAACCAATTCCCCCCACGATGGCATCCACGCGCCTCGCCGCACCGCCAACATGTCTCTCCTGTCTCCGACGTCTCGCCCTCCCCTCACTGCCCCTCGCGCAGCAGCAGACCCGAGGCGTTAAGATGACAAAAGCCGAGGAGGAAGACACACAAGGCATCCCCGTACGCCTCCTCCACGACATGCCCGGGTTCGGTGCTAAAGGTATGCTCTCCCCGATCCCTCCACCCTCCACCCCCTCCTTCCAGCCCTTCCAACTAACCCCCCCTCAACAGACGCCATAATCCGCGTAACACCCGGCCGCATGCGCAACCAATGGTTCCCCAAAGGCCAAGCCGAATACATGACAAAAAAGCGATTCCAAGAACTCCAACTATCCGCCGCCTCGATCGGCACACGTGACCGCACCTACGGCTCGCGAACCATCGTCGACGAAGGGGAGACGAGCCAAGCCGAGCGGCGGCAGAAGTGGTTAGAGAAAAAACGCAACACCGCAAAGAAGGACGTAATAGCGTTAGCGGTAAGCCCCAGTTCCCCCTCACGACGTAACCATCATAAAAGCATGATACTAACATAACCAACCCCAAAAAGCCCGACGAATCCCTCGCCCTGCTCAAAGAACACATCCCCAAGACCCTAACCTTCACGCGCAAACCAATCCAGCCCGCGGCCCCGGCCCCAACCGAAGCCGAGCCCGCGCCGCAGCGATCCCCGTCCCTCGCGCACCACGCCGTGACATCGACCTCCGCCAACGTGCCGGAGCCAGAGCCGCTAGAGCCGGCCGCGGTATCCATTTTCGGATCTGTTTCCACTACCGACATCCTCACGGTTATCAAGGAGAAGTTACTGGCGTCCGACCCGGTGAACGGAGGACGTGTGGCGCTTGAGGCGAGTGGAATCACGATTGCGGGATTGGAGGAGGGCGAGGACCGGATTAAACACCTTGGCACTTTCAAGGTATCGGTGTTGGTGGCGGCGAAGCTCGAGCCTGTCAAGCTTAATGTCAAGGTGGTTGCTGAGGAGTAGGCGGTTTGGCGAGAAGGGCGTATTAGTCGCTAGGCTATAGGGAACCCCTTTTACCGATTTGAGGGGCAGAACGTGCGGCAGTAAGCTGCTACATCACGTAGTGCCTATGAAAGACGGCACTGATGCATGTATGATTTACCTGCCTAGGTGCTCAGGCACCGAGGTAACGAGGCAGCTAGGTTGAAACCAAATGTGTACATAAAACAGCACATCTGATGTGGATTGTCATACATATCAACATGTACAACTACCTATTGACCAACCTCTCCGCGAATCATTCATCAGCCACATACATACATACACATCTCAATAACAACACATGAAGAAACTGCTAAGCTCATAATGCAGAATACGTATATAATCTCAACTCTCACCGAAATAGGTACAAACACAAAGGAGACGGGATGTGGGCTTAGCATGAGTCTGAGTCACTGCTCGGGTATTGTTTTTCATTCCTATCTCCAACACAGCAATTTCCCCCTAGTTCATCCGATTGTCGAAGTAAATAATAAAACCCATCCGATCACCCAAGGGAATCTATCCTAGCACACTTCCAGAAATCCACAGAAACAAGGCACAACCAAACCGCCATACGCCGGCGCTGTGCCTAATGATAAGACATACGAAAACGAAAATATTAATCTATGCTATGTAATTCATACTGACCGCGACGTGACTCTTCCATCCAGTTGGATGGGTAGTATACTTCTGTATTCATTTAGGTGCGGATGATAGGTGGGTGTTTGTATCTAGACTGCGTCGAGAGGCTAAAGCAAAAGAATTCACTTCCCAGGATAGCTGACATCCAGGTTCCAAAGTGAATCCCATACAACACTTCTTCTAGCAGGGCTTGTTGGGCTTTCGATAGACGCAGTACTCATTTGTCTGCGAAGTTGAGAGTGCTGTAATCGTTACTGCTGGGAGTGTGTTCGCGGCTGTGTCGGCGGCCTTTGTGGGCTTATATTTATATTCGAATTGTTGTCGTCTTCCCGCCGGGGCTAGATCCCATCAGCGACCATGTCTCATGGATCAACGAGTATGTTATTTGTCGTGTCGCACCTCGCTTTGCTCGCCGTTATCCGCGGCTGCCTGTTTGTCACCTGCAACTTGTTGCGTCCCGCTCGGCCCTGCGACTTCCTGCCCTACTGTCGGGCTCGTGATGCTATTCGTCTCACTGGCCAGCGCACTGCCCTTCCCGGCGCCGCCTCCTCCAGCAAACGGCAGGGCTTTCTTAGAACCCGAACTACTACGTCTGCTCTCGAGGCTCTTGCTGAGAGTTCTGCTGACGCCCTCAATTCCACCATTAGGGCCGAGTTTGGATTTACCTTTACTCGAACGAACATGCTGGTGCATGTCGGCGACAGCTGCAACGTTATTCGCAGCCACTGTAGATCTCCCAGGCCCGGGTGTAGCGGGGGCGCCAGGTTTATCCTCGTGTGCGTCAATCATCCACCAACGCAAACCATCCGACAAATCAAACGGATTATCGTTTTCATCGCCTGTGTTGATCGAGTCGGTTTCCGTCTCCGATGGGGGGGCAGCGGACTGTAAGCTCTTAGACAAATCGACTACACGCTCTTGAATACGAGTTATGCGAGCTACGAGCCACTCACGAGTGCGCAAGCGATGGCCTTCTTGCTCGCGCAGGAAGAAATGAGGACATCCATAATTAAAAGCGGCCCAGGCGCCGGTTGTCTGGTTACGGGTAGGAAGAAACAAGGCCAAGTCGCCCTCTTTAAACTGTCTAAAGGCAATCTTGTCGCGGGCTTCTTTAGCAAGGTCGTGTGCCCGTTCTCGGTAATTACGGGCGTCCCGTGTCATCTTTCGAGCCGTATGCTCGATTTCTTTCACGCGTCGATACATTATCTCGGAAAAGGCATCGATATCGAAGTTGCCTGGGCCGGCCATGAACGCTTGGTACTGTTCATCTTCGGCGTTCGAGTCCTCGGCGTTCATCCAGTAGAGTAACTTCAGGTCAGCACTGTCCGCAAGAGGGTTGCTTATTAATGAGACAGATCGGCGTATAGAAGACCCAGGATCCGAAGAATCGTTAGGGTTGTGAGAAGTGCGTTCCGATCGTGGAATCTTTACGATGGCCATAGATCCATCCTTTCGCGCTACAGAGAATCCAAGACGTTCGAGGAGCCTGCAGAGCCTCTCGTTTTGCGTATATAGCCGCTGAGTAAGATCTTTGGTGCGAACATTACGCGTTTCGGACCGGCTGTTAAGGGTCTCCAGCATGGTATCGGATGACTGTAACTTCTCCTGGAACATTCGGACTTCCTCTTCGAGACTGCCTACTTGGGATTGTTTCGATGCTAATTGTTCAGTTAGCTCCGCGACTCGCATCTCCTCGTCTTCTAATTTCTTCCGCAATGTCTCCGATCCCGTTTCCCCTTCGGTCATCTGGAGTCGTAGCTGGTTGAGCTGCTCTCGCGCAACATTAACCTCCTTTTCGAGAGTAGAACTTCTAGTCTTCTCCTTATCCAAATTCTCACGAAGATGTATCGAACCCATTTGTTCGCTAGAGAGCTTCTCCTTCGTAATATGTAACTCGGACTTAACCTCCTTGGCAGTGCCCTGGGCAATTTCAAAATCAGCTTTCACTAAAGACAGATCTTGCTCGAGGGATTTGAACTTTGCCAGTACATCGCTAGATTTTGTCGCAACAGCATCCAGGAGATCGGCGAGGTCTTGAGGAGGCTCTTCCGTTGGAGATAACTGCCCATGAAGCTCTCTAAGCGAGCGAGCATGTGTCTCGTTGTTTTCGTTGAAAGTGTCGGCTCGCTTGTTAAGGTCTCGGATCTTCTCACGTGCTTCTTTCAATTCTCTCTCTAGGGAGACGTTGCGTTCTCTTTGAACTCGGGCCTCGTTACGTAAAAATTCGAGTTGGCCCTGAGTCTTCAGAGCATCATCCTTCTTCTCTCTTGTGAGACGCTCGACTTCTACCTCCAAAGATTGAAGCTTCTCATCGTGCGTGATCTTCTCGTTTTCCCTAGATTCGCCAAAGTGTTCGATTTGATCTTCAGTCTCTTCAATGTGATCCTTCAAGGCTTTAATTTCATCTTCCAACGACTTCCGTTCCAACATAAACTCTCTTTTCAGGGCCTCCATATTCCCTAAGAGATCTTGCTTCATTGAATTAGCTTCGTCTATTCGACCCTTCATGTGTTCGATTGTATTTGCTTCCTTCTCCAAAATTGCAGATCGTTCTTTTTGAGCATTCAGGTCTCCCTCCAGCTGCGAGATACGATTAAATAGAGCCTCGTTATTCTCCAACGCTATGGATCGACGACGATCATTAGGTGCACGAGTCGTTTTGACGGAGTCGGTGGAATCATTCTGCTGCGGCTGGAAGAGATTCCCCAAAGGTGACGGCCTCGATGCTTGGGTTTGGCGATGCAATAGATCTTCTAGCCGACGGACTCGGCTCTCCGCAGTCCTTAGCTTACCTTCCAACTTAGACTTATCGCCTTGCAGGCTTCTGAGTAGATCGTCATCTCCGCGGATGAGTAGACCGCTTCGTCCGAGAGCTGCTTCGTGAACGCTTCCATTTTTAAAAGCCTTCAGCCGCTTTGACTGCTGCTTAGTTGGATTGGTGAGTTCATTCAGCAGTTTGGTAATATCTCCTAGGACCCCTGCATCTGCATTATGGCGTCTTAAAACCGTCAAAAAGTCGTCGAGCTCTTGCTTTGTCATCTGGGGCCAGAATTCGTCGTCGCCGCGAAGGTTCACTTCAAATCCAAGGACGCTGCTTTCGGTCTTTTCAGGGCCGTACGTGCTTCCAACCATCTTATGCCACTTCTTGCGTCTCTTTAATTCCTCGTCCTGGAAAACAGCCATCTCATTAAGCAACGTCGAAGAATCGACTTTTACCTTTTCCGACCATTCCCTTCGCCGTACAGCCTCGGCGATAAAAGATGCATACATATAAGGAAGTTGTTGGATGAGACGAAGATAGTCGAAGGTGGTCATTTCCTCCTCTCCCTGATTGATTGCATTTATCTGAGTCTTGACACTATGATGTAGACTAGTTATCTCAGCAATTCTTCGCATGAAGGTTAGTGAAGTTGCAGCAATCTCGTTGCGTGCCTGGGTAGCATAGCGAATCATCTCATCCATTTCCGAGGCTCGATTTTGGATACTAGGTAAAAGCTGTTTTGTGTGATTGACGGCAGTCTTCGAGACCTGCGCAACATCTTTGCTTTGATTGGTGTAGGATAGGGTGGTCTGGTAGTCTGTATCGACCTTTCTTGCAACTGCTTCGATGTCTTCTAACAATTGGGCACAGTCGTTGCTATGCTGCATCACTGACCGATCTAAGAGTTTATTAAACTCTTGGAACAATTCTTCACTACCGCCAAACATCTTCTCAACAACCTTGTCCAACTCGGAGATCTTGCTGTTAAACTTTCGCAAGGATGTAGCAGCGAGCTTTCCAGCTTTACGTGTAGGTTCGGGGTCGATGAGGTCTTCGAGTGTCGCCTGGCGAGTCTTCCGGACATCCTGGCCGGTCATAAAACGCACCATCGCTGGCGAGATGGTGATACTCCGTGCTAATTCAAGATAATGCTCCCAGTTAGAAGCCAAGTTGGCATATTCATCCTGAGTTGGAGTTGCCCATTTCTTCAGCTCGGCATGCTTTGGATATATCGGTTTGACGGCTGTGTCAAGATTTGCTACGGCGGCATCGAGGCATTTTAGCACGACATCTATTTCGTTATACCGTTCTTGCGCCACACCGGCCATGCTACGGCAGTCTTCAACCACCATCAAGGCCCAGTCGCGTCGCCTCTTGAATAGATCCTGCCATGATTGCAGCGAGTGTGAGTTTTCGATCGAGTTCGGGGCTTGGGATATAGTATATCGTTTGGGTACGGGTAACTCGGAGATAAGAGAGTTCGAGGTGCCGGGGGATGAAGCTTGAGTTATTCTAATGTCGTAAACGTATACCTCTCTCTAAGAAATGTTAGCTGTCATTTATATTTATTGCATCATCTCAACCAAGGACGATTTAAACGAACCTCTGTTTGTATGGTCTGGATCTTGACCGTCTTCCCTTGCGATGTAAGTGCAACAATATTTTGGACGGGTATAGAACTCTGCCGAGCAACCCATCCCTTGAAATCATCTAAGCTATAGGAAATATTAGTTTTTGATTACAATATGCAGGCTTGGTAGGTCGCATATGTTGAGTCATAGATAGGAGTGGCGAGAAGGTAGCGGAATACACAGTACGTACGATGAGAGTTGAGAAATGTCGACCTGCAGGCGCTGGCCCGTGTGGGCTATCAACACCTGCGTCTGCGTCGCCATGGTATATACAGTCCATCCCCTGAAAGAATGAAAGAGGATGATGGGACGACAGGTACAAACCAGGCGAGAAGTATCGCAAAGGGTGTGACCTCGGAATCCCAGCGACGATGAGCCTTCTCAAGGGCTAATGATACTGTAAATGTGTGTTGAGAAGGAAGCTTTATCTATCGGAGCTCGAAATGTCAGCTGGCAGGCAGTCAGGCGCTGCTTTCCACACATGGGCACCTTCTAATTTGTGTTGCTTTCGTCACAACAGACCCACAAGTTGGGTGCCGAGTTGGTTGTGCTCGGACCACTCTTTAAAAGAGGACAGGGACCCGATGAGCTTATTATGTAATAATGATGATCTCTTCATTAAGATCAGATAGAATCGACTCATCAATCATCAAATTCTAACTAAATGGATTGAATATAGTGGAAATATTACAGTTTGCCATAAAATCTCTCAAATCGTACCTACCCAAAAGACGAGCAACTTTTAAATAGGACGTAGCAGGTACTATCAGTCAGAAGAACCGACTATGAAGATCTCCTAGTTACCGCGATCTCAGGGCTCCTATCCATTGGTTAATAAGCCACAATATCTAACTGACTGAGCCACACCTCTTAAACCCGATTCACCAGCACGCCTCATCATGATCCCGCAAGCCGTGGCACATGGGAAACTTGCATAGACTTTGGATAAAGCCCCGTTTCATCAGTTTCTGATGTGAACTTTTCACATAGATTTCTTTTGTGACCGAGAGGTAATTTGTCACGGCAATGGCGGATGGAACTGCCACAGAGGTCGCGACGCCACTTCTATTGTCCCACGATGAGAAGCGAATCCTAGAATTACACGATCGTCTTCAGCAGGTCCAATTAGAAATCGCCTTGTTGACAGCTCAGAAGAATTACAACCCGAGTCAGTAAATTTTATGTTGGTTCTACAGTTGCATCTCCGTCTGACAATTACTCCAGACACAAGTACGTCCTCGAAAAATGGAAGTATAGAAGCAGCCCAGAAGGCTCTTCTCGATTCTAGGTCTAAATACGTGTTGCGGAACCAGGTGGTGGAAAGCGTTGTGGCTGCCAATCCAATTCTACAGGCAGTCCACAATGGAACGAAGGCATCACCCATAGAAAGGTAGGGATCACGAACACGTTTTCCGGGCTTCTCGCTCTTCTTTTTACATTCTAACCCATGGGTCCTTCATAGGGATTTGCTTCCCGCCTTGGAACAGCGCGATCAGTCGTCTTCAATATTGTCGCAACAGTCTACAGAGTTACGGGGTTTACTAGATGAGATCACCAACGTAGAAAGCGAAAGCCTGCGTCTTGGCCGCGAAAATGTGGATCTGGCGGCGAAGCTGCTCGATCTTGCCGAGCAGACGGATCGGGACAAGGCGGAGGCTATCAACATGGTCCCGGAGCGGGCGGCCGAGATCTCGCGCCTCGAAGACCAAGTCAAGCTGAGTAGACAGAGGTGGAGGGTCTTGAAAGGCACTGCGAGCGCGGTGGTTGCCGGGAGCGGAGTTGATTGGTCTAGGGATGCTGAGCTGAGGGATATAGTACTCGATCCTGAAAATGACGACGAAGTATGACCGAGAAAGGACAGCTGAAAAGTCTGTAAAATAAGATGGAAAGAAATAGTTGTTCAATGATACCCATGAGCAATAGCATTACTAATATGTACGCCCTTCTTACCTCCACGTAATATAGGACTCCCCGTAAGCGCTGTAGTGTTGCCTATACCTAGTAATAATCTCGTCACATGTTAGCAGCTCCGCCGTTTATTGAGTACTCTATAGGTACTCAGTACTGTATCATTCTCTCATTACCCTTATCTAGACCCGGACTGGCGGCGAGAGATCTTCATCACATAAAGCTGCTGCATCCGTTCCTGATTTGATAGGGCTTAGCGTGACTTGTCTTGGCCGAAGCTGGTCTAAATCACGTGAAAATGCTTCTATTTTGGGATTCTAGAAGCAGCGTGTAGGTCTATCTCATGCAGGCTTCATGCTCACGCATTGATATGGCTTTATGGCGTGGAGGGGGGGGTCGTAACTCCGGTACCCCTCCCAGTAGCACATCAGACTTCCTAGTATCATCCAAGCTCTCATGCTATTGCTCAGGAGGGTTCCAATGAGAAAAAGCAGGGTGATTGTGCAAAACAATCCATCCTATGCCTTAAATAGTCGTTTAGATCAATAAGCGCTTGATGGGTAATACAGTATATCGCGCGTGGTGTAAACATAATGGCGCTTCAGATCACCGAGGTAGCTTGTGCTACTAATTAGTCGTGCCAGGACTGTGATAATCAGGGACTAGAGTTAACTAAAATATTTTGCCTCTGCCGGAGTCAAATCTGTTTTGCCATATGGACCTATTGGACCCATGGTGTGTTTGATAGTGGGGAACACTCGAAGAGGTCATCATCGTTACGCTAATGAAGACTGTAATCAATGTGGAAAGCGGGCTACGCGGGAGCACAGTGTATCATGCACATGGGTCCATTTTGTGAGCGCCTCTTTTTGGTGTAGCGTGTGGTTATATGTAATATGTATGTTCCCCGTGGAATGGAATGTACTCATCTATTATATGTAGTACATACCTTGGCTGATTTCCGCGTCGATGGTTTTGGTTTAGCAAGACACCCGATGCCTCACAACTAGGAATGAGAGACAACGTCCCGGCTTGTCGCTGATAAAGCAGCATGGTTAACGGATCTAGGCATGACCGATGTTCCAAGCGCTGCAAATCTGTGCAATCCTAATCAGAATGGCGTGGAGCCTACCAGCCAGACCGCGCTCACGTTCCCTCATCCATTGGAGGTCCAGGCCTATGTAGTATGTACGTACTTATCACATCAAGAAAATGATGGATGTTTGGAGCATTGGAGCGATGTCATGCAGCAGAGATCCCATATCATGAGGGAAGCATAACGAAATCCTCATGATTAAAGGACCCCCCTTTTTTCTTTTTTTTCTTACCCTTTCTTTTGGTTGCGTACTTCATCCTTGACCGGTGTTCTTTAACTCGAGGCCCTTTATTCCATGTGTACGCAGATTGTAATAGATTCCTAGACGAGTATTGCAAATACTTGCCTATATGTATGCGCCTCGATAATAAGGTGTTACAACTCCAAACCCGTGCGACGAGCTTGCATTGCTCAAATTGCTACAATATAAGAGAATGGACTTTTTGGAGGATGCGCAAGCATACCGAGTAGGCTGGCCTACGGGACTGCGGTGTGGTGTTACTCCAGTGCAACAACCAGGATAGCTGCAAATGCAGAATTAGGAAGCCATTGGTTGTGAGGACAGCGGTGCTAAGATTTGCCTATGTAGACGCACTTGGTCGTCAGTTACTTACCCAACAGTAATATCGTATGCGTACGAATGGGTTTACGCGATCCGCATATCTTATGATGAGTATCGTTTATATAAGGTATCCAATAGTGACCAGAGACCAAGGCTATCTAGGTTGCCTACATAGTAGGTACCGTAGGTAAATATCGTAATCGGTTAGCGAGAAGCAGAGTGGCAGACTAATAAGATGCACGGAGGCCTTTTGAATCTAGATCGTCCGACATTTTAAAGATGCGCATCTTGTTGAAAAAAAATAGAACCATAAGGATACTATGTATGTTGAAGCGTCTGAGCATTTCGCAAGACGAATAAGAATGTAAGATAGGGGTCCTGCAATTAAACGGAATTTTCCTGTAAGTTAGCAAGTTCACCGACGTATATGGAATGGTTGTGAGTGGTTGTCAAGTTCCAAGGTTGTGTGATGCATCAACTTGGTCTAGGGGTTGGATAGGTTGGATAGGTTGGATGGATAGGTTGAATGCGAAAGAAAGGGGAGAGACAGAGAAATCGACCATAGCAAACTGAGAGGGGGAGTGTCAGACTCCCAGAACAAGCAGCTAGGAATTTGTGTGGTTGTAATCAGCTGCAAAGAACCAGACCAGGCAAAGGCGAAAAAAATTCATCCACCAGGGAATCCAAGCCTGATAGTGGCATGGGCAATGACCATGTACTCTCGCGCTAACAAGGGACTGCAAGGTACTTTCTAGCCTGTATAGATTGTATGGATGGTGTATCAATCATTGTACAGCCTGCACGCAGCACAGTAGCCTGTAGGCTATGTGTACTCTTCTCTCTCTGCTCTACTCTTTTCGGTCTGGTGTTTGAGCTCTGCCTTTTTGTCTCCTTTTTTTTATCACACCCTTTTTCCGTAAAATTCATTCATCATCGATTCCTAGTGCCTCATACGCTGATCTTTTCTTAAGAAGATCCAAGAGTAGCCAGGTGCACACTCAAGATTCCAGGAAATTGATGTAGGAACAGGTATACAATTCGAATTATTGGTGTGTTAGTAAAAATAGAGAAAAAAAAATTGGAGGCCTTGTATGTTTTGATTATTTTAGGAATGGAGTACGGTAGGTCGAAAAAAAGTGATTTAATGGGATTGAATGGATGTTGATTCCGGATGCTTTGACTAAAAAAGAAAAGAAGGGAAAAAACAAACTAATCAATATTAGTAGAGAGGAAAATCAAATCAATAAGGACGTTTATTCCTACTCGAGGTAAGGTAAAAGTTTAAAGTATACAGTATCAAGGGTTAAGCTAAAACTTGGTAGGATAATGTTGTGATATACTTGATGCCTTCCCTCTTTCGTTTAGTCCAATTCCAATCTGGTCACGTCGGAGAAACTGCGACCATTTCCGCGTGCAACTTTCATTGAGATGATTGAAACATGAGAGGCAGAGTAGGAGGGACAACAGCGGAGAAGGGAAACCGTGAGAGAAACCGTGAGACTTGTACCTCGCTAAGTAAAAATAGGTGGGGATGTACTTCATGTAACAGGAAAGGGTAAAGGCTGACCGTCCTAGTTGCCGCTGGGAAGTAGGGGAAGTACATAGATGTAGTAGCAGAATCAATGACCGAATCAATGAATAAAATTTAACCAAGGAAAGTGATACAGTAATAACAAAGCGACATGGCATACCTTCCTCCAAAAACGCCAACTTACCTGCTAGGTAAAGTAGCTCTTACAGTACAGGAAGCACTGTAGATTTTGAAGTCACCTCCTTCCTTGCAAGTTGTATTTGTTGCTGATTGCAACGTCCTAAACTACAAGGGCCTAACTTCGAAGGACCGCTAAAAAGTACCTTTCAGTCTAATTTTGGTGGGAAAGATACCCAGCCACCCCAATGACCAAAGACCAAAGACCAGAGACAAGACGGAGAAGCCCACACACAAAAGTTTCGTTGACTAGAGAACAGCGAGTGGTCGCGGATGCTTTCCTGAAATTCGCTTGGTTAACCCCCTAGCATGTAGAAAGTAGATACCTGTACTTACCTAGGTACAGGGCCTAGGTATGCAGATATGAGGTAGCCCTGGAGGTGTGTATGTACAGGTCTACCAGGTCTACCTAGGTAGGTACAATACGGTAGCAGGTATGCGGTAGGTAGCAACAAGTAGTAGCAAGTAGTAGTAGGGGAAAGTAGGGGAAAGTAGGGAAATCAGTGTGAAGGCACGGTCTTGTTCGCCCGCCTGCCCGCTTTTTGGTGCAGACCCCCCTCCCTCTTTCGCAGCTTTCGCACCCTCCCTTAGAAATTGGGGCAGTATTAAGTCTTGCCTGGTCTTGCTCTCACACATTGTCCACACAATCACCCACACGCAGTAAAAAGGCAGTAGGCCAACGCTTCCCCCCATACAAATTTCCCTCTCTTCTCTCACATACAAATCTACCACCAAAATCGTCTCCCATACAATATCGCACACCACACTCAACCTCAATACCTGCACATACAATTTGTGAGTACCTCTATTTATATGGCACTTCGCTGCAAACACAAAGTCACCATCAACCACATATTTCTATTGCGCTCGTCTTGGTCGCATTAGTTGTATCAATTCGAACATAGTTAATTGCAATCATTTTTCGATGTTTGCATCGTCGTCAAGAGTCATTTGAAGTTCATAGTCGACCTTCTCTTGAGCTTAGACAATTTCACCCATCCACTTCTCCTTCGCCCATCGTCATCAATTAAAAAAAAGAGCCCACCCTGCACTTTAAACTGAGCAGTTCAACTGACAGTGATTGCGCGCAACAGCTTCGTTAACCACAACGTCGTTATCCAATTACTTCCAAACTTTTTCAAGGTATGCGGATAGTACTATTTGGTTCGATTTCGAGCTTCAAGACGCGGTTTTCACGCGTTGGCGGGCGCAATTGCATTTGCGACAGCATCGCATCGCGACCGATCAGTCGTGCATCAGCCAACCACCACTCTATCCATCTGCCCCTCTTCCGCATCTATCCAAGCTATCGCGCGCTCGCGATAATCACACGATTAATTCCCACACTTTCGTCCACTCTCATATCACAACACATCGCAACACCCAAAATTTCAATTGCGCTTTTCAATTAAACAGACACACAAATGTAGACTAACATTATTTCAGCACCTATCCATAATGCCTAAGGAAACCACCAAGCGCGGCAAGACCGGCAAGGTCGAGAAGCGCAAGGGAAAGAAGGGTAAGTCGTCCCATGAACTGTTTATTGTCGCATATTCCAAACAGGACGAGCGCAAATTTGTCATCCAATCTGATGAATATTTATCTCTTTTGAAGACGTGCAATGCTTCAAGAGTGTTTAAATTATCAGTAGTAGATGACATTTGCCCGCCGTTGACCTGATCATATGCGCATATGTGTTCTAACTCATAACTAACACTTTGGTATAGACCCCAACGCACCCAAGCGTGGTCTTTCAGCCTACATGTTCTTCGCCAACGAGCAACGAGAGAACGTCCGTGACGAGAACCCCGGTATCTCGTTCGGTAAGCTTTTCACTTGAACACACCCAGATTTCTCATACTAATAATATCGCAGGTCAAGTTGGCAAGATCTTGGGTGAGCGATGGAAGGCTCTCAACGACAAGCAGCGTGCCCCGTACGAGGCCAAGGCTGCTGCCGACAAGAAGCGATACGAGGACGAGAAGCAAGCCTACCAGGTATGTATCTGACATATTCCCCTTCTAACAAGCAATGCTGAACGTAGCTGATTAGGCCGAATCCGATTAGGCTGCTGGCGAAGAAGAGAGTGAATAGAAGCAACTCATCTCAGATCTTCCTATTGATCGTAGTCGTTATGAGGGTTCACGATGAGATGACGAAATGGTCATCGGCCCCAGGAAGCCTTGACCGTAGGGGATTCACAAGTTTCCTTTCGAGTCTAATGCGTATGGTATCGGTCGGTGTTGAAGCACAGGGAAAGGGACATTGTGCTTTGGATTTCTCAACATTGTTTTTTCACTGACGGCTGGACCAGGGTTCGGGGATTACTCTGGTCTGGTGGAGTTGTCGCTTGCAAGGGCTATTGAAGCTATGAAGCGCCAAGTACGAAAGCATTAAATCAGCGCTTCTCGACAACACAATGTACAATAGTTTGCTCTTGCAATTTACGCAGCACGTTGTCTGCATTCGTACTATGTTGTTGTATTCTGGTTTCATTACCAACTGGGACTTGAAGTGAATCGATAATTGCGTTTAGAACTAAGGTACGGATATAATTCCACGTGGTTTCGATCTAACCCGAGTCGACCTGCCCCGTGCTCGGCAGGCAGATGCATACGAGGATCTTGATCCGAAGATCTGGACGGGCTGTCCAGGGGTCTGATCGAGGTGTGGAAGTCAACGTGGCCAAGGACTATCCTCGAGCTACTTACCTAGTAGTTATTCCTCACAACGACACACCAAACACGAGGCTGCAAAGTAATATGGATTGCCTGATCAACCGTAGGTCACCCAATACCTACTAGTCAGCCAGTAGTTGGAGCAACGTGGGAACTTGCTGCGTTCTTGTAACGGTTTCCCACGATTTATGTGTATCTAGGAAATTCCTACCCAGCATCTAATTCGACCAGACCAATCCAATCATCAATGTTTTAGGAATAGGTGTATTTGGTACTAGACCGAGATACAGTCCCTATCCAGTTTAGTCCAGTCATTATTACTTTTGTACATAGTATTATATGAGCACATGTATCATCGGTGGTTATACAGCATAACCATCTCGTATGTATCGACACCTCTTACATAAAACCTCCAAGCCCAGATCAACTCAGATCTGACACTCATGCTAGCTACCCAACCTGCCAACCTAAGATTGGAAATGCATGCAAGCGGTTGGGAAGCAACGCAACGAAGCATCGGGTTTGATCGCACGCTATCGGAGCCTCGATCGGAGCATTGCAGCGGTGCTTCGGTGCTTCGGTCAGACACGGATGATGCTGCCATCCTCTTCTTTGCCAGATCCTAGCCCAACTTCCTGCATATTACAACATACACCGCATTCAGCTTACGATGCAACTACCCGATAGCTTACCGTACAACGTCATAGCTATTTCAGATTCATATATTAAGCGTTTACATTTCTCGCTTTCTAGATTCAAACGAGCATATCTACCTCGTAGGTAGGTAGTCAGCGTCTGTTTCTGTTTCTTGCCGCTCGATAAGCGCCGACAGGTGTATATTCTCTGTACTGAAACAAACACATCATGTAGCCAAGCCAAGTCAACTACTACTACACATCAGCGGTTACGAAATAAACCGTAACATCGGTAACAAAGTATCACCTAACAAGTCAGAGAGCCTCATCGTGCGTTTTCTTCTTGTCATTGATCCTATCTACTCCGGTTGGCGCCAGGTCTCATACAAACAAAAGCGGCTCGGCAAGCATCGTCATGGCTTCTTCTCTGCCCCTCCTTGCTCTCTCGTCCAGTCTGCTATCTTCCCTGCATATTATTCCATGCAAGTGTCTCCCCTCTCCGCGCCGCGGGCATGGTAACACTACGACCGCTCTACGCCTGATGCGGAACTGCGACTAAGCCCACCAATGAATTGATGCATACCTATAGTCTTGCTGCCGGGCTTCGTGGCAGTCTCTCACTTGAGTCTGAGAAATGTTTGAGAGTGCCGATTTCTAGAATTTCCTACACTGGCAAACATCCGAGCGGCCGGCCAGACCAATTGACTTTTTTTATTTTTTTCTTCCGTCATAAAACTTTTTTTTTCTCATCTCACACATTCTGATTGCCCTATCACTCATTTTATGTCCGTGTGCGTCGGCTGATTCCTTTGCTGGTATTTGATTGCTATGATATCTACGAATTTTTATTTTCTCTCGGAGTAAAAGGGATCATTATTATTTTTTTCACACGTTTTATATATTCGCTAATCGACGGCGGCAAAGTCCATGAGACTTACTGAATCACGCATGCGCTGTTAATCCAGTCAAGCTCAAGTTCATGTTCAAGCAACCCGTATCTAATAGAAAATCCACGTCCAAGATTGTGTCCTGACTTCGTGCAAGTCATATCTTATCATTCATTGTATAATAATAATCCTCTCCTCCGACAAGAATCGCAGATATTGGCGGCTGCAAATACGAACTCCACACGCACTGCGCTCTTCGGAATCGAACTTCGTCTCTATTGGGGAATGCGCACCTAACACGTCACCCCACAGTCGTTGGGCTCTAGACTCACGTTATATGAGATATTGCAGAAGAGGAGATCTCCATTGACGGAGAACATTCTCACCAGTTCTAATTCTAATAGGTACAATAATAACTCCTCATCCTCTACTACTGAGCTCGTTCTTAATCTTCCCCTCCCCCCACACGTACGGCCAACTGGCTAGCCATTTGCGGAGACGACGATCATCTCAGCACTTATCAGCTGCTGGCCGAGGACCATAATTTCCAACAGCATTACGCTACATATAACGCCATCGTCTTGACATCTATATTCACCAAATCCTCTAAACCTTTCACTAATATCACTCATTAGTAGTGCACAGCCCTGGTGTGTAACGAGACATTGTCCCATGGTGGCTGTGGAGGAGAGGTATTGGAAAGGGCTTTTCTTTTTCTGAAGTGAGATAAGATATCTTAATTATTCGCCATCATGATACCATAAGTGCTCCGAACACCATGGACCCAATTCTACGCCGTGCTAGAGCACCTCCCGCCAGGTTGGCGGCCCAGCAGATCAGCCCTCAACTACTCAATGGCTGTTTTCACGAAGCTGATCGTGCCGACTTGGTCGGCTTCAACCTTCAAGGCCTGCGAGATTCTCTTCCGGAGAAACTTCAACCCCACCTTAACGGGATCATTGAAGAAATCTACAATACGAGCCGATCACTCCGGGATCTCGCGGAACAGGCACAGATACATCTCTCTCAGTTGCCGGCTGTTTTCGATTACCTCAATGTCATCCTACCATGTCTCTGCAAGACGCTCCGGGATATCATGACGTTCTATGAGGATAAGTCGATGAATAGGGAACATCGTTGGAGAACGATGTACCATAAGTTGGGGAATGAACTCCCCGGTACGACATTGCCAGCTAGATTTATCATGTACAACCAGTTCCTGAGACTGCTTCAAGACCTTATGACGAGGTAAGACCTTTCTTTAAAAAATGATGCCATGATGATACCTCTTTGTAACCTAGCTACATAGGTCCCCGAACTTTGACTTGAATGCAATGGAGGTTCTACGAATCCGCATCCTTCAGCTGCGTGAAGCCAGGAAGATCCGTCGGTAGCCCAGACACCTTTTTCATCGAAGTGAAACTAAACTCGTCGTCTAGCTCCTCCGAATCCGATTAGAACCGATCTCATAAGACGAGACGAGGCTTTGGATTTCTGGAGCCAGGAGACTGTACGTCCTTGATTCTCTTATTAGGGTCTATGATACTAAGATTATAGCAGAATTCACATTGGGCCGAGGCAATCTTTACTCAACCCCTGCCGTCTCGGAGGGAATTCAAGACCCAAAGACAGTAAGCCACTTCACTAAAATAGGGATGCATTTCGAGTTAGAAATTAACACCATGCAGCTCAGATGCGTTCGGCCCCTTTCAGAAGTTGGGCCATCTCCCGCCAGTTCCACGAGATGTCAAGATACTAGTCAAAAGGTAACCAGTTACATACCTCACATTTTAACCCTGCTGATATACTTAATATGTCATACCAATATTAACAACTATCTTAGGTCGTTTGATAGTGATCGCATCTCGGTTATCTTCTTCCTGCAACTGAGAAACCAGGCACCGTCCCTATTAATTCGCTCGAAAGTCGCCAGCCAGAACTGGGTTTCGATGCTCGGCGTGCATGAGCTGTCTATCGGACGAGATAGAAATTCCGTGTTACACCTGTCTAGATGGAGTACGGAAGAACGATGCATCAAACCCTGGGCAGACTTGTCTTTTTTGACTTGGGAAGGTTAGCACTGTCCGTGGCCTGAACACAAGAGGATTTAGACTAATGAGAAGTAGAAATGGTGCTGTTCTACTGCACATTCTTGTGTCTGAGGGTTCGCAGCCAGCTCACGTTCAAAGTAAACCCTACCGAGTTCCACCTCCGTAAGGAAAAACGCCTATTCCAAGCGTAAGTCATAGGTCTACCCTTGCCTATCGACATAAAGAAGAGCGTAGACTAATATCATTCAAAGACAAATCATCGATGACGGATATCGCCACGTTCTTATGGTGTTCGAGGATACTGTCACCGGTGGTTGCCGTCTTCACGCGGCCGTATGGGAAGGCAAACTGCGAGCATGTCCCATCTGGACGGCGTTTAGTATGTGGCAACCATCCCACCCCCCTTATCCCCCCTTTCTCTTCACACACCGCCCGGCAACTAACTGTTCTTTCTCCAGTTCCTCCAAACGTGTCGTCGTCCTGGCTCCTCCGCAAGTCCAAGAAGTGCATCTGGCTGCGCGAAATCCAGCCGTACGTGTTCTGCGATACATACCGGCCGATAAACCAGCGCAGGGGCAAGTTCAGCGCTTACGAGCTGCATTTCGCACATAGCGAAGCTGCCACTCGGTTCCAAGAGCTATTCACATCGTCTCCCGAGACATCGGCCGCCTCTATCCCCGATTCACCTCTGGATGAGGCCGGTACGTCTAATAGTTAGTCGGCGCCGATGGAAAGAGTATTATTCCCTTGAGATGGTGGTCAGACAATAAAAACCTCATGGGATACTCTTAAGAAAGCCGAGACGGGAACTTGCATCGAAAAGGAGACGACCACCCAACCTTACTAAATCATCATAGTCCCGATTTAAATATTGATCCTTTACATTGTATCTACGCTTACTTACTCGGCTCACATCCTTAAAAGTCACCATCCCTACTTCTTCTATCTATATTTCGAATGTCCATATTCGCGACACCGAACAAACCAGACCAAACTATTAAAAAAAAACTTACCACACTCGCCCTACCTATCTTCCCCCACTTCTTACGAGAACACGACGTCAAACGGCAGCAACGCATCCACGGGAACAACAGACCCACGAGACAACGACGTTCACGATCTACGAAACCTTGTCTTACTTTTTCATTTGTTCCTTTACGACCATTACGAACGATATCGACGACTAGCACACGACGATTACGAAGAGACAGAGAGAGAGAGAGCGCGGCAGATTGAGTGATGATACCCCCCTTTTTTTCTTCCTTGGCCTAGCATCTAGCGAATCTTTGATTTTGGTTTCCTTATGATCCCATCCCATCTCGTCTACGCTATCTATCTATGGTGTTTTGATTCGTGTGCACATTCATCCCGATCGTGGAGGTGTTGATAAGTACGTACCTAGCAAGTACACAGAGGGTGCTTTTACATACCTAGCAGGCACGTTAAGGAGTGAGGTTCGATTAGAACGAAAGTCCTTGATACCCGTCTATTTAGCAACTCTTAGCAGGAGGACTTTCTGATTAATCATTGGGGAGATTGCTATTTCCTGTTCTCCGCATCGTAGCGAAGGCGTACATAATTGCGCAGCGTATCTACTCCTTAACACACGTCTATTATTACAATTTACCAACCACTCCAGGGTTCTTTACATCATGCATGTTGGTGCTGTGTATGTAAGGGAGGTTACACCGGTAACCTTAAATGTCTTCAGTGTCAAGCGATGATCATACGATAGCAGATCTTCAGACGAGGAAAGGCGTGTATTTTCCCGTGATCTTCGGCCAATGATACCCTCCTTTAGAAGTGATGGTCTCATACTCGAGTTGCGCAGAAGAGGCCGTGAACCATCCCAGGTACCCGGGTTTCAGCTAAGCGCGGCTCGGCCCGACATCCGACATGTTCGTCGTTTGGGGGCCGTTCCGTAGAATCGAGGAGGGTGAAGTAAGCGCTGAGGCTGAGTAAACGCTTCATTATATGCCCTGAGGTCACTTACTGGTAGAATTCTTGTGGCCTGTGAGCCTGAGGTTCCTGTCTAGGTAAGCGTTGTGACGAAGACTAGACTAGGATTGAGATCCTTTCTAGTACGTAGTTCCGATGAAATCAATGATCAATTACACTACTTCCCATAGAGCCCATAAAGTGAATTTGTCGATTCTCTACCTAGTCGGGACGACGATGTAAATAGGTAGAGAAAGGCGCGTATATGACTTTAGCTATGCAGCGCTTAACTGGCGGTTACAACCTCAATTCACTCAACTTCTCCCAATCATCATTCCTTCTACCGCCATTGTATAGCACAATACAGCCTGATTGTTTCAGCATGGCCGCCACTGATGATGAGGTAAAGACCACATTGTCACTAATTGAGAGCACGAAACTCCCACATCCATCAAATCTATTACTTAAATCATTTGTTTCCAACGCCCTTAACCCCGTGTTAGCCGCACGTTACGTGAAGTATAGGTTGTTAGCCGGGGATGCATCTTCGTTAGTGGACGATTGGTCTTATATTGTTGAGTCTAGTAAAATCGATGCTTAAGTTTGTGCTACTGCTACTTACCATTCTAACGGATAGATAGTTACTCATAATGGCAGTCCTCCATCACGGCCTCATATCACCCAGCAGCATACCATCACTAAACGAGATGGCGGAAAGTGTTGCATAACTGGCAAGGCTGGCACTTTGCGAGATCCTCTTATCGTCGCGCCTATTCTTCCAGTTCCATCTGGTTGGGATACAGACAAGGTGTGTTCGGTATCATTGAGACTAGATATCATTGTAAGAAAACTGACGATCGTCCTTAAAGGATAATATAAATGACATGCTCGGTGCTTTCCTTGGGCTGTCTTGTCGGGATTGGTGGCTATCTTACATTAGAAATCCTAGAGGCATGTTTCCTTATTGCAATCACTGGCTAGTCCGAAAGTCCGCAGCAGAGGCATTTGCTTCGGGGCTTGTCAAGTTAAACAGGCTACTGCCATCCATGATTGAGGTGAGTTGCAACTCGTAGTTTTGACTATACTTTTGGTTAATAGCTTATAACAGTATGAGCTTAAACAAGTCTCCATTGGACCAGAGGAACTAATCGAGGTTGATGGCGACTATCCATTGTTAGGTGATCACTCGCGGTCGGGTCTCTCTAAGGTCGACTACCGCTTCATCGACTCACAGGCTCGACTATGTGAGAGCATCCAACTTTTCAATATCTCCAAGAGACTTTCGCTGGAAACTATATCTCGATCACCAATTCAGTCAACTGGTCTTCTAGCATGGCACCAAAGCATAACGCAACGGAATCGTTGGCGTCTTTCCAGTTTCTGCATAGATGCTTTCTTTACAGTCTGGCGGCTGGTTCCTTCAAAAGCCAGGATAGCTTGTTATAAAATATTACGAAAGCTTGCAAGACGCCTATATGGAAATCTCGATGACTACGCCGACGCCAAGAGATTGCCGTTTGGGCTATACCTGAGGTACAACGACGAAGCCGACAGTGCTCGTAACGAGTTCAATGCGTTAGGGATAGTTCGTCGACATACTTCAATCCCAGTTCCGAAGGCGGTTGATATCATTTTCGAGCAAGGAGATGTAGATGACCCATCCTCTATTCCAGGAGCTTATATACTTACGACGAGAGTCCCTGGTTTGCCAATATTCCTTTGTCAAAATGTTCTTTCGGACAGTGATCTTGAACGAATTGCACACCAGCTGAAGGACTATGTAGCCCAACTAAGGGATATTCCCCGGCTGGCTAAATCAGGCACGGTCGGAACTATATCCAACACTCTCGGAGAAGCGTGTAGGGATTCCCGTATTCGAGGTACAAACCCCGTTGGACCATTCGCGGATGAGGCAGCATTTAATCAGGTGTTGCGGTTCCCCGACGATCCTGCTCGCCGTGGGCACAAAATCGTGTTCACGCACACGAATCTCAACCCGCGCAATATTTTAATCGATCAAACCGTACAATTGGATGGAAGTGTCGGCTGGAGCGTGACGGGGATTATAGATTGGGAGTTTGCGGGATATTATCCAGAATATTGGGATTATACAAAGTCGATGTTCGAGGGATTTAGATGGTCGCTACGATATAATAATATGGTGAAAGGTGTGTTTAGTGAGTTTAAGGATTACTCCCAAGAATTGGATGTTGAGGTAAGGAGCTGGGAGTCGGGGGACGGCGACGGCGATTAGATATCCGTATTGTACCCCGCCCCCACTCCGTATTATCAGCCTGTATTTCCGATCGAGGGGTAAATTATAGGTGCCTATCCGGCGTTTAACCAGCCCATCTTCCGGGTCCAGGTATCACCTAATTCTCAACGGTAATAAACAAACCTTGGAATCTTTCATCAGTTGTCAAAGCCGCACGCGCACACACCGTCGTTTTTTACACGATCGCGGAGGCATCCTCCGTAACTTCGCAGAATCGCTAGACTACCTACTCGTCCGACTCCTGCTACCTTACTCTCATCGAAGCCTTCTCTGAAGTCTCCACGCGCAAGTGCGCTAGCTTGCCCGATACATGGCCACAATGATTCGACGGACGTCCGAGATGTAAGAGATGTCGTCTTGAAATGAGGATTATAGACTGCTGGGCTTAAGCAGGTAGTCCACACAACCCTTCGCATTCCGTCAGATGAAGCTGCGCAGCTAGATGGACGTTCTCTTAACGGCAGGAAAGAAACTTGGTGCCTTTATCGACTTCTCGTGTCGACTTCCGTTCACCGGTCACTGGCTCTCCGGGATATCACCAACCTCGATCATGTTATTAAAAATACACACATTTCACTCGAGCACTACGTCAACGACCCGCTTGTCCCAGTCCAGAGCGGCCGAGGCTTGCGAGAGACGCTGCGTGGGTACCGTGCCCAAGTCGAGTGGAAATAATAATATCCTGATGGGGGACATAGGTTCCATTCGCCGACCGGTGTGGATGATGTTGTGGACTTTCTGGGCAGGCATCTTGACAACTACGCAAGCATCCTCGCGGATTTATAGCCAGCCTCATCTGATGCTATGGATCTATTATAGAGGTTGGGACCGTTTCAAGTCCAACACGACCCCAGGATAATTTCCATAAAGCCAGGTCCAAAGGAATGCGTATGCCACCAACCACTCAAGGTCGCTCTCGAATGTCAACGCTACTTCAAAGTCAATTGAAACGACACCGACAATACGGGTTGACAGTAAGAAGCTGGACATCACATCACGTCACTTGCGAAATCTAGTGTTGCTGCTCACGCCGAGGAGCATGACAATGAATGGTTCTATATCTACTCTGTAACTCAAGACAGATTTAAGTCGCGACAAAACGTCATGATTAGGGTGGTATGGACGCGTGGCACTTTCGGAACCATACTTGCTTCTACTTGGCACTTCAACCTCCGACTGGATGTGACGACAACCTTGGAGTGGTGCGAATTGGACCAGGTTCTCTGCTACTATCGAGGATGCGCGCCTTGGTAGTCTTGATTCAACTGATCGCCGCGGAGCAAGGCCTGGGTCGACCCATAACGGGATGGAAATTCTCTAATTAACTGCTAATCACTGACCGACTTCAGCGTTCCCTTGTTTTCCCCGGACCTATCCACTTCAGAATGCTTAAATTCCATTTTACACATGAAAAAAGCTTTTCTAATTATTTCATTTTCTGGGGGACTAATGAAGTCTTGGTTGTCGATCCAAGGCATGCTTTGAAGATAGCAAGACTTACCCCTGAAGTTTTTCTTCACTCGGAAATCCAACACAATGCCACAGTAGGACATCGCGTGATTTGGCTGAATCCTATTAATATCAAGGTTGTATGAGCTTCACCTTTCAAATGTGAGTCAAAAAATGCCCCCTCAAAATATACAATTGGTTCTATCAAGTTTGAATATCCTTAGCGGTCATTTACAGGATGACTGTTTTACACCCGTTTCAACTACAAGTAAATGTGTTCGGCATGAAGGACGAAAGAGAAGTTCATGCCTGAAGCACTGCTTTTAGACACTTCTCCAGGTGTTTTCGAGTCACAAGACGACATCAACGAGTCTAACTACCTAGTACCTAGGTAGGTACGTATCTGAACAAGATATGGGATCTAACAGGCGAAGCATTACATACCTAGCGTCTCTCCAAATGACTAAGAGAACGGAAGACGGATGTGAGTCGAGGAGGATGGTTAAATGGTATGGTTCTCTACTATCTCAAGGCGAAATTTCGTTTCACCATAGAAGAATCCTTCGAATAGCCCCCTAGGTCAACGACTTACTCCCCTACCCCTTGAAAAGTTCGTCGGAACTATCACGTGATACCTCATGCCTCTACATGTAGGTAGATACTGTTATGATCGACGATGAACTGCATATGCGGTCATCACAGGCGAGTTGATTTTCCGATGGACACATGGATCCTGATTCTTGCATATGAATTGGTATAGATTCAAGATATATCCTACCGTAGTGGTAATAATCTCTTATCCGCCCGTTAGCATCGGCTAAGGGTGGACGTCAACTTATGACAAAATGTCAAAAGTGCCTTCGCTTGTCAGGCATCAATGATTAACGCAGACGCTACTCGCGAATATGTAATAGTGTGAGAACCGAGAGCTCGTCTCCAAAATTGCTTGACATATTTCGCGGTGGTATGTCGGATATTCTAACTTGTCTAGGAAAGGCAGACGTCAAAATCAGGGGTCTTCCCCAGTCATTTCGACCCAATGCCAATTCGACCGTCATGTACAAAAACAGGGTCTTCCTGTCTCTGATTCGTACTACTATGCGCGTGGTATGACCTCGACAACTTTTCGCGCGATGCTCGGGCCACGGAATGCCCTTCCGCGTTGTTATTGCGCCATCTACATATTTGGCTTCGTCGTATGCAAGTCAGACTAACCATCCAGGTCTTCATAACTCTAACTATCGTTCCTGGATTGTTTTACATACAATGTAAGCTTGTTCCCACGTGTTGCATGTATGGGCTAACAGGGGACATGAGAAAAGCACACGTGAAATTCTAACTCGTCGAGTATTCGTGCTACGGAACGTGTGAAGCGAATCACATCTGATCTTTACATAATAGAATAAGAGTTTTCAATGCCGGACCTTAGAATCTCGATCCTGCCTCCAGTATATATAATATACTGCATCATCATTTGCCGATATTCATTCACACGGTAACATCGCCGGGCTTGGTAAGTTTGAGCCGCATCACGAACATTATGGATGTAACGTACATAATACCTTTGTACGCGATCATGGAACTTCCGAGGAGATCTCTTGAAAAAAGGGAATTAAATTCCCCATTTCCTAAACGACGTCAAAATAATAGTCCGCTACTATAATCCGGGGCTCGTCTGGAGAGAACTCGACTACACTACACTACGCCTTACATAGTGCTAGTGCTAGTGAAGCCTGTCGAACTCCTGACCGAGAGCTATGACGTGTGGGGCACCGGATTAAAGGAAGGTTACCTTGGGTATGCCTGCAAATTTGAACGCGCCCTGCTTGCCCAAGTCAGAATATGGATGGCGTACAGTGGCGGCGTGGCTCGCCGGTCCCGAAGTTCTTGAAAGTTGACGTCTGTGAAAGACACTACGGCTTCTCCCCGTCGCTAGAGCAGGCTTCGTTTATATATGTGCGATAAATATCTTGGCCCTACACTTTCGAACATGATTATAAGGCTGCGAGGAGTCTTTGACCTTCCATTTTCGAATGCCACCGTAGCTCGCGGTACGCCGGAATTCGTCCCCTCCTCCGAACCATAGGTATGTATGCATGGAATAATTTGACACAACGTCGAGATTCGATGGTTGCTTATATAATTAACGACAAGCATACCCAGCAGCGATTTGCGGCGGAAATGACTCGATCGACGAACTCCACGGAGACTACCGATAAGAGTAATGAACATCCCCTGAACCCGATCAATGCTCAACCAAGATCTTATTATTTCCGGAAATCTTATTGCTCAGTAACGCATCTGCATATGTTGGCGAACCTCTGATGTCTTGGCGTAAATGATCGTGCGCATACTCATGATAAATAGGGCTAGCATGAGGATTTACTCGAGAATAGACGGTTGCTGCTAGACCTGCCGTTAGTATCGTCCTCTCCGTTGGGAATATACTACTAAGCGATGCGGATTTAGCGCACCGTAGTATATCTCAACCGTGTAGTTCGAGACTTCAAGGTCTGGGGTTGCTGCTAGTTCTGCTAGTCTACTATGCACTCACATACTAGCCATCCTTATGTGACATTTCTCAGATGGTACCTGGTAACGTGGAAAGGTCGTATCCCAGAAATAAGTGCCGAAGACCTTACCGTAGATGGTGATTCGTCCATCTCCACTAGCGGACCCTCGTATAACCAACTAATGGCAAACCAGTAAATGCACATAATGTCTTGGGGGAGATGGGAATGTGAAACCCGCGAGTGGACTAATGCAGTGTCGAGGTAACTTCAGTCGGACGCGGCCATATCGAAACTGCTGCAAAACATTAGTCAAAACAAACTTTTTGACTGCCTGCTAATATAGTCAGGATATTGAAGGCATATACAGTTTTTTTCCACCACTGATCACCTATGTAGGATCTGTTGTGGAACGGATGGCGAATAACAATATCTCGTTCAGTTCGTCCTACTTTAATATACCTAGAGAACTAGCCCCCCTCGCCCCCCTTCGCCCCCCCGGATGCCCTCTACTCACGTCCCCGGGTCCGTGTGTATTGCTTGTCTCCTTTTAGACTGCATTGAAATCCACATAAATGAACATCTAAAGCACCGTACTAGATCCGGGGTTAGATCTAAACGATGTTCTCTAGTCGTGCTACCTAGGTTATTAAAAGAATGCCCAAGTAATCTTCCTTCGGAATTTCACTAGAAATTCTTCTTTTCTGACGTGGTAGGGGTATGGAAGCTTATACGTTCGTCGATAGTCTATAGAGCCTCGAAGGCTTGTATGGCTATTTACCTACTTTCGCCGTGGCAATTGTTTTGGCTGGAGATAGATCATTGTGATTCGTGTAACGCGCCTGGGTCGATATTCATAACCGCATTTATCAGTAACGGTAACGGCTCTTGATCGTCGATCAAGCTGGAAACGACAAGATGGCGACGAACAGCGAAGGAATACCGTTATCCTACTTCGAGGCGCCGTACAGCCTCTTATCCATGGACACCCACACCTACAACGGACTTCTCGTTATAGGAACCCTCGCCGCCATCTCGCTGGTTTTCACAACGACGCTTCTAGGCTTCATAACATGGCGCATGTTTACGTGGAAATCCCACTACAGCAGTCCCGTTAGCCGCAACCAGTCGATCGTCCTCATCTACCAGCTCATTCTCGCCGACCTCATCCAAGCGCTCGGGTTTTTGATCTCGTTTCACTGGGTAACGGAGCGTCGGATCGTTGGGCCGAATAGTTCGTGTTTTGCGCAGGGGTGGTTGATTCAGCTTGGGGATGTCGGCAGCTCCTTTTTCGTCCTCGCGATCGCGGTCCATACGACGTACCAAGTCATCCTCTCGAAGAGTTTATCTCACGGGGCCTTCGTTGCTTGTGTGCTTGGTGTTTGGGGGTTGTCCGTGGGTCTTACGTGCCTGGCGCCAATTATTGGCGGGCGGTTTGTGTTCATGAGAGCCGGAGTCTGGGTGAGTGAAAATCTAACAAGAGACCATCAAATCATGGTGAATACCGGTAATCTAACCCTGGATTTAGTGCTGGATACAAACGGACAGAGAAGGACTGCGTCTTTCGCTGCATTATATCTGGATTTTCATCGTCGAATTCGGCTCTATTCTAATTTACGCCCTATGCTTCTTTTATCTATACCGCCTTAGACGCAGAGAAGCTATGATGTCAGGTCGGAACGTGGAGAGTCTACGAAGGGCACGAGCGGCTATGTTGGCGTACGCAATAATTTACACACTCTTGAGTCTTCCTTTAGCGTAAGTTGTCCTGAGCCAATTCCTCGACAGTTTAGACTAATCCCCCCTGAAGTGCTGGAAGAATGGCCAGTATGTCAAACAATACCCCGTCCGATGGGTATTATCTATTCGCCGGCGGTCTTTTCACGTGCTCCGGCTGGGTAGATACCGTCCTTTATACAATCACGCGGCGAGCGCTCCTCTTCGACGAATTAAACGTTTATGGTCGTCGATCCGGGGTAAACACGGGCAACGGTACACGTCATGCCAAGGACGCCGGCTTCCAAAGACAGAGCAGTACGGAGTCCATCCTGGCTAATAATGGCTTCGGGAGTATTGGGGGGATCAAGATGGAGAGAACCGTGAAAGTCGAGCTTGCGGACGTGGAAAGCGGACCTGGCAACTCTGGAAAGAACACACAAGAATATTATGCAACAGCAACGGCAGGGGACACGAAATCCTAGCTTGGAACCGAATTATTGCTAGCAAAACGTACATAATTAATAGATCATTGATCCGATCCTGCTGTTAGAGTTTTAAATTTAACATGGTAACAAACTTCTCAAAACTTCAACCCCCTGAAATGTTGTAAAAACCATCCTATACCATCTGGGCATATACTACCGCTTCTCTCATGCCCTGTCATTTCCTCTAATCTACCTAGGTACTTACTTTTTGCTGCTACGATAAGGAATACATTTCATGTCTAATTGATTATATAATATTAACCACATTACCTTGTTAATACGAATCAACGCTTCTGATTGGTCCCATCCGAACTTGACGCTGTAAAGTGGCATAGGATTAGGTAATAAGAACCCCCTATTGAAGACTCTCATACTGAACAGTGCACTATGAGAAAACTGTCAGAAACACCCTTAAACCATAAAGAAACCGAGACTCGCCCGTTCCGTATATCTAAAACCTGGTATCATTTTGCGACATCAAATGTATATACACGCACCCAACCCCCCGAGCTTTCATCAACGTCTAGATTACACGACCGCTTAGTCACCTCCGCCTTTCCTAGATTTCTTAGCCTTTTTATGCTTCTTCTCCCCGAACGCCTCCTCGTAGACCTCTGCTGCCGTCACGCCGGCTTTCCGCTTGCTCTGCTTAGACTTCACACTGACGACCGGGTTGGAGCGCCCTTCCTTGGTCGCTCTTAAGACCTGTTTCTCTGCCTCTTCCCAGCCGGGCGCATCGCCCTCGATCTCGTATCTGGGACCAGGTGTAAGTATATGTGTTCATTGAGTTTGAGGATGGGTTAGTCTTACTGGTCGAGGGGAAGAGAATCTATAAGCTCCCTCTGCTTTGCGCGCAATTCCTGTAATGCCTCGTCACCGGCTTCGTCCAGCTCAGCATCTAGACTCATTTCCAACGGCGCGTATTTGTCGTTTACGGCCTCGTCATCGTGGACACCGGATGCATTTTCTCTGCTGACTCCGATCGCATCAGATTTCGGCATATTCGCCTCGACAGCTGATGAGATCAGCGATGAGAAATGTGCTGTGATTTTCCTGATGATCTTCATGAACATAGCCAAGCCTTGGGATGACTCCAAAGACAGTTCTGTGCATATGGCGCCCACATCTTTCCGTTGTAAACCGATACCTAGCAAGAGGGCCCGTTGCACACCCGTAAGCTTGACGCTTGGTTTTAAAGGACCTGTAAAGTATAGATCTGCGAGCTTAGGAACGAGGTCGAGGATGGCATGGTGATCCAGTACACCCCTCGTGTAAGATTCCAATCTCTTGCAATCAAAAGGTGTTAACAATCTATCCAGCTCTGACTTAGTCAATTCGGGTAGCTGGTTCGATGGATCCAATTGAGCGCCTGCTGTAGCAGACTGGTCTATACTCAATGCGAGAACGCAGAGGAATTCTCGGAATTTATAGGAGAGTAGGGCAAGGAAACGGCGGTGGAAATCAGAGGCAAAGGCTCCGAGCCATTCTCGGTCATCTTTTAGTGGCCTAAGCATCACGCAAGTATGCTCGCCTGTAAGATCATTGGCTGTTTGTCGCTATAACACTATTAGTCTAAATCTTTCGGCCACGTGATACGAGTAAAATGTCTTACCAAGTACACAGGTGCAAAGGCGGCGCGCGACCAAAACTTATGGAGGGGTTGAGTTAAACCGTAGCTCACACCAACATACTCGAGGTCCTCTGGCTTGCGTTCCGATAATCTCGAGAATAGGGGCTGCATCTTTTCGATATCTCGAACCTTGATATCTTCAAGAAGAAGACCGCGATCCTTATTCATATGGTCAGGAATGACATTGGCTGCCTTCTTAGTTTGGGGCTCGTTGTCTTCTCCCAGGTTGATGAATTTGCCTTCATAGTAGTCGATTAAAAGCTCGAGAGCTTTCGTTCCATAGCCCATTGACACACAATCTGGGTGGGTTGCTATCCGAACTATGCGAGCGCCTGATAGAGAAGCAAAATCATCTTGGAACTGTTGGCTGACTAGCCAAGGAATCAAATCACCTGCAGGTCGCTGACCCCTGTCCAAGCCTGCCATTACACTCTGCTTGCTGATATTACCTTCAAGTGCTATTTGAATTACGCACAAAGGCTCAGGTAATCCGTTGTCTTGGATAGTTGATGAGGTTAAAACGAATAGTTCATGCGCTGGAGCATCGCTCATGAGTTGCATGTCATCTGGGGTATTTTTATAGTGGCTAGTTACGAAAAGGGCCACCATATGTCGCAGAAACCTCTCTGGTACTGGGTGGAAGGAGAATAGGGTATCGCGGTTGATGTGTAGGAGCTGACACTGGGATGGATCGGGGAATATGTTATTTTTGGGTTTCGAGGGCGTAACATCTAAGCAGAGAAGAGCGTTTAACCACTTCTCAACTGCATCTCCTTTCGCGTAACGAATCGGTTCAGCGAGGGTGACTTCTTTGAGGGATCTTGGGCTTCGTGTCTCGCCATCCTGAGCTACGCTCGTCGCAGCCTGCTCTTTTAGTTGCTTGATGAGTTTTAGTGATAGCGAACGTCCAGTACCTTCATAACCGCTTATCGTAGAGGCCATGAAGACTGTATAAGGACCTAGGAGCTTTCGAACCAATGCTACCAAATATTAGCACACGCATACTGGATTAAGGGGCAGAACGTACGCAGTGGAATCGCCGCCGCTTCATCAATGATGACAAGCTCGGCCTGTCCGAGCACATGTGCATCTTGCGGTCGGATATACTGGATAGTCTGTCGATGGTTTCGGAAGATATTGACCCTAACAATCGCCTTTTTGAAGTCTGGGTTTGTGGATTGGATGATAGAATAATCTGTATGGTCTTGATAGTTCAACGCATCGAACGCTTTAAATACGAATTCGAATAGTGTGCCCAAATTCTCTGGGGAGGGAGATGTGACGAAAATGTTACTGTAGCCGTAAGATACGGCAGCCGCGATAGCAACACCCACTATTCCTGTTAGCTCTTCACTTTAGGGGGATGTGAGCATACATACATGCAGCTGATTTTCCGCGACCACGAGCAGCTGTTAAGGATACTGTATTACGAAGCGTTTTAGCGGATATAGCATCAACGAACGTAATCAACGCCTCCGCTTGGTCTTTTGTCCGCGCAAGTTTGACTAGGGATCCTATTGGTTGTGTATCTTGGAGCGAATCCTTGATTTTCTCTAGTTCGATCTCCTCCGGGGACTTTGACTCTTCTATTGGCGGTAAAGGCTTGACTCCTCTTCCCCCAGATATCGGTAAGACGTTCAATTCGTCGTCAATGACCAGGCAAGACTCGCATCGGCCCAAAGAAAGTAGGAATCGTTCGTTGAATCTCGCGACGACATCGTGATGGGCTTCGGTTCGGTATCGTGAATGTACGTCCATTGAAAGTGTGTAGAGCTGCCTCAAACTGTCCATTCCTTTCAATAGTAAGATAACCAAACCTCCTCCTTCGACGGTCTCGATAGTGCGCGCTAGAGTATTCGGGGTGAGGGCCTCAAAATCTTGAAGGATGCACTACCCACGAGGATTAGTTTCCGCACGCGCATATAACGGACATCATCGTCATCGCAACTCCTTACCATTCCAAATGTTCTACCTAGAATCTTATCGGTCTCTTTGTAGTAAACATATCTGACGTCATGAAGCGAAACGAAAAGCTCGAAGGGATCTTCCGTATTCGCATCTCTGATACCGCGGCTGACTTCCTTCTTGATCTTGTTTTCTCGCTTCTTCCGGTGACTGGAAAAGCCGAGGAGCTTATTCTTGTAGGCCCAAAGAACTGACTTGTTTTGCCGCAAGTCAGCTTGGGACATTATGAAGTGAAGTTTGACAATGGCATCTTTGGAATGGTCGCCGACGACGACGAAGAAGCTTCGCTTGTGCTCGGCGAGGCCATTTCGAATTAGAGTAGGAATGCGCGAGTCTCTATGAGAAAGTAATTAGCAAAAAAAGAAATGGACAGACTAATGGACATTGTAGATTCAATTGTACAAATGCTACTTACACAGCTTTCCGCGACATATTGCCGTCCTATTCCTACGTAGATTTCTCTAAAGTCGAAGCTCGTCTACTTCTTCAACTACTTCGATCTTCAAAGTTGGCGCAAAAGAAAAAGTTCTAGAGAAACATTATTCTGCCGGGCGGTGAAAGATTCTGCCGAGCGGTAACCCCACTAGCTTTATTTAAAGTGGAACTCTATGTCACACCAACTTTGATTTCTGATGGATAACTAATTAAATACTTTTATTGCATATACGGAAATTCTATCTAATACTTCGTTAAAGGAATACAGATTCACGAGAATACTATCTCGGTAGATAGCGTACTTTGAACTCTCAAGAAGCAATCTATCCGTTGTCTTCGTAGGGACAATATTTCCCTAACGTAAGCTAATAGGCACACGCAAGCAATCCATATCCTAACCGACTACTAAAAGAGCAATCTTATGTAGATCGAGCGCAATAGCGTCGAAAGCCTTCTAAGCTTACGAGGACGCGAGAATGCGAGGTCACACGTACACACAGCACATCACGGATGCCACAGCATGCAAACAAAAGTACTGGATTCTGGGTATGGTACTAGGTAGGTATGGATGTGACAATACACAAGATCACATTTTCGTCGCGTAACCAACCGGCAACAATCAAAAAAAAATCATCGCGCTCCAAGGGTTCCCTCGTACATACAACGCAACGCAACGCCCAACGACCGATCCAAGTCGAACAAAAAAACAAGACGATAAATGGCATCCCAAAATGTCGTCTCGACAGAAGCAAATCCCGTCCGTGATATCACACGCCGATCCAAGGTTAAGTCGTAGTAGGCATTACCCAAGAGAAGCCCCCAATCCGTCTATCCATATCCCATTCACCCATCCATTTTCCCTCTCTCCCAACCCCTACCCCTACGCCCATTCCCATCTTCTCATCCCCTCCTCACCTGCGCATAATCCGCCGGATTATAAGCATACCCCCTGCCCGCATGAGAATCCGATCTATACGCGCCGCCCCTCCCGCCCCCCTGATTCTGCTGATGGTACTCCTCCGTCGTCTCCTGATGCGTCGGCAGCTCCGCCGCAAAGCCCTTATGGTCCAGGCCCGGGGACGCGAAGCCCGCACTACTCGCGTCGGACGAGTACGACGTCGGGCGGGACCCCACAAGCGACGGGCTAGGCTGGCTCTGCGACCAGCTCCACGATTTGTGCGGTTCCGGGGAGTGCGACTGCAGCGAGGCGGGGGAGTTCCGGCCTTGGTGTGGGTACGTGGGGGACGGGTGAGGCGGCTGTAGATGCGGCGATGATTGCGGGTGGTGGAAGTCTCCGGGGAGTTCCATGATCATGCCCTGGGATGGATTAGTGGGGACCGCGCTTTGGCTGGCCGGCAACTCGGCATATTGCTGGTGCATCTTGGTCTGGTCGTAGCCGCCGTTGAGCTGTTGGAATTGGGCCTGCCAGTGCGCCGGGTAGCTGAGCGAGCTGGCGGTTCCGGGCCTGCTCCCTTGCTGCACCGAGATCGGCCGCGGCACCTGGTATGGCGTTGAGGGCGACATGGGAGGGTGGAAGGGCGTGGCTGGCGACATTGGTGGCGATTTCATCCCTGCGTTCAGACCGCCTGTGTATGTCCTGTCGTTCGGGTTGTACGTCTTCATCTTGCCGTCCTCGATCATCGCCTGCAGTATGCCGGCGTCTAGCAGTTCCGCCTTCTTGATGATCCTCTGTACCATCTCTTTGCTCGCTGTCTTCATCTGCGCTTTCACCATGTTCACTATGGTGATGTTACACTTGATCTCGATGTCCTCCCTTAGGTAGAGCCCGTCCGCAGGTGCGCCTAGCGCGGCCAATCCCATTTCTTGGGGTTCGGGAGCCTCTATTCCCGGTTGGTTGCCTCCGATGCGATACTTGTTTCGGAGGTCGACGCCCATCGGCGCGTAAATGTGCGTTTGCAGACCCCAGGGCAGGTCATGAAAGCAGCCATTGAAAGTGATTTTCCCCGACCCTAACCGTCCCATGCCGGGGATGTACTGAATTCGCTCGTTAATCTCATACCAGGTCGAGAAATACTCGTCGGAAGCTGCATCGCGAGGTGCCTTGATCTGCTTGTATTCGAGCACGAGGGGATTGAGGGTGATGACTTCACCGTGGCTGTGGAGAATGTCGATTGCCAGTTGGCGGGGTATGAAGGTAGGGATTGGCGTTACAACGGTGTAGACTTCTTTCTTTTTGAGCACCATCGCGGCGGTGGCGCTAAGATGGATTATCGTTCTTTCAGTCTTTTGTTCATGGACTTTGCGAAGGCGATTGTGAGAGAAGGGAGTTTGTTAGTTGAAGACTGAAGACTAAAGAAGAGTAATGTCCCTCAAAAGATTTTACACGTAAGCCCACTCAGGTCTATCGCATAAATTATTGCTGCGCAAGAAAACGATAGGCCAGCAGATTTGCGCTCGTACAAGGAAGGCCGGGCTTTTACAAGGTGCAAGGTGGTGGTGGACAATTTTGGTGCTCGGCGTCAGCACTGTGGGTGATACCAAGCTCCTTTAGACTTGAACGGCACGTCCGCTAATGTAACGCAAGCTATTGTTTGATTTGACGGCAGCGATGCTACGAGCCTACGAATTATCATGTAGGTGTAAGTATGTAGGTAAGTAAGTAAGTAAGTAAGTCAGTCAGTAAGTCAGTAAGTAATAGGTAGGATACCGAAGTTGGGTAAGTTGGGTTTTCCATTTTTGGCCCCCCTACCTCCCTACTACCTAGTACGCAGTCCTCCAATCTATTCTTAGTCTAGACCAACACCAAATCCATCCTCACTGCCCTACACTAGCTTCCTACCTCCAGCAGGTACATACATACCTCTCGGGCAGGTGAACAGCCGACTTTTTAAGCCACGGCTCCCCTCTAGATCCGACAGGTTGGGCCAACCGTTGGCAGCGCTTGGTTGGCTTCAGGATGACAGATAACTGGGTAATCCCGCAGTCAACCGCGTGGTAAAAGCCGTATTCTTTTCCTAATTCCCTTCCTGATTTCTCCTCACAGCTGCGTCATGAAAGCGAGTCATTCGTAGGTAACCTCCCCGCAGACCGCAGGGCTTGATCGTCTTGCCACTTTGTTCGCAAGATCTCACTTTACCTAGTACTTATCTCACTTTTCCAGATCGGTACCGGTCTTGTCGGTTTCATTCCTTAGTGGATCAGCCCGATTAATAGTGCTGGTGATCGGCAAAGCTGAACTACTTAGTCCGCAATATACCGCAACGCCATGCTGACGGAAGAATGAAAGACATAATAGATGATACATGGGCCTTTTGATAAGGCTAGGACACGAAAATGAAGTATCACCAAAAGAGAAACAATCTCACAGCATGATAGGCTACTCAGTCACGGACCTTTCTAGATGCTTGTATGCTTGTGTGCTTGTGCTTGTGCCTGCGCTTGCAGGTTGCAGGTTGCATGTGCCCTACCTCCTAGATATTACCTGCAAATGTGATGTGCCAATTAAAAGAGTTGACACTTACCGACTCCGCTTCAAAGGTCCCATGAAACATCGCCAGGGCTGCAATTTCATATTATCAACTTCTTAAGTAAGGATGAAACTGATGCCCAGAAACATGTAGCCAAGACTTGTTATACGGTCCGTTCTGTGCAGTTGCCATCCTCCGCAATTTTCTTAAATTGCGGTGCCTCTTCAACTACCGAGCCCAAAGAGCAGAGAGCCAAAGATCCAAAGAGCCTTAGATACACTGCAATTGAAGAGTGCCACGCTCCTCTTTGTACAACCACCACGATGCGAAGTCTAGTCTGAGTAGAGTCGAACGGAACCAATGGAAATAGCTGGACTTATCGGAATATTTTGCACTTTACATAAAATCGGTCATCGGTCTCCACGGCCGGTGTAAGTTGCAACTCAACGCCTGTCATCTAAAAACATCGACCTGTCGGGAATTCGACGCAGCCAAGCGCCGACTTGCGCACTTACTGCACTTCTCTACAGAGACACACACATCCCAATTCGTAAACACATGCAATTCATAGCTCGTGTCTATTCCACTTACTATGTACTTATCCCCAAACTCCAGATTTCCTAAACCAGACGTGCACTTCGATAGTCAAACAAAAGTCCAGATTGCCAAGAGTTGGTATTTTTATATATCTACCTACATGTAGACAGAATCGGCGTTTTCAATGGGACCAACTCGATGATTACTCTTCGAGTAGTAACGAAACCCATTACAAATGAAGAATTAGCCTCAATGATCTTGGCTCGACGTCGAAACACTACCTATTTCTATTATAAGATCATTCATACAGCTACCTATACGAGCATAGGTGATGTTTTGGGCCAAAAGTTTACCCTTCAACGCGATTATGATAGCAAACTGAGTTCCCCGGCTGGAGGGAGCTGAAGTGTTTTACTAAACGTCTTCGAGACTTAACCTAAGCATAGCGGCTCAATTGGAACTTTGGGGGTAGTTTGACGTGTTAAAGTGAATTGAAGTAAATGCCTACCTAGATATCTAGAAGGATATTCAGATGTCAAAACACTTTACTAATAGCATGCCCTCAAATATTTTCATTATCTTAATACTTCATATACTAAGGCATATATCAATACCAACTTAGACCTACGTCCATTTTATTTTTGATCATATCGGCGTCAATTACATAGTGTATCAACACCATAGGTAATCACCAAAAGCTAACTGCTTTCATAGCCTTAACATTTTAATCCACGCGCTAATTCTAACCCAGGCATACAGCCATCTACGTCTTGACATCAGGTTCGTCACGTCCCACATACTCCTTGAACTTCAATAGACCTGTCGCGAATTTGATTTCATCCTTGAGGAAGTCCTGGGCATCTTGGGCATATGTCGAGGGGTCCTTGCTGTACTTCTCGATGTATAGACGGATCGTTGCTCCGGATGAACCAGTTCCGGATAAGCGAACGACGATACGGCTGCCGCTATCGAAGCGGGCGTACAGTCCTTGGTTTGAGGAGACGGAACCATCCAAGTCAGTGTAGGAGAAGTTTCCGGCATCGGTTACCGTGCGCTCTATGAGATAGGTTAGTATTGCAAGATGATAGCAGTATATAGTCATGTTCACATACCTCCAATTTTGCTACCCACAAAGCTGGAGTCAGCAACTAGGTCCTTCAAAGTTCCAACAACCTTGTTCGCGCCATCGGAGTCCACGTTCTCGTAGTCGTACCGGGTGAAAAACACTCGGCCGTACGTCTTCCAGAAGTCAGTCTGGATCTGCTTGATGCTCGGCGTAGTTCCCGGGTTAGCTTCTCCCAGTCCGGCAATAATGTTGAGCCATGCTACGACAGCCCATAGGCCATCTTTCTCACGGATGTGGTTACTTCCAGTGCCGAAACTCTCCTCTCCACAGATGCTCAACTTGTCGGCGTCGAACAAGGCACAGAAGAACTTCCAGCCTGTTGGGACCTCGTAACAGTTCAGGCCCTGGGCCTTTGCGACAAGGTCTACAGCACCTGACGTTGGCATACTACGGGCTAGCCCATAGACACCCTGCTTCTTGAAGTATGGGATGAGTTGCGCATGGTGAGCTATGATGGCCAGACTGTCGCCAGGTGATACGAAAGCTCCGGCACCATAGATCATATTTCGGTCACCGTCTCCATCGGATGCGGCACCAAAGGGAATGGAGTTTTTATCGACGGCTTCCACCAACGAATGAGCGTAGGTCAGGTTGGGGTCGGGATGACCACCACCGAAGTCAGGTTTTGGGACACAGTTTTGTGTGGAGCCCTTGACGCCCAACTCTTCCTCGAAGATTGCCTTTCCGTATGGGCCTGTGACGCCATGCAGGCCGTCGAAGAGCACCTTGAAGTCTGAGTTGTCGGCGAAGAATTTCTTGATTAAGGGGAAATCAAAGATATCCTTCAGCATTTCCATATAGTCGGCCGTGCTATCGACGATTTCGACTTCCAAGGGGCCGTACGTCTTGGTTCCAATAGTGGTAATGTCTACGTCGGGAATATCGGCGATCTTAAAGGATGTGAGGGTCTTCGAAGCCTCAAATATCTTATTCGTCACACTTTCTGGGGCAGGGCCACCGTTGGCTAAGTTGTACTTGATACCGAAATCTTGGTCGGGTCCTATTTAGTGGGCAGTTAGAGATTCAGTCGTATCCAAAGTAGCCTCAATAATTATGCTTACCACCAGGGTTGTGGCTAGCAGTCAGGAGAATGCCTCCTGTCGCCTTCCGCTTTCGAATGACATGGCTTGCAGCAGGTGTTGACAGAATACCATTCTGACCGATTAACAACTTCTTGACTCCGTATGCAGCTCCAATCTTCGCAATCAGCTGGATAACTTCGGGGTTCCAGAATCGGCCATCACCGCCAACGACTAGGAATGCACCTATGATATCTAAATTTAGAGATTATTGCGATTTGTATATAGAATGTATTCTTTATGCTCACCCTCGGCACCCTCCGGGATAGATAGGAGGATGCTTGTGACGAAAGACTCGCTGTAGTTAGGTTCTTGGAAAACCTTAACCTTCTTTCGAAGACCTGAGCTGAAGGGATATTAATAATCGATCTAAATAGGATAACGAAGGGCGATCTCGTGGCGTTTGTTTCTGTGGGTGACAGGGCATAGTTGGTGGTGGCTATGAGGATAAGGACAGCGGGGTAGCTCAAAGAAAGCTATTCACATACGTTCCAGGCTTCTGGTCGGCAAACGACTTGAACTCAACAGATTTGACGCTCATGATGAATTTCAACTTTAAACTTGAACTATCGGCAATACGAAAAGAGAGGGTATTAAAGGGCCGTTAGCTTAGTATGCCAACATTCAGAAGAGAGCTTGTGAGGTTTAAAATTAAATAGGAGATAGGGGATGAGGGGAATCAATAAAAAACATATGACGACGTTTGGCGGGGTTAGCGAACGTCTACAGGGAAACCAAGCTACTAGAAAGTGGAAGCTACAGGTTACAGCTGGTCCCGTTATCCCTTCTCCTGTTTGCCCCATTATTAGTGGACCTTAAGTAATTTTTTTATTTATACCTTTTATATTTATTTAAACATCTTGCGGTTATTATAAATAAAGTGTTTTATTAATAATATAATTAATAATATAATTTTAATTAAATATTACGTTTATACGATGCGTAATTATTTTTTTTTTTAATATATTATATTATTATTACGTTTTAAAAATATTTAAAAAATTTTTATAAAAAATTATAAATTATATAATAAATATATTAATTTTTAAAAGTTTCGATTTTATTTTTAATATTTACCGTTAATATATTATATAATTTTTTAATTTTTAAATACGTTATTACGTTAATTATATAATTTTTTAATTTTATAATAAATAATTATTATATTATTTAATAAAAAATTACGATTTTATTTAACCGTTAAATTAATTAAATTAATCGTTAATTTAATATTATAATTTTTCGATTTTATATTTTTTTATAACGATATTTTATTTTATAAATTTTTATAATAATATAAAATTTTAATTTTAATTTATTATATGTTTTTTTTTTATTTTTTATATCGAAATAATATTTATTAATTATTAATTTAATAAATAATTATTATTATTTTTTTTTATCGTATATAAAAAATCGTTTTTCCGGATTTTTATATTTTATAAAATCGCGTTAAAACGTCGTTTTAACCGTAAATTTAAATTTAACCGTTAAATTCACGTTTAATTTAATATTATAAATTTTTAATATTAAAATATTTATAATAATATTATTTTTATTTAATTTATTTAAAATATCGCGAAATTTAATTTTAATTAATTATAAAATATATTTTTTTATTTTATCGGCGAAAATAATTATTAATTATTAATTTAATAAATTTTATATTTTCGAAAATTTTTTACGATAAAAAATCGTTTTATTTTAAAATATTAATATTTAAATTTATTAAATAATTTTATAATTACGCGTTTAATTGTTATTTTAAAAGTTTTATTTTAAATAAAATTTTCGAATTATAAAAAAAAACGTAATATTAATTATTTATTTTATTAATTTAAAATAATAATAAAAAATTTAAATTTTATATTTTTACGTTTAATTATATTTTATAATTAATTAATAATGTTTAAATTATTTTATAATATAATAAAATCGATAATTAAAAAAATAAATACTTAATAAATATAAATATAAATATTTATTAATTTTTTAAAATTATAATTTTATATATTATAATTATTAATTTTTAACTTTTTTTAATTTATTAATTTTAATTTTTTTATTTATTTAAATTTATTTATTTTTTAAATATTTTATTTTATTTAATTATAAATTTATAAACGGTTTTTATATATAATATTTATAAATTAATTTTATAAATTTTTAAAAAAATTTAAATATTTAAAAAATTAATCGTTTTTTTTTAAAAATTATATATAAATTAAATATAAAAACTTTAAAAAAGTTTATAAGTTTATTTACGATTAATTAACTTAATTTTAAAAAAAAATTTTTTTAATAAGTTTTTTCGTATAATATATTTTAACCGAGTTTTTTAATTATTTAATAAAAATTTTTATTAATAATATTTTTTCGTTAAAAATTAATATCTTTTCGTTAAAAATTAATATTTTTTCGTTAAAAATTATATTTATGAAAATTTTAAATTAAGTTTTATTTTTTTAATTAATATACGTATTTTTATTAAAATAAAACGTTTATTTTTATAATTAAAATTTTAAATTTTAAACGATAAAATTTTTAATTTTTAAAAAATTTTATTAAATATTAACGATTTTAAAAAATTCGATAAAAAGTTTTTTAATTTATTATTATTTTAAATAAAATTAAAAATTTTTATTTTTATTTTATTTTTCGTAAAATTTTTATATTAACGAAAAATGTTATTTTCGTTAGAGAAACCCTGGCCGCGCAGTATGAGTACATCGTCAAATCCGCGCAGTAGAGCTAATTCGAAAGAGGTATAGCTTGGGGTACTTTGACCGCCATACAAACTCGTATGCGGCCAAGTGTATCTTTTCGCGCAATGTACCTTTTTGGAACACCTATCCTACCGAACAGCTTCAATCAATTATTCTTCTCCCAATCCTTGATCAATTTCTCGATAATTACTATCAATCAAAGGCTGACGATTAGAGCTATGTTTCATCCCAGTTGCATTGCTTGCATCGAGGGTGACATCATAGGAGCTTTGGTTGAAGTTGAAGTCCCTGTTAGAGTGCGATCGGAGGTCTTAGAATTCTATCCCTCTGCCCGAATCTTTTTAATCGAAGATATCTCCTTCATCTTTGCGTATGAACAGCTGAAATTGAGCTTTTACATTGAGTCGATTGAGAGCTTTCAATTAATCGTAATTATAAGAGATTTGATAGCATTTTGAAGGAGAAACAATTGATCAAAGTAGATTGAACGGAATGGGGGCGTTCTAGATACCTTTCGAATGCGCTAGCGTAGATTTTAGCGCTACTGCGCGGATCCGACCATGTACCCATACTGCGCGGCCAGGGTTTCTCTTTCGTTAAATGGAAAATATATATTTAATAATTTAATTTTAATATTTATTAAAAAGTTTAAAAAATTTAAATATTAAATTATTTTTATTTATTATTATTAATATAAATTAAAAAATTAAAAAAACGATATAATAAAAAAAAATTTTATTATTAATATTATTTAAAAAATAAACGTAAATTAAAAACGAATTATAACTTTTTTAAACGTAAAAAGAAAATTATTCGAATTACGGTTAATTATAAAATATATATTTATATTCGTTATTATTTAAATAATAAATATAAAATATAAAAAAATAATTATAAATATTTTTATAATAATTAAAAAAATATAAATCGTATAAAAATAACGAATAATTTTTATTATTAAATTTAAATATAATTTTAAAATTAATAAATTTCGAAATAAATTAAAATTTTATTAATAAATAAAAAAGGAAATTTATCGATTCGTAAAGTTTTTTAAAATTATAAAATAAAATATATTATTATTTAAATTATTAAAAATATTCGAAATATAATAAAAAAATTAAATTTTAAAAAATTTAATATAATAATTATTTTTAATTTATAAAATTAAAAAATTAATAAAATTTTTTAATTTATTAATATTAATAATTAATTTAATATATAAAAATAAAATTATTTATATAAACGTTTTAAAATTTAATAAAATAATATAATTTTTATTAATTTTATTTAAGTTTAAAAAAATTTATTATTATTTTAATATAACGCGGAATATTTATAATAATAAATTTAACTTTTAATATTATTAAATTTAAATAAAAATAATATTTTTTTATTATAATAAACCGCGACGAATATAACTTTTATATTTTTTATATTTTTTTTTATATTCGAAATTAAAATTTAATAATAATTCGTATATTATTTAATATTATTATTAAATAAATTAATAGTTTAAAATTTAAATAAAAATTTCGATATATAATAATTAATAATAATATTATTAAATAAAAAATTATTCGCGAAAATTTTACGTATATAATATTTAAAATATTATTAATTTATAAAGTTTTTTATTTTTTATATATTCGTTACGTAAAAAAAAACTTTATTTAAACGTATTTATATTTATAAGTTTAATATAAAAACGTACATTTATATATTAAAAACTTTATATCGTAAAATAATTAAAAATAATTATTATAATTTTATTAAAAAAAATATTAATATTTATTAAAATTTTAAATAATATATTAATATTCGTTACATTTTTAAAATATACGGAAAAAAATTATTTATATAAATTTATTTCGTTCGAATTAATATTTTTTTATTTTTTAAATATTTAACTTTTAATTTTATTAAAAAATAATACGTAAAATTAAAAATTAATAATATAAAATAATAAATAATAAATTTTAAAATATTATTTAAAAATATTATTATAATTTAATATATAAAAAAAAACTTTTTAATTAAAATTAAAATTATAATAAATAAACATTAAAAAAATTAATTATTTTTAATTAATAATTTTTTTAATTAAAAATTTAAAGTTTTATTTTTTACCGCGTAAATTATAATTAAAAAAAATTTTTTAAAAATAAAAAAAACTTTAAATAATAAAAATTTAATTACGATTATTTATTTTTAAAACCGTGTTATAATATTTAATTATAAAAATATTAATCCCGAATTTTAATATATTATTTTTAAATTATAAAATTTTTTATATATTAATATTTTTTTTTATTTTTATTATTAATATTAAAAATAATAATTATTTTATAAATATATTTTCTTTTATTAATTAAATTATTAATTAATTATTAAAAATTATTTTAAATAATTTATTTATATATAATAAAAAAATAAGTTTAAAATTTATAAATAAATTCGAAAGTTATTTAAAAATAAAATTTTTAATAAAATAATTAATATATTAATATTTATAAAAATTAATTTCGCGAAAATAATAAATAATTTTTAAAAGAAAATTTACGAAATTTACGATTTTTTTCGAGAAAAATTTACTAATTAAAAAAAATATAATTAAAAAATAAATATATTAAAAAGAAATATATATTAATTATTATAAATTATGAAAAATTATAATATTAACGATATAAATAAAAAAATAAACGAAAATTTATAAAAATAAAATATATAAAATTTATTAATAATTAATATTAAAATATATTTATTTATTATTTAATTTATTATTTATTACTTATTTATTATATATTTTTTCATAAATAAAAATAATAATTAAATTAATTTTATATTTTAATATATAATAAAAAATATATTTATAATATTATAATTTATTTTATAACGTTTTATATTATAAAACGTTTTATATTTTATTTTAATTTTACCGTTATTTAATATTTAATATATAATATATTTTTTAAAACTTAAATATATTTTATTATTTATTTTATTATTTATTTTACCGTTCGTTATATAATTTATAACATTAAATTTATTAAAAGAATTATTATTAAAAAAATTATTAAAAAATAAAATAAATTTTAATATATATTAAATATTTCCCGTTTTAATATATTATAATATTTTTTTTTATATTTTTATTATTATTTAATATAATTTTAAATCGTTTATTTAATTGATTATTATATAACGATATATTAAATTTATTATTTAAATTATATTAATTATAAATATTATTAAAAATTATATTATAAATATTAAAATTATAAAAACCGTATAAATACGTATTATTAAATTTTTCGAATATATTATTATTAAAATAAAAACGTTTTATACTTTTTTAATTAAAACGTATTTTTAATTATAATTTAAAGAAATTTTTTCGTCGTTTTTTTACGTATTATTAAAATTTATCCGTAAAATAATTAATAATAAAAAGTAATATCGATGTTTTTTTAATTTTTAAATTTTTAAAAAATAAAAAGATTTAATTATTAAAAAAAAATTAAATAAAATAAATAAAAATATATTCGATAAAAATATTTTTTAAAAAATATATTTTAAAGTTTTAATAATTTATAATTATTTTAAAATTTTTATTATTTAATTTATTTAATAATTATATTATATATATAAATAACGAATAAAAATTAACGATTTTAACATTTATTTAAAACTTAATCGTTTCGAAATAATTAATTTAAAAATTATTTTAAACTTTAACGATTTTACGACGATTAATAATTTAACGACGAATTTAAATATAATTAATTTCGGTAAATTTAATAATATAATAACGGGAAATATTTTAAATAAAAACGGTTATTTCGAAATAAAAATTTTTAATTAATTTAATAATTTAAATTAAATTATTTAAATCGAAAAAACGATATATATTTATAAAAAAAAATATTAAATTAAAATTATTATTATACGAATTATTATACGATATATTAAAAAAAATGTATTTATATATAAAATTTATATTAAATTATTTATATTTTTTTAAAAAATAATATAATATATATTAAATTTAATTAATAATTTAAATATACGGTAAAATTCGTTAAAAAAATAATAAAAAAATTATATAAATTAATTCGTTATAATAATAATTTTTAATGTTAATTAAATATTTACGGTTAATTTTTTATTTTCGTTATTAAAATTAAAATTAAAATTAAAAGTTTTTTTATTATTATTTTTCGCGAGTTTTATTTTAAATTAAAGTTTTAATATTTTAATAAAAAAAATTTATTTTTTAAAAATTAATATAAAAAAATATAAGCGATAATTATTATTTAAAACGTAAAAATAATAACGTTTTTCGCGTAATATTTTATTATTAAATATATCGATAAAAATTAATTTTAAAAATAAAAATAAAAAAAGTTTTTTTCGATTTTTAATTTATTTTTTAATAAATTTTTAATAATTATTATTAATAATATAATATTTATAATACGTTATAAAATAATAAATGCCGTTATAATTAAAATAATATAAATTAAATAATAATTTTAATTTAAAATAATTCGAATAATAAAAATTAATAAATTAAAATAAAAACTTATATTTTTAATTTTTAAAAAATATCGAAATAAATATTTAACGTTAATTTAATATAATAATTAAATATAAATATATATATAATAATATACGTTAATAAATTATTTTATAATTTACGTAAATAAATTAAAATTAATAATAATATTAAAATTACGTTATTATAAAATATATTAAAAATATTATATTTTTATTTTATATTAATTAATAAAAAAACGCGATTAATTAAACGTTTAACGTATTTTATTATATAAATTATAACGTAATAATTAATATATTTATTATAATATCGTAAAAAACTTATTAATAAAATTTTTTAAAAATAATGGGGTAAAATACCGGTACTTTAATATAAAATCTACAATATAAATCGTAACTTTAACGAACAGGAAAAAAGATAACGCTACCCGTTATAACAAATAGAATCGATCTAATAGCGCAAGTACGGTGATCTCATTTCCGTGTGGGGTGTGACCATAGAGGCGAATCTCGTCTATCGAGTTCCAAATCTTCCAAGGGAATTCGCACTGTATTTTATATGGTAATTCTAGCTGATGCACCATCGATATACAGTAAAAATACAGTACAGCTTCGCTGACATACCACATACAAACGCTCCCCCCTTTATCAATAAGCTCTCATGTTATTGGAAAGCATCAATTATTCTATCAATCATCATGGTCACCTCGCATTTGCTACGTTCTAGACAGGGCTATGAGGCGGCCATTGTGAGCCAAACAATCTGCCACGCGATTTCGACTTCAGGCGCAGGCGTTTGCTAGACTTTCGTATTTATCGCATCGCATCTCATCCGATACCGCGTCAGCCACTTTCGTCAATATCGTCCCGAATAGCATCAATCTTACTTGGAACCTGATCGAATCGTCTGAATACCTAAGTTGGGAGAATCAATTCATGCACCGATTCTACTTTATTGAACTGGCAAACCCTAGTCCCACAATTCCATTTTCTACTATCCTATCTGGCGCCGTTGAAAATGACATCCTTGTAATATCGGGCTTCAGCAATACTCTCTAGAATATCTTCTTTGGCCTGATGCAACCCTTGTTTCGTTGGCGCATTCCGTATAATCTCTCTAGGGCACCATCGTCGTGCAGCTTCCTTCAGAGAACTAACATCTAGGATCCGATGGTGCAGATAGTCGACTACCTTCTTATAAGGCTCTTTTCGAAGAAATGCCCGATCCGCATGGACACTGTTGCCGGCTAGTAGTGCACCTCGCTCTGGTATATGCTTCTTGACATATGCGAGAAGCTCGTCTGCCGCCTGTTCCGGCGTCACTGTTGATGCCACCACCGCTGCTGTTAAGCCACTTTTCGCATGTGTACGGGTGCACCACTCATCCATTTTGTCCATCCTCTCCTGCGATTGGTGGATGACTATTCCCCAGCCATTCTCGTCCACGACATCTAGCGTGCCTGTGGTAATGATGCAGAAAATCTCGATAATTTCCTCTTGATCGGGATTGAGACCTGTCATCTAGCAGCGTATGTCAATTTCACTGTCTTACCAAAGGTGATAAAGCCGGAAGAGTTACCTCGCAATCAATCCATACTAGCGCTCCGTTGCTTGCCATGGTTACTATAACTTCGTAGAAGTGGCTTGAGACTTATGGTGATAATGGATAGAAGACGAAAGAAACTCGAATTTCCGTTTAATGTTTGACAAGACGATGGTTCATCAGTTCTGGAGAACGATGCGATGAAAAAAGATCATGTGTTAGAACGCGATTACATAAGCAGTGAACAGGCTTAACAAGGCATCCATATTAACTCCCAATACGCAAATAGACCACACCATTTTTTTTAATAAATTCTGACATCAATGTGCGTATAGCTCATGTTCGACTTCTGCCTTCTAACTTAATATCTACCTACCTATATATACCTAGGTTGCAAATCCAACTTCAACGTAGCTGGCCCCTAACCCCTGAATTCATTACCGTACCACTATAAATCCCTACATGTAATACTAGACTTGAGTCTAATAATGAGTACATTACATTACGAAATACGCGACAAAGAGAATATACGCAAATAAAAGGAAAAAGTAAGTAGGTGGATAGGTGGTAACTCAGGTCTTATATGTATCGGCACGTGGGTTATCACTTCATACTGCCACACCAGCGTCTTCACCACCTTTCTATCACTTTCTCATCTTGACAGACCCCTCTCACTTTGAATTCAGGCGGCATCTTCCCGAAGCGGACTTATGCTGAGGCTTGGACTGAGTTGTGGTGTTGACCGACGTTGACTGTGATATAGATGGTGAAGACTCGGGCCATTGGTAGGTCGATTCATGCATAGATAAAGATGTCATCGTGGGGCTAGAGATTGTAGGGTATAAATGTGAAGATAGAAGTGATGATGAATTAGATGGAGTATGAGATATCTGTTTTGTAGGCAAGTGTCCTAGAGGGGTTTCACCAATGTCATACGACTCGATTCCAGAATGTTCTGTCGAAGACGGCGGCTGGTTGATTGGATTCTCGGGAGTGATAGAAGGGAGGTCTATGTAAGTCGCGATTTCATCGTGTTGGGACTGCCATATGTTATTTGTTTCAATTGTAGAAGACGGAAACGTGGACAAAATCGTTGATGGTGAACTGAGTAATTTCGGCGTTTTTGAATGATGACCGTGACTTGGTTTCTTATGGGCACGGCCACATAGAATTGGAAGTGGAAATAGGAGATGAACCAAATACATTACGTTTTCTCGTGTGAACAGGCTCCTAAACGAATGTGTGGGTGAATTATTTAGTCATGACATAAAGTTGGAAGGCAGCCATATTTAATTATATCAATCACAACGACAAACCTCCAGGCCTCTGAGTGCAGTAAAACTATATCATCTGTAAATATGTAAAACATCTATCTAGACTCTATCAATTAGTACCTACCAAGCGACGATCTAGGCCTCAGCTGATACGAATGGTTTTCATGTTGAACTGGATGACCGTGATAGGGGATATTCATCTTATATTGACAAGCAAACCCGAAGTCTTGAGTGGGTTGAAGAGTAACACATAATCAACTCGAGAGTGGAAATATAAATGTAATAATTCTTGTCACATGGAATTAATTTCTATTATAGATTTACTTTAGAGCAAACTAACAGCTAAGAACTCCCTTGTTTGTGTAACAGTGGTGTGATGCCTTCTGGATATTATCACTGGTCTCTTCCCCTGGCAAGTAAGCTGTCAGATAGAATTGTCGGTGATTGGAAAACCTCAAATGCCTAAATGGTGTTGTTCATATCTATGGATACTGTGGGTACCCTTTCCGCCTCGGAGGGTGATGTTCGTGGACCATGTCGGCCTTCCTGATGTTATTGTCTTTATAGTTTCGCAGAACTAGCGACTTCGACTTAAGAAGACTAGACATGTATTCGCATTCTAACTCGTAAATGGTAAATTGAGATATACTTATATGAGATGTATAAAAGATTTACGAATATATATGAATAACTCCTATACCAAGAGCAACTGTATGCATACCTACAAAGGGACCAATGGGGTACTTGACTAGGTTTGCGGGGCAACAGGCAGTATCAAGACGGCGCGCCCTTTAGTCGATTCAGCTGGTGACTTACCCGAGACAATTGTGAGCTGGCTGAAAATAAAAGCTTCATATATAGTCCGATGTTCTTGAATTGACCATTAAATAGAACTTAATTTAGAATTAATTGGAATATTTCAACATGGGTGATCCTGAAAATCTACCCTCAACATCTATCCGCTACCTGTCCACAACTGAAGCTTATGATCGATGGGCGGCAGTCTACGACACAGACGGTAATTTCCTACAAGCGCTCGATACCATCGAGCTAAAGACGCTATTTCCGCAGTTTTTGCGATTATTAAAATCGCCTGAACCGTGGCGCATCGTGGATCTAGGTTGTGGAACGGGCCGCAACACTGCACTCCTCCTCACAGTCCCGGATATAGAGGAAGTGATTGCTCTGGACTCAAGCAGGGGAATGCTTGAAGTGGCGAGGTCGCGACTAAATGAGGCGAATGATCGAATTAGTATACCGAGTCGAGAACCCGCGGGAGAGACCCCTAAGCTACATCTGCAGGTCTTCGACATGATTATGTCGCCATCGCCCCCAAAGTCCGCGCAACAGGCTGACGGCGTTGTCTCGACTTTAGTGGCCGAGCATGTGCCGCTGCCAACATTTTTCTCGCAAGTCTCGCAGATTCTGAGACCGGGCGGCCTGCTCTTACTCACCAATATGCATGCGCACATGGGTGGGATCAGCCAAGCCGGATTCGTGGACGCCGAGACGGGTGAGAAGATCCGGCCGATAAGTTACGCGCATACGGTCGCGGATGTCGTGGCGGAGGCGAGAAGATGGGGTTTGGAAGTGATGGAAATGGGAGACGGATATGAAACTGGGATCAAGGAGATAAGGGTAAACGAGACCATGGTTGAGAAATTAGGCCCTAGGAGTAGGAAATGGGTTGGTGTTACGTGTTGGTTCGGAGGCCTATTTAGCAAGAGTGAAAATCAATAGAATTGCATACCGTCAAAGAGCCACCATCCTCGATTGGTTAGATGATAATCACCCCCAAACTTGCCTTCTGCAATTAATACTGTTGGTATATACACTAGCTCCCTTTCATGGTGCTGACTGTGATAACGAGAATTATCGTCATTTGCTGGCGACGGAGGGCTCATGGCTTATGGCTTACATGCGATGTGGGGTGTCGTTGGAGAGGGATGGCAGTTGAGTCCGTCAACGAAGAAATAAAAAGCTTTAAACCTAGGATACCCATAGCTGACTGAATTATCGGGATGAGTTTAACTGGGATCGGGTAGTCGGTGTCGCTTATCCTATTGAATATCATTGAACGTCTCTCTTAAGAAAAGTGACATAGGTAAGTTGATATTACGGAGGTAGCTTTTCTCTTAATATAGGCGATAGGGGCTAACAAGCCATATGCTAATAGGGTAGGATGCCGCAGAATATCTACGATCAAGATGATTTTTTCGAGAGATATATCACCTTGGACCGTCAAGTTAAAGGGCTCATAGGTGCCCGAGAATGGCCTCAACTGAGAGCATTGCTTCCAGATCTCAATGGTCTCGATATACTGGATTTAGGTTGCGGGTTTGGCTGGTTTTCTCGGTTTGCAAGAGAAAACAGTGCAGCGTCTGTCCGCGCGATCGACTTCTCTCAAAATATGTTGGATAGAGCACGGGTGATGACCGATGATGAAAAGGTCACGTATGAGAGGGCTGATCTCGATGAACTAATATTGCCGGAAAACCAATATGACCTCGTTTTTAGTTCTCTTGCCTTCCATTATCTCGTTCACTTACCGAATTTAATCAAGGAGATAAGCAAGAGTTTGAAACCGTCAGGTCGGCTCGTTTTCTCTATTGAGCATCCAATATACACCGCGCCGTCGAATCCTGCCTTCCTGGTGGATGACGAGAGAAAGAAAAAGATCTGGCCACTGGATGATTACCGGAAAGAAGGATCAAGAACGACTAAGTGGTTTGTAGATGGTGTCCAGAAACAGCATCGAACAATCGGCTCTTATATCAATATTGTGTTAAGCAGTGGCCTTCAGCTTACAGACTTTATTGAATGGCTTCCAACGGAAGAAGAACTAAAGGTATATCCAGCTTCGGAAGATGATGGAATAAGACCAAAATTCCTGTTGGTCGGGGCGATGAAATGTTGAATGTTCAAGGTCAAAGTTATGGCTGCCTGGAGTACGAAGCCCAGGAAAGTTTATTGATAACTTTGGAACCGTAAACTGCATATATAGGATATGTACCTACATATGCATTATTGATGATATATGCAGCTAAAGACTACAGCTCATATTAATCTCGTACTGAGGCAGATAGATCTTCAAGAGTTACGAATCAATTCCGATTATCATATTCAAATTAACTGACTCTGTAATCATGTTCATTGTCCTTTTATTGAAATCTCCTCCGTCGAATTAGTTTTTACCATTTCCAGCTTGTAGTAATGAGAGGTACCTTGGTAGATAGGTTAGATAATGACGGTTAAATATCGGCAATATCAGCGATATCCTTGTAAGTTGTAACATTGGACAAACTGGATAGGCCAGGGATCATCTCCCAAGCTACCCGTGCAGCCCGTGGACCGTGGACGATAGACCTGCGCTTGTCGTCATCCCTTAATGCGACACAATGTTCGACTTTGACAGCTGAATTACGAACATTGGTCTTATTGTCGCGATATTCTCGGTCAATTTGCAACGCACTACCTGTAACACGACAAGATCCTGCAACTAATTATTCATTACACCTGTCGCGCTTCTAGATACGATAGATACGATACTTGGAGAACCTGGAGATCAACTTGGAGACCGTACTAGGAGCTTCCTTGTCCGAGCGACCAGATCGACCATAGCTCTAAGCTATCGAACAATTGACCATTCGAGGCCTCGTCCATCAACTCACGAAATTATCTAAATCCTGGCACTAGGCTGGGGAGGAATGATTGGGGAATTCTGGCAGGGACAACTACAATAACATCTGCTTGAATGCAACCCTTGAATCCCTTCCTAGCCTCTTTCTTCAAACCAGGAAGTCCCATCGTCGCCCAGTGTTCTCCTGTCCACCACTATATCCTTCTTGTCCCGACTACCGAGTTTTTCCTTACCTCCCGCGAAACCGAAAGCGGCCTGTCTCTGTCAGATATCGTAGGATCTGAAGACTTTCTGGGAAGCCATGTACTCCGAATTCCCAGTCCGGCTACCGCTGCGGGAGGGAAGGACTCGGTCGGAAACTTGCGCGAACAAAGGGGCAAGCCAAAACAATACTCAACATCAAATGGGCGCAGCGTCGTTATTAAGGATAACTTCGTTTTTAGTAATAAGGGTAAGTGAAGTCCTCTAAGCAATGCGACCGACCCGTTTTAGCGCATTGCCCTTTATCTAACAGACCGTACTGTGGCAGGATTCAAGACGCTTGCTCAAGCACAGTTACTAAATGATGCTGTTTGGCACACCGATACCATCGAACCACGACAATGGCTTATATACTATATATCACGACCCTTAATTGGCATCTGGGCAGACAGGGAGATACCGCGTGCTATATTCATAGAGGGTATGGCCAAGAAGAAGCTTGCGGAGGCCAAGCAGGTAGCAGCCATCGAGAATGGTGAGCCCAGCTTACCACGGAAGAAGGAAATTAGGAGTTTTCACGATCTGTTAAACCATTTCCCGATGATCGCAAGGCAAATGCAACCCGGACTAGAGAAGCTGTTCAGGGAGTTCACCATGATTTTCGAGAGGCCATTGCCCCCTCCTCCGTCCGCGACACATATCCCCGATCCTGTCCCAGATGGCCCCATCGTGACTGCTATGAAAAGAGCCCGTTCCAACAGCTTATCCGCGCGAAGAAACAGTCTAGATGGACAAGAAAGTTCACGTTCCCGACCAACTGAGAGTTTCTACACCGAAGATGATGAAGATGTTATGAGAGCTTCGTTGGAGACGGCCGTAACGAATGCCATTGACCTATTTCAAAGTGTTGACAATCAGCAGCTTTCCATGCTCGGTGCGACGACTGAACTTACCGGGCCGGTCGTTGAACGGCTAATTGAACGCTATGTCAGCGAAAATGTTCATAATCTTATTTGGCCCAGGTTAGCTGCGATGCGACGCCCAGATGATCTTGAGCTTGAAGCGAAAATACGGCAGATGGAATTCATCGACATATCACAATTAGGCATTTTCATCGAAGGTGGCCCTAGAGCCAAGCACGAGCTCACCTTTAGGCTCGGCCGTGCAGTCGACGAGTTTCGCAAGATGACTCCATCTATGTCTCCGCAGGAAATGATGGAGATTTTACTGTCGACGATGAAAGCCGCTACGCAATTAACTGAGCAATCACAACTCAGTACCGAGTCTAATCCAGCATCTGAAAAGCCTACCATCACTGTTAATGCCGATACACTGGTATCTCTGCTTCTATTTGTCCTGATTCGGTCAGGTGTAAAACACCTCCAAGCTCGATTAATCTATATAAAACACTTTGTCTTCATCGACGATGTGGATAGCGGCGAGATAGGGTACGCTCTTAGTACATTCGAAGCTGTACTTTCATATTTATCTACGGATTCGAGCAGCTTAAGAAGGGCGAGCCGTCGGAATAAAGCTCTATGGGATGCTACTAAAAAAGGCGACATGGAGGAGCTCAAGAGAATGATGGACCCTGATGCAGACTCTATTGATGATGAAGAACACCTTTCCTCCCCGATATCGAATCATGCACCTTCGGTTAGTTGGAGTATGGTTAACGGGTCATCAAGGAGGTCCTCGACAGTGTTCGCGCCATCGGAATCTTATTCTCAAGGATCAGGATTAAGCCACGTGTTCCCATTTCAAAGTCAGGCAACGAACGATTCTTCTATACCCTCGGCGAAGAGGATCAAGAGAGTTTCTATGGACACGAGGAGTATGTCAAGTGGCTCCGAATATTCTTATCACTCTAGAGCCGGGAGCGTCGTCACACTCGGAAGCGGCCTAGAAGGTGATACGTCGATTGAACGATTGTGTCAGACTGAAGATGCGTTTGGAGAATCAATCCCGATGATGGCTATCCAAAATGAGCGAGCAGAAGTATTAAAGTATTTGGTTTCACTCGATGATTATTTCCCAGCCAATGTTATTCTGGATGACTGCAATAATGAAGGTACCAGCCTGCTAAGCGCTGCTGTTCAACTCGGTCGCACCGAGCTAATTGATATCATTCTCGATTTTGTCGTGGCGTCGACTCCCGAACCGCAGATTCGGAATTATCTCTCCTTGCAGGATAGTCGGGGCCGAAGCGTCGCACACTACCTCTTCCACGCGCCGTCCCTAATCGCGCGCATCGGTAAATTGCTTCCCTGGCGGCAAAAGGATAAAAATGGTCAAACACCACTGTTTGCTCTTTGTCGCTCGTACGACCACCAAAACTATCACGATATGGTCGAGGCCGGCATTGAAGTAGCGACACAGGCGCAGGGCGACAACCAGCCCCTTCACCTGGATCAGCACGTGGACTCGAAGGGAAATACCCTCTTGCATATCATTAACGATCACCAACTGGCAGTTAAAATTCTTATACAGTGTGATGTCGATGTCAATGCAACAAACGACAAGAAATTTACCGCTCTGATGGTAGCGAGCAAATACGGTCGCTTCGAAATGGTTAGAGCGATGTATTCAGACCCGAGAGTAGATGTATACGCCAAGGAACTGCGTGGACTCACCGCAGTAGAATTAGCAAAGGATGATGATGTTCGCAACAAGATCGATGACTTGACTCTATTCACTATGCCACCTGCCGAAGACGGTCGCATTACGGGTGTCGTTAGGTCATTTTTTGTTGAAGATGCTACTATCCGACTTGTTCTCAAATCGGGTGCCCCCGTAGATCGTCAGAGTTATGCGGTCACTACTTGTCGTCGCTCCTTTGCAGATTTTGAGCGCCTCGCTAACCTACTATCTGTCGAGAATCCGGCATCATGGATACCAAAAATATCAAGTCAACGGTCGCCATTCCAGATCCCTTCAAAGCCTTCAAGGGCCGTTTTGAAGGACCTCCAAATACGAACAGACTCGTTCTTAAAAATACTCTTAGCTCATCCTACTTTTGCGACACATGAAATGTTGTGGGAGTTCTTCCTCGTGCCCGATGTACAAACGGACATGATAGAGCAGCGCAGCCGTTTAAAAGCCGCGACCAGAGCTGAGAAGGTAAGAGACGAGTTTGAGCCTCTCGAAGATATCCGCGAAGTGGAACAGTTTGTGGACCATGCCCGAGATATGGTCCGTAGTGTCAACTACTCAACTAAAAGTGTGGCGCGGCGGGCCAATGCTATCGGCGTCGTTGCTAACGGTATGGACCATACCCCCTAAAACAAGTTGATGTTCAATTCTAACAGACTATTAGACTTCTACGATGCAGCGAGTGAAGTATCGCGAGAGGTTGCTAACCTTGCGTTTGTCCCGCAGACTCATATATCTGCGTTTGAGGCTTATGTTTACACGCTTATACCACCACAATCTAATCCGTCATACTTATTTCATAATTCTTTCTTAGCTGTCCAATCTACCATCCAGGCTATGCTCTTATCTCTATCTCGACCACCTCAACTTGTTACTCAAATTGTATCTTGTCGCAAAGCAATTGAACGCAATTACAACTCCGTTTCACGCTCAACAAGATGGCCCCTTGGTCTGCTCGACGAAACACGCCAACGACTCAACGAGGATAGGGAAGAAAGGGCAAGACGCGCCCAGACTGAGGTAGATACTTTGAGCAAGGAACTCCGGTATACACAACAGACGGTGGCAAGTGAGCTAGCTGGATGGGAGGAGATGCACGAACGTATGGGTCGCAGAGCCATACGAGAGTTCGCTAGGGGCATGCTCGTCTTGGAGCGTGAGCGACTACAAGGTTTACGCAGGGCACAGCGAAAACTACAAGACTTGCATTTGGACTTTGACAATGGACCCCAAGAATCAGATGCTAGTAATAATGAGGAGGGCGATGTAATCGAAAACGGCGTTGGCAAGGATCCTGCGGAGGGCGAGCCTAGTACATCTAGCGAGGCGTTTGCGGATAGAGTAGAATAGACATCGGTGACGGTTTGAGGTGGTGACTCGGGACACCTCAGTAAAGAGCCGTTGAATAACAATTCTGAAATCGTTGCAATTATCACCGCCACTCCAGCTATCCTTGGATGTTGTCCTACCCGGGATCTAGCTCTCCCGTGTTCGCGCCGCAATTTAATCATCAACCCTTACATCATATTGTACCGCCTCAGAATAAGTGAAGCGACAGCTTGAAAAACCGGGAGGCAGCCCAAGGACATATTATACCCAAGTTACGACGGTTTATGATGCCGTATGATCGTGTTCAGCTGTGTAAATGTGGCTTTGCTGGATATGAAACAGGCCTGATCACCGACGGGCGCTTCGCTTCAGCGGCCAATTTGGACGACCTAGTTACATAGACGGCCCAACAGGTAGCATCCATCCCAAGTTACGTAGCTGCGTAGGTGCGAGGCGCGAGCTAAATAAAATAAGGGAAAAGAGAGACCGGTCGCAGAATAATGGCCGCGGGAAACGAAATAAAGTGCATGTTACTTATCGAGATCTTGGTCGTTGTCCTAGGGTCTTTTGCTTCTACGTCGTAGTTCTCGGCATTTCATGCCGGGCGGCCAATCAATCGAGGCACATCTCTTTGTAAGTAGCTGTGTCATGTTTCTTCTTTTGACATACCGAAGGTCGGTGTTTAAGGTGAATATATTTCCATATTGACAAGACACATGTTGCAAATTTGTTGAGGCGTGATTACCTGTCCCTGTATCTGTATCTGTACATACATACATACCTACGTAGGTGGTCACAAGGAGAGACATTCCCAGCCACTTGATATTTACATCGGCTTATCATCTAGACACAGATCACCATCCACCATCCTTCATCCCGTAAGCATTGTTACTCATACCTACCAAAGCAGCCCGTTTCCGAATACGTAAGTCCGCGACCCGTAATCTCATCGTGATCGCGAATATCATTGATCATCTAGAAGACTAGAAGCATGCATTGATAGACAAACATTACATACATACGTATGATTCCCCCTCATGCATGTATGTAGGTGCATGCGATAGCAAGGAAAGATGACTCACTCGAACGTGGAAAGTGAAGCTAGACCACCTGAGCTACTGTAAACGGGAAGTGGGAAACGAAATGTCAGCGAACGAGAATGGTCCCGGCAGTGGAGATCTGAAACGAAAAACCTAAACGGGAATGGACTTGAAACGAAACATTCTCTTTCCCTTTTTTCTCCATCATGTTTGTTGCCCGCTGCCCGCTCTGCCCGCTATTTACATGTCACCGGGGCTAGTTGCTGATGGCCAATCACGGCGCTTGACGCGTCGCGGTAGCTGCGAATAGTTACTTGTCGTGACTTCCTGTGGGGATGAGGAAACGGGCGAATCAGGAGCGAGCGCGGGGATGGTGGGGCCTTCCGGGCGTGGAACACGCAGATTGCGGCGTTCTTTCGTGGCATTTTACGCGCCGGGGGAGGCTGTGCTTGTAAGTTGTTGCTTTTAGGTCCGCTTACCTTTTTTATCAACCGTCCCACCTGACATATGATCTTGGTCGATCCACGCAAGCACCGCAAGTCCACGGAAGGACGTTCAATTTAGGCGCGCTTCTCATCTTTGCCGAGATTAAGGTAGCAATCGGACATTCTGAAGAATCTTATGGAAGATTTAATTAAGAACTAAGGACGTGGACTTATTAGCTTCTTCGTCCTAATGAGGTATGACCAAGGACGATTATCATACGGATGAGATCTCACGATGATCTCTATAGCCGCTGAAGAAAACGAATGCAAATAATCTTACAGACCCGGTATCCATATAGATGGCTTACGTGCGGCGTCTATACATATTATCAGATTAAAATGCTGTGGAACGTGGCCTGAAGCTCACCCGTTTCGATCATGGCCGTATTCGGCGCCTTGTCTTGCCTCATCTCGCGCTGTTCTATGACCGGTTTTACTAATATTACGCGGGGTCGGAGAAATGCTCACTCGAAAAATCATGTTCTTGTTTTTCACCGAATACTCGTTTAACTCACCTTGAAGAAAAGCCCCACTGCAATATTCAAATCTGCCGCCTATCCGCAGAGCATTGAACAGTGGGAGAAGATCTTCCCCAGGTTCCATCCGTATCCTCTGTAAATAGACGCGCGCAAATCAATTTCTCGCGCTAAACATAGCGTTACCTGCCCCCAATTCTCCGCCAAACGCACAGACACACCCGGCAGCCGAGGTGCCCAGCAGTCCAGGTGGCTGGTTTGTTACCCTATCTTATCACGAATCCGACTCTCTCGTCAATGCTCAGGTTATTTTTGTCTCGGCAAATAAAATTGGCGAGCGGTTACTGAAATGAAGCAAAGCATTTCTCAGATGTATCTCGTCAGCTGGAATTAAGCTTAAGCGCAAGCGCACATTGCATTCCGGCAGATCTCGGGGCGATCAGGAATACCACTTAGGTCTTGACCAGATCTGTTACTGTTTCTGGCGAACGTTGCCGACGAGGGCGAAGGATCCCGGAATCTCAACTTTCCTGTGGCGGAGTGCGCGGCTGCGAAGATTGGGTAGCAAGCAGAATGCGCGCCGCCTCTCCCCGCCGTAGTGGGATGCGACGCATTCTAATAACAAATTAAGTGCACCGAGAAACGAGAAAATGTCTAGCTATCTATGGATTTGAATTCTACGGAGTCTCATGATATAGATCAAGTGGCTGTGTGTCGCGATCTCGTTCGCCACAACGTGCAGTCCGTCACGGTTATGTAGCAACGGACGTGCCTCACTCACGATCGTGTGGCGCGCCCGCGCGTCGATTTGGCGTTATGCAGGATACTTAGAAAAACCATCCCGGGGATGCATCTCGGTTCCACACAAACGACGGAAACAAGCCGAACTAATGCACAATCGAACATGTGTCTATTTCTAATATGAGTCACACTGGCGGTATCTTGATTACTAGGTAGTTCACTCGACATGCCTGCATTTCTCTATATCGAACCTGCGAGTTACAGGCTCCAGAAGACAGGAAAACTCCCGCATTCTTCCAATATGGAGACACGAATTGTGGAACGTATTACCGATTGTGGAGGATTGGTAGACTGTCAAGATTCGACAGCCAGTAACGAAACCCCTGTCTTGATATCTGATAGGTCAGATCGTCGTACCCACGATTGACTCTTATGGCAGGGGTGTTACGGAGCTACAAGCCGAGCTCTATACTGTCAGACTGTGCTATAGCCGCCCATTTTGCGCAGATCTCAACGTGCAAAGTCGGCTTCCCGCTTACCGTATAGTGGTCGCTCTCGATGCTACCCTGCGCTAAAGATCAAGAAATACGTACCGCGTAGCCGCAGAGCTGTCAAGCCAAAGGACCCAAAGGACCCAAAGTCCACTTTACGCAAACTGGACTATGGGTCGACTCAACCTGACCCCCCATAGACCTGATCGTTCGGGCTCCCACGTACCGCACTACGTACATGAGTGATACCTCTGAATCCGAATTCTAGTCTGCTTCTCCAAGTTTCAGGTTGGACATCTTGCATTTGTGGAATACATCATCGTTTAGTACAAGGCGAGTTCCGCCGAGGTGATTGGCATCCCGGTCCACTCAAGCCCGGCCATCCAACTCGAGGATAAGAGGACCGGTCCTCCTCCTCCATCCGTTCCCTTCTCGTTCCAGTTCTTCAGTATCAACTCTCTGATCTAATAGGATCAGCTTGCATTTTTCTTTCTTTCATATTTATTAGATCTCTCTCCTGAGGCAGGCCGCCAGTTACGCGACCCAAGATTTCTCTCCGCTTCACAGCATCTTCCATCTTACTAGTCCACACAGACGACTACATTCGGAGCCGGTTCTCCTATACCCTCATTCTATAATCTATAATCAACTAGTTCTTGTCTAAGCAGACAAGAACGCATACATAAACATCGACATGGCTACGTGAGTTTTGAAGCCGCCCTGTCCATGACAAGATGTAACTAACAGGCGTTTACATAGTCTGGAAGCAGACATGTCTTTTGACTTCATATTTCCCACATGCGAGACTACTCCTCCGCAGAGCTTTTCTTTTGACCCATCCTTCCTAGAGATACCTTACACTCCTGCACACGCTCGCTCAAGCTCGTATAGCTCTTACTGCTCTACTGTCGAGTCGTCGCCCTCCGACTCGGTCAGCACACGTGTAACTACGCCTTCCCGCTCGCCACCACCAATCCGGCAACATGGCCCCATCCTACTACCTAAGATCCGTTCCCAGGACCAGGCTATTGACTCGCCCCCAAAGCGTATCAAGATTTCTCCTGCGCCTACGCCGAAGCCAAGCCGCCGCGCAGCTTTCCGCCCCTCGCATACCCGGAGCTTCACTAACCCGGAAACGCTGGCCCAATTTTCAAGCGCATTTTTCCCGGCCATAGATGACCAAAATACCATGTCACAATCGCTACTATGCTCCCCTGTCACATTCGCTCAAGATAGCATGAGTATGGGCCATTCTCGTCGCTCTTCAGCTGTGAGCCTCGACGGCACGACGCTTGAGAAATATGGTTTCCCTTATCGCCAGATGCCATCATACGTTCCGGCAGTGACCCAGTCCCAAACCGACCAATTATTCTTCGGGTATACTCCTCGCGCCCCTTCACCATTGAGCCTCGCTTCTACGCCCACACCTGACCCAACCCCTTCCACCACCCTCATGAACTACCTCTCAACCTCAAACCCCGCCCCATCTCTAGTTCGCACAATCTCATTCCCGCTCCGCGACCCCAATACCAAGCACTTCTGGTGGGATGCCCGACAAATCCGGTCATGGACCAACTTCAACCTCAACACCATCCTCTCTCTTCCCGGTGCCTCCGGACTCCTCAACTGCCCGGTCCCACAACCACTGCTGCAACAACCATCCACCAACTCGCGGCACCCGGAGACCGAGGCAGCGCTCCACAGCATCTACGCTTCATACTACATCCCTAAACTTAATGCTGCACTCGCTCTCTCCTCGGAACGCCCCATGCGCCTCAGCGTCCCCACAACCTCAAAGACGGCATCAGCAAACGACCACCTCTTCGTCGCCAATGTAGCAGGCGACTCCACTAGCGCAGCCGCTATCTTCGGTGGCAAGCCTACCGCCCGCGTCGTCGGACTCGTGAAGAGCTTCGACCGGTTTAACACCGGCATGCGCGTCGAGGGCAACATCAAACGCGTAGAGTATCTCCGCGGCCTATCGCACCTCCACCACGCCATGCGCGAGCACGGGACCCGCTACGGTTTCATACTCACCGAGATCGAGCTCGTCATATGCCGCAACGGCGCAGAAGGGACCCCGCATTTCGGGTTCCTCGAGGTCGCTAGCGTGCAGCTCAACGCTACCAACGAAGACGGCGAAATGCAATTGACGGCCTGTCTGGCGCTTTGGGGGCTTTGTGTTATGGCTGGTGACGAGGGTGTTAATGGACATGGACTCGGCTTCGGGAACGCGGCTTGGAAGGCGGACATCGGGGCCCCGGCTGAAGGCACGAGAAGGAAGGCGCTGCCGAGGGATGATTGGATGCCCCAGCCCCAGCTTGCGGAGAAGCGCGAGGCGAAGCGGGCGAGGGGATGGGTTTTTCCTGAGGAGCCCGTGGGGAGGAAGGAGCTTGGGAAGAGGGGGGTGAGGTATGGGGGTTGTTAATATGTTGCTGCATTTACATACATACATACTAGGCACTTCCTAGTCATTCGCGACGAGCTGGTTCTCGCTTCGCGCGGTTTGGGCTGATGAGAGATGAGGCATGAAGTTACGAACACTGCGGGCTTTTTTGACTTGCTGGATGGGTTCAGATGTTTGATGACTTATGCTTGGATGCCTGATAGATGGGACTGCTCGGGGCTTGGTTGGGAAAAGATAGTTATTAGGGACTTTAATTATGAAATATTGTTAAATTATTTGGATTGGACTTGGGATGCTGTGACTTGTGTCTCACTGAGTGTGAAAACTTAGGTACCTACCTACCTACCTATATATGCATAGGTATATTAATTGGAGGACTATAACATAGGTGATGACTTTAGTTCTCAGTGGACACAATAAGAACTAGCATCTTTATACTACTTTTTCACTTTGAAATGTATTTCTACTCTTGGAATATATAAATTTATTAGATTGACTTGACATACAGCTTTAAACTCATTCTGTAGGTTTAAGGACATTTTAAAGGGTTATCATAAAATCTAGCATGCTAGAGATATAGGTGTGGAGAGAAATAAGAATAACGATATTGAAAGCAGTTATCTAAAAAGCTAGTCATATCCTGCCATTGTTCAGTAATTACGAGTTGTCTCAGCTGGACAAAGAATAGAAAACGGTAGTTGCGACACCGCATTCCTTTCTATCATGGTACTAGATGTTCTAAAAGCGATTACTTGTTCTAGCTTGTCTCACACAGAATATACTGGGAAAGATACATGGTTTATTGTAACACTTATGACGATAATAGTAGACTACTAGAAATCAAACCGTTTGCGGACATAGTCATTATGTGCTCTATGTCAAAGTCCTGAGACAGGGGTCATCCTTTTAAAAGATGTCAAGACAATAAACCACCTAATATCCCTTCCAATCTAATTCTTGTCTCAATATTACTGTCTGCTCAGTTCTCTTCATTGAGTATACCTAGGCCACCGGAAACCCGTAGAAAACCTCACATCCAAGAACCGCCATGTCGTCCCGCTATCCCAAGCGCAAGCGTGTCACAATCGACTACGCCGCCATAGCCGCAGGCAAACCTCCGGTTTCCAAGACACCCAAGACAAGCGTAGCCCAAGCTATCCGGATCCCGAAGACGAAGCGACAGGCAACTTCAGGCGCGGTCTCCAAAGCTTCTAAACCCGCTAAACGGCCCGGGCGCCCTCCCGCCAAGACACGTACCGTCATCGAAAGACCCGAGCCCGAGCCCCTTGACCAGAATTCGGATGGGGGCCCGGACCCGCTGTCGACGGACCCGGATGTGGACTCGTCCGAGCTCAGTGATATCTCGCCCACTGAGTCCATGGAGTTGACGGAGGAAGTGTCTGAACAAGATCTCGAAGAACAGCCCGAGGAACAACCTGAGGAAGAGATCGAGGAACAGCCCGAGGAAGAGGTTGAAGAAGAGGTTGAGGAAGAATTGGAGGGAGAGTACGATGGAGAATACGAGGGAGAGTACGACGAGGAGTACGAGGAAGACTACGAAGAAGAAGCCCCCAAAGAATCCTCCGAAGAAGCCTCGACGACCTTCGGCTTCCTCGAATCCTCCTCCTCCGAAGAACCCTCCACAACCTTCGGCTTCCTAGAATCATCCTCCTCCTCCGGCCCCACCACCGCCCACTCTCTCTTCTCCCCCATCACATCATCAAACCCCTACACCGAGCCCAGCACCTCCCGGTCCCTCTTCTCCCCCTCCCCACCCCCCAGCAAAAAACGCGTCCAAACCCTCCCCACCGCCCAAAACCCCACATACGAAGACCTCCTCTACGAGCGCGAACTCCCCACCTACGCCACCTCCTCCGCCTCCTCCTACGTCACGGACTCCGACCCCGAAGCCGGGGCAAAGTTCCTGCAGAAATTCCCGGCCATCGACATGGACGAGTACCGGCCCTCGATCGACCCAACCAGCACGCTCTCGATGCAAGAAATGGCCGAAATGATCGGAACCGTAACCTTCTTCGCCAAGAACGTGAACAGGATGCGCATCGACATCACGCAGCCGCTATCCGTGATGCGGGGGTTGTACTCCCGGCTCGAGGTATGGGACGACGAGACCATCGACTGGGTGAAGTACCGCAACCGCGCGTGGCGACATCGGTGGCATGTGGCGAATGAGCTGTTTGAGATGCCGATGGGGGATGTGGCGGCTTTGGCGGATGTGGCGATGAAGTTTGTGGAGGATCTTAGGGATTTGAAGGGGATTGATGTATTGTTGTGAGGCAGGGTTGCTTCCGTTGGTAAGACTTCGAGTTTGGCGGATCTGGAAAGGGGGTATGTTAGATATCCATATAATATCCACGGTATATCTGAAAAGCATCATTTCAGTCTGCCAAAACCAATATTATAGAATGTGGGTAACTAGGTACAGGCGTGGTCTCGCCGGTCATAGCTATGTTTCCGCCTTGAGCTAGTCATATATAGCAAATAATGATTTTTATTCGTAATATTTTTATTTAATCCTGCGTAATGGCTGTGTGAATGCTAAGCTTATCAGATCCATCTAAATTCGCTCTTTAACCCTTGGCAGCACCGGCCTTGATTAGCAAGATATCGCCATCCTCTACTACGTATTCCTTGCCCTTAGTCATAATCTTACCCTTCGACTTAACTTCAGATTCGTCACCTAGTTCCTTGATGACGTTGAAGTTGTAGACTACAGCCTGGATGAACGTCTTTTCAAAGTCTGTGTGGATGACACCAGCAGCCTGGGGTGCCTTGGTGCCAACACGAATAGTCCATTGCCTTACCTCATCAGTACCGGTTGTGAAGAAGCTGGCAAGGTTCAATGCCTTTCGCATCGTCGTGATGATCTTAGGCAGTGCAGATTCAATACCGAGGTTCTTGCACTCCTCAGCAACTTCGGCATCGCTACCGAAGTGAGTAAGACGCTCCTCAAAGCATATGGAGATGGGTAGGATGGGGTCGCCCGCCGCATGCTCCTTCATCCACTCGGCAATCTTAGAAAGATGCTTGTTCTTCTTGCGAGTGTAGTCCTTCTCCGAGAGATTGACTAGGTACACCACAGGCTTCGCTGAAAGAAGGAAGAGGGTATTGATGACTTCGACCTGTTGACTATGTCAGCTGCGTTTCCCTTCAGATTGCAACGAATAATTTTAAAGAGGTTGGTTAAGGTAATCAGAGTAGTTTTTATCTCAGTATGCACTCTGCGTTGTATTATTGAGGCATTCGAAGAGCTGGGATTAGATGAGGCGCTATGGCCCTTGTTCATCATATTAAGCGAGGCAGTCAGGTATTTAAGAAAAAGTCATATCTTACCTCTTTTGGAGACCATGTGCCCTTTCGGACATCCTTTCCGTCCTTTAGCCAAGCGAGAACCTTTTCTATGGTTGCCTCGTCCTCTTTCGCCTTCTTCAACTCCAAACTCTGTCCACCCAAACGGGTCTTCTTCTTGGAGTTCTCTAGGGCCTTTTCGACAAATTCGATATCCTTTAATCGGAGTTCCTCCGCGATGATATCCAGATCTCGGACGGGGTTGACATCACCCTCGACGTGAATGATCTCCGCATCGTCGAAACATCGGACAACTTGGAAAATGGCATCGACAGCTCGAATATGTGATAAGAAGGCGTTGCCAAGACCGGCACCAGTCGAGGCACCTCTCGTTAGACCAGCAATATCATAGATGGTCAAGTGAGCGGGCACTCGCGACTTAGGGTTGTACTTTTCGCACAACCAGTCGTAGCGCTCATCTGGAACAATGACACGAGATTCCTCTGGGTCAATGGTGGCATATGGGAAGTTCTACTCCTGCCTGTTTAGCTGGAAACGAAGTCCACCGTCAGAGAGCACCGACTTACGGCAGGGTTACCAAGACTACACTTTGTGATAGCCTGGAACAGTGTCGACTTGCCGACGTTGGCTAGACCAACGATACCACTCTTCAAGTTGTTCCCCGGACGGCCGAGGAGGATCTTCTCCTCGACAACTTGCTTCTTGGGAGGCATTATTTTTCGTCGCTTGGCGTAGGTACGAGTGGAGATGAGGATTGCAGTGCAACTAGGCACGCGATGAGGTAGAAAGGCAGAGCTAGCTGCTACAGGTCGAAGAGTTTGAAACAGAGAAGCGAATGGAAGGGTGGAGGAAAAGGAAGACACGACGACGGTTCTCGGCTAGTGGCCGGCTGTGATATTGAATCAGACAAATATTGAATATCTGTCTAATAATCGATCACCATATATTTGTAGTATTGTTGGCACTCGACTGCTGCCCTCGAGAAGATTTTTATCGCGCGGGTTGGTACAGCTGTCCTGTCCTTTTCCTCTCCTCTTTGGAGGGGCAGTTGGGAGAAAAAAAAGCTTGCTCTTTGGTGGAGTTCTCAATTAAAATTGGGTTCAGGAATTGCGCCGGAATGCGGGTTAACCTATTTCACCGAAACGTTAGTCTAAACAGCTTGGCTGCTTGGGTTGCACTTGTCACGCACCTGGCTGTCAGCTAGACAGCAAGTACGAAGTACAAGATACACATTGTTCAGTCAACTGTCTCAGGTCTGCCTTGTTAGCCTCTTGAAAGTGGAGCCTCGGCCAATGATTTTCATCCATTTCGCAACCGAGCTACCGGATTCGTCACTCATTGGCTGATACGTCAGCTAGCTGTGTGTGGCTTACGTTCTCAGTTACTCGATCCTCCTCACTCGGCGGTTTGCATCGTCTTCGTAGTTGCCTCTAGTCAACCTATTATGGTTTATTATTTACAACTCGCAATGACTCGCCAAAGTTCTGCCACATACTATAATTCACCACCGATCTAGCTGACTCCTTTGCGTAGAAGCTACATCAAGCCTTCGATGAAAAGTAAAAGATTACATTCTTCCCCACTACGTTAGACACTAGAAACTTGAGACTCCAGCCGTTTCTCTCACCCATCACCACTTGTATTAGGCTTCGAAGATGTCCTCTAAGAAGTCGTCGTCTAGTAGATCGTCAAGGCAGTCTCACCGATCAACACTGTCGTTATCAAGGACGGAAATCGTAATTAATGTCTATGACCTTTTACCTGTAAGTAACTAGTCTTTGTAGCGGTAGTTTCGGGAGTGGCTATTAATTCAATACCAACCACAAACAGGCCGGTCGCCTCTCCTCTGTTTTGTGGACTGTCGGCGCCTCTTTATTGCATTCCGGCGTCGTTATAAATGGGAAGGAATATGCTTATGGCGGACACGACCAGCGCGGCATGACGGGCGTTTATTGGACGCGGCCGAAAACGGAGCCTCCTGGCGGCACTTTCAGGACCGAGATTCTACACGGTTTTACGTTCGCGACACAAGCCGAAATCGATTCCATCATTCGCCACGCTTCCGACGAGTTCCAAGGCACTGCCTACAATCTGCTCACTAAGAACTGCAATCACTTCACTAGCTATCTCTGTGAGAAGCTTACCGGTCGGCCCGGACCCGGCTGGCTGAACCGCGCCGCAAGCATCGGAGTTGCCCTTCCGTGCGTCGTTCCCCGAGATTGGGTTGAGCCGCCGGATTTCGAGACTGCCGAAGGCGAGCTGCTAGATGATGAAGGATATAATGATAACGAAGGAACGAGGATGCTACGACAAGATCACGGAAGAAGGCTTGCTACGGCGGAAAGCGACGAGGAGGAAGAAGAGTCGGATTGGGACAACGAAGAAACACGTCGAAATGTTAGGAACGGCAAGGGGAAAGGTCCGGCTAAAGATACCAGTGGGCGAATTCTGCCACCGGCAGAAAGAGCGCCTTCGGCAGGTAGGGGAAGCATGTCCTAGACGGAATGGCGGGCGGCTTGGGTTGACGGTGTGCATTATAAGGCGTTGGCAGTGATCATGACGGAAACCCGACTGGGTGGCGTTCTTTTGGGGTCTGTTTTGATTGATACCAAATGGCCGCTCTATTGCTTAAGGCACGTTATGTTGAATTTACGTCATTTAACTGCATCCATATTCATTTGCTGCGTGATTTTGTCCATAAATGTACATGGTGATAGGGTATGATATACACTGGCTGTCTTTGCTAACTCTCTAACCCAATCTTCTGGCCTTCGGACTTCTTGTACCACCAAACTTCAGCCTTGTAGAGTCCGATACCATAATAATCTTATTCCTCAGCATACGACCCTCAGTGCCCAAGAGAACCTTGGTTGCGGCCTCCCGTCCAGCCCCGAAGCCCCGCAGCACGACTTCCATAGATGTTATAGTGTTGTGCCAGTTTCCTTGATGTAACTTGTCTATGACATACGATGTCAGTTGGTAGGCGGCATCGTAGGAACTGCGCTTCGACTTTTTAAAGCCGATATTGCCAGTGGACATGCTGATAATGGCTTGTCGATTGGGCTTCGTCACCGTGATATGCGCGTTGTGCTTATGCGAATATATGTGAAAGTGGAAAGGCTCGGTCGATGGGCCCCAGTCTTCTTGTTTGTTGGCTGCCTCCTGCAGGAGCTGGTCGTTCGTAGGCTGGTTGCGCGCCCTTGCGACGGCATCTTGTGCTAGAATTCGTTGTAGAGCTGACACCGACGAGCCGGGCCCAGGTCCAGCTCCCGGCCGTGGGGGTCCTGTCGATTGAGGCGCCTGTGTAGTGCGTTGCCTACTAAGGGATTGGAGGAGTCTGTTCGGCGTGTATGCACTGGGAGTGGAATCGGATTCATCTCGTCGTATGCAGGTTTGAGAGAATGAGCGAAGGCATTGGCGGGTGTGTTGAGAAGAGGATATGCGAGTACGGGTGGCCGCCAATAGGCGACTCGATGGTTGGCTCATTGTAATTGTCACCGCATAGAGCTAGATCAATTTCGTCGTTTTGCATGTAAAATGGCAGCGGCGGCGATTTCAATGGTGGTCGCCTTTGCCTTGCGGCTGATAAAGCTCAAAATTAATTTTGATGAACGAAACGTCAATTGCGTCTCGGAGCGAGCGAAATCTAGACTTTCGGGTGTGACCTTCTTTTCTGCACGCTGATTGGCTCAATGTATAAACTTTCACTTCTTCGGGTTAAGTGGGAGTGTACAATGTACTTTGTAGTTCGTTAGCTCTAGGAATTTTTCTAACTGCCGGTGTCGCCCGCCTTCTACATCAGATCAGCTGCAAAATAAAATTCCTCGATCGGCGTTCACTTTTTTTCTACTTCCAAATTAATGGTCTTTTAAGACCCCCTTCTAATATTGCGAAATGACCTCTCTAAGGCAAATTACAAGGAGCGCACCTCCGCCGGCTTTCCTAGGAGCACCTGCGCTCGCCACTTATTCTTATGGCAGATCTCCGGCCTATAGACGGTTATTAGCGACCACCGCAAATATCTCCAGGCCGGCAGGCAGCGATGTAGCGCCACTACGTTTTTCTCGACTTCCCTTATCACCATACATTCCCCTCCGATCGCCCTTCACTCCCGAGATAATAGCCACTTTACAATCACGAGCCTTCCACCAAACGTCACCATGGTACCAGAAGCAGTCGCAACAAGCCGCGCATTCCGACAAGGCGGATCCCAAGCCCGCGGACCCTAAAAAGGACGCAGAACAGGCCGCCCCGGGTGCGGAATCTGAAGCAAAGGCTGGACCGGAAGAGGAAGCTAAGAAACAAGAGGAGCAAGGCAAAGAAAATGAGGAGGATAAGAAAGAGGAGAAGAAGGAAGATCTACCCCCTCCACCACCCCATGGTGATAAGACGCCGTGGCAAGTGTTTATGGAGACTATGCAGACCGAGTTTAAAGCTTCAAAGGAATGGAACGAGTCAACCAAACAGCTTGCCGACTCTGCTCATTCATTCACCGAGAGCGAATCAGTCCGACGTGCGAGGCAAGCATACGAAAATACCACTGGCGCTGTTTCGTCTACGGCGGGCAAAGTGTTGAAGACTTCTGCAACTGCTGTTGGAAAAGGTGCAGCGTGGACATGGGAGACTCCTGTAATGAAGGGTGTTCGAAAGGGGGCCAATCTAACCGGTGACATGCTCGACAAAGCAACCAAACCTATAAGAGAGACTGAGGCATATAAAAATGTTAAGGATGTCATCGACGACGGAAGTAGTTCTCGGTACGGTGGCTGGGTCGAAAAAGAGGAGCGAAGAAAAGCTAGAGAATTACGTGAGAAGCAAGCCCGTTCTATTCATGGTAACGCAGAAGACATGGTCGAAGATCCAAAGTAAGTCCAAGAGAGATACACCATATTACTAAGTAAAATCTAACAATTTCTAGTGCTGGGACAAATGTTACGCTCCATAAGGATGCTGCTTGGAAGGAGGCGTGGCGGGATTTCCGAGATCAGAACAAGCTTGTCCAGGGAATCTTTAACATGAAAAACGTTTACAATGAATCCGAGAACCCCCTAATTACGACAGCCCGAAGTATCACAGACCGGGTAGCCGGATTCTTCGCCGAGAACGAAACAGCCATGGTGATCAAGAAATTCCGATCTATGGATCCTAATTTCCAAATTGAACCATTCTTACAAGAGTTGAGAGAGTACATATTACCCGAGGTACTTGACGCCTACGTCAAGGGCGATACGGAAACGCTGAAGCTCTGGCTCTCCGCCGCCCAGTATTCGGTGTATGAAGCTTTGACCAAGCAATATCTTCAAGCTGGGTTGAAATCGGATGGTCGAATTTTAGATATAAGGAATGTGGATGTTTTGAAAGCCCGCATGCTCGAACCGGGCGAGATTCCGGTATTTATCGTTACCTGCCGGACGCAGGAAGTTCACGTTTACCGTAACGCGAAGACGAACGAGCTTGCGGCCGGTATGGAAGACAGAGTCCAACTAGTCACCTACGCGATCGGTATTACACGAACTCCTGAGGAGGTTAGCGATCCCGAAACAAGAGGCTGGAGGTTGATCGAAATGCAAAAGAGCGGAAGGGATTACATCTAAAAAAAATCTCCTCCCTTATCTACCCGACGGTTTCGCCACGACATCTATGTTTATAATACTGTACATTAACCGCCATAGGGCGACAAAATAGAGACTGTGGCAGGCGGTCTTATCACACCACTCTGAAATGGTAGCCTTGGATTAGGGCAAATAGGCGTTAGGCGGCGATGGTAGCATATGAATGTATGATAGACAAAAAGGTGCATATAGGATCGGGCATGAGAGGCTGCGATGTATGAAGTTCAAGCCGTATGCCGCATTACGATACTCAAGTATGAAATGGAAGGGAATTCCGTGAGGCTTATATCCTTTATTTGGTGATTCTCTAGGTACCTACCTGCTCTAGGTTCTCTAGGGGGTAAAATGGTTGCTTTCGCTTGAGTCTTGACGAAACCCAACTACTAAGCACTTTCTTATTGCCTCATATGATTTAGATATCATTTGGGTATTTCTATCATCTAAAATGCATTACATTTTAAGAATTTCTAATTAGTAAAACCAACTACCTCTCTTCAACTCCCTATCAATCCAATGATTCAGACTCAGAGACATTAGGTAGTGGGGTACCAAGACATCAAGAGATCCCCCGCCTAGCCTAAGCGATCAGAGCGACCTTAATAAACGGGGATCCCGCAAGCTTAGGGCGTTCTAATTATAAGCACACCCCTGTACCTGTCAGCTCTATCAGGTAGGTACCTAGTACCTACTTTCGTATCTACCGAAAGTTTCGCGGTCATCCCCAAATCAACATCAGATGAGTCAATAATGGTCGAACGCGCAAGGCTGCTTGCTCAATGAAACTCCAACTTCGAAGCGCCAGCGATGCTTTCGGCCAGCCTGGCATCCGCGCCTTGCTTCTTCTCGTGACTCTTGTCTCGTTATATTCGATATACGGCTCGCTCTATTTTTACCGTGATCCGCTCTCCGTCTTTTTCTCCGAAGAGCATGGCTTCGATCGTTTTTACTCGGCCACGCGCCAGGCCGAAGCCGACGAATTTCTCGACGCAGCTATAGCAAATTCGAATTCGGCTCAGCGACAAATAGGCACGGCCGGCGCGGATCCTCAGATATGTGCTGTGTTCATCACGGTCGGGAGAGATATGGTAGGGCGTCAATACATCGACAGTGCCGTAGGGTCATTCCTAGCGAACATGTCACGAGCCGAAAGAGAAGCCACGCACCTGAAGTTGTTTTTCGCCGATGTACCAAACCCTAATATACAGCATAAGAGTTATGACAAGTTTGCGAATTCCGACATCGTCGATGAAGTGTTTACCTACAACACCACGCTATCCCCACAGGAAAAAGACAGCAAGATCCACGAACTCATGCAATTTGCCAAGGACCGCCAGAATAAGCACGCGCTTGAGAGAAAGACGGTATACGATTATGCGTATGCCATAGATCGATGTATACAGACAACCAACGCGCCGTACATCGCGCTTTTCGAGGGCGATATTCTCCTCGCTGATGGCTGGGCTGCGAGGACACTTAAGAATCTACGGACTATCGAACATATGATGAAAGATCCAAGACGTCATGATCCTCAGAAGGGTCAGATTGAGCCGGGTGGTCCAAATGCATGGTTGTACCTTCGTCTGTTCAACCAAGAACGGAGCTTTGGATGGTCGGGTGGTCCCGGCTTCAAGAGCAACAACGTTCATATTATATCGGTTGCTGTGGCTGTTCCTCTATTACTGGTATTGGTTATAGCACGAAGACAACTACCCCGACACCTAGCCCGACATTTAGATTGGTGGACATTACTAGTCATATGTGGCCTCGCGGTACCGCTCTTCATATGGCTTTTCTACGCATCCGGGAAGGCAGCTCTCATAGGTGCGCCGCGAGGCGTCCACGAAGAGTGGTTTGGATGTTGTAACCAGGCACTGGTGTATAACCGCGAGCACGCGAAAGGTTTAGCACATTATATGAAGGTCGCCTCCAGACACGAGTCTCCAGGGAGGAGCGACATGCTCCCGAAGCAATTCGCATGGGATCATGGTTTAGCGAGGATAAGTGCATATCCGATGCTAGCTCAACACGCAGGAAGGGTCAGCGCAATCGACACGAGTAACGATGAAGCGAAACGGGTTTGGAGTATGGCGTTTGAAGATTTTAAGCCGTCTAAGTTGGCTAAGGAACATTTTAAAGACGTACAAGATCTGTTCGGGAACGAGGCGGCTGAGCAGATGAATACACCATAGCACGAGATTATGAGAATACTGCATGGGCATTCGATCTGGATAATCCATATAAAAAGCTTCATCATAGCTAGCATCCTAATACCCTAACCCATACAAGCTTGGCACAAAACAAGCTCATGACTATTCGCTATTTTGTATAGAAGCCAAGGCACTAATTTAACAAAAAGCTTAGTTTAGGATCTGCGCCCCTTCCATCGTATCGTCAAGTGAGTCACCGTCTGAATCGATTTAAAAGGGGATATAGCATCACTTATAGTCGGTCCTCAGTCCTAAGTTCACATTCACCAACAATTCTTCAGAACCACTAGAACCGATATACGAACCCATTCACATACGTAAATAATGAGTGGAATACCACCCCAGGAGGATTTACCATCCCAGCACATAAGCGATGTAAGGGATGAAAGCACAAGCAGCAAACCATTCAGATTTCTAGACCTACCCCTCGAGCTGCGCAACGAGATCTACACTCACCTTTTCGTGCAACCCGAGCCCATCTCATGCTTCCGAACATGGTTCACCACAGCACCACGCCATCTCCGCCGTCTAGCCAAGGAAAAAGCCCCGGACTGCTGCGGGAAAAACTACGCATGCACGCACTACGACGTGCGGCTCCGCCCGCGCACCAGCCTCCTCCGCGTCTGTCGACAGGTCAGCGAGGAGGCTCTCGATGTCCTGTATGGCCGCAACGCGTTCCGCGTGGATCTCGAGAGCACGGCGCGGTTCCTGAAGTTCTTCACGGTGGGAGAGCGCAATCTCCGCAGGGTCAGGGACTTGATGCTTTGCGCGTTCACGGAGTTTTACTCGTACTGTATCGCGCGCCCCGGCGAGTTGCAGTGGGAGTTCTTCCGGCCGGCGGCGAAGGAGGCGAGGTTTTGGAAGGCGTTGTTGCAGGGCTTGCGCTCGCTGCTGTTCGTGATGAAGATCCCGATTTGGGGACACCACGGCGCGTGGCCGGTTTGGGTGGGCCAGTTGGAGGGCGTGTTGGGGTTTGTGGGGGAGAATGTGGATGAGGCGACCGTGGTTACGGTTGATGATAATTATTCGATGTTTCTGTGCGAGGCGGTGGATAGGTGTTTTAAGAAGGGGCTGAAGAGGGTGAGGTCGCTTGAGGGCGATAGGTATTATTATAAGACTCGGTTCGATCCGGAGAATATTACGGAGCCGTTGACTTCTAACTAGTTAGTGAGGGGGTTGGGATAGGGGTACGTGTAGAACGGTGAGTGAGACACCGACTTCTATATATCTGCCTGCACTTGGATCTAACCTTTTTTATTCGTCCGTGGCGTTGGATTAGTAAATGGTTTCACCGGCTAATGGTATCCCGTTTGTGTAGAGTAGTCGATTCCGCGTTTGTTATTGGGGCGTTGTTGATTCTTGGCGCATTCGCATTCTTCAATATTTGCCTCCTTTTACTTACCCATCTTGATAAGTCATCACAAACATATTTTTCTCATTTCTTATAGGCACAGCTAATGACGTAAAAAAGATAGAATGGCGTCTTATCGACTAGAGGGAGAAGCAAAAGTCATTGCAACGCTCATATCTCGATTCATCTTAATGGATCGGTTAATGGATAGTTGTCAATTCGTCGCATCACCCGCATGCACGCGCCTCACAACGCATACCAGCCAACCAAATTCCGGAGTCTTCGCTCGACCCCACGACACCAAGGGGCATGCAGCTGGCCTATCAAGAACCACCCGACCGAATTGACAATTCAGAGCTTCCCGAAAGCGACCTTGGTTTTTCTTGGAAACTCGCTGACACCCACAGCCCAGCCCAGCCTTGCACTTTCACGAGGAAATGATCTTTCGCGACCTTGGCCCGCGAATACCGCGTGTTTTCACGCTCCGTACCTCATCCTTCCTTATCGTTTCTCCATCTAGTCATCCCGGAAAATACCTAGGTAGGTAAGGCAGCCGTCGAGATTAGTTAGGCCATCCATCTATGATTCTCCCGCGTACGTGTGCGTGTATGTGTAGCTACAATCACGGCCGCACAACCACCACCACCATTACCACCGGCGCCCAATGCCCCCACGGCGCATCTCAATCCCTCCGCGACGTCGCGTGAGGCGGCCCGAAACCCCGCCCCCGGCCTACACAGAACACGACATGAACTCGTCGGCGCCGTACGAGCTCGACGACGGCGGCGCCACCGTCATCACAGACACCGGCCTCGCCCTCCCCGTCGTCAGCAGCCCCCGCTGCCAATCCACCTTCTGCTACCGCACCGTCACAGTCGCCAGCCACTACTGCCGCAAGCACGAGTGCCATGTCTCCGGGTGCGTCTCCCGCCGCGAAAAAGGCCGCGGCAGACGCTTCTGCGCGAACCACCAGTGTCGCTGGCGTGGCTGTGAAGCCGCCAGAGCTACCCCGTCTCATTACTGTGTGAAACACACCTGCGAGACTGTGGGTTGTAATACTCTTAGCCCGGAAGACGGGTACAGGTACTGCGACGCGCACACGTGCAAGATCCAGCGGTGTCCGGGCCGCCGCGAGGCGCCCGCGAAGTTCTGCTCTAAACACCGCTGTCGCGCGGACGCGTGTGTGCGTCCGTTCGTCAAGGCGAGCGAGTTCTGCGCGGAGCATAAGTGCGAGGTTGATCGGTGTCGGGCTGCGCGGAAGGGCGCGGGGAGGGTTTGTGTGCGGCATGAGTGTTCGGTGGAGGAGTGTGCCGCGCGCAGGTTCGAGAAGAGCCAGTTCTGCGCGACGCATAAGTGTGTTTCGAAGGGGTGTGGCGAGGCGCAGATTGAGGGGTTTAGACATTGTGGGAAACATAAGTGTCGGGATTGCGAACGCCCGTGTATTCCTGAGAGTGGCTTTTGTCGCAGACATAAGTGCTGGAAGGCGCGGTGTTTGGAGGTGAGGGCGGAGGGCTCGACGTGGTGCGAGAGACATGTTTGTCATTGGGATGCGTGTGTTGAGCCCGCGCTTAGGTGTGATGGGTTTTGCGGCGATCATACTTGTGCGGTTGGGGAGTGTTTGGAGAAAGCGTATAAAACGGACGATGCGGTTAGTGATTATTGTCAGAATCATACGTGCACCGAGGAGGGATGTCTTCAGAAAACTTCGAAGGCGACGTATTGTACCCTGCATGAGTGTCAACGGCGCGCGTGCCCGGACTCGAGGTTTTGGGACGATGAAGAGTGTGGGAGGGAACACGCGTGTTGTAAGAGTCATACGTGCGATCAGAAGGAATGCTCTGCTCCGACGGTTCGACATAGAGCTTTCTGCGAGAACCACATTTGCTCGTTTAGCGACGGTTGCTTATTACCCCGGGCGCCGAACTTGGGGTGCTGTGAGGCGCATAAGTGCTACGAGGAAGGATGTCGAGATCCGTGTATCCTAGACAGCTTGTTCTGCAAAGCCCATACCTGTGCGAAGAGAGGAGGTTGTACTGAGGGTCCCGTCGCGGGAGGCCGGTTCTGCACGCGGCATTCTTGCGTTCAGCCTGGTTGTGTGGAACGTGGTGGCGACGGCGGTTTCTGTAAGGATCATATGTGTACCTGGGAGTCGGGTTGCCAGAATGGTCGCGGCAGCGTGGAACAGCTTTATTGCGATACCCACACGTGTACGCAGCGGGACTGCTACGAGAGATGCAAAGGGGCTCGTGGGTTATGCGCTATACATGCGTGTCATTGGAGCCAGGCCTGCGTGAATACACCTATCAACTCCGGCGACTTCTGCCAACGGCATACTTGTGTCAAAGATGGGTGTGCTAGAGCTAGTGTGGTTGAGGAAAGCTTATGCGGTCGTCATGCTTGTTCTTGGAACTCGTCGATCTGTCTTAAGCCGCGGTGGAAGAGAAGCAGCTTTTGCGAAGATCATACGTGTGGGGAGATGGGTTGCGGGTTTTCTCGAGCCCCTGGTGGATCGTATTGCCCCGACCATTCTTGCCAAGGGTCTACATCTTGTAAAGGACAGGCGGAGATGGGTAGCGACTATTGCATCGACCACAAGTGCAGCAGGCCGAACTGTAGGCTGAAGAGCGTGGGAGGTACGCCGTTTTGCAAGAATCATAAATCTCTAGGTCCCCCTATAGGGATCCATGACCTAGCAAGCTTGCAGAGGTAAGGGTTCTTAAATCCCCTATAGTTACGTGAAGTCAGCTTACCCGCATAGCTTTCGATCGCGAAGCCCTTTTGGGTTCATTGACCCCGTCATCGCTGCGTCGCTCACAGACATGAGACCACCAAGAGCGAAGACCCCGAAACATACCTCGAAGCAACGTCAATGGGTATAGGATAGTGTATCAATCGTGTTATTCATTCGAAATGGGATATTGGTTTAGACTGTACGTACAAGGGATTCATTTTCTGGAAACTAATGACTGTTATGTACTACTTCCTTAATTAGCATGGCTTAACGTATGAGCGACCTGGTCTGTATCATTAGACTGGGTAATTATGAGTTAAGATAGGTATGGACTACGGATTATGAATTGAGAACAGACATGATCATGGGTCTAGGCAATAAAACTTATTGATTCAGGTTGTTGCATTTAAAATGTTGAGATCGAAGAACATAGATGAGTAGTACTCAGCAACTTTCAACGAAGTTCTGCATAATCATATGGTCGGTCTGCCATGAATGGAAATATATACAATATCAAAATCGCCCTCACAAGGGTTTCCGTACATTAACTCCCCTCTCATAATATCATCCCTAAAGGCGTGGCCGTTAGGACCAAAGCCTACCTACCTACCTACCTAGGTACCCAACTCACGGATAAACCACCACCAAAGTCACCTTCGTCCACGGCCTCTCCGGATCATACGCTTCAAACTCGTCAGCCATAATCATCACACACCGACTTTCCACACAGAAACTCACCAGTATTCCCCTCCGGCGTCCACCGAAAGTCAAAATTCCCGTTAAACGGACGCACACCAACATTCCCACCTAATTCCTCGTCGCCGCGAGACTTGATAGCGAGCTCCGTCTGCAGCGCATCAGTATCCGGGTTACAACCATAAACAACGTCGAAGATGGCGCGCGGGTCGCCGCGCTCCGTCATGAACATCTTGGTTGTATTGTCTTTGGGCTCGTACTATGTCCTCGGTTAGTCTACCTAGCTTGTCAAATTCTCAGCACCTAACTGGTTAAACGTACTTCTCCATTAATGACGATGCGCCGGATCGGATCCCACGGCAGGGTGACTACCCCGTCGACGAGGGTAAGTTCGCTCGTGGAGTTCCCCGCGGGACTGACGAAGATGTGTTGGTCGCCGCCGCCCCAGTCCCAGATATTGAGGAAGTGGTTGTGGATCTCCGGGAACGACACGTTCTGCACCTGGATTGAAAAGCTTTCGGTGATGTTGTTAGGCAGCACGTCCGTGGGGATTTCGCATGCCAGAACGGCGGCGGCGAAAACGAGAATGGAAGTTAGCATTCTGCTCATTTTGGAGAATTATGTCGTCTGAATTACTCGGTGTGTGATCTTGGACTGAGACCTCAATCGTGGGAGCTCCACTATATATAGGAGGCTCAAAGACTTTGGCGAGAAAAGCAGAAATCGAATATAGTGGTGTTGGTTGTTGGTTCATGCCAAGACCCTATACGAGGTTGCGCATGGCTATTTGGGAGGAAGGTAGCATTGCCATCATGTAATCATGTAGTAGTATTGGGTCTAGACATACGACGATGCTTACTTGCATTGAGTGTCGTATGCGTGACCATCCATAGGAGCCAACGACTACATGCTTTCTATCAGCCAGCCTCGAGAGAGCGACTTTCGGCCTCCGACAAATGGTTCGCGAAATGTATATAACCGGGGGAATGACTCCAATGAGGCTGAAGTCTAGACTCATCGAAAATCTTTTCACGTATTAACTAGGATTCAGCTCACCAGCCAGGTCCTGCTGCCAAGTTACCGATCGAGCATATTGTCAATGGAAGAGGACCGAGAGAACAACCTCATTCTATGATATCTATGTGTCGGTTAGGTATATGTACATCGATTCACTTTGTGTACCTAGCTGAACTCTCGATCTAGCTAGGCACGCATTTCCCATCCTGCTATTTCGGCCCTAATATCGCTTGTTCGATGAAACTCAGCGACTCCTTGACAAAGCACAGCGGATTCTCTTCCGCGATGTAGTGACCGGAGTCGGGAATCGCCACGATCTCATAGGTTCCCTTCTGATGGACTTCCGCAAACATCCCACTTGCATGCTCGAGATGTCTGCTCTCGATCCCGCTCAAGGATAAAGCCGGGAGGCTAAGTTTTCCGTACGACGATATCCATTCCTGGCACTCTTTGGCGTCCTGCTCGAACGCGCGGTAAATCTCAAAGGCGCACCGCATAGCGCCGGGCTGCTCATACGAGTGCACGTAATGATCAATGTCTTCAGGCTTGATTGCGGCACTGTTATGCACGAGCTTCTGAAAGAAGTGGGTCAGGTAGACATGTTCACGGCCTGACACGAGTGCTAGAGCAAGATCAGGCACATTGTGGAAGACGAAATGGAATTGATGAACGGCGTGCGTAGCAAGTCTAGGGACGTATTGGCATCATTGTTGTTCTTATTCTCGTTGGCATGGCTTCTCAACTTACTCTTCGGTGAATACCTCGGTTCCAGGCAAGGGACATTCTCCCCAATTGATGCTCGCTACCCGCGACGGGTGCTTCGATGCCATGGCAAACGCAATCATTCCCCCGATGTCATGGCCGATCAAGTGAACTGGCTCATGAATCTCAAGGGCGTTCAATAGACGAACGAAATCTCGCGCCATATTGGATTTGGTGAAGCCGGTAGCAGGCTTGGATGAACCCCCTGCACCGCGGTAGTCGGGGGCGATCACACGGTATCCCGCCCTTGAAAAGGGATCGATAACAAAGCGGAATTGGTATGAGGTTTGTGGGAAGCCATGGATAAGCAATATCACACCTCGTTGTGGTCTCTTGCTTTTGGAGGGACAGTCGATGTAGGCGATGCGCACCGAAGGTTCTACTTCAACAACTCGGTGCTTCCACGTGTCGAAATCCATTTTGAAATGATTTGTATCTCGACAGCTCGATTACCTGTGTAACTAGTTACCTATTCATTACGAGGCCAGCTTATTATAAGTAACGGCTTATGTTTGGCGTTCACCGGTTTCGTGGGGCGATATCCCCTGAACTGGCATACGGAACTGGTGGGTCGGACCCAAGATACTGGAAATATTGAATACCCAATAACAAAAGTGGCACGGCTCTCAGCTAATAATTGATGGGATGAGCTTTTGTGGGTGATAGTGACATATACCGGTGAAGGGGAAGGGGATAATTAGTGTGACCTACTGCAAGGTGACGCTATTTGGTGTAGTGCGGTAACCAGCCCGCCAAGACGCCGCCTCTGGTCGGTGAAAACCTCACGATAAGGGGTTCGTTCGATTAGATAAACTTCTAATGGAAAGATCTACAGCACTCCAATTTGGGATCACATAATTATTCTGCTCACAACTTAATGAAACTCTTTCGACGTCAATCCATCTAGTTATCGAGATTAGCAAAGATGTTGTCAACGCATCACTCTTGTGGGTTATTTCGAGGTGGTAGCAAAACCTTTTTCACAAGAAATACTAGGTATTATTGTAGTTACCTAGCACTGCATGATGGGAATTCCTTATCTAAAGTATCTTTATCGTATCAGTAGCAGATGCCAGCAGTCTTAACTCTTCAGGTGAATAGGCTTTATACGCTCCCTGAAAACATATATGCTGGAAAACGTCGCAGTGCGAAGACGTTGTATTTTCTCTTAGGCGGAAAGGTTCGACCCTAGTAACGTACTTATTCGGCATGGGGCTATAATCTGATCCTTGTTTTAGGAATTGTTAATTGTTATTGGTGGCTTCTAGCATAATTTAGAAAACTTACATGTGTTTGAAGAAGACGGCGTCGCATTTTGTTTGTTGGAAACGGACCCCCAAACGACCGGCGTGGATGATTGTCCTGGTGACTTGCTCAATTCGCTGAACAATGAACTACCTTGCTTCGAGGGTTTCTTCGGATTCCCAAATATCCCCGTCGAGGCCGATGAATTATTCGTCCCTAGGGAAGCTGATCCAAAGAGGCCCCCAGAGGAAACTTTTGATGCGGGCTCATTGAACGAGAACGGAGAGGGCTGGGTGGTGGTCGAAGACGATTGAGAACTGCGACTAAACAGTCCTTCATGTTGTTGAGCTTTGTGAGGCACCTGAGAGCTCGAGGCTGGGGTACTAAATAGTCCTTCGTGCTGTTTAGTTCCGGGAGGCGCCTGAGCGCCGGACTTTGGGGTACTAAATAGTCCCGAAGGGGTTTGAGCTTCGGGCGGGACCCGGTCTTGGCTAGAAGCATACTTGCCATATTGAAAAACTCTACCAAGTGATAGTTGTGGAACAGAGAACAACGCGTCGTCGTGTCGGGTTTCTAGAGGTGCTTCTAATCCTATTGAGAAAGACTCTACACAATATTAGCCTACTCCATCACTAGAAATGCCGAAGTTATGAAGTACTAACCTGCCGCCTTACGCTCTTTGAACTTGTTGCAGATTTGCAACCCTTTCATGAGGGCGTCGTATTCTTCTTGCAACTCCTTTCGCTCAATATTGATTTCAGGCGACTCTGATGCTAGCCGTCCAAGCTCGTCATCCTCCATCTGATTGACCCTCTCGGAGGTAAATATTGTCGGCAGGGCTCTGATGAGGAGGTTCTCAACAGCTAAGACAATCACGTTATCGATGAAGGTACGAAGTGACATCTGTGAGTTATGTTAGAAGCCATCCGCGTCTTGTAGTACAGGGTTAAATTACTTCATAGTACGTCTCGGACTTATCAATTAACCCATCCACGCCGAATTCGCTTGTGGGTTTCGGTATTGATATTGCTTTGAGTTTTGTGTACGCTTCCTTCGTGAATAATTCCGGCTGGTTTTCGAGTAAGTCCTGGATCGCATCTACCTTATGATTCTTCTCGTTTCTTCTTGCAAGCATGCCTCGGAACTCGCTATCTAGAGGCTGCGGATAACCACTCTTATAATGGAACAGAAGTTCCTGTAACTTCTTTTCAAGGATTACAGACTTCTCATCAAAGAAGGGGTCTACTATATTAGAGAGGATTGCGGAGAAAGTCCGCTCGTCTGGATCCACGATATGTTTCATAAGCTTTTCGACGAATGCTTTGGTCGTTTGAAGCACAAGTTGAATATGACAACGTGCGATTGCTTCCCATGGCTGGGCTTGGTCCTGGAAAAGTTTCACGGCTAGACGATCGTTCGAAGTCCCAGGAAATTCGTTACCTTGATTTGCCGATGATAGTGATTCTAAATCTGACGCGATATTTTCGAAGGTGACTCTCTCTGGGTTCTGAATTGTGTAATTATTGACTAGTGGTTGAAGGAAAGGGGCCAGGGGTTGAGGAGATGGGGGCAAAGTAACCTTTGATAAATCTGTTGCGATTATGCCCACCTCACCAGTACTATCAAGACTCTTGTAGTTCTCTAGTGCGGTTGTCGATTTTTTAGGAATGATAATACGCCTGGAACCTTTCGTTTCTAGGACATATGCGAATGCCCGATTCAGGTCTCGAATAAGTGCACGAATCTTTCTAATTCTGCTGTCGTCAATCGTAGTTCCTTCGTTCTTGGGATAGAGGCCGCCGAAGAACTGATCAGCGTAGTTCCCTTCCACTGCCTGTAGGCACAAGATATGAAACTGGGAGGCGATTCTGTCGAGATGTGTTCGTAATTCTTTTTCAGTCGACCTTGGGTCGCCAAGGCGCTTGAGCCGAGCTTTGTGCTCGTTGACCTGTTCCTCGATACTCTGGATTAGACCATGGAGGTTATCCTTGATATGTCCCAAGAGGATACCGCTTAGCTTCTTTCGAAGTGATTCTACTCCGCGGTTCTTCGACGGTACACTGGACCAGACGCCTGATTCGAAGAACTCTCGCTCTTTATCATCTCGCTCCTTATCAGTGTGCGAAACCTCTTTTTCACCTCTATTGCGAAGTACGTGCCATCCCAGAGATAACACGTGTGATTTATCTAGATTTTTAGCCAGGCGAACGAAATTGGTTTCATCCAGGGATCCAGATGTGAGAATATCCGGTTTTGTAATGATGCCAAGGGTTCGCTGCTTTTTCTTGTCGTGGTGCTTAACTTTAGACAAAACTTTCTGCAAGATGACTTGGTTGCGCGCCGAGATAATAGCCAAAATGATGCTATTTTTGCGAGCCATATAGCGCTCGACTAAGCGTTCTACAATCTCTCGACCAGCGGCAGATTGATTTTCATCTTCGGAGTGATAGAAACCAGGGAGATCGACCATAGTTAGATGGGGTACATCGGGACTGCTTATCTCAATTCTCAGAACATCTTCTGAAAAGCCAGCATCTCCCTTGAGCATCTTTTTCTTAGCCTCCTCGATGATGCGAGGTAGCTCTTCCTTATTGAAGGATTTCTCATCAAAGGAATGCTCCTCGTCCTTAGATGTCGAAGAGGGTTGAATTCGAACATCAACTTTTGTTTGGTTATTGGTGCGAAGAACGAGTTCTGTTGCAAATCTTGTACAGAGTCCATCGTTGACAGGAAATCGTACTCTTGAGATGGCTTCGAGCACGGAGCTTTTTCCAGAGGATTGGTCCCCGACGACGATGATCTGGGGGAGATCGACGAATCGACCGATTCCGTGTTTACGTAAGTCATCGATAGCATCTAAGAGGGCCTTCTGCTCCCCATGAAGCTGCTCTAGAACTGTTGAGTCTAGAGAAATGCCTTCCATGATGGCTCAAAATGAAAGCAGTGAAATTTATGTATGTATTGGGAAGGTAGGTAGGTACGAAGTAGGTAGTGATTGTGGTTAATGTTAAAAAAGCGAAGACTGGGAAATAAAGTAGGCTGAACGTGAACGACCCGCGTTTATCTATTAGTTAGGGGGTAAGCTGAAAGATTTTATGCACCTCATATCTTGTGGCTTCATGTAGTCATTTTCTTTGTCTCGGTACGTGCCTAATCCCATCCCTACCAAGTTCCTATGTAGTAGTAATCAGCCCATGAAACCCAATTTTAGAAGCATGAAGGAAAACATACTGTACCTTAGGTAGGTAGTATCTCGATTGTTCGTCCAGACTCCAGCGTTGTTTCAGATTTGGTGAAGTTGAATCTTGATTGGATTATTCTCTATCTTCATGGTCCCCGACACCCCGAGGCGTTCCTCGGGCCGCATCTGAGAGCAAAGAGTTGTTGGTCAGGCCGAGAAATACCAGGGGCGGCGCTTCGAACATTTTTGCCCACCCCCTCATTGGCTACCATTCCATACCTACATATTTCAATACCACCCTCTTATGTTCCATCCGCTGTTACAGAACTAGAAAACATCCATGGATTGTTCAGCGTTTATACGGCTGATGGTGATGGCCAAGGCGCAAGAAAGATGTTGGGACGAATATTCGGTGGCTAAAGCTCAGTGAAACCAGAATTCATGTCTAGCGCACTGCACTGCCCGTGGCTCCTGCCCTGCGATGTGCCCCACACTTAGGTTGGTCGTACAGGGCCCCCGCGCAGACCCCCGCGACTCGGCACGAACTAAATATTCAGCTTGAGTGCTATATATACCGGGGCATCTTGGGGGCTAACAATCATTATTTTAGTTTCAAATGGATCATAATAACTACTTTTTTTTTTCTTTTTTCAATTGCCGAATAATTATATAATTTTCAAAGTCTAAGATTTATTGGGAAAGTTTAACAATCATTAGAATTTGTTTTACTGTATTTTTACCTCTTATTACCTACTGTCTATATCTATATTATGTATTTCCGGTTTATCAATGTATAGATAATTACTAGGTGCCTATCTACATACGCAGTAGCTGGTACTATAGATTGTTAGACCTTCTAAAATATTAATGTGTTGACAATTAGAAGACCTAGAGACCTGCATACTGGATTTAGGTACTGGACCTGGGGATGGAAATATACACCACTGACATCAACTAGCTACTAGGTACAGAGTAATAACATGGGTAAGTAACCTATATGGACGGAAAGGGGGATATTTATGCGCACCGCCTTATAATCCTAGGCAGCCTCACAGAATTTCATCGTCAATTTTCGGTAACTACCTTGGACCTACAGTGTACATGAATTTTGCACACATTTTAGGGCTAGGTCAATCGTACAATCGGAGGGTCGTGATTCACAATGCATCCTACTACATTAGTCATCAATAATGATGTGTCTTCATTCGCAACTCACTAGTTAATTCATAGGCATCTTAATATCCTATCGGAATTAAGATTGGATGAACTACGGTGAACTGGAATTATTTCATCAGTGTTGCTATTCTACATAGGTAACAAACCTGCACGTTTCATCACTACCTACTTTCAACTAACATGCCGTTTATTCGGCCATCACGATACTACAGCATAAAGGACGATAGGCTTTCTACTTGGAAGTCACTTTACGCTCAGAGATACTTGCTGCCTTAGGAATGATTTTCCAATTATCTACCTTATTCGTGATGATGGTAGCTCCTACCACCTACTTAGTAGTCACGGGCTATGTTGATATCTTCTAAAGTCCAAGTAGTGAAAGTAATATAAGATGATAACTAAAAATAAGCTCAAATTCTTTTCATCTGTGAATAGACCTACCTAGTACATATGCTATTTAGTTCTTCTTTAACCACATATTCATTCTAGAGGTCATACTCACATATTTAGCTAACTAGGTAGCTTCGCATTCAGATCACTGTACAATCACGGTAGAAGCCATCATCTCTCGAAGTAGTACGCGAAAAATGTTGAAGTTATCAATATATAAATTTAGCTTCTTAACTCGCAATACCTTTAATATCAAAATGTTTATACACACTGAACCTCACCGTGCTAGATACTAATATCACCAGAACTTCTAAGCAGTACCCCTAAAACTCGCTCGCTGTCTCTAAGATACCCCTAATCAACAAGACAAAACCCAATCTACCTTCCCAGAAACACTTCGAGGAAAATTTCACCATGGCCAACGGCTACACCCAATGTCAGTGCAACTGCCGTGAAGAGGCTGGCCGGCACCTCGCACCATTTTACGAATGCTACCGAGCTCTCACCGACCAAAAAAGAATCGTCTGTGGTGGATGTTATGATCGTGCTCTTAGAGGGCTGGGATCCTGCAGCTAGGCTGTATCTTTTCGAATGATATGGCCATACATACGAGGAAACCGTGACTATAATCGAGGGGGATAAATGCGCCAACGTTTTCGGAGAAACACATATACTTCTGTTTATGCTTATCGCGAAATAGATACGTTATGGGATATGGTTATGAGGCTTTGGCTTGGGTTGAGCTATAACTTCTGGAAATAGCAATTGCGAATACCTACCCTCTGAATTTCTTTTGATAATGACATATACACGTGGAAACCGGTGTTAAAGTACTTATTTCAATGACGTAGACGGATCCGTGTATGGAATAGTAGAAGGAGAGAGCCATATAGTATCTTGAAATCCCATCAGACGTGAATGTACTAATCCTTTAAAGGGGCCTCATAATGTGTATAGAGGCTCTGGGAATTGACCACGAACGCGCTCATTTGAGAGGAAACGGAGCCATGTTACCTAGGTTTCCTATGTATACCTATCCGGCAGTGTGTAACGTATGCGTTTATTTGAACGGCACTGCTGGATATGTTGGGACGGTAGTGAATTTCCTATCCGTTGACCTTATATACCGAGGGCTCCACACGCGGGTAGATTGGTATGTGGTTTGCTCCAAACCCTTCGCCGAGCCGACACGTTTTGAAACTGATAGATACTTACCTAGTACATTTGGAATTTATCTTCCCCTTAAACCGTCTGCCTTGTCTTCATCATAACCTTAGCATAGGGATCCAATATCACGTTCTCGTCAGCGTAAATACTCCGGGGATGCCCATTCCCCCTAGGCGAGGCGAAATCAAACTCTTGAAGCAGTCGCATAAGCACCAGCTTGATCTCGCCAACTGCAAAGTATCGGCCGGGACAGACTTGTCCCCCGTAGCCGAAAGACATGTTATCGGGGTCGGATTGGCCTGCCATGAACTTGTGGAGATTCTGCCCGTTGCCGGTGTGCCGCTTGCGATAGCTTCTCATTGGATCAAATGTATCGGGATCCGGGGTGATGGTGGGGTCGAAGGCATGTTGCGGACCGGGCCACGCGATGCGAGTCCCCTCTGGAATGTGTGTTCCGTCCTTTAGGGTTAGGGGCACCATTGCTAACCTTTGAGGTGTCACTTTGGATGATATTAGCTCGCCATATCCCACATCCTTCTTTGGTGATACACATAATTGCACTTACAGAGGATGGGTGGATTGTGTCGTTGACTTTCAAGGATGAAGCTATCCATCTTCTCCAGATGCTGGAGCCACGACTTGACTGGCATATTTTGTCCGAGCTCACCATGAGTCTTGAGTGTCTCATCGATTTCGTCTCTTAGTACGGCAACCCATTCGGGGTGAGCAATAATGTCAAATAGAACGTTTGCCGCTGTCGCTGCCGTTGTGTGGATGCTCGCAAGCGTCAGGATGCATTGTCTGGCAGCCATTTGTTCCAACGATCCTTCATTTCCCACCGCGTGGTCGACCATCCATTCAAATAACGTTCCATCACCTCTCTGGCCTGCCTTGACCTGTTCCTCGCGTTTGAGCATGTACTGACGGACGACCTTAGTGCCTATGTCAATCTGCTTCTGTACACGCCATCGCGCTGGAATCAATGGCTTGACCAAGAAGTGCATCCACGGCGGGAACATGCGCAACGCGAAACCTGCCAAAAATAAATCCTGGGAGAAGTTTAGTGTTAGGCTTAGCCATGTAGGATCACGACACGCTGGATCGCCCACAAAGACCTTTGCCGACATGCGGGCGACAAGCATGCGCAAGGTTTGCTGTATGTCGACTTCGGTCCATTCGATGGGCTTGGGTACGTCTATATGCCAGCCGTACTCGAGTTCCTCGTTTGCCATATCGACGTATTTAGCCACATCCGGGTTCAGCTTTTTTGTTAATACGGTGACGTGCAAGTCAGAATCACGAATTACGGAGGCCCATGACCAGCCTTTGAACAAGTTCTGCCTGGCAGTTAGAAAGGAAACACCTATTCGATAGCTGAGATACCGGACACGGAGACACCCACGTTATAATGCGCCATCTTCCCATTGAGTTCATTTCTTGGAATCAAGCGTAGCTCGTCTAAGTACTTCATTGGCATAACATGGATGTCGGTATCGTAACGACGTACCACGAAAGGGACATCTTTGAACTGTCATATTGAAAGTGATATAAGCATATAGCAAAGAAGCCATGGGGTTCTGGAATAGAATAAGTCACTCAGACGTACCTTATCATATCCACTATTAATAATTCTATACGCGTCATATATAAATCGAGTCTTGAGCAAGAATGAAGGCTCCCACCATCCCCGAGACCCGTGTACTCGGGCGCCCGGAATTCTGGGCCTCTTGGGCTGGAAGAACGAAATAGCGAAAAGCCAAAGTAACACGATCCCGACTAATTTGATGACTTTCGACGATGATATATAATCGTGAAAATCCGTATTAAGCCTCTGCGAAACCCCCCATTCCGAGCCTTGCAGGCCCTGCACATGGGTGCCGTTGAAAGCCATAGGTAGCTAATGGGGTGTGGTACGAAAAGATCCGGTGGATTTAGTTAGGTACTTATAGTAAAGATGATAGCGATAGCGCTAATAGAGCGTCGGGCAGTGGGTTTCCTAAAGGAGATCCTCTTAGCATGTATTAGCCAATCAAAAGCGACCCCGACCGAGAATTGAACGCGACTCGGTCACCATCTTCCGGAAAGGGCCAGATGTGCACCCAGATGCCGGGAATATTTGCAGATCATATGTATAACAACCCGGTGCGATGTCAAGTTCATGGGACCAACGATGATAAGTGTATCTCAGGTTCTAAGGAGTTTTAAAAGGTGACATGCCCACGATCCTCTGATACGACGTTGGGAATTGCGACGAGATTCGATGTAGAACCAGCTGAAAGAAAATATATAGATATGATTCCAAGGGTTATTATTCGATGTCTTTTAGTACTATCTATTTCGTAGCGGCCGCCGAGAGCGATGCTTCTGCTTCTGCGTGTATGCAGGATTAGCACCTGGTAGTTGTTAAAAATCTATTCACTCTAGTAATTATTCCCCGGAGCCCTTGTAGTTTTAGCACTCGAAAGCTTGTAAGCCCCCTGTAATCTACAGGGACTTTAGTGGATACCTTCCATAATATAAAATTGAGTTAGCGGGATGGTGGGTTATGACGATCGGCTCCAAGGGGGTTTTTAAGCTCTTTTGAGTAATACATGAGAATCTTTGCTTCTATCTTATTCCGGTGATTTTTTTCACCTGCTAGGCTGCTAGGTAGATCTATTATGTCCTCATTGATAGTCATTGAATTTCGTTATAGGAAGGTTCCGAAACAGGTGTATGGATTGTGGATAGGTACATGTGATCAGTGATATGGTGCTAAAGACGTTTCTGAACGGCAACTTTACTAGGTATTAGGTGGGTGTACCTAAGCGAGGGTGATTTTTAGGCACCTTGAGCGCTAATCCCCAAAACTTTTTCGGCAGTGCTATTCAACAGCCCTGGAGCAATTGCGAGAATTTAATTTGGTTCAGCAAAAGGGATCCATCCATTCTTTAGTGTTTCAATATAGAGCATAAGCCCCTAAGATACAGGACCTTCACCAACAAATTTGGTTTATACTACAGCACGCAAGTTGCCACACCAATTATGAAACTACTTAACAATCTTCCAAGCCTCATCAAGCACCGCAACTACATCTTGCGGAAGCGGGCCTTTCCGAAGCGCCTCCACGTTCAATTTAACTTGAGCAATCTTGCTCGCGCCGAAAATAATAGCATCTCGTGGCTCCAATTTCGAATGGAAGGCGAGCCAACGCAGCGCTACTTCCGGCTTGGAGATGCCGTGCGGTTCAAGCGCCTTGTTGAGAAATCGGATGGCCTCGTGATTCTTATCAGTATCATACCGCCGGGCATCCGTTGACATGATATTGCCCTTGGCGAAGCGTGTTCCCTCGACTTCACCGGACGTTAGGGCGCCGTGGAGGAAACCACTACCGTGCGGACTATGCGCCACATATTGCATTCCATGTTTGCGAACCAGATCAAGCACCGGCCCTTCATGTTGGCGGTCGATTAGGTTGTAGATACCCTCGTACACGGTCGGCTTAACATATCCCTCACGTTCACAGATGTCGATGAACTCGGTAAGCATCTCGGCTGAGAAGTTACAAACACCCAGCTGTGGCGAGAATCAGTACCGACCTAACTGCTTGTCACGCGAGGTCTAAAAACACTTACCTTGTCAAACAACCCCTTTTTGTATTGCGCATCGAACCCGGCTGCCTGATCTTTCAAAGGTGTGGCCACGTCCGGAGCATGGGGGTAGAAGACATTGACACGTTGACCATCTCCGAGCCTCAAGGCCTCATAGCTCTCCGCAATGGACTTGGCGATCTTCTCGGGCTCTAGAGTACCCTTGAAGCCAGACATGCTAATCAATACCTTAGTGTCGATATCGAATCCTAGTCGCGCCGCCTCTACTTGTCCGAGCAGACGTTGCGAGGCCCCAATGTCTGAAGGCGGATATAGAGCGGCCGTATCGAGCCGACCTATACCCGCTTCCTTGAGCAGTTCCAACAGCTCTCTCACAGAATCCTCGCCGACGAATTCTTGACCAAGGCCGCCGCAGCCGAATATGATGTGCGGCGCCCCTGGGAACGCCATGGCTTCCACGATACTAGTATGATGGTGCGATAAGGTGAGGGAATGATGTGCTGAGAAACGGGGAGTAAGAGGTTAGGGAAGGGAAGGGAAGTCTAGGTAGTTGGGCAGATAGTAAGTCCTCCGCCCCAGTTATGGGAAGACAGCCAACAGTCTTGAGGTGCGTTACACGACATTTTCCATATAGATGCCCATGGCTTGTGTGGTAGGCCGTCCGATCTCCCCGAGTTGGTTCTCGGCTAGTTCCTAATTGGGATGCCCGAGAGCGGGCCGAGACCCCTGCATATTTATTATCATTGTGCCGGAAATCTGCTTACAAACATCAGGTGCCCTGAGTAGTAGTTAAAAGGTGCCGAGATGAAATAGGGATTAGGGCCATTAAGATACTAAGTGGCCAAGTTGGAAATACGTCGGTCGGAATCTTTGACTCGATGATGGTAGCTGGTGAGTGACTACAGCAGCACCACAGATCGATGGCATCTTGAATACGGCGGCCTCACTTCTCTCTCTGCAGAGACACCGCATCAAGCCGTTCAATACGGTAACTAATTTGCCCGTAGGGGTAGATAAGCGCATTCGTCGAGCAAATATGTCTTTATCTTCTCAGCTCAATAGTTGGGACGTTTCTGCGACGGCACATGTTGGCGTTGAGCTGATCGTGTCGTCATTGTCAGAACTGCTGAGGATGGAATATCCTAGCATGATGGGGTCCCCATCTTCCACCGCGGCATATCTCATATACGCCACGAATTGGGATACTGTGTGAATTCGAGATCTTCCCTCGACGCGAGCCAAGTCTGCGGGGCGCCAGCACCTAGCGACCATGTGCCGCATGTACAATGATTATCGACATATTGCCGGTGACGGGGCCGAATGCACCTTGAACTCGGTTGACTTCCCCGAGTTCGCCATGAGTGCTAAGAAGGACGGCGGCGGAGGAGGCATTAACTTGGCGTTGGCGACCAAGAAAAAGACTCTGTATGAACTTGCGCAATAGGAGCGGAGTTGGCTTGGGGACGCCATGAAACACCTTGGAGATGGGATGCAGAGCATTGCAGAGCATTGGAAGACGTCGCCAGATGGATATTTGGACCATGTTCTGGGACGTGACTGATCTCTACGGCCAAGTTCACATAGTGAAAGATGTCGCTAGCTGGATGAGCAATGGCAATATGACAGAGGGGCGAGCATAGGTACAAATTCGGCCATGTTGTAATATTGAAAAAGGATATTATAAGGGACCTGCTTCCTATTTTTATGTCGTTTCATTTTTTTTATATTTTATTCTCATTATTTCGGGCTAGCGGTCCCTGGATTCAAGTCATAGTAGGTCGCAATGCTTGGACAGCCGGTCTAGAAGATGCTGCACCATATTCGTCTGCATCTGCCATCGATTCAACGCCGTTATCGCCCTTAGTCCCTCTAGTAATCCCCGGAGTCGGGAAGCGCGGAAGTTCAAAAGACTTTTAAAAACGTGGATTCTCTCCTCATCATTCATACTCTGGTGGTCAGGCTGAAGACTGTGGCCTGCCTCCACGGAAGACACGAGCTGATCCCGGGATGGTTGCCTCGACTCATAGCTGAAGGACCTATCAGGTGATATGGTAGTGGCTTGTGTATCAACACCTTTCCGGCCTTCAGGTATCTCGGCCATCAACAGGATGCTTGCCAGCAGCCGGTCCATAATCGAAATCATTAATACGGCATGTCGGGACTGGATGTAGGACGCGTCCTGGTTGAGCCACTTGTCGCAACTACTCAGCACCTCCTTCTGACATATAAATTCGTCGTTAGATGTAGATAATGGCGGTGTGCGTGGATTAACTGTGCATGTGGACGGGTTCGAGATGGTGTGATGCGTCCATGTTAGTCTTATCTCGACTACTTCAAACACGTGAAGCATTTCCAAGCAGAGAGAGTGTGAGTGGTTTGGACTTGGAATCGGACTCGGGTTGAGAGGGAAGGCGATGTCATCAGTGCTGAGCCTATTGGCTACATGCATGAGTGGGCTTTGATTAGTGGATATAGGGGTGGTGGTAGTAACAGTGGTGTCGTCGCTGGCTTGAAAGCCGTCGAAAAACAAGCTGCTGGAATTTGTATACGCAGATTGCTTGTCGCGTGTCGTATCAGATGGAGTCAGATCGAAATCTATACCCAACAGGTCGGGATCAATTATGATGGAATCCCAAGCCGGAGTTATCTCAACGTCGGAGGACTGCTCAAGTCCCCCTGGCGGGGTAGCAATGTCATCTCCCAGGCTTAGAACGTCGCCTTCCGCATCTTTGGCAACCCGTCGCAGGCGTGGAAGGCGTTTTGGCACCATATCTATCCCAGTCCGGCTAGGACTGGTGTATGAACATGCTATCTGCTTATCCGAACATCGCCGACACCCATCTTCTTCACCTGTGCATTTGACCTAAACAAGCCCATTTCGGTTAAAACAGACCCTCGTACGACCGCTGCGTTGCAATTATCTATGGCGACTAACCTTTTTCGATCTGCAGTAGACACAAGCTGACCGGGAGATCCTATGCGGTGGTCTGTTGAGAGGTGAGGCGGTAGACTCGAGAACGTAATGTCCGTTGCCCGGCTCCGATTCCAGAGGCTTAAACGTCATGAACATTGGGTCGAAATTTATAAATGCCGCCAAAAAACTGACGGAACAATCGTGCTTGAACTACAAGCGTTGCACAAGATTTGCAACTTTCACCCTTAACTTGTGAGCCTTATATCTGTAGTCATACTGATTAGTGTAAGTACTTACTTATAAGTCCTACTTACTAGGTTGGTATATTAGCATGTTAATGTTATGACGCTAGGTACTAACACTAGACGTGCCTTGCGTACCTATTGATTAGGTAGGTATACCTACCGTAATGGCAATGGAGGGGTTTCAAAAACGGTTTTTAAACTCTAAACGCGTCTGCCCATTAACGACCATTTAGTGGAAATTAAACGTTGTTATATAGTAAATGGTTTTTAATTCAAAAACGATTATTTATAAAAAAACGATAATTTGTAAAAAAGTTATTTTAAGGATTATATAATTATTTTATGTAAAATGGATATTTTAAAATAATTATTATGTAAATATATATTAATAAATATTAACTTAACGCGATTTATTTATTAATTTCTTTAAATATTAACTTAAATATTAATTTATTTATAATATATATAGAAATTAAATTTAAATTTAAATTTATTAACTTGTTTCGTTTCGATTAAACTAAATTTAACTTATTATTATTAAAATAAAAATTAATAATATTTTATTAATTTAACGCGATTAAATTAAATTAATTTTAATATATTAATAAAATGGATTATAAGTTCGTATTCGCTAACCCGTTAATTTAATTAATATATTAAAATGTACATAATATTAATAAATAATATATATGAAACTTATATTATATTTTATAATTTATAAAACGTTATTAATATTTAATAATAATATTTTTAATATTTAAATAAATATATAAATATTTATTATAAATAAAAATATTTTTTATTTTATAAAATTTTTAATTTAATAAATTAAAATAATAAAACGATATTAATTTTTATTATTAAATTTTATAGCTTATTAATAAAGGAAAAAATAAAGTAAAAATTATATAAGTAAGTATTTATTAAATTTAAAAAAAAATATAACTTATTTTTACTTTTTATTAAATATATATTATATGTTATTTATTTTTTATTTTATTTTTTAGTTTTATATTAATATTCGAATCTTATAATTTACTTATTTAATTAATCTTTTTATTTTAACGTTATATTTAAATAATTATTCGAAACTTAACGCGAATTAACGTTAATAAAATTAATTATTTCGTTATAAAAAAAACTATAAACTTTTAAAAAAAAAATAAGTTATTTAATTATTTATATTCGAATTTTCCTTTCTTTTTTAAATAAATATTATTAAATATTAAAGCTATAAAACCTTTTATTTTAAACATTTAATTTTTAAAAAGTAATTAAAAAAAATTAATATTTATTATATTAAATTTTTAACTTATTTTAAGGTGAATATATTTCATTTTAATAATAAGTTTTATTTAAATGTAAAGTACGGTAATATTTAAAAAAACCCATAAATATAATAATATTTAAGTAAAAATTAAACGATTTTTATTAATTATTATTTATATTTTTATTATTTAAATTCCCGATATTATTTTCTTCGTAATTAATATTTAATTCTTAAGAAAAGTTATTTATTAATTTAACGTATTTAGTTTAATTTTTTCTTTTTATTAAACGAAATAATAATAATAATAATAATTAATATTAACGTTAAAAAACCGTTATTTATATAATTATCTTAAAATTTTATTAAAGGTATATTAAACGTATTAAGCTAAGCTTTATATTTTACACTTAAATATAAAATCTTTATAATTTATTTAATAATTTATATTTTTAAATATGCGTTATAACGGTTTATATTATATTTTTTTTATTAAAAAGTGGAAAAAAAAAAACGTAAAAAAAACGGTATTATTAATAAAATTAAACACGTATTTATTTAATAAAAGTTATATTAAATATAAATTTAATTATTTTAAAATATTATTATTAATATATAACACTATTTTTTAAATTTATTAAAAATATTATTTTTTATATTTTTATAACTTTTTTATAATAATAATAATAATAATAATAAAAATTATAATAATTAACTTTATTACGAAACGAAATTAAAAAATTACGAAATAACGATGTTATTATGCGAAGAGTTTTTAATTATTTTTTTTATAAAAAATACGATATATATATAAGTGAAATTTTTTATTTATTTTATTCTTAAAATTAGCCGTAAATAAAATTTTCGCGGGGATTTTATAAGCTTAATCTTAATCTTATAAACTTTTAATTATTAATTTAAAAGAAAATTAATATTTAATAAACCTTTTTTACGCTTAAAATTTTATTTTTAAATAATAATTTAAGTTTACGTTTTTTTAATTTTAAATATTTTTTAATAAAATAAATAACTTTTAAATATATAATTATTTAATAAGTAAATTATTATAAATAAATATTATAACTTATCCTTTTAAATAATAATTATTTACCGCTAAATATTAAAACTATATATACACGTTCACTTAATAAATAAACCGAACTTAATATAAATATTAAAAAGCTAATTATATTAAAAATATATATATTATTATTTATTTTATTTTATGTTATTTAAGTTATAAAACGAAATTAAAAAATTTAAAAATAATAATATTATTATGCGAAAAGTTTTTAACTATTTTTATTATAAAAAATACGGTATATATATAAACGAAGTTTTTTATTTATTTTATTTTTAAAATTAAAAATTAATAAAACTTTTACGAACTTAACGAAGATTTTATAAGTTAAATTTCGATTTTATAAATATTTAGTTATTAATTTTTTTCTTAATTAAACGTAAAATAATTTTTATAAATAAAAATATAATAAAAAAAGTAATAAAATAAGTAAGTATTTAATAAGTATACGGCTTTTATAATTATATTTAATAATGTAAAATTATAATATTTTTTTAATTAATTAAAATCGAGCTTTTATAAAAGTTTTATTATTTTAATAATATAGCTTAAATTCGAATATATGTTTTTTAATTAATCGAAATATTTATCGATAAATCCTCGCGTTTTTAAAATTAAACTTAAACAATTAAGTATATAAATATTATTTACGTTATATAAAATCGGAAAAACGCCGGTAAAACGTATATATATTATTTTATATATATTAAGTAAGAAATTAAATACCGTAATTTAAATTTTTAAACTTAATTTTAAAATTTATATCTTTTCGTAATGTTAAATTTTTAATTAATTATTTTATATTTAAAATACTTTTAAAAATTTAATAATTAAAATAATTTAATTATTTTTATAATGCGTTTTCGAATAAGCTTAGTTATATTAAAATTAATAAAAAATTAAATCGAAGTTTTACGATTAAAATTAAACTAAATTAAAATTAATTTAAATTAATTAAAATAATAATTAGTTTTTAATTTTAAATATTATAATTAAATGAAGGTTTAAAAGTTAAAAAAAAAAATAATATATAATTTAAATTAAGCGTTTTTAATTAAATTAAATTGAAAAAATTAAAACGTTAAATTAATTAAGTTACGAATAATTAAAATTAATTAAATATATAATAAAATTTTAATATAATTTAAAACGCGTTCGAATTAACGTTAAGCTTTTTTTCGATATAACGCGTGTATTAATTAAAATTATATAACGCGAATAATATTAATTATAAATGTTTTAATGTTTAATTATTTATTCTTTTTAATTTTTAACGAATATGTAAAATTTATATTATTTTTAAAAAAAAGAAAAAAAACTTTATATTATGTAAAGTAATTTATTTAATTTAGTTTAATTTAATTTATAATAATATATTTTATTATATTATTATTAATTTATAACGTTATTTACGATATTTAAAATAAGAGTTAAAAATATTTATATAATAGTTATAATTATATATATAACTTTAAACTTAATTTAGTTTAATTTTAAACGGTATAACCTTTATTTATATAAAATTTCTTTTATTATATATATATTAAAAAGTTTTAATTTAAATATTTGGAAATTTATTTAATAATAATTTTTAAAATTATTTTTATTATAAAAATATTATTTATATAATAATTATTTTAAATTTATATATACCTTATATATTTTTTTAAATATATTAATTATATTAAATTTAAGTTATTTTTTTTTATAAATTAAAAATATAAAAACAAATATTTAAATATAATTAATATAATATAACGCGTGAAATTTTTATTATTTATTTTTATAAAAATATTTTTTTAAATAATTTTTTTTAAAACTTTATTTATTTAAGCTATTAATTTAAATATTATTTTTTTAAATTCTTATTTTATATTTATTATATATATTATAAAATTAAAACCTTAACTTAACTTTTTAATTATAACGAAATATATATTTTAAATTATAAATAAATTATCGTTATACGATAACTTGCCCGTAATTAATTATAATTAATAAATCGTAACTATTTTTTAAAAAATAAAAATAAATATTAACATTATTAAAAGTAATGTTTATACGTTTAATATTAATTATTACGTTTAAACGTGGTAAAACTTAAAGTTAATATTATATTTTTAAAAATTAATATCGCGATTTTAAAAAAAAATGTTATTATTTTTAAAGTAAATATTACCGTTTTTAAAGAAAATATTATTATTTTTAAAGTAAATATTACCGCTTTTAAAATAAATATTACCGCTTTTAAAGTAAATGTTATTACTTTTAAAATAAATATTATTATACTTAAAATTAATATTATTACCCTTAAAGTAAATATTATTATCTTTAAGGTAAATATTATTAACATTAATATCCGGTTTAACATTTTTAAATCTCGTTTTACCGTTTCGTAAGTTTTTCTTTTTAATTATTATTTTTATATACTAAAATATTAATTATGTATTTATTATAAAAACGAAAATATGGTTTTACGTTTTATTAATAATAATATTAATAATTATATAATTACGTTATAACTTTTTAAAAATTCGAATAATATAATTATTAATAAATTTAAAATAACGATTGGGGAAATTAAAAATATATTAAGTAAAAGTTTATATATTAGTTTATAATTAATATTAATTATTTTCTTAAATTATAAGTTAAGTATAATTTTTTATAAGTTAAATATAAATAGTAATAAAATTTATAATAATAAATTATAAAAACTTTTATATATATATGGTGTTATTTCGTTGCGTAATTAATGCCTTAATAAGATTTAATAGGAAATAAGTTTCGAATTTAATAAAGAATAAGT